TATGTACTTACTAGATTTACTGGATAGGCGTATCCAGAACCGGCCTATAGCATGAATGTACAGTATGTAGCCATTGGAGAGGCAGTGCTAGGGTTCAGATTTCCTTCGTGGATACGGCAGGTAGGGAGGCTGCTTATGGCGGGTTGGGCGTGTAGGGATTAAATGTAACTGATTATTGTTTCTTGGCTTTGACTTTGCCTGTCTTTGGATGTAGGTATGTAGGTACAGTATTTGAGTGGCTATCTACCTCATATAGATGGCTATTTATCTAGTATCTACCTATCATGTGTCTGTGTATACATGTATGTGCTATCAAGTAGATAGGGAAAGTGGGCCACCAGGGTAAAGTCCAAGGAAAGAAAGTGCCTAGAGAGAACAGGTACGTACGTGTTCGTTGACTGTGTGGTGCTGTGTTGTCATATTTTCCGGTTCTCAGGGTGTCTTTCCGTGGTCACGTATCTAAGCAGGGTTCTTAGGTACATAGGAATATAGAATGTATTGCATAGTTGCGTTACTTTCTATTGATAGTGAGTTGGCAGTTCGCTGCTGGGTTGTGGTCCATCCACTTACTGTACTGTATGTATCTATGTGAGCGTTCTATATGCAGGGGTAAGACATTTAGTCCTATTTCATCATCAAGGCGACTGAAATCGGCTAGTTGAAGTGACTATGAATGATTTACCAGGTGTCTTGAAACTCTGACTAGAAAGAAGTGAATGGATGATAAGAAATTTAGAAGATTGTAACCTCAGGCACACAGATTGCTTGTGGATGAGGGGTCTATATTCGATATATGTCTGTAGAGTGTAATTCGACTTTGCTAGAGACTTTTTATTTTGCCTCAACTTCGTTTGTTTCCTCCCAGTCTAGTAGGTATAATAAACTGGGGGTTTAAAGTTATTGCTTAGGTAGATGTGCATAGACTTAGATGTAGGAGAAGGTTCATATGTGCTTCGTACATACTACACTATATAGAAATATTATCTGCTGCTTTTATTTAGTTAACTTGAACCGAGTACATTTTCCTCTGCATCACATTAGCTTTCCATCCCCATATCTTGTGATCGGCAATTTAGCTCCATTGACACTCATTACAGATTTGAGATCTACAAAGCAGATCACTTCAACAAAATTTGATAGACATGTAATTGCCCTCTTTATAATGCGGCAGGCAAACATACTTTCGGATAAAGTCCATGGTATTTATGTGGTATGCAATATCTGTTGTTCATGTTTCTGGGTAGTGTCGGGTGTCGGGTGTCGGGATATATAGACAGGCGATTAACATGTTGGCCCTTGCTTTTATTCTCTCTCTCTCTCTGACTCTCACTCACTTATATGATGGTATGAATTCCTTGTGGAATAGAAACAGAATTCTCTAGGATAAATATTTCTTGCTCAATCCACTCTGCTGTATACGTAGGAAATAATTTCCCCGTTGATTTCATATAATTCTCAACAACCCGATGATTAACCCGACAACAACAAAACCCATAACCACATTCAGTAGAAATATATCACCGAATACCCTATAATAAAATAAAATAAACCAACGTATCTCAGAAAGAAAGAAAAATGCATACTCACCGTTTGTATGTACGCCTGTATGCACGAACACAAAGTCCCAAATAACCAATCTCATCATGCCACATCATGTCATACGGTGTCCTACCTACCTACCTACACAGCCTTCCTGTACAAAACATATTGTATAAACTCTCCCATATATCGGTAGATATTCCTTCATATAGCGGTGTACAGATCATTAGACTTCTTACTTTACTTTACTTACTTCACTGTCTCTTGCAGGTTTTAGTCTTGCGTTTAGGCTGGTTTTATCTGCTTGTCTGCCTGCCTGCCGGGGATTTTTATATCTGTATTTGTTCGTTGTGCATGGGATCTGCGCGTTGGGTTGGTGGTTGCTGCATGGTTTTGCATACTTATGTTTACTGAGTGGTAACCACATAGCTGGAAGGGAAGTAGGTAGGTAGGTAGGTGCATTGACTAGGAGTTGGTTTGGTTTGGTTTGGTTTGCATGCACACGTCTAAACAGTTACGTGCTCTCTACATATGAGATGGATGAAAGAGCCAGGATATGAGATGGATCAAATAGCACATGCAGGGTAAGTAAATAGACAGATGCATAAAGTTCATTTTCGGATCGTCATTAACTAGTTATATTAAATGGCCTAACATATACGTTCCGAGATATGTTAGTTTGTTGGCCCATCGCCCATCGCTCATTGTTGCTTGGACATTCGGTCGAATTCGTTTCCTTTTTAGTCTTGATTGATTTACAATTTCGTTCCCATGTTGACGTGAACCGCCTTTGTCTGCGAATAAGCCTCTAATCCGGCCTCGCCGAGCTCGCGACCGATTCCGCTCTGCTTGACGCCGCCAAAAGGCACCCGCACGTCGCTGTCGTTGCTGCTGTTGATCCATACCATGCCGGCCTCGATGTCCGAGGCCACGCGGTGCGCGCGCTCGATATCCTTGGTGAAGACGGCAGCACCGAGTCCGTACGTCGTGTCGTTGGCACGCGTCACCGCCTCCTCTTCCTCCGTGAAGCTGGAGATGACCACGAACGGGCCAAAGACTTCCTCGCGGTAGATGCGCATGTTGTCCTTGACGTTAGTGAAGATAGTGGGCGCGATGAAGAAGCCCTTGCCGTCGCCAACGTTCTTGAAGGGCTCGCCGCCTGCCACCAGCGTGGCGCCTTCGCTCTTGCCCGCCTCGATGTACGACAGCACCCGATCGTACTGTGCCTTGGTGACCTGCGGGCCCTGGAAGGTGTCGTCGGCGAAGGGGTCGCCGACCTTGCTGGTCGAGGCGACGGCTTCCTTGAAGAGGGTGACGAACTTGTCGTAGACCGAGTCGTGCACCAGGATTCGCGACGTCGCCGTGCAGACCTGACCCTGGTTGTACATGATGCCGATGTGTGCCCACTTGGCGGCCTGCTCGAGGTCCGCGTCGTCAAAGACCAGCAGGGGCGACTTTCCACCGGTTTCCAGCGTGATGTTCTTCATCGTGGATGCGGCCATCTTCATGATCTCCCGGCCGGTCTGGGTCGAGCCGGTGAAGGCCACCTTGTCGACATCGGGGTGATGAACCAGGGCGCTACCAGCGACCCGGCCGAAACCGTTGAGGATGTTGACGACGCCGGGCGGGAATCCGGCTTCCTTGATCAGCGTGGCCAGATATAGGATGCTCAACGGGGTCTGCTCGGCGGGCTTCATGACAATCGTGTTTCCGCAGGCCAGCGCGGGACCCAGCTTCCAGGCCGCCATGCCCAGGGGGAAGTTCCAGGGGATAATCTGGCCGACCACACCGATCGGTTGACGCAGCGTGTAGGCGAACTTTGCGGGTGTGGTGCTGATCGTTTGGCCATGGATCTTGTCCGCCCATCCGGCATAGTACCGCAGGGTACTGAGGACCTCGCCGATGTCATCGTTCAGCGAGGTATTGTACGGCTTGCCTGGAGAGTATTAGCAGACGGAACAGAACTCGGCGAGAGCAAAGCGAAGACATACCGTTGTCCCACGTCTCAATGGTGGCCAGGACTTCTTTGTGCTGCTCGATCAGGTCCGCGAGCTTGAGCATCAGGATTCCTCGCTCCGTCGGGGGCAGCAGCTTCCACGAGGGGTCCTTAAGGGCCTTGCGAGCCGCCTTGACGGCCAGGTCGACATCCTCCTCGCCGGCTGCATAGACCGAGGTAATTTCCGATTCATCCCTATCCGGTCAGTTTGATCGGCTCGGTCTCCGTTCGATCATACGCATGCAACTTACGAGGGATTGATAGAGGCAAACTTCTCACCGGACTTTGACGGCACAAACTCGTTGTTGATGAACAGACCGATGGGCTGCGAGTATTTACGCCCATTCGGGGCCGTCAACTGCACGGCGATATCGGACATGGTGGAGGCGGAAGGATGAAAGGCACGAGAAAGAGAGGGGAAGAAGGTAGGTCGGGCGAGAGACTTGGGGAATGCAGGACCGCGAAAGCAGCGCAGCAGAAGAGGGGGAGGGGCAAGCATTTATAAGTACGAGATTGATGGATGGCAGAAGGAGAGAGAGTATCTACTAAGGCAGCCACTGCTTTCCCCGCCGTCGCCATCCGCGGATGCTGGTTAATAAGCGGGCCCCCCTCAGTGTCGGATAGACTTGCTCTTCCCAGCCAAGTGTTTCTTGGTTCCATTCTTCTTCTTCTGCTGGACTCACCTCACACCTCTAGGTCCCCGATTCGATCCTATCTCCGAACGGTCCCTGACTCACGGATTCAAACCAGACTGTCCACCTTTCACCTCGGCATCCTCGTCCAGCGAACAATGCCCTCCGAGAATCCTGCGAAGGTCTGCACGCTGCAACCCGGATGACGTATCAGGACCCTTTCGCCTTGTCGGATACTACTAGTCATTTGCTATTGGTCCTTCTCGACCGGACTTATGGACTTATCAGGTTGGTTGCTGACCGTGCACCGTCGATCCTATGCATGAAGGGTGGGCATATCTCCCGGGGCGGAGGCTGGAAGTGAAAGCTCTGCGTCGAGCATCAGCTCTGATTGTACCGAGTATCGACCTCTGTTCGAGCGGGTGGTGGTGACGTTATATACCATACTAGGGGGTTGTCTGTGAGGAGCTCCAATCGGGTGCATAACATCCCAGACGCTGGTGTAGTCGGTGCAGCTTTTACTAGGTCACCGGTTACGTTGAGACGGCCTACGCGCTCGACCGCTGGAGGGACTAAGCAAGGTTAATCCCTCACAGCTGAAGGTCTCCTCAGGTCGATTACTCTGGTCCTACTTTGTTGGTCCCTTTCGAACAAGAAAACCCGCGGAAATAGAAATGCCCATTCATTGTACACAAGGAAAACTAGCTATACCCTTATTGAAGCCTCAGACATCCGTTCCCAGGACTCTGGCAGTAGAAATGAAGATAGTGGAAGATAGTGAATGACCGAAGAAAAGAAACGAGAAAACGAGTCGGGGGAATACCGGTACACCCCTACTCGCTTGAGTCCACATCCTCTGCACTGGCCTCCTCCTTAGAGGATTCTGCCGACTGCTCGGATTCGGGATCCTCCTTGGCGAGACCCAGCACAAAGTCCCATTCTTTCTTGCTCACGCGAGAAACGCTTAGTCGAGGCTGTTTCAGCACCTGGAAACCCTCCAGTCGTCCGCCCGACTTGGCATTACTCTTCAGTTCCTCCAACGGCACAAAGTTCTTGAACTTGCGTCGGAACTCGACGTGAACCACGTCCCACTTGGGGTCTTCCCGCGTCGACTTCTCGTCGTAGTAAGGGTGAGCGGGGTCAAGGGCTGATTCTAGAGTTCATCATCACGTCGTTAGTCACGGTCGCCGAAACGAAACGCGTCTTGTCCCGATTCTCACATACCATCTGGGGAGTGCTCTTGAACGATCTCCATGATACCCGCGATTCCGGGAACTCGGCAGTTGGAGTGGTAGAAGAAGGCGAGATCGCCCTTCTTCATTTGCCGGATGTGGTTTCGTGCTATCGGCGGTGAGCCTATCATCCCCCAAAACAGTTCACCAATATGTGCTAGACAGTATCCTTACCAGCGGGGTTTCGTACACCTGAAAGTTGTGTCAGCCTGGGGAGGTGTTATCGAGGATGTTGAGGAAAAGACTTACCATCCCACGGCTCTGGCTTCTTGCGTTCACGCAAGTCATCGATAGAGAATTTGACGTCAACGCCTCGTTCCATGCGCGACTCCGGCTCGGCCTTCATCAACCAGTACGAGCGACCAGAGCTATCGGTCTCATCCTCAGCCGCTTTGGCATCGGCCGACGCGGATTTCCGTGATTTTAATCGGGAGGGGCTGTCGGTGCCGTTCAGAGGGGTGTTAGGGAGAGACTTTCTCGGTCGGCCCACGGGGCGTTTGCCCTCTTGGGGAGTTTTAGGCTTGGAGGGAGTTTCTGTTCTCCGATTAGAATACGCGTGAGATACGATGCGTTGAAACGCGTTCGCGTCGACGACGACGGTTGGACGGGTAGAAGGGCGATGGAGAAGGGATACGGACCTGCGTTGGGGTCCTTGCGCGGACGACCGCGTCCTCTGCCTGAAGTAGGCTTAGGAGTCGTACCCTCGGGATACTTGCGAGGACGGCCCCTCTTCCTCTTCTCTCCAGTGGACGGAGCAGCAACCTGCTCGGGTGGCGACGACATTAGTTCTTTACTTGGGATGACGATTGCTTTGATTTGAGACGCGATGGATTGTTGTGGTCGGATACAGAAAAGGGGGAGGATGAATTAAGATTATTTCCTAATGATGAATTTCTGGGGGGAGAAAGGGGAAGAGTGTGTAACCAGGAATGGGATGAATGAATCGTCAGAGAGCGGCGATCAATAATTGGCCATTTGTTTGGTGCCCTGGCATGACGCGCTCGCTCAGGTCGGACCCGTCGATCTTCTATCTGAGTAATTGCACCAGAACGCGAAAAAAGAAACCGGAAAAATAAGAATCAAAGCTTACGTACTCTCTTAGGGGAGCTGGCCTCCTCAGCCAGCGACGCGCCGTCGGACTTGCGCTTCCTGTTGTTGGCAGCCATTCTTGGGGAACTTTTGTTTTCTTCCCTCAATTTTTTGGAAGACGGGGAGGGAAAGAAACCAAGGTAAAAGTGGAAGGGAGATAATAATGACCAGCGGTAGAAGAAAACTAAAAAAGGAAATGAAAGAATGAAAGCGTTCCAACCAGTCAGAAGACAGGAGTGGGGGAGGAAGAGGAGAAGGAAGGAAAAGAGAGGGAGAGTAGAGAAAGAAAGAGGACAAACTGAGGAGGAGCTTGGGGCGCTTGGGTCGTTCCTCGTGGGGAAGAGTGAGAGAGCACCGTTGGAGGTACGGATAACTCTGGTAACACTGGAAGATTGCCAGAGAAACCTTTTTGTTGGTTCTCAGGATCAATTCATGTTATTTTGATTTTATATATATATCTTTTTATCTTGTTATTCTTATTGTCCTCATGATTCAGGTGATTGTTTATTCTTCTTCGATGGAGACGGCGCGGGCCTCAGGCGATCATCACGTGAGCTGCCTTGGCGGCCAAAGGGCTGGATGCGCTGTACACACATGTATGTACACATATGCGTTTGCACCGAGACTCTGAGACCTGTCCACTGGCCCGGCTGCGAGTATTTCCCGCAGAAGCTAGGTAGTTGCTCCGTGATTGACTATTCTTGATCCTCCCGATTCAACGACGATGAACGGTTGGACTGCCGAATGCTGATCAGTCACCTATCGAGGTCATTTCGGTGGTTTAGCCTCTCTGTTTGGGGAATTGAACACCCTTATGAGTATGGGGAAGCCATTCGTCTAATTATTACGGTGTAGGACTTCTGAGCCTCCTCCAACAACTCGACATATCGCCGATCGACGACATGATCACGTGCATGCAGGTGATTCCATGGCCGACAGAGGCAGCGACGGGATGATCTTCCGGACAGACTCAGATTCGCTGGTATTTTTAATATTAGTATTCCCTCTTCACCTTCCAGAACCACTCTTCCGATTATCCAGATCGCCTCGCCAAGAAATTGGGGTGAATTCAGTAGATCCAATACCCATGGGTCCCGTCGGCTGGACATCCTTGTGGCCCCCCCGTTCCGCATCTGGCTGCCTCGGGGAGAAGGCCTCCCATCTCCGGCCTGCATGAGGTGGATAACGTCGGCCTTCGCCTGCTGGAGCGCGCATAACTGCCTGACCGGTTCTGGCACTCGTCGATTCCAAGCCTGTGTTGGGAACAAGACCGATCCCCCGTCGACTTCGTCTCCTCCAAGCAGATCCCGGTCTCCACCTGGGGATTTCCCTCCCCCAAGTCGGAGAACCTGGGGTTATCTCGCCCACCGATCGTCGTCTTGAAATTATGTCGCCATCCTCTTCCCCTTTCCTTTTATTTCCTTCCCTTCCCCTCTTCGCGTCGGATGTCTGCACGTTTTCATTGACCGTTCGATGTTATCTCTTAATCCGACTGGGATTACTCTAATCCCCATTCATGATTCTATGGGGAAAACCGACTATAACTAACCGATGATGAATCCCGCGCGGGACACAGACTCAACCCTGGGCGAACAACCCGCCAGTGCGGATCCGCAGTATGAACGAACTCCTGACAGGTTTACCCACCCGCGAGGCGAATTCGACCAGGAGATCGAGTACTTGTATCTCAGCTTTGACACACCTTTACCCCATCCCGTTGGCATCTCGTCTCCACAGCCGGGCCAGCAGACACCCCCGCCCAGCCCTAAATTGAACAAATATTCCTCGCCCTTCTTATGGTCTAATGCCCGCAAGAGCATCATCACCGTTATTTGCTGCTGCGTGACGGCCATGTCGGCTTATGCGGCGGGTGAGTATACGCCTCCGGGCGACGAGCTGACAGCCAAATGGGGAGTTAGCCGGGTCGTATACAATTTGGGTATTACACTGTATACGTTTGGGTTCGCCATAGCCCCCATGGTGTTGGCGCCCTTCTCCGAGATCAATGGCAGGAGACCCATCTTTGTGTCGAGCGGGGTTGTGTTTACCGGTTGGTTTACTTCAATGAGCAAAAGGTGATTAGCCCGGCCTGATACTGCTGACACAATATTCTGGACAGTCTGCTTGATTGGATGTGGTGCTACAGAGTCCCTGGCGGGCATGCTCGTGGCCAGATTCTTCCTGGGAATAGGCGGATGTACGTGTATACCCTTGAACTTTGACTGATCGTACCAGCCACTGGACAGCGATTAACGCCATGCTCCCTCGTTCTCAGCGACCTTCTCCACCATGGTCGGAGGCATTATTGCAGATATCTATCACGCCGAAGATCGGAACGCGCCCATGTCGTACTTCTCGGGAGCCGTTCTGTTCGGCACCGGTCTGGGTCCGCTCATCTCTGGTTTCATCCAGCAACGTGCGGACTGGCGTTGGATCTACTATTCACAAGCCATCGTAGCCGCGGGATTCCTTGTAATCCTCACCCTTTTCTTGAAGGAAACCCGGGGCAGTGTACTTCTGAGTCGCAAAGCGAAGGTGCTTAACCAGTATTACGACGCATTGGAGGGCGCGGGTTACCACGGAGTCATCTTTAATTCGAGCGACTCGGTAGAAAAGCAACAAGTGCGGCGCATCCGATGGAAGGTGAAGAGTGACGAGGAGCGTGAGAGCCTAGCCAAGATGATTACGATCTCCTGTTTCAGACCGTTTCGTAAGTCTTGAATTTATGCCCTGACGGTCTTCCGGCTTACCGATAGGGCTGACATGACGTGCCCCAGATCTTCTCTTCACCGAGCCGGTGGTCTTTTTCTTTTCCCTTTGGGTATCATTCAGCTGGGCTATTCTGTACCTCAATTTCAGCGCCATTCCCATTGTTTTCTCGACGAACCACAACTTCAACGTAGAGCAATCCGGAGCGGTTTTCTCGGGTAAGCACTTCTATGCACGATCTCACCGAGCTGACCTGCTGATCTCGCGTGCCCGCAGCTGTATCCGTCGGTTCGATCTTAGCCACCGTGATGAGTGTCTATCAAGAACATCTCGCCACCCGCCTCGGGAAGATGAGGGGGACGCCCGAGGGACGTCTGTATTTCACATGCGTGGAGTCGGTCCTGATGCCCATCGGCCTGTTCTGGTTTGGATGGACAACCTTTCCGTCGGTCCCCTGGATTGTACCAACCCTGGCCATCGGGTGCGCAACCATGGGCATCTTCACCATCTACCTGGCTGCTTTCAATTATCTGGCCGATACATACCATCGATATGCGAGCTCCGCAATTGCCGCTCAATCATTCTGTCAGTCCTATTGTCCCGTGTATCCATTCCATGCACTAGCTGATTGCCAAGCTGCAGGTCGCAATGTCCTCGCGGGTATCTTTCCGCTGGTGACGAACGCGATGTTCACGAATCTGGGGTACCCGGCTGCCTCTAGTCTTCTAGGGGGGATCGTAAGCGGTTTCGTATCTGATGATGTTTTATTTCCCCTTGCTGACTGCCAACTAGGGTGTCTTGTTAACGGTCGTGCCGTGGGTGTTGGCGTTCTACGGGCCACAGATCCGCGCGAGAAGTAAATTTGCCAGCGTATGTCATGTCCATGATGCTGGACGGGCGAGATGGCTAATTGAATATAGGAAATCATGCATCAGCATTGAACCGGTATCCAGCAGCAGTACTCAAAGTAAGACGATTAATGACATGCAACATGCAAGACTTGTACATACCACCAGGCTCTCTTCAAGACTGAGCCCCCGTATATACATGAGTCCCCGATTTTCTCACTAATATCCACTCAATTCGATCACATTCTCTGACCCTCTCTCTTCTCCAACGCAATTACCATAAGGCGACATGACGGTGGGTCCTTGCAGGATCGACTACCGGGCCAGCTGGTCAGTGTGGACTTGGACGCATGCACAAAGCCTCCTTGGCTCCGTTCGGGGAGGTTTGGCATTTTGTCTACTACTCCATCTGGCTGAAGTACCAAGATGCCCGCAAGTGATAGACACAATTGCGCCATTTCTTACGGTGACTATTGGTTCCATTCCATTCCCCGTGAGAGCTGTCGGCCGACAGATTCGGGTGAGAGGAAGTTTACATAGATGGGTTCAATTGATTGTGTGAATGGTTACTCTGTTATATGTGAAGGTTGAAGCTGATAGGAAAAGGGAGAGAGAGAGCATGCATGCTACGTACCTGAAGCAACAGTCAAACACATAAGATACTCTATAGACTATAGAGACTTCCCCCTGAACCAGAGCGACCCCTCCGAATGCGGGCAGACGCTAACCCCTCTTAAGGAACCTACCTGAGCAGCCCCGCGGAGGAGTCCCTGGTTGACCAATCAGGGGTGTTCTGCCTACCCGGCGGTGAGTCAATTGCGTGATCGGGGACTGATTGCCGTCATTCGCCGGGAGTTGCGAGGGAGAGCTGGAGGGGTCCTTTGGGTCTTTGTAGATGTCTAGACTGTAGCTACTTAACTTAACCTTCTTCCCCCCCTCCTCTCTCTCTTTCTCTTCCTCTCTTCTACCATCTCCATTCCCAAATCCCACCTTCTCTTCGTTTCATCCCTCCTCACTTTCACAATGGCTCAGGAACGTGCTGCTCCGTAAGTACATACTAGCTACACTAGGCTCTGCTGTATCCAATTTAGTCACTTGCTGACCTGTGACTTCGTGACAGCCTCCGTCTCGGCTCTACTGCCCCTGACTTCCAGACCGACTCCTCCAACGGTCCCATCTCTTTCCACGAGTTCATCGGCAACAACTGGACCATCCTCTTCTCTCACCCCGTACGTGACCCGTCCTCCCTCTGGCCTTAGGGGGACTCCTGGCTCTCCATGAATCTGAGCTGACCAAGGCCAACAATAGGATGACTTCACCCCCATTTGCACCACCGAGCTGGGTGCTTTCGCCAAGCTTGAGCCCGAGTTCACTGCTCGCGGCGTCAAGCTGATCGGTCTGGTAAGTGCAATTCGCTGCTGCTGCTGCTGCTGTCGGGGACGAGGAAGAATCATGGCATGCTGACCCCGCGTTTTTTTCCACCTTCAGAGCGCCAACGGCACTGAGTCCCACCATGCCTGGATCAAGGATATCGACGAGGTCAACGGCTCCAAGCTCACCTTCCCCATCATCTCCGACCCTGACCGCAAGATCGCCTACCTGTACGACATGGTCGACTACCAGGACACCACCAACGTCGACTCCAAGGGTATGTTCTACTCACACCGTGGATACTTTTGGAAGAGGGACCGAAAGCTAACGCGACGCTAGGCCTGGCTCTGACCATCCGCTCCGTCTTCATCATCGACCCTAACAAGAAGATCCGTCTCATCCTCTCCTACCCCGCCTCGACCGGCCGTAACACCGCCGAGGTGCTGCGTGTCGTCGACGCTCTCCAGACCACCGACAAGCACGGTGTCACCACCCCCATCAACTGGCTCCCCGGTGACGACGTTGTCGTCCCTCCCCCCGTTTCCACCGAGGATGCTCAGAAGAAGTTCGGCGAGGTCCGCACCGTCAAGCCGTAAGTTATACGAGCCGTTCCAGTGGCAATCTCGAGGATTTGGAGCGATACTAACTGAGCTTCTCATTAGTTACCTGCGCTTCACCAACATCAACAAGAAGGAGTAACTTATGACCGTGTCTGGCTGACTCTGCCAATCCGCACCGACGTGTTTGACGGGAGAATGCAGCCCGGAAGCACGGACTGACGGTGGGAGACGTAGTGGAGAGCACAGGGGGCATGAAGGTTATGGATATGAATTTTCTAGTACATTGATACCTCTTGACGAATCTCAATTGATTTTAAAAAAGAAACAATCACCACAAAGCCAAATAAAACACAATCGAAGCAGAGCGATCGACAAGCGCCTACTCGACGTAGAGCGATGCAGACGGAGCTGCAGGAACTGCCAATCCATCGGGTCCTGCACAGCGAATACGATTGCCGCGGCAGATGTGGCGTAGAAGACAACTGTAGCTTCGATGTCATCCTGCATGAGTTTCCCCCTGGAGTCTGCCTGTCCGGACGGGCTTAGTTGAGATGGTGGATGACCACCGTGGATTGGGGCCTGTAAGCGCGCACTGCCCGCGTTGCAACCCATGTGGGATCATTCGTATACATCAATAGAAGACATCGGGCTCGTCGATCCCGAGGAAAGGGATGGATTGAGCACGGACGACCTAGATAGTCCGAGTCAAGAAATCAGTCGGAAATTGAATTGCGAGTGCAACCGTGCTGTGAACAGGGAGGAAATACGACGACTTCGACCAGCTTCGTCGGCGGTTCTAGTCTTGCTGTCAGCGGACGTTTCGCCCTTTGGGACTCCACTTTTGCTGAACGGGTGCCTGGACTCTCTTTTCTGTCTCTGCATCGACCGCCTTCCTTCCCTTCCCTTCCCCGTCTTTGACCTCCTGCCATTTCTGTCCCTCTCCTTCTCCCCGCCTCCCCTGTCGTCGATTCTTCTACCTATTACTACATTGTTTTTCTCCCTCTCCCTGTACCAAGTTACATCCGGGGACGGTGTGTCTTATCGACGTCACGCTCGATCCCTTTACTTTCGACCACCGCATTGCATTGGCTGGAATCACGTCTTTTTTTCCCGCCTCTGATCTCGCTCGCTTCCGATCTGGCTTGATCACCCCCTCCTCCGTTGTTATCGTCCTCCTTCGACTAATCCTTACTTTCATCCTCGACACGAGTCTTTTGTCGGCCTTTTCTTGTTTTGTCCTGGGCCCAATTTTCGGTCTGGACGACGATCGCTTTCCTTCCTCCGTCGTTTGGGTTTTTAGTGAGTGGCATGATCCACCGACGATAACCTGTGTATATCTACGGGCAACGAGCCTTCGCAGTCTATTCCTTTTTACGCCCAAGTTGTTCTTCAATAGCGCCGGTAAACGATCGGGATTGGGGACAGATTACAGGGGACAAGGGGTACGGAAAATTCGAAGGATTAACCACACCTGGGAGGGCTGACTCGGCCGGGGAGAACCCATTGTCACCAAGATGATGTCCAGGAGTCAGTCGAGTCTGGGCTATCTGGATGCTCCCAGAGATGACCCTGCTTCCGGGGTGTCGCCAGGATATGCGCAGCCACCGTCGAACTCGGGACCTATCAACCTGTCGGGTCTCGTGTGCAATGTGCGCCGGACGACGGGCAGAGAGCCCCATCCGCTGGTGGGCGCGACGACGACCATTCTGGGCGATAAGCTCTACGTGTTCGGTGGTCGGGTGTTGTCGAAGAACCGCCCGCAGTTGACGTCCGATTTGTACGAGCTGGACTTGATTCGGCGTCACTGGTCCAGGATCGATACCTCCGGGGATATCCCACGCCCGCGATACTTCCACAGCGTCTGTGCTCTCGGCGATAACAAGTTGGTCTGCTACGGTGGTATGTCGCCGGCCTTGAATGCTCCCAAAGACCCTGTGACCAACGGCGCGGCCGGTCAAGAGGCGCAACCGGAGGTGGTGGTCATGTCTGATATCCATATTCTCGATGTGCCCTCGCGGACGTGGACTCGGGTGCCAGCGACCGACTCGCCTCAGGGTCGATACGCCCATTGCGCGACTATCCTGCCTTCCAGCGCTCACTTCACTTCCGCCAGTGCGCCGCTATCGGCTATCCATCATAACCCTGCCTCGTCCAATCCGCATCAAGGCTCGATCGGAGTGGATATCGACGGCTTCGGCGGTGCCGAAATGGTGGTGGTGGGCGGACAGGATAGTTCCAACCACTACATCGAGCAGGTCAGCGTCTTCAACCTGCGCAGTCTGAAGTGGACCAACACCAGCTCGCTGGGGAGAAGTTGCGGGGCTTATCGCAGCGTGGTGGCGCCCCTGGTCGGCATGAATGTCTCGGATATTGGGTCGAATGCGGCCGACAAGGACACCCAGGAGCCGGCCGAAGAGTCCCAGGTCGAGGGCTCGCCGATGCTCATCTACTCCAACTACAATTTCCTGGACGTCAAGCTCGAGCTCCAACTGCGGCTGCCCGATGGACGCCTGGTCGAGAAGTCCATGCAGAGCCAAGCGTCGCCGCCGGGGCTGCGGTTCCCGAACGGCGGTGTCATCAACGGACACTTTGTCGTGAGTGGGACCTACCTGACCTCGTCGAAGCAGGAGTATGCCCTATGGGCGCTGGATCTGAAGACCCTCACCTGGGGCCGAATTGACGCCGGTGGGTCCGTGTTCGGCCACGGCAGTTGGAACCGCGGAGTGTTGTGGGCGAGAAGAAATACTTTTGTGATTCTCGGGCACCGGAAGCGCAGCCTGGTGGAGGATTACAACCATCGCCGGCTGAACTTTTCCCATGTCTGCATGGTAGAGTTGGAAGCGTACGGTTTGTACAACAATCCGTGCCGGAGTGCGCCCACATCGGGGTACGTCTCGCATAGTGCCCCGTCTGTTCCAGCCTCTCTTCAACAGAAATTGACGCAGTTAACGTCCGGAGGTCGACCGTTCACCTCGGCGTCGGATGAGCTGGGCAAACTGGCCCAGACGCTCCCGGAGATGGCCGACATGGAACTACAAGCGGTGGGCGGAGAACGAATCCCCGTCAACTCACGCATCCTGACTCGACGATGGGGCCCTTACTTCATCCAGCTCCTGCGCGAATCCGCGGATGGTGGGATGTCGGACTCGGCCACGCTCCGGACGGCGGTGCAGATGCATCCCAGCCGCAACTCGAGCATCACGATCACCCCATCCATCGGACACAATAGCAACTACTCGAACGCCACCACCCTCGTCAGCAATCCCTCCGCCACTCCCTACAAGTCCTTGTTAGCGAATCTTGAGATACCCTCTGCGCATAGTTTACCCCCGACCTCCCGACCTCGCGTGCTCTACCTTCCCCACACCCACCTCACCCTGCAGGTGCTGGTCTACTATCTCTACACCTCCTCCGTTCCCGCCGTCGGCTCCCCTCTTTGCACGCCCCAGATCCTCTGCTCTTTGCTCCAGCTCGCTCGTCCCTACCAAGTCGACGGTCTCCTGGAAGCCACCGTCGAGCGATTGCACCAGATGCTCGACGGCCGCAACGCCGCCGCCGTCTTCAATGCTGCAGCCATGGCGGCTGGAGGTGGTCGCGGCACCGGCTTCACTGGCGGACCGGGAGGCACACTCGAAGCATTGAATGGCGCGCACGCCGCCAGCGAGTCGTCCACGGGTACGGGCACCAATGCCTCGCAACGCAGCCGACTCACCTCCGACTCGTCCGATACTGAACACGGCACCACCTCTGCCGTGTCGGTCGCCAGTAGCGCCGGCGGCGCCGGCGGCTCCTCCTCCCAGTCCCGCGGCATCCCCCTGCGCATCAACACCAACATCTTCAGTCGTCGCCACCGGAACCATTCCAGCAGCCACGACCGCGAACGCGAACGGGAGCGCGACCGTGAGGACTCCATCAGCAACGCGAGCACCTCCACCTCCGCATCCACCAACACTAGCTTCGATCACTCCGACACCGACCTCCCCTCCGGCCACCGTCGTCGCGACACCGACGCTGAAATCCACCCTCAGCGCGAGATCTGGACCGGTGACCTTAGCAGCGTCATCGGCCTGCAGAAGCGTGGTCTTCGCGGTCTCATGGAAGGCCGTCGGTTGCGAGAACGGAACACCAAGCCGGCGAGTACGGGCGGCCCGGTTTCTGTCGCTGTTGATCCGAATGGGATGGCTAGCAGTACCAGCTTATCATGATCATGTCCCTCTTCTTCTTTTTTCTTTGCCTCTCCTCCGCCCTTCTTTCCCTCTCTCTGACTCTGTTTCGCCTTATATCCTACGGAGGTAGCTCTTGTACATGGTCTTTTACATTGATCTCTTCCATTCAGTTTCATTGATATGTATCCTATCCATTATCTCATTTATGTCTGCCAATCAAGCCCAGCATTACCAACTCTACCATGTCATGACCACTGTTCTTTTTTGCTTCTTTATGCATTTGTTCTCTCTTTTTCTTGCGTTGCGACCCAAAAGACGAAGCAGATGCGCCAGTTTGAAATGGATAGTATATAGATAGACGCATGTCTGTTTTTAACTTTTTGTTCTTCTTCGTCGTGCTGATTTGTTCTTTCTTTGCAAGGCATGGCGCTGCATCTCTGCATCTCTGCATCTTGTTCTCATGCGGTTCGTTGAAAGATACCTCTTCTTTTGTTGCTATCTACCGCGAATAGGAATTCAAGCCAAAAAAAAAAAGATAAAATCAATCGTATCAGACATAAATAGAGCGTCCAACAGTTTATTCAACAACAAAACTAGTAACGTATTTCACAAGCGAACGTGACACACAAACGAACGTGACACCGCCCGCAACTTAGACGCGTTGGAAAACCTCACCTAATTCAACCATCAACCATGCCTCCAAAAGCGCGTCAAAATTCAAGAAAATTAGCAGAACGGGAAGACAGAATCAAACTTGCTGTTGCTGCTTTGAAAAATCAAGAAATTCGCAGTATTCGTGAAGCTGCGCGTGTTTTTCATATCTGCCATGAAACTCTCAGTCGTCGACTTAGCGGAAGAACTTCGCGCTCAAAAATATGCGCCAACAATCATAAAATGACTCAAAATGAAGAGGAATCGCTTGTACGATGGATTCTATCGCTAGATCGACGTGGAGCTCCTCCTAAGCCATCAGATGCACGAGAAATGGCTAATATTCTTCTTGCTGGCCGCGGTACTACATCTACTCAATCAGTCGGAGTGAACTGGATTACCAACTTTATTAAACGCCATTCTGAAATAAAATCCTGCTTTTCTCGACGATATGACTATCGACGCGCTAAATGCGAAGATCCTAAAGTGATGAAAGAGTGATTTGATCGCGTACAAATCACTATAATGCAACATGGGATCGCACAGAAGGATATCTACAACTTCGACGAGATTGGCTTCGCTATGGGCCTAATATCTAATGCTCGAGTACTTACTAGAGCTGATTATTATGGCAAAGCGCGTGTTGTACAGCCAGGCAATCGGGAATGGGTTACTTCGATTGAATGTATTAACTCTACTGGTTGAATGCTTCCTCCGTGTGTTATCTTCAAAGGGAAGGTTCATATAGAGGGTTGGTATGAAAAACCAAAGCTTTCATTGGATATCAGGTTTGAAGTTAGTCCTAATGGATGGACTTCTAATGAGATAGGCCTTCGTTGGTTAGAATATCTTTTTATTTTTATGACTATTTACCGTACGATTGGGAAATACCGCCTTTTAGTTATGAACGGTTATGGCAGCCATTTTTCGTTTCAATTCGATCAATTATGCAGTGAGAATAATATTATTTCTATTTGCATGCCTCCGCATTCTTCTAACAATCTCCAGCTTCTAGATGTGGGCTGCTTTCGAGATCTAAAAGGCGCGTACGGCGATCTAGTGAAGCAAAAGACAAATCTAGGAGTTAGATATATTATAAAGTTTGACTTTCTAGAGATGTTTGCAATGGCCCGTGACCTTGTTTTTACAGCAGAGCCTATTCAGAGCAGTTTTGCAGTTATTGGTTTGATTTCTTTTAATCTAGATAGGATGCTTAGCAAGTTGAATATTCAATTAAAGATCTTTACTTCTTCAGGCAGTCGATCAACTGATTCAGCGTTTAAAACATTCTACACAATTAGGTAGTTGGAAAAACAAGCTTCTGCAGCAAAGAGATTGCTTAAGGAACGCGTCCATAGTCTTTTATCTTTGGTAGAAGCGCGATTGGACAAGATCATTAAAGGTCATGAATTGACGTTTAATGAGCTTCTTCTTGCAAAGGAAGAAATACGCAAATATCGTGCTAATAATGAATGAAAAAGTGAAAGACGGAGCAAGTCTACTAGACAATTAGCTATAGAAAAGGGTTTATCACTTCGAGAAGGTCTAAAACGATTTCAGCACGAGAATGAGATTGATAAAGGTCAAAATACGCTTTTCATAGATCCAGCGCTTTCTGCAGTTGGACCGCGCGTACGAGCGCCACCGCGCTGCAGCGATTGTCATAATCTAGGACATAAGCGATTGCAATGTCCTAATCGAGTTCCCAATTAATTTTTAGATAGAAATCTGATTGTTTGGTTGATAAAGGCTATAGTATCTACCCTATAGGCAGGAATTGGCTGGCGGTGTCACGTTCGTTTGTGTGTCACGTTCGCTTGTGAAATACGTTATTTATGGATCGGACTAGCTTATAAGAAACCCACCCCCTTTTCCCGATACTCCATCTCAGTCCCAGTCTCAGTCCCGTTGACGGATACTATTCCGCAAACTAGACAACACCCACGCTTCCCAGAATAATTGTTGTTTTCGATGCACACGGACGCCGTTATCGCCGAGATCGTCGGCCGTCAGTAATCGGAGCTTCTCCAGCGTGGCGTCGGGGAAGGAACGACGGGTGTTCCCGCGTGGGGCGAACGAAAGGTAATCGGCGGTCTGGGGCGGCGGAAGGTCGGGGCTCGGTTGGGCCACGACGGATAGCATGGGGCCGTCGAAATTGCCATCGCCGTGACCGTGACCATGACCGTTGCCGTTGAGGAGGGGATAGTTGTGGTAGTGGTCGGCGTCAAAATCGGCGGCGTAATTGATCTCGCGCAGGTCAATGCGCTCGAGAAGGTCCATCTCGTCGTGGAGCACGGACAGGACGTCGCACCATCGGCCGCCGGCGCGTAGGTATACGCTGGCGAGACGCAGATCGCGTAATGGTCGCCGGTGGCGCCGGATTAGCGAGATGATCTCGTCGGAGCCCAGGCGCCAGCCCTGGATGCTCAAGGTGCGCAGTCGCTTCCACTGCATGCGATGGAAGATGCGCTCGAGGGATAGATCAAGCGGCAGATTTGCGGGGAACCCGAGATGGATGGCCGTCAGATTTTTGGCAGCCAGAAAGAACTCGTAGAACACGTGGGAGAGCGTCTCCATGCTCGTCGTCATGTCAGAATGCGCGTGGAACGTGACGTCCAGACTCGTTAGTCGTGCCCCAAGCGCAGACAGCATCGTCGGCGGCGTTTGCAGAAGCCGGACCGTCGCCTCCGGGCTGATCTGCGGGGCGACAAAGCGCACCGAGGTGCATTTTGAGTCCAGCAACGAGATCCCCAAGCTGGTGACCGCGCGCGCGCAGGCCGACTCCCAATCCAACCGCGCGTTCTCTTCTAAAGATTCTTCCCGGAGGTATCCCAGTAATTGCTCGTCCGCCTCGTCCTGCAGCCGCAGCAGCTTCACCTGCTGCAGGGAGGGGAACGCCGCAATGGCCTGTCGCAACAGCGCTAAGTCTTGGTTCCGGTCAACGATGTATTTCTGATCATGGAGTCGGCGGTAGTGGACATGCGTGAGGGAACGATTTTCGGATTCGACCGCAGTCAGGGCGTGGGACCAGCCTAAGCGGGGTTGTCAGTTCGAGGGGAACCACGGCGCGAATGGGGACGGGTCTGCAGAGACGGTACCGCTTCCTTGGTAGAAGGGTCGCACCATGTACGTGAAATATCTGACATGACAGGCCAGCTGCATGTGCAGAAGATCCTCCAGCCGCTGGAATCCATCGCGCGAGAAGCGTAGGACGAACAGAGGGAACTTTCGCGGCGTCCCGATGCGCCTGAACCGCCGGCACACGAGTCTAAACCGATCCAACTCTGTCTTCTCGCCATACGCCATGCGGGAGCTGCCATTCAGCCCGTGGCATGAATCGCGAGGATTGTAGGCGGCGGATTCTGAGCCCAGGAGGTAGGAGAGGATGTCGCTAATGAGTTCATCGGCGAGGTCGTCAATGCGCCGTGGGGTATCCATCGTGTTCGTTCCGCGAGGCAGCCGTGTGTTCGGCTGCTTGGGGCAATCGCAACCACATGGAAAGGTGGCCGTCTCGCAAAGAAAAGGAATTGACGGCGCACCCAAAGCGAGTGGTTCAGTAAGCAAGAAGATGGATCACAAGTCGTTGAGAAAATAGAAAGGATGATTGACCGAGAGGAAGTGGAAGAAGGGAGAGGGTAGAGAGATGTGATGGTGGTGACGGACGGCAGGTTATTAAGGAAAAATGGCGAAAGAGGCGTCGGCAGAAATCAGGCAAGAAAGGGAGAAAAAGATATGTTTTAAAATAAGCAAAAAGAAAAGGTGACAGGGAGAGAGAAAAGAATTAATCAGAAACAGGGAAAAAGCGAAAAAGAAAAAATAATTAAAGCAACAGGACAGTCCAAGACGAGTGATACATCGGCTCTTCGACTCCCCAGACGGTCACAGACACAGCGCTTGGAGGGCGACATGTCTGACAAGATTTAGTGCGTCCCACATCGATCGTCGTCAGTATCAGACTTAACCTCGTCCGTCGCAGGACTCGCCTGGATTGAGTGCAGGACAGGATGATATTGGACGACGCAGTAGTCACATGATTGAAGCAGCATGCGGTTATCCAGCGCGAACCTGCAGGAGACGAGAGTGACGGCGAGGAGGGATTGGTAGAGAGGCACGAGAAGAATGGGCGACGAGGAGGGGGGGAGGGAGGGCGAAGAAGGGGGGGCGCAGCGATGATGCGACAAGGAGAAAAGCCAATCGACTAGACTCCGACTTGCCTGCAGACGCCCACGGCTGCCAAACCCCGCCTGGACGCTGATCGACTGGCCACAGTTTGCAGAAGAGGATCGGTGTCGTGGCCAACAATGCCATTCCGTGCAGCGGGTTCAGGCCCCCATCTTTAAGTCGAAAAGTAGATGTACGTCGGGTTCGTTGGATTACATGCCTTCACCTCGACCGCATCCCCGTTTGACGCTTTCCTGGACTGGAATGGACGTATGTCTGTGTTGTTGTGCTTGCGTGGTCGGTATATACAGGAGCAATTGTGACACCGCAAGGCCCTTTCGATCAGGGAGAAGATGTCAGAGAGGGAAACAAAACTGAAGAAGAGAAAGGATGGGAAAAAAAAAAAAAAAAAAAAAAAAAACCGAAAGGTGACCAGATCCGATGGCTGCAGGAAAGGACCAGCAGCTTCCCGCGTCTAGTTTCAATAAATCATGGATTATTCTAGTCATGTCATGTCTTGGCCATCTCCATCCGGCGCCGACGCATCTCGGTGCTGCTGAGTTTGGAGGCAAAGTCCTCGACGTCCTGCGCAGGCACGCCGCCCATTAGAAGCACATCGATCTCAAACACCTCCAGACCGTGCCAGCCTTTTTTGCTGCGCTCTTGATTGATGCTCACGCCCCCCGCGCGGGTCTCTTTGGAAACCACCAGGGCGCTAATGCTCTCCTCGGTGATGGTAGGCCCAAATACGTCGGATATCTGGACCAGACGCAATGTCAAACCGGACCGCACCTTCACCAGCATATGCACCCCGTTGGGGCCGGGTTGGCTCACTCGCTGAACCCGCGCTGCCCTATCTGTGGGACCAAACTCCATGACGGCCGAGATGAAGTCCGCCACGCTCTTACACCGGTCGTCGAAGCTCTCCAGGAATTCGGCATACTTTTTCTTCACTAATAACTCGTCCCCCGTCACTCCCACCGTGATCAGTCCTTCGGTTGGCCCGGAGTCCGGGATGGGTTCCAATACCAGCGCTGTGGCAGTGAGCAAGAATTTGTGTCCGATGTGAAAATGGTCGAAAGTACCGCCCACAACAACGGAGTAATGTGCTTGGGGTTCGGAGACATCCCCTGACGCCGTCAAGGAATCGAAAGGCGTCCATTCGGGCACCCCGGCGATGGGATGTACACCCCCGGCATTGGGATCTTTGGCCTGGGAATAGATACTACTGAAAGCCTTCGCCAGCGTCTGGCCTACGTGGTTATCCGGAAAGAAGACCCAATCCCATAGACGTGTCGACTCGGCCAGCGTCCGCAAGTCGACAATGGGGCCAATGTGAGAGCTCCCGCGCGATTTTTCGGTCGGCAGGTTAATCGAGTCGAAGTCGAGGAACACTACTCGCGCATCGATGCCCCCCGGTACGTCCAGTTCAATACCTTGTTCCACGGAAAGGACCCCCAGCAGTCGATATATGTTGGCCAAGCAAGCTTGAAGACTTCCGAACACCCGAGACCGAGGTTGAGAGGTTGACGATCGCAGACCAGGCAGAGCCAACACAATATCCAGGATAGCCGTTTGGTGAATGCCTTGTAGATTCTGCACGAGTCGGGAGCAAACGGTGGAGAGAAGGGACTCGTAGACCGCCTGGAACTGTTCGAATGAAGCCGATGGTGGGGGTGGAAGAAGTAGCAGAGCCGAGGTTTGGCTGACGGACGAAGCTGCCATCTTTGCGGGGAGAGCTCAGCGGGGAGCTGGAGGAAGGAAGAGGGGGACCAGAAGGGCGTAAAGAGTGGGAGGGCCGAGTTGGAGCGAGCGAAGAACGAATAGCCAGAGCGGAGAAAATGAAGCAAATCGCAAACAATGAAGGCAGATGAGTGTAGGAGAAAAGGAAGGTAAGAATTATAGAAGAGAAGAAAGTCCAGAAAGTTGAAGGCCGAAAGAGGGACTTCCCCGCGGCTGAGTCAGCGGCACGAGACTCTCGTCGAGAGAAGGAAGGAGCGACGGCGACTCTCCGCTCCTTCCATCTTCGTCGCCGTCTCACTCATTATTGCCTTGCTTTTCCCATTCCTTTGCCTTCCTCTTCCTCCTTCTTCTTCCTCTCTCCTCCCTCCTGGGCATGATCCTTCTTGCACTTGTTGCCAGTGCAGTCGGATTCCTCTAGCTGATGCCCCTTCCCCTCCCGGACCCAGCCTGATTTCTCCCTGCCCCCCCGACAAATAATCGCTGGAGTCGCGATCCGACTGCACTGCGCTTATATGTACATTGAGCCTCTTTCATATCCACCCTGAATAGTCCGGTTCATTTACTGCCATCATGTCGAACCCTCTTCCCAACTATGACCCCCGCCGGGCCACCATGTATAATCGCCAACCGGAGGAGCTTCACATCCCCTCCGGCGGCGCTTCGCTCCAGCGACAGTCCATGTCCCATGAATTTGCGACCGGTGCCGATAGCCATGCCCCCTCGATCAATTTCCACCCGACGAATGCCCAACCGAATCAATTTGGAACTGCAAACAATGCCGGGGGAGCTCTGCCTGGAGCGCTGCAGCCGGGAAAAGTCAACCGGCCGCCCGCGATGTCTGTGAACACCGCCCCATCTGTCCTTCCTACGATGCCGCAGTTGTCAACGCAACAGCAGCAGCAGCAGCAGCAGCAACAACAACAACCACCACCGCAACCACAACAACCCCCTCCGACAACACCTCGGTCTAGCATGGCCAATTCTCATAGTCACTCTCGCTCTAGCCCCGCGGGTGTGGAGCAGTCGAAATACAAGCCGCACGGACTGTCGGAGACCGCGCGCTTTGGCTCATCGCCCGGCGCTGCATTCCCGCCGGTTACTCCACAAGGCGCCAAATACTCTCCCCTTGGACTTTCAGATATCCGGCCATCTGGAGATCTATTGAGCGATCCGCTTATGAGCCCCGGGTCGCTGCCCAATAATGGCGACAATCAGGTGCCGACCAACAGCAACTACATTGCCCCATGGCCCATCTACGCCGTAGATTGGTGCAAGTGGCCCATCACGGGAAGCTCCAGCTCCTTCGGGGGCAAGCTAGCCCTGGGCAGTTATCTGGAAGACAATCACAACTATGTACGCTGAATTCTTGTGTTCGCCTTTGATCTGCACCACAGCCTGTTATGCTAACCTCTGGCAGATACAAATCATTGATACCCACTGGACCCAACCCGACCCCGACACGCCCGATGCTGCAGCCGGCGAAATCAAACTGGACTATGTGAAGACTGCGGAAGCAACACATTCCTACCCCGTTACGCGAATCCTCTGGGAACCTCCCTCGTCCCACAAACAATCGACCGACCTTCTGGCGACTTCAGGAGACCATCTGCGATTATGGTCCCTCCCGGCCACGCCTCTGCAAACCTCGAACTCAATTACACGACCGGCCAACCAGCGAGAACCGCCTGCGGCCAAGTTGTCTCCCCTGGCTCTGTTGTCCAATTCGAAATCTCCCGAGCATACTGCCCCTATTACCTCGCTCGATTGGAATACCATCTCCCCGAGTTTGATCATTACGTCCAGCATTGACACCACCTGCACCATTTGGGACATTCCTACTCTTACGGCCAAAACGCAATTGATCGCACACGACAAAGAAGTATACGACGTCCGCTTCTGCGCCAACAGTGTTGATGTATTTGTTAGCTGTGGAGCCGACGGCAGCGTGCGCATGTTCGATCTTCGCAGTCTAGAGCACAGCACGATCATTTACGAGCCAACGGACAAGAATGAAAAACGTATTTATCCGGTGCCTGCTACGCTCCCTGCATTCTCCCGTACTAATCTCGTCTTTGCCCACAGTGATCAGCCCCGGAAATGGCAGCCCCTCGGCCCCGTCATCCACGTGGCCTCCGCCACTGCTGCGAATTGCCGGTAAGGATTCCTACGTTGAGTATCTATCAGGTCTACCTCAAGAGTTGCTCCTGACGATCTTTTAGCATCCCCTCATGACGCCCATCTCCTGGCTACCTTCTCCCAGGATTCCAACATTGTGCGCGTGCTAGACGTTCGCCAACCTGGCCAAGCCCTGCTCGAACTCAAGGGGCATGCCGCCGCCCTCAATTCTGTTGAATGGTCTCCGAATCGCCGTGGTGTTCTCGCCTCTGGCGCAGATGACTGCTTTGTCCTTCTCTGGGACCTGATCAATCAGCACAACGCTGCCCCCGTCCCGCCCGCCGTACATAACCCCGGCGCGCCTTCGGTCACCTCTGAGCGTGGCCCCGCTGCCGCCTGGAAATGTGACTATGAAGTGTCTAACATCAGCTGGTCGCCTCAGGGAGGGACAACTCCCTCTGGAAACCCTCGTGATTGGCTAGGGGTATGCGGTGGCCGCGGAGTTTGGGGTGTCGCTTTATGAACGTCATTAAACAAACGATAGAAGCAAAAGGCCTGGACAACAGACGAGAAAAAAAAACAAGAGTATGACGAAGAACAAAATGCATCTAGCCCCTGCATTCATGTTAGACCGACTTGCCATCTGCCTGCCTCTTTCTTGTCATATTTGATTCACCCTTTTTCCTTTCTTTCCATTGGAACTGGACTCCCTGTTTGCTCTTGTATTTCTCCGAGTTCTAATTTGCACGGATGAAATATTTAGACATTTTCACTTCATGAAGTTTGTTGACATGTTTTGCATGATATGGTATATAGTACGGTATAGTACGAGTGAACGACTGAATGAACAAATCTTTTAGCCTCCGCAATCACCTATTCAAACTCTATTGGACCTATGACGAAGTAGTTAAGGAAGACGCTATCACGATGTATATATGCTGTCAATGACGGTCATATGAAGGAGAGCACGAGTCAGTATCCAATGACAACTGGACACCCATCTATTGACCTGATCTACATACAGCAGACGGGATCCATAGACTGAAGCTGGAGGTGGAAACGACTGAGGAGCCTATAGGATCAGGTCACCGAAGATATAAAGCAGAAAAAGGCAAGAAACAATGTAAATCGTCCAGCGATTTCATTCAATTCAATATATACTGCGCTGCTGCTCTGGGTTGGGGGGGGGGATATGATACTATAGAACAGGGTAGGATAGGGAAGTGTGCACGCGCTGGTCAGGACTGACAGATAACACAAGTCAAGAAAATATGTGAGATGGGGAAGAATGCACAGTAACGAGTTTAAAACCGAAAATGGGAAAAGAAGGGCAATTACTGCAAATGCGAGTTCGTCGGCCGGTTGGTCGACGCGGTCGTCTTAATGACCAGGCGGTCTTCGACCCAGCGGGCGAATTTGACGCTGGGGACGTCGACGGCACGCCAGAAGACGTCGCCGGCCCACAGGGACAAAGGCAGGCAGATGAGCCAGCCGATCAAGAAGCCGAGGCAGTATTGGAAGTTGGTCTCCTTGCCGACGAGGGCCCAGATGTTGGGCATGAGGGAGTAGCCCAGGGAGTGGAGGATAGGTCCGTGCACGATGTAGAATGAGAAGGAGATCTTGCCGAGATACTGCGACAGGGGGTGGGTGAGTAGCTTCTGGATGTCCTTGGAGTGGTTGATGCTGAAGACGATGAGGATGGCGCCGAGGGTCTGGGGGAACCGGTGCGGTTCGGGGTAGGTCTTGGGCGTGATTTTCCAGGTCCACATGTAGAATGGGGTCCATTTGTAGCCGATGTTCGGAGCGGAGCCTAGGTAGAGACCTGCAACGAACAGGGCGATCCAGAATCTGCGACCCGTTAGGCGAGATAGTGCATTCTGTCTGAACGGCGAGCGGTGGCTCCATGGCTTCTCGTTCGCGGCCGGGCGCTCCCAGGTTCCGTTGATCAGGTCGACCTCGGCCATGATCGACCCGGAGAGGAACAGGACCACGTCCCATCGGCCCCATCGCATACAGAACCAAATGAGAATGCCAATCAGGGACACCCGCACGCGAGTGGCCACTCGCGATGTGGCCAGGAGAGTGAGGAAGAGCACGATGGAGCAGCGGAATTCCACCGGAATGGTCCACAGATGCGGGTTATAGTAGTTGTAGTAGAGACCCCAGTTCCACGGATCCATCAGTTGCACCACCGTCGAGTACAAGTCCCAGAACTGTTTGTTGAAGGATTTCATGACGGGAGGGTGTTGTTCGTTGGTCCCCAGGATGGTGAGACCTTGGTTGACGACCTTATGCGAGTAGTTGTACACACCCAGGCGCACAGCCACCATGACCAGCAGAATGCCCACGACCGAAGGGACATATAAGCGCAGACCACGACGGAAAGTAGACGAGGCCAGAACGGTGAATGTCTGCTCCCACGACCGGCCCCGGATCATTTTCAAAGGTTTATAAGAAAGCACATAGCCCGACAAGACGAAAAAGATAGCCACCATGATATGACCGGAGACCAACACGTGAATGATGGGCAGCTGAAAGAGGTGCCAGTTGTCGTTATTGAACCCCCAGCCGAGGGCGACCTTCCATGTATATGTGAACAAGAAATGGAAGTTGAATACCAGCAGACAGGCCCAACCGCGCAGACCGTCCAGCGCTGCGATTCCATGAAGTTTGGGCGGCTGGGGAGGCGGCCCTCCCACCCAGTGTTGAAGAAAGCTTGGCGTGAGGGCGAGAATCAGCTTTCCAGCCACGAGTTCTAGATATCCTGGCCAGTTGTCCGAGAATTGCTTGGCTTGCGGAGACCAGATGTGCGACGACGAGAATTCAGCGAGTGTCGGCCAGTTCGACGATGACGTCGGGGAGCGACCGGTGCCCGATTCCAGATCGTTCAACGGGATGTTATGGATCGCCGGCGATGCCTGAGGGTCTTTGTCGAGTTGCGACATAATGGATGGCAGGGGGGAGCGAAGAAACCAATCTGAAGAGCGGCGGAAATGCAATGCGACTTGTCGTTCTTGGATGTTCTTCGGTGTTGGGGATTGCGTAACACGGCGAAACTAGAGTGGACCGCGGACGGCAGAGCACGAAAACAGCCCCGGGGGGCAAATGAAGGCCAGAAAACAGATGCTGAAATGCGGACGATGTCTAATTCTATTGTTCTAGGTATCTAAGTGCGATTCATCGGGGTAAAGAGGGTAGGCGCAGCATGCTGAAGGGCGACCGAGGTTAGCGGAGGTTAGGAGCGATGAGAGGGTGAATGCACTTTACCTGGACACCATGGAAGGAATATCGCCTGGGGAGTCGAGCTATCAAGCCTCACGGCCGACAAGAATTGAATGGGGATGGCGATGAAGAAGGAGAGAAGGACACGGAGGAGAGAGGAGAGAAGAGGAGACGGGGAGGACGGAGTGGCTTAATTGCCGATCGGAGGGATTCTCCGATCATGTGTTTTCTCACTACGTTTTATTGTAATATCACCGGATGCCCAGCCTAACTGAGATTGAATTGAATTGAGCTAAATCCACGATTTTAAGTCTACCAAATACTACCTATCTGCTGCAGCTGAGTGACGCTCTGCATCATCTGGCTTTCATGCTCGCGGACGGTTGCCATCACGGCTCTAACTACGTCCATCTCGACGAAGGGCATCGTCAGCACTTGCACCATATAACTAAGCCGGTCTAACACTGGCGCGGTCGACTGAATTGACAGAGCTGACTGGATACTGGAACCGATGAGGGTAAACTCCTGATTGTGGGATAAGGAAAGGGAATCCCACCAGCCATTTGCAACGACCGCGTTATAGTTGCTAATCGCCCGCGTAAACAGAATCTGATAAGCGTCGACAAGGCGGAGATACGTGGACAGTGCATGGATTATCGACGCCTGATCCAGATACGTCTCTGGATGCTCCAATCCTGAAGGCATCGATGGTTGGTATAGATACGGGCCCCATGGTTGCAGACAAGCGGTATGCGATGTCCAGCACTCCGCCGAATGGAAGATTTCCAGGAGTTGCTGCGCGATGGTCAATGTTTTACCAGCGCTGACTTGTAAGAGGGCATGCTCCGTCGGATTGAGCAAGGCGGAAGTATGCTGGATCAATTCTACATCGAGCACGAGCACATCTTTGATAAGCTGCACCCGGAGCTGGCTCTGCGCGCTTGGGTTGGGTGCCACCACATTGCTGTCGGCGAGTTGTGGCGAAGTGAGGTTCATGGGAAAGCTCATCCCAGTACTGTCGTTCGTGCCCAGTGTCTTTTCGATCGAACAACCGTCAGAGAAGGCGACGTCTGTCGGCAGACTTGGTGGCGATGCGGTTGGGTTCACAGGGCTCGAGACAGAGTCGACATCCAGCGAGGTATCGTGAGAATTTTGGCATAGAGAGCCAGGTAACAGTTCATTCATACAAGTGTCTGAATTCGCCTCCGAATCCCCGGCAGGAGACCCGGAAATGGATATATCCTCTGTAGAGTTGGGAGCAACCGGCGTTTCGTGAGCAGGACGTGTAGAGGGTGCTGGCTTGTTGCCGACAAGCTGACGTCCACGAGTTGACAGGCGAAAGGCACACGTCGCCCCGGCCTTGAGGCAACGGCGACAATTTTTTGCAGCAGCATTGCGATCACAGCGCAATTTGAGGCCATGGCAGCGATCGCAAGCCGGTCGTGATGGCCGTTTACCCATTTTCCCTCAACTGTTTGGGGTAGAAGAATCAATATCTAAGGGATGGAAGGACATGGCCAGGTCAACGGAAATCAGTCAGTGTGTGAGATTTGACTTTTTCTTCGTAGAGGGAATCCATATGAAACATAACCCAGGAACAGAGAGGCCAGCGAGACCGTCTTCCCCACGGGGGGCTGTCGGTTCTGTCTGCGCAGCCAGATCGGTCCCTGATCATCCAAACGTCTCATTTCATGGTCGATGAAAATCTAGCCCCGTGCGCTGAGCTCACCGTCGCACAAATTGACACCGTTGTCAGAGTCGTTGTCCTCCTGCAAGGAAGAGAGCATATCGGATGAATAGCTTCTCCCGGGTACATGCACGAGGCAACTGATGGCGGTCCAGGCTATCGATGTCTGACTGCGCGTAGCCGATCAGGCCGCCTGCTATTCCCTTTCAATGGACGTGTGCTAAATTTGTCTTGCTACGTATCAACGTGGGCCAATGATCCGTATGGGACGATGTTTCAGTTTGAGTCCGACGTCCGTGTGCAGAATGACGGGGAATTGCAGGTTGAAGAAACATCAGTGCAAGGTGCTCGGTCTAAGTCAAGACCGGATGGATAAGTAGCCTGCTCCTAGGACGATGCTTTAAGGTCGCACCGTGTCGCCGAGTCATCGCGAGGCTTCAGACCAAGGCTACACGTCTGGACTCGAGAGAAGTACACAGCATCCCGTGAACCATGCCCATCTGCTCAGCGAGGGCTTTCAAGATGATCGTTTGTAGCTTCAGCCATGTCTGCCTGTCTGTCTGTCTGCCTGCCTGCCTGTCTGAGTTCGTTTGCGCGGCCAACGCTGGCAAGGCGCGGCTTCTTGCATGGGACGCGTTCCTCCAGCAGCTGTGCTGATTGCTCGGGGGAACGGGAGAGGACAGACCTGCAGAGGATGGAGATGAACGGGAAGAGATGACAGTGAGAGGTCCAGCAGGAACCGTTGACAGAGGAGATGTTGAAGAGAAAGAAGAAGGAAAAGAAAGAAAGAAAAGAAAGGAAGAGAAGTATGCTGCCCGACGGGCCAATCACATGGCCGCAATCCGCCCAACTTTCACTTTCTCGTCTTTCCTTCCTTTTCTTTTCCTTTTCTCTTCATCTTTTCTTTCGTCGCCTTCACTCTCGCCTTTCTGCTCCTCGCCCATCCGTTCGCTCCTCTTTCGCCCTCCTCCGTCTCCCTCCAGTTCCTCTCGCCCATTTGACTCTTCGATCGCAACCCGCTCCATGCCGTGAACGCCGTCCGCTTCTTTCAATCGTCGTTTCTCTCCCAGGGGTCCATCGACCGACCTCGAGCTTCAAGCTTCCCCCCCCACCGGACTACGCACCTTCTTTCGATTCAATCAGTTTAGCTCCTCATCACGGATCGCATATTAAATCGCCGCTATGGATTTACGTACGATCATGAATAGCGACGCGGCCGCCTCGTCCTCGAAGCCGTCCGAACCCGCCTATCCTCCCCGCGACCAGACTGCGCCGTCGTCGGCCTCGCCCTCTTCCTCTTATCCTCCCGCATACCCTCATGCTTCTCCCGAGCGCTCCTCATCCTACGGCTCTCTTCAATCGCCTTATCAATATCAGCCTTCTCATCCCGCTCCGTATGGCTCCTCCGCGTCGCGTGACTCGTTTGGCGCGCCCGGCCCCTACAACCATCTCCCCCAGCAGCAGTCCCCTGTCTACGCGCAGCAGCGTTCGCACTCCATCCAGTCCGTTACGAACCCTCTCTTTGCCCCCACCTACTCATCCCATCTCAGAGACAGCCCTCCTGCGCGTGCTCCTCAACCGTACCCTCCTCAGCAAGCCTCCGCGCAGGCCTCAATGCCCGTGACCCCTCGAGGCTCTGCTTCTACCGCTGCTGCTGCTGCGCCGTATCCTCGACAAACGCCCCCGTCCGGTCGCCCCTTGTCGTCAGGTCGGGATACCTTTTCCCAGCAAGCGTCCAGCCCGTGGGTGGGAACAGATGCGCCGGCTCGCATGTCCCCGAGTACGATCCACCGCCTCTCGCGGCAGGACTCGGGACCCATGGAATATACCCCCCGGCAGTCGTCGGCTTCGCAAGACCGGAGGACTTCCGACGAAAGCGTGAGCCCGAAGACAGCTTATCCGCCGCATTCTCGACAGGGAAGTGTGGTCGGCGCATATCCAGACCAGGCGGCCGCGTCGCAACCCATGGCGATGGAAAATGGCTTCGCGGCAAGGGAACGCCGGTCCAGCGTACAGAGCTCCAGCGTCGGGCCGTCTGCGACTCACGTTAACAGCTCCCCATCGACTCGTGCATCGGTGACACGCGACAGCCTTCTGGTCGAGGAGGCGCGATCAGCGCCGCATGCAGCGAAAGACGCGCAACCACGTGTCGCTCCCATGAGCCCGACCGGTCCCAAGGTGAAGCGACGAAGGTATAATGAACCCCCTATCTACGCTCGACGATCCGTGCGCACTAAAGGAAGATGTCCGCCGATCCCGAACCGACTTCCTCCCATCCCGAAATACGCCAGGGACTCGGCTGAGAACCCGTGGAATCAGCGCCAGCAGTCCGTGTCGAATCCGGCCCCTACCTCTGCAATCGACTCGTCGGTCACGGTGAGGGCTGAGACGCCGCCAGTCAACGGTCCTGCCGCCCCAAGTCAGCCCCCGGACTCCCCTAAGGCGACCGGCAGTTTAGGGCCCTGGGAACCGTCGATTAAAGGCAACATTCCGTACGAAGAAATCACGAAAACTGTCTGTGACTTTCTGTACCAACATGTTGTCTTACGAACGGATGCCGTTGCAGCCCCCGCAGGGACATCGGCGGCCGGCCAGGGGGCAATCATCGAGGTGGAAGCCAAAATGGGTCAGCTGATCGATATGGATCGGAACGAGAGACTTCATCTGCCAATCCAGACGGAAGGTGTGATCAATAAGACGAATACGCGCCTACGGACGGCGTTCGAGAGCACTATGACAGTGGTACGTACCTGGTTTACTTCCATATGGAGTGTCGCGGCGAGCTAACCGATTTTAGGCGCAACATCGAGCGATGAACAATTTCCTGAATGAAGCCGTGAAACAGTCCATGCCACAAACGAACCCTAATCGAATCCCACTGTCTTACGCACATAAAAAGGAACGGGACACCTTCTACGAGGTGTCGCCCACTGAACTCCCTCCTGTCATCCGACAGAACTTGAACCCCCGTCACAAACCCAGAGTACGCGTCACCGTCGACCAGCGAACGGGCGAGGTCCTCGCGAAAATCGTAAAATGCAGGATTGCCGACCTCGACGTGTACAGTCCATGCACCTGTGTCGATTGGCGCGTCAGTGTCAATCTTGAGATGAGCTACGAAGGCGATGTATCCCACCTGCCCGTGCTCGATGGCAGTCGAGGCGGACGCGGCGGCGACCGTAACAAGGATCGGATGAGCTATCGACATCTCGCCTATCAAATCGATTTAACGCAAGTTGCCAAATCAGAGGTATGTCTTTCGCCCTTTTTCTCCATCGTTCTTATAGCTAACGTGTTTTCTCTCCCTTCTAGCCCCCGGTCAAAGGTGAATTTGAACATGAACTCGAGATTGAATGCTCCGCCGCCGAAATCCGCCGTCAAGGTCAGCTCGCCATGTCCGGTGATCCTTCGAATCAGTACGAGGAGTTGGTAAAGGGCTTCGTGGATAATATCCGCGTGTTGGCAAGAGCAGTTCCTCCATAATTCCAGCGATGTCGTCAATGAAATTTTCACTCGAAACTACCTGTCTACCTTTGATGTTTCTGTCTATAATTTACCCTTTTCTCCTTCTGTCTCCCCCTCCGTTATCACCTATCTTCTCCGTCCAGTGGCCGCGTCAGATAGAGGCAAACTGTGGATGTAATGTATGACTTTTTTATTCTTTTTTTTTATCTTTTCTGTTTGGTCTCTCTTACCCTCCCTCTTTCTTCGGAAATTGGACCAAGAGATTGAGACCCAAGGCCGATGATACCTACCTACCTAGTTATTCCATGGATCGTGTTTTTCAGAGTTACGTCACATTTCATATCTATTCCCGCTCTCTTCTCTTTCCTGCTATTACTCACCTGCTCCAAGCTTGCTCTTCGGTGCGAGAAATATTCTCCAGGTCGATTTATTTGGTTACATGCGGCACGTTGGCGGTTTCTTGTGGTTCTCTTCTCTCTTCAGCAAAAGTATTTCCCTGTATTATTTACTGGTCGCACGGGGGGGGTTTGGGTTTCTTATGGCAGCTAGAAGAAATGTGTACTATGTGTAATGTGAACCCTCTCTCTCTCTTTCTCTTTTTTGTTCTCCCTTCTCTGGTATGAGAGATGTTTCATGAGAAGTTTGATGTTGATATACTCGAATAGTATGAATCCGACTTAACCTCAGAAGGGAATGGCCCAATCAACTAAAAGCCTAATCAGATTATGTAGTGGAATAAGTTGATTGACCTATAGAGGCAATCGATGGAATGTCGAACGTATAGATGGGGGGATGAATAGATAGATGAGCAAATAGCAAACTTGGCTAACTGATGAATCGATTGATTGATTGTTGATGTCATAAATGCAAAATGAATAAGAAAAAATAAATAATACATACAAAAGTACAGGAGACATGAGATGAGAAGAACCGATTGACCGTACCATGTCATATCAAATACCTGTGTTTATCTGATCAAAAAAGAAAATGAAAAACAACATGCGAGGAAAGATATTGGTATACATTAAATCTGGGTTCCCTGATTGGTTGTGTTTTGTTCTTCGTTTCATTCTCTCCGTTCTCACCTATGTTTCCCTGTACCTTAAGCAACTTCTCTTTCGCGCTCATACACACTTCTGTCCGCTCACGGGCTAGGAGTTGCGTCGTCGTAACGAGGTCCCCCGTCATCGGCATCGCCGTAGGCACCTGCCCCCGGCGTGGAGACTCCGCCCATGGCTGGCGTGGGTGCGTCGTACGGACGGCTTCCGTCGAACGCAGCTGGCGTGGGCGCGTCATAGCCTCCTCGCTTGGGCGGTCCACCAGGTGTGGGAGCGTTGAAGGCCCCCGGTGTGGGTGCGCTGTCCGGCCAGGCTCCGGGCGTGGGAGCGGAAGCGCCAGGGGTAGGAGCGGAGCCGTAGGCACCCGGGGTCGGGGCAGAATAGCTTGCTCCGGGCGTGGGAGCGTCATAGCCGCGGTCCCTGCTGCCGTTGCTGGCCGTGGCCCCGGAGGACCAGGCAGGCGTGCGATTTCCGGCGTTTGATGAGCCCCAGGCGGGAGTCCGAGATCCGGCGGCAAAGGCATCGAATCCGCTGGATCCAGATCCCGAGTCGTACGGTGTTCGTGCACCGGCGTTCCAGGCGGGTGTACGAGATCCGAGACCACCTCCGCCATAGGCAGTGCGGCTACCATCGTAAGGATTGGAGGTGCGCGATCCATCGTTCTTCCATGCAGGCGTGCGAGATCCACTCATACCAGACCAAGCCGGTGCTAGGAGGAATATGTCAGATTATGAAATGCAGTGATTGAAGAGGATGGCAAAACTTACTGCGAGCTGAGGCTGCACCACCCCAGGCAGGCGTTCGGGATGAATCCATAGCAGCCATTGGGGTACGGCCTCCTTGCCAGCCAGAGGGCGGAGCTGCTGATGCACCGTGAGGAATACGGCTTCCCCTGCCGCGCCCCATTTCTACCGTCTGGCCGGTGATAGGGTCCTTCACGACCAGAAGCTCTTTCGGGATAGTGACCAGCTTGTTCTTGGAGTGGAGCTCCACACGGGCTTGGACATCCGTCGCGTCCTTGACAATACCTACTAGACCCTTGAAAGGGCCCTTGCGGACTAATACCGTCTTTCCGATCATCCGGTCTCGTCCGAAGCTCTTGGGGGGTCCCATACCACCGCCACCAGGCATACGATTGCCCATCAGAGCCGGGTTCATCTTAGAAAGGTCGGGGCCCGTCGATCGGCCTCCCTTGGCAGACACCGTAACAACATTGGTCGTGCGCACCACGACAATGCCGGAATTCTCGGCCTGTGCCTTGTTATGCAGGAACAAGAACGAGCGGTGGATATGAAGAATCACGCCGTTCCTCTGGTCTCCGTGAAGTTCACGAACAGTATCTCCATGTCGAATTTCTGCGCCATTACGGTCGGTGGCCACGGCATCTCGACGGGGTGTGATCTTGTTAGTGACTTGCGTAGGAAGGACCGTACGGATAGAGCCATTCTGGTCCAGGACCCGTAGCGATTCACGGTCAACCTTGACGATACAAGCAACAGTAGCAGCACTAGTATATAGTCAGTACACAGACAAAAAATTGGCACCTCAGTGAGGGGCCGACTTACTCGAGTTGGACGAGATCATGAACATCGAACATGCCCAACTTTCCATCGACGCCCGTTTCGGCCGACAGTCGGAGATCCTTGCTGAAGACAGTGATCTCCTGCATAGACATGTCGCTGAGCAACGTCACAGTATCGTCCTTGACCTGAACCACCATACCCAGTTCATCTTGATACCTGCTGCCACCAATGACCTTGACGTGGTCACCCTCTCTGAAGCGCTTTCGGAGAGACTTTACAGGTGCATCGATCATTTGACCCCGTAGAACACCATCCGTGACTTGTAGAGTAACAATATCACCTCGAGTAGAAGTCGTCCGGCCGACCAAGCCCTGTTGTTCACCGCGGAACACTTCCACCGGGTCTCCGGGGAGATACGAGTCTTCAGCGGTTGAGTTTTTGAGTGTCTCGGCAAGAGATGCAAGATCCAAGTTGGCGGTTCCGTCTTCCGAGCCACGAGCAAACATAGTGACTTCCTCCAGTCGGGGGTTAACGTTCTTCGTGATGAGATGTTGCACCTTCATGTCCTTGATCATGAAACCGTCAACGTAGGTCTCCCCAAGGTAGTTCCATGACTTGCCACCAAGACCCGAAGTCGCAGAGAGGAACTTTCCGTGCTTCTTCTTGGCTTCTGCTTCACTGAACAGACGTTGAGGAGGTCGGGCAACGGCAGGATTCGCGCCGGGACGCTTTCGCTTGGGATCGACCATCGGTCCACTGGCGTCTTCGTTCATTCCATAATCAAGTCGCGGAACCAGGCGCACAGTGACAGCGAGGCCGTTCGTTTCAACTTCCTCGATCTGGGCCAGGTCGTTCATGTATTTGCCACGCTTGATACGGACCCATCCGCCAGGGGTGAGCTCCTCAGACTTCTGAACGCGCAACAGGTCAGGCATCTCCCGCACCGGAACCAGAATGACCTTTGACCTCGGGTAAACGTTGCTCATATCCTGCAGCGCGTCCATGACATCGGCCTGTCGGCGAGCTTCCACATAAAGATATCCGCTCATAGCTCCTCCACGCTCAAAGGCCGACATGATCTTGATCGGATTGCGGGATCCGGGGGGGCGTTCTTCGATACGCTTCTGGAGTGCAAAAACAACCTCACGTTCCTTGCCTGGCTTGCATCGTACACCCCAGATGCTCGGGTCCTCAACACTGGGCAGGAGCAATCGCTTGGGAACGACGACCGAATCGGAGGCGGCAGCGTTCTTCCGGCCGTAACGTTCCTTGAGCATCTGCGCCTGTTTCTCTGCATCCATGCTCGCCTCCATCTCACGCTGACGGTCAAGCTGCCGATGGCGGCGGTCGTCAGTCTCAGCGCCGACAGGCAGCGCGTCCATATCGTCAGGATGCATCTCGCCACCGAATTCGGCCAACTCGTCCTCCTCGTCTTCGGCCTCATCTTCGTCCTCGTCGACACCAGCCTCGTCTTCAATGAAGTTATGCACACCTCGTTGTCGCACACTTCCTCGTTTTCTTCGTTTCCGCGAAGGACCCTGGATGAAGGCGAACAGAGCGTTAGCGTTTCGCACATCGCCTCATCAACGGTTTGACGGATGACCACAACTCACAGAAACAGCATCCTCATCTTCTTCTTCCTCGTCTTCTTCTTCTTCCTCATCGTCTTCCTCCTCATTTTCGCCTTCTTCGTCTTCCTCCTCATCGTCATCCTCGACCTGGTGTCTTCCTCGCATGTTGTCATCGCCACCCCCTCGATTCGGCCGTCCAGCCTTCACGTCATCGTCATCATCATCGTCGTCGTCGTCGTCCTGGTTATGATACGTCGGCTAATCGCCTCGTCAGCACAGATCCCCAACGCATCTCGCCACTCGACGTAAACAAACCTTAGACTCTCTCTCATCGTCTGAGTCGTTGGCAGCCACGGGGTTGAAGTCGTCATCCTCCTCTTCAGAACCGAAGTCCTGGTCCACGACGTTGCGCGACATTTTTCCTTCACAAGGTTTTGGCGACGGGGTAAGCTATCGGGATCCCCGAGAACTCGGAGATGGGCGATGAATGTCTATGCGATGCGTCGTTGGACCAAAAGCAGATTCGAGCTAGGCTATAGGGAGCGAAGAAAAGAGTAAAAGTTAGACAGTTGTTTGCAAGGCGTTGTATTGACTAGCAAGCTTGCCAGCTCACGGCTCGATCAAAAAAGACCACAATTCAAAAACGACCAAAGGGGGAGGCGGAGATTATAAGCAAGTACCTTAGTCCGACCAGCAGGAAGCGAAAGGTGGTAAGATAAGCGACGAACGAAAAATTCAGGCAACGAATGCTCCGCCGACTGGGATATTGATTCGGCCAGCAGAGGCGGGCGGCCTTTGTCCGGGTCGTTCGCCGAGTCCGCGACCGCGACAGGAACAATGAAAGTTGGTGAAAGGAGTTCGAACCAAGTGGATTGAATGGAATCGGCTATCTGTCTGCACGTCCTGTATCTGGACCTAGGCAACTACAGTACCGCAAGGCAAAAAGAGTGAAAGGGGGAGGATTGATGGCGTTGCGGAGGTTTGGAAAAGGACGTCGCCGAAGGAAAGAACCAAGGACTGCGCGGGTGGTCCGTGTGCCCCGCCGGAGGGTCTTTGCGCTCTGCAGCAGTCGTCAGTTCAGACTGTTCACCTTCGTTTCAGTGGTCCGTAGTGTTGATTAAATCTATTTTCAAGAGTGGATGCTTTTACAACGTTGTACTTTTAAATAACAGTTGAAAAACTCGTGTCCATTTGTGCATTGCGAGGTAAATACTGGCTGTCTACACTCTATATATACGCTGCGGGAAGAAGTCCATAGATATAGTCAAGCAAAGTTTCCACTTATTCAGACAATTTAGAAAAGATCAAGCAAAATTCTGAAGCTATGATACACCATACTGCCCCGAAAAGGTTATTCAAATTATTACAAGCACAAAATATCTATATACCAGAAGATAATAGCCACATAGAAGGGAAAGGGGAGGAACGAAAAGCAAGGAAGTGGATATCAATATTTACAGCTTCATGCCAAACATCTTGTGCACACGCAAACTCTGGCGCATACTCAGGTCCAGCATGATCTCCTCGCTTCCTCCGGGGATCGCGTAGGCTCGAACATCACGGTACAGTCGCTCCACCTTGCCACCTTGGCCACCCCGGCTGTAACTCAGACCACCAAAGATCTGGCTGGCCTCGCGCGCACAGAACTCGAATGTGGCGGTGGACTGGGCCTTGAGGCCGGCAATCGCACCGCCGAGCTTGAGCATGGCCTCAGTCTCATCCATACATTGACACTGGTAGATGGTGTTCTCCAACCAGTTGTACGTAGCTTCGATCTGGCGGGCCATGTGGGCCAGCTTCATACGGATGACCGGGTGGTCGATCAGACGCTTGCCAAAGGTCTTGCGCTTGTGGGCATATTTGACGGACTCCTCGTAGCACACACGAGCGAACCGGACGCACTGGATGACAATTCCAATACGCTCATGGTTGAAGTTGGTCATGATGACTGTCATAAGGCGTTAGTGATCGCGACTCCGCACTCGAGACACTTCCTTAGCACTTACCCTTGAATCCTTGGTTTTCCTTTCCGATGAGGTTCTCCACGGGCACCTTGACGTCCTCAAACGTGACATAGGTGGTTCCGCTGCTCCACACACCCTGGCAGTCCATGCGCCTCGTGCTCACGCCGCCGGCTTCTCTTTCGATGAGAAGGACACTCACACCATTCATACCGGGCCCGCCAGTCCGAACAGCGGTGGTGAAATAGTCCGACCAGATACCGTTGGTGATCCATTTCTTCTCGCCGTTGACAATGTAGTGCTTACCATCGGGGCTCAGCTTAGCCTCGCAGGTGAGGTTGGCCACGTCGCTTCCGGCATCCGGTTCGGTGATGGCTAGACAAATGCGCTTCTCACCGGCCAGGATGCCAGGCAGGATACGGTCGACGAGAGGCTTCTTTCCGAACTTGACTAGAGGCGGACCGCCAATGCCGAAACCACCGATCAAGTTCCAGACCAGACCACCGCTGCCCGCGCGAGACAGCTCGTCGGTCAGGAGCATCTCGTGGAAGAGATCCCAATTCTCGGGGGCTACCGATTGAACCCGGTGGGGAGTGTGATTGACGGGATACTTGACACCTAGCAGGCCCGCCAGGTACCCTCTCTGTCCCATCTGCTTGTAAATCTCATCCGGCACCTGCTTGCCTTCATCCCACTCGGTCACGTAAGGCTCGATCTCAGACTCAACCCATTGCCGTACTTCCGCGCGGAGGGCGGCATGTGTCTGGTTGAAGTAGGGCGAGTGTTGCTATAGCGAGGAAAGCGAATAGTTAGCCACGGAAACATTGTCACAACCCGCCATATGCACCTTCACGCGCGGAAAGACTTACGCCCTGGTACCAGGAAGGATCGGCGAACGGAATCAGCTCGCCATAGGGCTCCTGAGGGTCCGATGATTGAGCGGAGGAAACGTCGACGACGGGGGCCGCTTGGGGCTTAGGGGTCTCTTTCGCCGGGGCCGGCTCTGGAGCAGCCGCGGGCTTTTTACTATCCAAAGAGCCAATTTGCAGCTTGGTCTTGTACTTCTTCAGGATGCCCTCGTTGTGGTATTTCCAGAATTGTTTCGAGGCGTCTTTTCCGGCGACTCGCTGGAGAACTGTAGCACCACCGTTAATATACACAGCGGAACGTTGGACATTCTGAGACGGTCACATACTCTTTTTACCACCGGGATGCTCATCCTGGAAGTTGGTCAAATCGTAGACGTCCTCATCGATCACAACCCAGAGGTTGTCTGGTTTGCTATGCGATGCGACGTCGTCTTTCGAGAAAGTCTTGGACATGTTGGTGAATATGAATGCGAATAAGGATAGAAAGGAAGGTCAGAAGAGCAGGCGCAGCTGCTGTGGCAGAAAAAAGAATGGATAGTATAGGTCCAGAGAAGGGGAATGAAGAGATATGGAGAAGACAATCCGGGGTAAAGTAAAGGGGACGGGAGACGGGAGCGAGATGGGGAATAGATATAGTGCAATATTACCAAATACTAGTATGGACTCGGACAAATCCCCAGGAATGAAGACTGAATCTCCCTCGGAGGATTCTTACCAGTCGCAGCGGTCTTCACATGTTGTGGCCTTCTGAATCTGGCGTCCACAGAGACTCACGTGTCGCACACCTCGGGCCAAATGACCGCAACGGGGGGACTGCAGGTCATCCGCCGGCTTTTGCGCCGTCGCTGATTGGCGAAGGGGCGTCTCCCTGCGTCATTCTCTCGCTGACAGTGCTCGTCCCGATTAGGCAACTGCCGAGGATGCCGCCACGTGACGTAGATCGACTGTCCAGAGAGAACAACCTCAGGCAGAAAAGTGACTTCACGACGGGAGTTCGGCATGTGACAATCAGGGGAAAAGGCCGGGGAATTGTCATCGTCAGGCTTCTCATTTGTCGCAGGAAGGATCCACCACGAACTATAATCCTACTTTACTAGTTATCCAATCTTTAGGCAACTGAGCGTTTGATTTGATCGAGCTCGGTTCGCCCAATCCTGAGCTACTTCTCAACGCCACTGTCCGGGTATGAATGAATCCAAAAAGGCGATGCTTGTATATGTCATTTGAAGGAGATATGAGTCCCCACTTGCAAGATATTCCGTGCAACGGGGGGAGTACAAAAGGAAAGAAAAAGACATAGATCCATGATTAATCTAGTAATACAACCGAAAATGTAGGCGGTTACTCTTCGCCATCTGACTCGTACTCAAACTCCTCCGGTACGGGGGCCTCCTCGCCGCCCTCCTGATCCTCGTCCACCGCGGTCAACACACCCGCGGCGGCTGCAGCTCCCGCACTCGCCCCGGCAGCTTGACCAGGGCGCTGAGGAGTCTGAAGCGCAGCGGCCCCGATGGCGGCCTGCAATCGATCCTGTAGCGTCTCCGCCGCGGCGGCAGGCTGCTTGACTTCCTTGCTGGCTTTCATCTCGATGGTCTCGCGCGACTCCTCGGGCTTCTTATCCAAGACTACCACCACTCCGCCGGTAGGCTGCAAGGAAAGGTTAGCATATCAATCGATTACATTTCTGCGCGTAAGGACGGAGTGTATACGTACCCGTTTGACCGGCTCATACCGGGGATCCGGGAAGGTGAGATATTTGAGTTGCGCAGGAAGCACTCTCGACATGTTCTCAAGCTCATATCCAACCTTCTCGCGCTCGACTCGCTTCTTCTGGCCCTCACCGGCCTCCTTGTCTCCTTCCTTAGCCTCCTCCTCGCCCTTAATGACGGCCTCGTCGGTCTCCATTCGGTCAGCAGCTTCCGACACCTTGGGCGTGGTAGGTGTCTGGTCGAGATCCATACTCTCCCGACGCTGCTGCTTCTCACGGCGCTGAGCACGACGCTTGGCCTGCGCGGTGGTGGACAGAACGGCGGTCTTGACCTTCTCGGGCGCTTCCTCGGTCTTCACCTGCTGCTCGGGCGGGTAGTCGAAGAGGCTGGGTTTCGTGTTGCTGTGGAACTTGAAGAACGGCACCTCGAGTTTCTGGTCCACGCCGATCACCGACGTAGGGGCGAAACTCAGCGACAGGAAGTGCGTGAGAGGGAACCAGTACCAGTACTGCAGGAAGACCGCAGCTCCCACAATTCCGGGCATGTTGAGGTTACCCGTCTGGGTTTGCAGGCTGATGGTGCAGTTTCGGCCTCCCGCGTCGATGATACCAAGAGCCACCGCACAACCAAACTTGGCCATGGCGTCCTCGTGACGATCCCCGACCATCTTCATCATAGCCTTGCGCAAGCTGCTCACCCGGGGGTTCATGGCCTCGTTTTGCTGGACCAGAACCATGGCGAGGGCGATCAGCGCTCCCTGTCTCACAAAGTCCGTAGAGTCCTTGAGCATGGGCTCGAGCAGATCGATCGCCTCGTCCAAGCCGGTACCCGCGCACGAGATACCCAAGGCCATTGCGGCGCCGTATCGCACGTGAGGGTTGTACGACTCGGAAAGCAGTTCCACCATACGAGGAACGCTCTGGTGCTTTCTGAACAGGATGAAGCCCAAGCTCAGCACGGCAACACGTCGAACATCGTCGTTGACATCGCTGACAGCGACGTGGAGAAGCTTGCGGACGGCCTTGTTGCTGCTGCTGCCACAATAGGCCAGAGCGATCGTCATGATACCACCGTAGCGTAGGGTAGGATCAGGGTCACCCAGAAGACCGTTGATCAACTCGTCGGCGGCTTCCTGGCGACCATACATGATTAGGGCCATACCCATGGCCAGACCACGAACGATCTTCTCGTGCTGGGTATCATGGGCATACTGGATCATGTCCTCGAGAACCTTCAGGTTGCCGGTTCCCAGCATGACCAGACCCATGGCGAGACCGACGGCCTCACCGTTGAGCGCAGAATCCGTGTAGAGAACGTTCCGCAAATCTTCGTAGATACCTTCATCGCCGGTAGCCATACCCGCGACACCCAAACCCAAAGCACCACCATGCTGAACGACCTCTTCGGTGGCCTTCTTGAAGTGATCACGGATGAGATCCACAGCCATTCCACCGTGGTTGGCGTAGATCAGACCAAAAGCATAGAGAGATCCACCTTGACTGTAGACAGAGCCCGACCCGCCAACGCCGGCGATATGTTCCCTGGGCAGGTAAGGCTGCAGCAGCTTCTGCCCCTGGCTCAAGTTGCCACGATGAATGACACCGAGGGCTGCCGTAGCCGTGAACTTGGACCAGTTAACAGCCTTGCCGAGCCATTCCAGGTTGTCTCGGAAGAACTTGTCGTGGGTGGTACCAGCGTGCATGAAGGCGTTCGATAACGTGACGGCAGTGTGGAAGATCGAGTTCCGGGCCTCCAAGCTGTCACGGACCTTGTTGAGGATGGCAATGTCGGCCTTGTTGTTGCGGTACAAAAACTCCAAATTCAATTGGATGGACTTGATACCGTCAAGAATGTCGATTATGTTCTTGAAAGCGGTGCGCGTTTCCGAGGAAAGTTTACTGTCGTCGTTGGCACCGATAGACCGGGGTTGCTCGGAGCTAGACTGGTCCCCAAGCAGGGCATCGGATTCCTTGGGTTCGTTCTCATCTTCAGCTGAGCCCTGGTTCTCCTCGGTCTCGGCCTCCTCCGGCACAAGCTCGGCAATTTCTTGCCGAACTTTCTGAAGGAATTCTTGTGTGCTGTTATCATACAAATCGAAAGAAATCTGGTAGGCAACAGCGAGTGAGCGGGCATCACCCTTCTCCACCAGCTGGCGAAGAATGACGGACGCCATGGAGTGTTCGTTGAGGTAAACAACGCATTTGGCTATCGAGAAATAATCGGGGGAGGGGATCTCGTTGAGAAGGTCGAGGATGAGTTTCAAGATCTTGGGTTGAAGATTAGTTCAGATCGAGGTTTCTGGGTCTCTCGTTGGGGAAGGAGATCATTACCTCATTACGGAACGCACGCTCCTGAACAATGCCCATGCAAATGTCGAGAACGTATTCCATGAGTTCCTCGCTTCGTCGAGATTCACCGTCCTGCTTCTTCTCGTCCTCACTGGCACGGATGATAGTTTTACGCAGGACATCCAGGCTCTTGGCTTCGATAGCAATTCCGATAACTTGACGGTACCGCTTCTGCTGGAAGCACTGCTCGAACAGGCGTTCGACGATAGCCTGCAGCTGGCCCTGGACACCTCGGCGCAGAACTAACGGAGTCTCAACCTGGTTGACGCTGGCATCATCGCCACCTGGGTAAGCCGAATCGATCCCGGGGACTTCCTGGCGAGATAGAAGCGACTTTGACGGCAACGCCGACTGCGAAAATGGGGTGATCGGAGACGTAAGGCTGGCGGATGTACTCGTGGCTCCTTCGCCGGAGGTGGGGAACGCAGTGTTCAGGTTAGGCGGCTGGTCACCGGCAGCGGGCTTCTGGGCAGCAGAGAGGGAGATGAAAGTATCGACACATTTCGCTAAAGAATACGTCACATTAGCCCAAAGCTCGGGCAGATTCCAAACGGTCAATAGATGATGAGCTACTTACCGATAATAGTTTCCTCAAACTCGCCACCTTGGTCCAGCTGAAACAGCTTGCCGGCCCCAAGAGCGAAGACCATGCTCTCATTGTATTCTTGAAGGTGGTAGTAGACTTTGGCGGCGACCAGGGCGGCAAGCTCGCGCTCGGGGAAAGATTCATCTTCGTAAAGCGCCTCTCTGCAGATAATTGAGTTAGTCAAGAATACCTAATCGGAGTCTGCGGATGGATGGGATGGGATGAATGCGAATTTGGACGTGAGGTGGGTGAGACGGCTATGATGACGGATACTAACATTTGCGGAACAGAATCCACGACTTCCGTCCATAGAAGATCGATCTGCGAGTCCAGAGTCTTCAAAGCGAAGACACGCAGCTCTGGGTCGGGCTCAGAAAGAAAGCCGACAAGGCCAGCGGCCGAAGCAAGTCCAACCATGTCTGAGAGATTGTGCTATCGCTGGAGGGATGAGGCGACAGCTTCGACGAAGGTCTGACGGATCGAGTCGGCCTACTTTAGTCAGGTAGGCCTTGGGTTGGGAAAAGAATGCCGAACAGGCAGAATTTGCAAGCGGAGTCGATGAAATAAAGGAAGAAAAGAACAACAAAATCGGATCGATGGGGAAAGGGAAGGAGGGTTGGAGATAGTAGGAAGCTTGTACCCAGCGAGGCACACGTCAACGGCGATGGGAAGCTGTCGAAAGGTTCCCGTGGTTCCTGCAGAAACCCCTAGAACGGGTCACGTGCCATATGATGGCATGGGATCGCGGATCACGAGTGCAGGCGACACCAACGGGCAAACAACTGCTGGTCACCGGCGTCGTTGGGGCTGATAAGGGTCGGTCGGACCCATTGCCCCAATTTTATCTTGTATCCTTCAAATCATCCTGCTATACCATCCGAGATAGCCTCCTTTTCCGCACTCGAAGAGCTCGACTCCCCCAGAACAACCTGACTACACCAGACCAGACCAGACAGACACCCCTTTGTTAGACACAATGTCGAGTGTATCCTTTTCACAGGACTCGGGGCAGCGCCTGCAATCCCCTCCACTCAGGGCATCTACCTATCACCAAGACCCTTTAATTTATATTGACCGTCAAGCAAAACACCTCGAACGTAATCTCCAGGCTCTCATCGACGCCCAGAGCGAAGGTCTTCTAGCTGGTCTCAAGGGGCCAGGAGAAGATAGCTCTCTGTCCGGCGACAGTCACGCTCCCAGCTCGGGGCTTAACAACGCTGAAGGCCCTTCAACCGTCCCAGTCAGACAGCCCGTCGCAAAGAAGATCGGCCTACGAGCAGCGCGGGAGGGAATCTTCCGATCGATCTCCGATTTACTGAAACTTCGAGAGGAGGAGCAAGATGTACTCACCTCTCATGTGGGTGAACGCCAAGATGCCCTAAAACAGATCGATGCGTTTGATACCAAGCGAGACGGGCTGGAGGAGGCGATATCTACAATACATAATGATCGGGAAGGCCAACGCTCTAGGGAGCTGCGCGACGAAAGCCACCAGCTTGAGACGGACATCCATGAGATGGAGACACGGTTGTCCCAGATGAAAGCGAGGCAGAGGCAGGTTACTCACGAATTATCACAACTAGAGAACACAGTGGATTCCAAGTTATCCTCTTACCAAGCGTCCTTGTCCCTACTGGAATCGGACATCCGCAGATTCCTCCAGCACCCTCCGATCCAGCCCCAACCGACCAACAATGACCGCCCAACATTCTACTCACTGAACCACAAGCGTCGGACTCTCCAAATGGCCCAAGAACACTGGAAAGCGGAGGAAACCAGATTTCAAAAGCGACAACGTGAAGTCGACGCCGAGATAGAGGCACTTGAAGAGGGTGGTGGCTTGTGGAAGCGTGTTGTCAAAGAGGTCACAGGGTTTGAAAAACGACTCAAGGCCGCAATGCGACGCTCCATTCAGAGACAATCGCAGCTCCTGACACCCGATGGACCTTCTGGGAGCAAATCCGAAGATGAGCAGGCGCGGAGTATCTTGGATGATTTGAGCAATACAACGGGTCATGTGGAACAGTACCTGGAACTGGCCGAGGAAAAGGATTGGAGACTGCTTGTTTGCTGCATCGGTGCTGAACTTGAAGCGCTACGGGAGGCCCGGGAAATGCTGCTCGGCGTTTTCAACGTATCTGAAGAAGATCTGTGCAATTGGCATCATGACGATGATAACGACTCCAAAGCTGACCCTCTTGGTGTCGATAACCCTGAACCTCCCGCCGATTTACTGAGGGATACAGAGGACCATTCACACGATGCCGTCTCTAGGTCCGGGGATGATGAAGATCCGGATCCTGCCTGGCTTCTTCCCGAGTCCTAGTACAGTTATCTTGGAAGGTAAAAAAACTTCCATAGAAGAGACAAACCCGCATCGCGGGGTATTATTGAAAGCATAGCGCGGGTAATAGGAAATATCATTCATACTATATAACACTACACTGATACACTGTAGCTGTCGGGACATGCTATTGACAAACTAGTTATAAAGTCCGGACCGAACCACAGTAATGTTGATTCATAATCGACCGCCATATTGAGCCTCGCAAATGGCAATGGATAGAACTTTCCGACGGAAAAGTGTCACTCAGAGGGCGTGAGATCCACTCCGACCCTAACCGGCGATCATCTCGATCTATTTCTACGATGATTCATGGCTTCATCTTGAGCAACATGCGACCTGTGTAAAACCAACCGACACTTCAACGAACCAAATCACCATAGGAGTCTATCACATCTACTTCAATCAATCCAAACTAGGAAATGGCAGGAACACAGGCTTCGTACGGTAAGCAACACCTATTGACTCATCACAACCCCAGACTAACAATATCAAAGTTATTGCCGATGTATTCGCACAGCAAAGGTACGTCACGTCAATACCTACATCGAGTCCGCACTCTGCAGTGCCACTTCTCTCTAACAACCCAACTAACCAGCCATAACCAGACTCAAAGGCAACCCGCTCGCCATCGTAGACATCACCAACCTCCCCCTAACCCAAGACCGCAAGCAACAAATCGCCCGGGAATTCAACCTCTCCGAAACCGTCTTCCTGCACACTGGAGGACCAACCCAGAATCCTCGCGCCGAGATCTTCACGCCCGTCAATGAGATGGAATTCGCCGGCCACCCGGTCATCGGGACCGGCCACCTGCTCTTCCGGAAGCTGTTGAACCAGACTCGGGATACAGCATCTGGTCCTCGGACGCAGACTCTCGAGACGAGGGCCGGGCCTATGAAGATCGAATATGATCCCGACAGCCAGATCGTGTCGGCGCAAGTCCCACATAACGTTCATATCCATGCAACTGAGACGCCTCTCTTGGCGTTGGAGGCCGTCCAGCCCTGTTTGGCCGCTATTTCGGGATTGATTGCTACCTCATGGCCTACGGTTTCCATCGTCAAGGGCGTGACGTACGTCCTGGCCGACTTGACCGACACGCCCGAGATTTTTGGTAAGATCAGCGCCGGGGAAAGCCCACAGGTCGATCTCGACAAAGATTGGGGCCCATCATTCGTCGGAACGATGTATTACCGCACTCTGGGATCGCGTGTCGAGACTGAGACGGACACGAAAATTTGGGAGCTCCGGGTGCGCATGGTTGCGATCAATCTCGAGGATCCTGCATGTGGTAGCGGATCGTGTTCTCTGGCCGCGTACTTGGCTTTGCAGGAGGGCGCGGAAAGCCGCAAGCACCGGTTCTTGATTGATCAGGGGACTGAGATTGGGCGGGATAGCCACATTGTTGTGGATGTTGAGCTGACGGAGGATAGGGGGAGGGTTTCGAGTGTTAAGCTTGCGGGTCCTGCTGCTTTTGTGGCGGAGGGGAAGATATTTGTGGATTAGGTGGATAGTTTGGGGGATTGATGAGATTCAGTTTGTACCGTTTCTGAAGCAATGAATAGATTCATTGCATACCTCGCCTGTAGAAATGGAATTGGAAGCATTCATCTTTGTGATGGCCAAGACTGCTTACATTCAAGGTGCAATAACAACTATCAATCACCTCAGTTACCACAGGTCCCCAACCGATTAACAGCCAGACAGCCCATGAATGCCATTTTCCTTCGCATACGTGCATTTACCAGTGAGACTGCTCCCAGACGAAGACTCCACATCCATGTCGCCGAAATAGATATCATAGCAGGGATGAACCTTACTGCACTGTATACCAATCTGGTTACTAGTCGAAGCCAACGTGCCCGTGAACAGATCAAAAACGACATCCGAGATCTCCATCCTGCTGGTTCCAGTGAATGACCCATTATCTCCTTCATTCTGGTGAATGTACCCAACTCTGCTGGCATCTGTCACGTCGACAGCAGAGAACGTAACGTTGCGGACGTTGCCCCAGCCGCCTCCTCGGGGCTGGCCTCCGCTCTCGTAGCCGTCTTGTTCGACGAGTTCGCCCATCCAGGTTTTAATGTACATGCCAAATCGGGTGCGGGGAACCTGGGTGGATTAGTTCCTGTTGACCATAGAAGCAGAAGGTTGGAGCTCACCTTGACGTTCTGCATGAGAACGTTTTCAACACTGGAGTCTTCAAGGTATTGGCCGAGACTACCTATAGCAATACCATTGCCGCCATTGCAGACCACTCCGTCGATGTGGATGTTATATGATCGAGACTTGATTGCGATACAATCGTCACCTCCAGTGTATGTGAAGTTCTTCAGTTTAACGTTGTTTGCGTCCATTGTATCTGGGCATATGTGTCAGTGCCTGCGCGTTAAAAGAGGTGAATGCGTGAATCAGTGATGTTTACCAAAACCATCCGTATTTTGGACCCAATTCTTGCCCGAAGGTGCCTTGGAGGCAGTCGCATTAACATGGATATTCTCGAACTCGAGATTTGTGCCGTTCATGATATTGATGGCCCAAAGCTGAGGTTCAATGATCGCGAAGTTCTGAACAGTGACATCGCTGACGTTCCAGAGTTGAAATGGCTACAGTCCCCAGGTTAGCCTCTCTTTAACAACCAGGTTCTAATGTAGAATCTCACAATAGGTCGCCCCGGCTTCGTAGTTCCAGCCTCATCGGTATACCAGAGATCTCCATTCCCATTGATCCCACCGGTACCGTACCCGTTGATTCGGATCCCTTTGCCTTTCAGAATGAACCCGGCTGCGTGATTCTGGAAAGCAATTGGATATGAATTTTCGCGCCAATAGTCCAGATCGTCGGAGAACTGTTCTAGGTTAGTATACACAATATTCTGCTGATTGTCCCGATAAGCGGAATCTTACCGTCCATGTTCCTCTCCATTCAATTTCCACATCTTCAATATTCGCTGTGAACTTCTCAGCAATCCAGTAGTTTTCACCTTCAGGGAAGATCACGGTCCCTGAGGATCCACACTCTTCGAATGCAGATACAATGTTCGGGACGTCATTCTGCTCATCGCCTAAACTAGTCACCGTGCAAGTCCTCCTGCCGTCGACTGTGTCCACTTTCACAGCAGAGGCCGCGAAGGACGGCGAGAGAAGAAGCAGAGAGATAGGCAAAAGCCGCATTTTTGTGAAATATACGGACTCCTTTGGGTAGCATGAACTACTATATTGTCGTAGTAACTGGACTTTATATCTACTTGTCAGGCAATGCATCATGTCGGGTGAATTGGCGCGGGCTTGCTGTTTATTTTAATCCGCGAATTAGCACTTTTCCTGGACTGACATGTCGATGCATCATCCCAGCTCGGCACTCTGTATCCCGTTCACCGATCAAACTTGCATGAATCAAGGCCAAATATCCGGGAGACGTCACTTCCCCAGAGATCAGCAGTCGCTTATGCATGCAAGTATCGACAGTTCGACATGCTCGGACAAGAAGAGACCGAGCGGGGCAGGGAGGCGTTCGTCACCTAATGCATTGTCCTGCTAGCACCAAGACTTCAGTGGCCTGTGCTGGTCAGGATGGCATATCTGGGGTATCGAGGTGATGTTACATGACGAATGGTGATTGTGCAGATGCTGGTTTGTTATCTGCGTTGATCCGACGAAGCGTGCCATGTCTTCCTTTTGTCCCTGGACTTTGCTGTAAAAGGATATTCAACCCTCTGGGGAATGTTGTCAATTAAAGGGACTAATCTAATGCGAAAACAGAAACTATAGGTATATCCTCGACACCGACCGTAGTGATGCTATTACTTCGACCAAATCTCCATCAGTAAGGCAGAGCCCAGGTGGCTTGAGCAACGACCTTACTGAGAGACAGAAAAACGCATGTACAGATATGGGCAGTAAAGTGTGGGGGAAAAGGCAATAGACAAAACTGGAAAGACATAATATATCTATCTCGTCTTTGGTTGTTCTGTTGCTATAGTACAGAGTTAGGGTCCAATAACCGCAAAAACATTTGTGAATTGAACCGGGGAAGAATATACAATTTGGATTGATGTGAATATTTTGGAAAAGTGTCAGCCAAACAAAACAAATAGCATGATCACAGAGTGATATTTCAAGTAGCACCTCATATCCCATATTCAACACTAAGAAACCACCAAAGACAGCGCATGGATTCTGGTTGATAATTGATGCCTGAAACGTATGCCTCACGGGCGCTCGGGCCACCACCGCGTTACGTTCGCTCGACTGCCCGCCAGCTTGCCTTCTCCATCCACTCTACCGGGGAGTATGTCGCTTCAGATTACACGCAGAGCGGCAAATCTAGTTTCACGGTGATATCCATGTATCTTCCTCCGCCCACTTACACTTTCACTATACCGTCGGTCTACGACGGGATACAACTGGACTGTCGTCTCCATGTTCCCCGCGAACTGAGTGAGCCTGAAGGTACACGCCGGGGCCCAATATGCGGAGCTATAGTTGCCCATCCTTATGCCACGCTAGGCGGATGCTACGATGACCCGGTCGTGAACTTCGTCGGAAGCGAACTCCTAGAAGCTGGCTACGTGGTGGGGACGTTTAATTTCCGGTAATTACCATCTGCTCATTTAGGCTGGTTCTGTCCCCAACAGATTTATGGCTGGGGTTTGAAAGGTTGGCCAGGGTAATGGATGCTAATGTGAATGCACGGTACAGGGGTGCTGGGGACTCGGAAGGCAGCACAAGTTGGACTGCACGGCCTGAGCTGGCTGACTATGTCTCCTTCTACGGGTTCATGCTGTGGTATTTACAGCTTCTAAGAACGCGACTCGGTTCATCAGATCCGGGGTCAGAAGGCGGACCTGCGAATGTCCGACTTATATTAGCTGGTTACTCTTATGGGTCTATGATCGCATCACATCTTCCGGCACTTGATGTCGTTGCAGACCTTTTTGCAAATAGCACCGACGGGTCTGCTGCATATCGGATTCGCCGAGAAGCAGAGAGGATTTCCGCGCCATCGTCAGATGTTCAGGAAACACAAGGCCGACCACCGGCATTTTGGGAGGCTTTGAATCCCAATTGTATTTCGAGCGCGACGATCTGCTATCTTCTAGTCTCACCTCTTCTGCCCCCGATTAATATGTTCTTGACACTGTTTTCAAAGTTGTCGCTAAATGTTGGGACACACACTGCCGCTCAGGGCAGACATATCCCATGTCCCAAACCGACCGACCAGCTCCGTGCACACCCCACCCTGGCCATTTATGGTAGCCAAGATACCTTCACATCCGCCCATAAACTGCGCCAATGGTCGCAAGAGCTTGCTCTGACACCCGGCAGTCAGTTCCAATCGGCCGAAATCGGCGGGGCTGGACACTTCTGGCGGGAGCATGGTGCGGAGTCTGAGGCCAGAGCTAGCATCAAGGAGTGGTTGCGTCAGATACCTTGACGGGTCGCTCGGATGAAGAATCAATTGCACGCAGATAATAGAGGGAAAAGAGGTGTGTAAACAACGCTGGGGCTGGCAAGCGCCCACAAGTCCTGGCTCTATCACATGTCAGCAGCGTTTGCGAAGCATGTGAAATTGGCGGGCTCGCATGACGTCCTGCAGCTTATGAGAAGAGAAGGGAGGAGAAGAGAGGCATTGGACGGGCTTGATTCGGGTTGGGTAGGATTTTCGAGGACTTATAGGTAGCCCATGGATTGCTACCTCACTTTCTTCTGCACAGGCCGGCCCGGTCACTCCGTGTAGGTCACTCCGTTGGGTTGTTGCCTGTTTGGTGTCCCGGATTCTGATTCCTCTTTCCTTAAAGTCGATAGCATCTATACAAGCTTGCCAATTTAGATCATCTGCTCAACCTGCAGCGTCGAGATTAGAGCCTTTTGCTTGGCGACCGTCTAGATTGTGGCTGCTGCACGGATTGACGACGCCAGATCCCTGATCCGACCCTCTGGAGGTCCGAGATTCATTCTGCAGTCGTAATGTAGACGATACGGAAGAGAGACCGCCTGACTTGAAGAACTTATCCACTATCTGAGCGTAAGGTGCCATTTTGATTCTATGATCACGACAGGTGGATTGCCATGACGGGACATTCAGAGGACAAAGAATCCAGGCTGACGAGATTTGAAGTGGAGAATGACTCAGACGGGGATGATTGATTATGAAAATGATTTACATAGTCGTAATTATGATTTTCCAGGGTTCATCAAGACCATCCAGCTGAGCGCTGATGTTATCCTGCATGAGAGACTGCCGAATGCGGAAAGATGGTCCTGATGCAATTATCTACAATTCCAGATATAGTTATTTTTACTGGTCATTCAATTCTGAACTAGCCATGTCTTATCAATATAACTCGACGGGATGACAGACTCCCAATACGGAGCATGACTGTACCTGATTTCACAATCACCCCAGCCTAACTACATGCCCCGCTTACCCAAAATGTGGGGGTGGGGAGTCTTAATTGTCAGGCTTCAATGTAAGAGTGGCGATTGGCAATCATGGGAAACCAAGACAGCCTCGTGACGTCGCTCCTTACGGCCGGACCCAAGATTCCCCGGACCATCTCAGCGCGTGAATGGACCGATCGGATGACGGTCGCCCCCAGATGACTTTGAGGATACTAACCCTATTCTGCCAACTACCTACTTCATATTCCTTTTGTTCCCCAAGTGTCCTTGTTTTTGATAAGTCTCTTTCGTTTTCCCCCTTCTCTCTTTTTCTTCCCAATCAAATACTTCCAACCGACCACCAAAAGAAAGAGAGAGAGAGAGGTAGAGTGGATCTAAGTTCAGGTCGATGGAATGTCGGACTTGTCCCTGTTTCCTGATCGCGCCTTAGTGCGCCCGCATTGCCATGGCAAGGCCAGACGCACCCCCAAGCCGAAACCGGCCGCCCTGAGCCAAAGAGATTCGCTGCTGAAGCGCTCCTCGCTGCCATCCTTGTCGTCGGTGGTTAAGGGTTCGTTGACCTGGGCCGGTGATAGGTTGTATGGGACTTCCGAGACCGATCGTTCCAAGGGGAGTCGCAACGGCCTTACCGAAAATGAGACCCATCGCCAGTCGCTGTATTTCAAAATGCGCACGGTAGGCTTTTTCCCCCTCTCTTTTTTTTTTATTGCATATACTTTCTCTTTCCGCAACATGGGTGAGCTGTTGTCGCGTGTCATTGATCTGACTTGACTTCCATGCTGCAGGCAGTGTTGTACGAGGAGTGGAAGGATTGTGCCTCCAAGCTGGACGCACTGGAGGACCACGAATCCTGGAAAAGCACATTCGAGAGCACCGAGTACGATGCCTGTCTGATACAGGAGCGCCTGAAACAACTCGAGGATGCGCGTGCTAGCTCCGACGTGAGTCGCATGCTGTTTCTCATCCGCACTTCGCTCAGCCGCGATCTGGGCAACATGTCCAATCCAGCCCTGTACAGCCATTCCCATGCAGGCACCAAGCTGCTCATCGATCGATACATCACGGAGGCCGTCGAGACGATTTCGACGCTGGCAGAACTCTCGGGAAAGGATCGATGCGACGGGCTGGAACTCAGGTATATTCTTGATCAACTTCTCGCGGCCCGACAGGCATTCGGGCGCAGTGCTTTGTTATTCTCGGGCGGCGGAACGTTCGGGATGAATCACATTGGCGTCCTCAAATCTCTCTGGCAGGCCAACCTTCTTCCCCGCATCATGTCCGGTGCCTCGGCGGGCAGCATCGTGTGCTCCGTTTTCTGCACCCGCACGGAGGAGGAGATTCCCGAACTGCTGGACAATTTCGCCTATGGGGACTTCGATGTCTTCGGGGAGGACGACGGCACGGAGAGTATCCTGCAGATGATCTCGCGGATTCTAAAGCATGGGACATTTATGGACATACAGCATCTGGCCAAATTCATGCGAGGGTGGTTGGGCGACATAACTTTCCAGGAAGCGTACAACCGCACCCGTCGCATTCTCAATATCTGTGTCTCCAGCGCTGGGATCTACGAACTGCCCAGGCTGCTGAATTACATCACCGCACCGAACGTTTTGATCTGGTCTGCCGTGTAAGTTCCTGTTGATCTTTCTGCGCGTTTAAAGTAGTCACTGACTTTCCTTAGTGCCGTTTCTTGCTCGGTGCCTTTGGTGTTCCAACCCTTTGACCTGATGGCAAAAGATCCACAGACCGGGGAAGTGGTTCCTTGGTATGACTTTTGCCGACAGTACATCGACGGCTCGGTAGATGGGGATCTGCCGATGACCCGCTTATCGGAGATGTTCAACGTGAACCATTTCATCGTGTCCCAAGTTAACCCTCATGTGGTTCCCTTCCTCCCGAAAAGCGTCGATCCCAACGAGACGAAGAGCCCTTCTCGTACACTAAATTGGGTACAAAGTGCAACACAACTTGCCAAGGATGAATTGCTGCATCGCATGATGGTCATGGCGGAGATGGGAATCTTTCCCACTTCGCTCAGCAAAGCCATCTCCATCGTTAACCAGAAATACTCGGGTGACATCAATATATATCCAGACGTTCCGTATAATCACTTCCCTCTTATATTGAAGAATCCGACGACGGAATTCATGCTGGAGGCGTGTCTCAGTGGAGAGCGAGCGACGTGGCCGAAGATCCGGGAGATTCGAAATCACTGTGCGATCGAACTGGCTTTGGACTCGGCTATCCAGAAGATGCGAACCAGAGTCACCTTCAGCCGGAGCCAGGTGGACTTGAGAACTCTTCACCTGGTTGAACGGCAATCAGAGAATCTTGACCGCAACGGAGCGCGACGAGCCACGTTGAACCGGAGAAGCTCATATGGTCACGAAGTTGAGAAGGCCCAAAAGGTTCAGATGAACGCCGCCCGCGCAATGCGACCGGAGTTGAGGCGGACCTGCAGCGCCGTGTCCTCTAGTGCTTCGCCGGACATGTCGACCGATCACGAGCTTGAGCCTGAGCACGAGCGTCACGCGAGCCCGCTGACTCTGAGTTACGTTCCTAGTGCGAGCGACGAGTCATCTTTTGCAGACTCGGACGATGACGACGAGCCGCTACTACCGTCTCTCCAACGCCCCGGGCTTGTACAGCACCCGGCGTCGTGGGAGCCGGAGACTACTGATCGTCCGGTCCACTGGCCTGTCTCTCCTCACACCTTCTACTCCAGACGATTGTCCACCGGGGCGCTTACTCGCCATTCCTCGCACCCAGCGGACCCACCCCCTTCTTTGGACCAAACTCCCTCTACAAAGTCGATGATCCCCGCACAGAAGCATCAGTTGCGGATGACGCCTTCCAAGGCGGCGGGGGCTCCGTATACATCGTTTCACTACATTAAGAACTGATCCTTGGCCACGGGAGATGGCAGGTGCCATTTGCAGAACACAAGGTCTGAGCTGATACATAGCTGCGAACATATGACCTGAAGATACAAACCATAAGCCTTGCTTGCTCCTGGAGAGCTTTCTGCTGGAAACAGAATCCGTTTCATTCGATGTTCCTTCATTTACCCCTTGTTCATCTTGTGATCTCTATTCATTTCCTGTCATTTTGGACGTCTGTTACCCCACGCATTGCCGAGCCTTGGAGTTTGGTCCTTCCTGCGGTTCCCTAGATATGTTTAACGCCACTAGCCCTAGCACTTGCATAAATTTCGAAGACTGGCGTTACTGAGAGAATCAACATAGATATCCTGTTTATTGTTTTGCAGCGTCATCATGTCCCTATCTAGCGCGCGCGTAAGGTGTCTACCAGGGACACCAGCCTACCTGACGCTGACTCTGAGTTGTCAAGCACGAGCGACATGACTTTCCACGCTCGACCCAGGGTTGCATACATGACATTGCATAACCGCCATCTACGTAACGATCGACTCGCTCACAAGGCACGTCAGACGAATGATCCCCACGCAAAGCGCCGCCGATAAAATTAGATCTGTGCATCTGCACAGCAAGAACTCGGCCAGCGATCCGCCAGCGATCCGCAGTGGCTTGTTTCAAGAACCCTGGCCGGGCGCTTCGCCAATGCAAGTGACTTCGCTCCCTTTGAAATGTTCTAAATTTGGATCTGTTCTTCGCACTAAATTAATTAACCTCCCTCCTTTCCCCTCTTTTTCTGTTTACTGTGTACGAACGGCGCTAATTACTGCAGTCCAGAACCCTGTTAAGTCCTTAATATAGACCACTTCTAGAGTATTTTGCTAAGAATGGAAACACGAGCCAGGCGAATCACACACGTTCCGGACGACGATCAGCGCCGGGCTAATGCAGACGGCCGTCGCTGGTCCGGGCGGTTATCCTATGACCAGGCGAGCGTGACGCTGTGGGTGATTGAACTCGCTGACGGGTTTCTAATGTTGGCATTCCCGCTTGCAGGGATGCGTGATGCAATGCGACGCTCCGAAACACAAACATTTCCTTTCCCTGACGCTGTCCGTCTACTATGGCGCCGTGGGATTTCGGTTGGATGGTTAAGCTTTTATATCGACCGTTTCGCTCCTCGAGGGAGTTGGATGGAAGGATCGGATGGCATTCCTGTGAAACGAGAAGGAAGCTGGGCGAAAGTTTACTTGTGTTTGGCTTTGGTCCGTGCTCTTTACTCGGCCTGTGTCTTGTGCTGTATAGCAAGTGCTGTCAGGACTATCACGAACTCACGACTGTCATGAGTCCTCGATTAGAAGTCTCTGTTTGATTTGGTTATTCTATTGGACTTGTCTTCTGTCTTCATCCTTCTTCCTCTTATCTCATCCTTTCCTATACTCCGCGATACAAAAACAAAACATTCACCATGGCAAGCATTGTCGGCCGTCCACTCAACCGCCTCCGCAGATCCGACACCTACAAACCTCTCCACGAACGATGGGGCGACGTCTCCATCTCCGCTCCCACCGACGGATCCTGGAACCAGTTCGATAACCCTCATCAATCGTCCCACCGTACCCGAGGCTACGGCCCAGGCTTCGTCCCCGAACACCCTCCCCGAGGCGCCTCCCACGTCGAAGAGGACGCCGTGCCCTCGGCGCGCCCATCCAGACACAGCCACGCCCGCCAAAGTACTTTCTCCATGAGCACGCTTAACCCTCGTCGTCTGTCCGTGCGTCTGGGCCCTCGTCCGAAACATACCGCGGAGAACAACGTGGCCCACGAACCGACCGCCCAGCGTGACCGGCGCACCGAGTTCGCGTATAAACCTATCCACAAGGATTATGCGACCGAGGTGGCCGAGCACGTCGCGACAAATGATCACCCGTCGCCGCAGTTTCGGTATATTCCTGCCACGCCGCGGTACGCGGAGGATGTGGGATTGCCGTTGCCGTCGCCGTATGCGTCGTCGTCGGCGTCATCTTCCTCTTCTCGGTCGAAGGACAGCGTGCGTGTTGGAAGCGACCATCGTCGTGAGCGAGATAGACAGACCGTGTACTCGGATGACTTGAACGAGGAAGACGAGGACGAGTACACAGCGTACCCATCCGGTCGGTCTTCGTCGCGGCTCTCAAGGGCCGAGTACCGCAGTAGTGCGGATTATAGTGGCCGGCGCGCGAGCTCCTTGTTTGGAGGTAGGAGTTCCGGTGCGACTTCGGCTGAGAAGAAGAGGTATCGGTCGAGTGCGAGGTACTTGACTACGGATATGGTGCCGGATGCGGATGAGATGTATGGATGAGAGATTTCATATTTGAATTGTTCGGGCTTTTGTTGTTTTATTTGGTTAATTTAGGCGTTATGGTTGCTTGCTTTCCTTGACTGCATTTGGCGGGAGGGTCGTTTTGTTTTCATGCATACCGGAGCCAGGGTTAGGCGTTGGTGGTCGATTACAGTTACTTGCACATTTTCATTCATTATCGACGCGATGAACATAAAATGACTGATCAGATATTATGAATAATATGAATGATGAATCTTCTTGATCCTTAGTAAAGAGGATAAAGTGTTGATTAATCCAACCGGGCATCCGTTGACGTCAAAATGACGATACCCCCTTGGCTTGTGGATGGGCCCATTCCCATAGGATCCCAACGACTGAGATGCAACGAGGAATTGGAATAATCATGATATTCTGGAGATTAGATTGCATTTCATGCCTGTGACATAATGTAGTCATGACGTCGTGGTAACGCGACCTGCTCCTACGGTGTTCTTGCTGACTTTTGCTTGGCTGTGTTCGTCGAAGTATAAAATTGAATGTGAAGACAACTACCTAGGGACATTTGAGATATAGTTATTAGTTACCTACGACATCAACAATGGCCGAGTCAGTGGTGCAATTAAAGTGCGAATGCAAGGTATGTCAATGACCCTTTCCATCTACATGCATATGATTCTTTGATGTACGGAGTCACGTCTAACATCCCATTTACATCTACAGCACGACCCCTGGGGCAAGAAAGGCAAAGATTCCATTGCCGGACAGCTCTGGTCCAAGACCCCCGGAGCGGGAGATCTGAAAGATGACGAGACATATTCTGAGGTATGAAGTGTCCTATCAAACCTTCAGAAGAGTGAAGCTCATAGAACACAGATGTGGATGGGCACGTATCCCACCGTTCCCTCTCGATTGCTTTCCACCGGTGAACTGCTCTCCGACTATCTGAAGAAGAACCCGCAGCTGGTGGGCAAAGCGACTTTGGAGAAGAGCGGGCCTGAGATTCCATTCTTGCCTAAGGTGAGTTCTCCTCATACATATACCGTCCCTGATCCTCATACCTCATCCTCATACCTCATCCTCATACCTCATCCTCATACCTCATCCTCATACCTCATCCTAACCATATCCAAGATCCTCTCCTTCGCCAAATCCCTCCCTCTCCAAATCCACCCCGACAAATCCCTCGCCGAGAAACTCCACGCCAAGGACCCCCATAAATTCGGCGACAGCAACCACAAACCCGAGATCGCCATCGCCCTGTCCCACTTCGAGCTCTTCGCCGGCTTCAAGCCCTTCGACGAGATCTCCACCATCATGCACCTGCCCCCTCTAACCCGCTACCTCCCCTCCCAATCCAACCCCTCCTCCAGCGGATCATCAACCGCCCCAGAAATCAACGCCACCACCCTCCGCACCATCAGCAAAACCCTCCTCTCCCTCCAACCCAACATCGTCGCACAAACCATCTCCGAACTCCAATCCCTCCCAGACACCCACTTCGGCCCTCAGAACCGCATGATCCCAAGCCTCCTCACCCGTCTCAAGAACCAATACTCGGAATCCGACAACGGCGCGCTCGTCGCCGCCCTCCTGATGAATTACATGGCTATTGGACCCGGCGAGGCCGTCTGCGTCCCGGCGGATGGGATCCATGCGTGGCTCTCTGGCGATATTGTCGAGTGTATGGCGCGGTCGGATAATGTGTTGAATACGGGGTTTTGTCCGCGCGCGGACCGCGATGATGTGGAGTTGTTTGGGGAGGCGTTGAGTTTCCATCCGCGCGGGGTCGAGGAGGTGAGTTTGCTGAGACGGAGGAGTGAGAAGGGGGTGAATGGGCGGACGCATGTGTATGCGCCGCCGTTTAGTGAGTTTAATGTGTTGGCGACGGGGTTGGGGAGTGGGGAGAGGGAGAGGCATGAAAAGATTGGGGGGCCGAGTTTGTTGTTGGTCACGAAGGGGGAGGGCAGGATGGTTGATGGGGAGGGACATAGTTGGGATGTGAAAGAGGGAGCGGTGTTTTTTGTCGGACAGGGTGTGGAGTTGGAGTTTGTGGCGGACAAGGGGTTGGCGTTGTATAGGCCTTATGCGGAGTAGTGGGCTGGATGGAAGATTTAAGCATTGGAGATGGGGTGGACTAAGACTGCATACTAAATTGGTACTGTACATGGATTGATCATGTCTACTAGACCAACCCTAAGGTTCGAGAATCTACAGACGTTGCACCAACACACCATAGATACTCTTAGTACTCTACAGTACACAAAGGTGATGATCACCCATTACTGTTAACTACTCCGTATATTCACAAACTAAACAACGGATCACACAACGATCTTTTAATAGTACAAGCGGGGACAGCGGGCGCTCAGTGGCGCCGACACGTCCAGCACGCTGAAGTCGGCGCTTGGACACATCTCTCCCCGCCAATAACGCCCGTCAATCCTGCAGAGTAATGGATCCTGCCACTGCTATTTCCGTTAATTTTGGGCTATTTTTGGTGGGGACTGGAGACGCTCGGTGTGCTTCTGAGGTCTGACAGGTCCGTCACGCCAGCAGGATCAGGTTAATTCATTGTCAATTGATCCGATCTGGGTCGCTACTCGCTGTTAAGTTTCGAGATTAAAATAGGTGGTTTGCATGCATGAGAGAGGGGAATTCGCTTTTGAAACGAGGTCTGTGCTAGAGCTTGCCTGGTTGATTGCTTGCTTGTCGGTCTTTTAAACGCGACAGCGTCGATGTTGTTGTTTGGGGTTCTTGATCTTTCTTGCCTGCTTGCTGTCGGGTTCATTGCTTTTCGTTTCAATTCCGTACCCAACTTGGATCGACCGGAACATTCATTGTCGGTCTGTTGTTAATGGGGTCACGTCGATCTTGGTAACCTAGAGAAGTCAGTCCAGTCTCGCACCCAACTTGCCCTAAGTCGCGGCCGCCTGGAGCAATTCGTCATGAACGCTCTTCATCGCAACCACGTCCGCTCCGACGATTATGAATCAACCGACTCATCCTCATCCTCCAACACGTCCCGCGACAGGATCATCATCGGTGTCGTGGTCGGTGGTGTAGCCGCCATAGCCAGTACGTGCTTTCTCCCGTAGACCCCTCCAGCCACCCGAGTTGTGCGACCACCTTGTGCCAACCTACCTGCACATTGAACTCACCACACCTTCCTCACTGGAAGGGATATATAAAGAGATACTGACTTCCGGCAGTCACCGCAGGCATCCTCTTCGTTCTCTTCAAAAAGCGCAAATGGGATCGCATCCGCCGGTACGAGGAACAGGTTCTAGCCGCCCACGCCGCCGACGGTACAAGCGGGCACGGGTATAAAGCGTACGGGTTCGCCCCGGGGGACCTGGAACTGGGAGACACGAGGGCCTCATCGTCGCTATCGTGGACGTACGGTGGCGCGCCACAGTCGCTGGAGCAGGAAGAGCCGAGTCAGCATGACAGTCAAAATCAAAATCAGAACCAACGCCAAAGTGAAAGGCAAAGACAAGGGCACAGGGAGCGAAGAGAATCGCACGACTCCTCCCCTCCTCCGACATATCAGCCTCTGCCTGTGTACGACCCCTCGCGGTATTCGGGTATCGGGATCAGTCGGCTGCCGGCTGCCGTCAAGCCGTCGTGGATGATGGGTAGTCGAGGGCCGATGGCTATGTCAGGGTCAGGGCCGGGGTCGAGGAGCGATCAGCATCGCCATTCGACGACGTATATCGGGGGGTTGGATCAGTCGCTTGACCAGAGGGCAGGGTCCTCCCTGAGCAGGTCATCGCCAGAAGGATCGCGGTCGTTCGAGTCGGAGGAAGAGAACTTGACTGGTCAAAGGGGGCGAGGACCACGACGACCGAAACCGGTTCTCTCTAGATTGATTACCAATCTGTGACGGTTGAATCTGCTGCGATGAGATATGATTGTGCTTGGGTTGGTGCCTGATGGTGTCTGGTTTTGGTTGAAATGGCGTTCGGGTCTGGGCTGGATAACTCACTCGTTTGATGGGATGGGGTGGTCACGGAGTCCATGGTATGAAGTAATGATAATGACCTCTTTCTTTGTTGAATGAGAATGAAAATACCAAATCATGACTGATTCTGAGTGAGAAGTAGGTCGGAGCTGTTCACGTGTCGGTTCTGAATATCTTTTGTCAGGTGACAAGGCACTTTCCCTTGGGGTCCTGGAGACTCAGGCTTGAGATATGGTGTCCTTGCATGCCATGTATGTCTTGCAACAACTGCCAAAGTGAGACCATAGCCACCTGTCAGGCTGAATGATATACTTTGATAAACCTTCCAGAGACGATTGACTCTGAAGGCCTGGCACTGAACAATGGGACAGAATCACAGATCAAGATTGACAATAACATTGCATGAAAGGAATTATCATACCCAGGTAGGATACAAAAAAAAGGTACTATTGACAAAGACCACGCAGGTATTCCATAGGATCTAACTAATACCCCAACCAACAACTCGAGCCCTGAAAGGGCGATGGTCATTAGTTCCTCAGACCGTTGCAACCGACGGCTTTGCGCCGAGGATTCACCGGGCAATTAATGTCTTGTCATCACAGCCACCGGCAAAGAGTGGATCTGTGATCATTCATGATTCTGAATTTCAAATACTATCCCTGTCCAACAGCTCTCAGCCTACCTGATCAGGAAGCACAATTCCCCATCGACTGGGTTTTGGGTCTCCCAGAGCCAAAGTACATGTCGTTGCATCTGCACCCATGTCCGCAAGGATTGGCCCGCACAGTTCTAGTCCAGAGCCTACTGTGTGGTCAACTGAGTGACAAGGAGAATTCGAGTCAATGGGATGCGACCAAGATACAATGACTCCATCACGGCGGTTAGTTAAGCTCTGTGGATGGTTCGGGGCCAACCGTGACGATCAACCGGGTGCTTGTTCCCTGACCGACCAACGACGGCGCCGCGATGGCGTTGGCCCTAACTTTCGCGACCATCGTTACCTGCGTCGTTTCCCCTCTTTGTGGCTCTTGGCCTTTCTCCTCCGAGGCTCCGACCCTGCGACATCGACCCGAAATGGGTTTGTTGTTATCCAGTCCGTCTGTCAGTCCGACCAGAGATCTCGTCACGATTTACTGACGCGCCGGTCCCCACCGACTCGTCTGACACCTCGCCAACGAGACCGTGGGAAAGAAAGGGCCTCCACGGCTTGGCTTGCGTCGCGGGGCTGATACGACGACGGCAGGGAGGATGGGAACTTCTTGCTACATCTTGATTGTCCCACATTTTAGCTCGTCCAGGGGTCTTCTGGTCAGCAAGCGCCACGCCAAGAGACCCTACGCCGGTTTTGCGTCGTGTGCACCGCATCCGATATCCATGTCGTTTCTCAAGCACCTTGACTGCGCCGCCGAGTCGCCTGGCAACCCCTCCCTCTTTCCCTGGTCCCCTATGGTCCCCTTGGATTTCCCGATTGGAGAGAACTTCCCCTCTTCGCCCTCCTCGCTCGTTCGGATCCTAGCAATGCAAGCCCGGATCCGACAGGGCCAGCGATGGTTTGCTCGCCGGTCGTCCCGCCGCAAAACCGCCGCGGGTGATCCCAATGGGCCTGCGGTCGACCTCCTCCACCGGGACGAAAGGAGAGCGTAAAGGAGGGGGACGACCCAGACTGTCGGGTCAACAACGCGTCTTCTGCCCTTCAGCGAATGTGGGAAGGTCGGAGGTTTCCCTCCTGCTGAAGGACACCACTTGCCTGACTGGACCTGCACTTGACTCTCCTTCGCGGCGATCTTCCCGTCATCACGCCGTTTGCACTTAGTCTTTTCCATTTCATTGGATTTGTTTTTCAAAATCTTTTATTCCTGACTTGACTTGAGAGGCATGCGCCCGCGGTTGCGCCCATTGGGATATGCTCTGATATATCCTCACCCTCATGCAGGCCGGTGGCTGCTTTCCCCCTTATTCTGTTCGTATTCGCTCGTTTTTTGATCTCTTTGTTCCTGAGCTCTTGTGAAGAAGGTTTTGGCAAGAACGGGAAAAGAAGAAAGAAAAAGAAAAGAAACTGCCCAACGCGGTTCAGCTGCCATCTAGCTGCTCTTCGGTACGCGCCATTTGTTCTTCCCCTTTCTTTTTACTGTTGGAGATTCTGTATGCTTGATTTGGTGGTGCTATTTATTTATGTGACGTCTTACGGCCTGGGCTTTTAACACAGCCTACCTGGGCTTCGCCCTATGGCCCATGACTTGCGGTAATCTATGATCCCATGATGCTTACCAAGCCTTGGTCTTCCAGGCGTCGGTTCATGAAAGGTCCTCGGAGGATCATGACGGCCATCATTGAAAAATTGAGAAGAAAGCGCAAGCTTTCGTCCGAGCTTCATGCTCGATGGGGCGACGTGTCTATCAGCTATCCCACCGAGGGATCATGGAGTCAATGTCAGTCCTCCGGGGGAGTCCCCAACGCCTTTCCCGCAAGGCCCTCTGAGCAGAGTCGAAGACATGGCTCGCTTGATGCGTTGGACCGACCGGCGGGGTCGTCGCGAATGCCCACTCCGTTACGCTCGGGCGATCGCAAGGCCTCTGTCGACTCGGCCATGACGATACCCACCGGCCACTACGACGCCAAACTCCGTGGTCGATCGAAGACCAAGACGCCCTATCCTCATTCCCCGCGAGCATGGGAGGCAGATTCCGACGAGTGCTCAGCTGACGAGGACGAAGAGGAAGACGTGCCCTCGGCCCTAGGCGACTCCCGGGGACGATATCATCACCATCACCCCCAAAGTGCTTCTCGTGTCGGGGCCCGGGACGAGGACCCCTATGCGCGAGCATCTAAGTCACCCCCGTTATCGGTGACATCTCGCATGCGCCGCTGCAGTCTACAGAGTACGGCTACGGAGCCAACTACGATGCCCACGACTGCCAGTTCCAAGCACTCCAGTTTCGTTTCCTCGGTACCTTCGGTACCCTCGATGCCATCTGAGGAACCCCGGTCCTATCATCCTGTGCACCAGGACAAAAAGCCACCGCAGCAACCCCAACAGCAGCCGCCGCCACGACGGACCAAACCCCGCGAGGCAGACCCAGTGAGGAGACAGGAATTGGTGCCATCGTACGATGAACTCTACGGATAGGGTTTTGACTGGACAGGGACTTTACCACGAGTCATGGCGGAATTTCTGGTTTAATCTAATTCTTTTTGTCTCTTTTTCTTGGTGTCGATTTTATTCGTTGGATTTTTGTTTTCTAATTCTCCGTGGTCACCAGCGAAAGCAAAAGGTACCAGCTGCATTGTGGCGTCTTTTTGATTTTTGGGTGGTATTTTTCCTTTGCTTTTACTTCTCGGCCATTTTTATTTCTGAAATATTCCATTCATTATTATTATTCTCTGATGACACTTCTGTTATCTCTGTGCACATCCCAACGGGTCATGCCCGTCCATCGGGCGATCATTGGGAGGAGACCCTCTGAATTACAATCTGACCCATGCACGCAATTTAAGCTATTTGGTTCTGGACCGTGGGAGTCCCTTACGGGCAATGTTACTCTCAAGCCGGGAAATCAAGCGATCGTGTTGGATTTGGTGGACTTTCTCCGTTCGTGTTGACCACTAATTTAGTGTCGTCACTTCATCACGGCGACAACAACGACCTTCTCATAAGTCAGTCGAGTCAATCCACCGTGCAAAATCCTTGTTCATCCTCCGGCGCGATGCATCCGACACAGAATAGCGACCTCAGAGGCTTTGGTCCACCAATCGCTTTGAATCCTTCGCCGTGAGGGGTACATCGAGTTCTTTAGTGTCGTTGGCTCGTTAGCAAGTTCGTTAGCCTCGACTAGCCAGCGAGGATCGGCAAATGAACAGCTTCATCCAGCGCCCGCTGCGACCTGCAGGCCTCGTCACAATCACAATCGGAATCTCACTTTCCCTTTTCCCGTCACACGGTCCGTTTCCTACCCCAATGGGCCAGGGTTTAAGTTGGATCACTGTGCATTTGCGGCGTCGTGCAATCTGACAGGCTCTCTTAGCGCCCAGCACGCCTCTTTGACCCGCTATCCATGCTTGTTCCTCTTTTCCTGCTGGATGGCTTGCTCGGTTTTCCTCCTCTCTGCATTTTTCGCCCTGCTTTGGGTCTGGTACTTTATCAGGCTCACGGAAGGAACCGAAAAATGCCAACCCCAGGGATTCTTGCCGTTCGTGCCGTCTTGTCGTCTGTATAGCTCGTTCTTGGTTCTTGTCCCTTCCTTCCTCTCGTCAGATCTCTCTAATCCCTCGATCCTCTCGCCTGACTGCCTCTAAGCCTTGGTTCACCGGACGGTGAGATCGATGCCAGCACGACTGATCCTACGACACCTGGTCTGGCTGTCGTAGAGACGAGGGTGAGATTCTATCTGGTTCTTCCTTACCAGACCAGATCTGAAACGAGATCTCGTCGGACCGATCGATCCCTCAAAAGCAAAACACAAATCAAGATGCTCGGCTCTGCGAGCTCTCTGAGATCTACGACAATATGGGCGGGAGCCCTAATAATATCGCTGCTCCTGCTGGGCCTGACAACCCCGGTTGCCGGGTTGCGGAGCACCGCCGGGTCGCCCTGCGTGGATGTCTGCAATCGTCAGTCAAATAGCACCACAGGGTCCGAAATTGCTTGTCTCGACGATGAGTTCAAGAATACGGCCAAGGGGTCCAATTTTCAGCAATGCGTGGAGTGTCAGTTGCGCAGTAATTACAGCGACTCGGCCTCGGGCCAGACGGATGTCGAATGGGGACTGTGTAAGTTTCTCTTGTTATTCCTTGCCCCTGCATGCTTTCCCGTTTCACGACCTGCCTCTGTGTTCCAGTGAAGATAAGCTTCTAATGCAAGGGGAATCCATGCAGATAACCTTCGATACACATTCACTAGTTGCGTCTACGGGTTTCCCGAAAGCGTGAACAATATCTCTTCGCAATGTACCGTTTCCTGCCAACCGTTGGATTCGTCGCTGGAGTATGATCTCAAGGACCCCAGCGGCGCGAATTTCGATACCTGGTGTGGCGTTTCCTCTTTTGCCGATAATCTGATCAGTCAGTGCGAATTCTGCTACAACCTTACCACGACGCAGGTTTATATGGCGAATTGTAAGTTCTGGTTTTTTCCCCCTGCTTTCGGGCGAAATCAGTGGTATGGCTTTCTGACCATAAGCAAATTGCAGTCCTCGAAGCACTGCGTTATAACTGCCACTTCCATGTCCCCACAGGAAGTGAATTCCCCATCAATCCAACCCGCATTTTCAGCCAATCCATGCTGCCCGAATCTACCGTTGACCTTCTCAACCCGGACGACGGTGGATCCGGCATCAATAACCTAGCCCTGGTAATTGCCCTGCCCATTCTGGGATTCGTAATCCTGCTCTGCACCCTCGCGGTCGGCTGCTTCTTTTTCATCCGCTGGCGGCGCAGAAAAGCCCGCAAGGAGCGCGCTTCGGGCCATCTGCACGCCCGCTGGAATGATACCACCATCAGTACCCCTGCGCACGGATGGGCGCAGTACCAGCAGTATCAGGACATGTATAGTCCCGCGATCCAGCAGCAGGGCTACGGGGCGGTGCAAGGGGCAGGAGCAGGAGGGGGGTTTGGGTTCGTGGACAGCGACGGCCGACCGCAGCATAATGTGGGATTTTCAAAATCACATTATGCCTCGGTCAGTGAGTCTTCTGTGCAGGCGCCCAGCACGACTTATTCTCCTGAAAGGGAGAAGGGGTCGGAGCAGCAGACTTACTGGGGCGGACAGGTTCAGCCCTACTTTCCGCCGCCGGGGGAGGTGCAGGGGCAGCAGGATCAGAAGAAGTGAGTAGGTAGGAAGGCATGGTTTGAGGGTCTGTATGTTTCTTCTCGCTTTCTGTTATGAGGTGGTCACACCCACATATGAGAGAGAAAGAGATCGGATCCCTTGGACCAGGATAGTGACGATAGGGACAGGTCGGGACATACCATCACGAGTGGCTGACCGAGTCTCGATTTGCATTTTTCATTTTCCCGTTTGCGATTCTTTCCTTGACTCCATTTTGCCCTTTCGCGTTCCTTCCTTTGATATCCTGATCAGGATCATGCGGTGGATGTTATATACCCCATATCTCACACCCCATACCTTATACCTCCGCCCGAGGAGCATTAATGTCTGTCCACTCCTTTTCTGTCTGAGCTTCGGGTCGTCCGACGACTTGATGTTCTGTTTGTGTTGTTCATAACATTTCTTTTCAGCGCCTGGCGTCGTTATTGTTTGATTGTCGGTCGAAGTCGAGATGCAGTTGAGTTGGAGTCGAAGTTGACCTAACGGGACGAACGAGGAAGAAAGGAGCGATCGAGCGAACCGAGCCAGCGAGCGATAACATCCCCTTGTCCATATGCAAATGAACCCAATCCTATGAGTTGAAATGTATATATCGCAAAACAAAAACAGAAAAGAAAGAAGGAAGAAACCCCAATTACACCCACGAAGCAAAACCACCCAGAAAGAACCGGCCGAAACGAATCCCTCCCCCCCAATATATAACCCCCTCTCAACGCCCAGGCAGTAACAATAAGCCAACGAATAACCCATAAAGTAACGAATAATCGGTGAAAGCCAAGCACTAAAAATAAACACGGCCTGTCAACCCCCCAATCGTTGACGAATGAGCGTGCGCGCCATGCCTACCAAGAGTCTTGGGTTGCTTGGATGAAGGGACAGGATTGGTTGGGTGAAAGTGACGGGTTGATATTTATAGATGGTTGTGAAGATGGCACTTGCAGGTTGCTTTTGTTAGATTCTCTGTTCTCTCGTCCCCTCTGTCGTACATATATTTTGGTGGACTGGAGGAGCGGGGATGAGGTGGTGTTGCTATGTATAGATCTTTTTTTCAAGGGTTAAGGTGGTTAGGGAGGGAGGGAGGGAGAGTTAGGCAGCCTTGTTTTTGGTTTTGGTACATAGGCTATCATGTGTGTGTTTATGAATGTATGAGGGGTTCTATTCTATTCTATTCTATTTGTTGTCAGTGAGCATGGAACGACGTTCCTATAGAAGAGTAGAGGAGAGGAGAAGATACATCCCCTCCCTCCCTCCACTCTAAACCCTAAATCCTACTGCTTCGGCGTCTCTCTCGCCCGTACAGGCTCAACATACCCATTCATATTATCCTGATCCCTCGATGCAGGATGACTATGACTATCTTCCATCTCAAGATCAGTGCTTAGGTTCGTGAAGCCGTGTTCGCGGCGCGCATTCCGTAGTTGATACGTGCTGGCTGTGCGATGCGGTCGTCGGATTTTGCCGCCGCTGGAGCCGACTTCGTGGATTCGGAGGATTTGGCGGAAGGAGGGGAGCGCGGCGCAGATTATCACGAGGTTGCATTCGACGTTGCTGTTGATTCGAAGGCGGTATTAGAACGGAAGAGGGACGTTGGGGCTGGATGGGGGAAGGCATTGGGGATGGGGGAGGGTACGAACATCCAGAGTGCCACTTTTCCGAAGAGATATGTTTGGTCTTTGGAGTGGAAGAGGGGGATTATGGCGGAGATGCGAAGCGCGCTGGTTACGACTGATCTGTAGGGATTCATTGCATATTAGCATTGGTTGGATATGATCTGAGATGCGTAAGGATGGGAGAAGCATACAAACTTCCTAGTAAAAGGATCAGGAAAATCCACGCCTTATTCCTCATAGACATCTGCAGTCTCGACACAACAGGGAGCGGAATCACGAGCAGGATAATATCCGTAATGACGCTCGCTACGGCCCCCGTCATGAAGATCGTTGTGCGATTGACACACGCCCCATCAATGTCTTCATTCCAGGCCTTGGGGATAGGACGACAGCCGAAAAGAAACAGAAACTCGATGACCAGCAGGTACGATGTCACGAAGATGGCCATTCCGATAATCGTGGCTTTCCATGTGCTTCGCAGTTCCGAGAAGCGATAGTATAGCGCGATGACGGCGAGCTTGGACAGGCCCATGGCTGGTGCGTAGAGGAGTGCACCTGCTACTAGGACCTGCATCGACTTGATGTGTTCGCTTTCGTGGAGATCCCATTCGTGGACCCCTATGCCTGCTTCGCTATACCCGTCTATTCGAGATTAGTCCGGTTGGTATGAGCGAAGTAGAAGAAAAGGAACCTACATAGTAGTAAAGCCTGAGTAGCCACGGCGAACACCTAGGTCGCGTCAGACTTGTCAGCTATTTATCACAGGGTTTGTGTTTTTAACTTACATACCCACGAGATAGCAAGAACCACTATTTCAAACCACAATTAGCTAGGTTCATTGCCCAGGAGAATGCTATACAGTACCATCATCCAACAACATCTTCCTCAGCACCACGAATCGCGCATAGCTTCGCACCAACATACACAGCGTGCTCAACACCAAGCCAACGATTACCACTACCTTATTAGCGGTATGTAAGTAGCGATAGGGATGTTCAAAATCCGCCACATCGCCTTCCGGCGCAGGCAGAGCAGCCGTATCTGAATCGGTGCCATTATTCATGACGCTGAGTCCATCTGAACTCGGAGTCAATCAGTCAGGAGTCATGGCGAGAGCTCGGGCATATATAACCGGCTCAGATATTTCGGACTTGAGCTGAGCTTGGGCCATATCCGTCGGACTTGGATTTGATAGTATTTGCTTCCGTGGTTCCGAGGATCCATTATTCCTTCTGATCATCGTCAATGTGACCCGGGATGGGTAGGGCTCATAGGGTTATTTGAAACATTTGCGGCACGGCTGAACCTCGGCGGTTTGTGGGATTGTCGGGGTGGGTTTTGGTGTGTATAAAATGGATAGCTAGTAGCTAAAGGGGGAGAGTGGTGTCAAGATAAGACAGGTGTTTGTGTGATTGACAGCTACGGACTATCGTGATGGAGATCGAAGATCGTGGGTGGCTCGTGCTGGATGTCTTCACGATCGGATCGGTCAGTACTCAACATACACACCTTTCTTTTACACCTTCAATTCTTCTTATCTTGACTTTCTGTTCATTTTCAGGCGATATTTCACCGACTCAGTTACACAAATAATTTGAAGGTGAAGACCATTGTTCAGGGACAGAGTTTGGAAGGATTCTTAGTTTTTTCTTCACGGCCCACTTGGGTATATTAAGCCCTTGGGCATTGCCTCAACGGCGATGATCTTCAACTAATTGAGCCAATTTGTGATGGCGGTATTCCTCGATCCATGATTATGAATTGCACATGAAATTAAGCATGACTGATGTGCCCCTTAGGACGAGGTCTCGACGTTAAGACATTGTGATCGCTGCATCTACTCCGTAGGGCGCAAGGAGTATATGATCCCATAAGGTGCTGCCATTCCAGTCCCGTCTGCTTGACAAAGTATATGCGCTGAATACAGGGATACTCACTGATTTAGAGAATAGCTTAGCTAGTGCAGTCGAAGATCCTTAATTTCTCCTTCTCTCTAGTCTTTGTCTTCCTAGGATTGTCTAATTTTGTAGGTGCTGCATGCAGAAACAAGCAGTGAACGCGAATGCTTGAAACCAAAGGATTCAACGTTTCAGATCGGAATACCATTTTTGATTCAGTACTTTTGTACCTGTGCTTGAGTATTGATTTGTGACAAATTCTCTCTAGGTAACTTGTGCTATAAGATCTCTGCACTATATACTCCGTAGACGAATGACCGCCAAGCACCAGAGGATTTGTGCCGACAAGTTATGTTGAATAGTGCTGAGACTCATAAGCACGACAGGCATAAGCTAGTTAACTAAATGAACTAAAAGATGACTCGCAACCTAGTTGCTGCCTATCTACTAAGGATGTTTTTGCCTACCTATACGGAGTACATATTCTCACTCTCTGATCCTGCTATTCTCTAGTCAAGAACAGAAACAACACCGCTAACAATGAGAGAAGGTCTCGACCTCCCAGCCTTTGGGGAGCTGCCATTTGACCATCTCATCCTGGTACATCTTGGATATCAATACAACAAGTGCTACCCAAGCTAATACCTCGCACCAGGGAAATTGGGACCCAGCATCCCCGCTCTCCAAACACGAGCAGAAAAGAGCCTTAGTTGAAAAATGGATATCGATGGGGAAATACGGGCGAAATGTACCCTATCATGTTCAATCTGAGATTAATTCCATCTACCTACCTATCTATCTCTCCTTCTCGCCTTGTGTCCTTGTTCTCAGACCCGTCTATCATCTACATTATCTCACATCGAATCTAGGAATACGCCCTCTCCGCCTTCGAAGGCCCACTACCCCCCGACGAGTCCTATCCACCAGATATCCCACAAACCTTGCTCACAGAGACCGACCGCTCCATCAGCACCATCCTAGCCACCGCCCTGTGGATCCGGACGTGGTTCGGTGGCCCAGACCAGTCGAGCCAGGAGGCCGCAGACGCCGCGTACCAACGACTCAGGGAGCGCGTCACCGGGCTAGAGGCATGCATGACCCCTGAATTCATCTACGACGAGCGAGACGAACTGGCACAGGTCTCAAACGGACCGGATATTGAGGCGGGAACTGCGCTCGGAACACCATGGTCGATCCCGGGGTATCTGGTTGCGGCGATGATGCATTGTCCCGAGCTGTTCGAGGGGTGTTCGGATGGTGGCTGGCGGCATTTCAGCGGAGAGGAGCGCGAGGAAGAGGAGAACGAGAGTCGGACGTCGCAGGTGGCTATGGTGCTGGTGGCGGATCGGAAGGCCTGCGAGGAGGGTTGGGTGCTGCTGTTGGCGCTGAATCATAGGGGTCAAGTACTGCCGTATAGGGTTCGGGAGAGGGCGAGCGAAGCGGCGCAGCATGTGGTGAATTGGGCAGAGGGGCAGCCTTTGGTGGAGATGGCGTGGAGAGAGGATGATGAGGGGGAGTTTAACTTGGCTTGGAGGGGGGATGATGGATGGGCTTAGTATGACTTGGGATGGAGGTTGTAGCAGTGGTTCGGATGGCACTTGATCGATGAGGATGGATGTGCAGGGCGTGCAATTTCACATCCAGAGATGACTGCAGCTCAAGGTCTGGGTGAAACGCGGGTAACATATCAAATGCGAAGGAGATACTGGGTCAATAACTGGTCGTATACTGTTTGGACGGGCTTAGGGCAAATCCCAATCGGGCGGAGTTTGTATGTACTGCCGGTCCCCTTCTATATTACCATGAAATGCAGTTGGTAGTGACATTTGAGATATAAACTTGATTAATGTAGGTTATCTCTGTTTTATATTCTGACAATCGTATTCCATGATATTTTTCATTTACAGCAAGGTTCTCTGGTGGATCATATGTAAAAGGCCGCGTGTATATGCAGCCCAAAATGCTTGTACATGCACATAGAGTAAGAGAGTAATCAGAATAAGAACAAAGCCTCCCTAGTGATTATCTATTAGATCATTTAATAGTAAGAGTACAACTTGGGTTTGAGTAGAGATAATATTATAGATCTATTTTCGGCTATTGTCTTTTTATATCCGTGTACATTCTGTTGCCTACTAGGAGTTATCTTCAAGAGTACGGAGGTGTGTACCAAAAGTTATCAGAATGCCACTAGTAATATTGACAGCCAAGCAGAAAGATCTTGTAAAGTAGCATTATATTTAATTGATATATCATATTGTTCTATGCCTAGTTGGTCATTTAATTATTGTGAGGCCTGGAATCCCTAAAGTATAGGGGTGCTTCAATTAAGAATAATCTGCACGAGGTGGGAAAGGTGGTCGGCTGCGCCGGCCACCTTGGGGGGTTCGCTGGTCATGTGACCGGGTCACATGAACATCCCAGGGTCAGGTCCCTGACACTACCCCCCCCTTAAACAAGCGGACGAGGTCCCACGAGCCATGTAACAAAACTAAATACACAAAAAATCGATAAAACAACGCATAAAAAACACATGAAAAGAGGAGCCAATCACACGGCCGGTGTCGAATTAACGAGTACAGCGACGTTAGGGCCGCCCGGAGGGTCCGTAAAGTAGGTAGGCGGCGGCGGCTTCTCCGGGTGCCGGGCGTGATATTGCAATATCAGATCCGCGGAGTTCTTAAAGTCCTGCCAGCGCTGCCACGGCGGATTCGAATTCCAGTCTTCTCACGGGTCTTCGAAAAGCGCTTTATACTGCGGGTCTTGTCGTGTCAGCCGGAAGTCAACGACCTCCCGGACGACCCATTCCGGGTGTTCCTCCATAGTATCCACGTCCATGATCATGACAGGTTCCTGAGGATTCTCGTGTTGACTGAGATAAGCGTCGTCCGGGGTAGGGGCAAGGCGAAGCAGGGAGGGATGAAAAACGGATGTAATCCCGGCAGAAAGCATATAATCTGATAGCTGCAGCTCGTATGCCTTATTATCGATATTCCGCGTGATAGACCACGGCCCGAGGGCCTTAGGGGATAGCGAATCACTCTCTCGCTGGAGACGGAAGTACCTAGCATCTACAAAGACGCGGTCTCCAACTCGGTAGGCAGAATGGGGCTGGCGGTAGGCGTCTGCATAGCGCGCGTAGGCTTCTTGGGCCCATACGATCTCGTTACGCAGGAACTCATTGATTGCTTTGATACGCCGGACAATTCGATTGGCTGCTTCCATTTCGGAGTGCGTAGGGTCATCGAGCAAGCCCGGTGACTCTGTGCCGGTACGAGAGTGAAATTCGTAATTAACAAAGAACACGGTCATCCCGATGGTCTCGGAGACGTGGTCATTCGCTGTGAATTGCGCGTCAGGTAGATAGTCAGCTTAGTCGTCTTGTGCAAAGTTAACATAAACTCGTAGATAGTTCTTCAATCCCTTTATCGCGGCCTCGGATTGCCCGTTGATCTCGGGATGGTGGGCAGTCGATAATTTACATTTAACGCTATATTGTGCGCAGTATCGCTTCCAGAAATAACTAGCGAATGCGCTATCGCGGTCCGAAACGATCGATCGAAGAAGTTCATATTCGCAGAAAATGCGATGGTGCATTACCTCCGTGAGCTCGTCAACCGACTTCGTAGCAAGTGGCTCAAAAACCTTAGCTTTAGTTAGACGATTGACTACTACCAGTACGTGGCGAAATTCGCGTCCTCGACAATTGCATTTAGGTAGGTCTTCCGCCATGTCCATAGAGATGTCGAGCCATTTACGACGCGGTATAGGAAGTGGCTTTAGTAAACCCTGCGTTTGAACACTGCGTGCCTTTGCTCGCTTACACGTGGCGCAGAAATCCGTGTATCGGTTAATATCTTGCTTCATGCGTGGTCAGAAGTAGTTGCGAATAGCGGCTCGAAACATGCCTTTGGGCCCTGGGTGGCCTGATAGTCGGTGTTGGTGCAGCATCTGAAGGATACGATGACGCAGTGCGTGGTGCTCAGGGATAAATAAGCGATCTCCGATCCATATACGATGCTCCTGAATATCGATCTCGCCCATCGAAATCCTAACGCTTTGCTCAAGGGCAATTCTCAGTGGCTTGCGCCTACCTTCGCGTTTCGTCTTCATGATTTCTTGGGCTACTCTATCGTTCTCGTAGGCCTCATCGATAAGGGTCTCCAACGGAACCTCATCCGCCTCGATGGTTGCAAATATATCTGATTGTTGCAGGATAGGTGACTCTAATGTACCCACTTCGAAAGGGTCGTTTAGTTGACCGTCCAGTTGATTGTTTGGCTGGTCTTGACGGTCCGAGGGATCGCTCAACGCGGAGATCGTAGTGCTGCTGGGGTCGCTCGCAGTTAGTGGTAGTTGAGTATCCGGGATACTACCGGATTGCGATTGCGATGATGCATCCTGCCCTTCTCTCAGAGGGGCGGTATTGGGCTTGATAGGGGTATAGAAGCGGCGCCTGCGTGTACTGACTACACGTAGATCCTTTTGAACCGCTTCATCTAGATGCTGCGTTGAGAGTAACATTTGAAAATGTTCTTTCTCGCGCGTGTCGTCTGCGCCCTGCGGGAGGTCCTGGGAACGGCGGGTGAGGATATCAAGTTTCTTGCCTTGCTTGTCAGGTCGGTACATAATCTTAAAGTTGAATTCGGAAAGGAATTCGGCCCAACGAGCTTGCCGGCGATTTAGTTGCTTTGTAGTCATAAAATGCTGCAGGTTTCGATGGTCCGTATATATCTTTACTGGGTTGCTTGAGGTCACACTGGCTAATTTGGGTCGTCAAATCTTGAAGGAGCGGATAATAGCGAGTAATTCCTTATCATAAATCATATAATTCGTCTCTGCGGGGCTCATTTTCTTCGAAAAAAAGGCAACAGGTCGTAGTACGCCTTTGTGTACTTGCGAGACGATGCCTATGGTCAAATAATCCGAGGAGTCTGTCTCGAGTCATGTCTCCAGTTCAGGGTCGAAATGGGCGAGGATCGGAGCGGTCTGGAAGGCGTTTTTAAGGTCGTTGAAGGCCTTATCACATTCGAGGGTCCATACGAACGTTGGGTAACGTACGCGGCGGGCCCCAGTACGAGTCTCGTAGGTCTCACTATCTTTTGTCAAGTCGGTAAGCGGCCGGGTACGGTGAGAGAAGTCTTTAATAAAACGATGGTAGAAACCAGCGAAATTCACGAAAGAGAGAACATCTTTGACTGAATTAGGTGTCTGCCAATCTCGAATAGCAGCCACTTTCTCTGGATCCATGCAAATCTCATTCGTAGTAACAATAAGGCCTAAATACTTGACTTCCTGCGTGTCAAACTCGCATTTATCAATATCTATTTGTAATTCACGATCTCGCAAGCGTCGTAAAACCTTCAGAACATGTTCAATATGTTCTTTTTCGCTGTTATTATAAATCAAGACATCGTCTAGATACGCGGTATAAAAGATATCCAGATATTCGAGAAGTGAGTTATTTATGTAGCTTTGAAATGATGCAGGTGCGTTGCAAAGGCCGAATGGCATCACTAAGTACTCGAACTGGCCATATCGAGTATTAAACGCGGTTAGCCACTCTTGGCCCTCCTTTATACATAATTGGTTAAATGCGTGAATCACGTCGATCTTGCTAAATACTTTCGCTCGCTTCAGTCGATTTAGAGTCTCATTGATCAGCGGAATAGGATAACGGCTTTTGATCGTGAGCTCGTTTAGAGCGCGGTAATCAACGCAGACCCGTAGGCCTCCGTTCGGCTTTCGCACGATCAGTAGGGGTGCAGCAGTCTGAGAGGAGCTTGAGCGAATGAATCCCTTTCTGAGTTGCTCCTGGATATATTTCCAAACGACATCTAACTCCTGCTCAGTCATAGGGCGATAGCTCTTTGCAAACGGTGGCGTGGCGCCTTTTATTAGCTGGATGTCGTGGTCCTCTGGCCGGTGTGGTGGTAAAGTGTCTGCCTCGTGCTTTATAAAGACTTTTATGACCGAGTGGTATTTCTCGGGAACACGCTTCTTTAGCTGTTCGATTGTATAGGCTTCTTTATTGACTATAAAAGTATCGTAGTCTTCGGGGCGTACGACATTGGTTGTAGAGGCGCAGAGGTGCTTTCTGCCGTCTCTGGGTATAACTAGATAATTGTGATGATCTTGCTGAGCGACTAACGACATAAAATGTCTTGTTGAAACGATCGAGATGTTAGCGGAGCCAGCTAACTGGCTAATCTTGCCGGGCATTGCCTTCGATCCGCGAGCGTAAGCGGTGCAGGGCGTGTTTCGGGGCAGGCAGCCCTCCGAGAAGCATTGGGGGGCATTAAAAGTTAAAATACGATTTGTGAAATCGATCTGAGGGTTATGCTTAGCTAGCCACCTATCTCCTAACACTATCTTATAGCGGGCTAGGGGAGCGATGTAGGCAGCTAACTGTTCCGTATGGCTATCGATAGCGCAGTTGAATAGGACCATTTGAGTCACAGTAAAATAAAGAGTACCATCTGCGAGATACAGCGGAATCGGGGACGTAAGATCTAGAGTAGGCAGGTTTAGGTTGCGTACGAGAAAAGGATCGATAGCTTCAACTTCACTTCCATTGTCTATCAAGACTGGAGTCGTTTGAGGCTGTTAATGAATCTTAGCAGACATTACGAGATGTCTTCCAAGCTTCAGTTGGCTCTCTAACCCTAATGCTAGTGACGATAAGAAACGATGATCCTCCTCTATAGTAGGTTCCTGGTCACGACTTTGATCAGGGACTACTCATTTTCCGAATCTGAAAGTTCTTCAATTCCGACGTCCGCGGCGATTTTATTCAACGATTTACCTTTGTCATTATAGAACGCGTAATTAGGGCAACAAAGATCGCTGGCGCGGTGATTAGAGCCTCTGCAGCTCCAGCAGCGGCTTGAGCGAGCTAACAGGGTCCTATCTTCCGGGGTCAGCCTTGGAGGGTTGCGCTGTGGTTCGAATCACTCGCCCTGTCATTCAGCAGACTTAGTAGAGGAAGGTGTGAACCGGCAGCCACGGGAGCTCGGAGCGGTAGTAGTGTTCGGGCGTGCCGGCGCAGTAGTCTCGGAACTAGTAGTGACTGCAGTCCGCCTGGGTGCAGTGCTGGCTGGCGCGGCAGCGGTATTCTGGGAGCGGGGGCCGCAAGGAAAGTGGAAGTCCATTTCTTTACAATTGCACTCTACCTGCCGGACAGCGTCGAGTAGTTCCATGACCGAGCTAAACCGCTGGGTGTCTAACTGCGTGCTAATATGCGGCAACACGGTATGACGGAGCTTCAGCACGCGGTCGACATTCGCAGTGCCGGCGCGGGTCCAGAGAGGGATAAGATGTTGGTAGTAGTCGGTCACGGATTCCTTACGGTCTTGCTTAATATGAACGAGCTTCCTACGTGCGTCGTCTTCGAGTAAATGGATACCCAAGTAGTTCTCAAGTTCCTTCATGAATTCGTCGTACGTCATACCGGGGTTGCAAGTAGCGTAGCTGTTCATAGTGGTGAAAAGGGTCCCGGTCATCTGGCGTTGGGCATATGCAATCTTACTGACTTCATCCGGGTACAGTGGGTAGTCGGTACGAAGCTTTTGGTCCATAGCGAAGCGCCAAGTATGGTAGTTGTCAACATTCCCGGGGCCAAGTGGCTCGCGGGGCTTCTCATCACGGGGGTGCCAGTTTGCGGTCTCGGCGGTAGTCCATACGGTGTCTGCAGTGCCTTGACGCTCGGCACGGGTGTAAGTATGAATTCTGACGTTTTCGACGTTCTCGACAGGTTCGTCGATATCGATATTAGCGGACAAGGTCTCATCGAAGCGGCCCGGGCCTGGCTCCGGACGAGTAGAGGTCTGGAAATGCTTCATTTCCTTTTGCAGTGCCACGTTTTGGTTGTTGAGGTGCTGAACGATCTTCTTATAGCGTTCTGCTCTAGTACCATGTAGCTTTGCCTCGCTTTCAGCAGACTTAAGTAAGGCTTCGTAGGTCTTTGTCTCTGCCTTCAGGACTTGAATTCGCATCTTTAATAACTCGAAGTCCTGAGCAGAGGGAGGAGGAGGAGGCGCGGAGATCGTTGCGGACGATTGGCCAGTACTAAATAGGAGGCGAGTAGCGCCGAAGGGGTCCCTTTCGTTCGCTTCTTTGTGACTAAAGACGGGGCGAAAAGGGGCCTTACCTTTGTTAAGGTTATCGTCGATCTGGCTGCCTGAAGCAGCAGCAATCGGGGTAGTATCATTATTCAGTGTAGGACGCTTTCTAGCCATCTCTCTAGACATCTTAACCGCAGTATCAGGATCCTGGCGCTCGTCCTCACTCACGGTGGAGCGGAAGGAAGTAGCGCTGCTGGGGCGACCCACACTGGACATTCTGGCAGTGGGTCTCGCTGTGTAAGGGGCCACTCGGGATCGATCGAAGATTTTAATATTACTATTCTGCGTAGAATAGCGTCTCGGAAGATTTCTAGGGATTTCGACTGATTGGTTCGTGGTTTGAGGGTCAGTTTAATTCGGTAGGTAGATGCTGGGTCGTAGCGGTGGCCGTCGGTGGCCAAATTCAACAAAACAAGGGGTTCAGCAATTCAGCAAAGCGATATAATAATAAACTCAGTATTGTATTCGATGGAGCGGTGCAGATTATTAGTGTGAGGCCTGGAATCCCTAAAGTATAGGGGTGCTTCAATTAAGAATAATCTGCACGAGGTGGGAAAGGTGGTCGGCTGCGCCGGCCACCTTGGGGGGTTCGCTGGTCATGTGACCGGGTCACATGAACATCCCAGGGTCAGGTCCCTGACAATTATATTATAAAGCTATTTAAAGCCTTCTCTTAACCAAAAAGGTTTACTTTAGTAGCAAATAGTGTTGTTTTAGGTGATTATTGTGTAAAATTATAGACATTAATATAACCAGAAAAAGTGTCTTTATATGAGATATCACATATATAAATTACTTTTTACAAACGCTTTCCGCTTGGCCAACAATATTACTAGCGGCATTCTGATAACTTTTGGTACACACCTCCGTACTAATTCCGAACCTGGCAATTACCAACATAACTAGGGAATAATATGTTCTGGAATTGAGATTACAGGAGGGTCGTTCAGCTGGAGCTGCAAGATAAAGGGGGCTGGATAGAGCGGATGAACACATGTTCCGACGCTCAAACACCTTTTCGTCTCTCCCCCCTTGCTTCATAATTCTTTTTTTCTTCGACTATTAGGGCCATTTGACAATGGCTAAGCGTTCATTGCAGTCACTTGTTTCCAAACTTCCGTTTGCTCGCAAGCATCGAACGGCTTTCCACGGTGTGGGGACTCAGCTCCCTCCAGATGCGCCTGTCGAAGAAGAGACGGTACCTGGCTATAATGCAAGATCCTACTTTCCAGTGGAGCCTGGCTATGTCTTCAACCAACGATTTGAAGCACTGGCCAAACTTGGCTGGGGAAGCTGCTCCACTGCATGGCTTGTTTGAGACATTCGGCGGTAAGAAGTCGCAATTTAACTAGATGATTGTGAGTTTTTGTTGATGGTAAATGTGGTAGCTGGCGATGTCAATCCGAGCGCTACCTGACCTTGAAAGTTGGGAATTGTGATCTCCAGGATTCTCATGTAGCCTCGCATGAGGCTCGCACTGAAGATCACATTGCTCACGCAAATGTCTCTCACGATGGTCGCAATTATGTCCGAACCTTTGTCGAGCAGTTCGAAGAGAGTAACCCGAATGGTGTGCATATGTGCCTGGGCTATGAGCCTATGAGAGAGCCACTGTGGCTGTTTCAAAATCGGTGTCTGAATCAGAGGCTTTCTCTGGGTCTCCTGAAGGGTTACATGAAACTCCTCCTGAAGGGCTTGGATTACTTACACTCTGAATGTAATATTATACATACAGGCAAGTTCTCCACTTACCAGGATACTGTACTATGTACGCTTACACCTTCTCCAGATCTCAAGGTAGATAATATTCTGGTGGGATTCGAGGATCCTTCGGTCTTGCACGATTTTGCGTGCGCGCAGCCATCCAACCCGATGCCTCGAAAGGTCAAAAATGAACATACTGTCTATCTCTCACACAACGACTTTGGTCCTCCCAGATCTTATTATATTCTGCCCAAAATCACGGACTTTGGGCTAGCCCACCATCAAAAGGATTCGTCAGTACTAAATAGACATCCAATCCAGCCTGATGACTACTGGGCTCCTGAGGTCATACTAGGTGCTGGTTGGACGTACAGTGCCGATATTTGGAATCTTGGGCTCCTTGTGAGTCCTGGATTGTGTCGCGCTACTTTCCATTAGCTGACCTGTTCTAGATGTGGAACTTGCTTGAGAGTCGGGATTTATTCTCTAGGGCTCTTGATGACAAAGGTAATTACAATGCTGCGGCCCATCTCGCGGAGATGATTGCATTGCTTGGCCCACCCCCGAAAGAGCTTGTTATTCGTGAAAGAGAGGGAACAAAATGGAGCTGGGCTCCTGCTACCCAGAATGCTGAAGGAAAGCTTTGTACAACCGCGTCAGACTGGTTTGGGGGGCCCTTCTTTGACGATAACGGTAAGCCTTTGCGTATCTTCCTTTTGCGCCGCTAGGTGCTAATCCCTCCTAAAACAGGGGAGTTCTTGCACAAAGATCTAATCCCACATAATCTTAAGATGGAGGATACCGTCAACTCGCTTGAGGGTGAGCAGAAAGTTCACTTTCTGTCATTTGCCCAGAAAATGCTCCAGTGGCTTCCGGAAAGTAGGAAAACTGCCAAAGAACTAATCCAAGATCCGTGGCTCAGCGATGATTCAATTCGGAGAGGGGGCAGTTGAACCTATGCTGGCAGCTGAAAGGCTGAACGGTAGTGCTGCACTACTACGTATAGTAACGTTTCCTGCGAATCGGCTATTATGCCTTACAGACACAGTCGTAGGGTTTAAGCGCCCCGTCTCAGCAGCGCCATGGCCGGGGTTCGCACTAGCAAGGTCGGTGACTCCGTCTTGGATGTTATACGATAGGCTGAGATCATGTACTATAGCGAGTGGCTCAGCTCCGCATCGTCCGTTCTCTGCAACATACTGAGGTCTCGGCGCATGGCAGTGGTCATGTTTAACTTCGCTCTCCTATTGTTCGCCATTTTATAGGAGTAGGTAATACATCTGTCAGCTCGGCGCCCAACCTCTTGCAACCCAAACATTGACGAGGGCTTGCAGTGGCTTGCGTAAATGACCATGGATAGCAAACAGTGTCATTTATATCAGCAGCAGCTGAGGAGGGGTATTAGTTGGCATAGACCTGAGTACCATGGATTGGATGTTATATAGTCCTTGGAATCTCCTGTTGACTACATATCTTGATCCCATACCTCTCTACAAGCTGAGCAAGCAAAACCTTTTACCTAGTTCGAGCAACAACAACCTCTCTGACCCTTTCGCGCGTGTTGGCCGCATCACCATTTCCAATGTATTTATCCCACACAAAATGCAGTCCTCAAGAATATGCTAACACTCCCAGCGTCAAAATGTCCTACACGATCCGTGTCCGCGTCACCAACGGCACCCCCGACACCCTCACGGTCGTCGAAAAGACCTGCTGGTACTATGCCAACGGCGGCACCTGGACCGAGCAGGACGGCCAGCATGTGTTGCACATGGGAGGCAGCGGCACCTCCGGAATGCTTCGCTTCAAATCCTCCTCCGGCGAGAACTTCACCGTTGTTCTGGGCATCCACAATTACAAACCTTGGTGTGATGCGCAGGTGAAGTTGCAGGATGGCGACACGGCTGTGAAGATACACCCGGAATACTACAGCGGAGGGAAACTTTCGGGCGAGGATTATGGCACGGGATTTATCAAGGGCACTGATCATCTCAAATGGGTCGGGGTTTCTTTTGATCAGCAAGAGGGACATGATCTGTCGGCTGAGGTGACCTTTTATCCAGCTAAGGATGAGCGGATTTACTAGTTTTTCAGAGGGGAAGGGGCCAGTCATGGCGTGCACAAGAAGGCTTTGGCGACTTTCTCCGTATATTATGTTCATAGCTGATCGCTGTGGGTCACTTCGAGCAGTTATAGTTAAATACGATACGAAGAGCTAAAGGCGACAACAGATCATAAGTTTTCCGTGAGATTTATTTGCATGATACAAACTACTACCTAGGATGTCTCAGTTCCGCTACAAGCCCGTACGGCAGCTGTGAATAATCCCCGAAGAGAGACTCTAATGATGTTATATCTACGGTGGGACAGAGGCATCTTGGGTTAACGAGCCTCGGTTTTGTATATCCCTGTCTTCCGAAGCCTTTAATAACAGGCAATCGAAAGAGGCGAATATGATTTAAAGTCACCGTAATACCTCGACGCCAGAACTACTGACAGTGATCCATGCTCTTGTTAAAAGAGCTCCATTTCATATCTTTGCTCACAGAGCCTTTTTCGGGCCTCTCTCCACGGCGTCACTGAAAAGCAATGGAGGCAGTGCTTCATACACGTACTCATCTGGAATAGCCGGTTCACCTTGACTAGCGATGAAGTGGCCGGTTTTAACCAGACTGTTGCTCGCAACAAGCCTGTAATAATTGCCGCTTTTCCATGTAATATAGCAGTGACGGAAGTACGGCCGGAGAGCGGTGGCCATCTCGTCCAGTGTCACTTCATTCAGGTTCATGGATGTGAGGACTGTTTTCCCCTTTGCTATCACGTCCTCGCGGCTGAAGTAGCGCGCCTTGAAGCCGTAATCCTTTTGCAGCTCACGTCGTTCGTACTCCTCGATGTCTTGGTACCTGAACTTTTCGACGAAGACGAATAGTCCGCTGTCTTTCAGCTGCTGGGAGACAAATCCGATCTGAGGTTCCCTTGCGACCGACCAGGAAATCGGAATTCCCTGCGACAAAGTTGACGGATTACCTGACGTGGAGCTATGGTACAACGTCGTCTAGCTTTCCGGGAGACACGCCATTCAGACTAGGAGGTAGCCCTCTTGCCATAGACAAAGATTCGAAGTATGGCCTTCCTTTCGATCCGTGGCTGTGAAAGCACATTATGCTGGGAGGAACTATCGCCAAGGTCGCACCACAGAGTATGGCCGTGTATGGGAGCGTTGCAGAATGGCAGAAATGGGCCGGCATTGATATCCAGCAGCGTGTACAAGAGAAACGATTGACGGAACTGTAGATAGAACCTGAAACCAACCGGGTGTATCTGGAAGTAACGTTTCTTAAAGGTCTAGTGCCGCTAAGGGTCTATGTGAAGGAAGGAGTCTGCGCCTATGTTGAGCCCAATATCTGGGTATACCATGATACGCGATCTGTCCATGAAACATGAGTGTTCAGCTCAGCTGTGACTATGTAACTCTGCCATTGCTACGGTGCGAGCACTGATCTTTCGCATTATCATTGGTCTGGTTTCATCAGGTTTGGTCTATTCTGTAGGCAATAAGATGATCCAGAACATGCCATCTCGTCGGCTATTACTTCCCATCCAGAGTCCCCGCCAGCCACGGATTATGTCTTACATTTAGCACCTGCATTGCAGTCTCACTGCATCGAATCCTGGTATGATCCATGCAGTACTTTGGTAAAGTCTTAGACGGCGGCTAGAGCTATAATACTGGGTTCCCTGTTGTACTCCTTCCGTGCTGCGGTCCGTCTCTGTGCATTGGACTCGCTTCTGATTGATGACTCGACCGTTCAAAATGCTGTGTGAAGCAGCCTTTCTCCTGCTATCTGGGATTTCTGCGGTCTCTGGTATGTTTTCGGTCTAATCCCCATAGTAGATATAAACCAACTCCATACAGGTTTGCAACTTCAGCATGCCAGCACAAGTGTGCCTCTCACCAAACCATCGCCTACATGCACCTCGTCTGTGAGTAGACAGTGGTTAAGCACATGTAACACCACGATCTTCTGGCCAACCTCAACCGACTGCTTCTATGGCCCAACAACCGGTCCCGGTGCATCTGCCGTGCTCTGCAACGCCCAATGGGTCGAGTATATCGGCCGAGCAAGTGGCCTGTCCTCTATGGGAGCAACCTCTACATCTACCATCACCGAGACCTATCCCAGTAGCACCGGCGCGTGCAACACAGATGTCTGGCCGGAGGGACCAGGCGATCCGCATACCGGCCCTGTCACCACATTGTGCGATGGCATCGCCCGTGCTCTGGGTCCTCTGGAGTATTCCACCAGTTACTGGCCGGGCACAGGGCCCTGCAGCACGGCCATTTTGACCAGCACCGACACCACCCCGATCTATCGGTCTCCCTCTCCTTCCCCGGACTGTCAGCTCAATTCCCAGGACTGCATCCCCATCTGGGAGACCTACACCAGCCGGTACAATTCCTACCTAGACTCGATGACAACGGAGATACCAGGCGACACGAACCGCCCGATCCGACCGACCGCCTGTCCAACCACCAAGCGCAACTACACCGAGCAAGACCCCTGCACCAACTGCCATTATCTGCCTGGCACGGCCACTCTCTTCTACTGGCCCGTGTCTACCGTCAGCGGCGACCTCTGTCTGCAGAACGGAAGCACCGTCCCTGCCACGCCAACCGGCGACGGGCCCAACACTGCCATCGTCGACAGCCACACCTTCATCTCACCCAGTATCTACGCCTCCTTCACCAGCATCTACGCGCGGAGTAACAAGCGCGCGCACCCGGGTGGCTCCTGCGGCGCGGACCACGAAGATGTGATCATATCCATCCACCCGGATGCCCTAACATCCTATCGTGGCCACCGTAACGCAAAGTACCCGATCACCGGCACGCCGTATCCGTTCAATTTCGCTGAGTTCCAACCCCACGAGGTCGGAAACTACACCCTGCCTCTGATTCCCTGGGATCAGTACCGTGGCGGCGCGCAGTGCTCTCTCGGCGGAAGGGCCTGTGACATGGTCCGCAGCGACTATCGTCCGTGGATGGGCATCCCGGAAGGCGTGATGACCCAGATTGATCCGCGGTGGACCGAGTGTGATCGCTTGTGGTATATTCCTCCGGTTAGTTTGGTTCCGCTGGTGGCTGGTTCGATGGAGTCACGGCCGACAGGCGTGGCGGAGGCGAGCGTTCCCCAGCCTGCTTCGGCGGTACCTGTGTCGGCTTTGGTGGCATCTACCCCGACGGCTACTGCGGACTGGTAACCTAGTCATGTAGTGGAAGATGTTTGGGGTTATTTAAAGGGACAAAACGGTGGTGAGCTTGCATTGAACCGGACAGGGCAGTTACAGTTTGTGGAATCGAGAAGCGTAAGGTAGGGGAATCAGAAACAGCACACTACTTTCTCTTGCAACAATCCATGTAGAGGGCACACCTGATAGCTTTCCACTCATTGAGTCAAGTGTTTTCTACTTTATGTCCATTATCAAGTTATGTATTCAATAATCGTCACCTCTCAGCCACTCGTCGAACAAGAGCTCCTCCGCAGTCGGCCTTTCTTCGGGCAGCCAGCAGAGAGCCTTGCGTAGGAAGTTGAGGAAAAGGATCCTGTTACTGCCCTCGAGTCTCGATTCACGACTCTCCAGAGATTGCTCTAGGACACCTACGGAGCCTCGCCAATCACCTGTAGCATATTAAGAGCTGCCTAATAAAGCCCCCAGAACTTATCCGAGTGCACGTACCATTCTCGTCCCAGAATTTCAGACTTTCTTCGCTTCGTCTCAGGAACTCAACCGGTGGTGGTCCCAGAAGGGAAATCATTTCGGCAAATCTCTGGGCGTGTTGGGTATCATTTTCCAGAGTTTGAGTCTTGAAAAGATGTCCCTGCTCGAACAATGTCCATGCCTATGAAGTCAAAGGTTAGAAGATGCCATACCACCAAGCGGAGAGTCATACCATTTGACCCACAGCCCATATGTCGACCTTGTTGTCCCACGGCATGTCTAACATAACTTCTGGCGCCCGGTAAGCACTTGGCATGATGAGGCCAGTCTGTTTCCCTTCAGCGATCCGCGCCTCCCCAAGGTCGGCGACGACCGGCTCGCCGCTTGTCAGCGGCATTGCACGAGTAGCATAAATGGTACGATCACCAAGCTGCTTTCGTGGAGCAGGGTTGGAGACCTCATCCTCTTCCATTTCAGGAAGAATGGACTCGTCATCAATGCTAAGAAGGACATTACGCGGCTGGATATCTAGAACGAGTCAGAAGGGACGCGTAGTCTTCAATGTTCAGGTTTCCTCTTACCGGTATGAATTACTTTGGCTTGGTGGAGGTAGACCAGCGCAACAAGGACAATCCGGAGAGCAGGTCGGAGCAGGTTTTCCGGTAGAGCATCCCCCTCGAGACAGTGCATAAAATCGCGGATGTCGATACCAGCAGGCGCATACAGGAGACATGTATGCACGCCGCATGGTCCAGAAATCTCAAATGAGTCAAGAATCAGCCGGACGTACTTTTCACCAGCATGAACATCATGAATAGCCTGCAAGTGTTTCGAGACCTCTACCTCTGGGAGCTGTCGTCTGCTCCGAACATGGACTTTCAAAGTTCAGTAGCGTCCATTACTTCTCCTTGGTTAACTCAGACTAAAACTTCGCCAATGCGCACAGGGTAGTAGCGTTCTTTCAAATAATCGGGGAGAGTCTCTTCTTCGAGGGCTCTAGAGGAGTCTAAGATTTCAAATCCCGTGGTTGGAAAAGCGCGTGGTTGAGACGTCGAAACTGAAACCATTCCCCTGCGCTGAAAAGGGAATAGGGAACTGGGCTTAGGAGAAACGATGCGTCGTAAAGGCAAGGTTGTATGTCTTGTAGTGCAAAAAAACACTTTATGTGAAAGCCGTTCCATGGCTGTCTCTGGAAAACTTATGTAGTGCTCGTATCAGAAGAAACATCAGCTACCCCTTGCAATCTCTATCAGGTATCATCGGCGTTTACTCAAAGCATTAGACTCATAGATATATATCAGGTGAGCAGAGTGTACCTACCTAGGAAGGGATGCGGTGCTACTTCGAACAAATAATGAATTTTGTGGAGATTGAGAGATTTAAAGCAAGGTTGGTCAAGAGAATGCCAAAGTTGAACGCCTTGTATGAAGAAGTGAGGAGTGACAATCTGTAGAGCTGGAGCGAAGAGAGTAGACGTGTAGTACATATAGAGACTATACCTCTTTGGGACGTGCACAGTTATGCTTGTCTTTGTGTCTCATCTCCAATTCCGCTCCCTCTCCGCTTCATCTTCTTCCCTCTACCTTCTCCCCCCTTCACCACTCCTATTTCTGTATAACGCTCATCTTCAACCCCACCCACCATGTCCGCTCCAACCCCGGACCAGATCAAAACCCTCGAACAATCCCGCCAACGGCTGGCACAACTCACGCGCTCCCTAGCCTCCCTCATCACCAGTCTCAATCAGAGCGACCCGCTTCCACCCTGGTACTTCCCCCTCTTCTGGGACTAGAGCTCCTTACAACCCGCAATTCCTACCGCAATACTAACCGATTTCCAATATAGGTCCTCCCTCCAATCCCAAGCCAGCATCATCTCCAACAACCTCCTCAGCGTCTCCGAACACCTCTCCGAGAACAACGCCCTCCTGGGTTCTCTCGTCGCCTACCCAGGCCCCTCCTACCCGGGCCGTACCCAAGCTAACACGCTCGAGCAACTCCTCCGCACAAAACTCGATCCCCGCGTTGAAGATTGGGTCGCGCGCGGTCGCAAGGCGGGCGACTCGGCGCTGCAGGACACTGCGGGGCTGAGCGAGTCGCAGTTGGCGGAGCTGTGGCGCTGGGCGCCCGTGGAGGCGAACCAAGAGGCGAGGGAGCGGAATTGGGGTGGGAATTTCACGCTGGAGGAGAGGCATCTGGGCGTGCAGAATGTGGTGACCGGGTTGAAGCGCCAGTTGGAGGATGAGGAGCCCGGGAGGTCCGATGAGGAAGATGAAGACGAGGTCGAGGATGAGATGGAGGTGGTCGGTGTTAGGAGGAAGTCAGGCGCCGGGAGTGGCTTGGAGTTTGATATTGCAGCTGCGACGCATCAGAAACCGACGGGGCCGGTCGTGCCGTTGAATGAGATCTTGAGGTTCATGACTACGGGGGCGCCGCCGGGGCAGCGGTGATTTCGAGTTGCTGATTTACAGGAAATGACAGGGGATAGATATGTGGAAAGGAAATTATTATTGCATAAACTAGTTCCTGAAGAAAAGAGAAAGCGCGGCGAAGACAATCAACCCCGTCGGCGCGTGGTCGGTGTCTTGCCAGAGGGCTTCGGAGATGGGGATGCTCCCGAGCTGCGCGCAGCAGGAGTCACCGGAGTGGCCTTCTCGACCGGCTTGGACTTGGACTTGGACTTGGTGGCCTGCTTCTTCGGCTTGGTCGGGGTGTTCCAGTACCACAGCATCTGGAAGGCGAGGATCAGGTTCAAGCTGAATCCGGCGCAGAATCCGTACAAGATCAGCTGGTCGTCCACCTCCTGGAGGGTGGTGAAGATACGAGAGAGAGAGCCGGCGAGGTAGTTGAAGACCTAGATGAATCGACCGTTAAAAAAGAAGCTTCTACTGCGTATACTTAGAAGTTAGAACGTACCGCAAACGCGCTCAGCTGTCCGGTTCCACCCTCGCGCCAAATGGTGTAGATCTGCGGTGCCTTGCTGGCCACGCCAAGGGCACCAGCACCGGCTTGCAGATATGACATGGTCTGCGCATCCACCAAGGTATGATCCACCAAGAGCGCATACACGCTGGCCGCAACGACGGCGATGAAGGCCGCTGCACCGGCCGAACGACCCGCGAAGGTCAACACCAGCACGCCCACCACCACATCCTGAACCGCGATCAAGGCCGACTCGCCATAGGTGCTGAACGGGAACTGGTTGCGCACGCTGTACGACAACGTGATGAGCAGACTAGCGGTTTCGAGAGCGTACGACACGAAGGACACGCCGGCCGACGAGCGAGATCCGATCAGCTTCAAGATCTGCGGCACCTTCACGATAGCACTGGCACCAACAATGGCAATGCCCAATGCCTTGGAGATAGCGAGGGACGTGCAAGCGGCATCCTTGGTGACATCCAAATCTACCACGAGAGCGTTGTGACAGGTATTTCCAATCAAGGTCTTGATAGCATCATGAACAGGTTCCGGCAGGGACGAGACGACCGGACGCAGGTAGGGCTGGAGAGGATCGATGAGGGTCTTCTGGAGGGGTTCCATGGCGGCTTTCGAGAAGAAGCCCAGTGGGTGACTAGAGACACTGACCGGAGGGTGTTGAGTGTTGACGGATGCACGAACAGGTGGTCCAACTGCCGGAAGGAAAAATAACTGCGCTTATGGTCGCTACCGCCGGGCGGGCCGAATTCTGCCATTGCGGGAATCAACGAACCCTCATTCTCCGGTCTCTCCTTCACCACTCGCTCTCCCGCTGCCTCTCCGATCGGGACATGCGTATGTTCTCGTCGCCATGATCCTCCTCCGCCCGTCTCTGCGGAGGCTGGCTCCGTCTCGGGACCCGTCTCTCGTGTGCTCCCAATGCCTTTGGCGTGTCAATCGCTCTCCTCCGCCCTCCGCGGTCCGCAGCTTCATCTCGTTCTCGCGATTACAATCGAGCATTGCCGATAACCCCTCCGCTCCTTCGAGTTCGAATAAGTCATATTTCTCGCCTAATAAAGGAGTCGATGGCCCTGTGAACAAGAATGACTTTTTCTCGTCCTTGCGCTCCGTCAATCCCTCCGCCCAAGCGAAACCCGCCGACTTATCGTCATCATCGAAGAATGAGACTGACGCCGGTCCCATTGCTTCCGAATCGAATCAAACAGAGTTACCTCATCGCCGGAGGAAGCGCCTAAAGGAGGAGACTGATCATTTTAATGGAGCTGCAACTGCGCTCCCACCGGATGCCTCTGCGCAATTGTCGACTTTGTCGTCCGCTCTCCCCGCGACGTCCCTCCGCCGCAAAATGGCCGCGTTTTTTGCCCTCTGCAAGCCTCGCCTCTCCTTCCTGATCGTCTTGACAACAACATCGGCCTACGGGATGTATCCGATCTCCTCTCTCCTCACTCTCGATCCGGCCATGACCCCTCTTCCTACTCTCTCGACATCTACTCTGACCTTCCTCTATCTGACGACCGGCACGTTTCTATCATGCTGCAGTGCCAACACCTTGAACATGATACTGGAGCCCAAGTACGATGCGCTCATGACCCGGACACGAAACAGACCGTTGGTACGGGGTCTTGTCTCCCGTGGCGGGGCGATCCTGTTTGCGATTGCAACAGCCGCTTCGGGTCTCGGCCTGCTATACTTCGGAACCAACCCTACGGTTACGGCGCTTTCAGCTGCTAACATCTGCTTGTACGCATTTGCGTACACTCCACTGAAACGCATCCATGTCGTCAATACCTGGGTGGGTGCCATTGTCGGAGGTATCCCCCCGCTGATGGGTTGGGTGGCCGCGGCCGGTCAGACCGCAACCACGGGCCATGACACATGGCACGACATGCTCTTCAGTGAGAACAGCATCGGCGGCTGGCTCCTTGGAGGGATTCTGTTCGCATGGCAGTTTCCTCATTTCAACGCGCTTTCGCACCTCATCCGGGATGATTACCGAAATGCCGGATACAAGATGCTTTGCTGGGTTAACCCCGCGATGAATGCCCGTGTCGCCCTGCGCTACTCGGTCCTCATGTTTCCCATCTCTATCGGTCTTTGGTGGGTTGGCGTCGTGGGCCACGGGTTCCTGGTCGGCAGTACCGTCGCAAATGGCTGGCTTGTCAAGGAGGCGTATCGTTTTTGGCAACACCAGGGTGCCCACGGCTCGGCTCGTGGCCTATTTTGGGCCAGCATCTGGCAAATGCCTATTCTCCTGGTAGGCGGCCTCGTGACGAAGAAGGGTCTCTGGGATGGCGTTTGGAAGAGCGTATTTGGTTCGTCGGAAGAAGACGACGACGATTATGTTTATTACGACGAGGAAGAGGGCGAGGAGAACTTGAACCAGAGCTCCTCTTCGACGGAAGTTGCCCGTCCGAGCTCCCCGACAGCGTGAGTGGGTTGTTAACCGTCTGAAGACTTTTCGCATTTTCATACTTTTCTATTCATTAGTTTTTCTTCGTCTGTGTATTAGATTCCCTTTGCGGTATGGGATGGCGTTTGTATAACAGCTCTTCAGTCTTTCTTCCGTCTCTTCTCATTTCCTGTGAACACCATCTAGTGTAGATATATAGCAGACTTGCGCTACTTTTGAGCGTTGATGTGGCTGGCGGATTACTCTTATCTTCGCCAGCGGCGGCCAAAACCCAACGTTCTTGAACAATAAACGGTTCAAAATCGAGATGAGATTGGGTATAACGTCTATATCATACATCTATATCACACACCTATATATACACATTGTACATGTTTTAATCTTCTCCACAGGCCGCGTCATTTTCCTGTGTGGCATCGCTTATTTCTTCATTTGAAGATGATACGTGCTTAAGGCCTTCTCCGTCATCGCACTGGGGGCCTTGACCATCGGGTCTTCGCCACCCTTCCCGATCTTGGGGAAAGCAATCACGTCGCGCACAGACTCCTTACCGAGCATGACGGCAACCAGGCGATCAAATCCAAGGGCCAGGCCAGCATGCGGCGGACATCCCGCGCGAAGCGCTTCCAGAAGATGCGCAAAGTCGGCGAGTCGCTCGTCCGGCACCTGCAGGATGTCGCGCAGAATGAACTCCTGCACGGTGGCGTCGTGGATACGTCGACTGCCTCCGCCTAGCTCGACGCCGTTGACAACTAGATCGTAGTGGTCGGCGACAACTTTCGTGGGATCCGTGAGCAGTAGGTCGACATCGGCGGCGTTCTTGGGCGCCGTGAACGGGTGGTGCGTGGAAGAGATACCGGCAGCACCGCCTTGGCCGGGCTCGGAATCGGTAGACGGCGAGAACAGCGGGAAGTCCACGACCCAAAGGAAGTCGAAGCCGGTGGGCGCTGGTTTGAACTCGGAGGTGACTGCGGCGGAGTGAACAGCTCGACGGAGGTCGCCGATAGGGGTAGAGCCGCCGGAGAATGGGGCTTGCTCGCGCGCCTGGATGACGATAAGATCACCGTGATCGAGATCAAGGAGCTCTTCCATGTATTCAGCAGCCTCGAAGCCGAAGGGCTGTAGTCCGCACAGGGGTTTCTTTGCGTCGTACACGAAGACACCGGGGCCGCCGGCGGGGTTGTCGTTGAATGGTGCACCGGCGGGGGAATCAAGGAATTGGCTGATGAATTCGGCCATGGCAGCAGGGTCGTTCTCATTGTTTTCGACCTTGAAGACTTCCACGATCGGGTCTTGTAGGGGAGTGATCTTATTGACGAGGTCGACGGGCAGGAGGTGGCCAATACGGGAGATCTCCATGCCATATCGAGTGTCGGGCTTGTCGGAGCCGTAGCGACTCATGACTTCCTCGTAAGAGACTTTCCGGAAAGGTCCCTCTGGAGCTGGATCCTTCATCAGGGTTGACCAAAGTCGACGAATGACACCTTCAATCGTGCGCATAACATCATCTCCTGTAGCGAAAGACATTTCCAGATCAAACTGAGATAACGACTGTTAGAGTTGGAGTCATGAATTGAAGAGGCGCAAATTCATACCTGAGTAAACTCTGGCTGTCTGTCAGCACGAAGATCCTCGTCCCGAAAGCATCGCGCGAACTGATAGTATCTCGGGATCCCGCTGGCCATCAGGATCTGCTTGTATTGCTGCGGACTCTGAGGTAAAGCATAAGCCAGCCCTCGCTTCCGGGTTGGCACCAGGAATTCTCGAGCACCTTCAGGCGTGGACTTGAACAGCAGAGGAGTTTCAATCTCGACAAACGGTGGACGACACTGCTCCAGCTCCTCCTTGCAAATGTTATGAACTTGCGCCCGGAACCGGAGAGCTTCGCGCAATTCCGCGTCCGCTCGCAATTGCAGATACCGGTGTTTGGGCGCGAAGACTGTATCCGACTTCATCAAAATATCCTTCGGAAACTCGTTCAAAGGGTAGATATCTTCCAGCTGGAGTTCCCACGGATCCGTCTTCTCCATCTCGGACCCCTTTGACTGCTTCTTTTGTACCTTCCCGCGGACTGCGACAGGGCTGTTTGGGCGGACCGACTTGAGCTTGTCTAAGGAACCGCTTTTGGCGAGTGATACGAGCTGTACGCTGTGTTTCATGGTTGGGTCTGTTAGGCGCACGAAAGCGAGCTTTTTGGATAGATCTCTGCGTTCGCCCAGATATCCATGCAGAACCACTTCTTGGTCCGGGGCTGCTTGTGAAATGAACGTCTCGAAGTCATAAGTAGCCGCTGGGAATTCAACTAGAGGGTCTGGGTTAGCGATCATTGTGACTAAGTGAGTCCAGAGGGAAAGAATACCTGACGCCTTGTACTGTTCCAAGAATTGGCGGGGCTCCAGACGAGACTGCGCCTCTTCCAGCAAAGCACATCGGGCATGAAATTCCTTCCTCGGTATGACGCTGCCATACCCCCCGGCCCGCACGCCTGTGTGTCTGGCGCGGACATAGTTCGAGACCTCGATGTAGCTGGAGCACAGGCGTGGGGACAGTCGTCCCGCTCTGCTGAGGAGCATTTTCGGAGCGGAAGATGGAATATGTGCAACAGCTCACGAAGCAATGGAGGTCCCCAAAGGCCCGACTTATCAAACCAGGACAATTGAACCGATGTCACTCCCGGAGAGTCGATCATAAGTTGAAGCTGAGCGCATCGCGAGAGCAGCGCCCTCTCCGCCTTCCACAAAAGGCCTAGCGCCTCCGCCCCACGACGAAAATAAAAAAGCTCGAAATTCCTCCTCCGACTTTCCTTTCTCCATCCTTCCAAGTTTTGAATAGTGAGTCCATACCTTTGACCTTTCACGGCATTTCTTGTGTCTTTTGAATCCCAGCTAACATTCTACTCTAGATGATGAAAGCCTAGTGTGTACTATATGACCCATCTCTCCTCCTGGAGCTTTGCGGCTCTCCTTTCGGGGCTCAAGGGCTGTTTGGTTCCGGATGGAGGGAGGCTGATATATGCGTTCGGCACACCCACCTTGTTACTTGACGGACGCGATGAAGGCATCTCTGAAACAATCCATTACTTGGTGGTGTTTGCCTCTGATTGGGTGCTTTGGTCGAGGTCAATGACCCTGGATTTATACTCTGGCTGCTTTGCCGGTTGGAGTATTTGGTGAACGGGCTCTTGATCTCAGTGGCTTGATAGATGGAATATGATAATGAATATAACATCGATACCCTTTTAACCGCGTTTCTGTACTCCTTACTCGTCGCCTTCACTGAACTCGTTTGTCTGGCTGAACCCTCACGCGCTGTAGAAGAGTAGCCTGTCTCCGATTACGTATTTCCTTTTCGTAGCTTTGTCCGGAATTTCAATTAAGGACTCATCGAATTAATTGTCTGTGACGCGTTAATTTCTTGTGTCTACTCTTACTCTGTCTTGCCTGATTAGAGAAAAAAAACACATCCGCATCAATGATTCTCCGTCGGGGAAGTAACTGATCCGCTTCTTATCGTCGGAGCTCCAGAAAGAAAAAGACGCCCCCGACAGCTTTCCCTCATTCCCTCCACACCTTCGGACTCGGTCTATCGCGCAATCGCGATTGACTTGATATCCTACCTACAACCGGGCTCATGAGGCCACAATTGGGGTCCCTGCCTTGCAGGGCACGCCTTCAAGCGTTAACCATGCGATCTCCGATCCGACAGACGATATGCGGCGCTCGCAGCTACGCGCGCACTCCAGAGTCCCTACGAGCGAATCCTCTCCGGACGACGAATATTCGGCCGGTGTTGCAGACGAAGATTTTTGAGAGCGAGACCGTGCAGAAACGAGCCATCTCGAAGAAAATTATTCAGCGGCAGAAAGATGCCGAGGAGGAATGGGCGAGGTTTGCAGAGGAGATTAAAGCGGGGGAGAGACAGAACTTTGTGCAGTTTTTGGAGGAAAGAGGATTGGTTCATGATGTTGTTGGGTGAGTGATGGCTCCTTGCGCTTGAATCTGGGGTCTGGGGAGAGGACCAGGCTGACTTGGAATTGAATTGTGTAGGGAACGAGATCTGTTGCATAAGGTGTTCACCGAGAAGAGAGCTGGTATTTACGTGGGCGTGGATCCGACGGCTCCTTCGATGCATGTTGGACATATGTTGCCTTTTATGGTCTTGGCCTGGGGTTACGTTTGGGGCTTGCCGGTGACGTTCTTGGTCAGTTATACACTCTCGAGATGTTTGGGGAATTGCTAACAGATGGATAGCTGGGAGGTGCTACGTCGCGAGTCGGTGATCCTACTGGAAGATTGCACGGACGGGAACAAGTCCATTCGTCGATCCGCAAAGCCAACATGGCAAGCATGCACATGCAGTTGAAGCGATTGGGCGCAGGCATTGAGGCGTATGGTCGCAGACACGGATACCAGAAGACGATGAACTGGAGGCGGGCTTTGACAAATAACAACACCTGGTGGAACAACACGCCCTTCATCGAAGTGCTGCGCGATCTGGGGGCGTACATGCGAGTAGGTCCTATGCTGGGAAGAGAAACGTGAGTTGGGAGCTTCCTCCTTCATATGTCATAGTCTTTGTTGACCCAACACCCAGCGTCAAGAACCGCCTTGCTAAAGGCGACGGAATGTCTTTCGCTGAGTTTTCTTATCCTTTGATGCAAGCCTGGGACTGGTGGGTGCTCTTCAAAAGAGGTGGCGTCCAGGTTCAAGTAGGGGGCTCAGATCAGTACGGAAATATCCTCTTTGGAATGGACGCCGTTAAAGCTATCAGCAAAAGCACGGCCGTCGAAATAGAGCGCAATCCTCTTGATGACGATATCGACAAGCCAATTGGCTTTACTACGCCGTTGCTGACGGCTCCGAACGGTGAAAAGTTCGGCAAGTCTGCCGGTAACGCTATTTGGCTTGACAAAGATATGACCTCGACATTCGAGCTGTATCAGGTTCGTTGGCACATGCTCTATTCCACTCCGATGCGATTCTGACCGATTGTAGTTCTTTGTCCGCACCCCTGATGACGTTGTTGAACGCTACTTGAAGATGTTCACCTTCATTCCTCTCCCTGAAATCGCGAAGATCATGGAGGAGCAGGTCAAAGACCCGTCCAAGCGAGTGGCGCAGCATACTTTAGCATCTGAGTTCGTTGAACTTATCCATGGCAAGCAGGAGGCGGACGCCGTCGCTATGCAACACCGCCAATTGTTCAGGCCACGATCCTCGACGGCGGAGCCGACTCCTATGCCCAAAACAACGCGCGCTCCTGCCAGGCAGACAAACTCGCCATCAGTCTTCTTCGCCAACCCTCAAGCTGGCAACGCCTATGCCCCGCAAGTCAACTTCACGAACATGCCGAGCATCCAAGTAACTCTCCCCGAGTCTCTGGTGTATAACCAGCCGTTGCATAAGGTCCTCTGGTCCGCCGGATTGGTGGCATCGAAGAGCGAGGGCCATCGTATTGCAACGAACAAGGGTGCTTATGTCGGAAGCCGTGGCGGAGATAGTGGAATGATGTCGGATGACTTGTCCTTCACACCCATCACAACATGGCCTGGGTCAAAGACGCAGGAGTTCATTGTGGATGGCAAACTGTTGTTCTTGAAGTTGGGCAAGTGGAAGTTCAAGACCGTGACGATTGTGAGCGACGAGGAGTACAAGCAGCTCGGCCTCAGCGCGCCCGGATGGGAGACGGAGGTTTCGAAATCCGAGTCTTCTACTTCCGATTCTACGAAGCAATAAATGGGTCGCCATGCTGATGTGCCCATGGGGAATTTGAAGCTAGAAAAAGCGCCGCGTGTCAAGAGTATCTTGACTATGTGATACACGGCCAATCATGTATTATTAGATAGACATATGTATATAATGAGCCTGTATACCTATACAGATGAACAGATGCACAATCTCATCAATGTTTCCTGAATTCCGGTCCAGAAAGGGGGTGCAAACGGTGTCTGCTGTCGCTGTACGGCGGCGGAAAGCACGCAAAACCACTAAACGCGTCGACGCGTTGCCGCCCGCGTTTTGGATCCATCACGTTTTCCCGCCTGCGACACTCCCCCATCTACCATGTCCCATGCCCCTATCAACTCGAGTCCATCTTTACCCCGTGCATTTGCCTGTGATCGCGTATATCTTCATATAGAAGCATCATTCGAATGTCACATATTTACCAGCCCTAATTGATATCTCAGCATGGCTAAAGGTGCGCCCGCCGCATCCTCTACGACTGCAACTCCTCCGTCTGCGTTGAAACGCACGACTCCCAGTTCCCAGAACATGCGCAGCCAGAAGTCCATTCTAGGCTTCTTCCAGAAATCATCGCCCTCAACTCCAGCGACTACGCGCAATGCTGAGCCCGCCTCGTCACCCGCCCAGAGGGCGTCCGAGCAACGCGCAACCAGCGCGAGCAAGAAGAAGAGCGTTCCGGCCTTTTCCGATCTCGCTCCTGTTCCTAGTAGCGATCTGGTGATTCCAGAGGAGGAGGAGGAGGACGATGAGGTCAACAAATCGGAGGTATGGTTACGTCTGGGATATAGACCTCCAAGTAAAATACTAACAAAGGTCACAATGAATAGGCCAATAAACAGACGGCTTCACCTTCCCGTCGGGTATGCGATTTCATTCACTATAGCCCTGATACTCTGGTGAATGAGAGGAACTGATAGTGAATAGGCGAAAAAGAAGGTCAGCTATGCCGAATCGGACTCGGAAGGCGAAGATGACGACGACGTTATCTTCCGCCCTGGGCGACAGAACAACCGCGCATCGAAACGACGGAAGACATCCCCCGAAAGCGAAGACGAATTTGACCAGGGTGATGCGGATGTTGGCTACTCGGATGATGGTCAGTTCTATGCAGGCTATACTCTATACCTACAGGGCCATTGTTCTAACAACGAGCAGAAATGGATGACTTTGTAGTTGCCGACGAGTCGGATGAAGAAGCGAAACCGAACAAGAAGCGCAAGAGACCGTCAGCTCCCGCGAAAAGCAAATCGTCATCTTTACCACCTCCACCTGAGGCCGACGAAGAGCTCGATATGGATATTCCGGAAGGCTCAGCTGGTACGGCGCTCAAGTGGGCATACGACCCCGAGAATCCCGAACCTCGACAGAACCGTGCCCCTCAGCTCTCTGCGAAACCATCCTCTGCCCCAGTCAAACAAAAAGCACATGTCACCGAGCCGGAACAGCGTTACGCTTGGTTGGCTAAGATTCGAGATATCGACGGCAACCCTATCGGTCATCCTGAATACGATCCGCGAACCCTTTATATACCTCCGCTCGCCTGGTCGAAGTTCTCTCCTTTTGAGAAGCAATACTGGGAGATCAAGCAGAAATTCTGGGATACTGTCGTGTTTTTCAAGAAGGGCAAATTCTACGAGCTTTACGAGAATGATGCCACGATCGGTCACCAATTGTTCGACTTGAAGCTCACCGATCGTGTCAACATGCGCATGGTGGGTGTCCCTGAGATGAGCTTGGACCACTGGGCGAATCAGTTCGTGGCCAAAGGTTTCAAGATTGCTCGTGTGGACCAAGCTGAGTCTGCATTGGGCAAAGAAATGCGCGAAAGGGATGGCAAGAAGGGTGGCAAGGAAGACAAAGTCATCAGGCGAGAACTTGCGTCTGTTCTCACGGCTGGTACCCTGGTCGAGGGTTCTATGCTTCAGGATGACATGTCTACGTACTGCGTGGCAATCAAGGAGGCCATCATTGATGACCTCCCGACCTTTGGTATAGCGTTCGTGGACACCGCGACGGGCCAATTCTTCCTTTCTGAATTTGTGGATGATGTGGATATGACCAAGTTTGAGACCTTCGTTGCGCAGACCCGTCCACAGGAGCTATTGCTTGAAAAGTCGACTATTTCGCCGAAAGCCCTACGTTTACTTAAGAACAACACCGGTCCTACCACGATCTGGAACTACCTGAAACCAGGCAAAGAATTCTGGGAAGCTGACATAACAGTTAAAGAGTTAGACGTGAGTGATTACTTTGTCTCTCAGGACGAAGACAATCTCACGGCATGGCCTGAGGTCCTACGCGAAGCTCGCAACAAGGAGTTTGCCATGTCTGCCTTTGGTGCCTTGGTCCAATATCTCAGGATCTTGAAGCTCGATCGTGACCTGATAACCATCGGAAACTTTACGGCCTACGATCCAATCAAGAAGGCTTCTAGTCTGGTGCTGGACGGTCAAACACTGATCAATATGGAGATTTTCGCCAATTCGTTCGATGGCGGTGCGGATGGGACACTGTTCCAGCTCCTCAACCGCTGCATCACCCCCTTTGGCAAGCGGATGTTCAAGCAGTGGGTGTGTCATCCATTGATGGATTCCAAGAAAATCAATGCCAGATTAGATGCTGTTGATTCCCTCAACGCCGACCCAAGCGTTCGAGATCAGTTCTCATCTCAGTTGACCAAGATGCCTGATTTGGAACGTCTCATCTCCCGCATCCACGCAGCCAACTGTAAGGCGCAGGACTTTGTGCGTGTCTTGGAGGGCTTTGAGCAGATTGAGTACACGATGAGCCTTCTGAAAGAGAGTGGCTCCGGGGAAGGAGTCATTGGTAAACTTATCAATGGCATGCCCGATTTGAACGAGTTGCTTGAATACTGGAAAACGGCCTTTGATCGCACGAAAGCCAAGGAGAATGGCATTTTGGTCCCAAAGCCCGGGGTTGAAGAAGATTTCGACAAGTCGCAGGATCGCATTGAGGGACTGCACAGTGATCTCGATGACCTACTCAAGCGAACCCGTCGTGAGCTTGGTTCTAGTGCTATATGCTACAAGGACAACGGAAAAGAAATTTACCAGCTTGAGGTGCCGATCAAGGTGAAGAACATTCCCAAGAATTGGGATCAAATGTCCGCCACCAAGCAAGTCAAGCGCTACTACTTTCCTGAATTGCGTGCTCTCATCCGCAAATTGCTGGAGACCCAGGAAACCCACAGTCAGATCGTCAAGGAAGTCGCTGGTCGATTCTATGCGCGATTTGATGAGCACTACACAACCTGGCTCGCCGCTGTCCGAATTATCTCTAACCTGGACTGTTTAATTAGCTTGGCTAAAGCTTCGGCTGCATTGGGGCAGCCGAGTTGTCGTCCCGTGTTCGTCGAGGACGAGCGGAGCGTTTTGGAGTTCGAGGAGCTGCGGCATCCTTGTCTCCTCTCTTCGGTAGACGATTTCATTCCGAACGATGTGCGTCTGGGAGGGGATTGTGCCAACATTGATCTCCTTACCGGTGCTAATGCTGCCGGAAAGTCTACAGTTCTTCGCATGGTATGTTACAACCTAATGTCACCCGGAAAGCAGCCCTCTAACTTGATCCTAGACCTGCGTGGCCGTGATAATGGCTCAAATCGGTTGCTACTTGCCCTGCGAATCAGCACGACTGACTCCAGTTGATCGGATCATGTCTCGTCTAGGCGCGAACGACAACATCTTTGCTGCCCAGTCGACCTTCTTCGTGGAACTGTCCGAGACGAAGAAGATTCTATCCGAAGCCACGCCCCGGTCCCTGGTTATTCTCGATGAACTAGGCCGAGGAACTAGCTCCTACGATGGAGTCGCCGTCGCGCAGGCCGTGCTGCACCACGTCGCCACGCACATCGGCGCCCTCGGCTTCTTCGCAACGCACTACCACTCCCTCGCCGCCGAATTCGAAGGCCACCCGGAGATCTCTCCGAAGCGCATGAAGATCCACGTCGACGACGAAGAGAAACGTATTACCTTCCTGTACAAACTCGAAGAAGGTGTCGCCGAGGGCAGTTTCGGTATGCATTGTGCGTCCATGTGCGGTATCCCCAAGAAGGTCATCGAAACCGCTGAAGACGCAGCCAAGCAATGGGAGCATACTAGTCGGTTGAAGGAGAGCCTGGAGCGTCGTAAGGGCGGCGGCTTCGTCGGTCTAGGCTGGTGGAGTGATGTCGCCTGGGCTCTCCGCGAGTCATCATCGTCGTCCGCCGAAAATGATGCCGAACAGGACGAAGTCACCGACCGCAGTCTGGAAGTGCTCCGGAAAGCCATCCAGGCACTGTGAGGTTACAAGGCTCTTCACCTCGCCTGACTGCGCGAGTGACCATGGTGTGTGAATGTCCGAGATTTGATGAAAGATTGTTGTCATTTCGTGCTGTATTATGTCTCATATGCGGTTTACCTTTCCCGTATGGGCTGAGCTATATATGCTCTGCTTGATGGCGTGTTGTTCGGCGTTGTGGATTGATTCTTTGCAATATGACGATCAGACCAGCGAGGTCTTAATTTCGGGTAATCTTATCTGGGTGTATCTTTCATCTACAAAATCTTTAGAGATGTTATTCTTTGATCATTTTAGTTCGATCTTCGTATCTTCTTTCGTAGACACGCACATCCTTCTGTCGTGCTTCTATGGCCTCCGTATTTTTCCTGGAGATTATTTGGTAATGTGTAACTACGGCTGAGAATGAACAAGATAGAGGGGAGTAAGCGTTCTTATTGCTAAGGGATCTTTTTAGACCTTAACAGCCAGATCGACTTAATAAAGCATGAATTTCAGAACCCCCATAATACAGAAAAAGAAGCAACAAATCATAAGCAATCCCCATGAATGAGAAAGATAGCGCTCGTCTTCACTAGACCAGGCAAAACTCCCAAGTCTGATCCACGTCATAAAGAAAGAAGAGATCACGGAAGCCTGCCAAATCCAGCCAACACTCCAGCCAACACTCCAGCCTCAGTAAAATCAAAAACAATCAAGGGACACCAGGCGATAGAATAAGCAAAAAGAGACCACTAGCAGAGCATGTTTCGCCAGACCAAAGGGGAGAGAAGAATTTGTAAGAGTGAAGGACCAGCATCTGCTCGAGAACCCCGGATCTAGGCCTCTTCGATCTCGCCCTTGGTAGGGGTATCAAGGTCAATGAACTCAGTGTCGATATCGTCCTCGCCTTTGATAGTCTTGGGGGTATCCAAGGCATCAAGCTCGGCATCGAGGTCGATGCTTCCCAGGTCGTCCTCAGCATTCTCATGCAACTGCAGCGGCATGCTGGTCTGCTCCAGGTCACAGTATTCTGCCTGCTCATCGGTGTCCTCCACCTTCACGTTGGCAAGTCCATTGTTGTCCTCGACGTTGGGCTCGGGCTTCACCATACCCTCGTTGGCCTCGTCGCTGTTAAACGATCAGTGGACTTTTCTCGCATAGGAGATACTAGGGTGGGGGGAGAAAAAACATACTCTTCTTCGACGAGCTCCTTGTTCTTAGCGGCAGTAGCCTTCTTCACGGGGGTCTTTCTCTGTCGCTTTGATTTGGGAGAGCCGGTCGCTTCGTCGGCGGGGCCGGCAGCAGCCTCGGAGTCAATGGGTGCAAGCTTCTTGCGCTTGACAGGAGATCTTTTCTTGGGGGTGGTGGTCGCGCTGTTGGCGGCTGAAGTACCTGGGGAGGCGATGGAGTTCGCAGCAGGGCCATCGGCTGCACCAGCAGTGTCAATTTCCAGGAGCCTGCGTTTGGCGTTGCGGTACGAGGTGCTGGCGGAAGCGCTGTTCTTGTACGGGTACTTCAAAGCAAGCTTTTCCATATCAATCTATAAAAAGGCAAGAAATGAGACTTCGTTGTTTAGAGACTTTCAAAAGCATATCCAATAACTTACCCTGCCGCCTTCCTCACAGACAATACCAAGAAGCAAAGACTTGGCTTCGGCGACAGAGAGGCCCAGCAGGCCTTCTGGCTTAGTTTTGGCAATCGCAGACATGGTTAATTCCCACGTGAAGAAGGATGATGATGAAAGTCGCTGTATAAAGACGGACGAGTGAAGCGAACGTTGTGGGAGGAAGATGTCCTTGAGATGGGTCAAAGGTGGGTATGGTGGTTGAGTATTGGTAAAGAATATGGAAGACAGGAGAGACAAAGTGAGCCAGATGAGAAAGGTCTTTAGAAAGAGGAAAGGCGCAACACAAATGGAGGGCAAGGAGGAATGAACTGAGAGTGAAAAAGAAATGGAGGGTCCCTTAGGTTGGGCAAGTGAATGTCTGGTCACCCAGGTCTGCACACTTCAGTTTGTTTACAATTACAAAGATAAAGGAAAGCTCCAGGCAGACCAAAACGTCAATTTTCCGACTTTATGTTTTTTGGGTACCCAAGGCGTTGACTCTGGATATTCTTGAATACGGTCTCCCAAACCTGGGGGAAGAAAGCCCTTGAAGGCGGTCCTGGCGGGCACGTTGGCTCAGTGAAGAACTTGTGCTGGTCAAAAAGACTGTTGACAGTAGTAGAGTCCCTGTTGTAGCGGAGCCGGAAATTCACTGGAGGGAAGCCAGACTTGTACGGGCCTAGGTCCGCAAGCCGTACCTTTGTGAGACGCGGACCAGCCGAGAATTTCATGGTATTGATATAGAGGGTTGCCGTCGGCGGAAGATTCATGGCATATTGAATCGCATGTTCCCGCGATTGTCGAGCAAATACTGGGAGGCTGAGGTGTATGAAGTTCACGTAAGGGGCAGCTACGTAGGCAACGAATATCATCGGAATGGCACTGGCAGCGATGACTGGACGCATAAGTTAGCTCAATGAACCCATCTCGCGCAGAAAGCTGATTCTTACCACAGCCAATTTTCCATCTCTCTTCGCCCTTGCCATCCATGGCCGGGGCAATGAGGACACAAGTAGCGCCAAACATCAAGATTGTCGTGATCCGCATCGCTCCGACGAAATTTATCCTCTTGGTTCCAGCTTGATAGATCAAAATCCGTTCCGGGGGAGCTGCCGCTTCCAATTAGCGTTGTTCTCCCTTTCCTTGCGCATTGAAGCTATTCTACCTCGTTTAATGGCGTTTCTCGCATGCGTTGTGGCAGTCGACGTCGATGAGTTTCGAATTGGAGTCGCGAGTCGCCTGATCGACGGTCTGCTGCCGAACTCTCTCTGTACGGCTCGAGGGAACGATATGCGCATTTGCGAGGGTAATGACGGCCGCAGCCTCATTATGGACAGCATGATTGGGATTGATTTGAATGTCGTTCTGAGAAACCAAAGGAAAAGCAGAGAACGGACAATAATTGGAGACGCTCGGAGACGGTTCCAGGCACGTGTTGATCCCGACTTAGTCAGCGCCGTCTCTCTCCCTCTATCTTTCTCTGTTTCTTCTTTCAATCCTCATCGATGGAAGGAGCTTCATGTCTCAAAAGACGCCATTTTGTGACCCACATTATGTCTGTTTATCATTGTCCAACATCGAGCGCTGATCTTTAGGACCCAAAACCCACAGAACTACTCAATAACTAAGTAAAACATGAACTATATATTTCGACGCCAGTCGACGGCTGTCCTGGACAATGAAGTTGGATATCTGAATTCAATAACGAGATATATTCCACGATTGAACATTTCCTTCATCAAGAATTGAATCTAATTCAGTGGGAGAAAGCCGCTACTACTGCCAGACCCAAGACTATCCTCGCTTGGGAAACTACTCTCACTCGATCCACCCGAGATGATTCCCCACTGACGCATCCAATTACTTATCCATAGCGTGTTCACACATCCTACGCGCCGTAACAAAGAGCTGGCCGCTTGTGAATGGATGGGTGGCAGCATGCGAGCTTCGGCTGACTCGTGAACCGCATTTTTGAAGAAGTCAAGCAGCTTGGCGGCCGGGTTGGTTTGGGAGTCAGTCGTCGTCTTATCAACCACGTTCTTCAGATTCTCTACCCAATTCTCGAAGGAAACAGGCTGTATACCTAGCTTCTCAGGATAACAGGCGAGAACCTCCGGTGCAATCTCGGACCAAGATGTCCATGATGGATTGATAACGTGGTATACATGTGTCCCCGAGGGCAAGTGAGTCGGATTCGGCTCCGTCGAGTAGCGGAGAATTTCCAGCAGGACCTTGGAAAGCTTGTCGACTGGGATCCAGTCTAACCGGTCTCTTGATGGGAAGGTTACTGGAAATGTCTTCAAGTATGCCGAGGAGATGAATATCTGAGTGAACGTCAGCTGGGTTCATTGCGTTCAGGGATGAGAAAGAGGCTACCGAAGGAATATACTCGTTGGGGTTCCACAGGCCCAGAGGTTGTTCAATTGGGCCTGCAACTATCCCAACTCTACAACATGCAGACTGTACCCCCGAAATCTCGGCTGCCTTGTCGAGAAGACATTCAGAGATCAGTTTTGATTGACCGTAGCCCATCCTCGCAGCAACGGAAAAGTCATGGATGGGTCCTTCGGGAACAGGGTGAGGTGAATCCCAGGAGCCAACAGCGGAGACGCTGGAGATGAACGTGATGAAAGAATGCATGGCAGAGGCGTGAGAAAAGTCAATGAGATGCCGAACCCCTCGAATGAATGGCTCGAAGCTGGCGAGATTCCAATTGAAATTGACTGCCCACTGATTGTCTGCTCGCGGTCAGTATGTGATAGAACTTTCGTTCTCAGAGAATGCTTACGAATCACATGAGTTACAGTATCGAGTAACTGACTATATATCGCATCTTGAAGACCGAACTTTGGCTTTGAGAGGTCTGCTTGTAGAAATTCGATCCGGTCAAATTCGATGCTACTGAGACCGCGCTGAAGGCCAAGCCGGATGTGTTTGTGGGCAGCATCGGCGCTTCGGTTGAGACAGATGATACGAGATACATTCTCATCCTTCTGGAGCTCGTCAAGAAGATATGACCCAAGAGAGCCTGTGCTGCCAGTGAGAAGAACGACCATGTTCTTTGAGGGCGTATGAGGAAGATGGCCTCTAGACTGCGGTAGGCCATCGCAGTATTTCTGGAACAGTCGGTGCATTTGAGCTAGTGGAAAGCTCTCGTCTGCATGTGAGCCATTCTTCTCAATGGTATGATCACTGGATGATGACGTGACGCCTAGTTGGTCCAGAATATGCGCAGTCAACTGATCCACGGTTGGATGGGTGTAAATCGATGCTGCAGGGAACATCTCCGCAGATTCATCCCCCATTCCCAGTTCTCTCGCCTGGAATCGCAATTCTCGAGCCATCTGGATTACCTGCAACGAGTCGATTCCTGCCGCGAAAAAGTCGGTATCTGATTGTAGCGGCCCCATATTAGTAATTTCCTTTATCAATTGCTGCAACCACGACGCAACAGTCGCTGGGCTGGTGAGTTCCAGAGCAGGGAGATTCAGGAACTCAGAATGCTCAACGGCCTCGTCAGCTGTTTTGTATAACTCTTCGATCTCTTCCTCGTACATGTGGAATGTACTCCTTCGCTGAATCTTTCCTTGTCCGAGATACTTGATCGGCTTGGATGCGCTCGCGAACAAAATGTGGTGCTGATCTAGCTTTCCGTGTGCAGGTGCATGTGTGTTAGCCTCGGCAATGGTTGGCTTCATGCTTTCCAATAACTGATATTTTTCTGTCGAGTTATAAGGTACGTCGCAGAGCAGATCAATCAGCACAGCAGGCTGGAATCGTCCTTGGCCTACTACCATGGCTCCTTTGACGAGCGGGTGGCTCATCAGTGTCGCCTCAATTAAAGCGGGTGCAATCTTTTCGCCGTTGCTGAGAACGATCACGTCGTCCTTTCGACACTGGTACATGTACAGAAAAGGCTTGGACGGGTCCGGATGCCGTGAGTAGAGGTCTCTCATTGACCATTCCTCAATATCAGGAAAGGTGTTGAACACTCCCTGGTATAGCTTCAAATTGGAGTCTCGAACGATGAAGAGCTCATATAATCCGTCCAATGCCTCTCTCATTTCAATACCGGAATGTGTGGGATGCCAGTGAAAGTAGGGCCAGTCGTCGATAGAAGGGGATAGTCGTTGCAGGCACGCAGTTTCGGTTGCCCCAAGGTTGCAGATGACACGCGTGTGCTTTGAGATGAGGTCTCCAGCTTTGTGAGATAAGGGAGCTAGCGATGGTCAGCATATTACAGTTGTGGTCAGAGAACAAAGTGAGTGAGGATGAGCAACATACCACCACTGGCGACAACATAGTGGAGCCGGTTGACCCTCTCAAGCGCCTCTGGGTCACGACTGAGTTCCTCATATATCGACGGTGCTCCCATGGATGCGTCTACGTTGGCATATTGATGCATTTCATCTGCGTATATCGCATTCGGAACGACTTGAGGCGCACCGTAGACCAGAGTGACGCCAAGCAGCATAGCCCACGTTATGCCGGCATTCAGCCCGCTGGTATGGAAAAGTGGCATGGAGGTATAGGCCCGCCGAGACTGTTGATATATCTCTGTCGTCGGAACGTATCCGTCCACGTGGGGAATGGTCCTCCAGGCTTCATACGTGCTAAGAATACCGACCTTCCAAGTGATCGGTTTCGGAAGTCCGGTTGATCCAGTCGTATGGAGCACAAGACATGGGTCCGACCATGCTTCCTCAAAGCTCTTGTTGTAAGGATACATTGCCACTGGGTAATCCAGGAGGAATTCCTCTAGGTCCGGAACAACCCAAGATAGCATCGGCCTCTCTTTCAAAATGGCGTCGATGTTAGTCTCCTTGGCTCGGAGGAACACATTGCAGTCCACGCCGGCGAGGACGTTTACATGGGCCTCAACATTATTCCGAGGGGACACGAAAACCATCTGAAAGTTCAATGAGTCTCTTATATCACCGCTGCCAGCGACTGGACAGAATGGACTACCTTATAGCCAACTTTGATGGCCCCAAACATGAATAGAAAATATCGTATGTCACCTTTCAACTTGCGAGTCAGAATGAGCAAAAGGCGACATGACAAGCAAGAACTCACTAGGGCCCATATACCCAATTGTCTCAAAATTCTTCGGAGGCCCCAAGAGGTACCTCAGGTACCAGCTCACTCGGTTGACCGCATCTGCGAATGTTTTGCAGGATACATCCACGAAGCCATCCTGGGGTTTGGCCGTCTTCGGGTACGCGAAGAGTGGATGGTCAGGTACTGCACTTGCCAACTCATCTGGAATCAGATGCACCAGCCGGTTAGGGCTTGCATTGGTGGTTCGAAAGATGGGATGGATATCCTCGCGGAGAGGAGCCGCTTGTGACATAGTGGAACAGGTGTGAGCTATGTTAATGAACAGCACGGAGGCCAGGAACCACCATCAGGTTAAGTAGATAGATGGGGAAAGACTATGTCAAGATGCAACCCGTTTAAGGATCTCCGGTTTGTTCTCACTGGTCCTTCTATCATTGGTCGGTCTCGGTATATCTCTCCTATCTACTACTGCCGAATCAATTGGGTTAGCTCAAGCTAAGATAATAGCAACATCGTCTATCTGCACATGGTAGGACCCATACGAATCTCACCTCAGACCGGAGACTGGAACATTCGACTATCTCTTGATACTCCTTTTGGAAGCCCGTGGGCTCCGAGTCCTACAATGCGCATTCCCTCTACGAGACTCCTGTCAAGGTGCCGAAGATGATTTGCCTTAGACACGTCGACATTGACGGCGGAGCCGCAAATGTAACGGTTCATCGGCCGGCGGAGTTGGAATGGAAATGAATCCGGAGATTACGATGGCCTTCCCCATGGAGATGCAATGTTCAGATGCTTTAGAGATTCCGATACTGTGAGGACATGCATACGGATCGGGGTCCAAACCGACTTCGAATGCTCCGCGGGATCAGAATATCGCCTATCTCAACACTCCAGAGCTGGTTGCCACCTAAATCACGAAGATTCTGGGGCTTGAGACGAATATAAATATGAAGGTTGAGTCCGTGCAATACCCTCAGACCAGACTCTCAGATCAAACAATCAACACTTCGTCCCACAACCACACTCTCAAAGCCCTCATCAACCAATACCACCAAGATGCTTACCAGCGTTCTGTCGTTCACGGTACGGACCTTCGAGAATCATGATGTGATTGCCTCACAATAACTGATAACTCTTCCCCCTACAGCCTGAGCAGGCTGCCCAGGTTACCGAGTACTGCACCAACGTCTCCAACGATGTATCAGACAACATGAACGAACTCTGGAAATGGACCTCCGAGGAATTCGAAGATGCCGACAAGATGTCCTCGCCTCTGCAGGGCGCCACGATGAAGTTCCTCGCGGAGCACCAGCAAGCCAAGCGCAGTGAGTTCTCTCTTCTTTGTCCCTACCATTCCACAGCTCCCGTCTAATTCACATTCCCACCAGTCCTTGAGATCGGCTGCTACACCGGCTACAGCGCCCTGGCCTGGTACGAGAGCACTGTTTCAACACAGGCCGAGATCATCACTCTGGAACTGGACCCGAAGATGATCGCCGCGTCGCGCCGCACCTTTGACAAGTACGGTCTCAACGACCGCGTCACCCTCATCGAGGGCCCTGCGCAGGACTCCCTGCAGAGGCTCACCGGCACCTTCGACATCATCTTCGTGGACGCCAACAAGGAAGGCTACGAGGGGTATGTCAAGACCGTGCTAGACAAGAAACTCCTGAGTCCGAAGGGTTTCATCATGTGCGACAACGGTGAGATATCGCCCATTATTACTTTGAAATTGAACTAGATGTACTGATTCCTCGACCAACCTATTTAGTCTTCGCCCGCGGTATGACCATCTCCGCTGATGCCAACCCTTACCTGTCCGAGAAGAGCCGCGCCTACTGGACGGCGAACGGCATCGCGCTGCGGAAGTTCAACACGTTCTGCAAGAGCGACGATCGCATTGACAGCGTCCTGCTGCCCGTGTATGACGGAGTTACCCTGATCAAGTGGAAGCCTGCCGTTGTGGCGGCGAACGGGTTCCACTAGGTAGCTACCTGGTTGGACATGGACATGGAATGATGATTACTAGAATGAACGCTATCTAGAAACTAGAAAAATCCAACGAGAATGTTCTGCTTATGAAAGATTAACGAACCTTGGAACCCTGCTGTGAGGTCACATAAGAAGATCCCCCCCGGAGTCGCAGGACTTGCCTGTTCGGTAACACCCGCCCAGATGCCGATTTCGTAGCCGCTCCCTTCGGTAACTCCTGGGCATCTTCATTCCGGATTGTTCGCACGGCTAAACTACAAGAGTACAATGAGAACTGATTATAAAGTAACCTACGCACACCCATGCCCTTTCTACATAAACATTACACTGTAACCCACGAACGCCTTGTCCACGGACCTCATTCAACCAAATAACCAACTCAACAACCAACTAACCAACCAACTAAACAATGTCCTCCCCGACCAAACTCCCCACCCGAACTCTCGGCCGCAATGGCCCCGAAATCCCCGCCTTAGGGTTCGGCCTGATGGGCCTAAGCGGTGCGTCCCCAGCCTCCATTACCATCACCATCACAGGGCCCCCAATCTCAGCCAGCCAGCCTTAGCGTTGGCATTGAGAGCACGCCCCTACCTCCTCCTAAAACGGCAAAACAAAAACACTCTTACTATCTAATTAATTCACTAACTGGCTAATACCCCGCGCACAGCATTCTACGGCACTCCCACTCCCGACGACGAGCGCTTCAAGCTGCTCGATCGAGTGTACGAGCTGGGCTGTACCCACTGGGACACGGCGCAGCTGTATGGCGATAGCGAGGAGTTACTGGGTCGGTGGTTTAAGGAGACGGGGAAGAGGAATGAGGTATGTTAGTTCGACACTATCTATCGCTTAAGCAAGTCAGTATGTTATCGTTCTCGGACGATGATCTGACCATCGAGCCAGATCTTCTTGGCCACGAAGTTCGGCAACAAAGTGTCTGCTGACGGGGGTCGCGAGATATGCAATGACCCCGCGTATATCCGCGTGGCTGTGGAGGAGAGCCTGAAGCGGTTGGGGACGGATTATATTGATTTATTGTACTGGTATGTATGGGACCACCCTGGCGCACTCGCTTCTGCGAGGTCTTTTACTATTCGGGGTGCGAAGATGCTGACGGCGAGTGATTTACTAGCCATCGGTTTAGTGGCAAAACGCCCGTTGAGGACATTGTGGCGACCATGAAGGAATTCGTTGAGTAAGTGCTTACCTCACTAAAACCTACTCATCGGCCTATCTTGCATGGAAATCTGTTCCGAATACCGAGGGAAAAGAAACACTATAACTAACTGATACGTAACAGCGCCGGAAAAGTGCGTTATCTCGGTCTCAGCGAATGCGGCGTCGATACACTCCGTCGTGCGAGTGCCATCCATCCCATTCAGGCGTACCAGATTGAATATAGTCCATTCTCCCGGGACATTGAAAAGCCCGAAACGGGACTTCTGGCGACTTGTCGGGAGCTGGGCATCGCCACGGTGGCATATTCGCCGCTGGGCCGGGGAATGCTGACGGGCGCTTACAAGTCGATCGATGACTTCGACGAAAATGATTTCCGGCGGTCGATTCCGCGATTCTCGCGCGAGAATTTCCCGAAGAATTTGCAACTGGTCGAGACTCTGCAGGAGATCGCGGCGCGGAAGGAATGCACTTCCGGTCAGCTCGTGTTGGCCTGGATGATGGCGCAGGGGGAGGATATCTTTCCGATTCCGGGGACAAAACGAATCCAGTATCTAGAGGAGAATATGGGTGCGTATGCGGTCAGATTGTCGGAGCCGGAGATTCAAGAGATAAGCGAAGCTATCAAGAGTGCGGAGGTGCATGGGACGCGGGTGGCTGAGCGCCAGATGGGTTATTTGCTTATGGATACGCCGCCATTGTAGATTCGGAGGGCCTAGATACGGGGTAGCTGAGCTGATGATGTTGCATTGCAGACGTTTGTTGCAACTAAAACTGACCATTCATCGCTCATCGTCTACAAATACTGTTGTATGTCGTCAGCACTAGACCGGGATTGACATGCAGGGACGATAAAGTAAAATTTACGAGCCTACCGAGGAAGACTCCCCGAATAAGGTCATTGGAACCGGAGAATAGGGAGTTCTTCTTGGGGAAAAAGCTGACACTAATCAGCCTGGCGTGAACTCCGGTGGAACAAACATTATAACTCTCCACTTTCGATCTCAGACCAAACTCCTCTTTCTCCTCTGAGCTTCCGTTTCTAAAGATGTTGAACCTCCGGAGTTTTGTTTCTCGGAGTGTCATCGTCTGATCTCCGGGTTCTTATTTCTCCAGTTGTGCTTACCTTTTGTTCAGTACGATAATCAAATGCATCTGTAGAACTCCCTTGGAACATGTGTCTTTGTTTCTACTCAACATCACTCCATGGGGCTTCGGAGTACGCCTCGACACTTTCTGTAAGCGCACGATATGGTAGGCTTCCTGGACCTGTTCAAAGGTTAGTGAGCATGGCCAGCTGTATTCAAGGAGCGTTACCATAAATCCCCTTCCGTAGAGACGCCACTAGACATTCTCTGCCGAGTAGGTTAGCCAAAGACAGTGTATCCTAAGCACCATGGCCCATCTATCCCAAGAGCACGTCAAATATCTATACGAAAAATTTGGGGAATTGAAAGTCCTCGACGACATCATCCGCCACCGGGCTGCCGATGATCCTCCCGCGCCAATTCTGGCGTATCCACGCCCCGGTACAGTAGCGGACTATGAATACTTCACGGGGCGTGATCTAGATCGGTTGATTGATGGGGCGGCTAGACGATATCTGTCCTTGGGATTGAGCACGGTAAGAAAGCCACGCAGTCGAGATTATAGGTTGGTGCGGACATACCTCGCTAATCGCAGAATAACAGACTGACCACAAGGTTGTGGGCCTCCTCGCCCCGTCTAATCTCGACTTCATCGTCTCTTTCTTCGCACTTAGTCGTCTCGGACACACAGTTCTGGCCTTGTCGTTGCGAATCGCGTCTGTTGCAGTCATCAACCTCCTAAAACAGACGGACTGCGGCACAGTGGTGCATGGTGATACGGCGCAGATCGTGTCGACTCTTGAGAGCGTCAATGTCAACTATCCTATCAGGGCTTATGGTATTCCTTCGCGCAATGAATACGACCAGCCCCTGGGCACCGAGGAGCGGTTTACCCGGTCCATCGACCGAGAGCAAGAGAATACCGCGACGGCGTTGATCATGCACTCCTCTGGTTCGACTGGACTCCCTAAAGCTGTGATGCTCACGCACCGTGCCCTTCTCACGCATCCCACGCAAGGTTCGGGACTGCACAACTTTAACGCCCTGCCGTGGTACCATCTATACGGCGTCTCGACGTCGCTGCAGGCAATGTGGATGCGCAGGACGGCGCATCTGTACAATGCCGCCATGCCGATCACTTCAGAATCGCTGATTGATATCCTGGAGATAGTAAAACCAGAGGCCGTGCATACCGTGCCATATGTGTTGGGTCTGATGGCGGAGAAGCCCCGGGGGGTTGAGCTGCTGCGGCGATGTCAAGTCGTGACGGGGGCAGGAGCCCGTACTCCTGACGAACTGGGCGATCGGCTGGTCCGAGAGGGAGTAAATTTAGGAATTGTATTTGGAACGTGAGTCCATATCACGACACGTGACTAACGCTGTGCCTTAGGTTAGTTATGCTGACTTCAAAAATCAGGACGGAAGCCGGCCTCGCAGGCGATACAATGCGCCGAGCCAAAGGCGACGACTCTTGGAACTACATCCGCATCTACGCGAACATCCGGAAATACGTCCATATGAACCCTCTTGGCGACGGGTTGTATGAATGCGTGTATCTCAAAGGTCATTCGGCCCTGTCGACGTCAAACTCAGACGACCCGGCCCCTGGATCCTGGCACTCCAAGGACGTTTTCGTGCCTCATCCGACCATTCCAGAGGCGTGGAAATACGTCACTCGCATCGATGATCGGATCACCCTCATAAATGGAGAGAAAGTGCTTCCGCTTCCTATCGAGGGTCGTATCCGCGAGGACGAGCTTGTTCGCGAGGCGGTCGTCGTCGGCGTCGATCGCGCGATTCCCGGCCTCTTAGTCTTCCGAGCACCTGCCGGAGATCATCTCTCAGAAGGAAACTATCTCGATGCTATTTGGCCGGCAATTGCTGACGCGAACACCAGAGCTGAGGGCTTCTCGCAAATCACCAGGGAAATGGTGACTCTCATGCCCTCGGACGTGTCGTATCCACAGACCGACAAGAGAAGCATCATCCGCGCGCAAGTCTATCGCCAATTCGCGGAGCAGATCGAAGATATGTATGTGCGGCTCGAGGAGAACCACGAAGGACTACTTCAGCTGGACTTGCCTGGGTTGGTGGAACGGCTTCAGTCCATCTTCCGGGATATCGTTGGGGTGCCAGTTGAGTCTATAGAGACGGACTTCTTCACTGCTGGCGTAGACAGTCTCAAAGCGATCCAGATGCGCCGGATCATTCAGAAGACCATCGATCTGAATGGGCATACATTGCCACAGAATATCGTGTACAACAAAGGAAACGTGAAGAGGCTTGCTGCATATCTGCATGCCCTGGTCAATAATCAGATGGAGGCTGTGGCAGACGACGAGGAGACCAGCATGATGGAGTTGATTGAGCGATACTCGCACTTCCAAGAACACAAGTATTTGAATGGGGTCCTTAACGGACACGGGCCTGATGTTGATCGGAATGCCGTGGTATGTGTATAGATTAGCACAACTTGGGCTTCAGACTGACCTCATCAGATCCTCACCGGCGCCACTGGCTCTATCGGCGCGCATCTCCTGCATCAACTCCTATCCATGAACAACATCGGCACAATTTACTGCTTCTGCCGGGGCAAGAATCCAATCCTGCGTGTCCTCCGCTCCCTCGAATCTCGAGGCCTCGCCCTACCACGTCACACGTCACCAACTCGCATAATCGCCTTAACCACCGACCTCGACCAGACGGACTTCGGCCTCGACGCAACCACCCTGAAAGAACTGCTCCAGTCCGTCTCGCTGATCATCCACAGCGCGTGGCCGGTCAACTTCAACATCCCGTTGCATAACTTCGAGCCGCACATCGCGGGTCTACATAACCTGCTGCAGTTCTCGCTCTCTGTGCACCGACCGGACCCGGCACAGGTCTTTTTCTGCTCGTCGATCTCGGCCGCGTGGAACATCCCGTCCACCTCACAGGCGATTCCAGAGGCACCCATTGAGCAGCTAGGCTTCGCGGCAGGGATGGGCTACGCACAATCGAAGCTCGTTGGGGAACATATCGTGCGAAACGCGGCGCGGCGCGGGGCTAGAAGTTATGTGCTGCGCATCGGGCAGATCGTCGGGGATACGGTACGGGGCGTTTGGAACGAGGGCGAAAGTATCCCCTTGATGATCCGCTCTGCAAGGACGATGAAAATTTTGCCAGATCTGAAGGAGGTACTTACATCTTTCTCCCCTCCAGTACCTTATCATGTAGCATATACTAACCACCCGAGCGGGATAAACAGACATGCAGCTGGCTCCCCGTCGATATACTCGGAACGGCAATCCTCGAAATTGCACACACTTGCGCGCAAGGCCCGGTGCCGGCTGGACTGGACAAGGTAGACCCCCCTATTTTTTATAATCTCGTGAACCCGCACGAATTTGCGTGGCTGGACCTGCTGTCACGGCTGCGTACCGCGGGCCTAGAATTCACGACCGTTCCGTTTGCGCAGTGGCTGGACGGGCTGCGAGATAGCTCAGCGAGGGGCGAGGAGGAGCAGAATCCGGCCGTCAAGCTGGTCGAGTATTACGAGCAGACCTATACGCAGGGAGGGAAAAGTAGAGGAGCGAAGTTTGAGGTTGACGTGGCGCGGAGGGATAGCGAGAAGATGAGAAAGACGATTGACGTTGTGGGCATGGGGTTGGTAGAGAAATTCTTGGGGGTATGGGAGAGGCAGTAGATGATTAGATTTGATCGTGTCTTTTAATGCCAATCCTGGTGATCTTTTCGGTTCAATTTTGAAGTATTAGGAACGTGAGTGTTGTGACGGTTCTGGATGCAACGCTGTTAATGACGAAAAGGGGAATACTTGATTAGTGGTGATGAAGAGGTAGAAGGTTGGAGAGGAAGAAGAGGAAGAAAAAGAAGTCTTCGCACAAATAAGCGGATGAACCTCAGGCATCCAAGCACCACATGATCTACGCAAAGTCTTACCCTCTATCCACGTTATTAGGCCATTTGTGGTTCTCTTCTGAATGAGATGAAGATAGAAACAAGTTATATTTGCCCTAAAACTGCTATACATAGCTTTACATATCCGGTGACACTGAAGATCACACACCCCGACTCTAGCTCTATAACATGCCATTCTACACGAACTACGGAGCTTGCCTTACTCAACAAGCACCGGTGATAGCACAAGCGATCTTCTCGGCCAGCGCATCTACACTCAAGATTAGCTATGTACCTAACAGCATTAAGAAAGAACCAGGAACACTCACAAACAGTAGCCTGGGGATGACCCGGAGGCAGCAACGGAAACGCCGCCGCATCGACGACCCTCAGTCCCTTGACGCCAATCACCCGGGCCTCGGTATCGACAACCGCCATGGGGTTATCCTTCTTGCCCATGGCGCAGGTGCATGCGGCATGGTAGATTGTGTTGAAGCTCTTGCGAATGATCTCCTCGATCTGGGCGTCGGTCTGGACGTGCGGTCCCGGAAACGCCTCCTCGCCGATCACGAACGGCTTCATGGCTTTGGAGTTCCAGAACTCGCGCACCCGCTTGAACCCTGCGATCGACACCTCAATGTCGGCTGGGTCGGTCAGCCAGTTGGGGTTGATGACCGGGTCGTCGTACACGTCAGCCGAGGAGATGGTCAGGTTGCCTCGCGACCGCGGCGTGCAGAGGGCCACGGACAGCGTGGCGTAGTTGTATCCGTCGTGCGGGTCGCCCGTGGCCAGGTTGGCCTGGTATCCCAGGTAGGCACTCAGCGAGAGATACTCCAGCTCGGGCCAGTCGGCGGGATAAGTGGCTAGGGAGGCCAAGGTAGACTTGGAGAAGTGCGAGCGTAGACGCTTGGGGACCTTCTCCCAGGCGATCACGTCAGTGGTTGGGTTGGTGTACATGCCGGAAGCATTCTCATTGAACTCCTTCGCGGCAGCAGCGGCGAATTCGGGGTATCCCAGTGCCGACAGTGTGGGCGCGTTGACACGGTACGAGGGACCGAAGTAGATGTGGTCTTCCATGTTTTGGCCCACGCCGGGCCGGTCTGCGACGACGGGGATGCCCAGGGACTTGAGAGTTGATGCAGGGCCGACGCCGGAGACTAGGAGCAGTTGGGGCGAGCCAAAGGCACCGGCCGACAGGATGATTTCCTTGCGGGCGTTGAGCTGGTAGCTGAGTCCCTCGGTGTCGACGATCACACCGGTGGCGCGCTTGTTCTTGTCAAAGATGATCTTCTTGGCCGTGGCGGTCTGATACACCATGTAGTTGGAGTATCCGAGGCCTGTGCGCAAGAAGGCGGTTTCGGACGAGTCGCGCACCATGGTGGTGGCGTTGATGGTGAACATACTGTAGGACTGACCCAGGAGCGAGCCGCTCTGGAAGCCCGGCACGATGGGGATGCCCATGGCCTGCAGTCCCTTCGTCGCCCAGGTACCGAAGGCTTGCACATAGTGAGAGAAGGTCACCGACAGCGGACCGGAGCCGTTGCCCATGACGTGCGGGTCGTACTCGGCGGACCCGTTCTTGAAGCGCAGCTCCATGTTGGGCGGGGTGAATTTAATACTCTTCTCGAAGAACGGTAGGAATTTCTCAAAGGTGTAGCTCTGGTCTCCCACAGCATCGGCCCATCGCTTATATGAAGCCGTGGTGCCGCGTTGGTAGACCATGTAGTTGCGCGCTGAACTGCCCCCGAGGCATTTCCCGCGAGCATAGTGCAGCTTGTCGTTGTAGGAGCCCTAGATCTGGTTAGTCTGGACTCAACGGGATTGGGGTAAGGATACATACAGCTTGAGGGGTGGTGACGTATCCCCAGTCAATCAACGGCTGCCAGTCCGTCTCAGACCGGCCGGTATACGTTCCGTCGAAGGCAGGCACTTGGCTGATATTGCCATTATCGATCTCGTAGAAGCCACCGGCCTCAACGACTGCCACAGAGCCCTTCTGCTGCTCTACTAAACGAGTGGCCAAAGTCAAGCCGGCAGTACCGCCACCCACGATGATGTAGTCGAAGGTGGCATTGTTCCCGGGCACGCCAAAGGAGGAACCCAAGAGGCCGCGCGCTTTGATATGCGTCTCTGTCGGGATGGCATGAGCAGATACTGCCAAAGCAGTGAGTAGGCTCGCGGCGTGGCCAAGATGCATGGCGACTGGTGATGATAGTGATCGAGACTAGAAAGGGTCCTTTGAAGACGCCGTGTCTGAGTGACGAAGCGGGAAATGGATCGTCGTCGGCCAGCACCCAGCTTTATACTCATCGTCCTCGATTCTATGGCAGCTTCACGAACGGCACGGACACAAGCAAGCCATCATGCTGAGCAGCGATATCTCGTTTCCGAGCTCAGCCCATTCAGCTCCAGCAGCTCCAGGAGTTCCGGAGAATCAACTCCCCTTCTCCATCCAGGACATGGCGATGAAACGACATCCTGAACAGGATGGAATCGGCCCCCAAGCATCAGTCTACCTCGTATGATCTCACGCTAAGGATGCGTTCTCACACGGACCGGGGTACCTCCACGTGTATTGTCAGCCTCCTCCGGGAAAAAACAACATGAGGCATTCCGTCCCGACGGGTCTATCAAGTGCTGTAGGCAACCTGATTAGGGCAGGATGAGGGGGCCAAAACCTCGCCAATCACGGTCAAAAGGGTGCATCGGTACGATCCGCAGCCGAAGAGGCAGACTCCAGCTCGACAAGCGATAGACTGGCTGAGGTGAGACCGCAGTGGTTGGCGCCTCGCGAGAGCTAAATACTAGAGTCTCAACCTTAGGAAGACCTTCCAGAAGGAGATGGGGGAATACCTCATGGGGACGCGAAGGATGCGGAGATTTTGGCAGCAGATCCTTCGTGCGATCCGGCTTGATAGCTAAAGATTGGGACCATGAACAATGCCGATTGTCAGTCCGGCACGTCGAAGGATTTGCCCTCGGAGGCAGAGTTACTGCCAGGCCAATCGTGAGGCATTCTGTTCCCATATCGCTGGCCAGAGCCTGAGAACTATCTTTAACCCGTGCCAGGATGCTGGATTGGTCAGGTCTCGGCGAGATGCAGACTGGTTCGTATTGGCTGTTCTGGTTAGCTTTGACGACGAATCTATGACAGATGGATTTCCCTCACAGCCGGATCTTCAGGGCTAAACCGAAGGCGCCCTTGAGGATCAATTATAAGATTTCGAAGAGCGCTGGGGGGATCTCACCTCAGCACTAGCAGGTTGGGTCGGAGGAGCCGAGGATGATTCAGTCAGTGCTTTGGGAGGGTCTGTTCGAGGTCAGGATAGCCTTCTATAGGCGAAACAAGAGGAATAGAAATAGGAATGAAAGAGTAGAGGATACATCAAAGGGAAAAAGAGGAGGAAAGTCAAGAAGAAAGTGAGCAACGACAAGATGCTCAGGGAAGGCGAATTGCCTCCAACTGAATAAGCGACGGACAAAATGTAACCTCACCAACGCCAGCGACGCTGACTGGCTCTGCAACCCTCGTGGTTCGATCTGCCAGGTCAATCCACGTCCATCCTTGTCCCTGTCCCATCCATGTCGGCTTCAACTGCACATTTCTCCGCCTCGAACGAGGCCGAGCGGTTTATAGTGCGGTCGCCAAAACGGCGAGAACAAAGAAAACACGAACGTGTCTCCTTTTTTTCTTCCTTCTGGTCAGGGTGATTGATTGCCTGTCTTCGATCGTGCTTGAGATCCCTCATTGCAATTTCGACCGTCATGTTCTCAACGTTTGTCGCCCATTCCCACTCGCCCGATCGCCCGGATGCTCCCTCTGGCTCCTCCACATCGACCTCCACCACCTCCACTCCGCCGCTTCCTTCGCTTCCTCCGCGTTCCAAGCGCAGTCAGGTCGCCCGCGCCTGCGACTGGTGCCGCGTCCATCGCATCAAATGTGACAGCAGCCTCCCCTGTCAAAACTGTCGCAATCGCGGCGGTCATTGCAAAAAGAAAAGTGCTGCCGAGATCCGCACGCTGCCCCACGCCGTGCGAGAGATTGAGCGATTGCGGCAACGCGTGCAGGAATTGGAGGAACAAGTCGAACAGGCTGGTCGGACAGTGGTGCAGGGAGATCAGAATCAGAATTCGAATCAAAACCAGAATGACAAACCCAGGCAGCAACGAGGTCGGCCGTTGGGGACGCGACGAGGGGTGGATGGAATTCACACGCGCAGTGCCCACTCGTCGCAGACGCAGTGGTACGGTCCCTCGTCGGCCTTCTACTTCATCGGTCGCATGAGCGCCTATCTCAGCGCCGTGCTGGAATTGCCCGAGGACGAACATCAGATGCAGCCCAACTCCGCCAGTCGCTTCTTCACCAGTCCGACCTCCACCAAAGAGCCTCTTCCGGAGGAGCTACCGGCCGCGTCGGCCGTCGCGGCAGAGGAGTCCTATCTCAGTGGCATCGAGGAGGACTTCTTTCTGAATCTGTTCTGGCAATCCTACCATCCCATCTACCAGGTGCTGGACGAGGCCGACTTCCGAGAGCACTACAAATCGCTCTGGGTCGACTCGGCCACCACACGCAAACCCTCCGCCCTGGTCGACATCGTGCTGGCCCTGTGCATGCAGTATGGCGTCGCCCTAACGCCGCACGGAATTGCCGACCGACCCGACGGCCAGGTCGACCTCCACGACGCCAGCATCGCCGGTCGCTGGTACTACCGCCGGTCGCAAATGCTCCTAAACTCCGAGCTGGAAAGTCCGTCCATCGCCACGCTGCAGTGTCACATCTTCTCCGTCGTCTACCTCTGCAACGCCTCCTTCCAGAACATGGCGCACACGACCTTGGCGCTGGCGGTGCGCACCGCCCACATTCTCGGCCTGCATCTTGAGCCGCGCGAGAGCCTGCCACGACCCCAGCGGGAGCTGCGCAAACGCATCTGGTGGACGCTATACACCGTCGAGAGTAAGACGTGCATGAAACTCGGTCGTCCGTGCTCCATGCCTGACATGTCGGCCACCTGCTGCTTGCCCGCTGATGACCACGAGCTGGCACGCCTGTCGGTGTCCAACATCGCCGCGTACGGCGACCAAGTGACCTGGTTGACGTACAGTCGCCTCATGACGGAGCTGGTGCTGGCCGCGCAGACTGTCTATCTGAGCTTCTACGACGAACGGGCCGAGATCTTGACTACTCGCGAAGTCAAGAGCCTCTACACGGACCCAGCCGCGCTGGAAGCTCTGGCGGAGTTCCTCTCCTCGCAGCTGGGCAGCATGCGCGAATGGCTGCGCAACGTCCCGGACGGCATGAAGACCAAACGCAAAGATGGCGGGCAGTCATTCTCCACCGATCGATCGGCCCTCGACCTGGAGCGGTACGCGCCCTCGTGGCTGCAGCGTCAACGGCTCCTGCTGGAGCTCCTCTACCACAACCTGTCGATGAACGCCTACCGACCCTTCATCTGCTTCCCGGCGCCGTCTACATCACTATCAACCTCCACCTCCACCTCCCCGTTCCCCTTCCCCGGAACGGGCACCAGCAATGTCCATAGCAGCAACACCCCAGTGGTCGACGCGCATGCCGTTTCATGCGTGGACCACGCCATCGCCATCACGCACATTCTCCGACAGATCCTCCCGACGACCGACTTCCTCAAAGGCTGGTACGAGGCCTTCCAATGGCAATGGAGCGCCACGCTCTCCATGGTAGGATTTGTACTCGCCTACCCATCACACGCCTCGACGCCCGTCGCGCGCGCCGCTATCGACGACGCCGTCACGGTGCTCGAGATCTTCGGCCTGAATTTCGCCGTCGCCGGCAGCGCCGCGAACGTGACGCGCGGTCTCGCCGCCAAGGCCGATTACCTTGCCGCCGGCGGTGGTGGTGGTGGTCGGTTCGCCGTCCCTACGACCCTGACGCCGCCCTTTTCCGATCAGATGGAGCCGTTCCTGGCGTCGGTTGCTGCCGGTGGTGCTGCCGGTGGGGGCTCGGATCTGGCCGATGAGCCGATGACCACAGTGGCTATGTTTCAGAGTACGTTAGCGGGAGCGATGGGGTTGGCGCATAATGTGGACTCATTCTATAGTTTTGAGCCGTTGTATGCTGGGTCGAGGGATTTGGGGGATGCGTGGAATTTCGGGAATGAGGTTTTATGAGCCTGTGGTCTTCCGTGTCGATCGTCATGTCTGTCTATGTCCTTGTCCATGTCCAAGTGTGTATGTCCCATTGATGAATATGATGAATTACGATAGAAAGGCAGAATGGATGTAGCTGTGTAAAGAAACTTCTTTTTTTTCATTCCACTGTCAATCCATGTATGCATAATGCGTGCTCAACGAATCTACCAACTCCTCCTCTATGCGCCGCCACCACCCCGTCCCAAATTATTTCTCTCCCCTGCGTTCCATACTCCCAAATTCTGGTCCCGGGGCCTGATTCTACACCATCGTGACAACAGATCGGAATCGAACCGTTCCGTTCAGCATCGCCTCTGTTCAACGCGTTAGCCAATTCTTCATGCCAAAACACGCCTGAACAGATATCCAAAGTCTTGCGCCTGCGGGGGAAGAAGGGAGGGACATACGGTATGCGTCATTCACCCGTTCCAGAGGGAACTCCTCCACCATGCAGTTTATCTTGTGCAGTTCCGTGAATGCCAGGGCTTCCTCGGTGTCGTTGGAGTGGCCGGCGGGCCAGATCTGGACCGAGAGGCCGTATTTCAGCTGTAGAGTGTGTTAGCTTTCATTAGTCGCTGGATGGTGCTATAGGAGTAAGAAGGGGGCTTACCATGACGGCTGTGTCGATGGAGACTTCGCCAGGAACTGCATCACAACTCATCGTTAGCATCTATCCGCTTTACCTTTTTCATTCCATATCAAGATAAGACGAAGCAGTAAGGGAGGAGGGAACATACCAGACAGAATCAACAACTTCCCCAAAATCCCCAACCCCTTCAACAACCCACTCATCACTTCCGCCGTCGGCGCCGTCGTGACAGCCAACGACGCACCACCCAGCCTCTTCAGTGCATCGCCCGCGTCCTCCTTGCTCGAGTCAATGTACTCGTGGGCGCCCAGGTCGCGCGCAAACTGCTCCTTGCTGCCGTCTCGCGAGATCGCAACCACCCGGTACCCGAGCTTGCTGGCGTACTGGATGGCCAGGTGGCCGAGACCGCCGAGGCCTTGGATGGCAATCGTCTCGCCGACGGGGACGTTCATGTGGCGGATGGAGTTGAAGACCGAGACGCCGGCGCAGAGGATGGGGGCGTATTGGGCGGCCGGGAGGTGTGCGGGGACGTGGACGGCGGCTTCGGCGTTGATGAGGCAGTATTCGGCGTCTTGGTTGTTGTTAGTATTCGGAGTAGGTCATTGGGATTGACTGGGAGAGGAAGAGAAGGGGGATGGGGGATGGGGGAGGAAGACATACAGCCACCGTTCTTCGTCTCGCCGTTCACTTGTGCCTGGTCGCACATTTGGAAGAATCCTTTGCGACAGGCCTTGCAAGTGCCTGTTCCATTGTCAATTTCGAAATCCCTTCTCAAATCTAGGCGATGCAGAGAGAACCCACCGTCATGACCACCGTGCCATGCACCACCGATGCGATCGCCAGCCTTCCACCCAGACACGTTCCCTCCGACAGCAGCGACGTGACCGACGATCTCGTGGCCGGGGACGAGTGGACTTCAATTGAACCATTGTCAGTATACTATCCTCACAGTAAAAAGGGAAACCACAAGGGAACGCACAATCCTGCGCCCATGATATTGTTCTGCGCAAACATATCCGAATAGCACACACCGCAGGCCTCCACCTTGACGAGGATCTCATTAGGACCGGGAGGCGTCATCGGGACCTCCTCGATGACCAGCGGGGCACCGAGGGATTTGAAAACAGCCTGTTTGTAGGTCTGAGGGAGAGCCATTCTGCTGGTTGTGACGATTTTGCTTCTAGAGGAAAGGTCAAGAGGCAATGGGTGAAAGCAATCGAGAGAGGGATTTGGAGATTGGAGAAAATCTGGAGCTCGGCTGGAGCTACCCCGGACTATATATAGATTGACGGTGGCAATTGACAGGCGGGGTATCAAAGTGAAACTAAAAGTGATAAAGAAAAGGACCAATGTCTCACGGCTCCGGAGTTGGCATCCCTGCGTTGGTTACATCTGGCGAGGCTCCGAGGTTGGGACTGGAAGGAGTTGGCGGAGTTGGCGGAGAAGTAGAAAATTAGGGCTATGGAGCGGATGGAGTAAGATGAACGGAGATACCTAGACTCAACCATTGTACAACATTCTACAACTCGGAAATAAGACGAAGTTAAGTTAACTCCAGCAGACAGTCACTGACATTCTATACTCTACTCTAGACTCTATACAAACCGCCTCCTCGTCAAAAACAACGAACACACCGTCCACAACGCCCCCGCCGCAATCACCATGACCCAAACGTCTCCAATCGTCCTCACAATCGCATCCACACACCGTGCCCTCACCTCCGGCGTCGCATTCTGCAATAACTCGCTCCTCGCTCCGGCAATCGCCGCCCGGATCTGCGCGTCCGAGTACTCCGTCTCGCCCAGCACCGCCTTCAGGCGCTGCAATCCCAAGCTCTGGAAGATGCAGCTGGCGATGGCCAGCCCGATGAACTGGCTCGAGCCCTGCGAGATGTTCAGGTACTGGATCAGCTCCGCCACGCGGTCGGGTTTCACATAGAGCGGGCCCACGGCGTATCCGGCCTGCGTGGTTGTCATCCCCAGTCCTAGCAGCACCGCGTAGCCGTAGATGTTCGCTGCTGGGGTCGAGTATCCCACTGTGTACATGGCCGCCGCGCCGGCTGTGATGCACAGCCCGCTGAAAATGTACCAGAGGTTGTGGTACCCAGTCCGCCCCATGACGGCGCCGCAGGTTAGAATGGTAGCGACGTAAAAGCAGATGAACGGGAGGAGGCGCACGGCTGCCTGCGTGCCGGTATCGCCGTGCACGAACAGGAAGTAGAGCGGGATATAGTAGACCGAGACGAAGAGGGCCGCGCCGCCGCACGCCATGCAGACGTAGAGCAGGACGAGTTGCGGGTCGAGCAGGAACTCGCAGGGGAAGATGCGGTTGATGGGGTCGGTAAGGACCGAGTAGCGCTGGCTGATGCAGAAGATGATCGTGAGCACGCCGCAGACGACGAGCAGTGCGATAACCCGTCCGTCGCTCCAGGCCCAGATTGACCCGCCGAAGGTGAAGGCCAGAGCGAAGGAGACGTATAGACCGCCGTTCAGGACGATACCGAGCCAGTCGAGGGAGCGTACTTTCTCGAGGAAGGTCGTATCGGGGCGGCGAGGGAGCGGTGGAAGGACGAAGAGGTAGATGGGGGCCATGGCGCCAAAGATGACGAGATTTAGATAGAAGGCCTTTTCCTATTAGCTAACCGTGTCTTCGAAATAGAGCTCTGGTGGCATACCCATCTCCACGTCGCCGCACTATCTGCCAACGAACCTCCCACGATGGGACCCAGAATGCAGCCACTACCGTAGACGAACCCGGTCATTCCGATGTAAAACGGCTGTTCCTGAGGACTACTCATGATGGTCACCAGATTCAGTGTCCTAACCCTCTAGTCAGCATCTACTTGCCCATTTGAATATGAATTCGAGATGTCATACCCCAAGTACATGCCCGCTCCCCCAGCACCAGCCCACACCCTTCCAATGATAATCGCATTCATCGATGACGCGGCACCGCACAGCGCACTCGCCGCCGCAAACATAGTCAAACAACTCAGAAACACCCATTTTGCATCGAACGTGCCGAACGCCTTTCCAAGCGGCAGGATGGCCACCGTCGACCCCAGCGTGAACCCAACGCCCAACCAGCCCAACTGCGTCACGTTGTCAAACGTCTCCGATACCACCGCTTGGATGTCGGCGGCGATGGTTGTGTCCAGTCCGTAGAGCACATTAGCTGAGAAGATGGCCACACAGACGAGGAACCACCGCACGCCAGTGACGGTGCGTTTGCGGTCTCCGTCGTCGGTGTCTGAGGTCGGGGGCGAGTCGGATGGCGGACTGGGGTTCTCGATGTCGGTGACGGGGATCTTTTCGAGCTGGCCGCTGAGGCTTCCCGAGCTGGGGGTTCCTGTTAGTTCCGTCATCTTGTGTCTTGTCGTCCCTGCAAGTATAGAATCGAGCAACGGAGAGACAGAAGATGCTAGACGCGTTGCCTAATGGGGTTGGATGTATATATATCGGACGGCACGGGAACCTTGGAGACCCATGGCGTCTTATGGCGTCTTCGAACCCGATTTGAAATTATCCATATCAAATTCGTATAGGGACTTGTCGTTAGCAGGAAGTATGAGATGCAGCGTCGGGTCGTGCATTGTTGGTTGTGCGGCCCCGGAGTTGCCGGAGTTCAGCCCAAAGAGACTCGCCTCGACAGGGGTTGCGCAGAACTTGCCTCCGTTGTCTCCCTTGAGTATAGCACGGCCATAAGAAGACCAATTATTTATTTCAGTCCATGCTTTATCCCCGAGTCTAGATGAAAGAGACACACTCCGGAGCCCCCATTTGACCCCGACGGGGCAAGCAATCGGATGCAGCGCCAGCACTCCGTCGAGACCGAGTTGTTCTCTCTCCGACTTGGCACTACAGGATGTTGATTAGGGCTTCGGTCCTATAAGGCTCTTTGAAAACAAGTGACTGGCTTCATTCTATCGTCTTCTGTGGAACATAAATTGTTTCGGAGCTTCCGAACGCTATGATGGAGGGATATTCTAATAATCTAAGAGCCTCGGTCTATACCAACAATGAGCTCCCTATCCATCCCAACTCCAACGAAAGGGATAGTTCCTTGAATCTAAGCCCCTTCAGCAGCATGTAACTCCTTCTCTGCCACATTTCCAACCGGAGCCTCGTGAAATTCTTCCCCAGCTGGTACTTCCACCCGATAATCCCGGATCGGCGCCGCCGCAAGTTTCACCTCTTCCCCGTCCGCCTCGAACCCAACAACATGGCCGCCGCTGGCGCCGTCCTCAGACATGAAATGAAGATGGAACCCGGCCACGCTGAACCCGCTAGTATACGGTGGGGACCAAAACCCGAAGATCACGCCGCGGACGTCGCGGCACTCCTTAATGACCTGGCGCGCGGCGAGGGTTTTCAACGATTCCCGTGGTCGGCTCTGCGCGGGGATCACGCGGAAACAGATTTTGCGGAACCACGCGTCGAGCCGAACGGAGATAAAAGTGTTTTGTTGGGTTGGGAGGAGGGGGGAGAGGGCGTCGGATAGAGATGCCATGGACAGACGGGGGAGGCTTTTGAGCAGACTGGGCTGGAAGCGGGTGATCACCACGTAGGGCAGGGTGGCGGTCGCCGAAAGGGCTCGAGGCGGCTTTCTAGGGTCCGAGGGGAAGTGATAGGCTTTGCTGTCCACGATCACGATCTCGCCATCCAAGCCGCGGATGGTCCCCAGACCGTGGTCGCCGTGCTGGAGGACTTGCTGAACACTTCGGCCTTCGTGACAGATGCCGTGCATGAGGGCGCTGAGGAGCGAGTATTGGTATATTTGGTTGGCCATTGTTATTGAAGATAGGTTTCCTGGTGAGGAGCACGGGATGAATGGGAGAGCTGCCTTGAGAAAAGGATGGGATAAATATAAACGCAGAGAGTGGCCGTTGTGCTCTCGAGGCAGGCGTGGATACCTAACCGGTTTCCAGGCAGCGTCGTCAACACTGATGACTTCATTCTGTTATCTGGAATTCCATCAAGAAGTCATAGAAAGCATTCCAGGAAACTTCGTGCCTACAATCTGTGCCCTGAGATGTCATTGGCACATCTTGGCAAAGAGGTTACACATGATGTGCCCTACTAGGTCATCCCTTGATCAAAGATTTCCAAATAGGCCTTTTGCAGATGGTGCATTCCAGGTCCATTCAACATGGTCTCTGGGTCATTACTGCCTTCGCAATCTAAGAATCAGCGACCCGCGGAGATAACAAGCAAAGCAAGGGAGGGTGAAGCAGGGTAACACAAAAACATACCGAAAGCCTATTCAACCTTCTCGGAGGAAGTTTCCCTCTTTTTGCACGTCATTCAAGTCAGTAGAATATGAACCGGTGAATAGGTATATATTCTGGCGTGTGCTCCACGAAATGGACCGCAAAAGGGTAAATGCAAATAGAGAGAAACTCGGAAGACAACAGAATAGCAGTGATGGAAAGACAAAAGCTCGTCGGTCTTTCGGGGGGTGATGCTCTGCGTGAACTCCTCTACGACCAGGAAGTGAAACATATCTGTACGAGACTCACCTGCTTCTAAAAAGAAAAACCCGTACACTACTAACTACAATTAGTTGGATATCCCGGTGGTGCAGCCCTCCCTCTTTTCGACGGCATCTATAACGCATCGCGTCTTAAGTTCGTCCTTGTCCGCCATGAACAAGGCGCCGGTCACATGGCTGAAGGTTATGCGCGATCCAACGGTAAACCCGGCGTCGTCTTAGTGACTTCGGGTCCTGGTAGCTCGAACGTGGTAACCCCTATGCTAAATGCCCTGCTCGACGGGACACCCATGGTGGTGATCTGCGGTCAGGTTGGAACCGCCGTTCAAGGTACGGGTGCCTTCCAGGAGATCGACGTCGTGGAACTGGCAAAATCGTGTACCAAATGGGCGACCTGCGTGCAGAGCGTTGGCCAACTTCCAAATGCAGTGGAGTCGGCCTTTCGCTGTGCTATGGAGGGACGACAGGGACCCACGCTCATCGCTGTGCCGAAGGACGTTGGCCTTGCGACGATTGAGATGAACACGCTGCCATCCCCTGCTTCTGTGTCCACACATTTGATAGAGGGAGGGGACGCGTCTAGAGGGAATCCTGAAATAGCTCCCATGCGCAGCGCTCTTGGCCGACACAGGCAGCTGGACCGCGTATCTATCTTAATCAATTCTGCTAAATCCCCTGTGATAATTGCCGGGAACGGGGTCCTCGCCAGTCCGAACGGTATAAATCTCTTATCACAACTCGCTGAGAAGAGGGGTATCCCGGTCACCTCAACGCTCCTCGGCCTAGGGTGCTTGGCTCAGACTCATACCCTCTCAATGGGCATGCTAGGCACGTATGGAACACCACACGCCAACCTGGCCGTGCAAAATGCAGATTTGATCCTGGCAATTGGGGCCAGATTGGACGAGCGTGCCGTCGGGAACTCGCAGAAATTTGCCCCAAATGCTCAGGTCAAGGGAGCAGGAGGAATCATTCAATTTGATATCAGTCGCAACACTATTGGGAAAGTCGTTCGCCCGACGGAGATCATTTTGGGAGATCTCTCCGAAACTCTTCCTTTGATCATGTCCGACCTGAAATACACAGCGCACAGGCGGGACTGGCTTGATCAGATCAATCGCTGGAAGATAGAGAATACTGTCCCGCGCCATCTTCCATCGGCTCCTATGCGCCGTGCCTCTAATCCTCTCCCGCAACAGGTAATCGGCGAATTGAATCGGCAGACCTCCCACTTGAAACACAACATCCTGGTCTCCTCTGGAGTCGGTCAACACCAAATGTGGGCGGCTAAATATTTTGAATGGCAAACTGGCCGTCCGTTCATCACCTCCGGGGGTCTGGGAGCCATGGGCTTCGGACTTCCCGCTGCCATAGGGGCCAAACTAGCCCGGCCTGACTGCGAGGTTATTGACATCGATGGCGACGCCTCTTTCTGCATGACCATGGCAGAGTTGCTTACCGCGTCACAACACGGAATAGCAGTCAAGGTCGTCATTCTCAACAACAGCCAGCAGGGAATGATCACCCAGCTGCAACGATCCGCTTACGGGGGAAGAGAATGTCATACTAGGCAAGCAAACCCGGATTTTGTGGCATTGGCTCGTAGCATGCACTGTCACGGGGCGAGATACATGCCTGGTCAGGACCTGTCGGCGTCTATTCGCTGGCTCCTGCGGTGTCAAGGCCCGGCGGTGCTGGAGGTGGCGGTTGCCGACACTGAAATGGTGCCTATTGTGCCAGAGGGACAGGCCCTTGATGACATCAAACTAGACTAGATTTCCAGAAATGCAGTGGGTTCACAATACGTGGCTGGTAATGGTTTCAAAAAGGTTCCTCAAAATGGCTGGCTGCATAAACGGCCGAAACGATCCCTTGCTTAAAAAGCATCCTTGTCGCTGTCCAATGGGATGATCATCACACCATCTTCCACTCCAATGATTAGCATTGAGCATGCAGAAACACAGGGAATGTGTATTGTATAAGCCACCTAAGCTTCTGCTGTGACTCCTTCCTGGTAACCAGGAGGAAGAAGCCATCACTGCTGCTCACATTGAAGTAGTATGTAGAATATCTGGCATGCAAGCTCCCTCGAAACGTGGAAGAATTTTCCGAGCCAATGACAAACTCAATTTGGATTGTAGACCGAGTTATCTCTGGGAGTACCGAGACCTCGGCGAGGCTTCATCTCATCTGTCAAGTAGTCAATCGCAAGTTCTAAAGTTGTACAAGAGGCCTAGACAGAGTTCTTGCGTGGAGGATCAGTATGTGAGAGAGACAATTACTTCTCGGGTTTAAGCTTGTTCCAGCCACGCCTTATTCATTATCAGTTTGAATGACAGCCCACTGTCATTGGGCCTGCTGGTAAATGTTCACACGCCGGACGTGGCATTATATACCACGGGCAGAAAAGCTATCAAGATGGAGCATCATTTCCCCAAGGATGAGGTGAATTAACAATCGATTTCGAGGTGTATGGTATTGCCAATAGCATGATAGATAATTGGATGTCCGATGAAGCAACCTCCAATACTCGTTGGCCTCCGTGAATAAGGTCAATAAGAGGGAATCCACGGTAGGAAAGGAAAGACAAAGAAAGCGGAGAGCGAACGGCGCTAGTCCCGAACAGGCACTCCGTATGGGGATGAAACGTGACCGGGCTTGGCACCACTTGGCCCCCTGCGATACCCCGACTGCGTCCTCCGTCATCGCTGCGGTTCTCAGCATCTGGAAGCATCTGGGTGTCCATCCTTGCGGTTTATCTGCGTCGCCTCGATTGACCGACGAGGAGTCATCTGCGTGGATTGTCTGCCACTAGGGTTGAGGGTGCCGTGACAATACAATCGCTCTTCACCATGTCTACCTACCGCCCGTCATCCCCGTTACTCTCCTTCTGCGTCGCGTTGCTATTTCTTCTTCAGCTGGGAAGCTCCTACCAAGACATCTCCGACGACACCCTGAAATCCCTCCCCCGGCCGAATAACGACTTCGATGTCAACAATGGAGCGCTATTAGCCCCTATCCTAAGGCCTCGTGTTTCCGGCACCGAGGGCTCTACGGCTGTCCTCAACCACTTTGCGAACTTCATCCGAACATCGCTCCCCGACTGGAACATTGAATTTCAGAACTCGACATATACTACCCCTGTCTCGAACGGGAAAGAAGTTCCCTTCGTCAATTTGATCGCATCTCGCGATCCTCCGTGGGCAAAGAAGGGGGATGTCGGACGATTGACACTGGTCGCGCATTATGACAGTAAATATGAACCGGAGGGATTTATTGGGGCCATTGATAGCGCTGCACCGTGCGCGATGCTCATGCACACCATGCGCAGTGTTGATGCAGGGCTAACGGAGAAGTGGAAAGCGATGAAAGCGGAGGGCCGGACCCACGCGTCGCTGGAAGAGCAGAAGGGCATCCAGATCATCTTTCTAGATGGTGAAGAGGCGTTTAAATCGTGGTCCGATACCGATTCACTGTACGGTGCTCGTTCCTTGGCGCAGCAATGGGACTCGGAAGTCAACCCGGCTATGTCGACTTTCAAATCCCCACTGTCGTCGATCTCCCTGTTTGTGCTCCTGGATCTGCTAGGCGCCAAGGGCCCGACTATTCAATCGTATTTCGGAACGACCCATTGGGCATACAAAAAGCTGGCGGCGCTGGAACGCCGTTTTCGCGACCTGAAACAGTTTAAATCGGCCGCGCAGGATTCCCCCGAAGGCGCGTGGTTTGTGCACGATTCCAAGAACGAGCATGAGCTCAGTCCTTATCTTTCTATATTGGATGACCATATCCCGTTCCTGGCCCGTGGTGTGGAAGTTCTACATGTGATTGATGTACACCCCAGCGGCGGGTTCCCTGAGGTATGGCACAACCAGCGGGGTATACCGGACGACGGCGAGCACTTGGATGGCAACACCGTCGAAGATTGGAGTATGCTCGTCACTGCTTTCGCTGCCGAGTGGATGGAATTGGAGGGCTTCATGCCGACGCACACCGACGACAAACGATCGGCTCCAAAGACAGAATACAAGTGGGATAAAACCGAGTTGTAAGCTTTGCCTGAATTCAAGCTCTATATTATGAATATCATGTCTGGTTCCTGCTATGTACAGATTTTTTACACATGCTATATTACATCCCGTGCCTTGGGAGTGGCGCTGACTTTGGCTTGTCTGCACAGCTTTTGAAAGGCTCTTCTCGGCTTCCGCCCCGACTTACCCTGTACCTAGATCTCATACCTTCAACGCACCCAGGACCCCCTTGAACAGGAGAGCCGACATAATACCAGTCGCCCTCTATACCATATTTCCTAGCATATACCCCGTCATCTGGGCAAGGCCCCAGATCGGCTGCAGCGTTGCACGCAAGACTGCCGGCCCCGGACACACCCCTCGTAGTCCCCAGGCAACACCAAACGCCACCGCCCCCGTCACAAAGCGCCAGTCAATATCCGCAACGGTGGCGGTGGGAAGGCGCCAACTTTCCGCCAAGGTAGGATTGGCTATTTTATTTGTGTGTTGATCTACCTTCTGGCCCGGTTTGGCGGACCGGTAAGCTACGGCGGACGGACCGATCCCGAAAAGAATGACGAGAGCCAATGAAGGGTCAAATCGAGAGAAATCCGTGAGGAAAGCGAAGAAGCGCAGTACCTTGGCTGGATCGGCCATTCCCGAGAAGAACAGTCCCATGCCGAACTGCAGACCGGCCAAGTAACCGAACACTGACTTGGCTGATTCTGATCGATTGAAAAGTTTGGGCACGACGAACGCGTTGGCGATGAACGAGAGGCTGGCTGTGCTAGCCATGAAGACGAACTCCGCAGTCGAGGGGTATACGGGCATGTAGCATGGCATTCCGTCGGCGCAAGGGGGAATATTCTGGCCTCCAGAGGTCAGGTTGGCAGTGAGTAGTGCGGTGGTGAAAAAAATGGCGGTTGCTATAACGGAACGCGGCGACAGACGAGACACACCACACAGCATGTGGCCCGACGTGCAACCCCTCCCATTCTATATTATCACCTTGTCAGATGTCTGCACAATATTCGGCCGGTCGATTTGCAATCTCACCTTCGTCCCCCATCCCAGCAGAAAGCCAATTCCTAGCGTGGATGCCAACGAGGCCCACGAGCTCGGTACCGGTGGATATGACGGGATCAATGAAGGAATCAAGACCAGAACAGGCGCCACGCTGGACACCAGGCCAGCGATAATCGGCACATTGTCGCGACTCGGATTGAAAACGCAGCCGGCCAGTAGAGAGGAGATGCCAAAAACGGCACCGTTATGGAGCAGGAGACCGGTTGACCCTTGAAAGAGCAACAAAGCCCCCAAGGAGGTGTGGACGGGGGTAAACATGGACACGCAGAAATGCAAACTCTGTTCACTCGTCAATCGATGCAATCGAACCCAAATTGCCTCCGCCCAAAAACCGTCGCTACCTCCATGTGTAACGACAAGTGGGAGAACGTAGATGGCTGACGGTTTTGTGCGAGGTTGAAGCCCGACGGGATCGCCGGGGGAGAAACCCAGCAGATCCTGTGGTCGGCGACTAGAGCAGCCGTTGCCTTCGAGTTCAACGCAGATGGTCCCCGATCGACCAAAGTTTGGTTCTTCCCGTCAACCAAACCTTCGGGGAGGTTGGACAGCGAGGCGAGTTGCCCGGTATACCCGTATCCATATCATCCCCATCCTCCGTTTCAGCCTCAGGAAGTGATCTTGCAAACGGTGCATCCGGATCCCTGCATGGTTCGCGGTCCTCGTCTTGGTCCCCGAGACTGGGAGTGGGTATTGGACCCGCTCACCGAGGCGGATATGCGCTTTAAGGTAACGGTTCTGGGGGATGGCTGTTATGGTTCTGTTCCTGGAGAAACGGCTTCTATATCTGATCCATCTATGGTTACACCCGAATGGCCTGGCAAACCCTGGTTGATCAGTAGTATAGACCACCTGACTTCAGGCCCCCAAACCATGTGGTGCCTGGCTCGGCAAAGATACCGAGAACCGATTCATTACCGGGGCGGTGTCCACTCGGCCAATGATATAGCCCATCGCCCCATAAATGACAGTACGTGAGGTCATAATACACGTCATGTGGCTGCCTCAGGCATGAACCCAACTATATGTACACAAGAATGGCCGAGTATGTCCCTGTCCTATTGGTTTCTGTTTTTCAGTCCTTACTATCCTTGCTACGACTTGGCGGAGCTCTCAACCAGAGATTCTGCACTATCAATGAAAGAGTGTGCCGGAGTATACGGTCTGACAGCAAACTAGTCGCCAGGCTGCATAAGCGACCCGTCTATCAGCTCTATATTGCATCATTTCCTTCGGTGGCTGACCACACGGACCATTATGCATGAATATTGAAGATCATTGTGACCCGTCTTCTTATGATCTATAATGCCCTCGGTTGCCCCTGAGCGTCGCCTGTACTTCATCTTAGCGAACATGATGTTTCCTCCAGGGATGCACTCCAAAATTCACAAGCGGACTGATCCTTCAAAGCTTCATTTCCTAGGTTGAAATGGGAAATACAACCAGCGTGGCCGGGAGAGAATGTCTCTTATCTGCTCTCGGAGGCAATTCGGCGCTTTTGGCCTTTCCAGATGACCCCTTGTACCAAGTCACAGCTGTGCACCCCTACAACCTCAACTATCCCGTCACTCCGACAGCCATCACGTACCCCGAAACATCAGACCAGGTCGCAGCTATTGTGAAATGCGCAAGTGAGCACGGCTATAAAGTCCAGGGCCGCAGTGGAGGACACAACTATGCGAATTTCGGTACGTCTATTTTTATGCAAAAGCGGTCATGATGGGATCTGTTGTTGACGTGCTTTGTGTAGGACTAGGAGGAGATGACGGGGCTGTCGTTGTCGACGTTAAGCACTTCCAGCAATTTGACATGGATGAGAACACCCATGTTGCAACCATTGGCGCTGGTACGCGTCTCCGGGATGTCGATACACGCCTGTACAACGCTGGTGGCCGAGCCATGTCCCATGGAGTTTGTCCAGACCTGGGAGCTGGCGGGCACTTCACTATCGGGGGAAGTGGACCCACGGCGCGACAGTGGGGACTCGCCGTGGATCATATCCTCGAGGTGGAAATGGTGTTGGCGGATTCCCGGATTGTGCGGGCGTCCAAGACAGAAAATGCAGACCTATTCTTCGCCGTGCGGGGCGCCGCTGCGAGTTTTGGTATTATTACCGAGTTCAAAGTACGCACGGAACCAGCGCAAGACCATGCCGTCCAGTACTCCTATACCTTCAATCTGGGTAGCACCGCTGAAAAGGCGCAGTTGTTCAAAGACTGGCAGGCCTTGGTCTCGGACCCTGACCTGACCCCTAAGCTCTATTCCACGCTAACGTTGCTTCCGGAATCCATTCTTCTTACCGGGGTTTTCTTTGGCACCAAGGAGGAGTACGAAGCTTTCGGTCTGGAGGGCCGCTTCCCCATTCAAAATCCAGGAAACGTGGTCGTTCTGACCGACTGGCTGGGAATGGTAGGCAAGGTATTCCAGGATCTCGTTATCAACGTGGGGAACAATTTGCCCATGAGCTTCGTGGACCGAGGAACAGGATTTACGCGGGAGACCCTGCTATCTTCTTCCGGGGCTGAGGAGCTGTTCGAGTACCTCGATAACGCCGACAAGGGCACCCCGGCCTGGTTTGTCACTTTTCTCCAGTCGGGCGGTGCGATCGGCCAGACACCCAAGGATGCTACGGCATATCCCCACCGCGATGTCCTCTTCTGGATGGAAAGTCTGGCTAGTACTCTGGTGCTTCCCGTCCCGCAGACGCCTCGCGACTTTTTAGACGGTCTGATGAACACTACATCCAAGGTTCTAGGCAAACCGGTCGCTGATTTGCCGGTGTATCCGGGGTTCGTTGATCCGGAACTGCCGGAGCCTCAGCGTGCCTACTGGGGGGATAATCTGCCTCGATTGGAACGTATAAAGGCGGCAGTTGACCCGAAGGATGTGTTCCATAATCCTCAGAGTGTACGTGGGAGACGGTGAGGTTAGCGGCTGTTCTTTGTATGCATAGCCGTAGTTTTTCTCGTTCTCGTTCTCGCTACTTGATCATAGTTGGTTTAATAATATTGGATTTTTTTGTGACCTACTTAGAAGCAAAGACGCCATTCGAAGGACTCTCCTCGACGCCGAACGCGGCTGTATGTCCTGAGATTGAACAATATAAAATGGAAAGGTGAATCCAGGGAACAAATAGACTCCTTACGCCGTACTCGATGCAACTCAAACCCGCATCAACTCCACTGCTAGAATATGGCGGAACAAAAACATGATAGTCCTGCTTTCGACCCAAGTCTCCTTCTTCGTCGCCTTCGCCACGGCCGACAACGCCTGCTGGGCCGAATTCTTCAAACTGCACGGATGCAGCGGTCGATCAAGCGATCCGATCGGAGACTGCGATGGCATGCATTGCACCGGTAAGTCTGAAGCCTGGTCCACTTGGCCAGGGTCCTCCTATACCGCAACTTAATGTTATGGTCAGACAACGCCAAGAGCGACGTGTTTGTCTGTGACTCCGGTCACGTCATGTTCAAGTACGAGGTTGGCCCATCGCCTCGGGGACCTCCTGTGCCGCTGGAGGTGCATACGCCGGTTTTCAAGAATGATCAGGATACGTTCAACCAGACGGATCATGGGTGTACGTTTACGGAGCATGGGACTAGATGCTAGGTTCTTGGGTAACTATTCTAGTTTGGGCGTGGGATAAAGATGCTCTGATTCGATGGGTGCATGATAGATGTTAATGGTATGGAGTGAGATTCCGTCCGGTTCGTAGGCGCATAGAAGGGAGGCAAGTCTACACTATCTCTAAGAATATCCTGAATGTGTCTAACTATATGAGAGCTTTTAGCCATGCTATTTGGAACCATAAGCTCATTCTAGGTATTGTATACATGGAAATCATCTCAGGCGTTCAAGCTTCTGCAGAAGTTCTGTGTACTATTTGGCCACAGTAGCAGTCGATAATCACGAAGAATAAATGAGTCATCTGGGCTCTGGAACTACCCAAGTAATCAAAGTGGTTTTTACAGGACGAAAGCAGTTATCCATGCTGTTGCAAGAATGTAGACATAAACAGGTCAAGGCCATATACCTCATATCGTGGCTGATGCTAAAACCGAAGAGAGATTATTGAACAACTAGAGTGTATGGAGTGCACAAAATCATAATTAATTCAATTCGATCTAAAATACGAATTCAATGCCAAGTTTCTGGTTCCCACTTCCACCACTTCCAGTGAATGCTGGTTGTACTGCTCTGGTTTCCTCTTCTCCTCTTTCAAGGTTCTCTCACCTTGGGTCTTCCCTGTCTACGCGCCTACCAACCTCCTTCTTCCTTCATCCTACCCCAGACTTTCCATTTATTGGCAAGTCCTACCATCACAGTATTTGAATACCTGAGATTAATCTACCACACTGCAATCTGCCACGCAGAACATCATCCTTCTCCCCCAAAAAGATGAGCCGCAGAAAAAAGGTCCATTCCTCGCTTCCACTTCGCCTTTCTGCGTGACTTCTAATCCCACAATCTCACTGACATCCCCCAGAATGTCGGCAATGCCTCCATGTACAAGGAAGCCCTGATGCCAGACCAGAAGAACAAAGTGGCGAAATCCAAGAAGCCAAAATCCAAGCAGGCGAAGAAGCTCGTTTTCTTGGGCGACTTCAAGCTGGTCCAAGAGGCCATGAACAAGAACGTAAGTCCCCACCGGGCCCCAAGGCTCTCTACATCTGGGATGAGACCATGAGGAAAACACGAAGATCGGGAGAAAATATGCTAATAACATCTCTTCATATTAGAATGAAGAAATCGATCGACTGAATGCTACCCTGAGGAGACACAAGGCCGAATCGCAGCGCAGATCTGAGAACTTGAGGAAGAAGATCGAGTCTGCGGAAGAGGCGTCCGATTGGTACATGCGGCAGTTGAACCTTCTCCTTTTGGAGTTCCTGCATGATAGGGGTCTTTGTGGTCCCTCAGAGGCGGACAAGAAGAGGTACCTGGAGACAGAGAAGAAGAGAGATGAGGGTGCTGATGTGATTTAAAAATTCACAACGGGACTCGGCCACAGGTTCCTCCTTTTGCTTCCATTGAAGCACGTCTGATTTACACCCGATAAACAATGGTCGGAGAAGCAGAATGGGAGAATACTATTTAATGACATCGAACCCTGCTTGTTCTTCAATATTTACATACCCTATCGCCTCCACAAACATTCCCCACTTCACCTAGTAAGCGACCTTTAGGCAGCATTTAGCACTGGGCGATACACTGCTGGGTAGCCTTTTGGATGCACTTTTCGGCGCAGACAGCTTGACGGATGGGGTTTCTACCACTGCAGCGCACCTGACAGGTGGTGGTCAGAAGTGGCATGCACTGAGCATGACATCCACCCGGACAGGCGCGCTTCTGGACAGTCCCGGCAGCAGCTTCGGGCACGGGAGCGGCCTGGACGATCAGGCCGAAGGTGAGGGTGGCCATGTTGGCAGATCACTGGTTTACTTGGGTCAGAACTAGAGAGTGAACGGGAGAGGGAAGAAGGGCAACTCACGATTTTGGAGAACTGCATTTTGAGTGGGAAGATAACTTGTTCCGTCCTTTTCTAGAAAAGTATCGATTGAGGTGATTGGGACGGCTTGTGAGCTGACGAGAACTAGTTTAATTTATAGATGCTCGTCGGTCTACCTTCCTCTGATAATCTATTCCCTACTGCTATTAGTCACTATGGGTCAATAGGTTTACCCCATATATCTTCCCTAGGGCGACTTGACATCGAAGTAGACCCGTCATCATCACAAACCCAATTCCAGGATCTACGGCAAAAGACTCATAAAGGATCGTGCATTGCTGTCTGCCACAGCCGAACCATCAAAGATTCCAGAGCCCACCCCTCGCTGTTTCCTATATGACCGGGAGAATGATTAGGTCTGGGCATGTCTTGGCGTGAGACATTCTCCTTGTCCGCCCTTGGAATATGATGTTACTTTGGGGCCAGAACTGTGCCCCAGAGCCACATCGTTGGCCTTCGATGAACCATTCTCAAGGAACCTCATACCCTTGGAGGACGGGATATTTATTGCTTTAGGGCTGACCAGGATGAGACACATTAAATATTCGCTGGACTCGAGATCTGATCGTCAATATAACTGGTGAGCAGGAGAGGTATGAGATCATCGGAATCAGGGGTGAATCCGGATAAGGCGCAAAGGGCTGATTTGGCCCCATCTGATTAGGCTGCTGCTTCTTAGCACTTGGCTTTATCTGATAAGGAGTTGCGGTCTGAGCGCGGGGGAACAGAGGGTTCTGGTGTTCCCTGAGAGTGAAATATAAATTGTGGGCGGAGCCCCGTTGACTTTGTTCTGTCGTGAAAACTTGGTGGCACTCACCTAGTAATTTCAACCCAATCTAGCACATAGAGTCTGCAGTTCAAGGTTTGCTTTGGGTATTTAGAACTGTTCTTCATCTGCCTTAGAAGCACGATAATTTCCACATACCTGTTTCATATTCGCGTGACGTTACATCAATCAATCCATGCCCTACCACTGCTAATCTCTACGGTATCCAAACGGGCCCACTTCTCATTTTTCCTAACTTATGGGCAATCTAGTAGCTGCTAATTAATCACAAGTTTGACACATAGAAGCACAGTAATGTCCGAGGATGACAATAGCCTGCTCACTTGTCCAGTGAAAAATAATGAATTGTGGCCTATAGATTCATCTTCCACGACTATCCAAACCCAAAATTGCAATATATTCACCAGTCAGACAACCGAGGATTCTCCGCTATAATTTACCTATACACCCAGCCTAATTTCAAGAAGGTCTTGTATCATGATGGCAACATATATCATCTTTTCGGACAATAGGCCTCGTTCAATAGAAAAGGTTAGCAATAATCTCCCTTGCGGACCTGCAAAGCTCAACAAAACACTCTAGTGCTCTGATGACTCGTTCTTAGTGTCAAATGCCGCTCGGAGTACGGAGTCCGCTCTTCAATTCATAGAAATAGCACATCGGTAGATCCATATCCACGTGGTCAGACCTGTCTCTTCCTCCCAAGTGGGCTGCATCGACCGTCGATATCGGAGACAATCGGAGAAGACTACTGGGAAGGGCAAGACATGGACGAAAGGTCATTTCGGAGAGTCTCCGGATCTTATCAATCACAACCTAAAGAGGGAAAGTGCTGATTATCTCGCAGTAGTGCGGGAAACACAAGCCAATGATGGGCGCCATTCAGGTCACACTCTCCACTGAGAGTTTCGGCGAGAAATCTCCGGGTGGTCCATGCCGCAGTCGTTGGCTGCTTAAATCGTTCAATCTTATCAGATTCCGGTTTCCGTGACTGTTTTCCCAACGGATCTTGCCCGGATCCGCACCTTAACTTGTCTTGGCTTCGGACCTGTTTCTCTCTGGCAGGATTTTCGTTGATATTTTAGCTGACCGGTCGCCCGCCATGTGTCGCTGTGTCTGTTGTGGTCGTCTCTACGCAGATCCGAGCAAGCATTGCCGTTCCAAGTGTGATTGTACGCCATGGAGTCGGAAAAAGCTGTCCTAGAGTCCAAGGAGCCCGTTGTCTTGACTCCTTCCCAGGAGCAGATAGAGACTGATGAAGATGCTGGAAAGCGCGCGCCCCCGCTTTGGGCCAAGTTATTCGCTGTGTTTCTTATCTCTTGCATCAGTTTTGGATCTCGTTGGAGCTCCGGAGTGACAGGCGCAATGAAGAGTACCATTAAGAAGGTATGAGTTCCTGGACGATTCGACCCCGCTTTTGCGACCAACGAAACTAACCGAGCTCAGCAAATGCACATATCTAACACTCAGTTCTCTCTGCTAGAGGCTAGTGAGGACTTTATGGCAACTTTGTTGCTGTTGGTTAGCGGGATTATCACGGATCGTGTTGGAGGAGCTGGTGAGTGTAGTTTGCCCCCACTGATAATTTGCATCTGCTAACATGATTTAAAATATAGGAATGATCGTATACGGAAATATCGTCTATACCATCGGATCGATCCTCGTCGCGGCAGCAACAACCGTTCGATCGTTCAAGTTCATGATCGGCGGTCGGATAATTCTTGCGTTCGGAGATATTGCAACACAGATTGCTCAGTATAAAATGTTTTCGTCGTGGTTTCCCCCCAGCAATGGGTTTGCGTCCACTTTGGGCTTTGAATTGGCCATCGGAAAGGTGGTTATAACTCAGCAACCTCATAAACGTGATTGGTATCTGACTCTGCGTTTTAGATCGGTGGCTTTGTCGGAAAGTCGACGGCCAATGTCATTGCAAAGGTAAGCAGAAGGATCTATTTGGAACTTAGCCAGCCCAATCTAACAGATTAGAACACCGGTAACTTCGCTTGGGTCTTCTGGACCTCCGTCTTTATGAACGTGTTCACCAACGCTGCCACCTTCGTTTTCTGGGTATTCAACCGCTATTGTAACCAGCATTACAAGGGCAGACAAGACGCAGCCACCAAAGAAACTTTGACGGAGAAGAACAAGAAGTTCGAACTCCAGAAAATGTTCCAACTACCTTGGATGTTTTGGTCCGTTCTGGGATTCTCTTTGTTCCAGACCAGCACCGCCTCTGTGTTCACCCAAAACTCGACTGAGCTAGCTGAGAAGCGCTTCAACGTTGATTCGATCAAAGCGGGGTGGTATAGCTCGTTGTCGCAGTACGCAGGTCAGTTCTATTAACCATCATGCGTTACTTGAGACTGTTCTGATATCTTGTTAGGGTTCTTCTTGGTTCCGTGCCTTGGTGTTTTTATCGACGTCTTCGGAAACAGAGCGAGTGTTTGTAAGTTCCCCTAGTAGTGGGTTACCCTAGTGATCCAAGTGTCTAATCTATCTAGTATCCGTATGCGGAATCGGTATGTTCCTGAGTATGGTTCTGGTCAACTTTGCAGCCACCAAATCTGGCACCGCCGCATCGTTCGGAATCTACGCCATCGCCATGTCTCTAGGACCGACTTCGGTCATCGATAGTATTCGCACCACTCTCTGGCATCAGTCTGTATTTGGATCCGCTTATGCCCTTAAAGTGACGATGAACAATGCGTATGTCCTCCTTGTCATCCATCAAAAGAGGTATCGATGGCTGACTTCAATGACAGTATGAGCATCATCATCCGAATCATCACCGGTGCTCTGCAAGACGCCGATAATGACTCGTATGACCGTGTCGTCCGGGTCTACCTCTTTCTAGCTGCGGGCTCCGTCGTCGTGGGCCTTGCCATTCTGATTGGTGCCATAACGAGCAACAACCTGGCTCCATTGCAGTGGACTAGAAAGCAACGTCTTACCATTGGCCCCGAGATGATCGCTGCGATTCGTGAGAACCATCTAGTGACTCATTATACCCGCAGCAAGCGGATCTCGGTCGCCTGTTTCACGTTTCTGTTGCTGCTCACCATGGGAAGTTGGGTGGCGTATATTTGGGGAGCGGTGACAGGGAATAATTCATAGTTCCAGCCCTGGATGACCTTTTACATAGCAGCTAAGCTCTACATAATATAGATAGAAAATGACGACCGTATAATTATTCTCAGAACACTGACATGCATGGTCGCGTCAGAAGGGGCCATTAATACTGGCCCCACAGTTAACTAGTTGGAAGTACGCGATTCACTCAATCGATCAACTTTGCAAGAAGAGAGTGCCGAGAATGGAAACTAATTATATAGGATGCATATTATGCGAGTGGATATACTGCGTTTTCAGCTAGCCAGAGACCAAATTACCGAACGGCAGAGAGGCTAAAGAAAACATGAGTAGTCGCCCTATTGTATTGGGCAGAAACCTGGTGGTTTTAATGACTCGTGATAATGAAGTAGCTGTCTCGCATTTTCCCTTCCAAAAACAAACCTGCAAATATCAAGGAAGTGAGCTGTGAATTAGCTGTTTTATGTATTACAAATTGTGACGTATAGTTAACTAGTGGCAGGATGCTTAGAAATGAGGATGATGCTCACCGGAGGAACTACTATCAAAAGTCTCCGAATGGCCGATGGTCGGATATAAGAACACACAGCCAACGTACCTTCGTAATCTTGAATCATATTATTTGAGGATCATCCTTGCCCCTAAGGAAAAACTCCATTTTCACAGCAACATGGGTTTGATTCGAATCGCCCTAGCGGGTGCTACAGGAAACCTTGGCCTCCCTATCCTCGAAGCTCTTCTTGACGCAAATTACCCCGTTACAGTCCTCTCGCGCATAGGCGGCAACTCGTCGAAACTAAAGCCTCACCCAAACCTTGTCATCAAGGAAGTCGACTTCAGCTCTGTTGAATCATTGACTCCGGCATTGCAAGGGGTCGACGTTGTCATTTCATGTCTTGCCACGATAGCCATTGGCAGTCAGAACCCCTTGATCGATGCATCCGTTGACGCAGGTGTGAAAAGATTCATTCCGGCAGAATTCGGTATGGATTCTCAAAACCCTCTCAGCGTACAACTCCCGGTTTGCGCGCCCAAGGCCGCAACGCAGAAGTATCTCCTGGAGAAGTCGGCTTCTCATCCGGCGTTCACCTTCACTGGAGTCGCGAACGGGCTATTTCTCGACTGGTGTCTGGAAGAGGGAATCATATTGGATCTAGCACATCATACCGCGACTTTATACGACGGCGGCGATGTGCCTTTTAGTGCCACCACTCTAGCTGACATCGCCAAGGGTGTTTTGGGCGTCATTGAGCACCAGGGCGAGACCGCTAACCGGATTGTCTACATCCATTCCGCTGCGGTTACTCAGAATCAATTGATTCAGTACGCCCAAGATAAGGATGGGAAGGCATGGCAATCGGTTGTGAAACCTACCGACGAGGTCAAGCAGGAAAGTTTTGCGGAATTGGCCAAAGGTGCGCAGGCAGACGTCCATGCGGCAATGGTTGGATTCTCCATATTTGGCTGTTGGAGACCAGACTATGGTTGTGATTTCTCAGCTCACTTGGATAATGAGCTGTTGGGCGTGAAGCAATGGAGTGAAGCTGAACTGAGGGCACTGGTGGAAAGTCTTTTGTAGGGGTTTGCGGTCCTCAAGACGAATTCGATGTATTTAAGATTGTTTGAGAAACGTTGGTGGTCTCGCACTACCCAGGTGGTTCAGAGAATAGACTCGTCACGGGGCAACCCCTTAGGGATGTTTTGGCTTTCTCCCGTTTGTTGCTCGTCCGACCTGCAACTCCCTGTTTGCTCAGCCATCAAGATGACAACCTCTCGTGTCCGGTCGATTCCAGGGTAAGGATTCACCCAAAAATATTGCATTTGTCAGTTCTCTTAGTGGTCCTCATGCTATCGGTGAGATCATTCCTAAAACAACCTCTCGACAGCCAAAATGGAAGGTGAGCCTTTGAGAAATCCGACATCAGTAACAGGATTATTCCCAATGTGGTCTCGACAGCTGTATCCTGACTTCGCTTCGGCATGTTGAGCTCTAGCTGTGATACGCTTAATAGATGAGATTCGGGTGTCGATGTGAGCGTTGGGCTTGAAGAAGCATGGGTACGTTACCCTAGTACAACTACAATGCGCACAGCTAACCTTGATAGTTTCTGCCTAGGAAATCGTTATCTCCGTCGCAGTTGACAATAGAACCCTCCTCCCATATACGAGAGTGCTAGGAAATACCCAAGCCGGACAATGTAAGCGAGAGGAGACATGTGTGTGACAATTGTGTGAAACTCGATCGAGCACTGCAGACATCCCTTGCATCGTGGTGCAGTTCTCACGAGACAAACAATGCACCTTACATCGCTTGAGAGAGATTGCTGGGCTAGGCCATGTCGATTTCGCTTGCGACAAAGAAAGCTCGTATCAAAACCAGGCTCGGAAGCGTCGGTCAACTCTAATGGAAGTGGCGCTAAAGGAGAGCCTGGTTACCATTTTCTTGGTCTCTTCCTAGGTAGAAACTTGGAATTGAGCCTGCAACGGATTTCTCCCGAGCCAACCGGGATCCTGGGTAGGCGACTCATACGAACCTAAGCTCCCTGCGAGCTAACGACATTTTGCCTGTAGAGAAGGACGATGCTCCCATCTAGGAAGCCCCTTCCCACCCCCACACGTGGGGAGCCCGAAGTATAAAGCCCTGGTCTCTTTCTCGAGCTTAGTCGTGTCCAGTGCTTTATTTTCTGGCGCCATCTCAAAATGGTTCCTTCGGTCGAGGACACCGGTCTTCACGATCATTTCAACGATTGGCCGAACGAAATTGGGGTATGACATCCGAGCCCCAATTGATACATCTACTGACCTACAGCAGTTTGATGCCAACTATGAACAACGGACTCCAGTTGAATTAGATGTTGCTGGCAACTTTCCGTCCTACACGGCTGGCATTCTCTATCGCATTGGACCAGGAAAGTCTTCCGTTGACACCGAACAAGGAGATATCTTCAGAGTATCCCACTGGTTTGACGGGTTTAGTCAAACTCATCGATTCGAAATATTAGCTGAAAATGTGTCATCCAGCTCCGTACGGGTGTTTTACAGCTCGCGATTCTCAACAGACCATCTAATTGAGGAGGTTCGACGGTCGGGCTCGATGGAAAAGATCAGCTTTGGGCAAAATCAAGATCCGTGCAGGGCTGTTTTCAAGAAAGCCCAAAGCACTTATGAGCCAAGTGACCCCTCGATGCAAAATATTGGTGTGACGCTGTCTGTCAACATGCCGGGCTTGGATGGGCCATATCCTCCACCAAATGAAGAGCTTCAGGGCCGCTGGACTGGCTCTTCGGACATTAAAACCTTGTATGCAAAGACTGATTCCACCAGTCTTAAGGAGCTCGATACTGTCACTCTAGAACCAATTGGTCTTGCCACACAGAGCAGCCTGCATCCTGATCTGGCTGGGCCCTTCTCTGCATCCCATGCCCGGTCCGACCCGGTGACGGGGGATATGTTCAACTTCAACCTTACCTTTGGCCAAGAATCAATCTACCGCATCTTTCGAGTCTCTGCCTCCACAGGAAATACCACAATTCTTGCAACGTTCCCTGGAGTTCCTGCCTACATTCACTCCCTCCTGATAACGGAGAACTACGTTCTCTTTTGTGTATGGAACTCGCATGTCTCCCCGGCCAAACTTCAAAAAAGCTTTGCGCAAGCAATTCAACCCTTCGATACATCCAAGCCCGCAACATGGTACGTTGTGGATCGCCACGGAGACAAAGGCCTTGTCGCAACATACGAAAGTGGTGCTTTCTTCTGCTTTCACACCGTCAATGCCTGGGAGGAATCGTCTTCGACCGATCCTACCAAAGCCGATATTATAGCGGATCTTATCGCGTACGATAACCTGAATTTCATACAACAGGGTCTCTACGAACAACTCATATCGACATCTCCCAAGGCAAAAGAACGGATCCTTTCAATGCAGGACAATCGTGGAACAATCACCAGATTTCGTCTGCCGGCGATCCCGACAACCCCCTGCTCCAACATTCACTCGGCAACCGTTGTATGGAACGCATGCAAGGAGCTATCCCCAGATCTACCGACCATAAACCCTGCCTATGTCACTCAAAAGCACCGCTACTCATACATGATTGTCAATCGCGGTAAATCGACTTTTTTCGACGGAATCGTGAAATTTGACGCCGAAACCAAGGGAACTCGCTTGTGGGGCCATCATGCACACTCTCCGGGCGAACCCATCTTTGTCGCTGACCCTAATGGCTCGAATGAAGACGATGGCGTAGTTTTGAGTGTAGTTCTCAATGGGAGAACCGGCAGGAGCTACCTCCTGTGTCTTGACGCCCATGACATGAAGGAATTGGGTAGGGCTGATGTCAATGGGCCGGTGGCATTCGGGTTCCATGGCCAACACGTTCCAACCCATGGAATGCCAACGGGTGATTACTGAATCTGTCAATGACTCGATCAGTCATTCTTTCGACGCTCTATTAACTGGGCGGTGTCTACCTATTGAAAGAATCTGTTACGCAGGCTGTTGGCTGAATGAAGTAGGACCTTGTACCGAAACGCCTGAATCAGTAGTGGACCCTCTGCAAGTGCGCATAATTGAGCTTCTTTTCTGTTCTGCTTGCCACTGATTATAGTCATCAACTAATCCTTCTCTTTTAGATTCCGTTCAGTGTATCGTATCTAAGTAGAACATTTTCCGTTGCTTTGCCCTCCTTATTAAGCTGATACTCCGTGTCTATCGCCGAAACGAAATCCCAAGAGCTCCAGCGGTAGGGCTGAGAGAGTCATAACCCAATTTGGTCAGAAGGGCTAGTGTGCAGTGTTTGAAATTCATTTGATGGAAAATTCTGTTCTAGAAAAGCATTGTGTTTGGTGACCTCGAGTCTGAAGTGAAATCAATTCTATGAATGAGATCAAGAAAAAGAGTAAAAAGGAGATTTACTATCCACGGGAACAACTGCCTTGTGCAAAATTATGTGTTCAGTTAGGTTGATTAATCATTAGACATTGAATACACAAATAGTCTCGAAGAGTACTTCAGTTACTATAATAAATGTGTGATGCTGGTTTCTGCAGGTCTTCAAGATCTCCAGCGCATACCGCGGATACTTCGGCGAGTCTCCGCGCTCGAGTCACCGCTGTCGTCGCTTGCATCCAAATCCCACTTGCACTCGGTGGGCTCGACATCATCGCCGTCCTCGACGGGGAAACCTTTGTACAGGCAAAATCCATCCTCCTTGTGGAAGTTGACGATGACCTTCTGGCCATCCTCGCTTAGGACCCACTGGACAAAGTCGGACGCAAGATCCTTGTCCTCGGCCTTCTTGCTGATGATGATGTCGGCAGGGTTGAGAAGCTCGGCAATATCCTCGCCGCTCTTGTAGATATGGATGCTGTCGGTGATGTTCTCCTCCTCGTTCTGGAGGGTCAGGTATGTGCCTCGGTCGGTGACCGTGTATTCGCCCAGGGTGATGGCGGCTTTCAGGGCCTGGAGGGGGTAGTCCATGTACTGGTGGTACCACTTGGAGTACGTTGTGGCCCAAGGCACCTGAGTTTGTCAGTAGGCTGCCCTTTCATTTGGCTAGGTCAAAAAGCTCACTTGTCCGATGTTGATCCAAAGCTCCGAGTCCTTGATGTTGGTGGCCGACTTATCGAACCGACTGAGGAAGCGAGCATTGCCAGCCTCGGCGGCGTTGTAAATCTTCGAGAACGTCTCGGTGATATCGTCGTCGTCGGTGATGCCGGTGGTGTCCTCCTTGGGACCGGTCAGGTAGAAGTGATCGCGGAAGGTGTAACAGGGCTTCTCGGTGTAGTCGTCGCAGTTCTCGAAGCAAGCCTCAGTGCTGTTCTCGTCCTTGTACTTGCAGCCCTCGGCAATGCCACCCGAGATCGCAATCTCCTCGGCAGTCTTATGGTAGGTGATGCCGATATCAACTGAGCCGTCTTTGAGATTGTTGATGGTTTCGGTGGTGTCGCCCTTGACCCATTCGACCTGGAAGGGGTCGTTCTTGCAGTCATCGGTCTTGCTCTTAATGAAGCTTTCAGCCAGCGCTGAAGTTGACTGTCAGCTTGGGTGCATTTTAATTGTTCCTTTTCGGGCGATGTACAAACCTTTGACCAAACCACTCTGACCAGCGCCACCATTGCCAATGCGCAGCTTCACGGGATTGTCACCCTCGCAGGTTCCATTGTACTTCTCAGCTGCAGCATGGCCTGCGTAAACCGTGGCAAGCAGCACAGAGAGGACAGACTCGGAAACACGCATGATGAAAGTACTTTAGTTTGAACCAAGGGATTGGGCATTCAGCATGAACAAAACGGCTGGGACCCGGTTCATTTATATAGCTGCTCGTGAAAAGGGGCCGACGAACAAAGCGAAGACAGAAAAAGCTCCGCTGTTTGCCCGGAAGTGGATTCCAGGTCCGATTCTCCTCGTATCGCAAATGTGCAGTCCACATGCTAGCAGTCAGCCTTCTCATCATGGAAGATCTGGGTCATGAGTACAGTGGAAGAGGAAAAGGATCTACACGATCGGCCGATTGCCGAAGGGGGCTGAATCCTTCTAGACTCTGAAGAGGAGCGCACATGCGAGATTATCGATGACGGCTGAAATGATTGAAATTGGGATAATGCAGAGGACAGCCAGATTTGTCCTTGTCAGCTCAGACTCATGATCCATCACCGCGGAATTTGCCAAAAACCATGCATGGTTAATGCACTGCTCAATCTCAGCCGTATCTGAGGCACGACAGGAGTATCCTAGAGACCCGCGAGAACAAAAAACGCACTCCTATTCGCCGATTCGGGGAAATTTGGTATCTGGTAAAGTGCCGTAGCTGGATCATCCTGCCAATGAAAAGCCCGGATCGCGATTAGCATCAGGTCAACGCAGGTGGCGGGAACTATTGATCGCACTAATGGCTGCCAAGCTGGCTCAATTCTGGGTCATCGTATGGGTCATTTCTGGGGATCTTCCCATCTTGAGTTTAGGGAATTCGACTCGTGGTGCGGTCAGATTTCCGGATGCAGCACTTTGAAGCATCAGCAGTGAGTACAGATGCGCATTGTATTGCTCAATGGATTGGATTCAAACAACAAGGATGGCAGATGTTGAAGTTGAAGAGGATCTTAGCTAACAGCTGACTCATCCCATCCCAATCCCGCCTCACAGAACTGTACACTCGCTGTGAATGCTTGGACAACATCATCTCGTGGACTAAGAAGATCGGTTAAATAGGACTTTCACAAACTGAGGATCCTTCAGGTCTCTAGCCATGCTCAACCCCGGCCATGAAGCGCAACGCTATGCACATGAGTACTCGCCACCCATCTCCCCTTCCCAGAAATCCAGGGACATTCAACTCTCTACGCTTAACACACCTGTATCTCCTCCTTTGGGACCATCAAAGGCGCGCAAGCCTGTCGACAGCCAACCTATACCAATAAACCCTTCGACTTCAACGGCGAACGTCGACCCAAACCCACCCAGTCTAGCCGCCATCGAGGCCGGCCAAGAACAGGTCTCCGATCATCTCTCTATCTTCTCCTCACGACTTGGTCAAGCAGTTCGCTCTACAGACGCATCCACTCCACAAACATCTATCCCAGAATGGGTCGATCTGTACCGAAGCAACCAGCATACCGAAGGGAGGCATTTCGTTATCCACCAACATGATCATCCCATCGCCGGTCCGCACTATGATCTTCGACTGCAATTCTCGGACTCGAGCTCGGTAAGCTGGTCCATTATGTACGGCATGCCTGGCGATCCGAATAGTCGACGGATTAACCGGAATGCGACGGAGACGAGGGTTCATTGTTTGTGGGTATGTATTTGACTTTGTAGTTACTATCATGTGTAAGAGTGACAACGTCGTGCTAACCATCATGGAAGAACCATCTCGTCGAAACCGCTTCCGCCAAAACCGGGAGCATGATTATCTGGGACACGGGGCAGTACGAGATCCTGCCCTATTATGAAGAGCTGTCGGGTCCTGAAACCGACGACTCTCGCTCCAATGTCTCGTCTGATCTCTCGGTTATTGGGGATCAGATTAGCGATAGTGAGAAGCTTCATCAGGCATTTCAGAATGTAGGGAGCACTATTTCGCTCTTCCCATCCCCGTAGAAACAGTTGCTAACATCACTCAGCGGAAGATTCGTCTGCGATTGCACGGTACTCGCTTACCGCCTGGATACACAATTATTCTACGGCTAGCGAAGTCTATGGATACCAGACAATCAACGCATACGCCCAAGAAGCGTCGTAGGCGCAAATTATCCGCTAAAGCAAGAGATGCCCGGCCACCGAGTACGTCATCATCAGGTTCGCCGTCGGAAAGAGGTGGCTCTGGCACACCGGCACCTCGCCACTCCGATCAAAAGCAAGACACAAATTCCTCGGTCTCTCCTTCTCTCTTGGCGCACTCGGACTCAGAAGATGACTTGGACCATCAGATACGTCTGAATAACGCTTACCCTGGCTCTACGAACTCGATCGGCTCGATCCATCAAAGACGCTGGTTCATCACGCTGGATCGTGTCAATTCTGGTTTCCAGGATGAGCTCAACCCCCATACCGGGCGAAAGCAGTGGGTACGTAGACAAGATGCAAATACGGGTCGATTGCTAGGGTTTGATCCATTCTATGTGCGCGGGCCTGAAGTAGAGAGAAGCGTTGTTACTGCGCGATTAGGAAAGGATGTGCTAGAGGACGAGGATGTGACGGGTTTTGTCGGTAGACGAGGCTGGAGAGCAGTTCTAGAGTAGTGGTGCGTCCATGTCTTAAACGAATGTAACTGTCAATGATACCAACTATATGTCAAAACGCGTATAAAACCAGTCTATCAAGTATCAAACACGAGGCCGATAAAATATTCAATCATCCAACAAATACATGCACAATGATCTCGTTGCTACAGCCGGGCTCGAGGCGCATTATCTTCCAAGCTGCCAAAACATCAACGGACAAAAGACGACCATGTTCGCCTGGCTCCAGATGCACCGTCTGCTGTGGAACCGGGTCTCCCAATATCGTAACCATGAAGTTCTGCGCAATACTCCGATGTCCCAAGTTCGAGAAGTATATTCCCAATGTACCCAGTGCTTTCAAACTAACATCCACCCGGAGACGACCATTTGGCTCCGTGTATATGTCCGAGCTGACAAGAGCAGCGGCGCCGGTCATTTTACCCAACAATCCGAGAACTGCAACGTCTGTTTTCAGCTCATGTGGGATGTGCTTCTCCGGGTTGGCCTTTAGGGTTAATGTTCGAACGGGATAGGCTGTAAGGACTTCCCAGTCTTTCCGCTCCAGACCAAGCGCCACAACAGAGTTGGTATCTGTTGGAGACATGGGGTCTGTGATTCTGCCGCTGGTATGGGAGCGCACTATATACTGCGTAGTATAATCTTCGTGAATTCCAGGAAAGTCCAGTAGAGAGACTAGACATGATGTTTTGGCAGCGGAGACGTTGAAGAGACCCAAGATACCACTGCCGGTTCTTGCCCAGCCAGTGTAGGTCCCAACACGCAAGACCTGGCCCTCGTTGTAGCCATTGTATGTGTCGATTGAGCGGCCCACGAGGCTAGGCCGCAAGATTACAGTATATCCATATACGGTCGGAGCGGTTATTTGATTGAGCAGCGCAATGTCATGCTTTCCTGGCTCGTCGGTAATATATATAGGGCCACCGGAGACACAGCGGGCCGCTGCATGGAAAGAGGCGTACGGATGGCTGGTTTGGAACATATCCCAGTCCGGGAGGACGTTCAGGAATCGAGTGAATAGAGCATTGTGAGCGTTACAGAATATGTGCCAGGCATGAGACTCTGGGATATCAGGGAAAAAGTCGTCGGAGTTGCGCAGCGGGATGGTGGGCTTGTTTGTCGGTAGTTGATTGTGGAAAATGGCCTGAGGGAAAAGGGACATGCACGATATCGCCCTCGTGCTAAAACATCGCAACGAGGCAATGGACCATGCATCCTGATATGCAGCCGCGAATTCTCTTCGGTCCCCTGGATCCTCCAAAAGGTCAAGGAAGAACTGTGCATCGGTTTTCACCGAGTCGACCCCTGTCGATGAGAGGAAGCTGTAGAAATCGCTGTAGAAGCGCTGTATATCACCCGGATCGATGGCTAGCAGGGATCGATCTTCGAACGCATGGGCGATTTGCCCGCTGGCCCTAGGATCTTTGATTTGCACTTGTTTGGTCTTATACTTCGTAGTCAACTGACTGTCTGGCGCAATGCCGCCCCAGTATCCAAAAAGAGCATGCCAGACGGCGATGTGATCAATATTGGGGTGGCTCTCGCGAATTATGTCGATAGTGCGCTTTAGTCCACGGGGGAATGCACCGGGGTTTGCCTCAAATTGCGTCCATCGTCGCTTGAACTGGGGCCCGGCCTCACGATCTAAAGCCTGCCAATTGTCGTCGATGATTAGGTTCGAGATTTTGATTTCATTGTCTTTCAGTGTTTTCAAAGCCCCCAAAAGCTTTTCCTCGGTCAGGTTCTGGCCCAGCCCGTTCCAAGTGCAGTAAGTCAGCCCATCGTACCAGTCTGCCAGCCATTGCGCCTCGGGATCCTTTTCAACCATGACGAAACTATCTCCGGGTGGCGAAACTGGGCTTGAAAGATGCTCAGATCCCTGTAACTCTTCATACGGCCGGACAACTTTGCGTGCTTCGTACATCACTGCGCTCATGGCCACATCAAAATGATCTGCCACGGCAACCAGGACCTGGAATTCCGCGAATTCTGTAGAGTCATTCTGCGACCGAACTACCACCTCTCCGTCTTCTCCGGAGCCAAGCACAGTGACGTTAGATGTTTCGGAGACGGCCAAGACAACTACATGGATGCCGTCTGTTCGAAGAAATGAACATAAAACGGCATCCTCGGCCAATTCAAATCCCTTTCGACCATGTCTAGGCCCAAGCCATGGAGTCCATACCCGGACTAATGCAAAGTATCGAGCAATCAAGGATGGTATCCCAAGAGGTAGTGACTTGAAACTGGATTTGCCGTCCCTTGCAGGATCAATGCCTGCAGAGATCTTCCATAAAGCTGACCCGGGAGCTTCACTCCTTCGTGGCTCTATATTTACTTCCGAAGATAAATTTTCGAAATACTTGCTGAGCTGCTCCCCGCAGACTTCGGGTTCCTCAAAAATTGTCCTCGGGGCAAATGCCAGCTCCCCATCGCTCACGCGCTGCTGCTCGTTCACCCAACACCAGTCCGCATCAGAATCAGGTCGGAAGCGAATAGTAAACTGAGCATGACCACCATCATTCGGGAGAGTAACTTCCTGAGAAAAGACATGGCGGTATGACTGGTACTCTGATCTCTCCCCATTCATAAGCGGTACTATGGGGCCATGTTGCCTTTGCAGAGGAAGAGCGGACCATTCAGATCCGGTGATGTTGTGCCAAATATCGACTTCCCAAGACTGCTCCGGAAAGGCAGTGCTCGACTCTATTACTGCTATGAATCGAATCTAAGGACCATGTTACCAACTTCTTATCTATAACTTCAGGACGGAACTCGCGTGAGCATACCGTATCATCCTTTCCAGATCCTGTCGCTTTCTGGATCCTCTGGGGGCACGTTACTTGGCCCAAAGGTGGGTAACAGGTCACTCGAGCGAACATACTAGTTTGTGCCGAACGAACTATTTGCGCCTGCGGAGCCTGCGGATAGCATGCTGGCCCAAAGATGGGCTGGGTTGAGGTGATATCAGCGTTGTTCGACATCTGGAGATCAGAGCGCCGCCGATGAGTCAAATGCTTGAAGGACCGAGTTGATAGTTGCCGGGGTTGCAAGGATAAAAAGCGAGTGTTTCACAGGGACCAGGATACGATGAGTGATTCGGGGTCGATGCGTTGGTTGCAGTGGCGAGGATGCGGTGAGGGGAAGGCCCCAAGGGGTCTCTTATTGGTCGGTGCCTGAGGCTACACGAGGACATGATCAACGGTCATTTGAATAGTTTCATGATTAACGGTCGTACAATGCCATCCCAGGCTTTTTAATAGCTACATTCCATGTTCCTGCATGTGTCGTAAAACTCATCTACTGCGCCGTTTATTCGATCTTGATGGCCACCTTGCCGAAGTGCTTCTGAGCCCACTATACCACCACAAGTCAGTAATTGTATACAACACACGTCTAATGGCTGAAGAACCTACCATGTAATCATAGGCTTCCCTGGTCTGATCAAGGGAGAAGACCTTGGTATCGAGCACCGGATGGATGTTGTTCACCTCGATCGCCTTGACCATATCGTTCATCAAGGCCTTGCTTCCTACGTAAATACCTCGCACGGTGCAAATGTTGCTAAGTGTATCAAGAACCGGGGGCTGGCTCTTAGCGTCGGTGCCGCCAACAAAACCAATGATGCTGATGACTCCCTCGAACTTGATGCACTTGAAACTCTGGGTAAGTGTGCCAGAGCCGCCAACCTCAATAATGTGATCCACACCAACATTGTCGGGAGTCAGCGTGCGAGCAATCTCGCCCCAGTTGGGGTTGCTCTTATAGTTGATGACATGATCTGCCCCGAGCTCCTTCAACTTCTTACCCTTTTCGTCCGACGAGGTTGTCGCGATAACGAAAGCACCGGCCGCTTTAGCAAACTACGGGCACGGATTAGTTGGCTTGATTCTTGCATTTGGCACCAGGTACTCTGCTTTCTGACAACTTACCTGCAATGCGAAAATGCTCACACCACCTGTTCCCTGCACCAGCACTGTCTGTCCGGGCCGCAGAGGCTTCAGGCCGTATAGAGCATTCCAACTGGTGAGTCCAGCACATGTGAGAGTGCTTGCTTCCAAGTGGTTGAGGTTCTTGGGGCTTTTAACAACGCCGTTTTCGTTGAAAGCTCCGTACTGGCGCAGAGTGCCATCAACGGCTCCTCCCAGGCCGGACTGCGTCCCCGCAACGTCGATATCGCCATATTGATGTGCTTGGTTGAACAGAGTAACCACATTGTCACCCTTGCGGAACTGTGTCACTTTGGACCCAACGCCAACGACCTCGCCGGCACCATCTGAGCCAGGGATAGTGGGGAAGTTGACAGCGAAGGGGTAAAGTCCCTAAAACAGAGGTGGTAATGTCAGTCATTCAGGTTCGAATCATAGCTATTCTGCGAGAGATCCAGGAGAGCCCATTGATCTAACGGGCACAGGTTGGAATGAAGCCAACTGACCTTGGGGATAATCAGATCACGGTAATTCAACGACGCGCCGTGGAACTTCACGAGAACTTCATTCTCGCCGAGCTTAGGAACCGGGGCATCGCCATAGGTCAAGCCATCGAAATCCTTGTCCTTGCTCACCACACTCCACTGCTTCATATTTCCACTTGATTCCATGATTGATACTTTCAAGAAGAATGCAATTTGACTGCGCAGTGTCTCAATTGATGCTCGAATTATTTTGGAGGGGCATCTCCACAGCTAAATAGGGCGGTCTGTTGGGAGCTTCGGATCTTGACGTAAGAGGGTCAAGAGAGGGTCAGATCCACTTCCATGACGATACGCTTAATAATTCATCAAACACCGACAGGACCCTCCAAGGTGGTCCAAGAAACCAGAGGACGGTGTATGTTAGGCAGGACATCATAGACTAAGTTCTCTCACCTGTCGAGGAGCCTGCCATCGGATTCATCGGGCTGCATAAGCCTGCGAAGAAACTAGGAATGGTCCCTGCAGGTTGAGCCCATCGAGCTGTTCCGCATACTCCGTAATGAGGTCTTCGGCATTTGAAACCGATCTATCTTCCTAATGAAAGTCTCCGGTGCTAGAGAATCCAAGGTTCAAACGGTGTACGGTACTCGGCGGCTGAAGACGGAAACATCTCAAACTTGAATCATTTAGGTGGGTAACCCTGGTTGAAACGGTCCGATGTTCGACCGTTTGAGACCCACGTGTTGTAGTCAGGATAGGTCTGCAGAATTTTGGCAGGGATGCACAATGCAGGGACGCTATCTCGTTCAGCCGGGCTGACTTCACCGTGAAATGACGGATATCCATAGTAAATAAATAGTGAGAACAACGGCATATCTTTTGTTCAAAGAGAGTCTTTTCATGAGAATTGAACCATTCAAGGACGGAGTTTCTGTGTCGGAGCCCGGAGACTTTCGCCGGATGATCTCATGTTCTTGCCTTGTTGCCTGGGTCACGACACCTCAAACACGGATGAGTCAGCAGGATGGACAAACAAAACAAGCTCATCATTGACACTTTCTTTCTCTTTCATCAATCACAATGGCAGGCCGGTCTTCAGGGATGAATGGCTGTCCTGAACAGTTGAACCGAACATGATGATTCTACCTCACAACAGGTACATACTGTATCATCTGCCGTGCTCAGGCTTGCAGTCTCAGTATATCATCCTCTAGCTCGGATGACTGGGGGCTCAAGGTTGCCTCACAACAATGGCTGGGCAACACCTCATTCATGCCTTGTAAAGACTGCAGACAAGAGAAGGAATCGCCCCCTCAATAGTGCTCAATCGGATGATGACCGAACAAGGAACAATTCAGTACAACCATCCTGCAGCTTCAGGTGTCAGTCCTCCCGGTCCTCTTGGCCAGGGATGGTCTCGGCCGTAGCTCGGTTAAGCAATTGATCGACTGCATATTTCCTCGAATAGGTCCAGTCCAGCTCCTGTCTTGCCAGAACGTTACGAACACCAGCAGGGAACACCATCCTGAATTCGTGTTCCTCTTGTCCGTGCATACTGAGTACTTTCGAGGTTCGCGGATAACTCGTCATATCCAACATTAGGAGAACCCCGGATTCTTGGCTGCGCCAACGCCACGTCGTTCTCCAAGCATCGATATTGCCTCTCAGACCCGGAATACAGCTACCTCCGTTTCTGGCCTACAAAGCCCTGGTTTCCTTTTCTCCGCTCTGAACGTTCCTCTTGCAGCTTCCTCTGGTCCGCGATCGGCATCTTGCTGCGTAGGATAGCCCTCTCTATTTACCAAATCTTTCACAAACAGGCATGATCGTCAGCTCTCGGTCAGACATGACCGCGTTTTCTGTCAGCTTTCCCACGCCTTGACTTGTTTCTTGGATAGTACATGGAAGGCTTCGGTATGGAGTATCCCGAGTCAACGAACCCTCATCCGCGATAGTTCGAATGTGTCCACGATTTTACGAGATCATCGGTTTGCTGCAGGAATGGGCATACGCAACACTTGTATCGGACGACTAATATTGTCGTCACGACGCATGTTGCTCCTCGAAGGTCACGTCTCTTTAGGGAGTCTCTCCTTGGACTTGGACATAAATTGGATCTCCAGTGCATCTCTTCTCACCTTCCAACATTCGTCCATCATCTATTCTTCTACACTCCCCGTGAGACTTTTACCAGTACAACTCTTGGACTCTGTATTTTTCGAACGCAAGACAAAAAGAACATCATGAAGCCCTCCAGCATCACCGCCATTCTCGCCGCAACCTTTGGCGCTGTCCACTCTACTCCCGTCACTCGGGCTTCCAAACCGCCATACTTCCTCCTGATCGGTGACTCTACCGTTGCCACCAATGGGGGATGGGGCGACGGATTCCTATCCTTCGTGGCCGATCCTGCGGACGGCGTCAACCGTGCCAAGAGCGGCACCACCACGGTGTCATACCGTGCCAACGGACGATGGGACGACCTGCTCTCGAACATCAACTCCACCGTCTCAGACTACTCGCCCATTGTAACCATGCAATTCGGCCACAACGACCAGAAAGCCCTTGATGTGGACGAGTACAGACAGAACCTGGAAGGTCTGGCCACAGAGGTCCAGGAAGCCGGTGCCACTCCTGTACGTTGAAATCCCAATCTCACTCCTTCCACCCACCTAAGTAACCACGCTGCCAGATCATCATCACCCCATTGACCCGCCGCACCTTCGACGGCGACGCAGTCAAGGAGGATTTCGTGGAGTGGCGAGTCCAAGCCATCAACGCCGCCAAGTCCGTGGGTATCAAGTACCTGGACCTGACCACTGCCAGCACCGACTACATCAACGCCATTGGCGACGAGAACGCCACTAGCTACGACCTGTCCGATGGTGATAAGACTCACATCAACGAGGCCGGGGGTGTCGTCTTTGGTCGTCTGGTTGCCGATCTCCTGCTGGCTGCGCGCTCCGATCTGGAGGACTACATCACGCCCAACGAGGCGCTGAGCAAGAAGATTGCTGCGGGCGAGTACGCCTCTGGGGATGAGTAAATGTCCGGCGTACACATTATAGCGCATAGTTTGTTGTGAGAGAAATGAAGGACGCAGTCTAGGATACAGAGTGTACCGAAGCAAAATACCATTTTATCTTCCTGCGATGTCACCATTCTCACTCCATAGCATACCCGTTAGACACACGCACTTTCATTCATAACCCTCTTCTGCTAACCCATCATCGCATTACCTTCAACATCCAAAATACATCTACCACTTCCATACTCCGTAGACCGTACTGAGTAGGCGCCGAACAAACTGCCGATCGCCCCAATCTCCCCACCCGCCCATTAAGTAGCGGGTCCTCGGAGGAAAAGCCAACAGCCAACGACAGACCACCCTGCCCTAACGGAACAGTTCGTCCAGCTAGAGTCAAGATCGTCGACTCCTTAATATAAATTAGATTAATCTATTGCTTTGGGACTTGGGTCCTGTGAGTCGTGCGGAGGCATGGAGCACGCCAGACTGTGCGCACTGTGCTTTCTGCACTTGCACTCTGCATGAGTCAGGCCAGGGGTTTGTCCTTTCATCTCGGTTGGAGGTTCGTGGGGGCTTTTGTGAGGGAAAGTGGTGTGTAGATCTTTTGGGATGGGGTGATTCTTGCATTTGGTGGGTTTGTTATTGGGCTCCGTTGCAGCTACCATTCTTTTGTTTTCAGGGCTGGGAGACTTTCTACGCTGTGTATAGCCATGAAGGCCTATTGAGGAGATAATGTGGATTCTGATTACTCGTATTATGATTCCAGCCAAGCAAGAGACAGCTTGTCACATAGTCAGGTTAAGCTCAAAAGATTATTGACCAAATGCAATACCCAAATCCTCATTTTCATCGGCAAGCCAGGTTAGCACCATCACACCCCTAGACGTAGTAGAGCTCAACTGCATCAATGACCTGCAAAGCGTTAGCGTCAATACTAGCGTTTTCCAAGGGATGAAAAAGGGAATAACTTACATAGTTGGCGCTGAGGAATCCCTCTCCGCCAGATCCAGACACAACGCTAATCTTCAGAGTGTTGTCTCCCTGCACCAGGTCATCGGCCGCAAAAGTGCAGTTGTAGACCTCGCCAAAGCCCCGGTAAGCACCGCGAGTCACACCACGGCTGTCAATCTTGGCGGGGGCATCGGGAGCATCGCAGGAGGCCTCGTTGAGAGTGAGCTGGGGCCGGCCGCTCTGAAATGCGAGCGTGGTGGCAATTCGCACGATCACGTCCGATTCGATGGATTCAGAAAGACTGAACTGCACTTCTTGTCCGTTGTTCACGTCGGCGAAGATGGCCATGGGGAAGTCGGATGTCTCGCTGTCGTCAACCACAAATGCCGAGGCCTTCCACGCGCCCATCCGATCGTCCGATGGGTGCATGCGAAGTTGCTTGTCTGCGTTGAGGAATCCCTGCGGGGTGCCATCGTATTCACCGATCTGCCAAACAGTTGTCCTTTCCTGGGTGATGATGTCGTTGGTTGCGCTGATGGAGGCCGAGGCCGTTTCACCCGCCTTAACAGACACGGTGGTTGTGGCTGCCAGAAGCTCGCCCTGGTAGAGGGCTAGCGTGTACTCGCCCTCAACAACCTCAGGCGTGGTGAATGTTCCGGAGGAGGCGTTGGCCCAAGATTGGTACTCATCATTGTACAAGTGTACAATCGCCGGGAACTTATCAGAAGTACCGCTGGCCTTGCCTGAAACAACACCGCGTCCGGAAGAGCCGACATAGCCTTCCAGATCAAGGTCTTCGAAGAAGGAAACGTCGAAGTCGTCCCACGACGGAATATCACTTCCACTGAAGGACAGGATATAGGGGCCGAAGAAGCCCGTGCGGAAGTCTTCCGTCTGCACATGGCCAGAGTTCATGTAGAAAGTGACGGAGTGGTAGTCACCGCCATTGTTGAGGTCAATATCGCGGAAGAATGGTCCTCCAGAAGACTTTTCGCGAGACCTCGTATCAGAGAGGAAGCACGCATGAACAGAGCTGTCCTCGGTATAGGCGCAGTATCCGCTATCGTCGATAAAGCGCTGGGAGGAGTAGAACTAAAGCCGGGGGTTAACACAAGGCTGAGCAAGTCAGGGTTTCGACCAAGATTGCATACCTTGCTTCTTGTCTCGCCATCGACGAGGAAAACATCACTACCCTCAACGGTATCGCCCCCGGTGGTGTCGGAGACTTCACCTTCCTTGTAGGCCTTGGGGATGTTCACTAGCCGGGCAATGTAGCGCAATTCACCAACGCTTGGCTGATCAACGGTGTAGGTGCCCATGTAGATGACACTCTTTCCATCCTCAAAGACGTAGTAGTGAGTGAGATTAAAGTCGTCACTATCGGCCTTGGCAGACACCACAGCATAGTTGCCTGTTTTATTGTTCAATCACAAACTTCCAACATGTAGGTAACTAGGAGAACTAACCTTCGGTGGTGTGATTCACTGTGGTTCCCGAGCCCAACCCAGAGGCAATGTGACTGCCGGTAGAAGCATACTGATATTCTTCTCCTCCGTAAACAAGTGACGTGATCGATCCAGAGGAGTCGATTGTCACTTTGAAGCCACCTTCACTCTCCGTGTCCACGACAATGCCATCATCAGTTTCATCGACAGTGAGACCCGCCACCACAAAGGGAAATGCCGCGGCTGCTAGAATCCACGAGGACCTCATGGTTGGACTTTATGCAGAGGACTGTGTAGGTCCAAGAGATGAGATGAATGACAATTGTGAGATAAGAAATAATCGCTTTGGCATGGCGTCAAGCAATTGTGGAAGGACGCCGAATTTATAGCCACCACAGGACATCTTTCGACCCTTTCTTCTCATGCTACTAAATGTGCCCAATAGAACTCAGAGTGACGATCACTTCAATGCCTGCAATGCTTGCACTGAAGCGAAGTAACTAATTGATTTCGGGTTTATTAAGCCTCGTCATCTGCTACTTGGCAAAGACGGGCACATGGAGAGCCGATTTCGGTGAAGACCGGCATCTGTCAGCCCGGGCATATTTCCTCAAGGCGTTGGGTAATTTTTCATTGGAAAAAGCAACGGACGAACCCCAAACAGACGCCAAGCCCAGGGGTGCTGAAAGCTTCAGTGTGTTTGCCCCAATACCCCCTGGCCAACGTGGAGTCGTATGAAGCTGGAGACATGGAAGCGGGCCATCCTAAACTCACCATCCCTGCAGGAAGGTCAGGCGGCGCGGAGATGCAAGAACATTAATATAAAAATAGCGACTTCATCATTTGGGGCTAGGTTCTTCGGGCAACCGGAGACGGTCAAATGGACTCGATTCCAAAATCGTGTCAGATATGTCGGAAGATGTCCTGATGAAGGGCAGATCGTCAAATCCAGAGTCAGTTATGGAAAGAAGGGTAGCTGAGGCTAATGCAAGGCTCGGTGGACGTTAGAACGGAACCCCGAAGGGGCCTGAGGGTCCCCTAATCGTCCGTCTTTGTTCAATGCCGATCATCTCCCAACCTGCCAGAGCGCGCCGTTGTTTTGAGGGATTTGGTCCGGTTGTGCTGCCACTGGCCCCTGCAGTATTCACTACTGAGTATTTAATCCGCTTCAGTGCGTAATCACGTCATCCAGTTCCGGTTATAATTCGTTTGGTAGATTTTGCTGCGAGACTTGAATTCTTACTACAGAGTACGGTGTACGGCGTACTATGCTGTGGGAAAAACCTCCGGCGCAGTCTTTCTGTAGAGAATCAGCTTCTGGTATTGACGGCATTGCTGCTGCTACCGCTGCTAATCGACAAATATCATCAACAGTGTCGCTAACTGTTCGAGAACGCGCACAAAAAGGCAAAGGTGTTTCCATGGCTCACGGATCACTTGGTCAAAGTCGGCTCTAATATCGGACTCCGAACAATATCAGTGACGGAGACTTTGGTTGGCTCGATTCAAGATTCCGTGGGCTCCAATCTCCTTGGTAAATCAAGCATCAATCAATTACTGCTAAACGAGCTTTCGAACCTGGCCGTTGACCACTATATCAGCCGAGGAAGGTTAAGTCATTGTCGGCTTCGTCCCAGGAAACTGCAGAGTACAGAGACACTCCCCCGAGAGGAGTTGTTGGTATTGGGTTAAATATTGTTGAAAGTAGTCACCATAAGCTTCTTAATAAACTTCTTGAGTGCGGTCTTCTCTCGATCAAGGCTGTTGGGGTAAGTCAAAGTGCCAGTTTGGCGAAGAGTGGGGTGAAAAATTGGGGTAGCGCATGGTAGCTGTTACAGATTGGTCGCCCGGTCGGCTGGTGTTTTCAACCTATCCATCGATTTCGTCTGGTTGTGAAGTGCAAGCACGACATGTCAACAATAGATCAGTTTCCACGGCAATTTCCAGCTGTGAGAAGCATTCATGCTGACCCGGAACAAGGATCCGAGAAAAGGTGACCCGGGGCCCAGAAGACCTCAGCTATTGTAGATTCGGCTGATGCGAGATGTTTTCGAGATAAAGCTTTCGTTGATGCATAAAAACAGTTTGTAATGGAATGATGTTGTTGTACTGAGTGGTCTTTCGTGATCTTTGAGATTGAACCGCACAAGTAGAATGATCGCGCAATCAACGATGGCAATGAGGGGACAAGCCAATTATTCCGTAGATGAGATAGACCTGGTCCAATCAGCCCCAGGGCCTCGGCTTTATCTCCATCCACATTATCGGGATGGGGCTAAGCTGGGAGGGGCAGTACGGAGTAGCCTATTTCCTCATCGTGAAGAAGAATTGCATCGACACTGGTCCTTTCGTCATTCTTATATCCAGATTTTCGCTCTCTTGCTCTGCATTTCGGAGTCTTCTTTTCTACAAAATAGATCTTCACAATCAGTATCAATTCCTCCGAATCACCATGTCTCTAGGACGCACCTTCAAGCTGAACTCCGGATACGAGATCCCTGCCGTTGGCCTGGGAACTTGGGTACTATTGCACCTCTTCTCAATTGAAAAAGTAGAGATCAATTCTGACTGATGTGCTCATAGCTCTCCAAACCCCATGAAGTAGAACATGCAGTCGAGACTGCTCTTCGAGTGGGCTATCGCCATCTCGACGGTGCAGCGGTGTATCGGAATGAAGTGGAAGTGGGAAACGGCTGGAAGAAGTCGGGGGTGCCACGTGAGCAGATCTTTGTGAGTTTCTGCCAAAGAGAAAATTGACGGCGTTGACACTGGTTTTTTCTTCCTGAATTTGGCCTGACAATATGGCAGATCACGAGCAAGCTGTGGAACACGCATCACCACCCCGACCATGTGGAGGAGGCCCTCGACAAGACACTCCGGGAACTGCAGACGGACTATCTTGATCTTTATCTGGTAATATGGCCATGGATAATAAGGAAAGTTGCAATTCTAACCACGGCTCTAGATCCATTGGCCTATTGCTTTCGAGCACGCGAATGACACCTTCACCCCCACAGACCCCGTTACTCAACGGTTCAGGTTGGCAGATGTCCCAATCGCCGATACCTGGAAGGCTCTCGAGAAGCTCGTCAAGGCAGGAAAGATCCGCAGCATCGGTGTCAGCAACTTCACCGTTGAGAAGATCCAAGAGCTCCTGAAGACCGCGGAGATTCCTCCAGCTGCCAACCAGTACGAGGCCCATCCGTACCTACAGCAGCCTGGTCTGCTAGAGTTCCTCAAGGAGAAGGTAAGGGTTTATTTATCCTACAGGAAGCGCTCGCTAGGTTGGCTCACTTTGATAGAACATTCTCCCCGTCGCATATAGCCCGCTGGGTAACAACCTGGCTGGTCGCCCACGGTATTTACACCCCAGCCGCTCCTGTCGCCTCAGACTTCCGCTAATATCCTATGCTTCAGTGTCATCGATGATCCCGCCATTCAGGAGATTGCCACCAAGTTGGGCAAAGACCCTGCTGCTTTGCTGATCTCTTGGGCTGTCCAGCGCGGCACTGCTGTCCTGCCCAAGAGTGTTACGGCGTCGCGTATCGAGAGCAACTTCCAAGGTACGGGCGTTTGCGCTTCTGACTTTATTGCGAACGATCATGGCTAATTGAAATAGACTTTATCATTCCCGACGCCGAATTCGAGGCCCTGAACAAACTGGAACGTAACGAGCGTTACAGCTACCCCTTCCGCTGGGGTGTTGATGTCTTTGGGGAACTTGGTGCTGAGGAGGCTGAGCGACGAGCGGAGGAGCATGCTGCTACTCAAAGGGCAAACAACTGATGGCTGCATTTTGCTCCGTCCAAATGTCAAACTACATGAGGGGATATATAGACATGATAATATATTTTGATGATCCATAGACTTCATTTGAACGACGGTTGGTTTGTATGTCAAACATAATGTTTCGTGAATAATTCAAATCAATGATCATGGGATAATGTTAGGAGCATGAAGAATAGTAAATATGAAAAAGGCCCCGATCAAGGCAAAGTAAAATGATGTATCCAACACGCAGCAGGCGCGACCCGAAAACGCCCACACCAAAAATGGAACATCCAAGAAAACTTCCGAAACACCACTACCCCACGCAATCCATCAAACAACCCCCTCATTGCAATTGGCAATCCAGAATTTGTTCCGACGGGATTGAAGCTAGAGAATCCACGCCTAAAGTGATCTCGCGATGCCATCCTCCGTCCAAGAAGGCAGGGTGACCAAGCCGAAACCGAGGCGGTCATCGCAGCGCAGTTCGCTCAGGGACAAGGTCGAATTGGCCGATATTGACCATGAAAAAGGTAGGATTGTTGATACATAGCCAGCGAGTCCTAAGTTTTATCCTGTTTCCATCATTTCTTGGGGTTAAATCGATAAGGGGGATGGCTTTCGCGGGGGAGATCGAAGAGCTGAGCCTGGGCCTACACCCGACTCGAGAAATTACGTTAACACTTGATTTGACACTTCGGAAATAATTGAGAGGATTGAGAAAGGATTCTAACATGTTTCAGATTCCCAACCCTTACCATTAGTGGAACGCACCAATGCATTGCCACTGGACCAACTCCTGTCATTATATGTACCGCCCGATGAGCTTGCCTTCAAGATAACTACGTCTACGACCAAAAAGGCCGTCAAGGCCGACAAGGAAGATGATGTCAATGAAGATTTAGACTATGTACTGAATATATACACCGCCGACTCAATACCAACTGCCGACTTCGAGGCATGCTTCAAACTCATCGAGCTCACGTCGTCAAACGCCTACACGGGTTCCAGTTTCGGCTGGTCTCCGTCGAAAAAGCTCAAGGAGATGCGACTTCCTGACATGAGGTACATGATCTTGCGACGAGGCCCACGAGCAGCCAGCGAAGATAGCAGTACACAGCCTCTGGGGTTTCTTTCATTTATGGTGACGTACGAGGATGGAAAAGAGGTCATTTACTGCTATGAGATTCACCTGTCTCCTGCTGCCCAGGGACAGGGACTGGGCGAGCAGCTGATGCGGAGACTCGCAAATATCGGAAGACGAATCGGTCTGGAGAAAGCCATGTTGACGGTTTTCAGGTCAAACACGCAAGCGGTGCGATTTTACGACAAGCTCGGCTATGTCGAAGATGAGTTCTCCCCAAGACCCTGGAGGCTGCGCAACGGAACGGTTAAGGAGCCAGACTATCGGATCATGTCTAAGTCATTGAGAGACGAAGGACACCAGTGATACAAAGAATCGCACTGCGCAGGTTACATGAAGCCGGTATTATCGCATTCATAACAATTGACGCATGTGGACGTTTACACTTGTCTCACGTCTTTGCCTCGCACCTCGGGGTTGTCTTGCTCCCACTCCTCTCTGAGAGCAGCAAATATGGTATCCGCAAGTAAGATTGAAAGCCCTAGACTCCATACTAAGGTGATGGCGTAGAAAAAGTTGGCATTGCCGGAGCCGGCGTAGATCCAGAGGTAATAGAAGGCAGGGCCGAGGAGAGTAGCGTAGAGTAAGGCGGAAATAGCGAAGAAAGTATAGCGCATCACTAGGGGTTGTTAGGCAGGTCACATCTTGCAATGGAAAATGAAACTTACAAGGAAAGAGATGTCGATAAAGTGGCAAAAGCGCAAAATAAAGAGACGCATCCGAGATACTCGGATAAGGTTTAAAGATGGCGAAGACTCCCAGAAGTGATGCAATGACAAACAGGGGCTGGCGCCGTATCCTTATACTGAGAGCTCCAACGTATGCTGCTAGATGAAGCCAGAAAACACCGAGGAAGAATTCCCGGAAGGAGTCGAAGATCTCGATGAAGAAATACCACCATAAACCGACATTGGGAGTAAGGTCTGGCACCAGCAACTGGAATCCATACGTGGCGGAGACAAACTCATAGAGGTTGCCAACAAGTAAACACGAAACGCCAAGCAAACCGGCGATGCTTAGCAGAAAGACCCCTAGGTGTTGGCCTGAGAAAGTAGCGATTCCAGAGGGGGGGTTGGCGCTCTGAGCCCGTCGGTCGTAGCATAGAAGAACAAGCGGTATGAATAAGAGGGCCGGGTAGATTGAAAGATACGAAGCGAATCCAAGCGCTAACATGGCATTGAGACTGTTTCCACTAACGGCGTTGGACACAGCGTACAGAATGCCGGTTGTAGTCAACACACTCGTGGATCGTCCGAGGCAGGTCGCGATAGTAAAGGGGTTGAACAGGAACCTGATACGTCAGAATATCAACCAAATACCAATGTGAATGCGCTCGTACCATGCAGCGACTTCAACCCCATCCCAGCGAATCTGTTTGCGAAGTGCACTATACAGTCTTCCGGATACCGCCTGATTCGAGTCCGATATGGTAACCAGCGCGTTCGCATTCACCAGATCAATTATCGTGAAAAATAACGCAGTGGGTAGAGGGTAATCTCTGGCGTTGGGTAGCAAGGAAAAGATAGGGAGAAGGAGGGGTGCCTTTATAGCATTCGTCAGTAGGGCGTTATTGTTGTTGCTGCGAATAAGGCGGGGAGGAGGCACTGGTTCGTACCTGGTGGAAGACTCCTCCGTCATAAGGGGACACATTGCGAGTATATAGAAAAAGGCCTTCCTGCACTGAGTTACCGTATCAGTTTCATTAGCTCAATCCCCAATGGCCTTGCATTGGCAGGCAGTCCAACTCACGTCTCTTGAAGCTATTGACCGGAGTCGACACTTCGACCCTCCCCGTCAACAAGTCCGGAAGAGAAGGGAAAAGAACGATGAGCAGGATTCGCAGCGCAAGAGCGCCTGCAAATACGACTGCTCTCCTCCGACCGGACATCCTGAAAGCAGCAAAATGGCTCGAGATCAACGAGCGTCCACAGCGGAGGAGAGGCAGAGTCAGGGAAGTAAGCTGTCCCTTTCGGCCAGCGCCAAGACTCCGCGCCTTTGCCTTTTCCGCGGCGCACGGGCCAATTCCTCCGATTAAGAAGAAAAAAAAAAAAAAAAAAAAACTTATCGACCATAAAATTTTCGGGTTTATCAGTCTGAGCTTCCTACAGTCTCTTTCCCCCCAACCCATTAAACACCTCCGCTTCCAATTCAAACCACACCACCATGGGTAAAATAAAGAAGAAGGGTGAGATTTGTCATATTTGGATGCGCGACAATTATTTTACTGACTTTGATCATCTGTAGGCCAGTCCGGTCAGGCCAAAAACTACATCACTAGGACGCAGGCAGTGCGCAAGCTTCAGATCTCCTTGCCTGATTTCCGTCGCCTATGTATCTTCAAAGGTATGGACTGAACGACTGCTCGATTACATTCTGCGTATCGTAATTCTGACCTGGTTTCTTCTGCGATCATATAGGAATTTATCCCCGTGAGCCTCGGAGCAAGAAGAAGGCCTCGAAAACTTCGACTCCCAACACCACATTTTACTACACCAAGGACATTCAATATCTTCTCCACGAACCGCTGCTTCGGAAATTCCGTGACCAGAAGTCGGTTGCCAAGAAGATTGCCCGCTCTCTTGGGCGCGGAGAAGTCGGCGACGCCTCTCGCTTGGAGAAGAACCATGCGCCTAAGCTGAGCCTGGACCATGTTATCAAAGAGCGCTATCCGACTTTCATCGATGCCCTGAGGGATCTGGACGACGCCCTGTCGCTTCTGCATCTGTTCGCTAGTCTTCCCTCGACCACGCATGTTCCCCCCAAGACTATCGCGCTTTGCCAGCGCCTATGCCACGAGTTCCAGCATTATCTGATCACTACCAACTCGTTGCGCAAATCCTTCCTTTCTATTAAGGGAATCTATTACCAGGCGACTATCCAGGGCCAGGATATCATGTGGTTGGTTCCCTACCGCTTCGTGCAGCGCGTCAACGGAGACGTCGATTACCGGATTATGGCCACCTTCGTCGACTTTTACACAACCCTTTTGGGCTTTGTCAACTACCGCCTTTACTCCACTATTGGTCTCAGATACCCGCCCAAGTTCGACACCCGAAGCGATGAGAACGGTGCTGAGTTGGCGGCCTTCACCCTCGAGGGCCACGCGGTTGCCGACACTCCCAAGGCCATTGAAGCGAACAACAAGGCGAAGAGCACCTCCGAAAATCAGGAAGTTTCGAAGGAAGTGCAGGCGAAGGTTGACAAGGTGATCAAGAAGGCCAAGTTGGACCAGGCGAAGAACGACCAAACCATGGACACGACGGAGGAATCCACCGAGGCGATCGACAAATTTGAGCCCACGGCTCCCGAGGCCGATACACTCCCGCAGCCCGATCTGACTGTGGACGGTGCCGGCTCCCTGTTTGCTCCCTACACCTTCTACATCTCCCGAGAGGCTCCTAAGGCTCCTTTGGAGTTCATTCTGCGCGCCTTTGGGTGTAAACGAATCGGTTGGGATACTGTCCTGGGTGATGGGGCTTTTACGCATAACGAGGCGGACACCCGCATTACCCACCAAATCGTGGACCGACCTGCTTTGCTTGAAGGATCTCTTCCCGCTGTCCCTGCTGCGTCCCAGGATGGTGCGACACAGAAGGTCAAGCCCGGTACCCGGATCCCCGGTCGTACCTACATTCAGCCCCAGTGGGTCTGGGACTGTATCAACGAAGGAAAGCTTCTCCGTCCCGATCTCTACGCCCCTGGTGCTACTCTCCCCCCTCATTTGAGTCCTTGGGTCAAGCCTTCCAAGGGTGGCTATGATCCTCGCGCCAGCTTGGCCGAGCAGGAAGAAGAGGGCGAGGCCGACCTGGAGTCTGAGGAGGAGGACAGTGACGAGGAGATGGAAGAGGCGACCGATGAGAAGAAGGCGGATGCCAAGGCCGAAGAATCCGACGTTGAGGGTGAAGATGAAGATGAGGATGTCAACGGCGGTATGGATGTTGCCGGCACCGATGACGAGAGTGAGAGCGAGGAGGAGGACGAGGACTTTGGCGGATTTGATGACGACGAAGCGGCTTCTGAATCGGAAGACGATGAGGAATCCGCTCGCACACAACACCAGAAGGAACTCGAGGCCGAGGCTGCTGGTCTTCCTTTCTCGTCTAACGGTGCTGCCGATGAGTCGGGTAAGAAGAAGTCGAAGCAGGCCAAGAAGAACGCTTCCAAGAAGCGCAAGGAAGAGGAGGAATTGGAGCGACAGAAGATGATGATGAGCCGGAAGAAGCGGAAGTTGCTCGAGAAGATGATGTACTCGAACAAGAAGCAGTCGGACGAAGCCGCGAAGTTGCGGTCGAAGCGCAGAAAGCTTGAGAAGAAGGACGAGAAATAACTTCAGGAGAAGAGAAGCTGATCGACAAAAATTGATATCCTTACTTGGATTTGTTACCGTTTATATCTGGCGTCTTGAATATTTATACAGTCCATGGCATTCAGTCTTTCCACATAGAGTGTAGTCTAATGTATTTCAGGTGTACAGTTCTCTTTATAGTATATTTCCACGACTAGAGGCATTTATAATCATTCTAAAGACACCCAACAGAGAAGATCGGCCGTGAGAGAAGAAATTAAATCCATCAGAAATTACCTGATGAATAATCACGTGATATCGACTTTTTTTCCCTGGATCGCATTCGGATTGCGCACGTTGACCTGTCCATGTTCCACAAATGCCGTCTTCTTGCGGCGTAATATTAAACCGAGTGTTATTCTTCATGTTGATGGACACCAAATTCTGTCTCTTGCTTTGATGAAAAATTGATGCACCCGTTGAGAAGCTCTGCTGGTAGAATTTGCTCAATGATTGCATCACCTTATCAATCATTCCAGGCATTCTAATCAATTCTCCGATTCTATGGTTGGGGTTTACATTGGCTTGCCTCAAAGTTTATCGCTCATTTCCACGTGTTAATCCTTCACTGGACGAGCTGTCTTGCCTAAGAAGCGAGGCATGTCCTCGATATCCGGCAACCAATCTCCTCGATTCATCCCACCCCAGTCTGCGCAACCGTACACCTCTCTATTCGGAGGAGACAGCAGTCAAGATGCACCAGACTTGGAATCGTACCCCCTTACGCAGCAGGGGCAGGGTGCTGCTTTTGATCCAAATGAACTCGATACCATCATGGAAGATGGGTCCTTGATCGAGGAAGACGATTTTTCTGATGATGATGCAACCTACCATGACAGCGGAGATGATGGCTCGGACTTGGATAGTCAGCTAGATCTTCCAACTGCGGAAAGCAAACTCGACAGAAAAGGCGGTATCCTGACTGCCGCTTTGCAGCAACCCCCGAGCAGTCCTCCATCTTCACCATCATACCGTCCCAATAGATTCCGAGGCCCGGAGTCTACCTGGAGGAAGTTAACTGCCGAGGATAGGCGGAATGCGGAGGCCTTGCAAGACATCCGGGCAAGAGATCTTGCCGCTCACCTGTACAATGCTTATGCTCTTCGCGTACGGGCTCGTGAGATAGCCAGGCGAGCAGCCGAAAACAATGAATTACCAGATGCAACGGAAGCGTTTGCGCCGCCGAAACGATGGGCGCTGTGGCCTCTGCCCGCGAATGAGGTGCCTCGTGGAAGTGAACACTTTCGAAGAATGGAGGATGAAATCTGGACATGGAAAATGCCACCAGACCTTCGACCAAGCGCGGAACTGGAAGAGTCCCTCGTGGCCGTGATGACCAAATCGGCAAAAGAAAGATTCTATTCGAGGCCCTGGCAGGAGAGGCGCCGACGCTCAAGGCAGAAAGACGACCCCATGTCCCAAGGAGACACTCAGGATGAGAGCAAGAGCATGGATTTGGATGTGAAGGATGACCCAGAGCCTTTAGATAAGCCTCTACTGCGCCCAGTGGTTCAGGCTGATGATGATAAATCACGACAGCAGCTACGTCCTCTTACGCGGAATGTCATCAGTCAGCTTGACCACATCCTTCACAGTCTACACCATGCGCGCAAAGGGGCTCTGGGCGCCGATGATAGCTCGGCCAGTGAATGGCAAACAGATGCAGAGAGCCTCGTTTCCGGCACTTCCTCGCCCCGGAAAAGGAGATCAAATGGACCGACTGATCGAAGCTTGTCAAGAGGCAGAAAACGCACGCGCAGGTCGTCTCAAGTATCAGAAACGAAAATCAATCGATCGCGGAGCACATATCAGTCCACAGAACGGTCTGCATCAACGGGGGCTTTACATTCAAGAGGGCGATCAGCAGGTAATAAAACCCCACGATCTGCCAGCCGCATGCGTGTTGGGGTACGAGATTGGAGCCAAGTTCTAGGCGTCGCCTCGATGATAGGGGTTTCTCCGGCCGTGGTAATGCGCACGGCACAAAGATGCGCCGGGTTATTTGGCGAGGACATGGCATTCCAAACACTCAAGGAGGGAAGGTTGCAGCAAACCCAAGAAGACAACACTGCGTCTTGGGTATACGCAGAAAGCGAGAGCGAGCCCCCTCTACCGTCCCCTCCCCCCAAGGCCAAACGAGAACGATCCCGCCCAACCTCTCGTGCACCATCGGTCAAGGATGCCCCTAAATCGCAAGCTACCTCCAGGGCCACGTCTCGAGCTACCTCGCGAGCAACAAGCCCTGCCCACGACAATGGCGAAGTCACGGCTGAACCAAAGGGCAAGGGACCGCATCGCAAGAGCGATATAATATGCCCGTTCAAGACCTGTGAACGACACACAAAAGGGTTTTCACGAACGTGGAATCTCAACCTTCACTTGAAGCGTATTCATCCGGGGTATCGTCCAAGAAGCACCGATACCAAAAAGTCCGCCTCGGTGCGCACCGAAGGGGAAGATGCGGAATGAAGCGGTCTCTATTTTTGTATTCTAGGTACATACATTGCCCTTTCAAATATGGGGGACATATAATGAATCTTCCTCGAAATCACTGAGCAAAAGCTACATTTGATAAATATACATGCACATAGATAAGGTATTATATCGGTATTATGATGTATCAGAATATTACAGCCCCCTCTCTCATTGCACCGAAGTGCCGAGGAAGAGCAAAATGACGGCTGTCTATTGGCCAAAGTCGCCGGCGCATGGATCGACATGCCGATATGGTAATCTTAATACGATGTCGTTATTTATCATCCGCGAGGTCTTGTTTGAACAACTACAACACGCAGTCAAGGGATTATGACCAGAGAAATGAGCAAGAGCAAAGAAACATAGCAATTGGCACATATGGACTTCAATTAGGTCTCAACGCCGGGTTCAATCATGGGGAATGGGACCAACGACAGGGCGATAGCATATCGATGACGTCGCCCACGTGATGCGGAGCTTCCCCGCCGGAAAAGCGACTCGGAGTCTCCAAGGGCGATGGATTCCTCCTCCTGCTCGCCGTTGCTTGAGTTAAAAGGCTCCGCCATCCCGGGATTTCACGCAGTCAATTTCTCTTGTCAGTACTCCTCCTACCTCGCTGTTCGTCGCATTATCATCCCTCGTTCCGTCACATTCCGAGGTCCAGCTTGTCCCCCGCATTTCAGCAGGAGGAAGAAGTATTAGGAAGTAGACGGAAGCTCAGTTCGCTCGGTCTTCTGTCCGAGATTCTGTGGCGCATCAGCTTGGTTATTTAAGCCAGAGGCAGGCATACTCATTAACACCATGGAAAGACTCATTCGTCCTGTGTCTCGACAGTTTTTGAGATCGCGCCCTCGTTACCCGTTCTCCATTCCGCCGCCAATCTACGCTAAACGACTATACACGATGGGTCATACTGTACCTCCTGTGCGTTGTTTGCCTCGTAGTAGATGGAAATGATTCTGACTTATCGCCTATGGTATCTAGTTGAAAGACCAGTCTCTCTTCATTGAGAAGGCTTATGTCAACGGCGAATGGGTTCGCGCCCAGTCGGGACAGACTTTCGAAATTCACGGTAGGCACATTCCTCCACTGGAGCATACAATCTGTTAAACTCGGTAATCTAACTCCTATGACTATCGCAGACCCCGCTTCTGGAAAGCTCATTGGAACATGCCCCGAGTTCAACGCCACAGACGCCCAGAAGGCCATCCAGGCCGCTTCCGAGGCCTTCTCGACATTCCGCAACACATTGCCGCGCGAACGTGCCCGCATGCTCCGTCGATGGTATCAATTGATGATGGACAACGCAGATGATCTGGCAACTCTGATTACTTGGGAGAACGGCAAGCCCATCGCGGATGCCAAAGGCGAGGTGAACTACGCGGCTGGCTTCTTCGAGTGGTTCAGCGAGGAGGCTCCTCGTATCTATGGCGACACGATTCCTTCGTCCGTGGCCAGCAACAGAGTGATTACTCTTAAACAGCCTGTCGGTGTCTGCGGTCTCATCACGCCGTGGAACTTCCCTGCTGCGATGATCACGAGAAAGGTCGGTCCGGCTCTGGCGGCTGGCTGCACGGTGGTCGTCAAGACCCCCGGAGAGACTCCTTACACTGCCAATGCTCTTGCGGAGCTGGCCAACCGCGCCGGTATCCCTAAGGGTGTCTTTAACATCGTCACTGCTATGAAGAACACCCCTGAAGTCGGCGAGACAATCACCACGCACCCCGAGGTCCGCAAGGTGTCCTTCACTGGTTCAACCAACGTCGGTAAGCTGCTCATGAAGCAGTCGGCGTCCACCATCAAGAAGGTCTCCTGGGAGCTGGGAGGTAACGCCCCATTCATTGTCTTCGATGATGTCGAGGACCTCGACACCGCCGTTGCCGGGGCCATCGCTTCCAAGTTCCGCAGCTCCGGCCAGACCTGCGTCTGCGCCAACCGCATCTACGTACAACGAGGCGTCTACGACGAGTTCGTGAAGCGATTCGTCGAGAAAGTCAAGACCTTCAAGCTCGGTGCCGGCTTCGGCGAGGGCGTCACCCACGGCCCGGTCATCCACGGTCGCGCCATCGACAAGGTCGACGAGCACGTTCAGGACGCCACCTCCAAGGGCGCCAAGGTGGTCGCCGGAGGCCGCAAGGTCCCCGAGCTGGGCCCCAACTTCTACGATCCTACCGTCCTGACCGAGATGAACAAGGACATGCTGCTTGCGTCCGAGGAGACCTTCGGCCCTGTCGCGGGGCTGTTCCCCTTCGAGTCGGAGAAGGAGGTCGTGGATCTGGCGAACCGCGCTGAAGTCGGTCTTGCCGGGTACTTCTTCAGCGGTAACGTCCGACGGATCTTCCGGGTGGCCGAGGCCCTGGAAGTAGGAATGGTTGGTGTGAACACTGGTCTCATCAGTGATGTTGCCTCTCCGTAAGCTTCCTATTCCCTTCTTTAAATATTCATCTTCAAAACGCATACTAACCGTCGCAGATTCGGTGGTGTCAAGCAGAGTGGATTCGGCCGTGAGGGCAGCAAGTACGGAATCGACGAGTTCCTTACGATCAAGAGCGTCACGTTCGGTGGAATGGGCGAGCCTCTGCAGTCGTAAGATGGGAATGTGAAATGTAATTGGAACCGCAAAAAGATATGTTGAATATAGAAACTACATCTAATGAAGCAATTTACGATTATTGGCCGAACCTGTCCGCTTCCACTCATACATACTAAAGTCAAGTAAAATGAAAGAAAAAAAAGGAATAAATCAAGTAGTTAACAACAATAATATACATACATACAATTGAACATAAGCGCCTCATATCCCAGTGAAAATATCGCAAATGCACAAGTTCCCAATGTCAATGCCGATGCCAATGTCAATGGCGAGAAAATAAGAGAAGAGAAACCCGGTATATCCAGTACAGTTATGCACAGAGCAGTTGAGAGCTCACAGCTCTAGCACAGAGTAATTTCCATCATCCATAGCCCTTCTCTTCGGCGAGTCCATAGTCGAAAAAAAGTCGGTAGTCCGCTGACCTCCCCTCTCTCTCTGTCTCTTATTTTTCATTCTCTCTGCGTTCAGTCTGGTCTTTGGCATTGCGCCGTCTATTTTCCTTGACGTTGCTTATGCTTAGGGTTTTTCGAGCTGCAAAGAGGATCGCAATTAGTCTTGTCCTAGACTAGATGGGCGATCGTCTCAGGCACCACTCACCAAATGATGTAAACTCTGTTCTTTCTCCGGACGGGCTATACGACAAAACAACCCATGTCAGTAGCCAGTTATTGAATCTAATCCATCCATCTACCAACATCCTTCCTCGGGACCTCATAGGACCCCGAGAAATCCCCAACTCTCCCCAACAGAAATCAAAGGTAAGAGGAGGGGAAAACAACATACCTTACACCCATCACACAGCCTCTTCACCGACGACCGGGTCTTCATCCCCCGCACCTGTTCAATCTGCCGCACCGTCGACCCTACCACGCCGAGATTCGAGCTCTGCTGCGCTCCTGCACCATCCCGCAAAGCCCGCAAGCCATTACCGATCGAGAACTTAGCTAGCTGCGAGAACGGCCGGGACGAGAGGATGCCCCGGGCCCAGGACTGGCGGGTCAGCGAGGGGAGGAAGTGTCGGAGAGCGCCGGTCGAGGAATTGAGGATGGAGCGTAGAGGAGACATGATCGGGGTTTTCGTTTCGGGCGGTTTGTTGCAAGAGAAAGGTTCGGGAGATTTTGAAGGGGCACGGGTGAGGGACTGGCGGGAATAGAGGCGATGGGGTCGTAGGAAGGTGGTTATCGGTTTCTCTGCGTCTCGCTGTCTCGACACTCTTCTCTCTCGCGCGCGCTCGTTCTGTTGCTTTGCGGCGTTCTCGATCTTTTGATTTCCGCGGGAGCTTCGGACTTTTGGTTGTGCCGGGGTGCCGATCGATCAGTCACGTGGCTGTGGCCTTGTGGCCTGAAGATTGAAGGACCTTTGTAGTTCGTAGATTATCGTGATGATTTCTACAATTCACGCAGACAACGAAGCGATTAGGAGTTATCGACAAAATAGAATATATACCGTAGCATCAGATGCAATAAAGTCTATGTTTTAATTCTCCGGTCCAAACGCCTAACAAGCTTAACTCGAAACCATCCACAACCGCCCAGCAGAGTCTTTTGCAAACACATGAAGTCAAACAAGCTAACAAAAAATAATCAAACTTTACATCAAGGATGAAGAATGTCTAGTTTTCACGAGCGAAGGAAAGTCCGGTAAGTGGGGGAATCGGTCTGCTCGCTGAACGGATAGCCCAGGTCGTTCAAGAACGCCTCGAGATCCTCCTTCTCGGCGCTAGGGCACTGGATACCGGCAAGCACCTTGCCGACATCGCCACCGTAGTTACGGTAGTGGAAGAGGGAGATGTTCTGGTTGGGACGCAGCGTGGTCAGGAACTTGGCGAGAGCGCCCGGGCGCTCGGGGAATTCGAACATGAACAGGCGTTCGTCTTGCACGTCGCAGCGTCCACCGACCAAAAAGCGAACATGGCGCTTGGCAAGCTCATCGTCGCTGAGGTCCTTCGTGCTCATGCCTCCCTTTTCTAACTGCCGCATCAGGATGGCCAGATCCTCCCGTCCCGTCAACGCGGATAGAGAAACACCCATCAGGACGTCGGCTGAGTCGTCGTGAGCGTAACGGTAGCTGAATGCCGTAACGGCGTGTGGGAGAACCACTTCAACCAGCTTGGCGAAAGCACCGGGTTTCTCGGGAATGTTGACACTCAGTAACGCCTCCTTGCGCTCTCCCAGGGCGGCACGTTCGGCGACAAAGCGCAGACGGTCAAAGTCCATGTTGGCGCCGGAGGTGATCGCGACCAGTTCGCGGTTGGTGTCCGGGCTAGGGTGCAAAGAGACGTATTTCTTCAGACCGGCAAGAGCCAAGGCGCCCGCGGGCTCAATGATGGAACGAGTGTCCTCGAACGCATCCTTGATAGCGGCGCACGTTTCGTCCGTGCTAACCTGGACAATCTCATCGATGACCTCACGGGCCAACCGGTAGTTCTCCTCGCCAACATTCTTCACCGCGGCACCGTCGGCGAAGAGTCCGACTTCCTTCAGCTGCACCCGCGCGCCCGAGCCCAGGGACTGGGCCATCGCGTTCGCGTCATGTGCCTCCACACCAACAATCTTAACATGAGGCGCAATCCGCTTGAGGTAGACTCCGATGCCGGCAATCAGACCCCCACCTCCGACAGCGCAGAATACGGCCTCCAGGTTCTGCAGGTTCGCCTGGCGCAGGATCTCCATGCCGATAGTTCCCTGGCCAGCGATCACGTAAGGGTCGTCGAAAGGAGGAATGCTCGTGAGTCCGTGCTGCTTTTCCAACCGGTGTGCCTCCTCCTTTGCCGCGTCGAAGTCGTTTCCATGGAGAACCACGCTACCGCCGAGGCGAGCAACGTTCAGATGTTTGATAGCGGGGGTACCCGAGGGCATCACAATGGTGGCGGGAATCTTCAGCTTGCGAGCGGAGTATGCAACACCCTGGGCATGGTTGCCTGCATCAGACGTCAGCCAGTTATGATCAATACCCCAATTCAGTGTTTGACGGACTCACCAGCGGAGCACGCCACCACACCCTTCCACCGCTGCTCATGAGTCAGATGGGCCATCTTGTTGTAGGCACCGCGAAGTTTGAAACTGAAGACGGGGAGTAAGTCCTCCCGCTTCAGGAGAACGCGACATTCCAATCGGTTACTGAGGTTGACGGCGTGGTGGAGGGGAGTCTCGTCGAGAATTTCGTAGACCCGGGAGGTCAAGATCAAGCGCAGGTACTATTGTCCATGATCACCAAATTAGCGACTGGAGGTTCCTTTGAGGCAGGTGAAACAGCGAAAGACTCAGACTTACGTCGGGAAACCCATTGGGAAGGAGAAAAGCATCGGGGATGCCCCAGTCGAGTCCAAACAGTTTGCGCTCGCCGCGCTCGGACTGGGGAGAACACTCATTCTGGTGGAGGGCCAAACTGCTCATCTGGGCGGAGACTGGCGTCGCCATGCCATTTGTGGAGGAGTCTTCAGACATTATACCGTGTGTCAAAGGAAGACCGAAGATTGGAAGAGAATTAGGGGGGAAGGAACACCTCCGAAGGCAGACCGCAAAGGAAGATTGACCCAATGACTCCTCCGCGGGGAGGCAAAAATTCCGTGATCGGAGCGGAACTGTTTATGTCATCAACCCTGCAGGCCAGCCCTAACTGCAGCCCTGTTGTTGGATGTTGTTGGACTGGGATAGTCATGAGTGAGAATTGGAGGGAAGGCTTTCGTAAATATAAGTCCCTCTCTTTCCATGGTCACACATGCCTTGTCCTGGCTAAGATGACGTTGGGAGCACGCGGAGGTCCCTTTTAGGCAATACATTCATCGTGTCCGGAACTATAGACTGACTTGGGTTGGGCAAGTGACCGAATCTGGTTCAATTATTTCGAAACTTCTCAGAGACTTGAGAAACCGGTCCCTGGTCACAGTGTTGCAATCGGGAATTGCTCGATGCTTGATAGTGATAAGGCGCTCAGGCAAGAACATCTATAGTATGTGTATACAAAAGTGGTATTACCAGGACATACCGTAAATTACCCCCATCGACCGAACCTTCTGCTCCTCGCGACGTCATGTCCCCGACCTGCCCTCCTTCCATTGTCACAGACCAAAGGCAAAGGCACGGAAGATGTGAGTTCTTCTTTGGACGGTGGAGGAATCTATTGATTTGCTCTTGCTGACCAGACAAAAAAGACCCACTAGACTTCGGTTGACTCCGACTTCCCAGATCGTACCACTCCACTCCGAATCCTCTCTCCGGACGATCAATCCCACGACTCTCGACAGGCGATAAAGCATCATTGTACCTTATCACCCGCTACAATGTCTAGCGAACCTCTTCCTTCCTCCCTAGAGGATAACCCGTACGTATCCGGGCCTTCTCCATGCGGTTATAACGTGCAGTGGATGCGGGGATACTGATCATCGGCCTTAGTCACTTTCAGGAGGAAACCGGTCTCCAAAAGTTCCGCAGACGTTTCAAGGAAGAACCCTTGATCCCGCTAGGTAATCCGATCAGCTTTGGACAGATTGTGTCGCTCCACGGAACCAATGCTAACTGTCAACTCGTCGGCAGGATGCGCCGCCACCTGTTACGCGCTCTACCGGGCCTACCGATCGATGAAGGCCGGCGACTCGGTGGAAATGAACAAGATGTTCCGTGCTCGTATCTACGCCCAGTTCTTCACGCTTGTCGCCGTGGTTGCCGGAGGCATGTTCTATAAGACGGAGCGACAGCAGCGCAAGGAGTTCGAGCAGGCGGTGGAGGCGCGCAAGAGTCAAGAGAAGCGGGACGCATGGCTGCGCGAACTGGAGATTCGTGACAAGGAGGACCGCGACTGGCGGGAGCGCCATGCCGCCATGGAGTCGGCGGCCAAGGAGGCTGGCAAGGCCTCTGCTGCTAAGCCGGTTCCTGAGCAGGATGCCGCTCGCTCTGTGGTGGAGCCGACCGAGCAGAAGTCGCTCGGGGTGTTGGCGGCTGTCCGAGAGCTTGTGTCGAGGCAGAGGTAAATTCCTGGAGAATTGAGGCAAGGGGAATATTCAAAAAAAGGGTTCTTGGAACCTAGATCGGTCTTGATTGAGTTTGGGTATCATAGTGTACATATATACATTTTGGTGTTATTCTGCATGCGAACATCTCGTCTCTAGCCGCTTCCTGTCATGCCTCTAAATCTCTCCCACCATACGGTAAGCTTGCCATGCTGACGAGCATTAACCAAGCACTTGCTCATCAACGTAGCGTTTCATAGTCTCGAACTCGGACTTTCCGGTCTGTGCTGAATTAGAGTTGCCGTCTAAGAAAGACAAGTTGTCGTACTCACCGAAAGTAGATATCGTATATGTTGCTGACAAGTGCTTGTTAGCCCGGTGTTTGGGATCCGTCGTACATCATGACTTACTAGGTCTGTAACGTTGCGATGGCGCTCAAACTCATCGCGCGCATAACTATGCAGTTCGTCGCGCGTGGACGACTGAGGGATTTCTTTATACAGTCAGCAAGTTCACGAGCTTCTAGACCTTGTCGAGTAGGCTAACGAACTATGCAAAGCCCGGACAATTTCGCGCCAAAACGCCAGCACTCGTTGCCTCTGAATGAACTAGATCTTGGGTCAGTGGCAGGTCAAAAGGCAGGCAGGGACTAGATTGACTCACGTGGTCTAGGCCAATTGCGGGCTTCCTCAGCTTGGAAGGCTGACCGCGAGACACCGTGGCGAGGAGTCGGATGGAGGGTCTCATCGTGGCTTCTGATGAACAAGCGTAAAGGAAGTATGAACCGAACGGTAGAGGGGGAAATGCTCGGAATCGAAGGCGGTGAGGTATTGCACTCGCCGTATCGTCCTGAAACCTTTCCATACGGTACGACCGAGAACCGCCGCGGAAGACTGGAGGAGCCCAGCACACCGTCACGACGAGGATGGACCGGTTGAGAATGGATTTCCTACATTTTCGGGTCAGAGGGACTCATCTGCGGTCAATTGACACCAATTCAATTCCCCTCCCTGACATCCAGGGACCACCTCGATTGGCTTAACATTTCCCAGCAACTGAATGGCCAATCGGCTATCCTCACGTGACGCGTGCCTGGCCTTTCCCCGAACTTTTTTCTCGGAGGTTTGTTTGGCACTCCCCGTCTCCTCTCGAGTGTCTCGATCAATTCCCGGTGGGTGGACGATAGTCATGCGGTGTCCTTCTCTTGCACGGTTGCAGTACCGTGCGGTCTCTGGCTTGGCCAGATCTCCGGTCCGTCTTCAGTCTCAGAACTTCCTGTCGCAACGCCTGCGATGCGCGTCGACGGCCGCCCTCCGTTCAGCTCCCGCTTATCAGTCGGTCTTGAACAGAACGCTGGAGCAGAGAAGGAATGCCTCTTCGACTGCCGCTGCTGTGTGAGTTGTCTTCTTTTGCATGTCATCTAATAACTCTACCAGTATGTCAGTTCATTGTCAATTCAGATTGCTAATCTACTTCGTGGTAAACCAGTCTGGAGGCTGCTGCCGCCACCCCCGATGCCTTGTCCCAGGAGGCCATCATCGATAACCTTGACCCCGTCGAGGCCGAACGTCTGTCTCGAGTGAGAAACATCGGTATTGCGGTAAGCAACTCTTCGACTTGTTGGCTGAAATTAGCGGTCGTCTGACTTGTGCTGGCATGATAGGCGCACATCGATAGTGGAAAGACCACCTGTACGGAACGAGTCCTTTTCTACACAGGTCGTATCAAGGCCATCCATGAAGTCCGTGGTGGCGACAAGGTTGGTGCCAAAATGGACTCCATGGATCTGGAACGTGAGAAGGGTATTACCATCCAGTCGGCAGCTACATTCTGTGACTGGGTCAAGAAGGACAACGAGGGTAAGGAACAGAAGTACCACTTCAACTTGATCGATACTCCCGGTCACATTGATTTCACCATTGAGGTGGAAAGAGCCCTCCGTGTCTTGGACGGTGCGGTCATGATTCTGTGTGCTGTTTCCGGTGTTCAGTCCCAGACGATCACTGTCGACCGACAGATGAGACGTTACAACGTTCCTCGCATTTCCTTCATCAACAAGATGGATCGTATGGGTGCCAACCCCTTCAGGGCCATCGATCAGATCAACTCCAAGCTCAAGATCCCCGCTGCCGCAGTCCAGGTGCCCATTGGTGCTGAGGACGAATTCGAAGGTGTTGTCGACTTGATCAACATGAAGACGTTGGTGAACGTTGGTCCTAGCGGTGAGGAGATCGTCGAGAAGGCCGAGATCCCCGAGAAGGTAAAGGGTATCGTGGAAGAGAGACGGAAGATGCTTATCGAAACCCTCGCGGATGTTGACGATGAGATCGCCGAGCTCTTCCTCAGTGAGCTCGAGCCGACTCCGGACCAGATGAAAGCTGCTATCCGCCGTGCCACTATCGGTCTGAAGTTCACTCCCGTCTTCATGGGTTCTGCTCTGGCCAACAAGTCGGTGCAGCCCATGCTGGATGGTGTTGTTGACTATCTTCCCAACCCGTCCGAGGTGCAAAACCTGGCCCTCGACAAGAAGCGTGACGAGGCTTCCGTCAAGCTCGTCCCCTACAACTCTCTCCCCCTCGTTGGACTTGCCTTCAAGCTCGAAGAGAGCAACTTCGGTCAACTGACCTACATCCGTGTCTACCAGGGAACCTTGCGCAAGGGTTCCAACGTGTTCAACGCACGAAACGACAAGAAGGTCAAGATTCCCCGTATCGTGCGTATGCACTCCAACGAGATGGAGGAAGTCTCCGAGATCGGCGCTGGTGAAATTTGTGCTGTCTTCGGTGTTGAATGCGCCTCTGGTGACACCTTCACTGACGGCCAGCTCGGTTACACCATGTCGTCCATGTTCGTTCCCGAGCCCGTCATTTCGCTCTCTATCAAGCCCAAGAACAACAAGGACGGTGCCAAGTTCTCCAAGGCCATGGCTCGTTTCCAGCGAGAGGATCCCACCTTCCGTGTCACCTATGACGCCGAGAGTGAACAGACTCTCATCTCGGGAATGGGTGAGCTGCATCTTTCCATCTACATCGAGCGTATGCGTCGTGAGTACGGCGTCGACTGTGAAACCGGTCCTCCTCAGGTCGCGTACCGGGAGACCATCGGCCACCGTGTCGAGTTCGACCACCTGCTCAAGAAGCAGTCGGGAGGTCCTGGTGACTACGCCCGTGTGGTCGGATGGATGGAGCCCTCGGAGAGACTCGAGGAAAACAACTTCGAAGAACAGGTTGTTGGTGGAAGTATCTCCGAGAAGTTCTTGTTCGCTTGCGAGAAGGGTTTCCACCTTTCTTGCGACAAGGGTCCCCTCATCGGCCACAAGGTGCTGGGAACCCGCATGGTCATCAACGATGGTGCTACCCACATGACGGATTCGTCCGAAATGGCCTTCAAGAACGCTACCCAGCAGGCCTTCCGTAAGGCGTTCATGGAGAGTAACCCCTCGGTCCTTGAGCCTATGATGAAGACGGTTGTTACCGCGCCCGCCGAGTTCCAGGGTGACGTGATCTCGCTCCTGAACAAGCGTAACGCCACCATCAACGACTCTGAAGTTGGTGTCGACGAGTTCACCGTGTTTGCCGACTGCAGCTTGAACGGCATGTTCGGCTTCAGTAGTCACCTCCGTGCCTCCACCCAGGGTAAGGGTGAATACTCCATGGAGTTCAGCCACTACGAGAAGGCCCAGCCTCAGCTCCAGTATGTCTAATCCTCTTCTCCCCCTAGGCTTTATGTTCTCGACACATCTAATCAAATTCTCTACTTGCAGGAAGGAACTCATCCAGAAGTACCTCAAGGCCCAGGCCGATCGCCACAAGAAATAAACAACTCGGCCAACATGGCCTTGAATTGGGTCAACCAATCAGACCCTCGGCGTTGTCCATCATGACAGCTACCTCAACTCAACAAAGAGGATGCCCCTTCTAGTTCCTCTCGACGCGGATGGGGCAAGCCTCAAGTTCATGTTTTTTTGAATAGACTCCGCGACCAGGAGAGTGCTTCACTTTTTTTTTCCGGCTTGAAGAGTCCTGTATTATTTAACAGATATAGAAAGACCCTGTGAAGCTTTATGATGACATTTGCTACCGTGGGCTTTCATTTAATCGCGCGGGTGTATGATTTGGAGCGGAGCAAAAGCAGTTTTGATATCTGGGAATAGGTTGCAGAATGTATGTACATATTTGGTCTCGTGTTAATTAGCATCTCCTCTCGTCATCTCTAGATACAGAATATGGATTGATCTTGTTTTTGGATTCTCATCTATGTTACAAGCCTCTTTCCACGCTTCCAGGGAGGTATGGGAAGTAGTATCTCTCGGATGTGATAGAATAGCCTCGATATATTAAGCGCTGAATACTTTCGTAATCTACTCTTCAAATGCTCTGAGCACAGATAGCGCGGCCGCAGAGAAAGTGGCGACACGGTTATGGCCTATATCATGTCAGTGTGTCATACACGCAGTGTGAGCCAAGTTCTTGATGATTGACATACCGCCGTAGGTGACGCGTTCCCAGCGGACCTTTTTGACCGCACCAGACCCCTCCGGAGACCTGTTCTCCCAAACTAGCACTTCGCCTGGACCCTCGGCCGCCTTCTTTTGGAAGACAATCCTTCCGGGGGCATCCTTGGTATCCTGTCCCGTTGCGGCGGCCCAGACGCGACGACCTTCGTACCAAGGAATCTCCACATCGTTCCGGGCGTGCACGATAGCTAGATCCAGTTCCTTGCTAGCGTACCCGGCGGAGGAGTCATTTTGCGCCGTCGGACCAACCCCGGTCAGGCGTGCAACGCGGGCTGCCGTGTCCCAGCGATCGAGAATATGGCGTCGGACCCAGTTCTGGACACGAGGGTAGCCCATGAGTGGCGAGAGCATCGGCGGTGTGAAGCCCTTGAAGCTGTACGATTCGACCAGACTAGGCAGGTTGCTGAAAGACGCCATGAGGATCACGCCGGCGAAAGGCTCGGGGTTCTTCAGGGCAGGTTGAATGGCGGTTGGGTCTGGAGATCCAAAGGCAAAACGTTCCGCGACGGCGGCGCTCACGGCCGTTCCTAGACTCTGGCCCATGATGACTATCCGGGAGGGAGAGATCTTCAAGGGACCAGCGGTGAGGAAGTTGATCAGGGATACACCGTCGGTGATTAGTCCTTCTTCGGTTGGGGAGCCGGTCGACACGCCGAATCCACGATAGTCAAGGGCAAACACATGGATGGGATGAGAAGGCGTCGATAAGCCCAGAAGCATACGGTAGATTTCGGGTCGTTGGGCAGAGGCGAGATGGGCGGCATTGCCATGGACTGACGGGTACAGTAATCAGATTTGCAAGCCCAACAGTCAATATTGAGTATACCTTTCCCCATCTACTTACAGCTAACAACAACCCTTGCATTTGGATCGTTCGCAAGGAGTTTGTATGCGGTAGTTTTCGTATAATCCTCGGCAGGTCCGGAGGGCTCGTTCGCCTCCAGTTCCTCCTCGTGATCCCGACACAAGTGAGGAGGGATCAAATGCCAGCCATAGAGGGTCTCATTGTCCGGAGTGACCAGATTGAAGGGTTGGACTTGGGTTTCTATGTGCTGCAATTAACGGCTGTTATCAGAGTGGGTCTTGGTTGACATACTTAAGAAACCGAAGGACTCGACCAGATTGACGTCCTCCCATAATGTTGGATTGATCTTATTTGCATAGAGGACGCTAAATGCAAGCACCACGTTATAGAATCAGCGAACAAAGTGCATCATTGACTACGTGTCTTCGTGGGTCCATACAAGCGTTGTACATCGGGGTATGTCATGGAGCAGATGAAGCCAACATAAAGCAGACCGGCCCCGGCCAGCGTCCAATAGGCCTTTCTGAAGATCGGGAGGAGCTCGACCATGACCGATTTGAGGGGAATATCAAAAATGATTAGAAAAGAAAAAGAGAATGTAGGAAGGATGAAGGGAGAAAAGGACGAAGATAAGAAAAAGTCCAGTGATGTCAGGCGGAAGGGCCGCCTAACCGTTTTTAATTTTCCCGCGTCTTTCTCGTTTCTTTTCTTTCCTTCTCTTCTTCATCCTTCTTCCCCTCACATCCCCTTTTTCCGCGTCCTCGATCTTTCGCGCCTCCTTTGCGAGCGTCATGATTGACCGTCCTCCTTCCATCGCTCGCTCTTAATCGTTTCTCACCATGGCCGAGAAACGCCGTTTGTCGGCACGCGAACGTCGCGAACCTGCGGCGAAGAGACGGGTCTCCGAAGCCGCGCCTGCATCCCAGTCCTCGAAGAAAAAGGCCTCTATCCCTACGGCAGCTCCCTCGCCCACCCCGGCTCCAGCCCCGGAACCCGAACCCGAAGTGGTTGAAAAACCGCTGCCAACGAAAATCAAAGATGGGGAAGGTCTCCCCACTCTGTCGTCGCCGCAGTCAGAGACCCTATCCAACAAGGAATATCAGTCGATCGCAGAAAGGTAAGAGTTGTCGAAAGATCGGATGGGTGACACCAGGATGTAGGATCTGACAGTGTACCCTTCACCATGTGCAGTGCGGTTCTTCTCGCCTCCCTAGAACGGTCTAAGAAGAAGTGGCTCAGCGATGGAATCTTGGTGCGATACTGGACCAAACCCAAAAAGACGAAGAGGGAGCAAATCGAAGGCAAGAATCCGCCCAAGGAGTCCATGTCGAAAGTTGGACCCTGCAACATCGTGGTTGGCCCTCATTTGTTCGATGCCATGCTCTACACCGTCAAAGACCCTAATGCGCCTCCGCCGATTCAATACACGCCGCCTCAACGACCCATGGTACACTATGGTCATCCGAATAACTTCCAGCAGTACCATCCCTATCCCTCTCCCGCTCCGCCCCAGCATGGACGACAGCACCTTCCTCAAACTCCCACGCATGCACCGTCCCCTCAGCCGGGTCACCAACCAAACAGCCATCCGCCTCCTCCGCCTCCGAATCGAACACCTAACCACCCTACTCCCCGGCCGGCTCCGCCGCCGCCTGGGCCTGGCCCTCAATCAGCACAGAGACCATCCCCGTCCCAACAACCGCAGCCGCCGCAACCTGCGAAGCCTAGTCCGGATCCGGTTATCCAAATGCTTGCCACCCGTGCCGCGTCAGACCCTGATCTCAAGGCGTTGATGAGGGTAGTCGCATCGAGCAAAGCATCACAAGAGCAGCTTCGCGCTTTCCAGGCCCACATCGATGAGTTGAATGCCATCATCCGGGCAAGGGAGCAACAGCAGCAAAGGCAGCAACAGCAACTACAACAGTCAACCCCTGGTCAGTCTCAGGCATCGCCTCGAACGCCGCAACCAACACCACAGCAGCAAGCGCCACAGCCCCAATCATCGCAAAGACCTCCGCAATCAGCGCAGCAGAGTGGACAGCAGGCAGGTCCGCAACCACCGCAAAATCCCCCGCTTCAACAGAAGCAAAGTACGCCGAAGTCGCAGCCGACACCATCCCAAACGCAAGATCAGTCATATCCACGAGTTGAAGTGCAAATCCCTTCGCCTTCTTCATCCAGGGTTACGCCAAGCAAAGTTCCTCCTCAAACGCCTAATGCCCAGAAACCCGGTTCCACTCCGCAAGTGAAGCAAGAACCTGGGACGACAGGACAGCCTCTCAATGTAGAGCCTAGCCCGGCGGTTCGTCCCATGCCACCACCTCAACAAACTCCAGGAGCGGGCCCGCGATCAGGACCGCAGCATCCGTCTCAACAGCATCAGCAGCAACAGCCTCACCAAGGCCATCCACCTGCAATCCAGTCCCGACCCCCGCAATACGGTTCTCCAACTCCTTATTATCGCCCAGCGCCTCCGCCGCCGCCTCCACGGATGAATTTCAAGTCGGTTGTCTTTGAGTTCACTTCACCACTCACGCCGTATGGAAGCAGTACCTCCGGACATGCGGGATCTGGTGATCGATATTTGTTCCCTGAATACACGATCCTCGAATGGCTTCCGGGAGGGAACACGGTGTTAGCATCATTCTTACTTGTGAAGAAGGTTGACCCGAACTTACCATTCCCCATTGAAACTGCACCGGACGCAGGAAACACACGGGCCAAAGGCAAATCGGGGTCCCGGTCCAAGAAGTCTGACAAGAAGAAAGCCAAGGACAAAGAGAAAGAGGAGAAGGAGGAGAAGGAGGAGAAAGAGAAAGAGAAGGATAAGAAGGAAGAAAGCAAGACAGCCGAAGAGAAGGACAAAAGCAACGCTCAACCTGCTAGCACTCCGCAAGATCCGTCTTCGACAGAGTCCAAACAGCCCGCCACTGAAGGAGACAAAACAGCCGGTGAACAGAACCAACAAAAAGACCAAGCAAGCGCTACCCCCAGCAAAGCCGACTCTGGCAAACAACCAGCCAAAGAAAAGTCCGAAGATGCAAAGGATACCTCCATTCTGAAAGAGTACTACCAACCCGTCACCTTCCGCATCCACAGCACCAACCCCAAAGTTCTCGAGCCCCTGAACCGCGTCGTGAAACCGGCCGATGAAGTTCGCAAGTACATGAACGAGGTGATGGATCGCGCTGAGCGCGCTCCCGACGGTTTCCTCGCCTACCGCCTCCCTCGTGAAGAGATCCCCGAGGAGCCCGAAGTAGAGGAGACCAAGAAATCTGGTACTCCAGTTCCTGTTTCCACTGGACGAAAACCATCTCGCGGCAAGGCTGCCGTTGATGAGTCGGATGTTGAGAACAGTGAGTTTGTCGAGGAGCCTGATGAAGAAGAGGAAGAAGAATTGAAGGACTTTTATGGCGCGCCGACGGGCCTTTTACCCATGGCTCCCATGTAATGTTACTGGGGGGATAAATATTCTTATATACATATGCGTACATGAAGCTTTTACTGCTGAGTTTGTTTAGCGTTGTCATTATTCCGGTGTTGGGCTACGGCTGTCACTACGATAATCACTATTTACCTGTCTTCAGAGTTTGACTGCGAAAGAGATGAGATAGGTCAATTAGAGAAGCCTGTAGTGCTTTCTCACACACTTCCTCATGTACCACTCTGTATTGTAGACTCATATCCAAGTACCCTAAAGGATAACAGTACCTACTAGCACCCACAAAAAGCCAAAAGCCAAGAACGCCACAAGATTAAAACCGAAGAACCGAGGAAGGGAGAGTCAAAACACCGAACCAGTCAGTCCATGTCTTTCCAAACCCCAACAAATCAATGTCATACCCCTTAGACACTTCCTCCCTGTCGACCCGTTCCGTCACCGATCAGTCCCGCCGTCTCCAGTAGCCATCGCGCGCTCTCAGCAGCGCTATCGCCCGCCCCGGCCTTGAGATTCAGATTCCGTCTTCGTTCTGCCTCGCGGGCTTCGAACTCCCATTTCGCTTGCTGTAGTTCCACGGCGCTCTGCCCTTGCTCGGATGATGCGGTCGTCGGGTCAGGGACCAGGCCCCAGATCTCGAGATTGTAAATGTCGATGTGGGTTTTGGTTGTGGTGCTGGTCTCTGTGGGAGACAAGGTAGCAGGCGGTAGGAAGACGCCGTTGTGCCCGACCGGGGACACGTAGAAGGTGGCGGTCTCGAGGCTGGTGTCGATGGTTAGGCTACCTGCGCCGTGCGGTGAAGGAGGAAGCGGTTGGGTTCGCGAGGAAGGGGGAATCTGACAGCCTAGGGCGATGCCGGCGGCGGAGGAGAAGTAGGCTGTGGGCATGTTGGGCTTTTGGATGGATGGGGATGGGTTTCCTCGGAGGATGAGGTGTTTGTGGGAAAGCTGGAAGAGGCAAGGCAGGGCTGTTGAGTCGGAGGGCTTGGAGGGGTACGATGAAGGGGATTTCCAGGGTTGAGGGAGGTAGGCGCCTAGTAGCACTGTACTATCCTGCTCCGTTGATCCGATCACGGCACCTTCGAGAAGCATGAGCGTGCCTGATTGCCAGGTGAGTACGTTGTGTGAAAAGGATGTCAGAGAGGAACCGTGTTCTGCCGTTGAAAATACGGGGTGTAGGCGCATGTTTCCGTGGAAGAAATTCTTGTTGGATACGGTAGAAGGCAGAAAGAAAGAGAGATGAGATACGATGCTGGGGTTAATGATCACGGATTTGAAGCTACCAGGGAGCATGACAGATTCCGGGGGTGGCGGCGTTGACTCTGATATCTCCTCGAGTGGCTCAGTCGCAGGAGGATCGTCTGAAGAGCGCTTTTGGGACAGGTTCAGGTTTTTGCTAAACAGTAGATGCTCGAACAATGGCGTCAATGGATCAAATAGGTAAGGGAAACAGTGGGTGATGGTGTTGGCAAAGGTCTTATAGCCAATGCCCCCGGATTCTTCCTGGGCGAAAGCCGATAAGATGTTATCTGCTTCTTTCCGAACGCTCGTCATGCGGCTTTCTGACAGATCAGACGTATACGTTCGCACAGGCTGAAGTGTCTTCAGCGGCGATATCACAAGGAGCATCATCAGGAGCCGCCGGAAGGTTGCAACAGAAATGCGGGCTTCGTAGACAGCCTTGTCAATGCGGGAGTCATGCCTGAAGACCTCAATAGCATCCAAGGATTCGAGAGCCGCGAGCGCGAGATCGTCGTCGTCCTCTTCCTCGTAGCTGTCATTGACCGGTTCATCGATAGAGAATCCTTGCGCATAGGTTTTAACAGAGGGATCGTCATTCTTATTGTCATCCGTGTTCTCCTCAGTTGTCGGCTTATCAAGATCTTTCCGCCCAACATCGGCAAGACTGCCAAATAGCAACCTGATTCTGTCTTTGCGTGCCCGACGCAAGACCTTGCCATATCGCTCTGTCAGTAGCACAACTACTTTGACCATGGCCTCGAATGTCAGAACGCTAGGGGCCAGCGTGTTCTGGAAGGGGAATGCTCCCAGGTACGACACCATGCGGAAGATCACAGGGCCCGCATCCAGCGGACAGTCGGCATCGCTGCTGTCTGGAATACCCAGGAAGTCCGAGAGGATCTTCTCATTCCAGTACTTCATGCCACCCTGGTCTATGGCACGGGTGAAGAAGTTGTCTTTGAAATGGGTTAGTTCCAAAGGGGTGAAGCATTTTGTGGCGAAACGCTCAGCGAGTATATAGCTCAGCTCCTCTGTTTGATTATTAGTATATATGACTAGTCGGATGAGGTTTCTCTTTGAAAGTATTTGATGGCCGAAGGCAGCCTTCCCGTGTACCAAAATGAAGGGATAAAGTACTAACCTGGCGAGGAGGTCTGGCCGTGATTTTCAGTCGATGAACCTACCCCCATTGTGTATACTGGAGCGAATGCAATTAATCGGGCGTGATGATCGTCCGAAATGAGTCAAAAGGCCTAGAATGAACGGCTGAATTGATGCATATATGTCACGACGGATGGCCCCATAAACAGAGTGACCCGGTTGTCATTAGGATGTTTATAAGGATCTATAGGACGAGGATGAGACGAGGAATGATAAAGATACTATCCACAGCGCGAGGTGCTGGTCATACAGTCGAAGAATACATCAAGTCGAGTCAGGCAACCCGCAAGGGGAGAGATGTTGACATGAGACGGTCTGGAAGCGAGGGAGACGAAGACGTCACGGATGCGGAAACATGACAGCCTTGGCGCCTGGGGCAGACCCGGCTATTTTGGGACTTTCGCTCAGGCACCCCAGTTCCTATTATTAATCGTACGTAATCTCTACATTTTATTACGTCTGCGCTCCGAGATCAATTAATGGGGATAATTGTTCATTTCATGACTTCTTAGCCACCTCTGATACGTAATACATACAGTCGAGGTTGACATCGCTAGATACAGTGCTGGGGTGGGAAACTACAGCATAACAATACCAACGCCGCCCATGTTCTTCTCGTCGGGCAGGTTTTTCTCGTTGACACCTCCGGGGACTGGCGCAGTCCTGTAGTTGTATAGGTAGAAGTGCAATTGTCCGTCGCCTGCACCGAACTTGAGCTGTTCGAGGAACAAGGGGTTGTCTTGCAAGGTGAGGGCGTTGAAGACGTCGAAATGCGCCTAAACGACCAAAGTCAGTCTCTGCAAGAACGGTGCTCCTGCACGAAGTACGGTAAAGGGGGATCGATACATACCTTCTTGGCCAAGATAAGGGCGTCGTTCATCAATTGCAAAAGACGCTCCTTCAAAGCCTTCATATCTCCGGTAAACGCGGTCTCCGTAGCATAGTAATAGAGGTAGGCGGCGCGCACATTCTTGTGCTTGGGGTGCTGGATGACCGTAGATTCGAGGTTGTAGAAGGAGAAGAAGTCGGTAATCTTGTGGGTTTCAGGGTCCTCGACCACATATGACCAAACGACTTGTTCCTTCTCCGCATTTTCCCGGTGCACCAACCAGTGCTCAATTTCCTCCTTGGTGTAGGCCTGGTTCATATCAAAGCGCTTCAGGTAGCGCTCAAGCAAATCGTAAACAGCATCGACATCCTTCATCTCCATTGGGCGAAGGCCCTGAGTGGACGTGGTGCTGGGGAGATGGTTCTTGGTGATCTGGCGGGCTTTGGTTGAGCCGTGAGGAAGAGGGGAGAAGCCAACTTCGTACAGCTTCAGCCAGTCCAGAGGGCGGTGGTAGTATCGGCACGAGCTCACCGGAGTCGGCAAGACCACTCCAGCGGTATAGATGGCCTGGTATATTCCGTTCAGGTAGCAGCGACGAGTAATCTCTTTGATCAAAACCGGGGTCAAGCGCTTCGACCGGAGCTTTTTGTGGATGCAAAGGAAATTGATCTCCGTCACCTTGATCTTCTGGTCACGCACGCGAATCTCCGTAGGCACACCGCAGATGGAGGCGACCAGCTTCTTGGACTTGGAGGCGCGAACACCCACATGCCATTCCTTCTTCCAGCCGGGGGACATCAGGGCCCTAGGTCACGCACGTCTATTAGCAGCTGTTCGCGAATAGTTGATCGGTTCCTCCAGGATCCTCACCAGTGCAAGAATGATTGCGAGTATCTAAACCGGAACATGGCATTGTCATCCTCCACATAGTGGTAAGTCAGCAGGTCCCACAGTTCCTGCAGTTCGGTCTCGTTGGTGAGGTCCAGAGTCGCCCATTCGAATCCTTCAATCAATGCGTCCGGCTCCTTGGACACCTTCTCGGGGTCAATGACCTTGATAGGACCGCCGGTTGCGCTACCTGTGTCATCGAAATGCGGCACGGGCTGCGTCTGCCAAAACTTGTACGAAGCGATGTCCTTCTGGTTCTTGCCGGTGACCGAGAGACCCGTCAGCAGCTGAGAAATATCCATTTTGCGCAGAGCCTCCGCCGCCTTGTCCTTATCCAAACCGAGCATCTCATTCTTCAAGGCGGGATTGTTCTCCAGCAGCGTCTCCGCCATCTGAGGGGTAATCTTCGCGAGAGGGCTGGCATCCTTGGACTTCTTGTCGCTCTTGGAGGATTTGTTCTGAGTCGCATCGCCTTCGGGGTTGACGTCTTGGGGCGCCTTGCCCTTGTTGTCCTTGGAGTCCGACATGGTGGAAGTTGGGTGAGGGGGAAGAGGAGGGACAGGACAGAATGGCGTTTGGTGCGGGAAGGAAGTTTGGTTTTCGAGCATCGGCCCCACGTCACTCCGCGACGGTCCCCAACATCAACAAGTACTGTATGTCTACTCAGGATGTCTGTTCATACGGATCACAAGTCGCACTTGGCTACGCAGGAGGTCGATTATACTGGAGTTGAAGATTGGTCTACGCCGTGTGCCTATTCGCAGTAGATTGGACACCGCGACAGCTATTGCCCACAATCGTACCTCGGCAAAAGAGAGGCCCATACAAGAGCATCGCAGGTCGACGTGCAATCAAATGGAATTGTGCATTTCTCAGGAAGAGGTTTTGTTGAAGCCCCAAGACGAACGCCTCGCCATGTATATATATCATTCCACATATTGATCGAACAAGGACTAATCACAGCCTTGCTGGGTATCTTTCAAATGTCGTTGAGAACACCATTAAATGGCAAATTAAGTGTTTCTAAAGAAACGAGCCCGCGTCACAGTCGGCGTTGTTCCAGAAGGAACTGTATGTACCCATTTACTGCTGGCTGGGTTTGGTTTCAATCACGTCGAGGAAGCCTCCGACCAGGTGCAAACTGCCGGTGACAAAGGTCATCACAGGAGCCTCGTCGCTGCCGGCACGATCTTTTTCCTCTGCTGCCAACTGTCGAGTAAAGTCCACAGCTTCTTCGATGGTGCCGTAAACTTTGACCTCCGCTTGAGGATCGATGGCACTCCACTTCTCCGCAAGACTCTTTTGAACCTGCAGGTTGTCCACATCCGACGCATTGGTGTTCATGCTGACAAGGTCGGGTCGGTATCCGGCATCCTTGTAGGTCACATTAGTGCAGAATATGGCGTGCGTAAAAGGTTGCTCAGACCCAAGAGGTCCGACCAGAGTGTCGTACAACGCTTGGGCAAGGGCATTGCTGTCGCGAGTCTGTTGGTTGAAAATCAAAACCCGCAGCTTCTTGCTCGCTGCGTCAGTCGACGAGGAGTTGGCCTGAATCTGGGAAGCAAACCATTGGCCAGCCAGCTTGATACTCTCGAGCGTATGGCCCCCATCGACGTACCAAGAAATGTTCTTCTCGTGCCTGGTTTCGCATCGACCTCCTAGCCGAGCTAATTCTAAGCCCTTACGAATCTTGGCTGGTAAAGGCTTCTGCAGATAATCCTGAGTGACATCCTCGATTCCAACCTTCTTGAGAAACTCTGCAGCTGTTGCAGCAGCCAGCGATGCGTTTGCATACTGAAAGTCACCCGCCAACCCAAGCTTCACGCCGCCATTGCTAGTCAGATCAGGATGGTTCGCCACAATTTCCAGTTGCGTTCCTTTTTCCGCTGCACGATCGAAGAGAACTTTCTCTGCGCTGGGCTGTTGGGGGGTGCTAAAAGTCTTAGTCCCTGGTTTGATAATACCACCTTTATGCCATGCGATCTCCTCTATCGTGTTTCCAAGCATATTCGTGTGGTCAATACCCAAGCTGGTGATTGCAGACGTAGCCGGTCGCTCGATAATGTTGGTACAATCATATTCCCCGCCAATCCCACACTCGATCACCGCAGCATTGACCCCTTCGCTCAGGTACGCATGGAAAGCCATGAGTGTGAGATATCGGAAGTATTGAGGTTTGGTTGGCGAGCTCGTAGGGTCTTCACCGGCAGCTTGGGCGGCCGCCTCGAGGCGGTCCCATACTTCGAAGAAATACCTGGCAAATTTTTCTTCGGAAATCGGCTCGTTATCGATCTGAATGCGTTCTCGGGCGAAGCGCAAATGCGGGGAGGTATATAGGCCGACTTTCTGTAGCTGTGGGGAGTCTGGTCCGGACGATTGCGACCCCGTGTACTGAGAGAGAATGGAAGCAATAAATGCCGACGTAGATCCTTTGCCTTTTGTTCCGGCAACATGGATAGGATTAAGGCGATTTAAATCAGAAGGCTGATATCCGATGCGTCGAAACCATTCGATTGTCTCCGGAAGGGACTGTAGGTTCATAGCCTTCCTCGTCTCCGGCACATTCAGTAGTTTGACGGTCGCAAAGTTGGATTGCAAAGAGTTCAGAGCCGCGATGGCAGCCTTTGAAATGCATATAGTATTAGACGCCTGTTCTAGAGACTCGGGGTGGACTCGTGAAAGTCTGCGCATACCTCATAATTGCGAGACATGGCGGGGTAAGATGAAAAGGACCGAAGGATCTGTCTACCAGGTAAGAATCTAGGAGACATGCGCAAGCCTCTCATCGGGGAGGCGTAAGAGGACTGCGAGTTGTCACCAACGCATGCAAGAGGGATTGGGAATGTTACTCGCTCCCTCCCCCGACGTCGTGTTGGGCCCTCTTATCGGCATCACGTGAGCGATATCGGCGCTACTCGGCTCTACTCCGAATCTACTACTCGCATCAGTTGCGATCCTCCACTCTGGAACTCCTCAGTACTGTATAGTAAACAAACTGCCAGACCAATTAATGGACTCAGATGGACTCAGCATGCAACACAACTTGTATATGATTTCTGTACAAGTGGGAAATGTGATCACATTTAAGCTCGAGGCGAGTATATGAAAAGCGAATAGAAGCGAAGAAGGGCATGAAATATAGATAAACACAGTGAAAAATAAGAAATAAATAAGAACTAAGAAAAAAGCGACTGTGTGTTTCAGAAGAAGAAGAAAAGGATAATAGAATGATAACAAGAAGAATACGCCAGAGCCGTACAATGATTCAAATCCAGCCGGTTGTCGGGAAGAAGGAAGATGAATTGAATCAGTCTGAGCAATACAACAAAAGATTTATTCAATCCTCGTTTTGCCTTCTTCCAGGAAGCCCAAGCGAGCATTGCTGTAACCTCTCTGGTGTCTTCTTGCGGGAAGAAACTGGCCAACGACAGGGTCTGTTCGGGCCTTGAGAAGAGCATCTTGATAACCTTCGGAACCAGCCGTAGGTGTGTTTAATTTTGGCCAGTTGACCTACCATATGGTTAGCTGGGAGCCAGACAATAGAACGGGGGAAGAACACGAAGGAAAATTGAATGAAAAGAAAAAGAACGTACATAAAGCATGCCGTGCACCAGAACGAAGCGCGCACACCAGGCGGACACAACTAGCCATACGATAACGAACAAACGTAAGGGCCATACGGCCGCATCAGGCAGCCGTCTAGTCAACATGGAGATCATGATAAAGAACACGCCGGCAGCCAGGATGTATGGGATGGATTGGATGATGAGCGGTCGCCGATCAACAAAGACCTGCAAGTTTCCAAGTGTCGAATTCGGAGGAAGATACGTTCCTAGGAATACATCGAATCCATCTTGCCGGGGACCGTCCATGAAATTGTTCCGAATGTATCGGGTGATGGAGTTATTCAAGTCCTGTAGCATACCCGCACGCGTGCGCTCACCAGTTCGGGTGAAATCAGTTTTCAACGCCCCAGTTCCAGAATAGGACTTAGAAACAACGTCGGCGTTGTCGGCCCAGATGTTGCGGAATAGATCTTCGAAATCCTTATCGTCATTTGCGGCTTCCCCGGCGCGAAGGATCCCGGCATCAGTCAGTTGCCGCGTTAGAGCCCACCGTCCCAGCATGCTCTGCACCACGTTGGTTCTATCCAAACAGTCCATGCAATTTGTGCGAACGACACTGCTCTGGGAGGATCTGATGTCCAATTGTCCATCCGGGAATACCGGGTCCTCCACGCCACGGAAGTAACCACCGCGCGTCAGTCCATCTAATAGTCGATCCATCAATAGCTCCGCGCGGTGCCATCTGAGGCCCTTGGTTTCGTTGTGGAAGTCGAAGTACACGTAATGCAAACGGTCCAGCTCTTTCTGTCTCTGGTCCGATTCTAGAACATGGACTTTTTCAGCGGACTTTGCGTCAGTCTCGGTGTTCTCTGTCGTTGAAGATACCAACGTGCGCACTAGTTGCTCATAAGCCGATTTGACACGCTCTTCTCTCCCTTTTTGGTTGACGAGATTGACCAGGTAGTTCTCCCCGTATAGTCGAATCTGATCGGTGAAATGCTTTCTGGCCGCATCGATAGCCGTTTCCACGCCACGAACCTGGAGCTTAGGAGTGTACTTGAGATTGTTGACTTCGGCCCAATACACCGGTACACTACCTCTGGTTTGAACAAACGCCATTACCTGGAGGTCGTGGCCCGACACACCGGGTTTCTCTTTCATCGACTGCCCCCCGGCGAAACCAGCCAGACCTCCGGCGGTGTCGTTCAAGATCACAATCTGTTCAGTCTCGTTGTAGTTTGATACATTGCCGTTCTCGTCTATGCCGCGAGAGAAATATCTCGTGCCGGCCCGATGACGGGACCTTCTCGTGATGAGCGCAAAGGTGAACGAAGTTGATTTAATTTTCGCAGGTGTAATTCGCAGCATTCCGTACATCACAGGCAAAATATACGGATCGACTCCGGGCTGAGGACCATAGCGCAGGCTAGTGTTATCCTGTCCTCCTACACTGAAGTCGATCAAATCGGACTGAATGAAGCGATTCCAGAAGAAGCGGTCATCGGCTCGCTTCCACATCGGAAGACGGGCATCGCTTTGCGACTGGCGCTGGAAACTATTTGTAAGATCCAATGCATACGAGAAGTACATTGGTCCGGTCCGCAGCAGTTCCTTGAGAAGAGCGAGATAGGTGTCTTCGTCATAATCATGCAGAGGACGTTCACGAAGGGGCAAGAACTCGGTGCCGGCAACTTTGTAGACCATGTGGCCGCGTAATCGGCCCATCGGCTGGGCCTTGGTGATCACGATGATATATTTATCTATCATGTTCAGCATTGAACAGCGCCCCGTGGATGCGTGACATTCTTACCTAGCTTCAATTTAATCATACCCAAGATTCCGGCAATACTCGAGATGCGTTTCGCACCCGAGAGAGGGCCATCGTGGAGACGCAGATCACCGGTTGGTCGGTCAACGACCAGAGCAGGAGCATTAGGAGATGAGGGTGAAGTAAAAGCGTAATGAGCGGCAGAGGCATGGAGATTGATATCCCGGAATGGGAGAATTGAGGTTGCCATGGTCGACGATATACCCACTGTCCTGGGGATCTGCTAGATCGGACGGGGAAAGGGACGAGTAAATAAACCGAGCTAACACGGGAAAAGGAATGGTGACGAAGAAGAAACCGGAGAAGAGAAGAGACGAGAAAAGAGTGTGGAGAGAAATAAGATCAACGCATACTGCGAAGAGAAAAGGAGGAAGGAAAGACAGAGAAGAGAGGAGAGATCAGCAGTTGAATTGGGGGAGGAGAACAAGAGAGCGCAGCAGCCTAGGAGTAGGAGTTGCCAGCAATCAATCAGCATGTGGAAGGAGTGGACGCGCCACACACCGCCCCGCAAGAGTAGGCAAGGTGTGGCTGACTGTCCCCCTTCGTCATGCTCTCTCTCTCTTACTGCCCCGACAGGCCGCCGTCAAACCATCTTCCCCCCAACCTCAGCGCTTTCGCCTTCTCCCCTTCCCGTCCGCTCTCCGATAACATCTTATCGCCCTTGGTTCTCTTCAACGCCCCTGAATATTCATTATTCTCTCTACCTGAAGTTGCACTCGTGACTGTACCGACTATGGCATCCAGAGCCCCAGCAGGCGCCCGACCGGGTGCGAGATTCGCCCAGTTCAAACTGGTCTTGCTCGGTGAGCTAGCTTATCCTATCATAGCTCCGCTGTATCCTGCATGCTACATGTACTAACCTTTCGTTTCCGAATGTGATAGGAGAGTCGGCCGTTGGAAAGGTTGGGGTTCTACACGCTACGTGATCTCTTGTTCTAATACCGGTCGCTAACGGAGGTGTCCAACTACAGAGTTCGCTAGTACTACGATTCGTGAAGGTAAGACTGGATTGCTCGTGCACTCGTCAAACCCAAAAGGACTAGGCTTGGCCCTTGGTGATATACATTAACTTGCACCTCATAGGATCAATTCGATGATTACCGAGAGTCGACGATCGGCGCTGCCTTCCTAACTCAGACTATCTCCTTGGACGAAAGCACGACGGTCAAGTTCGAAATATGGGATACCGCCGGTCAGGAGAGATACAAGTCGCTGGCCCCTATGTATTACCGGAATGCGAACTGCGCAGTTGTCGTTTATGACATTACACAAGCTGTATGCGACTCCGCTCCCTCGTCCCCTCGAATCCAACGTGAGGCTCTCGTGGAATGCTAATATAATGAACCGGGAATAGTCGTCGTTGGATAAAGCCAAGTCGTGGGTGAAGGAACTACAGCGCCAAGCAAACGAGAACATCGTTATTGCTCTCGCCGGTAACAAGCTCGATTTGGTCACTGAGAATCCCGACAAGAGAGCCATCCCAACTGCAGACGCCGAGGCTTACGCTCGGGAAGCCGGACTGCTCTTTTTTGAAACTTCGGCCAAGACGTCGTCGAATGTGCGGGATCTGTTCACAGCCATCGCAAAGAAACTGCCCCTTGATCAAGCCGGACCCCGGAACTTGCGGACAACCCCCCGTCCCGGCGTGGACTTGCGGCCCGAGGCACCCGGTACCCAGGGCGCCGGTGCTTGCAATTGCTAGATCCTCTAACTTTAGGCCGATTCTTGCGACAACCTGTATCTTCTCTTGCCATTCTAATTTATGCTCTCGTTCCACTTCGTCTCTTCGATGCAGAAGGTGCATTTCTTCAACCAGACTGCTGCTTGTTTTTTAATGGTGTTGTTATGGTCGTGAATTAGGCCTCCTGGATTCGAAGTTCCTTCGCTTGCTTACGAGGTATCCAATCCTCGTTACCCTAGGACTCAACTGCTGATTTTCGGATTACATTACCCGCACAATATCCGTTGCTCACGAAAACCTCCGAAAGATCTGTTCATTGATTCCTCCATGTCGGGTGTGGGAATTCGGATGCCCTGCAGTGGCCTAATTGGATCTGGTTATCTAGACGTCATGCAGCAGGAAGATCCCTGCAACATGGTCATTATCTTTGCTTTGCTCTTATCTGTTTCTTTTTCCTTTTTTATTAACCGGCGTCTGTATCCATCTTTCTGTTGGGCTGAATTCATGTTACATTTCTCTTGCTTTTTCCTGTCTAGTATTCCGGAGGCTTCTCCCCGTATGCTATGCCTATATAATTTTTTCTTGAACTCCTGGCCCTCAGAAAGTTGTTCCGCTCGCATCTGAGCGTAGGTAGATAAGCTTCATGTAGTTCAAATGATGCTTGCGATCAGCCTTGCATAGGGTTGAGGCGTTCGGAGGCGGTGCGCGGACACCCGAAACTGAGCCACAGTCGGGCGGTGCAGGATCGGAGCGGATCGTTAAAGCATCTATCCCAACTCCGGTCCGCGTTTTCCCTCGCCAACATCAACCCCCCCAGGATACACCCGCCTTCAGCGCTTATTTCCACAGTAGTGCGGCCCGTCATGCTGCGCTCCTCTGCTGCACAAGGACGGCAGTTGCTGCTGTCTTCGACTCGTCAACGGACAGCTTCCCAATGGCTGAGCAAAGCCGGGGCCACTAGCCGGCTCTCCGGTCAGGTATGGTGACGATGCTTGGGATTCTCCTCCTTTATCATGTGCCGGTCTAATCGCTTCTCTCATCCCTCAGAGATCCTTTGCCGACTCTAAGACCCCGACTACTGGTGCGCCGACACCTGCCTCTCCGTCGTCCGATTCGATCGTTCCCCCCGAAACCGTCCCCAAGGCGTCCCCCAGCGAGCAAGGTTCGACAATGCTTGCCAATGAAACCCACACAGGTTCTCGATGCTAAATCAGTCATAGGTTCGCAGAGCGCTTCGTCGCCAGCACCGGCTGCGGCCCCGAAAACAGGTCGCTTCCGCCGGTTCCTGCTCTACTTGATTCTCACTTCGGGCTTTGCCTACGGTGGAAGTATCTTCCTTGCGCTGAAATCCGACAACTTCCACGATTTCTTCACGGAGTACGTCCCCTACGGTGAGGAGGCTGTCCTCTACTTCGAAGAGCGTGACTTTTACCGTCGATTCCCCAACACCCTCGGAACCCAGAAGCGCGGTGGCTCCAAGGATGAAGGCCCCAAGATCACAATCCCGAGCAAGAGCGGTCTCTCTTCGAAGGTTGCTGAGGAGGAGGAATCCGGAACCGATGTTTCCCAGAGAGGTCCTCACATGAGTGCTGTACGCAAGAGTGAGGAGGCGCAGGTCAAGACCGAGGCTGCCAAGCCTGAGGAGAAGACGGCCGCCGTGGAAACGGCGAAGAGCAACAAGGCTGCCAAGGAAGCACCCAAGCTTGAGGAACCCAGGCAGCCTGCTGTTCCTGCTGTGGCGCCCCTTGAGTTCGCCAAGGTGAACGAGGGCGACGAGGCAATCGTCCAGGAGCTGGTTAAAACTTTCAACGACATCATCACTGTTATAGGTGCCGATGACAACGCGGGCAAGTACACTACATCCATCCAGAAGGCCAAGGATGAGCTCCAGAAGGTTGGAGACAAGATCATCGCTGTTCGGGAGGAGGCACGCCGCGCCGCCCAAGACGAGATCGCGCAGGCCCATTCGACTTTCGATGAGTCTGCTCGTGAGCTCATCCGTCAGTTTAACGAAGCACGCTCTGTTGATGCGGCTCAGTTCCGGGAAGAATTCGAGGCTGAGCGCGAGAAGCTGGCCAACGCCTACCAGGACAAGATCAACACCGAACTGCAGAGAGCGCAAGAGTTGGCCGAACAGCGCCTTCAGAATGAGCTGGTTGAGCAGGCCATTGAACTCAACCGCAAGTACCTTCATCAGGTGAAGGACCTCGTTGAGCGCGAGCGCGAGGGCCGTCTCAGCAAGCTCAACGAACTTACTGCCAACGTCAGCGACCTGGAGAAGCTTACCTCCGGCTGGAGGGATGTCATTGATACCAACCTTAAGACTCAGCAGCTCCAGGTCGCCGTCGATGCTGTCCGCTCTGTCCTCGAGCGCTCTACCGTTCCTCGGCCTTTCATCCGTGAGCTTGTTGCCGTGAAGGAGCTGGCCGTTGATGACGCCGTTGTCGATGCTGCTATTGCCTCCATCAACCCCGCTGCCTACCAGCGCGGCATCCCGGCCACGCCTCAAATCATCGAGCGTTTCCGTCGCGTCGCTGACGAGGTTCGCAAGGCTAGCCTTCTGCCCGAGGATGCGGGTATTGCCAGCCACGCCGCCAGCTTTGTCCTGAGCAAGGTCATGTTCAAGAAGGATGTGGTCGCGGGTAGTGATGATGTTGAGAGTATCCTCGTTCGGACCGAGAACCTTCTGGAGGAGGGTAAGCTCGACGCTGCTGCCCGTGAGATGAACAGTCTGACCGGATGGGCCAAGATCTTGAGTAAGGACTGGCTCATCGAAGTGCGCCGTGTCTTGGAGGTCAAGCAGGCTCTTGAGGTACGTTCTTACCATTAACATTTTATAAAGCGATGGCTAACTGGTATCTTTCTGTCTACAGGTCATCGAAACTGAGGCGCGCCTTCAGTGCCTCCGAGTTGAATAGATCGATAAAATCCAGCGTTTCCTCTATTTTCTGTTAAATTCGTTGGCCTTCCTTCCCCGGGCCTTGTATCTCTAGTTGTTATCCTGCCTCGCTAGACTCTATGCCAGAATATTTCCTTGTGTTGTGACGCAATCGTTGTAGCAAGAACTGCGCTGTTCTCCGAGTAAACGTAACTAGTGTTTGTTCAGTTTGCATCTGCACGTGCATTCCCGGCATCTGCTGCCTATTCGGAGTTGTCGACCGTACCACCTCAACCCTCCTGGCTGCTACTCTCGACAATGACGAGTTCAGGTCCGTCTTTCGCCCTTTCTCTTTCCATGTGTCTTGTTCGGACTGTATGACCGTTTCGCGCCGCCTTGGTTGCTAGTCCTCATGAATATTGTTGCTATCGAGCGTTGCCCCTTTCCTATCGGACGGGACGGAAGATCAGATGTCGCAGGAAACCGATGAAACACACACGGCGCCTTTTCCTCGGTCTAGCACATCTGGAAATCAAATTCGATTCGCTACACGGCAATCCATACGCCATTCCGAGTCGAATGACGGATCCGATAGACGACAAGGCCTACAGATGAATGAGGGACGCGAGAGCGGGGAGTTGGAGGGCAGCACGCTCACGAGCAGCTCTCGTGACGCGGACAAAGGCAGTCGCGCTCAACGACGTGTGCAGAGCTCCAGCGGTTTTCTCCTCGATTCATCGTTCTTGCCGAAATCCAAAAGCCTCCGAAATAGCTACCACCTCCCGCGTCGTTCAGAGCCGGACCGCAAAGAGAAGCGCGGCGTCCTCGATAACGACACCGTTAAGTCGAAGAAACGATCGCGCTTTCCCTGGAATCGCCAAAAGGATGCATCGAATGAGTCGCCGCCCAAATCGACAGAGGGAGAAGCGGTTCAGGAGACACATACACCCCATGTGCAGCAGGGAGTGAGGCTGCAGGAATCACAACCCACAACAACCGACCATCGATCTTCTATGGGCTTGGATCGGGATTCGTTACAGATCGTCAATCTGGCCTTGAACTTGAGTGAATCAAGGAAAACCAATTCTCTTGGTCGGTCGACCTCAAATCGTCTTTCCAGTGGTCGATGGGCCCCGGCAATTGGCCAACCCCCGGCTTCTCATACTGAGAGCCACCCTCCAGTTGCCGTTGGTGGCGTGGTCCATGAGAACCTTCACCCACGTCGCAATCTCACTCAGTCTTCCAACGAGGATCGCACGCAAGCTATTGGATCATGGCATGCCAGTTCCACGGCCGATGCGGCACCCTCTGTGTTGAGTCTTTTACCTCAATCTGCAGAATCTAATACCTTGCCGCCTGTGTTTTCAGAAAGCACACTTGCCCGAGCCGAACACGCTAGGCAGCACTTCGAGCTATTCACCGAATATCTACGCCTCCTTCCGTCCCTCCCACCTCTGCGGTCTAATGATGGCAATGCCCCAGCTGAATCCAAGCCTGTCAACGACGACACTTCGAACGCCGGGCGGTCTTATAATCCTTTACAGTCGATCCGTAACCGGAAAGTCAGATTTCGAGAGCGGTGTCCGATCGACCCGGACGGAGATGGGTGGAATGACATTGATAACGTTCGAGGTTGGGTAGACTCGGTTGAAACCAAATACGGTCGTCGTCAAGATCACAGCCCTTCACAGTGCCTTAGGCTACCCCCACTTCCTCACCGTGCTCCAGATGTATCTCAGAAAGAGTCCAATGAAGAAGAAGTCTGGGCTGGCTCTCCTCCTTCAAGCTTGAGGCGAGCTAGCCGTACTAGTAGCATCAAGGCCCGCAGACCAAGATTCGACTGGATCCTATCGCCATCGGAGTTGCTTGCCGATGCAGCATGGGTTGAACACGTCCCCAATAAGAGCAAAATTGTCGATAGGGAAGGAAACAGTCTTTACCCGGATCCCGCCATGCTGGTCGATCATGATGCTAGGAGCGTCCCAACCTTCGAAGAGCCGCCTCCGCCTACAAGGGATTCTCTAGATGCTGAAGGATATACTTCACGTACCTCGATGTCTGATGCGCATACTGGGTTGGCGACTGAATTCAAAAGAATTGGTCGTGGGAGACGACGGCATAGATTCCGAAGTCCTTCGCCTATTCTGTCAAGCCACAGTGTCTCGAAGAAGGGGTCATCGATCTCCAGGAGACACAAACTAGGAATGGCATCGAGTAGCTCCTCGAGTGTATCATCGCTAGATGAGATACCGTCATGGTCTGCGCGCATGGACGATGTACTGCGTTCCGGGCGATCCATTTCTCCAACAACCGGCGTGTCGAAACTGCGAGGGTCGGAGGCATCCCATGGAGAAAGACCAGCAGATTCTACGGTCATCCCTGCGCAAAGCTCTGCTGGCAGAGCTAAGGTCGAGGAGAAGAGCGGTTCCATATCCTCCGCGCCTAGCCGAGAGGATCGGTACGGCCCTCTACCATCGTTTGCAACGATAGATCCCAAGGCACCCAGTACGCCTCTTCATATGGGTTATTTTCCCAGCATTGCTTCGAACTTATCCCCTCCTTCCAGTCGCTCACCCTCGCCTTCCAAGGGACGGCTTGCACGGACCATTACTTCTCGTAATGACCAGGGCAAGCACAATGATACAAAACCGAAAGATGTCGCTGACGAAAGCTCTGTTGGCCCTGAAACTTTGCGTAACAATAGTGCTTCAAAGGCTTCTGATGCCTTACTTCCCCCTGGAAGAACCGAGTCGAGTCCTCTTCTGGACCGCGTTTCTCCTATTCATCATGGTGACCACGGAAGACCCGGCTTACATGCTCGGAAGGGGTCAATGCAACATGAATCGAAATTGCGTGGTATTCTGAAAGGACCCGGAAAGATTGCAGAAAAAGTCAGCAATGAGGTGTCGAAAATGGGAGGCCTTATATTGAAGAAAGACAACACTGAGCACTCTCGGCAATCGTCTCTCGCGACCAATGCTACTACAGACGAAGGTGATGTGTCCGATGACATGGAACAATCCAAGAAAATCAAAGATGCTCGTTTTGAGGAAACGACAAGAAACAACAGCACCAGCACGGGGATTCTCCCACAGCAAATCTCCGTGTCGTCAGATGAAGGAAATCATTCTGCGCATAAGGTATCGGACAATGCAGCTACAGAGATACCTGTACCGTCACCAGCAGCTGTTGTCTCTTCTCAAGGCGACTTGGAAGAGGAGCGTATTGCTCCCGAACAAGGAGCCCTATCTAAGGATGATCTACACGCACATTCCCACGACTTGAAACAGTCACAAGGAACTATCAAAAGTCTCTCGACTCCCCTAATCAACAAACTCAATACCAATGTCCCTGGAGGACGGCCTGAGAAGGCTCTTAGTTTTGGACCGGAACTACACACTGTCAGGGAACAGATTAAAAAAGGCAGAATTAAGGACCCGTCGGTTCCTTTCAGCATGACGCATCCTCCTATCACCGGTCTTGCGCAAGCAAAGGTCTCTCCTGCTTCGTCGTCCCAGGAGAGACGGCCCACCGCTACGAACCAGTCCCGGAGCTGGAGCATTTCTGACCGAAGTATATCCACCAGTATTGATACTGGAATTCCTAGCAAACGAGAAATCGAGCGCACGCGTGCTCTCTTGCTTTCCTCCGGGATCAAAGCGCGGGAAATTAGTCGGCGGGCTGAAAGTGTACGGAGTCCACCTGATTTCCTTCGTCACGCCTTTGGACCCAACAGCTCCATTCCACCGATTCCTCGATATCACGAGTATGAGCTGGCTGTACAGACCTTAGTCCGGAGAGTTGAAACATCGCACGATCGCTTCCAGCAGTCCATTAAACATTATCCCGGCCATGACTCGTCGTCCTTGAAGGCTCGTCTCAACGAGCTTGAGGATATGGTCAACAATTCACTGAACCCGCGTGTCCGAGCTGCGGCGGAAGATGCCGAGAATCTCAGTGTCCAACTCAACACGACCAGTACTCTCGCGGTCAAGCAATTGAATGACACGCTTGACAAGGGTATCAGAAAACGCCACCGGCGGCTGCGTTGGATTCGCCGTGCCGGATTCGGGATGCTCGAATGGGCGCTCGTGGGAATCTTATGGTGGGTCTGGTTGATTGTCATGGCCTTCAAAATCTTCCGCGGCATTCTTCGCGGCGTGTTTTCAGGGATTCGGTGGGTTTTGTGGCTATGAGAGGCTCAACATGGCTTCTGGGAATGCCTTCCTTCACACTCAGCATGACCTTTTCGTTTTATATACCCTTTTTTTCTAAGTTGTCATGTTTCAATCTCCCGCTCTTGTTCAGTTCTGCGGTCGTCCATTTCTCTTATCTAATTTTCATTTCTGACACCATGTTTTACTACCCAACATCTCTTTTTACAACTCAATTGTACATAATTCTAATTTGTGTCTCATTGTGATACTTCCTTGCTTCGATGGATTAGAAGCTGTCACATGCTGGTCAACAAAGCATCCTTCGCCCTTTCAATGCCCCATTCCAAAGCTTGGTGCCTGTAATGTCCGTGACGCAATCTGTCAATCGGGCGATTCCTGGACAATCGAACAAGACCAGCGATATTATTCAAGCCAGCGACCGGAGTTTACTGACAAAGCTCAACAAAAGAGATCTAGTTGGTTTCTGAATAATTAGGCAAAGAAGGTAAGGTCTCAGGATATGTCTCAACACTGTCATTGTGGCTCTGCTAATACAAGGAGTAGGGCCGGTACACTACGGTTATTCAACGGGAGTATGCGAGGAAGTTCGGTCATATACTGATCTTTTCTTTGTGCCCATTGTTTCTCCACCATACCTTTGTGACGGCGGTCTTCTACTTCACTACGCCATCTCAGAGCTATAAAGACCCTCGAAGATGGCCACTCTTCTCCTTCTCATATTGTTGCCGTCTTCATCATCCACTTATATTTACAAACCACACAGAGTTATATCTCGAGATCTCTGAACAGTTGGTGTCAGCCGCAAATTTTACACATACACACCTTTAACCACGATGTTACACAAGCGACAGGCTAGAAGTCAGTCCCTGGACACAGTATGTTCCCTCAAGCGGTCCAACGCCATGCACCGCCCTCATGGATCGCTAACTGGCCCAATCAAGCCAGACGACAGCCTTCCAAGCCCGACCATCGACGAAGAAGTCTACGAAGATCCCGACACCATCACGACGAGCCCCTTCTCCTTCTCACCCAGCGACAGCCCCACGGACTACGAGTTCGACGAACACAGCGAAGAGTCCCTAGCCGAATGCATATGCCCGCCCGGCCGCATGAACTGGGACGCCGTCGTCAACCTCCCGCTCTATCTCCAGGTCTGGGCCGCGAAGGGCCTGACGGCCTGCGAGATCGGCCAGAGCCTGCATCGGTACATGTACGGGCAGGACGCGACGCTGTCAAACCTGGTCACGACCATGGTTGACGCCGGGAAGCCGTATTTCGAGATCGGCAACGCGGTGTTGCGGAACCTGGATCTGCGCACCGACGACGACCTCCCACTCTGGTTGGAGATCGCGGACGGGGACCGGTCGCTGACGGCGATGCCGGAGCTGTGGAGGCTGCCGCCGGATCAGCTGGCGGCGTTTGCGGATTCCGTTGCTGGGTTTTCGGTCGAGAATACGGCGAGTGATTCCAGCGGTCCCGAGCTCTTGACGTGTCCGCAGCCCAAGCGGGTTCAGATTGTCGAGCCGGCGGTGCTGATTCAGTCCCGGCGGGCGAGTATCTGCGAGGCCTCTGACGGGGAGTAAGGGGGAGGATTATATGCACTTTCGGGTGTTTGCGTGGTTGGTTTCTTAGCGTGTTAGTGCGATATCAACTGATGGTATACTCATTCCTCCCCCTCGCTGGTTGTGTTGTATCTTTCTGTTGTGTTGGGATGATGGGAGGTGGGGCGCTTTGTTGATTTTAGGGTTATCACTCGCATTTTAGCTCTGTCATATATATACTCCGTGTGCTTCCTTTGTTCCTGTTGGGAGTAGGTAGAGATGAATTCATGTCATGTCGTTCAACATTTTATCCATTATTATTGTTCGTGTAGAGTGCCTGTGGTTGTCCAGGAGGCCACATAAATATATATAGATTGGATAGATATACTCCGTACACAGTATATACCTTTCCGAGAAATCAATTGCATTCTGTAGGAATACCGCGATGATAACTATCAGTAAGCTTGTTGACCAAGTTAAGAATAGGCTACTCACAGGCTTGATTCCATGTATTGTAGTTGGATAGTTCAACACGGACCGTCGTCATACTCCGGAGTAGACTCAGAGTTCAGACTGCAGGCACCTGAGGCAATTAAGGTACTCACGTGACGAGCCCACATGGAGGGGCGACCCGGCTCTGATTGGCCACACTGCTCTCCCCACCGTCCGCTTCCCGGTTTTTGGTTCTGCCGGCAGATCGAGGCGGTGGAGAAAGTCCACCAATCATTGTGCAGTGAATGTCAGGCTGGCCGGTGACCTCATCCTGTCCCGATCAGGAAATTCTTCAAAACGGTTGACAAGACTGAGTCACGCTGACAACCGACTGATTGGTAGATCATATTGCGCCTGAGCAATCGATCGATCACCTGCAGTCATGTCCCTGTCAGGCAGTGATTTCCCGCAGCAGCAGCTGAAGGAGAAATCCAGGATGCCGGGGGCCTAGACTGACCGGACATGTATGCCTGAAAATCTGGGCGAGGCATCCATCAGGCATGAACCTGCCTTGAATCGCAGGCTTCCACCCGGGAAGTGCCTGGTGGCAGAACTCCACACGGGAGCCAGACTTTCCCTTCCGCCTTCCCGCCCACTCTCGCCTTTCACCTCCCCATCCGCTCTTCTCTCCTCCTCTCTCTTCCTTCTCCATCTGCCATATCGCACGTTCGAGGTGAGTCATTTTTTTGTGCCATTCATGCAGCTATCCTTGCGTCGTTCCAATTCTTGTCCTCGGTTCAGCTTCACCTGTATCACTCCTTTTCCCCTTCCCCCCTCTTTCTTTGTTTCCCCCCCCGGTTTCTGCCTAATGGGTGTGCCCTTTGCCCTAAACTCGTTTCGCCGTCGTTAAAAAATCTCTGCACGCACCTCTCAGCAAACAGGCGGCGGCCACCACCCCAACCACCCCCCTAATTCGTTTTAAATCTCTCATACTGTCGTTGTCAATTTGGCTTTCTTACCTGTCTCTTCAATCCTCGCTGACCGCGTCTCCCGTCCCTGTTAGATCTCAATTTTCGGGCGAATTTGGTGATTTGCCCAATTTTATTCCCGCTCGTTCCAGAGTTGTCGGGCCTTTGGAAATCTCCAGTTCCAAAGGCTTTTCTCCAAGTTCACCACGGCTCCCGTAGCCTCTAACTGTTCGTTCCGTCAAATTGTCTCGCCTCGACGTTCCCGCAACACTCTTAACAACATTCCACCTCCTGCTGGTCTTGCCTCCCGTGTGTTCGTCCGGTGCGCCATTTCTTAACCGCCTGACGCCCTCTCAATTTATTCCCTCGCCCCCTGAGCTGCCGCATAGGACTTCTCTGAAGGTTCTTCCTCTTAAAGAGGAAGGGTCTAGGAGGCTTGGTCCAGTCAACTTCGGTTGCGAAAGTTTTCGTCCTCCTTAACACGCAGTCGCGTATAAAACTTTTCTTTCTTTCTTTTTCTCTTTTTTTCTCTTAAAAAAGACCAATCCCGTGTGCTTCGTCGCAGCGCACATGGTTATGGCACCGACTGCGTGTTCACCCGCTGAATCAGTATGCATGATTAAACCTGCATACGACAAACCCGACTACCTGAATCTCCCGGTTAGTCAAGTCAGCAATCATGGAGGGGACGACCTCTCGCAATCTAGGCTGGCTGCCAAGGAGCTTGTCTTGGACGTGCTGAAGAAGCGCGCCGCGGAAGTTGATGTGGACCGCTGCGGTCCTGGTGAGGAGGATGCGTTCTATGTGGCAGACATGGGCGAGGTCTACCGGCAGCATCTTCGATGGAAGATGAACTTGGGTCGCGTCAAGCCATTCTACGGTAAGTTCTACGACACATGATCTTGTGTGCGCTTTTTGTGTCGCGCCACCTCTGCTTGCTTTCATGTACTAATTCGACATGCGCAGCGGTCAAGTGCAACCCCGACCCGGAGATCCTTCGTCTCATGGCTCAGCTTGGAAACGGCTTCGACTGCGCGTCCAAGTCCGAAATCGATCTGGCCCTTCAGACGGGCATCGATCCCAGCCGTATCATTTACGCGCAGCCCTGCAAGACCAAGTCCTACTTGCGCTACGCCGCCCAGAAGGGCGTCAAGCAGATGACCTTTGACAATGCCGACGAGCTGTACAAGATCAAGGCCTGCTTTCCCGACGCTGAACTGTACCTCCGGATCCTCACCGATGACTCTACTAGTCTCTGCCGCTTGAGCATGAAGTTTGGCGCGTCGCTCGATGTGGCACGTCAGCTTCTGGAGCTCGCCCATGAGCTGGAGCTCAAGGTCGTCGGCGTGAGTTTCCACGTCGGCTCGGGCGCCGAGGACCCGGCTGCGTTCTTCAAGGCCGTTCAGGATGCTCGACTGGTCTTCGACCAGGCTACCGAGGTGGGCCACGAGCTGCACACCCTGGACGTGGGTGGGGGATTTACTCAGGAAACATTCGAGAAGTTCGCCGGGGTGTTGGGCGACGCTCTCGACTTGTATTTCCCGCCCAACATCCGCATCATCGCCGAGCCCGGTCGCTACTACGTCGCTAGTGCGTTCAGTCTGGCCGCCAATGTCATCGCTCGTCGCGATGTGCGTGACCCGGAAGACCCGGCCAACGACGCTTTCATGATCTATCTCAACGACGGCGTGTACGGCAACTTCTCCAACATCATCTTCGACCACCAGCACCCGGTGGCCCAGATCTTGACCTGCGCGTCTGGCTCGGCCGCGAGCTCGCCGTCTGCTTCTCCGAACTCTGCGACTTCGGAGGGCATTGCCTATTCTATCTGGGGACCGACCTGCGATGGCATCGATGTCATCACCCAGCGCATCGAGCTGCCCGGTCTCCTGGATGTGGGCGATTGGCTGTACTTCGAGGACATGGGCGCCTACACCAAATGCAGCGCGACCCGCTTCAACGGCTTCTCTGACAACCACGAGGTGATCTACATCTCGAGCGAAGCCGGCGCCTCTGCTCTTCTCGAGTATTAACAATTTCTTTCGTTCTTTGTTACATTCTTTACATTCGTTTTTTGTCCTGCCTTTGTGTTTGGAATAGCCTGCCGATGGATTTCTGTGGTCATCTTGTAACGCGCGCCTACTGTGGCATATTCTGCTATCATTCCGATAGATTAGACCTTTCGGGCTCGAATTGGTCCCCCAACTATCTTTCCCTTCACGAAAATCATCTTTGCGACGTAATCATTGGAGTAACTTGCGTAATGATATCGTCCCAATATTTGGTCTAGACCCACATACTGGGTCGGCAATTGCCATGTTCTTTTAGTCTTCTATCGAGGTATCTTTCGTCTAGTATGTACAATTCACGTTTCCCATCCGACGTGACCATTTTTCATCTTCCCCGGTCTGGCGGAACGCCCGCGCCACATGCTTCTATAAGTATCCATCTATAGTCTATACCAGTCGCTCCACCACCAACTCCGCACCTTCACTCGCCTCGCCCACCTGCACCAGACCCCCCGCATCCAGCTTCTTCTTCCATTTCGCCGACTCACTCCGCGCCAGAATGAGCGTCATCCGCGCCACCACGGCGGGATCGGCGCCCTCCGCAACGGTCGCAGATGGCGTGAACGTCCATCGACCAAAGGCCCAGTTGAGAATGTAGTGTGCCGTCGCTCCGGCCTGCTCGCTGGCCGGCTTCCTTTCCTCCAGGTTGTCCGACGACTCGGCCGGCGGAGCTTGTGTCGAGCAGCGCAGGATGCCTTTGATCCGGTAGACCTCGTCGCGCGGTGCAGATGACAGCAGCTTCTCCAGCGCGGCGACATCGACCGTTTGGTCGGGCTGCGTCGTCTTCAAGGAGACGGAGAGCACCTCCACCTCGGACTGGTGATCATGATTATGGTCATGGGCATGATCATGGTCATGATGGGCCATGCCCGCATCGCCCCCCTCCTTACTAAACAACGCGCCATCAATCCCCAACAGCACATCCTTATCGACCCTCCCCTTCTCCGACTTCACCCACGGCGTCTCGACCTCCAAATCGCCCAACCGGTCCAAACACACCTCATACCGCATCTCCGACACATTCTCCCACTTATTCAAAATAATCAGATCCGTGTACCGCGCCTGCAGTTTCGCCGTATACGACGTATCCTCATAGCCCTGCCAATTCTCGACATCAATCACACTGATCACCCCATCCAGCACCAGACTGCCCGGCTGCTCGCGCGCCAACCGATTCACCTCCATCGCCAACGTCGCGGGGAACGCGCTCCCACTGGTCTCGATGACGATGCGGTCCGGCTGGACCTCCGTGCGCAGCTGGTCCAGCGCATCGCTGAGCTGACCCACCAGGTTGCAGCAGATGCAGCCGTTGAGGAGCTCGCGGACCCCGGAGATCGATTGCGTCGAGGCGAGCTGCGAGTCGATGGCGACGTCGCCGAATTCGTTCTTTAGGAGCGCGAGTCGGTAGGTGGGGGGGAGTTGCGGGATCAGGTTGAGTAGGAGGGTCGTTTTGCCGGAGCCTAGGAAGCCGGTGACGATGGTTATGGGGATGGGGGGCATTTTCTATTTTGATTTTTTTTTGTTCTTTTTCCCGGGGTTTGGTTTATGGTCGTATATAAGGAAGGAATGATGAAGAAGAGAATGCGGATTGAATGATGAAGGAAGACTGGACTGGACGATGAAAAACGGCGGGGCGGCGGGTCAGTCGCGCTATTCCGCTTTGGGAGTTGCCCTACTTTTTGTTGGTCATCCAAGTCCTCCTTGATCTGTTTGAATGCAGACAATTCGATTCGCATGCAATTAGAACTGTACCTTACTCGAAAGTAGCTGCACATAAAGGGTTGATGCGCTTCTCATACTTTGTGGCTCCTAGATGGTAACTGAATAGCATTTCAGAAGATAACATAGGAAAAATGCCGACGCTCGTCTTGTTGATCACATATCTTGATTTGAAGTATAGCCTGATAATACAATAAACAGGGCATAGAGTGACATTTAAGTATTGATCTAACAAGTCTTTGCAAGCCGGCATTTAGCAAATTCATACATGGTATATTCAACTGCTGGGGATGAACTCATGGTACTCAAGATAGTGATTCAACAAGCAAGACATATGAAGACAGATATGATACCCAAACAGATGAAATAAGTGAACGAATGAGAAGAAAAGCCAACATAAAAGAAAAAAAAAGAGTAGAAAGCTCATAGACACAGAGGAAAGAAAAAAGATCGAGAAATACAAAAAAGAATTAAGAAAGAAAGGGAAAAAAGGAACAAATTGCAATAGACAATCCATCCGGCCAGGAGGCCGACAAGCCTCCAATCAATCTCATATCCTAGCCTGCCAATCCTCGTATTTTCTTTCAAGTTTCTCTGTGTCTTTCCGAAAGTTTCGGGCCCGATTCTTGAAGTTACAGACCTGCTTCTCATGGCATCTGACGGCTTCCAGCCTCATCTGCGCCTGGGGATATTTTTGGCCAAACCCTGAACGGGCTTGCGCAGCCCTAACCCAAGCACATTAGTACTCCTGCGTGTTTTCCTCATTTTTTTTTGAAAAGCAGATATAGAGAGATGTCTGCTTGCCTATTAGACTTCTCTCGTAGAACTGTAGCTGCTCTCATTCCGGCCAGAATGACCTCGCCTTGTGGTGGAAGGAAACCTGTCGTTTTTGAAATCTACAGCCAGAGTTTGCTTGACCAGCCGTTCGTTGGCCCGGTCCGGGGTACCAGACAGGGCCTTGTAGTATGCCCATTCTTTTCGCATACGCCTTGTGAAATTTTCCGGGCGCCTTTCGTAGGGCTCGGTGATCTCTCTTCGTTGGATGGGGAAACTGATTGAATGTGAGCGGCTGATGGTACCTCTAGTTCTTTCCAGAGGTCCGATGGCTTCATCCTGAAGAGGCGCCTTTTCGAAGTGAGCCCCGTGATACGTTGGTCTTGGGCGTAGTAAAGGGTGTGTCGTTTGCGGTGTTCTAATGTCGAACAAGGACTGGCTAGCCCTTCGCTTGAGCGCGATCTTGGTTGGGTTCTGAATGGATCAACGGCCGAATCAAAGATTCTTGGGTCGCGACCCTGGAGGGCCGGGACACTCATTATGTTGGTTAGAAAAGGTTGGAAAGAGCTAGAAAAGTGTTCAATCGCTACTTTGGATAGGCAAATACAGTGCGATTGTAGAGACTGCGCCGTTGGATGAGTTTGATATAGAATCAAATGATCTAATGGGGCTTTCTAAAGATGCCATCCTGGGTGGGAGACCTGGCATATATCTAGCAAATCCGTGAACAGGAATGAAAGAACCCTTTGCGCCCTTTGTCTTTCCAAGCAGGTATTCAGGGGGACAAAGGGATTTTGCGATGAACTTACTCCCCATTGTCGGGGAAAACCCGTGAGTTTCACTTCCGTTGTGAGTGTCTTAAATTTTGCATTGTTGTGTCTAGGGAGATAGCGTCTCTGGAAGCTTCATCATAAACCCTATCCAAAATGGGGCCAGAGTACTAAATCAGATCAGCTGAGTACATCTCGCTGTGCAGGATCATTAAACAAACAGGGCACCTGAGAGGCCCCCAGACTCGAGGCAAATGGCTTGCAAAATGTTCATAGCTACAGACGAGTAGAAGATGAGTGACTCGACAAAGAGGATATCGCGCTTTGGAATACTGCACTCAATGCTTTGGGAGACAAGGGCGAGGAAGAGGAATGCTCCATGGAACTGTGCGCAGTACTCTGAAGGTGGTTTTCCGGCCACTATAAATTGTAAGCCCTTCCTCCACCTCTATAGTTGATCATCAAGCAATCGATCCGATACAATCAATTCGGTCATTCCGATTGCTTACAACTTTGTACGATAATCATTACTACAGCTCTACAAAGAGGCAATTTTGTAAGTTCTTGAGGGCCGACTCACTAGTGGATTAACAATACTCGATCTCGCTCTCAGAACTACCCTTCTTCTTTGTTCTCACAACAGCAAGATGATCAGCACAAATGGTGAGATGCACATCCCTTCTTGCAATGAGGACAAGCAGCTAACACTGGATTCCCAGGCAAAACAATCACTCGAAGAGCTTCCGAACGAAGTACTCCTCAGCATCCTGTTCCAGATTTCCGATAAAAAGTCACTCCGGTCCCTGGTCCTTGCATCCCCAGCATGCCATGCAGTCTATCTCACGGTGCGAAGGAAGGTGCTCTACTGCATCCTGAAAAGACAATACAGCCAATTCCTCCCCGACCTGTCGGAAGCGATTGCAGTCATCCGATCTAAAGGTCTATACATGGAGGCGGACGGAGAAAAAGCGATTGCCTTCTTGGACAGCTGGCGTCGTCGAGACGAGATCCGGGAACTCAACTTGACACCAACCACCCAACTGTACGAGCCCAGCAGTCTAGAAGAGATCATCGAGCTATTTCGTTTCTATCATGAAATGGATTTCTTTGTAGATGACTACTCGAAGAATGTGCCTCGTCCGACGTGGATGAACGCCAACAAGTGGCACAATGAAGTCCTCCCCCTAACCCTGTCTGCGACGGAAAAGTTGCGAATTTTCAAAGCCTTGTGTCGACTTCAGCTTGATGCTCATATCTTTGGAAGGGTTGAGGAGTCGCCATTTGGCGAGGTCAGGAGATTCAGTAAGGACTTGTTCAGTAATGACTTGGATCTTTTCTTTCAAGAGGATGCATGGCGTTTGTTCTTCGGGACCATGGCTCCTTGGGAGTGGCAAGAAATGGGATGTGTTTGGGAGTACCTGGGAACCAAGCTCAATCCCGTCTACGAGGAAATATACAACAGCCTGAAGGACTGTGGCTGCGACTATTTCAGGGATCTTCCAAAGGATCAGCGACTACCAGGGCGTGTGCTCAAGACTCTCACGGATCTGACGAGACTCCGCTTTCATACCGAAACGTTCCTTTCTCTCGGCCCCAGGTTTATCTACAAGGTTGTTCATGGTCCCTTTATGGACCGGCGCAATTGGATCGCGGCCAATGCAGGAGTACATGTGGTGACACCAATCTTCGACTGGTGGAAGCCTTGGGATAGAAGGCCAGAATTTCTATACCCTGCCGACAAGTACGACCTGCATAATATTGGAGCGTGCGTATCTGGACTCCCATCCACCGAGCAACCCAACTACGGCTGGATAACGAGAGTGGTGAAAAGTCTTGATACGACTAGCGAAGACACGTTCTGGCGGACTATGGAAGATAGCCCGTGGCCACGTGAGCAATGGAGGTGGGGATATGCCATCTGGGACAGTGTGAAGCTGAAGGAATGGAAAGCGCATTTGATGAAGTTTTGATGAAGTAAAGAGGAGAAAGAATCCCTGAACCGGTTCGTGACCCTCTTCTCTTGCCCTGGCAGTAGTGGTTCCGTTCTTTGTTTCTATCTTTACGTTCTTGTTCTTTTCTTGCTATTTCTGCTTTTTCTTTGTTTGTTCAAACCCACCCTTGGGGAACTCCTATGACACACATATTCTACACACCTACGGATTGAAACTGAGTGATTTACAAATGCTTCTTCTGAGACACTAAACCTACATAATTTAATTTATAGCACCCGAAAGAGGGCCCCATAGCTGTCGCCAACGTCTCCCCTGTATCTCCCCTTAGAAGCCCCAACGGGAGAAGCATGGCCTCCAACACTCCAGCATGTCAAGCACACAACCTTTCTTTGTTGTGGGCTGGGCCAGTCTCTAAGGGACTTAAGCCACCCTCCTGTCTTACCATGCACAGATTCTTCTCATCTGTGTGGGGCTGCCCAAAACGGAGCTGAGAGGCTTGTATTCCTAGGACCATTCATCTCCCCTCTGGTATTGGCGGAGATGCACCGTTGCATGCGGGTAGAGCTGTTCCAAACTAAGACATGCATATCCCCTGTCTATTCTTCTGTCGTCTTTGCGTTTTTCTTGCCTTCACAGACTTTTGATCGGATTCTGATGTTGCTGGTTCTTCGAGCAGTGTAGAAGAGCTTTGAGCACTCACAATCTTGCTCTGCTTCTAGGTCCCTGTTGCTGGGCTCGTTCCTGGATGGTTTGTTATCCTGACGTCTTCTGTCCAAGGATATGTAAAACTGAAATCACTTGGTCAAGACAACGGGGTATAGTAGTCTCCGCACCGGCGCCCTCTCGGTTTCTTATTTATTCATTTCTTCGTACCTGGTTAACAACCTAGCCTAATGTGTAAGTAGGCGCGCTACACGCAACGAGCTTGCGTGTTATCTGAAACCGACTAGGTGTCTTTAGTTAGACGAAGTACAAAGAAGCGAGGACAGAGTTTGGCTCTACACCTGCCTAAAAGCTCAGTATCAATGCGCATTGCCGTTCCAGCCACGGTAGGCTCGAAGCCATGGATGAACTAGAGCTTCAGTCTAGCACCTTTCGAAAGCAATGGAGATTCAGTACGTATCATTCGGAGAGTTGCTACTTGATGAGAACATCGGCAGTCTGAACCCTGCCTTTGGGATTCATCAGTAGATTTCTGTAGGCAGGAGAGAATGAACCTGTCGTCACTAGATAGTCTAACAGCTGCTCCTATTCAAATGACATCTACAATGCCCATCGGTTGAAAAAGTCCATGATCAACGGCGTCGCGTCCAGATATGTCCCATCCGGATTGTCACTGTTTGGCCCCGTACTGGGCCAGTAGTGGCCCAATCCTCCAATGCGATAATGCGTCACGGTGCCAAAGGCATCGCCACTCGCGTATTCGTACCGTTGCACTTGGCCATCGTACAAATTGGTGGTCTTGTTGTGCAGCCCGAATCCATCGCGCTTGGACCATTCGCGCACAAAATGAGGCACGGAAGGGAGACACTCCCCTCGTCGGGGCCCTCCAGCGTACGGGATGGTTTCATTCTCACTGCCGTGGAACTCGATGATTGGGATAGGAGACCGGCCGGGGTTGCACTTGATTGGAACAGTGATCGGATCACAGTCCTCTTCGGAGACTTCCTGGTAGTAGGCGCCTGCGACTGGTGCGAAGGCGGCAATCCGAGTGGAGGCGGTGCTGTCGCATGCTAACAGATGAGTGAATCCGCCACCGTTCGACTTGCCCGCGGCGTAGACGCGCGACGAGTCAATGCAATACCGGTCCTCAAAGTGGTCGAGCATTTCGAGTGTAAACGCGACGTCATCCACTCCGTCGGAGGCCGGATCGCCCTGCCATTGTTCCTGCGGGTTGTGGGTTAGAATGCGACGAGAACTCCTTCCCGACAGTCGAGGTATCTACATACGTCCAGTCCTTGGGGATACACCGCGATGCCATTGGGGTTCCACTCCTCGTTGCTGAACTGCGACAGGCCCTCTTGGTTGGCCGAGTTTCCACTCCTGCCATGGAACGAAAAGATCAACGGAACCGGGGTATCCGTGTCGTAGTTGGAGGGAATATGGATCAGATAGGTGCGCTCGGTACCATCAGATGTCGTGAAGTGTGTCTGATGGCTATCTCCTCCAGCACTCTGGTGAGTGGGCAACGGTTTCCCACAGCCATTCGAGCGTGCGGCACTAGCAAAGCCGGTGATGCCGGAAATGGCAATAGCAGCAGAAAGGCCTTTCATTTCTGTTTCAGTGAATGCTGGAGTTGCTGCCCAAGGATCCTTTCTCTGCCCTCCCTTCGTTCTCATTCAAGGGATAGCGAGGATCAGAGTAGCGGCTTATATGCAAATGAGCCAAAGTGCCCCCATCTTTTTAGGCCCCCAGATTTCTGGGCCATTGGATTACAAGGAACTGGGATGATCCTTGGAAGAGCTTCACGATGCGACACCAGAAGGAAAAGATCCGCGCATCAGCCTTCTGTTTTGGGGAATTGGTAGGCCTGAGGATCTGCGATCACCTGACGGGGCCGTATCTCCGGGTTCCAGACTTGTCTGAAGATTTGTCCAACTACGCAAACTCCCTACAACTCAGTTCCACTTGGCCGGCCAAGATCTGCATCTCGCCCCGGTAAGCACTTGCTCGCTTTATGTGGGGGAAGGAAAATTGGACGCTTGCACTAGGACGATGCAGCCCCTTCTCTATTTCATGTTTACTTACTATGATAATGGACAGTTGCATCGCACGTTCGACCAATCTCCTTCAGGCCAGCTTTACGCCCGGTCTTTGAACCGGCATGGCGAACCCGGTTTATCATGGTGGTTTGAATTAGCATCGTCATTTATATCATCTTGGCAGAGCAGGGCCTTGAAAAACACACCCTCAAGCAAGCATACGAGGGGATATCCGACCTTGTATAGCCGGGCAAATATCAGGGCAGTGCCTCTCAAACTATGTCAGAGGTACCTATCTGAGATCATCGAACGCCATCTAAAAATGAAATTCAGAAACCGTTGACCTGAGGATCTGCCTACTGTTGCTGCAATTTAGGTTTGCTTCGAACAGGATGCACTCCCGGATTGCCTGCATTCATTGTTAAGTTTACGATTCGAACCATGGAAAGGGCCTACGCAAGCGAACGCAGACACCGAAAAATGACTATAAAATGAACATTCCAGTCATGGGTTACACTTCAAATCACCTTGTCTATCACTATTCGATTGGTCTTAATAGCGCCACCAGTGCGAAGCAATGCGATGTTCAATAATATTCCTTTTGCGCCCGCTGATCCCTTGCTGGATCTCAAGAAGGCTGTAGATAGCGACAGCAGCCCTCATAAGGTCAATCTGGGTATAGGCATCTACCAAAACGATGAAGGACAGATTCATGAACCCTACTGTATCAAGATGGTCAGAGCCGAGCTTGCTAGATGTCGTGGCTGGGCAATCATTCTAACAATCCATTCTAGGCAAAGGAAAAACTTGCCCTCGAGAACCCGGATCACGATGTACGATTATCGATCGAATGGCACATAAGAGAAAACGACTAAATATTTCTTAGTATACCGCCTCAACTGGCATCGATGAGTATCTGGTGCACGCCGCCGAGCTTGTCTTTGGACCCAATACTGAGCCATTAGCATCGCAACGAGTAAACAGCCTGTTGAATAGTCTCACGATCTAGTACCACTGACATGCTCTCTTTTAGGTCGCGTCTGTACAAACTATTGCGGGCACAGGTGCAATTCATCTTGGTGCACTGTTCTTGAGGAAAGTCGCCACCGCACCGGGTCAGAAAGTATACGTGGGAACACCCACGTGGGGAAACCATGAACCTTTATTCAAGTTGGTGGCGATACATCTCGAGAAGTACAATTATTACGACAGCAAAGAGCGCGGGGTGGATCTTAAAAGCTGTTTAGCAGCCATCCGGGCGGCCCCTGAAAACAGCGTCTTTATCTTCCAAGTCTGCTGCCACAACCCTACAGGGGCGGACTTTTCGCCTCCGCATTGACAGCTCATTGCCGACGAGATGAAGAAGCGAAATCATGTCCCAATGTTCGATTTTGCGTACCAGGGCCTTGGTGGCGGAGAGAACGACGATGCGTATCCAATTCGGCTATTTGCAGCACAGGGATTTGAGATGCTCGTGTGTCAGTCATTCTCTAAGAACTTTGGTCTGTATTCCGAGCGCGTCGGAGCCTTGCACGTTGTCACCAAGAGCCGAAAAGCAGCCCAGTGCACCTTCAGCCAGCTTCGACGATTAATCCGTGCGGAGTTTTCCTCGTCACCGGCGTATGGAGCGCGCCTGGTAAATACCATACTAAAGGACCAGATGCTACGACAAGCGTGGTATGGTTGTGTCCTTGTGCAGTTAAGCCCCGGACAGAGATGACTGACAACCCAACCGCAGGGTCGCGGAGCTTGATCAGATGAGGTCAAGGTTGCAACACAACCGTCTACGCCTTTACGAGTCATTCCAAGTTTTGGAGGTGAGAGGGTGGAAGCCCTATACGTGGATGCAACAACTAATTATTTCATAGACACCGGGAGATTGGAGTCATATTCTTCACGAGAAGGGGCTTTTTAGGTACTCACTTCCTACCTCAATTTACCCTTATAGGCACTGACGGCGAGTAGCTACTTACGTTTGACGCCGCAGCAATGCCGCGAGCTTACGGTGCATTTTAATATCTACCTCGTTCCTGACGGCCGCATCAACATTGCTGGCCTGAACGATTCTTGTATCAGGAGGGTTGCACGCTGCATTGACCTAATTGTTCGCGATGGTCTCAATGATATACCGGAGGAGTCAATGCAGCCATTCGAAAGTCGGATATAGCATGAATGCAGACAATTCCTTTGTCTGTACATTAAACAATGAGGCCCCGGAAGCCATTCAATAGGGATTGCAGACATCTGGACAAAACCCCCCCGATTCAGTTCAATGCACAAAGAAGCCCCGGATGAACCCTTCAATTCTATACACGTACCGGTTCATAAGTTCCACTTACTGGCAGATACCTGCCAAATCCACCGAATGTTCTTACATAATGAATACAAATAGTGATCTTTAGGACATGTATATATCCCATCGCCCCAGCACCGCCAACACACATGCGCGGTCTCAACTTCGACCATTAACCCACCGTCAAGATGTGCCTGCTATCGAACCTATTCACCCAATTCCAGAACGCTAGATTCCCCCCCACCGAACTAGGCCACATGCACTTCCCCTGCACCGGGCACTTTGGCGACTACCGCCCCGAGAAATACCGAGCCGCACTGACTGACCTCGCGCAGGGCAACTACACCCTGTGTCGACCGGGTCATGTCCCCGCGAGTCTGGACGGATGGGGATGCATGATTCGCGTCAACGTTCGTACCGATAAGCATCTGCGGGTGCAGCTTGAAGAGGTGAAGTGCAAGGCTCGTGATCATTTGGAGTATCTGTTGCAGCATGCGCTCGACTATCAACGGAGAATGAGCGTTGTTTTTGCAGAGGAGCCGGTTGATGGGAATATTGTAATCACCTCTCCGGTGCTGGCTGGTCCGAGGTGTCTGAGAGAATGTTGAGGTGGGGGGTTTTTTTTTTTGGAAGACGTAGTAGTGACTGCAGGTTCTTGTTCTGTGTCGCTTCGTCATCGTCTACATCGTTATATTTTGGTCCGTGGTTGTGGTTATATGTATGATGCTATATAGTATTTCGACATAATATTTAGATTGGCTCTTCAAGGCCGGCCGAGACGGCCAGATGCGGACTAATTTGTTTGAATGAAATTGTTTCATTACTGCTGATGCTTGCTTTAAATATTGCAATTGTAAGATCTCTAATGTAAAAGTCGCAGCTGTGTTCGCAGATACTCGTGGCCTTTTGCAGTGTCAACTGTTTACAGTGATATAGGTAGCACGAGAATCTGGATAATACCGTATCCGACAGAAAGTCAAGAAATACAGAAGGATTTATTCCTATCCCTATTCATATAAGTACAATTTGTTGCTCTTCCAAACCTGTCTCCAATAGCCTATACTCCACCAGCCTAATGATGACTATCAAAAATCGCCGCCAGCTCCTCAAACGCCTCCCGTCGCTTGGCAACAATCTCATGGAATCTCTCGGCGTTCCCAATGCTGCCCACAACCACCTGGTCCTTGCCATCCAGCAGACCGGCAAAGGCCTCGTTGATGAACTGGTCCAACGGCATGCCCACATTGCGTCCAACCTCAGGAGTCATGTAATCGTGCAATTCGGCTATGATAGATCAGCTTAGTGGTCCTGTTTGGGCTTAATAGGGAGGGCTTACTCTGAACAGCAGGCGGCGACAGTTCAATCACCTTTACATTCGTCTTCTTCAGCTGGTGGCGCAAAGACAGCACGAATGCACTCAACGCGGCTTTCGAGGCAGAGTAGGCCGGCATAGGAGCAGCAGGAATGACGGCCAGGTTCGTGCCAGTACTATGATTCACCCCTTGGTTAGCAAGGATATTTCCTCCCTTTCCTTCATCCTCTCTCATCCTCGCTGTAACTGAGAACTCACAATATAAATCCCCCATTCCCCTTCTCCGCCTTCCTCTTCAAAAACGGCAAAAACGCCTGCGTCAAGGCCACCACATTCGTAAAGTTCACCTGCACCTCATACTGAAAGTCCTCGAGATCGAACCCCTCAGGTGTCGACAGATCGTACTGTCGCTGGCGACCCGCGTTCAGGAATACGCAGTCGATGTTTGGGAACCGCGTCGTCACGTCCGCGACGAACCTGGGGATCTGCTCCGTCTGGCTAACGTCGAAGGCTACGGCGCTGGCCTTCTCCGGGCCGTGCTTCTGCACAAAGGCGTCTAGACGGTCCTGGCGGCGTCCGACGGCTGTGACTTCGGCGCCGTGCGCGATCAGTCGGTCGGCCATTGCGGCGCCAATGCCGGAGGTGGCGCCGATGAGGAGGAAGTGCTGGTAGGGGAAGGACATGGTGCTTGAGGTTTTGATTAGTGTAGTCGAAATAGTATGTAGTACTAAGTAGGTTTTGTGGTATTGGGTTGGATGGATGAGGTTTATGACTGGAGTGGTGGTTGAAGTGGATGAGAAAGATGATGGGCCATGGCGAAGAACTTGGCTACTCATGAAGATGTGTGAACCGTGGTTCTGATTCCAAAACCGGCAGACTGGCGGACATAACAGTGTACCGTGAGTAGATGATGGCGAGGCGATCCATGGACGTAATCGGGCGGAGTTAATGCTCGGCTTCTGGAACATGAGCGCTGCGACCGGAGACCGACTCGGCTTAGATTCCACTCCAGTTCATTGAGTCCGGATGGACTTGATCCTCGTAAAACCGAAGTAGGAATTCCGATGGTCTTTGATAAGGTCTTGATCATGTATCAATTCGCGTTGGTTTGGTTAGCATGCGGGGTTAGTGGCGATAGAAAGTCCAGGAATCGTCCGAGACGATGTCATCAAGAAGCCGGTCCTATTCCAACAACTCCCCACTGGCCAATATCTCAGCTTGATCCGTTAAGAAATCAAGCGTAGCACCCGTCTCCTTTCCACGCGCTAGCATATATTTTGAACGCCCTGTCGAATACTCGACACTCCCGACTCCCGGGCCTATCACAATGCACCAGGCAAGTAGATACCCTGCCACATGCCACGCTACTTCCTCTGACACGGTCGGAAACACGGTGGCCGAGTAATCCTGGGTGTCTTCACATCGCTCCTTGAACAGGGTTGAGTAAGTATCAACCCAGGCATCATAGAGGTTCAGCACGGAGGAAGGGTGCTCGGAAAGAACCTCGTCGACGTCAACATGGCTGTCTTCGCCGGATTTGATGTCTTCCACCTGTCGCCAGACGAAATCCGTCCCGTAGTCGGCAAAAATGCGGTAGTGTCGAAGAGGTACTGTTTGGGAGGGTGATAGAAGTTCATGGGTTTTCATCTCAACCGATTTTATATCTGAGGGAGTCGCGCTGAACTCGGGTCTCTGGCCTGACATATAGATGATTTCTAGGACGAAGTCGAACGTAGTTTCGATGACAGTCGACCCATCGGCGTCTGCAGGCGGCTTTTCTGCGAGTGTGCGCCATGCATCGCCTAGATTCCTGACGGTTTTGATATACTGCTGTGATTGAGACTGACTGCAAAATACTGCCAGAGGTTTGAGGATGCCAGATGCCATAATTCCTTAGTGTCTGTGGTGCGTGGCGCAAGACATGGGGAGTCCTTCACGGACTAAGTGGGAGTTCTCCGAAACCTGATGGTCGTACTCTGTATTGGATTTTATGTTGGTGGAGCTTATCTGGCTCTTTTTTGTGGTGGTTAAGAGTGGAATTGATGGTCTTGACTGTTGAGCTTGAGTCATTCCCATCGCTGGAAGTTGAGTCAGGCTAAGCCTTGTAGTACTAGTGTCTTAGCAGGGATGTCGAAATGAAAAGATGAGGGCTAGAGAATTTAATTAAAGAAAATGTACCTACCAGGCGGGTCCCGCCGTTGAGGAGGCATCCACTGGCATCAGCCCATCAGCCCTACGGCTTTGCGGGTGTTGTAAGGCTGAAGGCTTCGGGATGTTATCGTCCTCTGTAGGGCTGCGGATTGCCCGTCACGGGCGCGATAAGGCTCCCAGGCTCCCAGGCTCCCAGGTTGGTCTCATCGCGACGCGCGGCCATCGCACAAAGACCAAAAAGATCTCGGAATTGTTGGCCAACAAAAACCCGATTGCCACCGTTGGTCTTGCCTGCTGCCTTACGTGAAGACGCACATCCTCATCTCCTGGTGGGACATGGCGCCCCACTCCCTGCTTTGTACTGTACCATGATATCATCAGGCCGATTTGATGTCATCGCCCGTCTTCATCAATAAATATTTATCGCATTCATGTTGACGACAGCTTCAGGAGACGACTAGGGCGCCCGAATTTGTCAGACACGATCAAAACAGTAATTATACGCCATCAAACTCGCCATGGACGCAACGCCCGAGCATCCTCCAGAGCAGAGATCCGATGCCTCCCAACCGGAGTCAACGTCCGCATCAAGCGCCGTGTCAAATATCGGCGGCAGCATCGGTGAAATCGCCGGGTCGTCAATCGGCGAGGTGAAGAATAAGCTCAATGCAGTTTACACCTCCGATTCCGTGCAGAATGTCTGGGAGCAGGTCCGATCGGTTGCGACGGGCGGAAAGGCCGACAATACTACCGACCAAGGTGCGTTTGCGTCCGTCGAATCCCCCGGTCCTTTTGGTCTGGGACTGACAATGGTGCCAATATCTAGACCCGCAGGACCTGCCCGATGCCGAGGAGATTGAACGAATCGATAATCTGGAGAAGGAAAGGATCGTGGAGTTCCTTCAAGACCGAAATAAAAGTCTTCGCAGGCGAAGTGCTAAAAGTCGATAACTCACTTTCTTACGTGAATACTTAATACTATCCGGTAGTCATGGCTGGCTCATGTTATACATTCTTGTTGATCGATGATAGAACCACTTGGTTGATTTGCTCACCAATCATCCGCGGCTGCGATATATATCTTCTACTACATTACTCTACACTGTTCTTCTTACAACAGCGACCTAAACCCCTTGTCTGTCTGTCGGCTCAAGTCTAAGAAATCAGCCACCTGCCCCAGGTGATCGATCCCCCAGAATCCCTCAGTCTGGCCCTTAGCGTTGGTGCATTCAAACCAGGGGAGGCCGAACGCCCCCGACTTGAACGCTTCATCAGTCTTTGACGTCAAAAGTGATTTGACCTCCGTTTGGTTCACCTGTCTCCACCTATTAGCATCAATAAACCATATCTGAGTAGGTCAGGACTCGTACAGCTTGCAAAATCTCCTGTGTATCGGCTTGCCCAAGCACTTTCTCCAACACCGGCCCGAATCCCTCCGGCTGTCCAATCTTTGAGACCCCATCTAACCAAAAGGCGCGATACAGCGCCTCAATGGCTGGAGCGAGCTGGTCTGGACGCTTCTCGGAAATCGCACAGAGCGCCCGCTGCGTGGTCAGGGTAAACACCGGAAAGCCCTCGGGCAGACGCTCCGACATGGGAACAGAGAATGCGCGAGCCCAACGAAGTCGTTGTTGGTTAATCCATATGTCCTTGTCTAGAATGACACCCAGCCATGTCAGCCCCAAAGTCATCTTGCTGTTCAAACCTTGTCTTACTCTTGATCTTGACCGGTGGCGTGTTGCCACAGGCGCTCATCAATCCGCCCAGGAAGATGGGGACATAGGTGATATTGCATCGAGCGAAAACGGGAGAATGCTTTGATCATGTTTAGATTTGTACGGAGTAGATGGACGTCTTATCGATCCTGGGGTCCCCAACAATGAATTACGTACTCTCAGCACATGGAATGCAATGTAGGAGAACGGACTGACAATGTCCAGATACAACGTGATGCTAGGGGTAGTCATGGTGTCTGATGATGTTAGAATTCAGTCGTAGTGATGAAGAATGCCGATGGTTGAGTTGATGGGCCACTGGGTTCAACCGTTGTGCCCGGGGATGAGTCAGCAGATGTATCTCCAAGGTTCGGCAGTTTCCCCTGGATCGATCTACTTTCTCCTCCTTCAACTTCCTCAGAGGGATTCTTTGCAAGGAAATTCCAGCGTCTGGCATATTCTGAGTGACTGATGCCTTGGTTATGCCGGTAGGGGAAAATGCGCCTTCTTCAAAGGCTCTGTTGGCCCGTCTCTCCACGAAGAAGGAGCTACCCGCGTCTCTATATCGGTTCAGAATGGTTACGGTGATGCCTTTCCATTCCTCCACTCACTCCTCACTGCTTAGCACTTAGAACAGCATCATAAATTCTGCATATCTTGCTCTCTAGGATCAGAAACAAACAGCAATCACCCCATAACAGGTCGCATACAATACCCGAACACGCATAATGATGTCTTCTTTATGGACAGATGCACTGAGCAACGAAATCCCGGATCTCACTGACGCAGGCATCGAAGCATTTTTCAGTTGCTCATCGACCTCGGACGTATCTTCACCAACTCACGTACCCGTCATGAATAGCTCGTCAGTTGGAAGCTCCCAGGACTCCGTGACCGAAAGACGCCGCCATGCTATCTACTTTCACAGGCCGCCTGTTTGGTGGTCCAACACAGACCCGGGCTCCCACCTAACAGCGCCTGGAGACTGTGAAATGTGCATGTTGAGTGAACAGGGCATATGCAGTCACTGTGAGTCTAGACTATCGTACAGTCCTTTTGATAGGAAATCTGGCTCGTTCTCTTCGACTATCGATCAAGAACACGAACTATGCTGGGAAGTGCAAGCCGCGAATGCAGACCTCCTAGCAAGTTTCGACTCGTCCATATCGGAGTCCGATCAAGGTGTTCCTTTGCTTGTAAGCTTTCTTACCCCTTCCAAAAGAGGCCATTTCACACTAACCCCGCGTGAAGGAAGATTGGAAGAACCACGAGTCAGGCAGGTGGTCAGATTTGCTTCTGAACGAGATGGGAACCAAGTCATCACGCTTCAGGACTCCTCCCAAAGCGCGTTTGCCCAGTATACCGCCATTGCAAATCTCCTACCGTCAAGTTAAACCCGGATTATGTACGCGTCTAAAATCCTATAGGGACATACGTCTAGGGCCAGAAGAGAGATGGGCGATCCAAGAGGGTTCACTGGTGATCTGCATCGATCCTTCATATACATTGATCGGCCACGAACAACCTCGAGCAGATGAATTCCAAATCATCAATGGTGACGTGTACATCGTTTGTCGTCTTTATGCCGACTTGTGGGCTCTTTGTGCCAAAGCATCTTTTAATGCTCTTCCTGACAACTATGCTGATTCGGCCGCTGCAACCCCCTCCCTGTCTTTTGGCTTCATTCCCCTCTGTGCCGTGACCTTAGCAGCAAACTTTAGTGCTTTCGTCGGGCGAAGCGCTAGATACTCCGAATATGCTTCAAGCGAGCCGAGATACCCCGGGAATGGCTTGCCCGTTCTGCCTCCGACGCGATCGCATAGTCTCAACGGCAGTAGGCAGGTCTTCCAAGGCGAGAGACCCCAGTTTCATATACCAATCATGGCCTTGACAACTCTAAAGAGCTCGGCCTTGGAGAACGATACAGACTTCATACCTCTCGACTCTACGCTGGAGCAGATATTTTCCAAGTTGATGGATCACAGAGGTCGATCAGGAGGATTGAGAGACCGTGTGGCATTTCCAAACGTCTGGAGCAACATCAAAGCCTCGGCGATCTGGAAGTCCCACCATAAAAGGAAGTGGCATTCCTGGCCTCGCAGCACAGACCCGAATTCTAGAGATCTCAAAGGTGGTTATCGACGAGTGCACAAGAAAATACGTTCGACCTCCCCAAGCGAACGGCAGAAGTATTTGCTCGGATTTTAAAAGATTTTCCATACTTCACGGGGTGTCTTCAGCCTCAGTGATATGCAAAGTGTACTTGTTCACAAAAGTATATTGTATGTTGTGCAATCCATGGTGTGCAACCTTTCTCGTCTCTACTGTCCCTTTTCTTTCCTTTCTTTCCCTCTCCTTTTCTTGTTGTAATTCTACCATGGGGTATAGTATGTTCATAGCACATACGAGGCTGTAAAACATAGAATGTCACTTTTTGCTCACTTGGACATGGCTTTGGAGAATCTTGAGGGATAAATTCTGTGAAGAGCTTTTGCTCATGACCTAGATCCACGTACCCTATGCGTACGTACAGTGTTTATCACGAACTGACGATAAGGTTCGATCTGGATAATCACCAAGATGAGCAGATATACCATAGGACGAAGAAGGGTATTTAAAATAGTATCGGATGCCACGCTTGCGGATGTATTCCTGCCATTGAATGAATCCCCACAAGTAAGTGGATTAAGTTGTACTGTCGACTCTTATAGAGTCGTTGGGACGAACTGATTTCATTGTGTCAAGTGGCTTTCTTGTCGGCCAAAACAATACAACTCGATTTGATCTGATTGATCATGTTGTGATGGAAGGTGAAGGTTATCTTGACGGATTTTTGACAATCGAGCAGACTCCATTAGTTCGAAAAAGACGGTTTCGCTCTCGTGTCGCCTTTTTAGCGCCACCAAGATGACGGCAGCCGGTGACATCTGGACGAGTCGGTCCAGCACTGAAACCAAGGCGGGCAGACTGTCGGCGTTGTAGGTGCAGTCTGATACGAGAATCAGATCAACTGAGCCGTCACAGAAGTTGCCTGGGAGTTTCTCATCCCAGTCGAGCGTTTGGAATTCCACAGTGGATTCGGACGCTGGCTTAGCAACAGTTATGTTTTGGGTTACTATGTCCTCCACCTCGGGGAGGTCTGTGAGGAGCACGGAGCATTGAGGTAGCAGCTCCGCCAGCGCTATGCCTACAATTCCGCACCCGGATCCCAATTCGACCGCACGGACTGGTTTACTGCGTGGACGCTGTAGGAGGTCCTGCAATGCTGGAGCAGTCTCTACGCGGTGCCTAGCGATGATTTGCTGCAGGTAGATTACCGATGCAAGTGCTGCATCCCTGAAGGCGCGGGTAATTCCATCTTAGAGCTGGTTGGTGGGAAGAATGTAGAGGGAACAACGGAGGCCTTACCAAATATGTCGAGCAATGCTGTTGCCGGTTTCCTCCCAGATACGAAGATCCAATACCTCAATGGGTCCAAACCGCCTCTCAACCAATTTCTCGGCCACTGATGAATCCGAGCCGCCGAAGGGAGCGCTCCAGCCGGATAGGACTAGAGGGACGCCAGGCTTCCCCGAGAGGCAGTTTGGAGTGGGCGGCCCGGATTTGCGAGAATCCGCGGCAGCCACGGTGAGAACCATCGTCCGCTGCGAGAGGTTGCCCGGGAAGGGTCCCAGCGATATGGGAAGCTCACGTTTGCCGGCCTTCCATTTCAATGGCTCTTGATAGAGGACTTGATCGGTTTGAGCGACACTCAGCGAGACTAATAGATCCACATCTTGAGCTAGGAATGCATCTCCTAGGTCTGTGGTGATGCAGACCAGGGCAGACACTAGGACCGAACCGGCCTTGTGGTTCTGGATCCGGGGAGTCTTGAGGAAACGCACGTAATAAACCATTGCGAAGAAAGAAGCGAGGAGAGATGATCATGATAATGATAGAGAATGCGCCAGGACGGAAGGGCCCGTGACGCGCACGTGCCGGCTGAGTCAGTCTCTCAACGATCGGGTATTTCTTCCCCAGGCTCTCTTCTTCTGATGATATCACCCGTCAACCCCTCTCGCTTTTCCATCCCTGCAACTCTGCCGTCACTTCTTCAATGGCATCGCCCGGGCCTGGCTGAACCTGACGAGCCCTCATCCCCAGGACTTCCGGCTGCCTGTCCAAGCTCGACCCCATCCTTACCTACCTTACCCTACCGCTCGCTACCGTTCCTTTGTTCCTATCCCCCCAACAACATGATGCGAACCAGAGACCCACGAGTCCGCCAGACGATCAATCAGATCTCCCATAACCTCGAAACCGCCAATGAAACCGCCCAGGAGGGTCTCTACACCTTCTCTCACAATTACATCGTTCCCTGCTTCGCGACCGTCGGGAACTGCATTTCCGCATGCGCCGCGCCATGCCTACCGAGCCGCGAGGACCATCTTCGACGCCGACGACGAGGGCGCGCCGAGTCCGTTTTCGACTTCTACGATGACTGGGACAACGAAGACCCCAATGATGGCCTCTTGGGTTGGGGCACCGACGAGCTCGATCGCCTGCTGGCCGGCAGCGGGCTGACGCGCGGCAGCTCCGAACAGCCTCGCCGACCGCGGAAGATGAGCTACGGGGCTCGACGCACGCGGCGGAAGAGCGGTCTCATGGTACCCGTCGACGACCGGGACGATCCCACCGTCATTCCGAGCTCTTCGTTCCTCGGATTCCTCGAGCGATTCCCTTGGCGGTTCGGCGCGAGGGGATTGAAATACCGACCATCAGCCGCCGACCTCCAAGAACACCCGCAGGGCTTGCGCCGCCATGCATACGAGGAGGAACCCCTGATGGAGGCGGCCGAGGAAACCGAGGGCCCCAGCTCGAGGGGCGGACAGACTGGAGGACGATATCGGAGCTCCACCCAGTCGTCGCGCGAAACGACCAATTCGTTGAGCTCGCGCGGCGACTTGATCCCCAGTGACGAGGAGGAGGATGCCGTGCCGCTGGACGACGAATTCGCGATGGCGCTGCAGAGTCGGCGCGGGACTGGGTTAGAGTCTGATGATCAGCTTGGTGATAAGCCTGCTAGCATGCGATCGACATCCGGGACGTTCAGCCTCGCGTCCAAGGATTCCAGGATGAATAAAAAGAAGAAGCGGAGCAGCCGGCTTCGAGCCTCTCACGGATCTGCCGACGTCGCGGAAGATTCGCCGGTCTCGATGGCCGATTTGCAGAAAGAGGAGGAACGAGCTGCGTTTGAAGAAGAATCGGAGATTCTACGGAAGCGCCTCGCTGCGCAGCACTTGGCTTCTACTCGCGGGTTCGAGCACGGAAAAGAACAGGTATGCCTTCTGATTTGCGGTGTTTGAGAATAACTTCATTGCTAACATTGGCTGCCCTTCTCAACCAGTCTACCTCCCAACATCCACCACAATCCCCGGCCTTCTCGTCCGACGTTGTCCATGATTCATCGATCAGCACTCCTGTAGATTCGACGGGAGAGAATATCCTCTCCGGCAACACCGGAACACCTCAAACTATCGAACATTCAGAAACAGAACCTTTCCCGCCTCTACCCCAATCTCCTTCCTCAACCACAGAAAGCCACCCCCCAACATACTCTCTGGACGAATATTTACACAATGACTCCACGGAAAACCATGAAGGATAAACCCCTACATAGCGGAACCATCAACCAGTGAACCTGCCAAGTCGGGATCAGGTCCACAAAACCCTCCAGGTTTGCAGGTCAAACCTTCTTCTTGCTTCTTTATCTCTCCCTTCTTTCTACGCTGTTCTCATTAAACACCAAACAGACAGATCCTTGGAGTGATGATACCTGGACTTGATCCAGTGGCTTTTTTTGCTGATCATTAAGAAATAGCATTTTTGTACAGTATGACATGACTTATGATTTGACACTATATATACCCACCCAATGTGATGAAGGAATAATGTTTTTTATGTTTCCCGCTTCCCTTTCCAAAGTTTGTGTTGTTTCGTTTGTTTTCTAGCGCTCTTGATATTGCTGATTCCCCGCGGATTTCACTGTAAACAATCCCTATCTTGGTCAAGGTCAAGATGACGTATTGTCTATAATGAGATGCTGGTGTGACAAGTGACAAAAGTAGTATGTACGTAGATTGAACTTCCTAGTTTCCGAATAGAGGTAAGACACGCTTCTTCCCGCATCTTTCCTTTTGTTGTGAATGCGAATTATGCCAATCACATCAAGTAATTGTTATTCTCACCGGGCACATTCCCGGGGCCAAACATCCGATTAAACCTCGACGGCGGCGGTGGCGGGGGACGTACCGAAGACGCCGACGCCGACGCCGTATGATGTTCCCATTGCTCGCCGGCGGCAGGGTAGGCAGCCGCTGGATGATGATGACCAGCGCCCAAGTTACCATGCGTGCTATATCCGACAGACTGAATGGGTGACTGCTGCTGCGCTAGCTGCGGCGGCACCGAGGCCAAGGAGGCTGCGGCGGCGCCTTCGAACAGCCACGGCGGGTTCGCAAGCGGCATGATCTCCTGGTCGAAGATGGTCCAGGAATAGTCTGCCTGCGGGCCGGGGATTGATAGCTCGGGTCCTATGTCCGGAGGGGTGTTCATGCTCTGAATTCCAGATTGAAGCCGGTCGGCGAGGATGGCGTGGATGCTTGGTGCTGATGGGTGGCTGAGTTTGAGGCTTTGGAGGTGGCATTGAATGAGGCGGAGGTCTGTGGGTGATGAGATGGTCAGAAGCTTTTCTATGAACATACTTGTCTTCTGGATGTTCCAGTAATGTTTGCAGCGGGCTGGACATACCGTCTTGGTGTGTGACGCCGTCTTCGACGCCGCGGAGGAGAAGCATTGCCGCCCAGGTGATCATCTGAAGTTTATAATATCAGATCCTGTTTAGGGACTTATGTTCGGAATGCTCACTATAAGGTCCCAGTTCGACCAAATACTGGCATCGTCCTGGCGTAACCGTAGCACCGCTCGAGCCGATACCAACAATTCATGCCTTTCGGCCGGGGTTATTTTCGCGGAAGACAGATCAAATCCTCGGGCCGGATGATATATGGAGAGGACATATAGTTTGTGAAGGTGATATTGCAGGAGGATGACGATTCCCTGTCGGTCTGACGGGGACGGTTCTAAGACGTACGTTCATTAGTGTGATAGCAAAATCCATAGACAGCGAGGTCCTACGGGATGTCCCATTATATCGAACAAGCCAGTCGTCCAGCTTCTTTGCCCACAGCCGAATAACCTGGGAGTCTTCGTCGGTGAAAGGTGCCCGCACCGCAGGCAATGTGTCGGGCTCCCTTGCGCTCACGAAGGACCAAATGGTCGGAAGTCCTCGTCTCACAAAGTGGCTGAGTCCATGGTGCATTATCTGAGTCAGGCCCCGATAAGCATCCCCTTCATGGCTGTTTAACTTCTGCAAAGCCGAAGTAGGAGGCTGTCTAGGCAGCAAAGGATGGCACATGTGCATGGATGCATGCTCAATATCGATAACCTGTTGCGCGGTGAGCGATGTATGTCCCTGGTAGACATCCATGATCAGTTCATTGGTCAGCTTACTTGAATTCCTGAGAATAAGCCAGGCCAATCCTGGGTCGTGTTATCTGCTCCAGTTGGACAGTGATCTAGCAAAAGTCGGTAGGCTATAGCTATCCACTTGTCCGTAGTCTCGACGAATGCCTCCGAGCAGAGGCTTGCCATGATCAAGCCAAGAATATCTTGGAATACGTGTTGCTCCTCTCCACTGCCGGAATGGTCATGGTGTCTTAGGTTTGCGCTCGACCAGTTAAGGAGGGTTGGCAACGGGCTTGGAATAACAAGCTCAGCAATTGCACTGCAGATGGCCACCAAGTACCCACCAGCCAGTGACGCGAGTTCAGTCGATGGACTGTGTAGTGCAGATATGTAAAGAACAGAAGCGAGTAAGAGGGGCGAAGGGGAGGAAAAAGTATTTTGATCTTTCAGGAAATGCAAAAGGGGCAAATTATCAAGAAATCTGATTGGTATTAGGCGTTGCTTACTGAGCCATGGTTTTAGTAGTTTGGTACGAGAGGCACTTACTTGGCCCATAACCTCTTGATCGTAGGACGTGACCAAATGCTGTCGTCCTGTGGAGGACGAGTGATCGCTCTCAAATGTTTTGCCGCTGCCCATAAGTCATAGAAAGACACATCCATTACCTCCTCGTCCAGATCCGACGTTACACTGATTGACGAGGTAGTAGGCCTTTCTTTATTGATACCCAAAACAGCCTCGATCCGGTCTAGCCGGCCAAGAATGGATTGCGCGTCTTGATCTGATGGCGCTGTTTGAGGATAGAAAGCCGGATTTTGGGCTCCTGGTGGCATCGATATCACTTCGTGCGCCACAGCAGCCTAAGAGACGAACTAAATAAGCACCGACCAGTACCTGAAAGCCAGGATACCTGTACGAACATTGGACCGAGGCTTAAATAGACATGCGGTGTTGGTGTGGCGGCATCGGCGACACGGAGGCGCGCCATCGACCTCACATTTCATCTAGATCGATGGACAGCGGTTAGTACCTATTGGAATGACCCAGTCAATGGCTTGCTTGGATTCGTCTTTCTGACCTTCAGCCTGCGGCAATTAACTGCAACCCCCTCGCATTAGCCTGACCGTTCCACGACGAGAATCGTGTCCATGCATCCTGATCCACTTACCGCATGCTTTAGTTGGCTTTGGCCCCAACACGATGGTGTCAGTCTTCTTCATAGTGATGAACGCAATTACTGCCGACCTGCATGACTCTGAGGAAAACGAAGAGAGCAACGAGGCTCTTTGGCAGACTTGACGGAGAGATCTTCCGGGTCAGGGCCAGATGGCATCTACAGAAAAGACCCGAGCATCCGCCGAGTTGTTGTCGTCGTTTCGCTGCCACGTGAGGGGCGCCCTAAAAAGGAGAGCCGATTTTTAATTATCGGCAGCATCATTCATCATCGCTTTGTTTTTAATTTGCGACCCAACGGAAAGGGGAATTTCGTCGATTCTTTTGGCCAGTTGGAAGGGAGGGCCAAAGTGGAAGATGGATTTAGAAAAATATTGATAAAGACGAAAGATAAAGGAGGGTTTTCAGCCGGTGTCACAGGACTGTCCGTCATGTGCTTTTCACCTCATCACGTCGGCCAAATAACTCTTGGGCTGTCTACATCACGAGACTACTGGCTGGGCTTCATGTTCTCGCGTTTTTAGTCCGTCCTGCGTAGGCTGATAGACGCAAAAGTGCTTCAGGAAGGGTCTGAAAAACGGAGATAGGAAGTGTGCCACCAACGGGGCTCACATTCCCTGCTATTCTTGCGCTTGTTCCTGGTTCATGAAAGAACCGGAAAACCAACCATCGACCGGCCATGGAATGGAAGACCGGGGACGGGGTGATGTTCTGCTCTTGAGACGCGCGTGATGATCGAGGGGAAGGTCATCCATAGGAAGCAAAAAGGGAGTCGAGATGGAAGGTATCGTACAAACGGGGTCTATATACAGGTCTACCATGCGTGTACACATCAATAGAAATACAGGGATATCTATGATACATGACTGCGTCGCCGACTGGACAAGCGACACATCCAAAATCGTGAAAGAGAGTCAACTGGGGCGGAGAGTGGAAAGCCAACTTTCGATGCAGTGTTTCACCAATGCCTAAGCCGAAGCAGCAGCGTCTTCGGGGCCGGCAGCGCTGGATGCATCTTGACCAGTGGCGTTCATAGAAAGCTTTCGGACTTCCCAGCCTTCCGAATCAGCCCAGTCCTTTCTCTCGCCAAGCATGCAAACGGATCGACGAGAACCGTCGACCAGGAAGGCCTGAGCCGCTTCATTGACATCCTTAGCCGTGACGTCGAGGACTTGTTCTCTCCAGCGCTGGTCCATCTCATGGGTGACGCCACTCATGAAGTACCGGGCGCCTTCTTCATCAACACTCATTGGGGCATCCAGACCCTGGAAGATGCCCAGCTTAGCTTCGTTGAGCTCGCGAGCGGACCATGGGCGATCTCTGGCAAAGATACCGCAGTTCTGGAACACCTTCAGGGTGTTGATGGGGTTGGGGTCTCGGTAGCTGGTCAGAGCGAACATGCCCTTCACGGGACCGTTGCTAGCGCCAGCACCGTAGGCACCTCCCTTCTCCCGAATCTCGGGATGGAGGTAGTTGTGGGTAAGTAATTGGGACAGAACACTGAGAGGCGCACTAGACGAATGGACGAACGGCACCGTTTGCATGGCCAATCCAGAATAGTAAACCTTGTAAGGCATATCGTAGAAAGTCTTGGTGAGAGCCTGGTGCGAGACTGGGTTTCCAGGCACGGAGGTAGGCGCAGAAGTTCGAGGCAACCCGGCGAACCACTTCTGCAGGGCGGACTCATTCTGATGGGCACTTCCTCGTTCACAGACCATGCGCACCCGGAGACCAGGGGTCTTCGAGATAGCAAACGACTGAATGAGGCGCAGCTTCTCGATCAACTCGGCGAGACGTTCGGGCGAAGTCTCGGCATCGCGGAGAAGATTAGCGGTCGCCTGGAGTTGCGCCAGACCAGACTGTTGCTCTTGAACCCAGAGTCCCCGAGACAGACTCGCAGCTGCTGCGTTCAGGGCGAATCGATGGCCCGTGCCGGCCACAGCATCGAGAGCACCGTTGGTGGTCAATCGTAACAGCTCCTGGATCATACCAGGAGCCGAAGGGCTAGTGAAGTCCGTTGCCGTGATCAGGGTAGTGAGGATCTCCAGCATCTCCGGGATGTTTTGGTCGAGAGCAAATCCGGAGAAGTTAAGGCCTTCTGTGAACTTGCCGAGTTCTGTAGGGGAAGAGGCATTGAATGCAGACGACGAGACTCCGCCAGTTTTCAGTTTGATCAGATCTTCCCACTCCTCCATGGACTTGTTTGCAGTACCCAATCTCATGACACAGTCGTTGAACAGGGGCATCAGCAATCGAAGGTCGTCTGGAAGGTCTTCGAACGAATTCAACGCTTGGAAGTAAGTCAAGCCGTTGGTCGGGGCTTCACGCCAGACAACGTCGACGTCATCAACACGAGATTCGCGAACCGGCTTGCGCTCTTTCTCACGGGAAATATCTTCAACGCGCAGAGAGGGCAAGCAGCTCAAATCGGCGTTGTGGGCTGCTTCCTGCGTTTTAAGCAATTGAAGCTCCTCCTCGGTGAGATGAGCAACAACCTTTTCAATAGAGCCATGCTTTTCAACGAGCTCGGCAAGCTTCTTCTCTTTCCGGACGAGTTCTTGGGCATCCAAGTCCTTGTTGAAGGTAGGCGAGCCGACCATAGTGAACGTGAGATAGTTGTCATTCATCAAGTATTTCTGCATCAACGACTCAAGGTAGCCTCCCTGCTGGTATCTGCGCTTGAACTCGTCAATGACCTCGTTCCAGGCGAGTTCTTTCATGGGGTTTGTGCCGTTGAACCATGAGGACAAGGTCTTTTCCATGACACCGATGCCGAAGTTTGCCGTCTTGTGTCTCAAGGCGAGCTCCAACTGGTGAAGGAACCCTTGGACCTTCTCGTCGTTGAAGCCGGTGGAAAGAGACTCCTGGTAGACTCGCTGGATAGCTTCCTTGACTTTAGGTGCCTCTTCTTCGCTCACACCCGTGACACCCACCGAGAAAACGGGCACCCGTCCGGAAGGATCAAGTCCTGTGTTGGGCGTGAACGAGGAGCCCAGTCCACTCTCAATCAGAGCACGATACATGGGCGAACCGTAGCCATCCAGCAGCAAAGAAGATAGAATTCCAGCAGAAAAGGTCTCGACAACATCGGTGGTATCACCCATGTACCATGAGGTCGAGGTCTTGTACTGTTTGTCTTCGCTGGAGAAGGTGTCGATGGGACCGGGGACGGTGACGTTTTGGGGGCCCCGGGTAAGATCAATGGGTTCCTTGACAGACTTGTCGGCCTCCCCTTTGTCGAAACCGTTGAGCACCTCACCAATTTGCTTGAGGTGGCCAGCGAGAGGCATGTCCCCGTAGGTCAGAATTTTGGCGTTGCTCGGGTGGTAGTTCTGCTTGGAAAAGTCCACGAGTTGCTTGTGCGTCAAATCCGTGATATATTGGGGGTCACCGCCGGAATTGTTGATGGCGGGGAAGATGTTTTCCCGGTATTTGATATAGTAGAGGTAGTTTGCGTCGGAGATCTGACCCTTCATTTCGTTATATACGACACCTTTAAACAAGACGTCCTCGGCTTTTCCGTCCTTGGGCTCCACGGCACGCGCATCCTCTGGGCCCAGGCGCCAGCCCTCCTGTCGGAAATCTTCCTCCTTGAGCAAAGGGTGAAAGGTCGCATCCAGGTAGACGGAGAGAAGGTTTTGGAAGTCGTGCTGATTTGTCGTGGCGAATGGATACGTCGTGTGGTCCGAGGAAGTAAAGGCATTCATGAAGTTCGAAAGCGATCGGGGAAGCATCTTAAAGAAAGGATCACGGATCGGGTATCTATAGAGTTATATATGGGTGAGCCCTGGCACAGCGCGGATATGTTGGATGTTGATGGATGCGGATCATACTTTTCACTGCCACATAACGTCGTATGTTCTAAAATGTGAGGCACACCTGTCGCATCTGGGGGATTCGTTTTGAATCCAACACCAAAGACATTGTTCTTGTCTTCCCTTGCCACATGGAGGTAATCGGCATCGGTCTTGTCGTGTTTTAGTCGGATTGCCGTCAGGTGTAGCTCTGGAACATGCTTCTTTTCTTGTACTGTGAATCCCTCAAGACTCTCGCCCACTTTGGGATAGCTCTCAAGACTAGTCACTGTCGAAGCGTTTCTTCGGAACTGATTCCAACTGAGGACAGAGCTTCTCGAGTTTGACCACCGACCAGAGAGCGGCTGTCTCAAGGCCGGCAAGCGGCCTTTGCCTACCCCAAAAGACGAACGCAACATTGCGTCAACAAATAGGAGGCGTTTGATTGATTGTACAATAAGACGGACGGAAGATAAACACGCGCGACGACTGTGTCAGGTGTGCCGGCTTGTGTTATTCTCCGCGTAACGTGTTAATGAGATGGGTTCTAGGGTACCGAGCAAACGGACCGGGATGCAGCGGCGAGAGATGAACACGAACAAAACCACCTCCAGCAAAGCAACACAAACGAGCGAAACAAAGAAGACACCACAAGAGGGAGGGGATATAATTGAGGGAAGTATCCGGATAAAGATGGAGGAGGAGGAGGAGGAGGAGGAGGAAGATTGATTTAAGTTACTGAACGGAGTAGAGAAATCGGGCCGGAGCAGGTGAATAATCGACGCCAAGACCGGCATCCCAAGGAGGCTAGCGCGAGTCAAGTGCGCATGCCCCCTCTTACGACGGGATTCGATCTCTCCCCCAAGCAAGTTCTTCGAGACATCTCGACCTTCCGCGACCCCCCACGACCCCGATTTCCGTCTCGATTTCCCAGCTTCCGTGTGCTTTCGCCCGTGAGACGTTCGCTGGCTCTGCAGAACTTGGTTGCATAGGGAGTCGGTGTGATCCCGTTACCTCCGAGTTCTGCAAGTCTGTCAAATAGGCCACCCAGGTACTCCGCTAGTGTCGAGAGGTCGATTCAATCCAAAGAGTCGCCGACGATCGCCTATTGTGCTCTTGGGACCTCCCCGTCTTCTCGTCATCCATCGGTTGTGAGCGTGGTTACAAATTGACCGTCGTGGTGGCTTTGCGTCAGAACTCCGGATCCAACCAACCATCACCCACCGTTCCGTCTTCGCATTTTTTCCTTGCCGAGAACCAGCCTCGCGACAACCGCCGACAAGACCGCAAGCCGCACAACTTGGTCTGCAGGACCGAGTGAGAAGCCCTTCATCATGTCGTCGGCCGCAATGTCCAAAAAGAATAAGGGGAAGAAGGTGGCGGATCCCAATGAGACGTCAAAGCTCTTAGCGGCCAAGATCTCTCAGTTGGAGCAAGATGCAGCCGGAGAGAAGGACCAAGAACAGGAGATCGGTGCGTGATTTGTGCCTTGTTGTCGTCGAACGGAACGGGCTTCATTTCTATTACTGTCTTGTTGCGGAATTGGATCCTAACTGGAAATGACTACAGAGCGTGAAGTCAAGAAGGCTACGAGAGACCTGAACCAACTCCTCAGCAACATCGAATCCCCGATGACCCGCCTAGAGACAGTTCACAAGAAGTACACTGAACTTTTGGCGGATATGAAAAAGCTGGATCGCGACTATGCCAAAAGCAAAAAGCGAGCAGACCAGTTACAGAAGGATCAGGACAAGGGGAAATCGGAATTGAGCAAGACCGTTACCATGAAGGATAAACTCGAGAAGCTGTGCAGGGAGCTCACCAAAGAAAATAAAAAAGTCAAGGTCAGTTCCGCACATTCCAAGATGCTCGCTTGTCCGGGAAGGCGAGAGCTAATAGTGTTCGCTTGCACGTCTACAGGATGAAAACAAGAAGCTAGAGGACACGGAAAAGAAGGCGAGGTTGCTTGTCAATGAGCGATTGGATTCGCTCTTGTACGACATTCAAGACGTCATGGCCGCCGCCAAAGGTAGTCCACGAAGCGAGAAGGTGGACATTGACTTGGACGAAGCGTAAGTAGGGCTCTTTGGTCTATCGCCGAAGCTGCTTACTGAATGTGGACGCTGTGTAGTCTACGTGCAAAGATCAAAACCATCGGCGAAAAGTTTGAGATGCGGGAAGGGCACTATCGAACGCTCCTCCGTAGCAAAGACTCAGAGATACAATGTCTCACCGCCAAGTACGAAGAGCAACGTCGAGCCGCCGAGAATGAAGCCGCCCGTTGTCGCGCCCTCAGCTCACAGGTCTCTACGTTCTCGCATACCGAAGCGGAACTGCGCAGTCAACTCAACATCTATGTGGAGAAGTTCAAACAGGTATGTCGCTGGTCCAACCCGCGTTTGACCCGCCGGTAATAATAATATCGCAGGTGGAGGATACGCTAAACAACAGCAACGAACTCTTCCTTACTTTCCGCAAAGAGATGGAGGAGATGTCGAAGAAGACGAAGCGCTTAGAGAAGGAGAACCTTACGCTCACCCGCAAGCATGACCAAACGAATCGCAATATATTGGAAATGGCCGAGGAGCGCACGAGGAACCATGAAGAACTTGAGAAATGGCGAAAGAAAAGCCACCACCTCGAAGCTCTCTGCCGGCGGATGCAGGCCCAGGGCCGAGGTCAAGGGCTTGCGGCCGACCTTGATGGGGATGATGAAGGCACGGAGAGCGAATACGACGAGGACTATGAAGATGAAGACGATGATGACGAGGGAATCAGTGACGACGAGTACGAGCTTGAAAGCACCGACCGCGACATCAACGGCGACCGCGGCGTACCGCAACAACCAGAGAAGCCTGTGTTCGGACCGCCCCCTCCGCCCAATCTGCTGGAGGCGCGGGCTCACGGAAACAAAGCTGTGATGAATGGATGCCATTAGCAAAAGTCAGATAGTCCTCTTGCAGACGGATCGGTTTTTTCCAAGCCAGACCTGTGGCCAGCAGTCATGGACAAAGGGTGTTGTTCTATCCGAGGGTGAACGTACATACTTCTGTGTATATTGCGCATTCGGTCTGGTCTTGGGGGACAGGTTTTCTGACGAGACAACGTGGGCCGGCAAACTATGCTCACTGGGATATCTTTATGTTTGAGTGTGTCTGCCTCTGTTCGGGTCTTTTGAGTCGGTTGCATGTGCATCGCTCTTGTCCAACACATACCGAGTTCCGGGGTTCGTGCACATCGCATCATGATTTGTTTTTAATTTGGTTCAATTTTTTACTAGTGTACTTGTACATGTTAGATCAACACGCCTAAACGTACGCATCATGGTTTCATGAAGACACAAAAAAAATACTATTCACTGCAGAGTTCAAGTCCTATCTCCACAGAACTGATTCTTTCTTCCTTTCCAGTAACTCATAGTTTACTGCTTCCAGTACTGGTGATATAACCACTGCCCTGCCTCAGCACATCCACTGCCTGCTGCACCATTTCCTTCACAATCACCCCGGCCGGTTGAATCTCCTTGATGATGGCCGAGACATCGCCCATCAAGAACGGGATGTCGACCTCCTTATCATTGTTGAAGTCGTGCTCGATCGGCACCACGCCCTTGGCCGTCAACCGGGCAATCTCGTCGGGGCGCTTCTCCCACTCCTTGACATAGTCATTCGGCAGCATCCGCAGCGGCCGTCCGGAGACGACCAGCGTGCGCCTCGTCTCGCCATACCTCGCCCCGACCACCGCCTCCTTATGCAATCGACTAGCACCGCTCTCCTCCGAGGCCACGAACCGCGTCCCCACCCACACCCCAGCCGCCCCCAGCATCAGCGACGCCGCCAGACTGCGCCCGTCGTTGACGCCCCCGGCCGCCACCGCCAGCGCGGTCTGTCCCGTCAGCGGACTCCGATACTTCCTCGCCACGTCCACCACCGCCGGCACCAGCACCGAGAAGGGGATGTCGCCCGTATGTCCGCCGCCTTCGCCGCCCTGCGCACACACGATGTCCACGCCCAGCGCGAGCGCCTTCTCCGCGTGCTTCGGCGCCCCGACCATATTCATTATCAGGATGCCGGCGTCGTGAAGCCGTCGAATGACCCTCTCGGGAGGCACGCCGACGGCGCAGACGAATAGCTTCGTGCCGTGCTTGATCACCACGTCGATGAGCTGGTCCAGCTGCCCGTGCGTGTAATCATGGTTCGTGGCGCGCGCGCTCCCGCCGACCTGCGGCAGGGCTAGGTCTACGCCGAATGGTAGCGACGGGTCGCGGAGAAGCGATTTCAGCTCCGTTAGGATCTCGTCTAGTTGTTCGGGGCTGTAGCCTAGGCCGCCGACGGTGCCTAGACCTCCGGCGTTGGAGACGGCGGCTGCTAGAGGCGCTCCGGATGCGCGTGCCATGCCGGCGAGAAGCACGGGGTGCTTGATCTTGAGCAGGGTGTTTAGAGGTGTTTGTAACGACATGGTGTGGTGTGTGGTTGTATAGTGTTTTGGGCTTGGACTTTGAATCAACAGTAGGGTCTGGTAGGAATGACGGCAGAGATATGAACAACACCGCTGTATATTAGAAATAAAAGAAGAGGAAAGAAGAGTAATCGGTTGGATATGCCTGGTTTAAAGCCAGCTCAGGGATGAATGCGGTGTGAAGAGTCAAGATATGAGCGCGCATAAGTTGTTCATAAAACACGTGCCGCAATGCGGGGAAGCGGAGATCAGCAGTTGAGCTTCCCCGGACCGAGGCTTCCCTGCCTTTTGCTGCCTTCGGTTCCTGCTGCAGATCCTCGCCCTGGCCGAGCTTAGAGGTTCTCTTGGGCCTTTGAGCCCTGCTGCTTGTGGCTGCTTGACAGCTGACGGTTCCCCTCGTTGCTCCTACTATCGTATTCGTCGGAGATAAGCGGACTTAGCAGCGTCCTCGTCCATCCTCAACTGAAAGATCGATGAACATGCTAATTACAACTATCAGATCATTTAGCTTTCAAGAATCTTGGTCATGGCTCGCAATCCGGATTTATGTACATGTATGAAGGCTGAAGTTGGCTGCTTATAGTCCGCCATCCTTTTGCAAGTAGCGATTGTCAGTAGACCATAATCGCGCGGTCAGAGCAACGCTGCAGCGAGGAGGACTGAAAACACCAGGCTCGTCGCTGCGAAGGCAGCGTCCCTGCTCGCCATCGCTGTCTGCGTCGCAGCCATCGCCGCGTCGGGCCTTGTCACCGTTCCTGTGACGATAGCAACATTCTTTCGCGGGCTGAAGATGCATGGGATTCACCAGTCAGCTACTTCAGACATGATCCCAGTGGGTTCACTCGGACTTACGCGTTCGACGGCACGTTAGTTTTTGCTGGATCCTTTATCGCCTCTTGAGATGCATCACGGTCGGAGGTAGGCGTGCTCGCAGCTCCCATTGTGGCTGCCACTGGCCATGTGGGCAATGGTAAATGATTATCGGTGACAGGCCCTGGCGGAGGTTGATAGTCGCCTACTGCACCTTGGGGAGCGACCGCCAGAGACCCGGGAAGACTTCGTCTGAACAGTGTCTGAAGGTCGTGTAGGAACAGACGAAATGCAAATGTCGTGGTCAATGTGGCGATCAGCAGCATTGTGACGGCGTACCCTACTGGGCAGTTGAGCAGGCCTGAAAGTCTCATCCTCGAATTCGTCCAAGAACTTCAAGCGCGGCAGCTGATAAGTTGTTATGCAATGTGCGACTTGAAAATAGTAAGTAGCTATGAATCTGAGAAGGAAAGTGCTTCAAAGGGCGACACAGGATATAAAAATGGCCCAATTCCAGTACTACAAGGTGAAACAGCAATGACTGAATCAGAATGCGGACAAGAGGCATTTTCCTGAGTATTCTACTTGACCTATTCTGGCCACTGCAATCACGAAGACGCCATCCTCCATTGTCAGTTAGAATAGCTTAACCCTTGATCAGTAACGCGACCGATTTGGTCGATGTTTCCAGTGTTCAAGAGGGAAACATTCGGCATACCGAGGGGTGAGTTGGCATGTGGGGGGAGGCGAGTACGAGATATGGAATTTTCTCTGGCACGGCAATTTGTAGTCTTTCATCATTGCAAGCTCATCTCCCTTGATAATCGTGGCAAGCCTTTGACGTGGTACGCTCCGGGTTAAGTTCGACTCTGCATGCCTGCCCGGTGTTATCTCGGGATGGTGTGAAGCTTTCCTTGGTGGATATACAGCACCACCATCATGTCTCTCATATAGTTTCGATCTGTCACAATTGTATTTCTCAATTATTCAGGCCGAGGAATATATAGACCTTTAAGGCACTTGCTAACGTGTCTTCGATATCTGCATGTCCCCCGAACACCGCAGTGTGGAACCGGTGTTATGGTAGTAGGTGCATGTAGATTCTAACAAATACTGGGGATAATGCACCCCAGTTCTCGGTTTTCGTCCGATGAAAGAGTCTTCATTTATGCTCGATAATAGTTGAGACGAGGAAGACAAAGAAGTTGTCGAGTCGAGAAGGTGAAGGAGGCAGACCCGCCGGCAGCCCAAAGCGGGACTGTAATTACGGAACGCCAAAAGACGCGTGATTCGCGTCCGACAGACGAAGTTCTTCAACCACCGACCTTCAGACCTCCAACAATCATCCCCTTCTCGCCCGCACTCCCCCCGTCGTTTCCCTATACACGCCGCTGTCACTGTCCACGGCCGATTGATGATCGGCCAGTAACTCGACAACATGGCCTCCAACGCGACAGAAAACGAGTTTATGCGCTCTCCCAGGTTCGCTTCCAAACCCCCTCGCTGAGATCAGCCAAGCCCTAAATGAATGCTTCCTTTTGATGTCTCGAGAGAAGTACAATTGCTAACATCTTAGTTGTTCACTTTAGTGAAACCGAATATCCTCCTACATATCGTGAACCCTCGTATTACAACCCTCTACATACGTTCCAACTACCCCCAGGTCAAGAAAGGCACTATCAACAACAATATGGCGATATGTATTTCTTGCGGCTCGCAAAGCTGAAGCCCGCAGTGGAGGAGGTGGCAGTCGAGGCATGGGAAGGATTCAGTGTAAGCTCAATCCTCGCGCACTCTTGAACAACGCGATCGTCGCCGCTGGAAGAGACATACAACCACCGCCTGCTGGCCAGTTGCTGATCGAATTGGCTTGAGATAGATTGCAGGAGAGCATGCGCGTCGGGTAGACCGAGTGTTGGATGTGAGGCAGGGAGAGCTCTGCTGGGTGGCTGGAACAATTTACATGGACATGCCCTTGAAACCCAACATTCTGGATGACTTGGCGAAAGATGTAAGATCTGGACTTTTGACCCGCCAACGCTTCGACTTGCTCATCCTTCTGCGGTAGAACTTCACATTGGCACCCCCGCCTCGCCGCACATATCTCGATCCTTCGAATCCCGAATCGACGCAGATCATGCTCGAGGACGAATCAGGACGTTTGCGGTTGACGGGGAGTATGCTGCGATCCACGCAACTGGCGACGGGCGCTATAGTTGCTGTCTTGGGAACGGAAAATGCCAACGGAGATTTTGAGTCTATCGACATCAAGGTCCCTGATCTGGCTCGACAGCCTCGTCGGTGGGAGAGAGACCAGTCTGTCTCGGAGGGCGAAACAAAAAAGGGCAAGATCGCTTTTGTGAGTGGTCTTGGGATCACAGGAACGTCGAGTGACACCCTGGCCCTGGAACTTTTGACAGACTATCTACTGGGTTACACGGGTACTTCGACGAGTAACGATGACAACGCACCATTGAATGCATCCACAATCACGAGACTGGTCATTGCGGGAAACTCACTCGGTGCCAGTATGACCGTGGACCCCAATGAGGCTGGGGCTGCTAAGAAGAAGAGCGGTCCGAAGAAGTACGGATATGACGCCTCGGCTTACAATGCCTCGCCCATCACCCAATTAGATACCTTCCTTGCGGAGATTCTGCCTAGCATACCGGTGACTCTCATGCCGGGCGCAAGTGATCCCGCGAATTTCGCCTTGCCTCAACAAGGAATTCACAGGGCCATGTTCCCGCGGGCGAGAGCATATTGCGCTCCACCTCCGTCGGTCGGAGAGACGCCAGAACCAGGCTGGTTCGACAGCGTCACGAACCCATGGGAAGGCGACATCGAAGGCTGGCGCGTGTGGGGATCGAGTGGGCAGAATGTAGACGACGTCCTTCGCTATCTCGATTTTGCCGATGAGGATGGAAATATCGATACTAATGGAGATGGGGAGGCCCGGGTTCGCATCATGGAGGCCATGTTGCGTTGGAGATGCGGTGTGCCCACGGCACCTGATACGATCTGTAAGCCAGTGGCTCTCTTTCAATAACCTGAATTCCTCGGATACTAACCTCTCGCAACAGGGTCTTACCCCTTCCAAACACACGATCCGTTTGTGATGGAATCTTGCCCCCATATCTTCTTCACCGGCAACCAACCCGGTTTCAAGACTGCCGTGATCGAAAGCGATGCACCATGGCGACTCAACGGAGCCGACACAGAGATGACCGACTCAAATGACACCACCACGACTCAGCGAGTCCGCCTTCTGTCCATTCCCAAATTCCACGAAACCGGGGAGCTTGTTCTCGTCGACACGGAGACCTTGGAGACGGAGGTGATCAAATTCGGGGCATTTGTCGGGAGAGAAGAAAAGCAATGAATATGAATCTTGTCCGGTTATATAGATATCCCAAATACTTGTAATTCAGGAGTGCATATGAATTGACCATGAGTGTATACCTCAGGCCGCGTGCCAAGACCGAGCAGGAAATCATCGTTTCCGCCGATGAAATGCTCTCTCATCTTTTATCTCTTCCTCTCCACCTTAAGAGTATTCACGTAGCCAATATGCTTCTCAATGCCAAAACCGGTATGTAAATTTCCCTCATGATCAGGAGAATTATGCTGAAACGTCAACTCTAGCAATCTCCACCTCCAAGGTGCTTCTCGTCCCATACTCGAAATGGCATGTCCCGCGCTACCACGAGTGGATGAAAGACCCGGTATGAGTTCCGTCTCCTGCTTATATCTACCTACTCTCCCTACCCTGTTCATTCCTAATGTACAAATGGTGCTACGTTATCTCTATAATCAACCCGCTCATAATACTCACCCCAACCAGAACCCCTGCCCCTCCCACCCCACTAACATGATACAACACAGGAAATCCAAGAAGCCACGGCCTCTGAACCCCTTTCCTTAGAAGAAGAATACACCATGCAACGCAGCTGGCGCCAGGACCCCGACAAACTAACCTTCATCACCTGTCGCCCCATCCCCGTCTCCAGAGCGCCATCGACATCCCAGGCCACCACACAAGAAGAAGACGACAGTCCCACTAACATGATCGGCGACATCAACCTCTTTCTGCGCGTCGATGACGGCGAAGAGGGGGACTCGGAACCGCTAATTGTCGGGGAGATCGAGCTCATGGTTGCCGAGAAGGGGAATCAGAGACAGGGGTTCGGGAGGGCCGCGTTGTTGGCGTTTTTGCGGTATGTGGTTGACCACGAGGGAGCTATTTTGGAGGAATTTGTGGCCGGGGATGAGCTGGCTAGGGAGGCGATGGGGAAGAGGAAGAAGGGGGGTGAGGGTGAGGGGTTGAAGTTCTCGTGTTTGAGTGTCAAGATCGGGCAGGGGAATGGGAGGAGTTTGGCGCTGTTTGAGAGGGCGTTGTTTCAGAGGGTGACCGAGGAGCCGAATTATTTTGGGGAGTTTGAGTTGAGGAGGACGGATTTGGGGAGGGAAAGTGTGGATAGGGGGTTGGAGGGTGCTGGGGTTACGGGGTATGTTGAGTTGGAGTATGGGAGGTGTGAGTAGTGGGTTTGCATGATCATGGATATATTAGAACTCATCGGAACGTGTTGCAGTTATGCTTGTAGCAGTCCTTATGTTAATTTGAAAGGTTTTGTAGTCTACAAGGACTTCTCGTGGACAATCTGATTGAACACCTACGCTGGCACTACAGACTTATGGCTGCCAAAGGGTTTACGGAGCTTACAGAGACTTTGTTGTTCAAAGAACCCAACCTCATTCCATTATCCAGTATTTAACAAGACTTTGATCAATCCGGAGCCAAAGTGCAATCCACCGAGCAAGATAAAACAGAAACCAGCCTGATAAACCTAAGCATCGAAAAGAGCAGGGCCGGGAATGGGGTATCCGTCGCTCAGGTCGGAGTAGATGTCAAACTTGATGCCCTCGTCGTCGGCCTTGTACAGGGCCTCACCCGCGGTGCCCTCGGGGCTGGCGCTGCCGCCACCAGTCACCTTGATGTTGACACACTGGGGGTAGTTCTGAGCACCGTTCTCCTGACCGGCCGAGTGGAGACCGATGATCTCGTGGCGCAGAACGTAGTTGCCGTCGGCGATGGACGAGGGGATGGTGGTGGTCCACGAGTTGTTGTTGCTGATCAGGTCGTCGGTGGCCCACTGGCCAGGAGGAGAGCTGCCGTCAATGAGGCCCTTGGCGTCGATCTTGAAGAACTTCAGAGAAGTCGGGTCCACGGCCGAGCACTCGCCGTCGCAGGCGGCAAGGTACGAGATGACGGGGCCGTGGTGGCTCTCGGGCCATTCGGTCCACTGGAACTCAACGTCCGAACCGGCCTTGACGGAGGCAGTCAGAGCGCCGGGCTTGCCGTCCTTGTGGCAGATGATGTCCTCCGACGAGTATCCGGTGCCGTCCACGAAACCGAGGTCGGTGGCGCTGGTGGACCAGCCAACGGTGTCGGGAGGGTTGTCCGAGTAGGCGTACTTGTCAACAAGGTATCCGCCGTAGCTATGGCAGTGTCAGCTTCTTTCACTCTATACAAAACCAGGCCATGTTGCGTTGAACATACTAGGTGCCGTCGGCAACAATGCCGGAGACGTAGCCGTGACCAGCGACGAGAGAGGCAGAGGCCAAAAGGCCGGTGAGGGAAGCAATCTTGGAGAAGGCCATTGTGTGAGATTCAAGGAAAGAAAAAGGATGTCAAATCCGGTGCCGATGATTAAGAGTCCTGCTTGACCAAGGGCGAAGAGAATGAATGAGGATGGAGTTCAGTGAGTTTGGGATGAAGAGAAAAACACAATCCACGGGTGTTCGAACGCCCATTTTATATCCCATCTGATGGACGCCTGGTAATAATTAGCAATGAGGGACAGGAGGACGCTCCACACTTGGCTGTCTGGTCTGTAACGCCAGATTAGTCGGTGAAATTATCCGGGAATCCAACGGTGCAAGGTCCGTTCGACAGCGAGGACCCAGAAGCCAATAGGGCCGACGATGGATCAATGCCAGCGCTTGGGAGTTTACAACCTGCATTTGACAAGTTGCATTTGACCCTCGGACTTGTTCTCCTTGTCCTGCTAGGTAATTATGAGGACATGGCAATACCACTCTCGGCACTTGGACATGAGAAATTCATCACTACAAGCCGACACCTCATGGGTGTCCCAAAACTCCCGGGAATTGGAGTTGGCACCAGGAAAAGCAAAAAAGAAAGTCGGGCCAGGAGGTATCACACTCGACCGTTATGTGGAAACATGAGGAACTGAAAAGTACCCGCCCAGACAACAAGACCCATCTATAGTGGGATGATGTCGTTTCTCCTTGATGAGGAGGTAGAAACAAAGCGTGTGGCATTCTGCATGGCTGAGTTATTCCTGGACAAAGCCATGCCGATCCCCCAGGGCAGGCCGGGGTGACGGTCCGACGGCAATTCTCGAGACTGAACTAGAAGGATGGTGAAGCCCCTAGACCATCTGGTTCTTCATCCGTTCCTGAAAAGGAATTGCACCGGCTGTCTTGGGTTTGTAACGATGGAGCAAAAAAAGAGTGGATGCCCTATATGACCAAGATCTATCCGTCGTCCCCCGGGACCTTGCCGTGACCTGAATAGAAAGGATTAGCGCCCAAGCGCCTCAGCTGCAGTGATGATTCGACGGGACTTACTCCGTGCCGCGGAGGGGCGATGGGATGTATAAAACTCCGTCATTGTAGCTGGTCACCGGGGTCTTGTCAGCGTGAAATCCGGCAGCCCATGGTCTCATACTAACTAATAGCACGGAATACGGGGTCCCGTGCATATACTCTGTTTACCAACAATGCATTATTCTTGCCCCGTCACTCATTGGGGCACGAGTCAGTAGGTCAGGAAGGGGAGGCGTTAACCTGATTCTCTGAGTGTTGGAGAAGACCGACGATCATCCAGCCTGTGACAGGGCGAAATTGAAGGGCAGTTGGCAGGTGTTTCAGCAGCAGCCTGCCAAGACCCAATATAGCCTATTCAGTTGATAGTCAGAAATGATCGTCGCTGAAAGTCGGCATCGACTGTCTAGACTACGGATAATGTTAGATGGCACCGACTTCCGAGCCTGACATGTTCCATCTTGTCTCAAATCGACGCCGAGGATGGCATCATGGGCATGCCCTGGGCCGCTTGAAAGCACGCCAAGCTGCCTACCATCCGGTGGCTCTTACGGGCCAATAGATCCACCAAAGTCACTAATGACTGAACTATATGTGGCTCCTACACGGTGGGAACCATGTTGTACCATACTCCATAGAGTCCCTGGACTCCCTACAAAACCCACGCTGCATCCTGAAAGGGGGTCGGCGAAAGCCGTCAAGTACTGCATGGGTATCCGTTGATCAACACGATCAGCACCAGCGTTGTTGCACCATGAAAGAGTACACTCGGGATGCCGAAAAGTTGCATAATTTTCAACTGTTTTTTGATCTTTATTGTGTTGTAGAATCCAGAATGCCCCGACAAAGCATACCCTGGCGATTAATTGAGATTTGTAGGTCGTCTGGCCGGTGAGAAAGAAAGTATGCCGTTCGCGTTGACTATCACACACACAGCATCCGGTTACAGACGCTGAAATGGCCATTTCCACATATCATTTATGCTTTAATCCGATCATTCCAGTGTCGGCCCACAAGGGGGCAATCATGTCCATGCCAATTCCCATTCGACAGTTGAATTATGCTTGCGACTATTGTTCCCCCTGCGGTCCTATAATCTTAGTTCCGGTGAAGGAAGGTGTTTACAGAGACTTCTTCTTGTCGCCCTTGGAGACGTCGACGACCTTGAGAGCTGTTGGCATGAACCAAAAGTTAGCGTGGGCGCTTATCAAATCCCCGACCGCCGTGATCTCATCTCTCATCCGGGTGTATAGCAATTGGTCCCTAGTCGAGACAGATGACCATCCATCCATTTCAAGGAAACCCCGTCGGGTAATTCGAGTGAATGAACGCACCAGGAGGCAGGCTCTGCTTCAGCTTGTCGGCCTTGTCGGAGTCCTTCAGGACGAGGGTGTAGATGAAGCGCTGGCAGCGGACCTTGAACTTGATCTGCTGGTTGTTGCGGTTGCGCTTGATGCGGGCAGCTGTACATTACGAAGACGGATGGTTAGCCTTCTAGGTTGAGGTCATTCTCGCGTTGGTGCAAGCTCCCAAACATCCAGCCCGGAGCTCCAGCCGGGGAGCCCTAGCCCCCGCAGCCGTCCGGCGGTCACAGGAAAGACGTACAGGAGGCATCCTTGCGGCGGCAGATCTCGATGAACTGCTTGATGTCGGAAACTTCACGAGGCATGATGGGCAGGTGGTTGTGACGTGATGGGGATGAGGTAGTTGAAGGCGGAATGGAGACAGTCAGTCGATCTTGATTGACGTCGTTGGTCGGAGGCGGTTATTGTGGGATTCTGCCGCTTTAGGGTTAAGCGGATTGGAGCCCTGACCTGTCAAGCCTCGGCCGTGGCTGGAGTTAAATGGGGGTCAACGTCACTGTGGCGGTGCACTAGGCGGCAGCCACTTGGTCAGTTTGGATGGTTTGACTGAGTATATGCTGCTGTCCTTTCCAGTCTGTTACTCTTCTCTCGATTACATCTACGCAGCCATCACTTCATTCCGATTTCTGCCAATATGCCTACCCCTCTCGACAAAGCCATGCAATCCAAGGTATTTCTCTCATTCATACATCGGAACCAAAAACATCTCACATGCACCGGCTAACAAAACCCCAGAACCTTTTCCTGGGTATGAAATATCAATAAAACCAAATAGCAAAAAAGATCTCATCTAAGCCACATTTCCTTAGGTTTTGCCGGAATGGTCACGGCGGCTGCTGTCTGGGCCATCTGGGGTAACGATATCATCCCGGCAGAACCAGATCCAACCGGAGGTAGGCGTCAGAGCACGTAATTCAGGATGTATCAACTGATCTCGGTTGAATCTAAGATCCCAACAACTGGACGGCCGAGGAGATGCGAAGATGGCTTCACGCCGTACGTCTCTCCATTTCGAAATACTTCAAAACCATGACGCAAAAACTGAAAAGTCGAGAAGCAAAGCAAGTAGTAGTTGTGCTAACAATCACTTGATAGAGAGGACTTGTGCCGAATGAAAGCTCCACACGGGAGGAGCTACTGGAACGAGTCAAAGCGAACTTGCGTGTACCGCGCAGATCCGGCTCCTCATGATTCCGGCGATTTCGCTTGTCGCGCAGTCTGTCGGCGTTTCTGGCGTTTTGGATATTGTTTCCCTTTTTTTATCGTAATTTGGACCATTGCGAGTTCCGTGGCTATCGAATCTCAGGCTCCGGAAATAATATCCGTTGAGTCATCATAGGGCGCATTATGATGCATAACTCGAGTCATCCACCAAAATGCACCATTCTGTCCATGCGGAGCTCTTCCATTTAGACTACCAGTCGGAAGGTTTGTGTTTGAATAAGCCACTCTCTCCTCCGCTTTCCCTTGGGAGCATCGGCCGTAGGGTTCGGGACCAGCACGAAAGTCTCGCTGAACCCGCGTTGCGGAAGATCTCTCGACTCGCCGAAACGCACAAATCCGCTGGTGACTACCACCATCGAGAGGTCCTTCGCAGTCGTCTCCTGGGGTGTCTTCACTCCGTTTGTCGTAGGCGTAGGATACGCCGGGTTGATGATCTGGCAGTCAAACGACTGGACCTCGTAGTGTGTCGGAGGCATTTGGTTGACGAATATCTCCTGGACCGCGCTACCATCGGCGACGACGTTCCCATTAAAAATGATGGTCGAAGTAGGTTGGTTGTAAAACGAGGATATCGAGGCACGATTGGACTGGAGCGCGGGGTAGAAAGATTGGACGAACTCGGTGGCCGCTAAAGACGAGACCAAATATTAGACAACGAAATCAAAGATCCCCTTCCTCGTCTGAGAGTAACGTACCGTTTGTGGACACTTTCGTCAGCGTGTCTTCACCCAAGGGAGCCATTGCGGAAGGGAAGCTTGTCTAGCACGCAACGATAAAACAGATCAAAGAGGGGCTTTCAAAGGTAGCAGTATTTTTGATAAAGATAAATAAGAATAGAGTAGTGTTTCCAAAACTGCAACCTTGAAAGAGGTGGTGTATATAAAACCCCGGACTATGAAGGGAAGAGGAAGAAGGAAATGCGGGCGGGAAAAGAAAAAAGAAAAAAGGTACGGGCACGGGGCACCAAGCGATAAGACGTACGTAGGCTGATAGCTCCGCTCGACTCGACACCCTCAAGATATCTGCTCTATCATTAACCCATTACCTCCTATTCATCTCTCTCTAACCTACATATCTTCTATAACCTGTCTAATTCTAGAATACACCATTCTACTCCGTACATATACCGAATTTCCACCCCACGGTCCCTAAATAGTCTTAAGCACCCTCTATGCGAAGCCCTGCGAGAAAATAGTTCAACCTTTGGAGGTATTTCAACAATAAAAATTCTATCTTCTTCAGCCAAGGATTCATTCCATGGAGGAGCGGTCGTGGACTCAGGAAGCAATCGATAAATTCTTCGAGACCCGTGAATCTCCAACCCAATCTGAGTGTGACGACCATGCCCGTAGGATCTCCGGTGGCTCCACAGTCCAGGAAGTTGCCGTTCCTGGCTCGCTCAGCTACACGGTCCTTTGTCCAGATTGTCCAGGTGGACGGCGTGATCTGGTCGTGTCTTCAGAGAATCTGAGTCCAGCCTAGATCAGGCTGTTATCGAGCTGGGAAAATCTATACACGGCTCCCTGGAGCCCGAAGCCATCTACCATGGCACAATGCCTGCTGCTAGGCCACCAAAATCAGTGCAGTGCTGCACCACGCCTTCCAGCGTAACGCTGATGGCTCTCCATCGGAGGAGCTTACAACTTCTAAATGGGCCCTGAAAACGCTGGATGCTTTGCTTTTGGACTGAGTCGTAGGCTCGGCGACATGCAATCTGGCGACGGGGAAAGGCAATGAATACGAGAAGTAACGCAGAACCTTAACAAAACCTTTACTGGGGCTATTGGCAATATGGCCTACAATGCCTCAACCCATGCTGCGCCATCATTTTGGCCTCGTATCTAAAAGGTCAGTGGCCTAGTCCAGGTCTGTATGACAGGCAAAAGCATTGGTGAACATAGGGTGAGGAAGAGGGGCAACCACCGAGGCCTGGATAGCTGTCAAGCTAATGTCGCTTAATCAATTGTAGTCTGAAATTAGCACATGTATGTAGTTGTGGCATACCGATGATATAGTTTGTGTCCAGAGTTTGACTTGGCAATTTGGCCGCTGTCGCTTGCCGTACTGGTCCAGGCACGGGGAGCTTGGACCACCCGGAGATTGTCCACCTCCGAAGCGATTCACCTTCTTGAACCCTCGCGTTTCCCTTTTCTCTGTCTTTGCTACATACTCTTTGCAATGGCTCTCCCCAGGGATCGCTTTCGTGCTCTCTCCTGGGCTAGCCAGTTTCTGGCCTACCGACGGCCATCCTGGAAATGCGCTTCCTGCAGGACACCCCGAATAACCTCCGCGGCCCTTCCGCGCAGATTCGCGACATCAGCGTCTGAAGGCACAAAGAAGCCTTACTATGTGACAACCCCTATTTTCTATGTCAATGCAGGTACGTCCCTGTCCTCGTATATCTTTACTCGGTATTGGCACTGACTGACATGCTGCCGTTATAGCGCCCCATGTCGGTCATCTATACACTATGGTTATCGGAGATGTGGTGAAGAGGTGGCGGACACTGAATGGGGAACATGACGCCCAATTCTTGACGGGAACGGACGAACACGGGATGAAGGTACCTATCGTTCATTCTTAACCTGGGTCACTCGAGTTGACCGTAATCGCTAGATTCAACAAGCTGCACTCGCCGCGGATATGGATACCCAAGCTTTCTGCGACATGAACTACAAAACATTCGAGGTCGGTGTTTCAATATCGTCGCGCAATCAAACTATTTCCCTTGTCGATTAACCTGTGACCGTTAGGCGTTGGCAAAATCGGCGAACCTAGATAACAACTATTTCATTCGAACGACCGAGCCGGCGCATAAGGAGGCTGTTCAGTATTTCTGGGTTTGTCATCTGATGTTCTCTCAGGCCTTTGAACACACTTCTGACCGAATGCCTAGGAAATGTTGAGCCACAGGGGTTATATTTACACCGCAAAGCACGAAGGCTGGTACTCCGTCAGCGATGAAACATTTTACCCCCCATCTCAGGTGCAGAATTCTTTGGATCCAACCACTGGACGGAAAAGAATGGTAATACTTGACAGACCATAGTAGCAATGCATCAACAAAAAGGCATCAGCTCACTGTGCATAGGTGTCAGTCGAAACCGGAAAAGAAGTGGAGTGGTCCTCGGAAACAAACTATCACTTCCGCCTCTCTGCCTTTCAAGAGCGCCTGTTGGACCTATACAAGTCGGACTTCATCACTCCTTCAAACTACGCTACGGATGTGGTCCGATCGGTTTCTTCAGGTCTCCAAGATCTGTCGATTTCTAGACCTAAGGAGCGCTTGAATTGGGGCATCCCCGTTCCTGGAGATGAGACGCAAACAATCTATGTCTGGCTTGATGCGCTGATCAACTACCTGACCAAGGCGGGATATCCATTCCCTCCCGGTCAAGAGGGCCGACTTGGATGGCCAGCAAATGTCCACGTTGTGGGCAAGGACATTGTTCGGTAGGGTTATCCTTCCGTATTGTTTGGGTGGAGTACGTACGAGACTGACGATCTTTCCAGATTCCACTGCGTGTATTGGCCCGCCTTCCTGATGGCACTGGATCTCCCTCTGCCGCACAATGTCCTCGTTCACGGACATTGGACCATGAATCATGAAAAGATGTCGAAGTCCACGGGAAATGTAGTGAACCCGTTTTTCGCTATCGACCGGTTCGGCGTGGACACCATGCGTTTCTTCCTTGCCTACCAAGGCGGCTTCGCGGGAGATTCCGACTACGACAATCAGTACATTATCCGTGATTACAAGAAAGTACTGCAATGGGGCATCGGGAATCTGGCGTCGCGACTAGCAGGGTCCTCCAAAGGGAAACTCCGAACCCACATCGTTAACGGGACGTCCGACAGCCTTCCGCCAGCTAGTCAGGATGATCTCGCGTATCAGAAACTGATTGAGGAAACGCCTCTCAAGGTGGCAGAACAAATGGAGAAACTCAACCCGCGTGCAGCTCTACACGAGATCATAAACTTGATTGAACAGGTACGCTAGAGCGGCGATAATTGGTCGGAACCTGGCCCTGTGCTAACAGCTCTCTTCCCAGGCCAATAAATATTTCCATGCATCGGAACCCTGGAAAGGCGCTGAAAATGCCCCTCGCTGTCTGTACCTCGTTTCCGAGTCGCTACGAATCACTGGCATCCTGCTGCAACCATACATGCCCACCAAGGCCAGGGAGCTTCTAGACTACCTCTGTGTAGACAGCACGGATCCCTCGAGCCGGATGTTCTCGGCGGCAAAATTAAATTCAGATCCCAATTATGGAGAAGGCGTCCGCAAGACGGTCCTATTCCCCCCTCTTATCTCTGAGGAGTAAGACATGTCCAGTGTCGTGATTCTCCGATTCGATGGCGCCAAACAACGACCGAAAAGAGAAAAAGAAAAGAACAAGTGGCCGGTTCCAGTCACTGCAGTATAGTGCAAGAACAATTTCACCGCGTTGCCATTTTTATATGAATGCCACTTTTTCTCCGCCAACACTAGCCACGACTGGGAACGATGAACGGCTTCCTGGTCGCCGTCGCTGGTACTAGCTTCTTCTAAGCCTACAAGGTTGGATCATCCCCAAGGGAGAGCTCCTATGAGAGTATTTACGTTATGTCATGGCCCACGGGCTTAGGTCTCGCATGTCCACAAGGTTATCAGCGGGAACTGAGTCCAGATCCGCGATGATCAAATCTGATTTATATTGGGCGGGAAACGCACGGCTTTTCCACGGAAAAGCCATGTCGGGGAGATACCGAAGTATGTATATCAGAACCTGAAGTATACGCTTCAGATAATGCAAAGGCTTGTATGGGTTAGTGTCTTTGGTTTTCTTTTCCTTTCTGGGTTTATATTTATTGGATTGTTGAGCTTGGAGGGGTGTCTGTTTCCCCGGGCTCTTCTATTTATACTCTCTCCTCCGTCTCATCAGCCAGCCTTCTCCTTCAGCCTGTATACTACTACGAACTATATCTGATCTTTTCTCTTTCTCTTTATCTCTCTTGAATCGCTCAAACCATCCTCTCCTGAACATATCTTGTCCGTCCCTCTCGAACACACCCATTGACATACCCGTAGTCCTCTCTCCTCTCCTCCCACTACCATGGGTAGCATCGCACGGGAAGAAGCGAAGCACGCCTTGAAGAACCCCTGGGTCCAAACCCCCTTGGTGGAATCAGCCTCGCTCTCCCGAGCAGCCGGATGCCGCGTGTTCCTGAAGTTGGAGAACGTGCAGCCCAGCGGCTCCTTCAAGTCCCGCGCTATGGGCAACCAGATCCTCTCGCACCTCGTCAAGCCCGAGAACACCAACCGACCCGTCCACTTTTACGCCTCCTCCGGCGGCAACGCCGGTCTGGCGGCCGTCTGCGCTGCCCGCAGTCTGGGATACCCGTGCACTGTCGTGGTGCCGCTTTCCACGAAGCCGCTGATGGTGCAGAAGCTGCGCACCACCGGCGCAGCCGATGTCATCCAGCACGGCGAGACCTTCTTAGAAGCCGGCGAGTACATGCGCGCCGTGGTCATGCAGTCCGTCGACGCCGACGAGAGCTCCGACGTCGCTAAGATTGCCCTCCATCCCTTCGATAACGAACCCATCTGGGAAGGAAACAGTACTATTGTGGACGAGCTCGTCACCCAGCTTCCTCCCGCCGTCGGAGACGACGAGGAACAGACCCATCGCGGCCGTCCCTTGCCAGTGGAGGCCGTTATCTGCAGCGTAGGAGGCGGCGGGCTGCTCAACGGCCTGGTCATGGGCATCGAGCGACACCAGTCGATGCAGAAACGGAACAACAAGCTCGCCGGTAGCAGCAGTAAAAGTGATGCTGCTCTCCAAACAAACCCCATCCACCTCCTAGCCATCGAAACCGACGGCACCGACTCCCTCGCCGCCGCGGTGGCGCAGAACTCGCTCGTCTCGCTACCCAAGATCACCTCTCAGGCCACCTCGCTGGGCGCCACCCGAGTATCCGAAAAGACCTTCCAGCATGCCGTGTCCCCGCCGGCAGGGATCGCCGTGCACAGCGCCGTGCTGTCGGATGCCGACGCGGCCCGAGGCGTGCTGCGACTCGTCGACGACGAGAGGCTCCTCGTGGAGCTAGCTTGCGGGGTGTGCGTAGAGGCAGCCGTCGGGGATGCAGGCAAAGCCGTCGCTTCCTCCTCTGCAGTCCCCTTGTCATCGGAGCGAAAGCGTAAGCGAACGACGGAAGACAACCCCTCGCGGGATGAAGGATACGGAGATGATCGGTTATCGGCGACGGAGAACGAGTCCGGGGCCGAGGACTCGGTATCGTCTTCGACTTTAACTTCGACTTCAACCTCGACATCGCAGCCGCTGCAGTCGAAGCTGAAGCAGTTGGTGCCGGGCTTGAATGCGGACAGCCGGGTGGTCATCGTCGTGTGTGGTGGCAGTAACGTCACCGTCGATTCGGCGGTGGAGTGGCGGAAAATGCTCCAGGAGGGATGGGGCAGTTGCAAATACTAATGCTAATAGATGTTGTTGCATTACGTTGTTGATATCGTTATTGGTTTGGTTGTTCCGATTGATGCTTATGGCGGGCCATTGCGTTTCTCTTTCTATTGTCATCTTTCTATGTCTCCCTGTTGTCTTTGGTTTCTATGTGAACGGGGCACCTATACATATATTATGCCGATCTAAACGATGTGATATGTCGTTATGAAGTGATCATTGTCCTAGATGCTACATCTTTTTGTCTCGTCCAACATACATATCCATTTGTTCAAGCTGCTGCCACCGCAGGACTCGAGATCATCTTGATCCGATAATCCCAGTAATTCTTCCGAATAGGATCATACTTCTCCTTCAGCAGCGTCAGCATCCGCACCGCCTCCGCCGGCGACGGCTCACCCTCCTCCGCATACACATCCGCCAGCCACTCCAGCGCATGACTGCTCTTCACCTCGACATCCACCAGCCGTCCATCCTCCAATTTATCCGTGACGAGCCGCCGAGCGAAATCCTTCCACTCCGACAGCGGACGTCCCGAGGCCCGGAGGACCCCGCGCGCATACGACCAGGGACTACGGTTCTCAGGAGCCAAGAGGATCTTCGACTTTGCGTACTCCAGCTCCGCATCGACCAGGTCCTCGTCGACGACGGCCAATTGGCCCTTCTCGGCAGCCGGGCCGTTGCTGTTGGGCATGCCGGCGTCGGGCTCGTCGGCGCGGGGGCCGAACCGTAGCATGAATCGGTGATTCCAGGCGGAGTTGTTCCGCACGTCGGCGTTTAGCAGACTCTCCACGTCTTGGGTTTCGCGGGGCGTGTCCCAGAGCTGGAATCGGCGGACGAGCCAGTGGCGGTACGTCCAGACGTGGTAGTTCTTGGAGTCCTGGGCGAACATGTCCATTAGGAAGTCCAGCTCCTTGGGTGGGAGTGTTGGGAAATGGGTCGTGGATGCCATTAGGACTTGACGGTGTTGCCTGTTAATGGGGGTTAGCGTCTGGCAGAGATGGATAGACCAGTGAGGATAAGGGATGTAATACCAGATCTGATAGTTTTTGAGGAACTTCAGGGAAATGCGGTTCAGCCAGTCGAGCTCCTCGTGGAGATCTTTTTCCAGGGCGAAGATAATTTTGGCTCGGTAGATCCTGCCACCTCAATGTCAGTCATCCATGCCATCCCCGTATGCTCAGGTCGAGATCAGCGATCGACAACTTACCATACGGTATAATGGGCGGGGTTCATGGAGATGATATCTTCCGTTAGCTTCAGCGCCCTCTCGGACATCTCGTTGGCGGCCATCACGGCGCGCAGGTACGAGGTGGCCTCGAGGTACTCCGACGGGTAGGCGATGGTGGCCAATGGCAAGGAACCGGAATCAGAGCCATCATCCAGTTCGATGGGCTGAATGTTGGCCCATTCGGGGTCTGTGGAATAAGACTGGGACTCGGCCATTTGGAGGGAGATGATGCAGTGGCCGGCAGATCAGGGCAAGAATGGCAGAGCCAGAATATTACGGAGGCTGGTGATCTGTCGGGAAGAGCGCAAACTAGTCAGTAGAGATGAGGTCAAGAATATAGATCGCCGGAGGAGGAGAGAAGGAAAAGCGGCGAAGAAAAGCGCGGTGGGGCTGGCGGCCTGAGGCATCGATGAGGACAATGGGCGGCGGTCACTTGACCTGGCGGGCGTCAATCAGCAACAATCGCTCGACTGCTATTCTTGAATGAGTTACTTGGAGCTTGGAATGTGCTCAGAGGCAATGACTACTTAGACCCATGACTCTTCTTGAGGCTCTTCTTCTCGGCATTCCATCCGAAGGCGTCGGGTCCGTCCCCGCGTTGTAGATAGTGACTGTACTATGTAGCTATACATGATGTATACAAGAATGAAGTAGCTTACTATGCTCCCACGCAATTAATGCTCATTATGCTACTGATATTTCAACTCTATCGAGTCTACCTTGCACAGATGGTCCTTATACATGCGATACCACGTGACTCCTTCCCGAAGAGGCAATGCGGCCCCCGCGGCGGTGATTGGGTGCAGATAGCGGCCTGAGGCACATCCCCGCATTCTCTCCGCGTCTCTTCGTTGTTCGTCTTGTGTCTCTTTCCACTTGGAGCTGCTCTCTCCTCACCACTTGGCCACCATGAGTGCCACCGCTTCCTCCTCCCTTCTTCCTCCCTCTCACTTCCCCCCCTGATCCGGCTTAGTCGACAATGCGTCGTGTAAAGAAATCCCGCAACGGCTGTGCCCGATGCAAGAGCAAACGGGTAAGTGTCTCTCTACTGTCGGGAAACGAAAAGACCCGGGGAGAGGCTGAGACTTCCATTACCAGGTCAAATGCGGGGAAGAGAAACCTCACTGTAGTCGATGCACTCGTCTGGGTGTGAAATGTCCCGGCTACGTCCAGAATCTGCGCTGGGTAACTAAGTATCCCTCGGACTCAACTGGCGAGAACGAGGGCATTCTCCAGCAGGACAAACGGGACGGAGCCTCGTCACGATCCAACCAGTCTCCCAGCCTCAGATCTCTGGGCCTCGCCGACATCCTGTCCGATTCCTCGCTTCTGGTGGATGGCGGTGATGTCAGCCTCAACGCCGACAGCAACCCGACGCCGCAAGGGCTCGAAGTAGACGAGACAAATGCCCTCCGCGACAATCTCTGGAACTTGCAACAATCGAACTCACTGCCCGAACTGACCGATCTCTGTTCTCCGTCGCCGAACTCGACGTCATCGGTGCCGGGAGCTCAGCAGGGCAGCTCGCTGTTTGATTTCGAATTCGTCAACCTGACCGACAATCCGCTGGATTTGTTTTCGTTGGCCGCACCGGCACTCCAGAATGAAGCACACAGCTTTCCGGGCTTCGATCCTTCTGCTCTCGTCCGCAAATACCCTCCGGTGGGACCCAGTGCCCCTCCGCGAGACTTTCTGTCTATTCCCCAACCCCTGAACAACCCGTCCTGGACGCTCATCGAGTACTACTTCAAGGAAGTGGCGGCGCTGTTCTCCAGCTATGACAGTCAGATGAACCCCTTCCGAAGCACTGTGTCTCGCCTTTGGGGCTCCTCTCTGGCCATGTGTAAGACGATGCAGAGCATGGCTGCCGCCACGTTGGTCCACGACTTTCCCCAGTTCGGTCCCATGGGCCGCCGGTTGCGCAATGAGGCCGTCGACATCATCACGAAAGATGCCGCCATGGACGACAAGTCCCTGCTGGCCCTGCTGATGCTCGGTCAGACCGCCAGCTGGCACGACCCCAAAGACCTGGGAATCTCGTTCTTCAACCTGCTACGGAACCACCTCGACACCAAGCCGTTGAAGGACTCGAGTGCCCACCACGGCAACAACCATCAGTTCTTCGAAGAAGCCCTGGTCTACTGGGAAATGCTCCTCTCGTTCGTCGCGGACGACGCCACAGTCTTGTCGGGGAATACGGCCGTGGACTCTGGAGAATCACTCGTGCTGCAGCGCGTGCCGCATCCGTGGACGGGCATTGCGCGCGACACGCAGTTCACCGTGCAAGAAGTCGGACGACTCGTCCGCTGCGAACGCAAGCGCATCCGCCTACGGATCTTCACCTCGCACGCCGACATCGCGCAGGCTCAACGAGCCATCGACCAGGCCCGAGAACTCGAAGAACGCCTTCTCGGCCTCGCCCATCCTGCCGAAACTGAAATCGTCTGTCCCGGCGACGACGAAACCCCTGTCTGGCATCTCCTCACCATGGCCGAAGTCTACCGCTGCACGGGGCTCATGCAGCTCTATCGAGCCTTTCCCGACCTTCTTCGCCGTCGTTTACCAACCAATCGACGTCCGTCTCGCTCTTATCCTACCAATGAACCACCACCCCAGCAACACCAACAACCCACGACACCAGCCCCCCAAGATCCTTTCCTCCCCGTCAACAACCCCGATGTCAACACTGGCCCGGATGACACCACCAACCCTCCCTGGTTCTACGACCCATCCTACATCCCCACAGACCCAGACCTCGACCCAAACCACACTACCGAAACAGACCCCTCCTCCTCCCAACCCACCCCCCAAGACACAAGCTACTACGACAACTGGCTCACCGAATTCGCCCTAACCACACTCTCCCGCCTCAAGACCATCCCCCTAGAATCCCGCACCCGATGCCTCCAACCCTTCCTCCTCGTCGCCTCGAGCAGCGAACTCCGCCTCTCGCGGCCCCCATCTACATCCTCTACCTCCCTCTCCTCTGAACCAACCGAGGAAGCCGACCCCTCAGCGCCCAACATCTCCTCGCATGCCATCGAGGTCTCCCGGATGCGACGCTTCGTGCTAGGCCGTTTGACTTCCTATTTACATGTCCTACCGCCGAAGCCGATCGGGGTGTGTCTGCAGCTGGTGCGCGAGGTGTGGAAGCGCATGGATGCCGGCGAGACGGGGGTGTATTGGATGGACGTGATGATTGAGAAGGGGTGGGAGACGACGATGGGATGAGATGGGCTTTTGACGTGTCAATAGCGTTTTGGGTTTATTCGCTGTACATCATTCGTTTGTTTTGTATACATGGACGATTTATACCCTCGGGACATACATGATGTTGATTACATGTGGACTTAAATTGAGAAATTGAATATGATTATCCGTGTTGATGTCTATTATATATATAGTACAGTTTCGGGAGAACACTACAGGAATATGTCTAGGTTTTGATAAGACCAATGTATTCTCGATTTTCATGATAAGAATAGCATTACTACCTAGGTATTTGCGCGCGGTCACCGTTTCCACGCCTCCTTGACACCTATTTCTCAACCAGCAATCCAAAATACGTACTTCCATACGAGAACGGTCGTTCTCCGGACCGAGAGAAAGTAAGAAGAATCAACAACGAAGACACCCGAAAGGCCTGACAGCCATAGAAAGAAAATGCAAGTGAAAAGACCGGGTTATCATAACAGATAATGAATAGACATGAATTATTTATACACAGAATTTGAAAAGATAATAAAAAATGTAAGGATGAAGAGGAAGTAGCGACAGATTTGAAAGACAGGGTAAATAAATGCTGATTAAATGCATATCGTGAAATAGGTCCCATTTCCTTCAGGCCATGGATGATAACATGTGAATTCCAATAAGGTCGTGAAGGGCGAGTGAAGATGACGAGATTTGGCGCGCGAAGTAGAAGCGCAATTAGCTGGTGATTTTGTGAGCGATGAAGGCGAGATCATGGTCAGTGCATCGCGCGTCTCCAGAACTTCCAACCGTCGCGCTTCTCCTGCGTTCCCACACCCACCAGCTGTTCAATGCCTTCGGGGCCGTCGGCCAGTTCGAACTTTTGCTGGTCGATCTCCTCGCCGCCTTCTTCGTCGGTTCCGTTGCGGAGCACTGCAGGCCACAGAACGCCCACACCACCCCCTCCCAGCGTGGTTTCGTATTTCGTGAACCCCTCGGTGGAGAGTTTGCCTTCGAGATCCCGAACAGCGTTTTCGTCGGCATCCGGCCGCAGGAGGGTAATGGCGCATCCGCCCCCGCCCGCACCGGTCAATTTCGTCCAGCCAATGTCGGCGAAGTCGACCAGTTCGCGGATTCGCTCCAGTCTCGGATGAGAGACTCCAAGGGAAACCAGGAAGCCATGGTTGACCCGGATCAGGGTGCCCAGGTGCTCGAGCGTCTCTTTGGAAACCTCCTTCCCGTCGCAGCCGCGGATGAGTTCCTCCGCCGAGGCGTTGACTTTGTCGATGGCGTCGAGGATAGAATCCGTCACCAGGGGGTGTTCCTTCTTCAGTTTCCCGACCTTGGCGACTTCAGTGGCGGTGGAACGGGCCTGTCGCGTGTCGACCAGGAGCAAGGGCAACTCGGGGAAATTGGGGAGCGAGCAGACGGAGGGGGGCTTCGAGTAGTCTTCGCGTCTGAAGATCACGGCCTTGCCGCCCGCGGAAACCGTGTTGTCCACACCGCTGGGATTTCCGTGCGTACATAATTCTCCCACAAACGCCCAACGGTTGATGCGCTCAATCTGAGTCTCCGCCTCGTCAGGGGGTTGGTCCGGGTGAGGCCCGGCCAGGGTTCGGATTTGCAGAAGCAGCGCGGCGCTCAAGCAAACACAAACACTTGCGCTACTTCCCAACCCGGCGCCAATGGGGATCGTGGATCGAAGCGTGTAGATGGCCCCCGGGTGCTGTGGAGAGCCCAAGGAGCAGAAGAGGTACAGGAAGGCTAGTGCGGAGCGCCGATGTGTTTTTCGCTGTTCTTCCGGGATATGTGGAGAAACGTTGTCGACATGGGGCTGGATCGCGTCGAGCAGTTCGCTATCCAGGGAGGTGACCAGGTCGTAGTAGTACTTCTTTTTGGACGGGTGGTGGAAGACGTCCCACGGCAGGTCGTCGATGTTCCAGGTATGATCCAAGCCCGTATCTCTGAAGTTCAATGTGATGGTGCGCTGCGATTTGGAGAGGGTGGTGACGAGGAGGTAAGATCGGAGGGAGATGGCGGCGGCCATGGCGGCCTTGCCGTGCACGACGGCATGCTCACCAAAGACGATGACTTTGCCCGGCGCCGACACCATGAAGGGAGGCGCCATGGGCGACGAGATTTTCCTGGCCATGTTCTTGTAGATTGAGTGCACGGAGTTGGAGGGCGGGCTGCTGGTGGAGGTGGAGGTAGATAGGGTCACGGAGGCAGCGTCGGAGTTGTCTAGACTGTCATCGCTGGCGGAGGAGGTTTTCGAAGGGACCGGAGGAGATTGTTGGGATACGAGAGGAGCGATTGTGGCACGCTGACTACCCTTGCTGGCTCTGACACTGCCGTTCTTTCGGCGACCACGACCGTTGTGCATTGCGGCCTGCAGACCGCGACCAGGATGTAAGGGGGGAGACGAGCGAAAGGGAGGGGAGGATGACGTGGAGGTCGTAGCGAGGATTCTGGTGCTCACTGCAGGAATCTGACAGGGAACATGGCGCGCGCCGCGAGAGGCGGAGGATCGGAGAATAAATGGGAGGGAAGGGAAAGAGGCAAGTTGAAGAAGAGAGAAGCAGGAGATCCTTTCTCTGGGGGAAGTCGCCGTCGCCTGGCTGCTTTGGGGGCCTGGGCGCCTTAGGCTGCCGTCCCCTGGCCTTGGGCTTCCTGTATCGTCCCGTATCGGCTGTGTACCGTACCGTACAGGCGCAGCACGGTCGATCTAGGCCAATGATAATCCCGTGATTAGAGATGAGTCAGCTCATCTGAACCACGGATCGCTCGATTTGATTCACTTATCTCCATTTTAATTTTCCCAATTCACCAGATTTGATATCGCGGTCAGCAAATCAGCAGGCCGGCATTAGTTAGGATCCCGCGGAATGACTCTTGGTTGGCTGAATTGCAAGTGGAAAGTATTAGTATGGTATGGTATGGTATCATACCATACCAATGGTGTAAACTAAACAGCACCTGCCTCTTTGGGAAATCCTATACTTCTTTTTTCTCGCTTTTCTTCCTTCCCTCCTCCTTCTTCTACAGCAAGGTGTCACAATATATCTCCTAACTGCCCAATTATCTTGATGACCTACGTCCGCATCTAATGCTACTAACCTAGCGATAGAAGGATGAATCTCTGCGTGTCATTGAGCTAATCCTGCCTGCTACAGTGTCCAATCATCAATCAATCTTGAAGTAGCGCATAACATCCAAAACAAGCTGACAATCAATCTGGCTTCCAATCAATCTGGCTTCCAATCAACCTTGCATCGCTCACAAGCCAGCGGACCTCTTGGCATTGAAACCGTCGTCCTCAATGTTCTCAAAACAGAGCTGCCTGCATATCCCAGTGCATGTCGGGCTGTTCAGTGTCCTGAGGCCGGATCAGCATCCTTTCCAGTTCTCATGCGCATGCTCAGCCCACCACCAGACAATCCATACTCACCGGTTCATCGTGGTCCCGGTCCCGGTCAGTGCAGCAGTATCCACGGCAGCATTGGCGATCCGGATGGCATCGTCTGCCTCGTTCGCGGTAGAAGCGATAGCCTCCGTCGCAGCGGTGGCACTCGTGCCGGCGCCCGTACCGCTGGATTGAGTAGCACTCCTGGCCAGCAACCAGTGGGATGACGGCGGTGCTCGCGAGAAGAAAGATGGTGCTCAGCTGCATGACGGTTTGTGGGTTCGTTTCTTGGGGGGCAGTCGTATCAGAAGATCGAGTCTCAAGGTCGAATGAGTCGTGGAGAATATTTCGCACTTGTCCAGCCGACGAAATGCCTGCTTATATAGACGAGAGATCCAGATCGACAAAGTGACTCGCTATGACATCCGTAGAATCTATGAGGCAGTTGAGTTGAGCATCGACCAACTGATGTTGCACGATATCCTCATGAGTCGGAAGAGGCATTGAATTACGTAGCATGTTGTCCAGAGACCCCGACTTCTCTAAAAGCCCAACACGCGCGTGTCAGTCCTCCACTGGCTGGACTCGTAAGTACGGTGATACAGCTTCCGAACTGTGGGGGAGGTTGTGATCTAAAGCCGTTGTTGACATTCAATGATCATTTCAGCCAGATTCCAAACCGTCTCTACAAGCCCTAATTGGAGCTGAGCAGTTAGCCACCCCGGACTAGCATATCATATGATTGCTCCATAAAGTTCCTTGTGCTACATTGAACCTCATCCCGGTGGTCTTTGCGAAGGCAGCGAAGCTGATCTAGACAGCACTGGCATTGTAAACAGCAAGGCTCCTGCGAACGGCCTCGTCTCTCGGACTAAGCGTTTGCCATTCAGTGAGTAGGCTTCTAATTCCAATACTGGTCAGTCAGGGAAAGACGAAAATACTTTCTTCAATTCATTGATATCCACAGATATAAGCATGTACGTGCAACGTATTTATACAAGATCAGTAAAGACATGTCCCGCTCTACTAGGTATGTACCTAGATCTAATGGTCATAACGTTCGTCACAGGTTCATCGTCACAGTCATGCTGTTGCTATGAACCAGTAAGCAAGGCGGAAGGCCCTGCCAGAGCACCTCCAGATCACTCAAGTACGACTCACTCGTCGCCTCACTCTGCGCGGTGCCCTCGAATGGAGCCGGAAGCGTCGTGAAGATCACCGCCGTGTCGCTGCTGTGCTGGGCCATCAACTCGTTCAGAATCAGATGCTGTGCGCGACTAGGCAGGTCGTTGAATGACAGAGGGATGGATGCTTGTCGGGGATACCCCGATGCGGCTTGCTGCTGGTTGGACGTCCCCGAGGACGAACGCCGAGTGTATATCGACTCCATCCTGGTGACGCCCCGCGGGGAGGACGGGCTGGGTGCGAACATAATGGACGGGCCCGCGTTTTCGTCCGTGTTGACTCGCGCCTCCGGGATGGGCGACGAGCTGAACCGGTTGCTGGATGGGGAGCGCGTCACCGGGGGTCGGACAGGCTTGGTTTGGCTTTTGCTTTTCGGGGAGGCATCGCCGTCGCCGCTCGTGACGATAGATGGGATTCTCGGTCGATCACCGTCCCCGCCAGATGTTTCTTTGGGCGTCTTCTTGCTGGATATGTGTGACGAACTGGGCCCAGACTCACGCTCCAGGCTGTCGTCGTCGTCACTAAGGTCCTTCCCGATGTCCTCTTGTTCCTCATCACTGTGATAAGGCTCAAATTCGCTGTCATCGCTGTCACTTGTAGACGATTCTGATTTGTCGTAATCCACGAAAGCATCGAGCAATCGGTGCGTTTGCATGCCAAGGCTGACGCCTCCGAACCCTCGGAAGCTGGAAATCGAGCGTCGTCGTCTCGTGGACTGAACAAACTTCCTCAGTCCACCAACTAGTTGATTTGGATGTTTCTGGTGGCTCTCGAAGCTGGAGGCACCATGCCAGCTGGTGACTCGCTCCAAGGGATTGACTGAACTGTATTCGTTTGGAGACTCTCTCGTGGTTCTGCGTGCTGCCTGAATGTCCTGCCACCATTCTTCATCCTTCAGTGTCGTGTGAACTCTCTCTTGCCAGTCTTCGGTCTCGGGCGAAGTGTCACCGTTCACGATTATCCGATACGCGTTGACGTCGCCACATGCGAGCCAGAACACCAGCACTTCGGCTTCAATCCTTAGCTTCTCGAGAAGCGCCTCAACTCTTCCGCGCTCATCAGCCACGTCAGTCTCGTACTCCACAAACACTGCCACCCGTAGCTTGTACGTTTTCTTCCACGACGGCACGGTGTTGAGGATACACCCTAGTTGAAGGATCAAGGTGTATGTGTCAAAATTGGTGGTCAACACGTTTTTCTTGCTTTCGGTATCAGCGCCAAGTTCTGCCGACATCTGAATGGGCCAAAGATCGATGTATTGCTTCGTGTGCTGGCCTTGCGGACCAGGCAGCTCCAGATCCTCAAATCCTTTCGCCACGGCAACATTGATGCGCAGTTTAAAGAGAAGATCTTCTAGAATCGTCACGTAGCTCTGACATTCTACCGACGACTCGGGAGACTCTTGCTCAGATAATTCCGAGATTCGGTCCCGAGAACTACGTCGACCATTCGAATCTTTCCTCTGGCTAGCAGGTTGCAGTGTCTCGGCCAACGATTGGCCCTTTCGAAATTGGTCGATAACAACGATGTTTGGCCGCATGCCACCAAGACCAGAGTTCAGGACCACGTTCCGGACGCCCCATTCAGGAGAAGGGGACACAGCGATGTTGACGAAAGCCTTCACCTTCGAGGATTCCACGAACTTCGTCCATGTACTCTGCTGCCGGCGGGCTTCAGGGACCGCGGATGAAAAGTCATCGGTAACTAGAACGTGGCCCAGCACGAACAATGCTCCCTTCTTGAGAGAATTACAAAACGATACCATTTTGAACTGATCGTCCAAATTGGTCACGAAAAGAAGGATCTGAGGTCGCCAGAATTTGACGTGCTCTTGTCGAAGTCGCAGCAAGTATTTGCGTACTTGATGGTATATCAAACTTTGGCTGACATCGCCCCACGGCTTGGGCGGGGACGTATAGTGAATCAGCAGGAAAAGGAGGAACAAGATGGCAACGCAGCCCGTTGCATATACGCCATCGACAAAAAACATACTAGCTCCACAGACCAAGGCACCAGTTGCCGCCGTCTGCCATTTGAAGTAATGGAAAGACGGCCGAAAATTGGGCGCGGATCCAATCTTGAGCAGAAAACAGGCGAGGTTCATGACCAAGAAAGTCATAAGATATGTCATGGTAACGAATGATGCAATGCGATTAATATCGAAGAGCATGGTGAGCTGAGCCACTGCAAAAGTCACGATAATCGCGTAGACCGGCTCGTCGTTCTTCTTGGTTCCTTTACTGAAGACACTCAGTCCGGGAAGCAGACTATCCCGCGCGATTGCCTGTAGAAGCTTTGCAGACCCGATGACTCCCATCAAAGACGAGAAGAAAGAAGTAGCAAATTCTCCTAGAAGAATCACCACGCCGGAGAGATTGGTCTAAATCTCATTTATAAGCATTGGCATCTCATTGAGTGGCACAGATCCAAGGAACTCACAGCTTGAACAATGTTGGTATTTTTATAGAACGAGTCTCTTGTTACTGAGGCAGCCATTGCAAGGATCACAATGGTGTAAGTAACAAATGTCAAGGCCAGTCCCGAAAGCGTTCCCTTAGGGATAGATCGGCTCGGGTTCTTCAGATCGCCAGACATGCTTGCGCCACTATATGCTCATTAGTTTTGCTGTGCACGGTTGGGGCAACGGCAAACTGACGCAAATATTCCACCAGTCGCTGGGAACAGGATCCCAAAGAGGTCTTGAAAGTTTTCTTTCCCTTTAAGCTGACTTCCAGCAGCGCCTTTAGTGAGCCTGGGTTTGAGGTTCTCCAAGAGCGTCTGCAGCCGGATACCGGTGAAATCCACCCCGAGTTTTGGAATGCTAAACGGCTTCATAACCAACGCAGATACAGGGATGCTGAAAGTGGCCACGAGTAGAATGACGAGCAATCCGTTGCTCGCCCTAGAAAAAATCGAACTTCCAGCCAAGCAGATCCCAGTACATAGCACTAGGACTATGGTTCCCCAGAGATACTGCCACCAGAATCCTTCTTCCAGGAAATTGGCCCAGGTGCCAGACTTCGACCCGAAATTCTGGGTGAAGCAGTCTATGAGACCGACAGCGTTCATTCCTGTGTTCAACACATAGCCCAGATAGAACACTATTCCGATAGAGCCACCAAATTCCGGTCCCAGTGATCGAGAAATCAGATAGTATGCGCCACCTCCTTTGACAGTTCCGTTGGTCGCAATGGCCGAGAGAGACATCGTGGTTACCAGATTGATAGTATACGAAACAACTAGCAAACCTTGATAGGAATGTCAGTTTCCATGCTCGTTTGATTGATAGGCGGACAAGAAAACTTACCTAGCGTGCCTAATACACCGGCTTGTCCTAGGACAAACCCGAACCGCAGGAACATGAGGATACTCAAAACATTCAGGGTAGTCGGGACGAAAACCCCAGAGAACGTGCCGAGCTTCTCATCGCCATCGAGCGCACGGTGCTTTTGGTCTTCTTTTTCCTTTGGATTGACACTTGCATCTCGGAGTGGCCCGGCGGGCAAGGGAACAGTAGGTCGCGATCTCTCCGGGGGCGCATCCTGCCCTTCTTCGTCTCGGGGCTTTTTCCCCCATTGAGAGAGGCCACCGAAGAAGTTGAAGGGCAATGAGTGGCGTTGGCGCTCCGATGAGTGAGTCGATGAATTCAATGGCTCATATGGACGAAAAGAAAGCGCGGCTCTCAGGTTGAGGAATTTGCTCGTCTCCTCCGGCGAAGCGCGAGGCGAGTCGCTGGGGGCCAGTCTCGAGACATCTTCTTCGGCGGTTCGCGTGGAGAAATTGGGTCTTCTCCGCGACAAAGACTCCGAGGCGCTTTCGTTCCGCCCGCTAGGCATCGAATAAAGGTATCGGGATCTGGATCGCAACGAGTAGCAGATAATGAGGTAGACGGAGGCGGCGTGGCTAGCATAAACATAGAATCCCGTTGATAAAGGGTGGAGAGACCGTGGATACTTCTAACGTAGCCAAGGCCGACGTGGATCTGGGTCAGCGATCAACCACTCGATTAAACTACCGTCAGGATCCGGTCCCAAAGACAGCGTCGAGTGATCGAAGAACGGCGGAGGGATTCAAGTCGCGTTGATTTGCTTGGGCCGCCGTTGATGACTTCATTCGCTGCAAACAATGCAAACCCCACCGCCGGTCCAGTGACTCCGCCTATACGGATTCACCAGCCTTCTTCTTCTTTTCTTTTTACTGCTTTGACTTGCTGCTGGGAGAACTCGTGGTGGAACTTGTTTTTCTTTTCTTTTTTTTTCTTGTCCACGTCTAGGATCGGTCAGCTCTCCGTCCACATTCCTCGTGTTTCCATCACCTCCCGTCTGGTATCTCTTACCTGCCATTGTCAGCACCTCAACTTCAACGTCCGGCACCACTCCCAAGGAGGGTTTGAAATCAGACGAGCAGGCGTATCTCCCAAGCTGGTACCCAGACGGTCTTCGAGTGTCCTAGAATCACGATCAAAATGGCTTCTCCCGGCACCTCAGACAATGGAGAGCAGTCCTCGGCCCAGCAAGACTATCAGTCAACGCCTCTATCTACCAGCGCGCTGCGCACCGGCTCACCTGGACCAGACGCTAGACAGGCTTCGATCGCACGCCTGGCTTCCCCCGTTCCTTCGGTGCCGAATTCCTATTCGGCTCGACCGACACCCGTGCCGATCAACGCTGCTGCACCGAATGGCGAGCATGATTATCGCAAAGTTGACAACCCGTCCTCGCTACCAGGCCCCGGTCAGTCCATGATCGCGTCGGCGCTTCAAGACAGCCTCGGACGCTCGCCGCCCAGACTGGGGACCCCACCGAGACGCATCGCATCCCCTGCCTTGCAGCAACCTCAGCCAATCAGATCCAATTATGGCTCGTTCGATAACAAGGCTGGCTCAGAATATTCGGCAGGCCCGTATGAGGATCCCGAGGTTATCAAGCGGCATTTAGTGAACCCGCAACTTGCAGTCGAGAACCGCGACATTCATTTCTCTGGGGATGGCGCAAGTAACGCGGACGATGAATTCTCCAGCCTGCAGCTGCAGGGAGGTGACATCACACGACAGGTATACCGATGGGCGGAGGATGCGGATACAAGCCATCCTGCGAAGAGACACCTTCGAAGCAAGAGTTTCAGCCTTCACCGCCCCGCACCGGAGACCGAGACGATGGACATCAACAGTATCCGGGTTCCAGGAGGATTTCGACGAGACTACATAAGGCGAGCAGCGGGTCCTCTCCCTGGAGATGGTGAAAGTCCCGGGCCTCAGTCGATCGCCGCTCAGCCTCAGCTTCCAACCACCAGTTTTCTGGAATTCCTTACCCTTTACGGCCACTTCGCAGGCGAAGAGCTGGAAGAGGATGACGAAGTCTTGGGGCCTGACGAGTACTTCTCTTCTGACACCTACGACGAAGAATATAGGGAGCCTGGAGAAGACTCCGCCTTGCTTCGTCCAGAAACCCCTGGCAGAAGGAAGCGAAAGCCGCGTGGAGGAACCGGGACTAATACTCGGACCGGAGCGGCCCTTCTTCTGTTGAAGTCATTCGTTGGCACGGGAGTCCTATTCTTACCGAGAGCATTCCTCAATGGTGGTATGCTGTTTAGCAGCCTAGTCTTGCTCGGGGTCTCATTGCTTAGCTTCTACGCCTTCATTCTTTTGGTGAATGCGCGATTGAAGGTTGACGGGTCATTTGGTGACATTGGTGGCGCGCTTTATGGAAAGAACATGCGGCGCATTATCCTTGCATCCATAGTGCTCAGCCAACTGGGATTTGTATCTGCATACATTGTGTTCACGGCTGAGAACCTGCAGGCCTTTGTCCTGGCTGTCAGCAAGTGCAAGTCCTTCATTGACATCAAGTTCATGGTGTTGATGCAATTGGTTATCTTTTTGCCCCTTTCGTTGGTTCGCGATATTAGCAAGCTTGGTTTCACGGCATTGATTGCGGACGTCTTCATCTTGCTGGGCTTGATTTACCTCTACTACTACGATATCTTCACCATTTCAGACCAGGGCGGCGTTTCAGACATCATCTCGTTCAACCCTTCCACCTGGACGCTGTTCATTGGGACCGCGATCTTTACCTACGAGGGAGTCGGTCTTATCATCCCCATTCAAGAATCCATGAAGCACCCTCAGCAATTTCAGGGCGTCCTTGCCGGTGTCATGGTTATCATTACGATCATCTTCCTTTCCGCAGGTGCCCTCAGTTACGCAGCATACGGATCTGCAACGAAGACCGTGGTCATTCTCAACCTTCCTCAGGACGATAAATTCGTAAATGCCGTTCAATTCCTCTATTCCCTAGCGATCCTGCTGAGTACTCCACTGCAACTCTTCCCGGCCATCCGTATCATGGAAAACGAACTGTTCACGCGCAGTGGCAAGTACAACCCTAAGATCAAATGGAAGAAGAATTGCTTCCGTTTCTTCCTGGTCATGATTTGCGCCTTTGTCGCTTGGGGTGGAGCCGACGACCTTGACAAATTTGTGTCTCTTGTCGGCAGCTTCGCCTGCGTTCCTTTGATTTACGTGTACCCGGTAGGTCATTCCCAATTGAATTATCTCAATGATAACCAGGCGTCGCTAACTCGTTGTTCCTAGCCTCTTCTGCACCTGAAAGCCTGTGCTCGTTCAAGACGTCAGCAAATCGCTGACATTGCCCTCTCTATATTCGGTGTTGTCTCTTGTATCTATACCACCGCTCTAACGATGTCCAATTGGGTGAGTGGAGGAGAAGTCAAGCCCCCTGGATACTGCGACTCGCAGTCCGGCTAGACCAACTACCTCCTGCACCCCATTTACCCTGTGATGTACCCAGCATTTTTCGTGCCATGACACTGGTCGCTTTTGGAACACGCGTCCCCTATTATGTAAATGACTGATGCTATGCTGCAACGTTCGTCTGCCAAGCGAAGCCAGTATGTGAGCCCTTTTTCTACTTCTGTTTTTGTCTCTCTTTGTCTGTCTTTGGTTTCTTTTCATTCTTTTCTTGTCATTTTGAATCACGTTATCTTTTCCTCTTTTTCTTTTTATCCTTTTTATTATCCTTTTCTTTTTGTTGTTTATAGACGCTGTACTACAAATTGGTCAACATTCGTACTCGATTTCTTTTCGTTCTATAGTATAGGATCTTCTTTCGGATATCTCTTCTTTCCCTTCAGACCGTATTCCTGTTGCCCTTGGTTTTTTTTAATATCATTTCTCATCTTAGCTAGAAGAGGAGACTAATATAAAAACCATCCAATAAAACATTTCGAGCATCATCATTTGCTACTCAATCACAGCTATCCCAACCGAGCAGGATGCAAGCCCTCCTCGCTTGTAAGCGCTGGTTCGTCCCCAGGCATAGCTAAGCAGCAGTCATAAAAACTATCCGGAATGAAGGCACATGTGTAGCAATCTATGATCATTCGACCAAGCCGCCCCCAAGCCGACAATGACCAGAACCTATAACAGCACCGAGCAACAGCATAGTGCTCGCTACCTATCCTCTGGACTCCCTTCGAAGAGCTTCGCTTCTTCACGGGCCATCATCAGGGCCCTCATATTCCGCTGTTCAAGCAAAAGAAGGAGTGTTTTATGATCCTGGAGGGCGTTGTCACGACCAACGTTAGCGTTGGCCCCTTTCTCCAGTAGCAACTGAACAACATCCTCATGACCTCGAGATGAGGCGGCCCGGAGAGCAGAACCATATTTACCACCGAGCGCATTGACGTTGGCTCCTTTCTGTAGCAGCAGCTGAACAACGACCTTATGGCCTTGGTATGAAGCTGCCTGGAGAGCAGAGCCATATCGGCCACCTTGAGCATGGACATCAGCTCCTCGCTGCAGCAGGTTTTCTACCGTATATCGGAGATTTGCCAAAGATGCGAAGTACAATGGTGTTGCCATCTCCCCTCCATAGATTTGCGCCCACGGATCAAAAAGCTCAACCCAGGTTGCGTATGCTTGCTTTTGCTGAAGGAAGAAGCTTAAGATCATTTTCTGGACGTTCTCCTCGCTCTCAGCAATCTTTGCATGACCCATCCAATATTGCGCTGAATACTGTGCCAGTGGGAATTGCTCTCTGCAGAGTCCCCAGGTTCCACACTCCTCGGCTAGATGCGACAAGTATGCCAAACATATCATCGTTATGGATGCCCTTGTTCTGGTCTCATGGAGTTCGCCTCTGAGCTTCGTAACTTTGTGACTCATGTTTTCTGATAAGGTATCTTCGTCGATTCGTTTAGGACTGAGATATTGCTGGACCGAAAAATGCGCCAGTTGAAGCTCCAGAATGGTCTCTCCAACTCCATCTAGCTCAACTTCCACGAGAGATACGAGGCTTGGACAAATTCTCGTTATGTCCCGAGGGTTTGGCATCCTTGATTTGAAGTCAAAAGGAGGATTCCGGCTCGGATCAACTACCAGAATATCAACCGCTTCTTCAAGTCTTAGCGGCCGTTCTGCGTAAGTAAGAAACTGTAGAAGCTTGATGGCGTAATCGAAGTAGTCCTCATCGATACCATCTACGATTCGATCGTAGATCTCCTCTATTCTCTCGGGTAGAGACTTGAGAGTCTTCTGCAGCGTTCGGCGATCCAGGCAGTTCTGTAAAGTATCAAGTTGGCACTCAGCCAACCTGATCCTGGATACATAGTTTGCTCTTTGCACTTACAACCTAAAACCAGGTTTAGGACATGTATCTCACTCTCCATGAGCCCTCTGCACAAGTTCTCTTTCGATTTCTTTTTGCACGAAAGGGTCCGAACGCCACTTCTCAAACGCATCATCATGCTGGAGTCGCCCTCGAACATATGCACGAATAGTATCATCCACAAAATCCGGCTGGATAAAATCTCTGTCGTCCTGGCACATCAAGTCTTCCATCTTAGATTCCATGCTTTCCACTAGTGCCAAGGAGGTGGAGTCCAGGGTATGCAGAGCTTGCGAGAAAAGATAGTGATGTAGGCGTCTCTCGTGACGCCAAAGAGGGTGTTTTTGTCAAAGACTTCACTTGAAGAGGGCGCCGTAGAAAAGTTCTCGAGCACCTAACTATGAAGCTTATGCAGCAATCATTCGATGATCGCAAAGACGAGATAAGCATGGGATCAGTCACCAAAGGTGGTCATGGACCAGTCAATTCCAAGCACCTCTGTGCCATCGCTGCTGAGAACTGCCAGACTTTGGTAGCCTGACCAGAAGAGCTGCCCAATGTTGTACACACCTATGCAACGGTACACAAATAACCTCATACAATCAATGTCGTGTGTGGATGTTACCATGGTAGGGTCTCGGAACGGGTTGTGGGTATTCCGGAGAAAAGCAGGTTTAGTGTTCATCTATGTGACATTCGGCACTCAAGAAAGAGACATTTAATGCCATCTGCGCCATCACGGTAGACAGGGAAGGAGAGCACCATCACATAGATCAGCACTCGGGGCCATGGAAGGCATGATCAAGTGGAAACAATAACATCACTCGCACTTAGTAAGGTCCTTCTTGTTGGATCTTACTCTTCTTTTATCATAATGCTGGGTTAGAAATAGTATTCACCTTGTCATAAGATGGTGTAGCAGATGTTGGTGGCCCATTTCTCTTGCACATGAGTTTTTGTGGAAGATTCCAGTAACTGCATGAGAAATGGAGATCCTGCATTCGAGCTATAAAGCTCCAATATAGTAAAAGCGAAAGATTTTATTGATTTTGCTATTATATTGCATATAAAAGGACTCTTCTTTTTATATAGATAGTCTTAGTTGACACGGTGAGCGGGTGCCCTTCAAAGACGTTCCATGGTTAGATGTTTGTAGGGTGATTGATCTTTGGGAGATGCTGAAGGTGCCAGTAGGACGCCACATAAATGCAAACCAAGTCACTCCAAAATTCCTCCATGACGTCATTTTTGGGCCAAATTCTTGCCCGGCTAGCTCAATCGGTAGAGCGTAAGACTGTGTGTTCCCAGATTGATTCCCTTCCGTTTCCATCACTAACCTCCTCCCAGTCTAATCTTAAGGCTGCGGGTTCGACCCCCGCGTTGGGCTACTTCTTTTTTTTCCACGCAGTCATTTGCTTACGTGGTGAATATGGTAGTGTATGGTTGGTGTAGGATGGATAGTTACAGCTCAGTGAGTGAACTCTTCCAATGTTCCTTGCAATGCTCTGATTTTCAAAGATCCCCAAGTCTCCGTTTGGAAAATCTCGACCGCAACAACGACGAGCTATACGGCCTCGACCGATTGAGCTAGCCGGGCAGGGTTGGTTTTGATGTCCACTATTTGACCTTGTAAATAAGGCTATCAAGAGACCGCAATCCGAACCATTCGGCAGTTTCTCCTGGTCGAGTTGCATATCGCATCGCATCTCAGGCCTGCATCCTGCCTGTGTGGGGGCATCTACCTTAGGTGAGTGTTCTACCGAAATTGTGGCTCTCTTAGCAGAGCTCCTCGCGCGTCCTGCACCTCATGAACCCTCTCGGTCATGACTTTATCGCCTCCTCTCCAGCTGAAGACCAACAACTTTCTACCGAACAACCCACCCCCACCCTTATCCAGATCGCGCGCGATTGCGCCCGCTCAGACCCCAAAGTCGCAGGGCACCTTGCGTCCGGAAAATTCCAGTACTGGAACTGTACATTGGAAGATATAGTGCGAGCCACCCCCACAGCCACCCCGCCATTAGGCCAACAATACTAGCAGCAGCAGCAGAACAAGAAACCCTGTCCTCCTCACTCTATGGTCGTATGAACCAGATACTCTGTAGATATGGCATGTATCATTGGGTATTTCAATGGACAGTGGGTTCGATCGACAGCATAAGGTCAAAATGCCAATTGTGCGAAATAAACATCCACTCAGAAAATCCTATCCCAAACACTCTCTCCCGAGTCCAAAGAATCGGCTTCCCTCCGTACCACGTCCGCTCGGAATCTCTGGAAAGCCTTCTCGATCCACTGGGTCTGGCATAATCTAGTGTGTCAGGGTCTGGATCAGTTCGTTGCCTTTATACTGCGCATTGACAGTTGATATTTACATATTCTGGTTGATATTGGAATCTGAAGCTTGAAAACGATCGGTCGTGATTAGATTATTGTTATACATGTGCGACACGAATGATGGCTATGGCCGCGCGGGTATAACCAAGATTGCTTGATCAGATCGATTTGATTGAGTTCGACCAAGGGAGGCGATAGAATCAATACTACATCTGAATAGCACATTCGGAACGTTCATAATATCCAGAATTAGAGTTGGGTATGCTATAGTGCAGTACCCCGTATTCCAACAGGTTTCTTACTCAAACCGCGGAGAGCCGGAGGTATAGATTCCCAGCAGGCTCTGGCAACCAAATCAGATCCACCACACCACAAACAACACATTCTCCTGTAATCTCATATCTAAAAAAATAGAGATATCACGCAAGAAAACAAAAATGCCATTTCGAAATATTCGTATTGTCTAGAATCTACAGCTGAATATATAAAATGGCCAACCTTCCCAGCCACACAGTCCCGCCATAAAATGCAAAGGAAGAAAGACAGACAGAAAGCAGGCAAGCAAGAAATCCACCGAAGAGGACGAATTTAAGCACCAGCTTCGGTGGCGTCCTTGCCCTGCTGAGCGGCCTGGGCGGCGAGCTTGGCCTCGTGGCCACCCCAGCTAATGACAAATGACGTTAGCGTTGTGCTTTTATTCCCGTGGAGAATGATTTTGAAAGGATCGGGGCCGAATAGACATACTGCCAGTAGTTCATATAACGGTAACCTTGTGTCAGCTGGGCACCAAGGTTGGTGGTGTGGCAGGCGAAGAGGAGGTAGTTGGCAGGGGTAACGGCAAGAGCGTAGCGCATGAAGGTACCAGCGTAAATGATCAGAGCACCGGTCATCTGTCCAGAGATGCTGTTGAGGTGAAGAGGTGTGGTCAGCCATCGTTTGTTCGTCTCTCATCATTCCAACCCATTTATTCCCGCCGGAACTATGTGCTGTCTTCCCGATGGGCCACGGATCGAGGGTGGTATCCCAGGAAGACAGAAAGAAGATCGAAGAGCGAACATACATTTCAGGGTCCTTCTGCGTGTCCATAACAGCCGCAATGGGGATACCGAAGTTGGAGGCAGGGCCCCAGAAATCTGCACCAGAACCATGTCAGCTCTCCGTATCTGTGAACATTCTGACGATGAGAGACCACGCTCGCCAAGACGCCTCGTTGATTGTTTTGAAAGCTTTTCATAGATGCGACCCGGTTCTCAATGGCGTCATGCGGTGCCTGGCCTGGCCCATAGGTAATGTGCCATTGCAAGCCCTTGTCTGCCGGCCGGTCTCGGTGACGACGAGCATGAGGGAGGAAATATCGCTCGAGTACATACGCGTGGAGCAGAAGTAATCCAGAACCTTGTTGGAACGGATCTTCGCGTTGATTGCCTTGATCGCAGCGGCCATTTTGACGGAGAGGAGATTGTCTGGGTTGAAGACGAGGAGAGGGAGAGGGAAGGAGAGTCAGAAACACGGAGGCCGTTTTGCGATGACCGACTGCGGAGTTGCCCGGAGATGTCACGTGCCCACGCGACAATGGCCGGCCTGCCCTGCGTTGAATGCTACGATACCCACGAGACTACGACGCCAGACAAGAACATACGTATTGGGATTTCACTAATCGAATAATTGCGTGCAACATAATCTAGCATTACACCTGTCGGTCCTCGACTTTTCTCTGGGGCTCGACCTTTTGCTTTTCTTGGCACTCCCCTGCATCCGTACACGCCGCAACGCCTTTGCCTGATTCAATTCGGGATGCTGTGCTGGACCTATTCCATGAACAGGTGTATGTAGTGGAAAGGATAGGTTTTCTTTCGGGTTCCGATTCTGATATGCCGCCATACTACACCCATGGCCGGAACTTAGTAGAGCTTTCAGGCCGGGTCGGCCAATTGATTGAATCACCGTCCTCCAAATCCGGGAGGAGGGAATCCCCGTCCCTGACCGGGAGGCTGGAATCCGGGAGGAGGCTGGAAAGCGCCCGCTAGAGTCGTACATATCAGCAGATATATCACAGTATCAAATGGGACAAAGACTTACGAGGGCCACCCTGAGGCGCAAATCCTGGAGGCGGCGCAAAGCCGGCTGTCTCGCGCGTTAGCAAATGCATATTACACGAGGAACTCGTCATGGTAAGATAGTTTCAACTTACGGGGTCCTCCTGGGGGACCGCCACGGCCACCGAATCCCGGAGGAGGCGCGCCTGGGAAACCACCCGGGGGGAAGCCGGGGAATCCACCGGGCGGAGGAGGCCCTCCAACACCGGCGGCCGGACCACCAAGGCCAACGGGCAGACCACGTCCAGCGGGTTTGCTAATTCCAGGGCCGGCGGCGAGAGTGGCGGCGGCGGCAGCAGCGCCGGGGCCACTTGTTCCAAGTCGTGCAGAAGGATCGGCGGGGGGTGGTCCATCAACGGAGCAGGAGACGACATGGGTACCGCGAACAATCGTGAGACCAAGGGTTCGCTTTTCTTCCGATTCCACCAGAGGAGTAGTTGCGGGGGCAGCGGCGGGCTTGGACTTCCGTTTCACGCGACGAAATTCTTCTGTATCGGCGAGGACGAGGTTCATGTGCTGACAGTAACACCTACGCGTTAGCGAGACTGGCCAATTGACGAGAAAAGTAAAAGGTTGAAAGAAGAGAGTAGGAGAGGCGAAGGGTCTTTCGGATGGCTGAATCTTTAGTTACCTTATCAAATGCGAGCATCTGGCCGGTCATCTGTCGGCCGTCGTTGAGGGTCACCCTCATCCGGTAGTTGATCTGCGAGACGTTCAGCTTCTTGAATTAGAATGAGACAGAGTGTGCATCGGCGTCTTACGAGGTTTTGCTATTCAAAAAGTCCAGTTAGCGCATCAGTTCAAAAGGGACGAAACAAGACCCATTGAGGTCGGAGATCATGACTTACCATCTTGCCTTGCTTGTTGGCGGCCATGGTGGCTGAGAAGGTGCGCACGAATGCGACAACCAGAGAGAATACCAAAGAATAACCGTGAGATGAGGTAGAAGAGAGACTTCTACGGAATCTGCACGATGCGCCCGTGGGGAAAGCTGGAGAACGGGCAAAGGCAGGAGCTCCTCTGAGAGTCGCGGACTTTGCTGAAGCTGCGGCAACGTGATCTAGACGCGGCTCCGCGGATTAAGCGCCAGCCGACGGCGCCAAGACGCTAAGGGCTCTCGCTTCCCTTTCCCAACCCACACATTCTCTTTTACACACTTTCCGCTCCTTCGAATCTTCCATTCAACGAGTCGACCAGTTCACGCCAAAGTAGTCGCCATGGTATGTTGCCGCCCTGCCTCATTTCACTTATTGTCGCCATAATTTTCAATTCTCTCGCAAATTTTTGATTCTAACGTTATCGCCATGCAGTCGGACGGAAAGGACAAGAGCGCAAACCCCATGCGCGAGCTGCGCATCCAGAAGCTCGTGCTTAACATCAGTGTCGGAGAGTCTGGTGATAGACTCACCCGTGCTGCTAAGGTGCTTGAGCAGCTGAGCGGTCAGACTCCGGTCTACAGTAAGGATGCCCGAAATCAACAAGAATTTCCTTCGATACGAAAAGAAAAAAAAAATCGATTCGAGATGGAACCATGTGACTGATGGGAAATTTTTTTCGATCTACAGGCAAGGCCCGTTACACCGTCCGTACCTTCGGTATCCGTCGTAACGAAAAGATTGCCGTCCACGTCACCGTCCGTGGCCCCAAGGCTGAGGAGATCCTGGAGCGTGGCCTCAAGGTCAAGGAGTACGAGCTCCGCAAGCGCAACTTCTCCGAGACCGGCAACTTCGGCTTCGGTATCAGCGAGCACATCGATCTTGGTATCAAGTACGACCCCGGCATTGGTATCTACGGCATGGACTTCTACTGCTGCATGTGAGTGCACCCCCGGAACTGATGGCAAGATTTAAGTGGGGAGACTGACATGGATTTTTTTTTTTTAGGACTCGCCCCGGTGAGCGTGTTGCCAAGCGTCGCCGCTGCAAGGCCCGCATTGGTACCCAGCACCGCATCAACCAGAACGAGACCATCAAGTGGTTCAAGAACCGCTTCGACGGTATCGTCCGGTAAATGTTTTTTTTTCATTGATGGGGTTGTCAAATGGGGGAAAGCCTTCGGCTTGTGATTACGATGAATCGATTAAAAACGGCAGACCGGCGTTCTGCTTCGAAAATGCTCTTTTCTACCACGACATGAGGAATAGGCGTGTTAGAGATATCAAATTATCCAATTTCCACAATGCATCCACTTTTCACAATGAAGGCTTCACAAAGGGTGATGAATTCCGCATAACCATTGATGAAAAGTTTCACATGATGCTTCCCTACGCATTCTACCCTGAGTGGTGTTGCATGGGATGGTTTTTTCTGGCCGTTGCTGCTCGTCGTCTGAGATTCAGATGCACGACTGCCTCCCTCGTTCGTCCTGGGAACGTTGCTCTCATCAACATGTCACCATGGACTGAACATCAACTCCCATGGCCACTAGGATGGTACGGATATTGATCCGGCTCCTGGCTTTTGGTCTGGTGTGTTATCCTCTTAACGAGCCCTGTGTCCCTCGGACAAGTCACCTCTTGGCTTCGTAGTCGTAGATACTGGTAAACCACTTATGCCCAAGTACTCTTGTAGCCTTGAAAGTCGATCTTCAGTGACTGATAAACTCGGGTTGGCCTGAGGATTCAGTCACGGGATCTCTCGTCTTTTCTCTTGCCATCTCGACGGAGACCTTTCTTCCTTGCTCCCAAGTTACGTTTTCCCTACGTGGAATTCGACGACCTTCATATTTCATTGAATATTCAATGCAAATGCTTATGATTCATTCCACATGATCAATTTCTCTTGTTCTTTTCATCCAGTCCTCTGAAGAATTAAGGAAAGCAACGCAGCATCACAGCTTGAGCATATCAGAACAAATACACTAAACAACTTGAAACAAAATGACTGTCCTATCACATGCGACCGGCGAAATCATTTCCCAGAACAATACTTTCCAACTACGAAAACGGTTTAATTGCCACGCGTATATCCATCCCACCATTTCGAGAAAAAGCCGCCCTGCTGAGACTGTTCATGGTAGCTTGCCCGACGAGCTGCATCGGTCGAGTTCCGTTTCTGGCTCGTCAGACTCTCGAAAAGAGTCGACGGTCCGTGGCCGCTAGATCGTCTTCTCTCCGGAGCAGTGGGCGGACTGTTGTTATTGTTCGCAGACGTCGACGAAGATGCGGAGTCCTGCATGGCGTCGAGGCCTCGTGGTTAGCACTGCATTTACCTGGGGGATAGTTATGATCTACAGAGATGGAGACAATGCAGACGTACACGTCTATCAGCCATGGCATTGACAGCCTCAGTCATAGAGGGTCGCCGGCCCTGGTAGGCCTGTGCAGGACCGCCTCTTACCCAAACATTATGATGCTCGTGACGATTGCCGATATCACCGTGCCAATGGCGGGGTGACTCGGGTTGCTGGTTGTTACTACTCATTGCAGCAGATGATGATGGTCAAGTAGTGTGGTGATGATACTTGATGGATCTATCAGCAGGAGTCCTTGAGATTGAATGATGATAAAAAGCAGACAGGATGCAGTGCTTTCAACACAAGATGAAGGCAGACGAGGTGGCTCGATCGAGGATGGTGACGACGGTTAAATGTCCGCCGGGGAATCCAGACGTCATCGCGCTTGATTGGATGCCGTAAGGGACATTGGAATGTCACTTACTGGTTTTCAGGCAAAACAACCTTTCTGCTATGGCTATTTCTGACAGGAAGATCAAATCTGCGGGATCTCCCTAGGCGTCCGCTACATTTATAGGCTCCAGACCGGCCGCGAGAGGGGTCGGGTGGCAGCTCCTACGCCGTGAAACAATGGAGGGAAATCGATGCATCATCCTCGTAAACTCTGAGGGGGCAAATGCAGAGTGTGGGCGATCCAATAATGGCGGCTGGTGCAGCAGGATTGGGACCTCGACCGTGGGCCTTTCAATGAATCATTCACTCTGGACCAGCCCATGATCCATGGCACCAGTCAAAGACGTCGGACGGTGGCAGCTGACGTCAAACGATTTGCCAAATGCGGGGAATTGCAATGGACGGATTCGATCTGCAGCTGCCATTAGTAATGGGAGTCCTGCTGCTGCTCAGTCCCGACAGGGTTCTTCTGGTCGACATTCCCCTTGACTTCTTGTCTCTGTTGCTTGTTGTCTTGTCGCTGTCGTTGCCTCTCTTCTTAGGGCTGCTGGCCGCTGACTCAGCACTGACCATGTCTGCCTCAGGCATATACTTCCGGTGCCCAGATCTGAGGCCGAGGCAGGCTGGTTGGGGGAATCTTGCTTCGTCTCACTCTTGCGCTTCCTCTCCTCTCCTCTTCTCCTCCCTCGATCTCCTTTTCTCCGCGCCGTTTGCCGACCTGCTTACCTGCGTGGCCCTGACATTCGTCCAATTCCGTCCCCATCCCCACCCGGACGCTAATCAGCTCGGCTATCCCCCTTATCGGTGCCATGCTGGCCTAGCAGAGTGTCATTGCGCGGAAACAACTCCGATACTACGACAGTTATATACATCTATCCCTCCTCTTGTCGCCATACTCCGTTGCTCCCAAAGTTTCGTCTTTGAAGAATCTCTTTTGCATACTTCACCAATCAATTGACCCGCCCTGCTTTTTACATCGTGAACATGGAAACTCGCCGACACCCATGCTTGAAGTCCCTCTCTCAACGGGGCTATATCCAGGGTGTTACACTCTGCGATAAAACAACCGATAACCCCCTCTGCCATTACTTCGGGGGGCTCCGATATGCCTTACCTCCGTCGCAACGTTGGCGAAAGGCTCGGAAACTACCGTCGACGTACACCTATGGCACCAAAAATCACCCGTGCCCTTGTACAGGCCCCGCCGGCGTTTGCCCTCAGCCTAGCTTCCTGAATCTCTCTAAAGAGATCGGATGGTCTGAAGACTGCTTTCAATGTAATGTCTGGGTCCCAGCTGGGAAGCCCCCGAAGGAGGGTATGTTACCACATAGCTCTTAAGCTTTAATTGCTTGACTAATAGATGCATATTTGGCTAGGATGGCCGGTTCTCTTTTTCATTCGTATGTTTATCAGCCTCTCTTTTCAATCTGATACTGCCACCGGGACATAGCTAACTACCTAGCAGATGGAGGGTTTCTTCAATTTGGCACTCCCAACACCTTTTCCCCGGCCGGACTGCTAGGCGAAGGGGCCTTGAACGCCGTCATCGTCATGCCTGCCTATCGTCTCGGCGTGTTCGGATTTCTCTATTCGTCCGAACTGGAGAAAGATGCTTCCTCCGTTGACGAAGCCGTTGGAAACCAAGGTTTCTGGGACCAACGTCTGGCTCTGGAATGGACCAAGGACAACGTTTCTCTGTTTGGGGGCAATCCGTCCCAGATCACCGTTGCCGGATACTCGGCCGGTAAGTTTCACTGTAAAACCCTTTTCCAGTAGACCCGGATCCTAACGGCTTCACTTCAGGTGCATACTCTGCATTCTACCAACTAGCCTACGACGTCAATCTCCCAGAAGACCAGGCCATCGTCAAACAAGCCTGCATCTGGTCGAACGGGCCGGCCACCCAGCCCAAGAACCCCGCTGCCGCGCAGGTACAATTCAACCAGCTCCTCTCCGCGCTCAACATCCCCGCGGGCCTGCCCGGAGCGGAGAAGATCGCGCGCCTCCGCGCCGTCCCAGGTAAAGACCTCCTCTCCGCGGCCGTCAGCGTCGACATCAACCAATTCCGACCCACCACGGACTCGGTCTTCATCCCGACCACGCTCTTCCAGTCCTTCGACGACGGCTCCTTCGGCCGCCGCGTCGCCGCACGCAATATCCGCATCATGCTCGGCGAATGTTGCGACGAACGCTTCCTCTACGCCACCTGGTTCCCGCCCGCCAGCAACACCCTCGCCTCCCTGCGCAAGCGCCTTCTAGCCGACTACCCGCGGCCTGTCGTCGACGCGCTCCTGAAGCTCTACTACCCCGACGGCACCCTCCCGACAGACTGTACTGACTGGCACCGCGACGCCTTCAGCCGCATCTACGCCGACATGCAGGTCCACAAGATGCAGCGCGGGCTCGTCCACTCGCTGGCGCTCGGCGGCGCCGCCCACCTGCTCTATCGCTACCGCATCGAGTACCGGCTCAAGTGTGCTGACAAGTCCATCCCGCCTGCGTGGGGCGTCACGCACGCTACGGACCAGTACATGTGGTTCTGGGGTAACGGGGAGGTTCTGGAATCGCGGGAGAAGCCGATCATTCGGAAAGCGTTGATTGACCCGTGGATCCGGTTCGTGCACGGCGAGCCTGACATTGACTGGGGTACGAAGAGTCATCGCGAGATGCGGACTTTGAAGTCGGATGGCTCGGTTCAGATCTGGCAGGATGGATTCTGGGACGAGGCGATGCGCGTGTGGAAGGCGTTGCGTGAGGTGGGCGAGCCGGAGGAGACCGTGGCTAAACTGTGATTTCCTAGAATTGGTCTACATTCTCCTCGTTCATACTGTACATACAACATTCATCATTGGCATGCTTTCAAGCTGGGTTAGTTGACGAATCAGTCGATTGTTACCTAGCAAGGACATGCTCCGTATATAGAAATAACCCGAAACCATCGATTGATTGCGCTATAGATCGAAGACCGCTATTGACATGGTCTTCTTGATCGACAGTAAAAGCAAAGAAATAGTATCCTAGACCCAACCCAAACAATATAGTAAAAAATTAACATGAAAAACGCTCTAATCAAAACACATCAATTCGTTCATCCAGATATTTTCACTATTCGTGAAGTATTTCTTTATTTTTGCCTGTTGGTCTTTTTCTTTACGCCTTGCTGATCTTGCAGACAAGATCCTGGCCATCGACGGAGTCACCTTCCTTGACCAATAGGTTGGCAACCTTACCGCTATGAGGAGCAGAAATAACCATTTCCTAAGATCCTCGTTAGTATACAATGTCCAATAAAGAAGTGACTCGAAAGTACATACCATCTTCATAGCGCTCAGAACGGCGATCGGGTCACCCTTCTTGACCTCCAGGCCGTCGTGAACCCGGATCTCAACCACCACACCACTCATAGGAGCGCCCACCTGGCTGCTGTCGCCAATGTCGGCCTTGGGGCGGGCAGTGTTGTCCACAGATGCCTTGTTGTCATCGACGCTGACCTGACGGACCTCACCGTTGACCTCGTAGAACACCTCACGCTGACCGGTCTGCTCCGACAAGGGACCGATGGCCAGCAACTTGAGGATCAGCACCTTACCCTTCTCCAGCTCGACGTGGAACTCCTCGCCGATCTCCGGCTTGGCCAAGAAGTAACGCGTGGGAAGCACCGACAGGTCACCGTACTTCTGGACAAACTTCTTGTAGTCCTCGAAGACCTTCGGGTACATGGCGTAACTGGCCACGTCGTACTCGGTGGCAGCGCCGAACTTCTCGCGGATCTGGTTCTTCATGGCAGCCAGGTCGAAGGGCTCCAGGTAGAGACCAGGGCGCTTCTCGAGCTTGCGGCGGTTGCGCAGAGCCCGCGAGCGCAGGGGCTCAGGGAAGCCACCGAAGGGCTGGCCCATGAGACCCTCGAGGAACTCAAGGACGGAGCCGGGGAAGTCCAGTTCGCCGGCACGGTCCACCACGTCCTGCTCGGACAGCTTGTTGGAGACCATGAACTGGGCCAGGTCACCAACCACCTTCGAGGTGGGGGTCACCTTGACGATGTCGCCCAGCAGGTCATTGGCGGCCTCGTAGGCCTTCTTGGTCTCAGCCCACTGCTGGCCCAATCCAAGCTGGCTGGCCTGGAAGATGAGGTTGGTCAGCTGACCACCGGGGATCTCGTGCTCGTAGACCTCTGGGTCAGGACCGGTCAGTCCAGCCTCGAAGGGCGAGTACAGCAAGCGCAGCTGAGCCCAGTAGGTATCGATGGCCCGAATATGGGCCGAGTTAAGGCCGGGGTCGTGCTCGGTGCCCTCGAGGGAAGCGAGGATGGCACCGACACTGGGCTGAGAAGTCATACCAGACAAGCTGTCGGTAGCCGCGTCCACGGCATCGGCACCTGCCTGGGCGCAAGCAATCATCGACGCCACACCGGTTCCGGCGGAGTCGTGAGTGTGGACGTGGATGGGGAGGTCAGGGTACCGCTCACGGATCGAGCCCACCAGCAAACGAGCGGCCTGGGGCTTCAGGACACCAGCCATGTCCTTGATTCCGAGCACGTGAGGCTTGAAAGCCATGATCTTGTCGACCAAGGCCAGGTAGTACTCCAGGTTGTACTTCTTGTGGGGGTTCAGCATGTCACCGCTGTAGCAGACGGTCGCTTCGACAACACCCTCAGCGGCGTGGACTGCCTTGATACCAACCTCAAGCTGGTCCACATCGTTCAAGGCGTCAAAGACACGGAAGATGTCCACGCCGCATTTCTTGGCCTGCTTACAGAAGTGGTAGATGGCATTGTCGGGGAGGGAAGAGTACGCCACACCGTTGGCACCACGGAGCAGCATCTGGAAAGGAATGTTAGGCACAGCCTTGCGCATCTTGCGCAGACGGTCCCAGGGATCCTCGTAAAGGAATCGCATGGCCACATCGAAGGTAGCACCACCCCAGCACTCCAAACTGTAGGCGTTGGAGAAGGCATGACTGGTTTCGTGGGCAATGTTCAGCAAGTCAATGGTACGCACACGGGTGGCCAGCAACGACTGGTGGGCATCACGCCAGGTGGTGTCCATGATCAGACAGCCCTTGTTGGCACGCACGGCGCGGGCCCACGCAGTAGGACCCTCCTGGTCGAGGATCTGCTTCCAGCCCTTGGTGCAAGGAGTCGAGACGTCGAGGGGCTTGCCCTGCACATCCAGGAGCTTGGGCTTGATAATGTCACCCTTGAGCTTGGGCTCGCCGATCTGGCCCTTGATGCTGCTGCCGTTGACGGCAACATCTCCGAGGTAGGCGAGCAGCTTCTGAGCACGGTTCTGGCTGCCGACGAGAGAGAAGAGCTCAGGAGTGTCATCGATGAAAGTGGTCCAGCAGTTGCCATCGACGAAGGTGGGGTGACTCAGCAAAGAAGTCAGGAAGGGGATGTTGGTCTTCACGCCACGGATACGGAATTCGACGAGGGCACGCACGACCTTGCGGCGAGCGATTTCATAGGTGGAGCCGCGGCAAGTGCACTTGACCAACATGGAGTCATAGTGGGGAGTGATAATAGCGCCGGCAAAACCGTTTCCGCCGTCCAATCGCACACCGTTACCACCGGCAGAACGATACACCTCGATCTTACCGGTGTCAGGGGAAAAGCCCTTTGCGGGATCTTCCGTGGTGATACGACACTGGATGGCAAAACCACGAATGGAGATGCGATCCTGGGTCAGGCCCAGCTGCTCTAGCGTAGCGCCCGCAGCAATTTGGATCTGCGCCGCGACGATGTCGATACCGGTGATTTCTTCGGTGATGGTGTGCTCGACCTGGATACGAGGGTTGATCTCAATGAAGTAGTGGCGGTTCTGCTGGTCGACCAGGAACTCGGCGGTACCGGCGTTGCGGTAATTCACAGATTTGGCGAGCGTCACGGCATCCGCCAGAATCTTGTCGCGCACATCAGTGGGCAAGTCCTTGGCCGGCGCAACCTCGACCACCTTCTGGTGTCGACGCTGAACGGAGCAGTCACGCTCGAAAAGGTGGACGACATTGCCGTGGTTATCACCCAGAAGCTGGACTTCGATGTGCTTGGGCTTGTCGAGGAAACGTTCGACGAAGACGGTACCGTTACCAAAGGCGGAGCGGGCCTCGGAAGTGGCCCGCTCGAAGGAGTCCCGCAATGACGCCTGGTCGCGGACAACACGCATACCACGGCCACCACCACCAAAGGCGGCCTTGATGATGATGGGGAAGCCATAGGTATCAGTGAACTCCTTGACCTCCTCGTAGCGCTCAACGGGTCCCTCCGTACCGGGCACCACAGGGACCTTGCAGCCGATCGCCAATCGACGAGCGGAGACCTTGTCACCCAGGCTGTCAATGGTGGCGGCAGTGGGACCGACGAAGACCATACCGGCCTCCTCGACCTTGCGAGCAAAGTCGGCGTTCTCAGACAAGAAACCGTAACCCGGGTGAATCAGGTGCACGCCATGCTCCAGGGCAATCTTAATGATCTCATCGCCGGCCAGGTAGGAGCCGACGGGAGTGTACTGGCCGCGCTGGCCAATCATGTAGGCCTCGTCGGCCTTCTGACGGTGCATGGAGAGACGATCCTCATAGGAGAAGACGGCGACGGTCTGCAACGACAATTCGTGGGCCGTTCGGAAGATACGGATGGGGATTTCACCACGGTTGGCCACGAGGACCTTCTGGAACTGCATGATGGCAGAATTGGCGCGAAGACGGTGGTGCACCGTGTCGCGGAGGTGTTCTTTGTGGTCATCGATGAACTCGGTGTCATCAACAGCCTCCTCAGGCTGACGAAGAGGGGCAGCCATTGTGAGAGAGGATGAGGAGGAGGGGGGAAGAGGAGGGGAGAGAGGGGAGGGGTGGAAGATGGAGGGGTAGGAAGAGGAGGAAGAAGAAGAAAGTTCACAGATGTTCTGGAAGAGTAGAAGGGCTGTTCGCGAGAGATATATTTAAAAGAGTTAGCCGTGGAAAACCAATGGCATCAGACGGAAATCATGAGTCACCTTAGGAAGAACCCGCCGGGCAGATCGGGGGAAAGAAAAAGGCCCGGTTTCGGAACGGGGATGAGAGGAAGAACGCGGGGAGAGGAGGGGAGACGATCAACCGGGTGGGGATTGGTGTGAAGGGAAGCTAGTAAGGATGGGAGGTATAGATGAGTTGAGTCTAGGATGATGGATGATGACGAGGAGAAGAGGAGAGAAGAAGAAGATGGGATGGAAGAAGAGGAGAGAGCTGTTGAAGTAGAAGAAGTAGAAGAGGGAGAAGAAGGACGAAGGCGGGGAACGAAGAGGGTCTGCCTGCCTGCCTCAGGATCCCCAGGAGCACATGACCCCGACAGATTTGTGTTGTTACTTTGTTCGTCTACTACTACAAAGCACTACGATGATACTATCTGTCAACGCCATCCATAGTCCTGGCATAGTTCCCTGTCATCTGAGGGTCTCGCTCCAGCTCACCGGCACACCGGTCAGCTCCAAGTGGGATGCCTGCCCATGGAATGTCCCACTCTTCGCTCTTCAGGTTTTAATTAACCTTGGGTATTCCCTCCAGAACTCCGTTGGTCCGGACCATCTGGTTGGCCATCTCCATCTGATAGTGACCATTTTTTTTATTCGATCGTATTTCTTTTGATCTACTCCTTGCTGTTTATTTTCACCGGCTGTCTGGCCTGACAGGAAGCCGTACAGTTCCCGGCCTTTCGCTGACCCAGCTCCAGAACAGATCGGCTAAAGTCCCGTAGTGCCACTACGACATCATAGTTCCTGGGAACCCAACCTCTTACCCCCAGAGAGAAGATCCACTTCCCACCCTCGAGATCTAGTCTAGACTATGACAGTCCAATTCTCATAAGCAAATAGCCGACTTCCCTATCGGGTGGTTCAGGTCGTCCATTTTCTTGCTACCTCGGGTGCTCGGGTTAATTGCCTCCCTTTCACGACGACTGACGACTGAGCTGGGGAGTCTGGACGGTCCTGCACTCCTGCGTCACCGAGTCTAAACGAAACGCTCGGGCCAAGTAGGAGCTCTCTGCACCGAAGATAGGCGACAGGTGGGAATCGTGACGACTTGGTTGGTCGGACGAGGATGATCGACATCGGGGATGCTTCCATTGGCTTTTTCTATTTCTTTCTTTTTGCTGGATGCCCAGATCCAAGGTGGGAAACATACCGGGAAATTAAAAAAACACTCAAAATGAGGGGGGGACCTCGAGAACAAAACAACCTGCCAAACCCAACAGGTAAAAAGCGCGCGGGAAAACAGAAACGAGAGACTTGGCCCCAAACGGATCGACGCCAATTCAACCCACCCCCGGAGAACGCTTTCCGTTAGGGCCAGACGTTATTGACTGAGATTCCCTGAAGTTGAACCTCGGTCAAATCACGGAATCCACTCGAACCTGTTCTCGTGACGCCAGAATCCGGCGGACGCTCGGTCAATCCATCTTTCACGGCAAGGCAGAGTTTTTTTTGCCAATGTCGAATCTGGCACATGAAAATCCGACAAGACGGGACGAGACTTTTCTGCTTCTCCGTCGGCTGCTTGGCGGACATTCCGTTGCCTAAATATCACACCGGGGATCCAGTCTTTCGTTGTCTTCGCCGCTTCGGCATGCTGGGCGAGCTGATTCTGCATCTCCCTCCTCCCTCCCACCCCCCTTGTTCGTGCTTCCCCCTCCCTCCTGCCATGCATCGGTATGTTACCTCTTCTATCGATCCATCCAATCTATCTCTCGGATGTCGATATTACCCTCCACACGGCACACACAACCTCCGTCTGTCCGTGGCTCCGGGGTAGTTAATCTGGTCATAGTCAAGCCCCAATCTCTTCACCCATCTCCATCTACAAACCACTTAGCCTCGATCTAGACTTCAAGTATATCTCCATCGTAGTCCTCTCTATCGAATCTTGCTCCTTTCAGCCGAGATCACGTACTTTTGCCCTGGGTTACAATTTTGGCCGCCATGCTAAGCCAAGCGAAGCTGTTTCTGCAACGTTTACCAGGACCTGAAGTCATCCTTGAAATAAATTCACAATAATGCCATTAACTGATGCTCACCGTGAGGGTACCAATTCACGGCCACAACGGATTTTGTAAAAAGCTATCAAAATACATCGAGGGGAAGATAAGAAGGCAACGGAGAGAAAGATTTTTATAATGGGAATAAACGTGAAGAAAATAAACATGAGGGAAATAACGAGAATCGAGAATGTGATGAACCCCTTCCTGCAATGAATGAAACCATCAAATGTCCCCGTATAGCCCACCCCTCTCGGCGAACTTCGCTGTCCCACTCAGGCTCGGGTAGATCATCCATCGTTTATGCTATACATACACTAAACCCCATCGCAAATGACAAGAGAGACATTACGGACGTGCATCTAGAACGGGCGGAATCCGGTCGCCTGCGGCGTGATCCCGTTGGTCTGTTGGTATGCCATGGGACTTGGCGCAGGTGCCGCCGGGCCTTGGGTCAGCATCAGTCGTGAGCCGCCCAGGATCGGGGTGTTATCCTCCTCCGTCTTCTGCGACACCTCCCGCTTCTTCCGCTCCTCGTTGTCCTTCTTGAGGGTCTCGATCGCTCGCGTTTGCTCGCACAGGAAGTTGATCATGAACGGCATCGTGAAATCGTGAAGACCGTTGCGCCACGACACCTCCAAGATGACGTCGGGCCGAATGAGGTCGTAGCAAGCGTACAGCATACCAACGTAGCACTCGCGGCTACCAATATCGACGAACTATGAGAATGTCAGCAAAACAATTCGGGAATCACCAGAAAAAGGAAAGCTTACGTAGCGAAGCAGGTCCTCGACGACATCGGACTTGGCGGAGATGGCGGACGTCTCGATGGCATCCTTGTAGAGCTTGTCCTGCTTAGACAGCGCAATGGATTTCTCCCAGCGCTTGTTGTTACGGTAGATGTTGGCAGAAATCTGGCGGAAGAAGATGAGGTCATGCTTCTCCAAACGCTGCGCAAGATCCACGGCGTCAAAGTTGTCGTAGTTGTCCACCGAGTCACGCAAAGTCTTGTAGTCTTCCTCTTCGATCAGCAGATCGTTGATAGCGTCGTTCACGGCCCGCTTGTTCTGGGTCTGAACGTTCAGGAGGAACGGCTTGATCAGAGGGATGTTGTCGGAGGCCTGGAAGATACGAACGACACGGTTGACATCGATACGAGAAGTCAAGACCTGCAGAAGATCGGTGAGAAGCAAAGGCTGCTCCTGCAGGTAGAAGTTCAGGGCGCGGTAGTATATTTCCAGGTTGGCAACCTTGACGATGATGTCCTTGAACGAGTGGTGCTCCCAGGCATCGGCAGCACGCTCCATCATCGCCAGGGCGGCGTTGTCCCACTCGTCGTAGTGGCAGTACAGGAAGACCAGCTCGGGCCAGAGGTTGGCCTCCTCGCAGGCCCGGATCATCTTAGGGATGTTGATTCGGGACCAGAAGAGCTTGAGATGCTCCATAACACGGTCGGGGTGGTACTTGGAGAGCGCAATGCCCAGTTCGGTGAACATACCCATGTGAGCCCGCTCCAGACCCAGACCGGCCTCGAGGACGCCGATCAGTTCATCGAAGTAACCGTTGCGCTCGTACTGGCGCACAAGGTCTTGAAGCTCTTCCGCGTGGACAATGAGGTTAAGACCGCAAATCTGAGCGAGACGGAATTCCTTCTTGGCAACGCAGGCCTCGTTGACCTGTTTCCAGACCTTGACACTGTTGGCCTTACGGGCACACTCCACGGCAGCCTGGTAATCTTCCAGGTGCACCAGGGTCGTAGCCAGTTTGGCCCAGTTCGAGATGCTGGTGAAGAAGATCTTGGCAGCATGGTGGTATCCCTCCGCGTAAGCCTTGTCACCAGATGCTTCGATGTCCGCAACATTGGTGGCACGCAGGAAGTCCTCAAGTTCCGAGAGCTGGTCAAGACGGGCGTAGCAGAACGCCAAACCGGTGTCGATGGCCGGTTCACGCAGAGTCTTGCGCGCCATCTTCAGGTACTTAACAAGGTCCTCATCCTTTCCGGCGTGAGTGGCGGTGTCAATCACTTCGTTGTAGTTGGAAGGATCGCCCGCACGAATGTAAGACTCAATGGAGTCGGAGATACGCAAGCCATCCAGCTGAGCCTTCGCAACCTTGCTCCACACCTCGGGCAATTCGACGCGCTCGGCGAATTCTTGGGCACGGTCAATGCTGACAATGTTCTCGACGAGGACGTTGACGGCGGCGAGGTAGTTGTTGACCTTCTTGTAAATCTCGAAAGCCTCCTCGTAGAGACCAACCGAGATACACATTTCCGAGATCTCATCCGGGCTGAATTCATTCAGCTGGTGGACGTAGTCCATGAGACGACCCTTGTCGGCCTTGGCGGCAGTCAGCATCAGCAGGTTCTGCAAGCTGCCATTGTCACTGAAGGGCGAGGGCTCAAGGATGATCTTCTCCAACAACTCGATAAGCTCGCCGGGGAGATCGGCCTCGAGGAAAGCCTTGACAGCAACCGACACCTTGTCGGGCTCGGTCGACTCGGGCACGGCGGTCGCAATGACCTGGTCGACAAGGGACCGGCGGTGCATGTTGTTCTCGCTCAGGACAAAGGACCAGATCTCAGGGTCGGCCCGCTCAACGAGGTAACGAGCCTGCGCCCGGTACATGGCGTTCTCGTTGGTGATGTTGATGAGCTCCAAGTCGTTCTGACCCTTGCGGTAGGAAATGTAGGCCAGGTTCGGGTCGCGCTTCTCGCAGTACTTTCCAACCGTCAAAGTGTCATACATGTCGTTTTCCTTGAGGAACTTCTCGGGGTTGTTGTTGCTGTCGATGTAGATCTTGGCAAGGGCGTTGTAAACGGCCTGTTGCTGGTTGCCGGTGGCAAGAGTGGCCTCAAGGAAGGGCAGCAGCAGCTTCAACCTGTTGCGGGTTTCGACCTCATTGACGAGCTCATCGATAGGGATCACGGACGGGTCAACGGTAGAGAGAAGGTTCTTGATAATGCTCTCCTCGCAGTCAACATCCAAAAGCCCGCCGACCACGGCCGGAGCACGGGAGGGGTTGACGCGCTGCACGTAGACCTCGATCGAGTTGAACTGCTGGTTCTGGTAAAGGTAGAGCACCAGGTCGTGGATGAAGTTGAAACGGTCGCAAACAATGATCAAGGGAAGCTGCTCGGTCAACCGGGCTTCCTTGAGGAAGTTCTTGACCTTCTCGGGGTTGTAGTAGTTGCTCTCACGGCAGATCCGCTCAACCTCGGTGGTCTGGCCCATAGCAGTCGCGGCCTCAATGTACTTGAAGTGAACCTCGGGGTCTTCGCTGAGGTTGACGATGCTTCCAAGGTAGTAGTAGAGACCTTCGGCGGTGCGGTACTTCTCGAGCAGGGCGATGAGCTGGTTGGGACCCAGGAGGTCGGAGAACTTCGTGCAGATCTGAACAACGGCCTGCAGGTTCTGGCGGATGTTGACTTCCAGCATGGTATCCATGCAGTCCAGGGTCTGCTCAACCGAAAGGCGGCCGAAGTAGTTCATCAACCATTCAGGGCTGAGCTTGTCGGTGCGAACAATGTTGCGCTTGATGGCGGTGCTATCATCGGTGTTCTCCAGGGCGCGCTGAATGAGACCGGCATTCTCGCACAGCTGAGAGATTCTAGGGCGGTCGTAGTGGGTGAAGATCTCGTTACCGAGGATGGCGTCCGCAACCTGAGGAGCATTGACCAAGTTCATCTCCAGCAGTCGGGTTTGCAGGTGGCCATGTTCAGGCTTGTTATCCTTGAGAGCATCGAGCAGGAATGACGTGGCCTGCTGGATCATGTTCTGGGACAGGAACACGTCCACAACGCGATCCAGGTCAATCAGCGCACCGCTCTCCTCGTTGGCAAGCTGGGCGGCAAACTCGGCTCCTTTCTCGGGGTTCACACGGACAATGTGCTGCAAAAGCTGGGTGTAATCGGGCTGGTACCCGGCCTGCTTGGAGTAGGCCAGAATCTTATCGAACTGGCCAGTTTCGGCGAAGCCGGCGATGACCTTGTGGGGAACGTTGGCTTGAAGGTAGATGCTCAGAGCCAGGTTCATGTCGTAGGGGCGAACGATATCTCCAAGCTCCTCAGAGCCCTCCAGCTTGTTCTCGCGCATCCACTTCTCGAGCAGGTGCTTGCGATTCTGCTGCAGAACGGGGCGAACAAGTTCCACACTCTCATATTTGTTGAGAGTGCCCTTGTCCAGCAGCATACCGAAGTACTGGAGAATCACAGACATCTGCTGTCCGGTCTGGGGGGCATTCTTGAAGCGGTTGATGGTCTCTGGGGTCCGGAGGAAACCACGGGGGGAGTTGGCGGCGATCTTCGCAGCTTCGGAGTAGTTGCCTTGAGCGATGAGGTTATCGAACTGCTGCTGGTAGAGGTGGTCCGCGCCGGGTAGTCCGGCTTTGGAGGCGAGCTTCACCGCAAGACCGGACATGGCAGGGTTCTCCATCAAGTACTGGACAATGGTGTTCTCATCGACGCTCACGGTCAACACTTGACCCTTCCTGTTGACACCAACCAGACCGGCCGATTCGGAGTCGGGGGCGGTGGTGAAGATCGTCTCGCTCGAAATTCGGTTCATGAAGATACAGGTGCCGGTCTCGAGGTCGTACAGATGAATGAAGCCGTACTTCGTGACGAGGTACACGACGTCGTACTTGCGGGACACCTGCATCGCGACAGGGAAATCGTTAACCGCCTCCTGGGGGAAGTAGACCTCCACGGCCTTCTTCTGGAACCGCGGGTTGGGTTCCTGGTGGTCGATTTCGGCGATCTGCAGCTTCGCGCCGGTCTGCGTGCGGACAGCGAAGGTAAAGAGTTTATGTTCCAGCGGGGAGCCTTCAACTCGGATGGAAGCGAAAGCAGCCGCATGACCCTCGATGAATTGCGAAATACCGCGCTCCTTGGAGTAAAGCTGCATGGAGCCGACCACACGCCCCTGTTGCTGGCTGATTCCGACCACGACCATCCATTTCTCATCGTCGTTGACGCGGTAGTTAATGATTTGGCAGCTCTAAACAGAGGAAAACATTGGGTCAGTGAATGTACGGCACACCAGAGTTAGCTCAGGAGATATGCACATACACTTAGGTTGGGAAGTCGGTCAAAGATCTTAAGCGGCTGGGACTGAGTGGGGTCAAAGACGTCCCAGTGGTAGACGGAGGTTTCTGTCACCAAGCCCAGCTGCTTCTCGCTGAACCACTTCCAGTACACAACATCTTCGTTCATAACGGCAGACTTGAGTTTCTGCTTCGCCGAGAGGTCGAAGATCTGGATTGTCCGCCCTTGAGCCTTGAGGGCAATGATGTTGCGGGACCAGTGCATGATCGCACTGTCCGCGTTGATCGGCCGCTTGATGACTTCATTGTTGTTCTTGAGGTTGATGATGATGACTTGAGGCTTCTCTTCCTCGTTGAGTTTTTGCCGGACACAGACGTAGTGGTCGGATTCTAGAGTCTATTCAGGCCACGCAGGGCACACAAGTCAGCGAGTGAAACAGGGGGGAAGATCAAAGAGAGCGGTATAGTCCTAGGAAATACTCACACATGAGTTGAAACCAATCGAAGCCGGCTATAGCAGGGAAATTGTCAGTAGGTGGTTCCGGTGGTTGGCGAGGCTCCGGTTGGGTGCGCGCTGGGCAGGCACCACCGCAACGTGGAACAGAACGGGCCAGCAACGCAACAAGACATACCGCGATTTCAACATTCGTCAACTGCAGGACACGGGGGAAAACAAGTCAGCTTTTCTGGGACGATCATTCGGAGAATTGGCCAAAGGGGGAGGATCAAATACATTAACAAGCTCCGTGAATTTGATAGGTAGAGGAGCCATGTTTACTAGTAGGGCCGCAGGACGACCTCATCCACCCAAAAAAAGAACGCCACGCAAATATATCCACCAGGATGGGAAGGAAAGAGAGTAAAATAACAGCGAGCTGTAGTTAGAGGTAGGAGAAAGAGGGGAAGGTAAGAAGAAAATAAGAAAGGGGGGAATTGGGAGAGGGAGAGATGGGACTGTAGATAGACTGGGGAAGCGGAAAGAGTGACCTCAGGAGACCGCGGGAGTCGTTGCTGAGGTGTCGCTTACGGGGGGGGCTGAGGTCACGTGCACCAGGGGGTTGCCGTGCCTGAGGATCGATGCCGACTTGCATTCACCTGCAGTCTAGACCTTCCCTTCGCTATCATTCAGTTGTTCCCTCACTCTGCGGTTGGAACCTAGACTTTTCAAGTTGCTTGATTTGTTGCAGTTCAGTTTGATCTCTCAGTCAAGTCAAACTTGGCCCTGGAAGCGATGCACGAGCCCAATATCCTGCCAGAAATAGCAGCAAATAGGGGATTTTCCGATGATCAACCTGCAGTTTCAAATCCATCCTAGCATTCAAAACTAATGTGGTTTTATCTGGTCCTTCATGGCACATACAGTGAATTCCTCGTCCCGACCCTACTCTGCATTAGATTTCAGCAAGGGAACGAGTGAATCCTAGCGTTCTATCGACTGCATAGGTCTATCAAATGGCAGTAACAATTATTCTTTTACTATACCATCAACTCTACGCGTAGGTCATCCCAGAAGAAAGAATCTAGCTCTCAACTAGGTCTCTCTCTGCGTTGTTTGTTCTCAAAGTCTAGAAAAGACTAGAACGATTGTCAATACATGTACTACTCTCCGATTCCTTGCCTTCCTAGAACATCCCATCTAGTTGTATGTGGAAGAGACCTATGCAAGATTGATCCTTTTTTTTTCTGGTTCTATCTATACTTGGGCACAGCATTGTGTTTGCTGCTATCCACCTCCCGGGATATCCGCACTGCCATGACGTCAGGTGGAAACGGAGAGATTCATTCAAGGCAAATTGGAAGGGACCCAAGCGATATGACTCACGCAAACAGCCCATAAGGACATAGCAATTGAGACACTCTGCGAGTTGTAGCCGTTGACCCGTTTGTATCAAACGCGGTGGTTTCACTTATGCCGGGGAGGCAAGGGAAACTAGACGAGAGGTGCGTCGGGTACCTGGCAGGAGGATTATTGACCTCTACCAGAACCAAGGAGCAACTATCTTAGATACAGGCACTAAGTAGGGGACAACGAAGTGCATTAATGTACGTTCCTGCAGCTATTCGAGCTGCCGAAACATTCTATTTATTTACCCAGGCAAGTCCTCAACATAAACGTAAATGCATAATCTTGCTACTCAATTTTCCCTTACATACTGACACCATCTGATGACGCCAACACAAACCATGCCGTAAATATCCATTTTGATTCTCATTTCCATAACAGGTCTTAGGTATAAATAATTTTGGTGAGACCACACACACACACACAGACAGACTAGCATTGTCGCATAAAACTATTTTGGCATATTTTGAGATACCCGGCTCGTGCCGCAGATAACGGCAGTAGCAAGTCGCAACAAGGGGAATACTAAATTACTAGATTTAGTGGTGGAAGAGACGAGTGCCCTGCTCGACGAAAGTGATGCCGAGTTTCTCCGAGGTCTCGAAGACGGGGCCGTCGTTCTGGCTACCGCTGGGGGCGGCAATGTACTTGACACCGGAGCGGGCGGCCCGGAAGACATTGTCGATGAAGGGGAACTGTTGTAGGATATCAAATTAGCAAAGAAATCGAAATGCAAAAATGCATGAGGAGCACTTACGAAGGCATCGGACGAGACGGCAACCTCGCTCAACTTCTGAATCCAGGCTTCGCGCTCCTCCAGGGTAAACGGAGCGGGAACCTCCTCGAACACGCGCTCGTATTCGGCCTTCTCGGCGTCGTTGCGCGGGGTCTGACCGGAGCAAAGCAGATCGATAGCATTGCTCTTGTCCGCACGCTTGGTGCCCTGCTTCCACTTAATGTTCAGCACACGGTCGTGGAAGCGCATCCACCAGTTGTCGGTCTTGTCACCGGCCAGACGGGTGCAGTGGATACGGCTCTGCTGGCCGGCACCCAGACCGACGACCTGGCCGTTAAGCGCATAGCAGACCGAGTTCGACTGAGTGTACTTCAGGGCGATGGTAGCCACGGTGAGATCCCGTAGGGCGGAGTCGGAGAGAGCGGCCGAGTCCTTGGGGGTGATGACGGTGCTGAAGGTCTTCTGGGGGGAGATCACAACGTCGTTGCGGTGCTGGGTGAGCTGAACACCGTACAGGGTACGGGTCTCCTCGGCAGCAGGCACGTAGTTCTCGTCCATCTGGAGCACAAGGTACTTGCCGCCCTTCTTCTTGGAGAGGATCTCCAGGGCCTCGGGGGTGAACCCGGCGGCGATGACACCATCCGACACCTCGCGCGAGATGATCTTGGCGGTGGGAACGTCACAGACGTCGCTGAGAGCGAGGATATCTCCGAAACTGGACATGCGGTCGGCACCACGGGCACGAGCGTACGCCTGAGCCAGACCCGAGGTCTCGAGGCCGGCAATGTCGTCAACCATGTAGACCTTGCGCTCCTTCTCGTTCAGAGGCACACCCACGGCGGCACCGGCCGGGGAAACGTGCTTGAAGCTGGCGGCGGCAGGGTAGCCGAGCGCCTGCTTCAGCTCCTTAACCAGAGCCCAGGCGTTGAGGGCGTCCAGCAGGTTGACGTAGCCGGGAGAGCCGTTCAGGGCCTTGAATGGCAGCTTGCCCTGGAACATGTAGGCGGAGGCGGGCTTCTGGTGGGGGTTGGTGCCGTAGCGCAGAGAGAGGTGCTGCTCGCCGGTGCCGGCATACTGCTTGCGGAAGAAACCCGAGATGGCGGAGTCGTAGTCGGCGGTGTGCTCAAAGGCCTTGAGCGCATACAGCTTCCGGCTGGAGTCGGTGATCTCTCCGGCCTCCAGTTCCTTGAGGAATTCGGGGTAGTCCTCGGGATCGGAGAGGATGGTAACACGCGAGTGGTTCTTGGCCGCAGCACGAAGAAGAGTCACACCGCCAATGTCGATCTCCTCGACGGCCTCCTCGATGGTAACGTTGACCTTCTTGACAGTCTCCTTGAAGGGGTAGAGGTTGCAGACGACGAAGTCCACCTTGGCAATGTTCTGATCGGCCAGATCCTTCTCGTCGGACTCGATATCACGAGCCAGGATACCGCCGTGGACGGCAGGGTGGAGGGTCTTGACACGGCCACCCAGCATCTCGGGAGCGTGGGTGATGGCAGAGACATCCCTGTTGACGAACACAGCACGTTAGTCCTTGTCACATCACATCCCAAGCCTGTTTTATACATCGTCACCAAAATAACCCAGGATGACTCACTCAACGGGGAAACCGGCCTCCCGAATCAATCGAGCAGTACCGCCGGACGCGAGCAGGCGGACATTGTGCTTGACCAGGCCCTTAGCCAGGTCAAGCAGTCCAGTCTTGTCGTAGACGGAGAGGATTGCTATTCAAGGAAAGCATTAGCTCTAGAACCCATTCAACTCAATTCATGTCACAGGAATTGGCGGCAGTGTGGGGAAGGTACCGGACCACATCCACACAATTATTTAGCCGGCGGGGAAAGAGGCCAAGGGCCAAAAAGGAAGAGCATGAGTAAAGGATGCATTGTCTTACCTGACTTTTGTTGAGACATCCTGAAACACACCAACAGTGCAGGACACTAAAGAAAGGGACGGTTAGAATTGATTGACGGCGGTCAATATGGAGGGAAGAAGGAGGGGGGAAGGAAAAAAAAAAAGAGGGGAAGAATTTATCCCCACGACTTGTCCGAAGCGTCACGAGCAAATGAATGAGGGGTAAAGGAAAGACCGGACAACCTGGAACCTAGCTATGGTGTAAGGTAAGGGAAAGGGTTCGTCGTACCTGGAGAAAGATTGGCTGGGACGAGGTGAGAGAGAGAACAGGGGAAGGCTCACTACTGTCTGGAGACAGCAAGTTGATATGAGCAACGCTGCCTGAGTGCCTTCGTCCCACCGCGGGGTTCCTCCGCCGCTTTCGGCACTGCTGGCAGCCTCAGGCGGGCATCCCATTACAAACGGCGTTATGTCATTACTCATTACAGGAGCATATCGGTGCACAAGTCCTTATGCTGCACAGCTGACCTCAGCCGAGCGGACGCTAGTCTTCTCAGTCACGTGTCAGATGCACGGGCCACTTTTCCAGCAGCACAAAAACTTCTCGCGCGCTCCCGCTTTCCTTCTCTTTTTCTTTTTCTTCTCCATGAACAACGCAAAATTCAACATTCTTCAAAAAGCGTTCCTACGAGGATTTCATGCCTATGAAGTACGGAAATCGTCATAAAGAATGGAGAAGGACTGCCTCACCGCAGAGTGTCGATCTTGGGTGCAGTGTCTTCCGACTATTCGTCTTATGGAAGGGATTGCAATGATTGATTCTACAATCTTTCTATCATCATTCGCTTACTGATGCTACTGCTCAAAGTAGTCGGATGTAAAGCCACCGTAGCCTCTAAACGTGAATGTCTCTCTACCTCGTTCTTCGAGCGCCATTGAGCTGGACAATAATAATGATGCTTGTTGCCTAGTAATCTATTATATGCTTAAGTGACAGCTCGCAGATCGGCCATGAGTGAAGAACCTGTCCAATTTCAAAATAGTGGGCACGACACGCGAGATGAAGGAAAAAAGAGAAGGGGGAAAAATGTGCAAAAACGAAAAGACACCGGATTGAAGCGCTGTATGGAGCTTGGCCAGCTCGATTATGTCTTCAGGTGCTCCCGGCGAGACCCGATCGCCCATTGACGGCCGATGTTACCAAAGCAAACGCATGCGCAGAAGAGAACGCTAGCTACCCAGGTGCGGACGGCGATGCTTTCCTGCGTGATGCCGGTCGCCAGACCGTACTCCCGGAGAGTGTGGTTCAGGATGGGGAGTGCAGACTCGGAGGCGTTGGCGGAGGGAGGCACCAAGTCCGGCCGAAGTCCCAAGACAACGCCCATTCCCACCAGAGCGACCGTAGTCGACATGACGAAGCCGGTTTTGGTCCGGTCGATCAGATACCAGAGGACGGGATTGACGAGAGCCAGTGTCGCCGACGCTTGAGTGGTGGATTGCCAGGGAAGTCTCCGCTAGAACGGAAGAGAAAAAGAAATGTCAGCGTCCATGCCCAGTTCGGGGAGACCGAAGAAGCCATATGATTAGTGATCACTTACCATCGCAAATGCTATCCCAACAAAAGCCCCAACGCTGCGGACCACCGCCACCCACGAGAGGGTGCGCTCCTCATCGTCCTCGTCGCTACTCGATCGCTGCTTGGGGTGGGCGGGATCCGTTGCCACTTCCTCCGAGAATAGATCAAGCCATGGCAGGATGTTTCCCAGTGCAACGCCGGCTAACCCCCAGAATGCCAGGTATTCGGCGGACCCGTAGTAATGAGTGTTCTCGAGTTTCACCGGAGTGATCCAGTGGTTTTCGTGTAGATGAATAGTGATGATGCCGTAGACAATACCGAACCCGAACAAGAGCGCACTTTTCACCGCCTGAGGAAGAATGACGCCGAGAAACAGTCCGTGACTGAGTCGCGACCGTGTCCGCTGAAGAGCGAAACGATCTGGGCCATCCGATTTCGTTTGAAGAGGGTTCGGGCTCTCCGTGGCGGGCGTTTGGGCCTCAGTCCCCCAAGGGCTGGATTCGTCTCTGGTCCCTTCGAATGCCGTCGGAGAATAGATGCCGAAGAGCGTTGGGGATGTGAGGTTCATGATCGAGCCATTCCGACTGACACTGGTCGATCCGGCATCCTTGGGGGTCAGGAGGTCCGGGTTCGAGGGTTCCGCCGGCGTCGAGGCCTCGGAGGAATCGGTGGAAGGGGGCGCGAGGTCGAACACCCGTCGCGGACGGGGACGAATGATGGAAGGTCCGTCGGACATCGCGAGCGTAAAAAGCTGATCAAGGAATCAAGTCAAGATATCCAGAAAGCGCACACCACAGGTCTCAAGTGGCGGTCTCGCGGTGGGCAAGGCAGCAACCCTTTCCGTGTCCTCACCAGAGACGATCTGCGTGTGAACGGGAAAAGCGCGGTTCCAATGCGAGTGCCTATGATCTATCAGAGCTCGCGCAGCAGGATCGGTCGGTGAAGACCGAACGGATCACAGAGCAATAGTGTAGTTAAATAGAAGGCGCAGGAGGAAAAGGTGCCCCTATGACGAAGGTTCCCACAAGGATGTGCGTGTCGGGGAGAAATAGATGCAGGAGAAAAAAGAGGGGTTAAAAGCTAGCCAGGTCGGCGGAGAAAAGAGGACCAGTGCGTGTCTGAGTCGGACAACAGAATGCAGCAAGCAGCTCTTTGCTGGCAGGTAGCAGCACAGACGGCGCGAGAACGGGGAGGTTGGAGAGAATCGGTTCGTTGGAGTTGGCGCGGTGGAGTCGCCGGTGCAGTTGGGAGGCGCAAAGATTTGCAGTGGATCGGCGCCGGAATTGCCTCTGGGGAAGGGAGCGGGCGACTGTCACGAGGAAGTCGAGCGGGGGGAGAATAACGAGATAAAGTCGTAATTGAAATGATCAACGAGGATAACAATGGAAATGGGGGAGGGGAGGAATTGGGTTGGGGAGTTGAGAAGGGAGAAGAAATTGAAGGAGGAAGAAGAAGGGAGAGCGTCCCGATTCCCGTGCCGTACCACCTTCCTCGCCTATTGACCACCTGGTAGTATGTGTATGTACCTAGTAATAATGATAATAATAACAAAAATTAGGCAGTCAATCCTTCCATTCATTCATTACACAAATTAACCACCCGATCCCTCTAAAGTACAGAGTACAGAGTACAGAGTACAGTACACTCTGGTCAGTCGACTTCGGCTGGAGATTTGCATGTGAATCCTCCGCACTGACGGCAATGCCAGCACTTGCAGGCCCTCTGCATCCCTTCGATTTCCCCCTCACGGTCATCCTTCGTTGTAACCTTGTTCAGGGATGGTGAGACAAACACAAGACTGACCAAAGAAAAGAAACCCGAAAAAAAGGGGCCGGTGCGCACAGAGTAAATCTAGAAGTGAAGAAACATTAGGGTAGAATTGAGGAAATATGATAGGAAAAGAAAAGAGAGGAATCGAAAGAGTACAGGGATCAATCAGACAGTATCCGACAGGGACAGAAAGGAATCTGGACAGAGAATGAACAGGTGTGACAGACATAAGAAAGCATGTGTAAACGTGGTACAGTACAACTAAATCCCCTCTCTTAAGGATCCTCCATCGTCTCGTTCTCCTTGTCTTCAGCTTGGCGGCCTGCGTCAGGCCCCTGCTCGGGAGCAACGGACGAGGTCTCGCTGGCAGCATATCCATGTCCACCCTCAAATGTCGAGGAGTTTTCATCGCCTTCACCCTCGCCTTCCACATCGACATCGACTTCTCCCTCTCCCTCGTCGAGGTCATCCTCGTCGGCTTCTTCGTCGTTGTCGTCTGAAGACAGACCTTCCGCATCGTCATCGGCCCCTTCCATGAAACTATCCTCGTAGCCAGGCTCCGACGGGCGAGAGGGTCCGCCCAATCGAGACGGTCCTTCGTCATCGTCGCCGCTGCCCTCGCCCAGAAGTTCCCGGTCGATGTCGTCGAGTCCTTCCTCACCTTCACCCTCGATATCGTCGTGCGCCAAGGCAGGCATTGGCGAGTCCCGAGATGGAGCTCCCAGGCCGTCCCTACCGGCATCGTCCGTGGCCACCTGCGCATCTGCCTCGTCGCGATGGCCGCGGCTCCGGCTGCTCTTAGGACGCGATGCCGATGTCTGCACCTTGAGAGTTGATCCCGAAGCGGCGTCTGCGGCGGCCCCGGCGAGCTTGCGGCGGGCATTACGTGCAGCTCGAGCTCGACTGCGAGCGGACGTAGGCGCACGGCCGCTGCCGTCCAGAGCACTTTCGGTCAGTCTATTCAGTCGATCTTTCTGGCGCTCTTCTCGTTCCTTCTTCCGATCTCTCTTGGGGCCGTTGGCGTCGTCGTGATCCCATCGGTCCAGACGCCGAGCAGCCTTACGAATCACGGACAAGAAGTAGCTGGCATTCTCTCCAAAGTCCTCCTCTTCGTCCGGGTTGGGGTTCAGACCTCCTTTGCCCCAGGATTTCTGCTCGTCTTCCGTATCGTACCCGTCGGGCAGGCCCTGCAGTAGGCGCCCATAACGGGCAAAGGGAATTTCGCTCTCCCGCTTCGCACGAAGCATTCGATATGCCTCAGTCTTTCGTTTGGCAAGCAGGTATTCGATGCGCTGCCGTCGGTTTTGCTCGACCGCAAGTTGATGCTGGGTGAGAGGACGGGGCCGTCGAGAGGAGCTTTGTTGGGGCAGAGTTGGTTCGTTGACAAACCGATTGAGGATCGGATGGCTTGAACCGGGAGGTGCAGGCGAAGCTGCATCTGGGGTGTTCTCTAGTTTAGTTTTTAGGACGATGCGCTGCCCACCGACGGAACGATTAAGGGATGAATCACGTTTGGGACGCTTATACCGGGAGCGAGCGGACTGTCCAGGGGTTTGGTAGTCGTCCTCGTCATCTGGGGGGTATCGTTTGAAGGAGGGGTGCAGTGGAGTCGACATGGCGGAACCACGACCCCCGAGGCCATCACCTCGACCTAATCGAAGTAGAACATGGTCAGCGTATGTCGCAGTCTCTTCTGTCGAGGTAAGATTTCTTACCTGAGGCGATACCAGAGATATCACCCGAGCCCTGATCCTCATCATACCCAAACTCGGAGACTAAATGAAGGAAGTCAGGAACAGTCAATAGAATAGTGTGCAGGGGCATTGTAAAGCATACCTTTTTTAGAGCGTTTCGGGACTCTCGGCAAGGGCTCATCTTCCTCCAGTATACCTAGAGATCAAAATCAGCTTACAATGTCGAGACCTAAAGAATAGGGCCGGTGGGACTAACGTTTTCGCTCCAAGCGCTTGGCCTCTCCATATTCAATCTCGGATTGCGTATCAACGTTCTCTTCGTTGGCTTGGTCCTCGGTGAGGCTCTCGAAATTGGGCACCTTGATCGGCAGCCCGCCTGTTCCTTCGCCATCCAGTCCCGCGCCGAACGGATTGTTGAGGGCAGCCTCGGGGGTAAAATCACCCTCCAGGTACCACCACATCAACCAGAGGAACGCTTTCGCACGGCTTTTGCTGCTGAGGGTGGATCTCATAACGAGATCAAAGAAATCGCGCGGAGGAAAAAAGTGCAACTCGGACACTTTGGGGGCGTACTGGGCCAGAACGAAGATCAGGTTGACAGGATTTGTCCGGGGTACGCTACTATTCTTGATCATCTCGAGTGTGTTCGGCTGGTCAACATCCTCCGACGCACCCTTGAGGATAGATTTGAGACGAGGAGCATCTTGTAGTTGTTTGTAGGCATTGGGGTCTTGGTGCGCCTGTAACGAGGGAATCGAGTGGTAGGTCCGCAGTTGAGCGCGCATCTCGGGGAAGACTAGAATAGAAAACTCAGTGTCAGTTCCATGACAGAAGGCTGGGGCGAGCGATCCACGCCCGGCTTTGGGTGGAGGAGTCCAGCAGAAAACGTACAGTTGAGGGTAGTGTTCATCCGCCCAAAATTGACGAGTAAACACACCATAGCCATGCTGATAGCAGCCTGCTTATCATTCTGGAGCTTATCCTTGAGGATCTTGCTCGTCTTGCTACTGCGCGCCATCGCATCAATGTAGACGTCGGCGAAGTCGAAGCCCTTCTTGCCATCGGGCCAGCGAGTGAAGACGGGCGTTTTATCCTCGAAGACGAGCTTGAGAAACTGGTACTGGATGTCCTTGCGCCAGAGCGGGATGCCATCTTCCTTTTTCAGATGCCTGATCTTGTTTCCCGAATAGACGGAGCCGATCGTGCCATTCGCCTGACGTCTCGTGCCCACCGTCATGTTCGGCTCGGCATGCGAAAACGACTCGTCGCCGACGGAAGTCTCGACCTCGGCCATTTTGGAAAGTCGAGGGTGTGTTGAATTGCAAATCGCGGACTGTGTGGGTGATTGGGATCAAATGCACAATTCTAGATTGCGGTAATGGAAGGTCGGTGTTCGTGTGCCCTTGCCAGGGCGTCGTTCAGCTCAAGGCCGGCAGGCGCAGAGAAATCGGCGAGAGACACGGATTCAGCCTGTGGAGGTAGAATTGCGAAGAGCGGAGAGGAATTGGGGTCGAGGACTGGTGAGAAAAAAATGAGACGGAAAAGGCAGAGAAGAGATGAAAAGGATGCGCCAAAATGATGGCGAGGATGGTTGTTGGGGGGAAAAGCGAGGAAGAGAACGGAGAAAGGAGGAGAGAAGGAAAGACAGGCGATAGTTACGGAAGCAGTGAGTTTCGTAATCCGGTGATCTCGAACAACCAATTTGACTCACCAGCCACTTCGCTATGTGAATTTCTCTCCACGTTCATAATTATAGAGATAATCATTTGATGCTTAGTGAATGAATCTATTAAATAGATTTCTTGTAGCCATCATTGTTGATTCATGTCTTTTTGTTCTATTTCAGGCCATCTTCCATGGATTGTATATATCTCCGTACACCGAGTTCACGACTTTTGGAACACTTCGCCAGTCTCCCCAGGCAACATCCTCTAGATTGATTAAACGAAAGACTCTATATCGTAGACATCCCAGTTTCATTTGATGCATTAATATCTGAATACAATTCTTGGACTTCGACATACTAAATGTAGGCCATCGACTATACTACTAGCCACACTAAGAGCCCGACCTACGAATGCATGACTACAAAACACAAGATGCAGAAGACCAGAAGCAAACTTTTGGTTTTTAATAAATCAGCTCCCTGTTCTCGAGGCCTGGAGTCTCTCGGTAACAAAAAACAAAGAGAAAAAGGGGCCATCTTCGGCACAATCCCGTCGAGCCCAGACTGCTACTGACATGAGACGATGATCACCACAAAAAGGAAAGAAAACAAAAAGCGCCGGCAAAGCAGCTTCCCATCCTCCACGGATCCGACATATGAAACAGAAAACCCCAGTGGAAGGTATCCTCCGCGGATCCCAGTGCAGAGAAAAGTTTTTGTGGACACAACACCTCAAGCCAACGCCATACAGAATGCAAAGAATTCCCATCTCTATCGCTCGCATTACATGTTCGTGAACCGCCGGTCCCAGACGTAATGCGAAAGAAACAAGTACCCGCCGAATAAGAAGCCCATGATGATGTTTTTTTTCTCCAAGTGCAAGGAGGTAAGCCCCGGTCCCTCTTCTGCGCGCCGCTGTTGCGCCGGTGAGAGATCTCAAAGCCCGAGAAAAAAAGTAGCCTTCGTAGCGAAACAGAAAACACGATGCACGCATGCAGGCAGACAGCAAAAGAGGAAAGAGGAAGTTGATAAGGAAAAAGGGAAAACAACCCGCCATGAGATACCGAAAACTGGAAGAAATCTATGTTGCAAGACACGATGCAGATGCCACCGCACCAAGCAGATGAAATCATAAAAAGCACTTTTCTGGAACGCGACAAGCCGGCACTTCTGGCTGGCACGCGTCGTTCAAGCGGTTCTCCATATGGCCGCCTGAAAACAAAAAGGGTATCTGATGGAAGCGGGTGCGAGAGTAAGACAACGCAATCTATGATGTTCATGGAATGCCGACCGGGATGCTCTCGATTACATGGTGGGTATAATCAGGAGCAGCACAAGATGGTGAGATCGGGCCGCATCATAAGATCATGCCTAAATAACGGACATAACAGAACGAGAAGACAAAGAAAAAAGGGCACAATGCTCATAAAAGACAACACCTAGAAAACAGATGGTAAGAAAGAAGAAATCAAAGAAACAGACTCTAAAAAAGGAAGTCGTGGCAGTCATGACAAAGCCGGTCCTGAGATAAGTAAAAAGCGGAAAGAGGTAGAAAACGAGAAGCTCAGGACTCGTTCTGACCGTATCCGTCAAATTGAGAGGCAAGAAAAATGGAAGAACGGGAAAGAAAAAGAGGAGCCAATCAGACATGACGGCCTCGCCAGAGACCACAACTTCTGATTTACCACCAGGAAGAAGGTCCGGTAGGGCCAGAGGGGTTTCCATAGCCACCACCGCCGCCGCCGTAGCCGAAGCTGCCACCACCTCCGTAGGAGGGAGGAGCTCCGTAGCTGCCGCCACCGCTGCCGCCGCCGTAGCCGCCGCCCGGGGCACCGTAGCTGCTACCACCGAACGAAGGGGGACCGCCCATGTTGCCGCCCAGGCGACGCATGTCGCGGGTGGCATTGGCACCACGGCCACGGCCACCACCACGGCCGCCACGACCGCCATAGCCGCTGCCCTCACGAGCAATGCTCTCCAAGAAGGAAGGAACCTCCTGGTGAGCCTCCTTCAGAAGGTCAATCAGGTCACGGACGACACCACGGTTGCCACGGTTGAAGAAAGCAGTGGCGATACCGGTGTTACCGGCACGACCGGTACGACCGATACGGTGGACGTAGTCGTCGATGTCGGTGGGCAGGTCGTAGTTGATAACGTGGGTGACGTTGGGGATATCGAGACCACGAGCAGCGACGGCAGTAGCCACCAGGATGGGGCAGCGGCCCGATCGGAACATCTCCAGAGCACGCTCACGCTCACGCTGGGTGCGGTCACCGTGAATGGCGGTAGCGGGGAAACGCTGGTTGAGGAGGAAGTCCGAGAGCGAGTCGGCCATACGCTTGGTCTCGACGAAGATCAGGGTCAGACCGCTGGTGCCGTGGGTGTGAAGGATGTCAAGGAGCACGGAGCGCTTGTCGTGGTCCTCCACGTACTCGACCTTCTGGGTGATGTTCTCAGAGGTGGAACCCACACGTCCGACGGACAAGAAAACGTAGTCCTTCAGGAAGTCACGGGCCAGCATCTGAATGTCCCGGGGGAAGGTGGCCGAAAACATGAGGGTCTGGCGGTCATTCACGTGGGGCATGTCCTCACCCTCCACGATGCGACGGATCTGAGGCTCGAAACCCATGTCCAGCATACGATCGGCTTCATCCAGAATCAGGTACTTGATGTTGACCAGAGAGATACGGCCACGCTCGATCAGATCGACGAGACGACCAGGAGTGGCAACCAAAAGATCGCAGCCACGCTCGATCTGACGCAGCTGAGAGCCGATGTCAGCACCACCATAGACCACACAAGGGCGGACCCAAGAGCGGTAGGCGAACTTGCGGGCTTCGTCAAAGATCTGAGACACAAGCTCACGAGTGGGGGCAAGGATGAGGGAGGTCGGGTAGGCCTTGCGCTGACGACCGTAGCTGAACTGACCGGACGCCTGGGCCGGGGTGGCCGAGGGACCATTCTGGAAAGCCTGCGACAGGATGGGGAAGAGGAAACCACCAGTCTTTCCGGAACCAGTCTGGGCACAGGCCATGAGATCGCGACCGTTCATGACGATGGGGATAGAGTACTTCTGCACCGGGGTGGGGACCTGGTAGTGAGCGAGCGTGATGTTGGCGATCAGGTGGTCATCCAAGGGAGGGTTGGTAAAGGCATTGACGGGCTCGGGGACGTTCTGGCCGGAGGCCTCGACCGGGATGTCATCGTAGTTGGCGAAGTTGATACCGGTGTTCTGCTTGGAAGGATCGTTGGGAAGACCGAAAAGTTCACGTTCCACGCGGGCGTTGGCGGGTCCAGGGATGTGCTTGCCGTCGCGCCACTGGCCGTCTCCAGAGCCTCTGGCAGCACCACCACCTCCACCTCCACCGTATGCGTTTCCACCTGGGTTTCCGTAAGCATCTGGGTTAAAGGCATGGCGAGCACCTTCTAGGGGTGTCCAGCTTGTGTTACCATTGGGACCGCGGGGGCTGAAATCAGGAGCATTGGCGTTGGCCCAGTTGTTGCCGCGAGGACCACCTCTGTTTGAAAGAAAAAAAAACCAACCTGTTAGTCTCGTCTCCAGAAATTGCAAAGCGAATGCCTTGTTGCTGTGAATACATCGCGAGAGAAATATAAACAAAAAGTAACGTACCTCGGGGCCCAGGATCCAGGACCAGGGGCAGGGCCAGGGCCTGGGGGAGGGGCAGCACCGTCCATGTTCGCGCTGGCGCCCATCTGACGCTGGCGGAGATGAGGGGGGATGTAGGCAGCACGGCCAGTGTTAGGGGCAGCAGGCGCATGCTGAGACTCGTTAAGGGAAAGGTTTCCCATCTTCAATCCGTCGGCCATATTTGCGGATAATTCACAAACTGCGGTAGGATAACAGATAAGCAGGACGAACAAACGACTCGACTTGTGACACCAAGGACGAACGTACAGTTTTAGAAATTCGAAAGCGGTTTGTGTTGATAGTCGTAGAGCAGAATCGCGATCTGATCCACCTGAAATCTCTTTTCTTTTTGTACAAGAAAGATAGGAGAAGAATGTGGTGCGAATTATCTGAAAAAGTATCACCGGCGTCTATGAAGTGGCGATACAAGAACCGAGCAAATAGACAAGAGCACGGCGAAAAAGAAAAAGGACAGGAAGAAGAGTGAAAAGAAAGGAAGTTTTCTTCTGAGCAGTTGAATTACAAAAAAGAAAAAAACCAAGGTGATCTCCCAGATCTAACCCTCTATTAAATTTGCAGAAAGGAAAAGGGAAACGAGAGGGACGGGGGGAGGAGAGAGAGAGAGAGAGAGAGAAGAGAGGAAGGAGGAAGAAAAAAGGATAATATGTGGAGATATTGAAAAGAAAAAAAATGAACCGATTTGGATTAGGGGGGGGGAACGAGGAGAGAGTTGGGAAGTGGAAGAGAAGAAGAGCGAAACTGAAAGAGAAAAGGGAAAGGGTGAATGGGGTTTTTTTCGTTTTCTTGTGGGTGAGGAAAAGAGGCAACGCCCGATTGGATTTTTAATTAATCTGATTTTTTTTTTCTATTTCTTTTTTCTTTTTTTTTTTTTAATTCCCTACTTGCGTGAATCAGTGTCTGGTCTACGGTGTTTTGTCCTCTTGTCCCATTCCTTTCCAGGTTTGCCCTTCCCGCTGATTCAGATTCAGAAGCGAAAAGAGACAGAAAAAATAAAATAAATAAAAAAATAAAAAATAAAAAAAGGACAAATACCACCCGCGATGACAACTACTGTACTTCGGTGTACATACATTCGAGTACCTACATGAATTGTTTCTTTTATTAGGTATTCTAGTATTTATTCTGACCTCGAGTCCAGGGTTTGGAATTTTCCACAAGTGTTATTCACTACCGACCTACACTGTGTAGGTACTTCCTATCTAGACCAAATTGTATGGCACCCTAAAGTACCTGCGGACCAATCTAGTAAGGCCGAATGAAATGCCATCCGCATACTGGACGCTGGACATTGTAGATCCAGATATTCTTTTACTCCGTATGGTATGACATGAGTCCTCTGATCTTTGCAGAGGAAATCAAGCATTATCCACTTGGGACTGGCCTTCCAAGTCATCTACATACGTAGCACATACGTAGCACTAAAGGTCCAAGTGCAAAGATCTAGTTAATCGGAGATCTTCAACCCCGTGCTCCTTATTATCATATCATAAGAATGGTTTTCTTGGTGAGTTGGTTACCACTGCCACCACCGAGGCTTGTGGCCACCATCCTTTTCCTCTCCTTTGCCACACCTTGATTTTCCATGGCTCGGGTCATCTGACTAACGTCGCCACTTGTTTTCTTTTGCGGCGCTGCCATTGACCGCTTCTTACGAAGTTTGGCACAGACCCCAATCCACAGACCGGTTTGCTCACGGCACTACTCCGATCGGGTGCCTTGATAGGTCCAGGAGGGACGCAGGTCAAACCAAAACTAAAATTAAAAATAAAATAAAATAAAATAAAATCAACGGGACAATGCAGCCTCGGCATAGATGTACGGTAGGCATACGGTGTATATGATGACATTCGATTTACTCTCTCAAGCAAGACTCTTTTCGTGATCCTTACCCCGAGAACGTCTTCCGCAGCAGTTCTTAACCGCGATTGCAATGATCGCGATAGCAACGACAAAGACGGCGAACCCGGGCAGAGAAATTGAGGAAGGTGCTGGAACGACTGGTGCAACCTCTGGCGGGCTATCCGTGATAACGGCTTCTTCATTGTCTTCTTCGCCTTCAGAGACCAGCGAATATCAGCACATTAGGGCTTTCCTCAAGTAGCAAGGACTGACCGGGTGTAGGTCTACAACTCCTCGTGGCTACCTTTCTTCTCGCTGGGGGTATCCTCAACCTCCAGCTCTCCACTCTTTGCGATCTTGACCACCTGCTCGGGCTTGTCGCCACGGCCCTTGGGCACGTTCTCGATCGCCTCGACGATCTCGTAGCCCTCAAGGACCTCGCCGAAGACAACGTGGCGGCCATCAAGCCAGCTATTAGAGCGAACAGTTAGCAACTAATCTTCGTCGGCAGAGTTATTCCGGGCTGAACGTACGCAGTAATGGCGGTGGTGATGAAGAACTGAGAACCGTTGGTGTCCTTGCCGGCGTTGGCCATGCTAAGGAGACCCTTGCGAGTGTGCCTGATCTTGAAGTTCTCGTCGGCGAACTTCTCGCCGTAGATGGACTTGCCGCCGGTGCCTATCCGTCAAACATTAGCATGCGCCGTCTCAACGGCAGGTTTTTGAAATGCGGAAAACTAACCGTCACCACGGGTGAAGTCACCGCCCTGGATCATGAAGTCCTTGATAACACGGTGGAAGGTAGATCCCTCATATCCGAAACCCTTCTCGCCAGTAGCCAGAGCGCTTCACAAAAGTTGCATGTTAGTAGAATGAACAAGCCGCCTTGGGAATCAAATCAAAGGAGCTGTACCGGAAGTTCTCAGCGGTCTAGTACATATCAGATTCATCAGCATCCGTTCCCAATTCAATATCAGAGAGGATTGTTTGTTTACCTTGGGAACAGTCTTTCCGTACAGACCAAGCACAATTCGACCGAGAGGCTTGTCACCGTGCTCAATGTCAAAGTAGACCTAGCCACATCCACCCAATTAGTATTTCCCCAGCAATACGCCTCTGCAAACCCGACAGACAGCAGGCCTACCTTGCTGGTGATCTTAGGTCCCCGAGGCTCCTTAGACTCTTCGGCGTGGACCAGGGCCAGCCCGACGGCCAGGACCAAGAAAAAAGACAGGAAGATAGACTTGAAGTTCATGGTTGCTCGTGGAACCCTAACAATGGATTATACAGAGCAGTGGGGATGAGGAAAGGAAGAAGCTCTCCTCCATGGAGGCCAGCTTGCAGTTAAGTCGCCAGTCAGCGGCATGCGGAGATGCCAAGATCAAATTACGCCCGATCAGGGAAAGCGCGTGTATTTTTCAGTGGTGCCGGCACGATAAGGTGAAATATTGGTATTACGTCTGAAACTTTCAACGTTTCGTCGCGGAGAAACGTTGTTGCCGCTTTGCTTCGATTTCTCCCGCTCGCCGGAGTTGCAACACCCGCAGACGAGAGGCATAGGTATAGCGAGTGGGAGTCTGGATCTTACGCGCAACCCGTCAACATGGTATGCATGGCCTCGATATCTTCATATGATACTGGATTTCGATCGCTAACTGACAATTAGGTTTTCATTCTCGGCGTCAACTTCCCCGAGCGGAATCTCGTCAAGGCAAGCATCAACCTTACCCCCAGTCCCAGTCCACCCTCCCCGACCCTCGAGTACGTTCCGGTCTAATACATTCCCACAGAAGTCGCTCCAATCCTTCTTCGGTATCGGAAACCAGACCTCGTCACAGCTCCTTGCCCGGTTCCACATCCACCCGACATGCAAGGTCAGCGAGCTGGCCAACAAGCAGGTCCTGGATCTCACGGCTGCTCTGTCCGATATGAAAATCGAGAACGACCTGCGACGAAACGTCCTCGATAACATCAAGCGGTTGAAGGAGAGCGGTACCTATCGTGGTAGACGTCACGCGCTGGGATTGCCGGTTCGCGGACAAAGGACAAGAACTCAGGTAGGTAGTTTCGCTGGGGGGTGTACACACGGGCTCTATGCTAACGGGGACGGAAACAGATCAAGACGGCGGTCAAGCTGAACCGCATGGAGAGAAGAATGTAGGTTGCTGCTAAAAATTTTCTGACGGCTGGTCAAGCCTGGTGTCGTTTTTATCTCTGAGGGCATGAACCGGCGTTTTGTTGCTTATTTCTTGTAATTGGATACTTGGATCCCGAGGATCTCACGATGTGTATTATATTAGACATTCGAAACAAAAGAAGGTCAAAAAAAGAAGACGAAATTTCCTATCTTCCCGGTCTAGAACGATTGATTGATATTGCATACAAATTAAGGAAACATCGAACTCGTATGGTAGCTGTTCGAAAACAAAGCCAAAACAGCCCAACTTTTTCATCCAACACTAGAACGCCACGCCCATATGTGCAACCCATTCTCATGCGGAAGACAAGACACCCTCTCCACGGTTGATCTGGATCCTCTTATCCTCACCGGCACTGACAATACCCACCGACTTGTCCCAACACACGCCGAAAACCTTGACTCCTTCGCCACCAACGCGCTTGGCATCGGCCTTGCCTCCCTCTTCCAAACTCTTGCGAGCAATCGAGTAGACGCTTTCTCCCACAACGCCGTCTTTATCGGTCTTGGTTGACCGGATATCCCAGATGCGGCACGTGCCGTCGTGGCTACCACTGATCAGACCGTACGAGCTGTTGGGATCACGAGCCAGCGAAACGACAGCGTTGGTGTGGCCGCGCAGCGTCATCGCCGCGATGGTAGTCGCCGAAGCTCGAGGATCGATGAGGGTGATGTGGCGGGCCGACGAACCCGTAGCGAGGAGGTGATGTTCAGGGAGGTGCTCGAGGGAGAGAAGGGAGTGGGATGTCGTGCGGGTATCAACCAAAGCAGCAGTGACAAGATCCCACGTGCGCAGGGAATGATCCCAAGACGTCGAGTATCCGACAGTGGAGTCCTTAGCATCGAAAATGGCGGCCGACACGGGTGCACTGTGGGCAGAGAGAAGGGCAACAGGTCCACGCTGAGGGGTGCTCACAGAAGAGTTTAACTTTCTTCGTTTAGAGCTCTTGGCGACGGCCGATGGAAGTAGGTTCTCCGGAGCAGCTGGAGCATCAGATTTCTTGGTTGACCAGAGACCAACGGTGTGATCTGACGATGCGGATAGAATGCGGTTCGAAGGTGCATGGACCGCGAGCGAATTGATGGCAAGCTTGTGCCCGTACAGCTCTAGTTGAGGAGCGATAATTCCTTCGAAGCCATTCTCGCTTTGCGTGTATTTCCACAAACGAACCGTGCGATCAAGTCCCGCCGAGACGATCGAGTTGGGGGAGATGAATTTGGCGGCTTTGATGGATGCGGTGTGGCCACCCTCAGTCGGTGACGGCGAGGTTGCCACTATTTGCGACGACATATCCCACACTCGTAGAAGACCATCGTAACTACCAGACAGAATCCTCTCCTGGCCCGGAGTAATATTGGCGGACGCCCAAGAAGCTGCGGGCGAAGTGGCAGAGAGCACATCGACCGAGCTGACCCAATCATCGTGCTCGAAAGATGCGATATGAAGAGGCGGAATCAAAGCTCTCACATACTCGATTTCCAAAGTAGTTTCGGCGGAGATGCCATTCGCAGTCAGATATTCATCGATCGAAGTTCGGAGGAATGATCCGTTGATCAAGAACTCGAATGGAATCGGCTTGGCGGACCCGAGGAGGTTGTTCACTAACGTCGAAAGCGCATATCTCCGTAGACCTGATTAAATCAGAGTTAGAGCGTGAGCGATAGCCAGGAGTTGTGAAATCATCTGTGTTCATTGATCAAAACTCACCAGTGGGAACCAAAATTGGGCCGGTATTCTCAGGCAGTGCGATATCCTCTTGCTTGCTTAGAAGCTGCACGCGAACCTGTCTTTGAGCAGCCTGCGACGAGGCCGCAGCGGAACCCTGACCCCCATTCATTTTGAAGATGTGTAGCAATCGAAAGGGAATTTTAGGCGGCGTGGTCTACTGGATGCGCCGTGGAAGAAAAACTGCGACGGGCAACGGAAAAAAAAAATACGGTGACCGAAGCGGCCACTTGTGCAAAGCGCGGAGATTCCCCGCAGCTCTTGGATTTTGATCTTTCGGTTTGTCTCCTTGGAATATCAATTGAATCGTTGTTTATTTATGTTCTGCAGCAGACATGTACTAATGATGATCTATATACATCGCTCACATAATGGTTCCATGGTTTCGAGAGATTCGTCGAATTTCCGCAATCGCTTTCCGCCGGTAGTCAGATTCAGCGAACAGAGCTTCGATGAGATCCACGACCTCCTCGGGCGAGAATTCTAGACGCAGTTCGCCTTCTAGCCAGAGGAACTTGATATCCGCCAAAGAGCTCTCCAGGATGTTGATCAAGTACTGGAATTTCAGCCAATTGCGTACATAAACAGCCGTCATGGGTACACGTTCCGTGTTCTCAGAGGTCTCTGGGATGAACAGATCTTCCAGTTTCGAGACTTGATTGCAGAACGACACAAGCCGTTCCGACTGGGCTGCTGATATATCGCCCAAGTCTTCAATCTCGATGATGATTTTGTTGATGACAGTCGAGACCAAGGACCCGACCGATTGGAGAAGCGCCGAGTGTGACAGGATTGGTTGCCATTCTTTGTGAACATCGCGGATTCTGTCAACCGTCGCGCTGACTGCATTCTCACATTCTCCTAGGAAAGGCTGCTCCGAGCATTGGCTGAAGCCTTGCGCACCATCGAGTAGGTCAGTCACAATGGTGCGCTGAGTCTGCATCTCCTTGCTGTAAGCCAATTTGCCAAATCGTTCAAGAGCTTCAATATCCGCCTGAAGTCTGGAGAGCTGATGTTCTTCCGCAATACGACGAACTTGATCCGCCAGGTATAGACTGTCATTGTATAGATACATCTGCCCGGAACTAAGCTTAAGCCCGTAGAAAGAGGTCGCTGTAGCTTTGAACATGGCGAGGATTAATGTTGGAAGAGCAAGAAGACCGGCCCCGGAGGAAACGACGCGCGAATTGGAGTGCCTGACATAAGATTAGCACTGAATTTCGGGACAGGGAGTAGATTACATACGCTGGATGCGTTATGGCATCAGAGTCCATCACTTGCTGCCGGATAATTCTAAGGATAGCTTCAGGAATATCTGTTACAGTATAGCGCTCCGTCAAGGTGACCTCTCGCGGAGACGCGTGACGTGCTGTGTCCTTTCCATTGACCGAGTTTGCCTTGACCGAATTCTTGGACTGAGAAGTGTCGACGGCGGTTTCTTCATCTTCGTCGCCCCAGCCCCAGGCATCGCCATCCTCATCGTCGCCATCGGCAGCGGCAGCGGATGCACTAGGCGCTGTTTCAGGAGAATCGTTTGAATCATCGTCCAGACCCCAGGCACTGACGTCCTCTTCGTCTTCCTTCTCTTCAGCGGGTGTCTCTTTGGAATCATCTCCCATATCGTCGTCCCAGCTGGCATCCCAGTCATCGGAAGTACTAGTCTTTTCCAGCAGAGCCTCATCTGTGGCAGAGACCTTCTCTATTTCGACCCTCTCCACTTGCTTCGTGCTACCCTCACTGCCAGCGAGAACCTTGCGAACCTGGTCTAATGAGTCAACTCGTCGTCTCGTCAGCCAGAGTCGGGGTGCCTGGTTGACCCAAGAGACAAGCTCTTCTTGACCATGCCAACCAAAATTTTGGATGGTGTTAGTAAATCCAAGAACGGCGTCCAGGGTACCCTCGAATTCACCCAGGCCTACGAGCTCCGTAGGGATCGCTGATGAGAGCCACGAGGCGATAATCTTTGATGAAAGAATTGGAATAAATGTTTCCGAAAGTGAATCCAGGATCGATGAATGAAGATGTTGGCGAAGGAACCCTAAGACCGTGACTATGCGTTCCAGGAGCTCGGAAACAGAAACCTTCGATAGTTGCGGCTCAACCCGAAGTGAGGTTCCCTCGATGTGCACGCCGCGGCTGTGCCCATCAACTGTAGGTAGTAGTATCGGTTCGATTACTGCAGAGATAAGGTCCTTTTGGAATTTGCCCTTGGCTGGGGCCAGCATCTCCAATCGAACCAGCGCTGTAACAGTTTCCTCCAGTCGCTCTACGCAGCGTTAGCAGTGATACTGCCAGAAGAAGAGCCCAGGGGGCCTCTCACCAGTGTTATCCGGAAGGACGAGTTTCGCTTCTCTTTCGTCAATGTTTAGCTGGTCGTTCCAGCGAGAGCGGAGGCACTCGACAATTTCGCCCCGTAGATCGTTGACATTCTCTGATAAGATGACGAGAACGGTTGTATTGGCGAATAAATTGTCCTTCTTGATGGCTTGTTCTGTCGACTCCAAGATATCAATTGCGCCAGTGACTTGGTCCTCTTGAAGAAGGGCCCGTCCGGCGTCCAGCTGCTGACTGAGTCTCTGTACTTCCTCCAACGTGTCTGTTACAGCCTGGTTGAAAGCAATCTCAGTTTCCATCAACCCAACCTTTGCAGCAGCATCTTCGACCTTCGCTTGCAGGGGATTTGTGTTCTCATGCTGTGCGACTATTTCTCGTGCAGTAACCCTAGAGCGCTCGATATCTGCGTGCAATTGCTTTGCTTGCGAGATCCACCCGTCGGCGTCAAAGTCGTTTTCCCGACTCAATGAGCTAATCTCAGCCTGCGTGGGAGGAAGAGTGTCAGCATCTTTCCAGCGACATGCGCTGTTTCGCAACGGCAATCTGGCCCGGGGATGGGTGAGGGGTCTTGAAGAGTATGAACACTCACCTCCACTTGCGCTCTGGCCTTAGACAGAAGTTCCAACTCTTTGGATAGAGCAGATACGGGGAATTCCGCGGCGACCACCTTCTCCGATTCTGGGTACTTCCCCTCGGTGACGAAATCCAACACCGATTGGCATATCTCTTGCTCCGAAGTGTTGGCCATGATGAACGACTATCGCACGTCAACCTTTGTAACCCAGTCGACTGAGAGCAAAGCAGACTCGAATACCCGAGACAGCAAATGCCTGACCACTTTCTTGACGGGTGTACAAGCGATGTTATCGACAAGCTGTCAACACCATGTGACTTCACCGCCTTCACCGCCTTGGCCCAATGCAGGCAAGCCTCCAGCAAGAAGATTGGCTCTTGCGACAACGAGGAGAAGTTACTTTCTTCCTGATTTTTGCGCCTGCCAGATTTCGTCCTGTCCTACCTGAGGACGTTGCTTGGATCCCCCCTTTATGAGAATATCTGACCGATTGCTGACCGGGCGATTCTCATTATTCCAACGACGGGACCCAGACTCCACTCCAGAACGTCGTCACGGCCTGAAGGGCTCTAAATCCCAGCAGCCCACGTTCTTGCATCATTGAGTCTTGCCTGTCAAGCAACGTCCACAGTGTTGTCTCGGCTTATTCCACGAGGCCTGACTAGGGCGCGATTTCGATCCCTGTGAGTTCCCGCCAGTCCTGTTTCCAATACAAAGAGAGAAAAGAAAGGAAGAAAGAAAAAAAAAAAATTAGAACTGCCCCTCCTAAAACCCCTCCAAAACCTCCGGCATGCCACTCCCAGACCACTCCGGTGTTATTGCTTGGGAACTTACCAAATGTACACTTATTAAACAAACATATGACTCGCATGATTTACATCATTTCCTCCTTCAGCTAGTATCCGGTTCTTTTTCTATGTTCTCTCGGAACGCTCGTGTACCTGATCAGTGTTACTGACCATCGCCCAGACCATTGTTTAAGGAAGCGACTACGAGATCCGGGGGGGAAGAACGGCTCCGGAGATCCTCAAGATCGTTATTCACCATGTCGCCTAGTCACAAGAGTCATTTCAAACTACTTCAAAAGTTCAATCCCGAATATTCGCCGAGCGAGTTTGTTCAGTATGAATCCGAGAGAACTGGCATGCGGGTCGTGGTCATTGACCAGAAGGGCCCGAAGGTAACGGGATACTTCGTCCTTGCTACCGAGATTGCCGACGACTCGGGAGCCCCTCACACCCTTGAGCATCTTTGTTTCATGGGATCTCGCAACTACAGATACAAGGGTTTTCTTGACAAGCTCGCGACGCGAGTCTACTCGAACACCAATGCGTGGACGGCGACCGACCACACAGCGTATACCCTGGACACCGCCGGCTGGGAGGGATTTGCGCAGATCCTGCCCGTATACCTGGAGCACGTCATCGCTCCTACCCTGACCGATGAAGGCTGCTATACCGAGGTGCACCACATTGATGGCACCGGAAACGATGCCGGGGTTGTGTACTCGGAGATGCAGGGTGTGCAGAACAATTCCGCCGAGCTCATTGACCTGACTGCTCGACGGTTGACTTACCCTGAGGGTGTGGGATTCCGCTACGAAACCGGCGGAATGATGGAGCAGCTTCGCGTCCTCACTGCAGAGAGGATTCGAGCATTCCATCGAGAGATGTACCAACCCAGAAACCTCTGCCTGATCATCACGGGTGAAGTAGACCACGAGAATATGCTGCAGACACTAGACAAATTTGAGGATACCATCCTGGATGTCATCCCTAGTCCCGACTCGCCCTTCAAACGCCCTTGGGTCGATTCCAAGCAGGCACCCCCGCTCGAGAAGTCTATTGTGCAGACTGTAGAGTTCCCCGAGGAAGATGAATCTTTTGGTGAAATAGAGATCCGATTTCTGGGACCGGACTGCACAGACCCCATCCAAAGTAAGCTTGCCCCTGCAATCCACCACCTACACCGACTCAATACTGACCGGTCAATCAGCTGGGGCACTCAATGTTGCTTTGCTTTACCTGGCTGGGTCGTCGGCTTCTCTCTTGGACAACATCCTCGTGGAAAAGGAGCAACTCGCTAGCGCTGTCTACTACGCCACCGAGGACCACCCTAGTCTGGAGATCCGCTTCACCCTCACGAGTGTGGAGACAGATAAGCTTGCCCAGGTGGAGAAGCGCTTTTTCGAGGTGTTGAACGATGCGATGCAGAAGGAGCTTGACATGGGATACCTTCAGGAGTGCATTGAGCGGCAGAGGCGTACTTGGAAGTTTTCCACCGAAAGCTCTGCCTCTTCGTTTGCGGAATATGTCATTTCTGACTTCCTGTTCGGAAAGCGGGATGGCTCCACTCTGCTCGACGTGGCCACCTTGAAGGAGTACGATGTGCTGGAGAAGTGGACCGAGGTCGAATGGCGCACCTTCATTAAGAAGTGGATTTCTGATGCGGCTCATGTCACCATCCTTGGCGTACCATCGTTGAAGATGTCTGACACTCTGAAAAAGGAAGAGGAAACTCGAGTGGCAGAGCAGAAAAAGCGACTCGGGGAGAAGGGGTTGGCGGAGCTGGCCGACAAGCTTGAGAAAGCCAAGGCCGAGAATGACAAGGAGATTCCCAAGGACTTGTTGGAGAATTTCAAGATCCCCGGAATCGAGTCGATCCATTTCGTGGAGACTACCACGGCTCGGTCAGGCACTGCTTTGCAAGCCGGACACCCGAAGCACAAAGTTCAACAGCTTGTGGACGCTGACGGCTCTGACATGCCCCTGTTCATCCATTTCGAGCACATCCCCAGTAGCTTCGTCCAGCTTTCTCTCCTCATCTCGGCGCAGTCCGTGCCGGTCCAACTCCGACCTCTCTTGTCCGTCTATACGGAAGCCTTCTTCAACCTGCCAGTCCAGCGTGATGGCAAGACCATCAACTTTGAACAAGTTGTGGTTGAGTTGGAGAGAGATACCGTGGGTTATTCCATGGAGGGGGCCAGAAACCTGGGCAACTCGGAAATGCTCCGCATTTCCTTCCAGGTCGAGTTGGAGAAATACAGCACAGCAATCGCCTGGCTCCAGGAGATTTCGTGGAACACTATATTCGACGTGGAGCGACTTCGCGCCATCACCAGTCGTCTCCTATCTGATGTGCCCGATTCCAAGCGTTCCGGCGACGACATGCTTGCGGCAGTGCACGTCATGGTCCACTACGCGCCTGAGTCGATCGTACGAGCTCGTAGCACCTTGGTGAAGGCACGTTATCTCAAGCGTATCAAGCGTCAGTTGGCCGAGGAACCCGAGACGGTTGTCGCACGCATGGAAGAGATTCGAAATGCTCTCTTCAAGTTCGAGAACATGAGAGTCTTAGTCATTGCCGATCTCGAGAAGATCCAGAACCCAGTGTCGGCCTGGAAATCGTTCGTTGGTCGACTGGGCGCCCATGTTCCACTTCAGCCCATCACCTCCCGCAGACCCTTGCTGAGTGAGACTGGTCAGAAATTGGGCGGACAGTCGTTTGTGGTTCCCATGCCCACGATCGACTCCTCCTTTGCCTACGCTACGGCCCGGGGTCTTGACTCGTACGATGACCCCAGGCTCCCGGCGCTGCTGGTGGCAATTGCCTACATGAACGCGGTCGAGGGCCCTCTTTGGGTGGCGGTTCGCGGTACCGGTCTGGCATACGGCACCAACTTTGCCTACAACATCGACACCGGCTTTGTTAACTTTGACGTGTACCGATCGCCCAATGCGCACAAGGCATTCGAGTCGAGCAAGCAGATTGTCAAGGACCATCTCTCCGGCGCCATGCCGTTCGATCCCCTGATGCTGGAGGGCGCGATCAGCAGCATCGTGGTTAGCTTTGCCAACGAGCAGGCGACCATCGCCGGTGCGGCCCAGGGCAGTTTCATTCGCCAGGTTATCCGCAAGCTCCCGACCGACTACAAGGAGAAGATGCTGAAGCAAGTGCGGGACATCGGCGTCGAGGATGTCAAGAAGGCCCTGAAGGACATCATTCTGCCTGTGTTCGCCCCGGCCACGGCCAACATTGTGATCACCTGCACGACCATGCTTGAGACGGTACGTTTTGTCTTCCTAAGTTGAGCTTCTGTTCAATACTAACTCTCTATCTTAGACCATCAAGGAAGGCCTTGAAGCCTCCGGATTCACACCTAAGGTGCAAGCCCTTAAGGAATTCGAGGACGACTACGGTCTGAAGGTTGGCGACGACGATGAAGAGTCCGACGACGATGACGACGAATATGAAACCGGATCCGAAGAAGATGACGATGACGATGACTCCGAAGATGATGAGTGATGCTTTAATAGTAATAACGAATTAGGCTGGTTACCACGGGAAACGGATGGACGGTGCTCGGAAGGAATACACTTATCACTATCACGTAGCATTAAGACCTAGATCAAAGAGACCAGGGAGCGAATATGATCTCGGTAGAGAAAAAGCTGGTAGTAAATATAGATACATTTACAGTAGATAAGAACCAATCGACTGGATGTTTGACACTGGCACTTGGGCTATCCTGTAGTAGCTGTGTAGGGTTCTCTATATATGCTGGCTTCCAACTTCATACCAACTAAACGATCGTCCCAGCTACTTTACAAGAAACAATGCAATGATCAGCAGCTCTAAAAAAAAATATGTATATAGTACACGATGCTCGACCAGACCGTAGGTGCGGCAATCATGACGAATACAATATCATCATAAAACACCGCTCCCTACCTTGGTAGGTAGACAGGCCATAGGCCAAACTCAGCCTCCAATCCCACTCTCGGAGACAAATAAAAAAGAAACGAACAGCCAAACAATACTTAAACAGAAGGGCAATAAAAAAAATAAGATCCGTGACTACCCAGCAGAAGAAAGAAAGAAGGAAAGAACATTCATACCCCCAACAGCCCTCAGTTCAATTCGAAGACAAGCCAAACCGCAAAACGCAAAAAGGGCGAAGGAAGCCCAGCCCATCCATCTACCAACTCATATTCTTCCTCCCCTTAGCCCTCCGACGCATAATGATCTTCCGACCTCCGCGCGACCGCAGCCGCGCCAGGAAGCCGTGACGGCGCTTCTGCACCCGTCGTGACGGGTTGTAGGTGTCGCGCTTGACGCCGAGGGAGGCACTCGCGGAGAACGAGCGAGATTGGAGAGCGGAGGTTAGCGGAGTCGTGGCGTTGAGGGAGGGGAGCGCGGGACGGATGGAGGCAAGGCTCGGTGTTTGGGTGCGGAAGGCTGAGAGGGGGGTTGAGAGGGAGCGGAGAGGCGAGGAGATTTGCGAGGAGGAACTGGTTCGGTTAGTTTTATGGCGTTGGAAGAGGAGGGAAGGGAAAGGGTTGGAGTTGTTGTGGTCTGAAGATGTGATGTGGTGGAACATACCGGGAGAGGGTGGACGTGGAGAAGGTCCTCAGAGCGGAGGGCAAGGCCCTGCAGCGGATACAGAGCATGTTGGAGGAATTGCGAGGGGGTAGTTGTGGAGGATGGACGAGTTGTCAGGTCAGAGGGGAGAAGGGAAAGAGGAAGATGAAGATGGAGGTTGAATTGAAATGATCGAATTGGGAACTCCGCAGTGCACGGACCACGTGTCGCCTTTTTTTTTTTCTTTTTGTCTTAGAGTTTCGCGGCTGTTGAACTTTCAATCTCGGGCACAACTTATAGATCTTCAACTCGAGACCGGAGAATTGCTACGCCTCTGAATTTATTGAACACTTTTCCCCACGAATCTATTACCCCTCAAATCCGTCTCCATCGCAAGCATCATGGCCACCGCACCCTCGGCCCTCCCACCTACCACCATCCGCTCCTCCATCCCGATCACTCAATCCGCAGCGCACGACTTCCTAGCCGCGTACCTTGACCGCGCCAACACAGATCCTGCCCTGCAACCGAATTCCGGAATCAGCGAACATGGACCTGTCTCGCGCACCACCGCCGCAGCTCCCAACCTCATCCTCCACAACTTGAAGCGCGTGCAGACCGGTCTCGCCGGGGAGGTGCTGGGTCGGGATTTGAGCATCGTTGGGGAAGAGGGAACCGTGCAGCCCCCGGGGCAAGATAACGGAGACTGGCAGGACGCCAAGCAGTTCGAGCAGGAGGCGACTGGGGACGAGCAGCAGGATTCGATGGAGGTCGACGCGGTGCAACAAGAATTGAACGAAGATGAGGGCGCTGGAGGCCTCGATAAGGAAGAGAGAAAGCGCAAGAAGAAGGAGCGCAGACTTGCCGAGAAGAAGGCTAAGAACAACGCGGCATAACTGGGGTGGGCATATATTTTGCTGGGGTTGTGAATTCGCGCTTCGCTCGTTCGGCATCTGTTCTGCGATGGGACGCAGTGGATGGATGGACTGAGCGATTTGCTTCTGCTGCTAGGACTATAAAACAAGCTGTGCATATGGTATAGGCGCATTTGTCTTTTTGGGTGATTCGATATCAGGATGTATACGGAGTTCTTGTGGCTTTTTATTCGATTCTTATTGTTTATTTTATTACTCCCATCCAGCTGGGTTTTCCAACCATCTCCACGGACCCAAACGAGCCATCCATTCATTCTTATCGCCTCCAAACACCCTAACCTCTCGGAACAAACATCATACCCGAAAATAACGAAAAACAAAATAGCAAAGATTACCAGTACCTCCCCTCACAGCTCTCGGTCAGCTGCCTTAACGGGCTCCTCGCTGTCGGCCTCCTTGCTAGTGACCTTTCCACCTTCCCAGCCGAGAGCCTTAAGACGTTCCGACAGGATGGGGTGGGAGTAATGGTAGCTGGCATACATCCAGTCGGCATCCATAGTGCTCAGGTTTTGAATCTGGAGCTTGAGGAGGGACTGCGCGAGCTCCTTCGAGTATCCGAGCTTAACAGCAAAGGCATCTGTGACATCGTCAGCATATTCCGGTTGATAAGTATACGTGATAGAGCGGATGACTTACCGGCTTCAAATTCGAACTTGCGGCTGAGAATGTTCATGAGAAACTTGACCACAGCATCCATGGGTGCCAGGGCGTCGGAGAACAGGAGGAATCCAATCATGATGGGCTGTTCCTTGATAAAGCCAAAGGACTGATACAAAGACTTGTTGTTGACGAAGACCGAGAAGAGCGCGAAAATATAGAACATATGGGACTGGTTTTTAAATGTTAGCTTCTTCCTTTGCATGAGCCTGTAGTTGGCAACGTTTCGCGCAAACATACCTGAGCGATACCAAATAGCTTCGTGGTGTGGCTGAGACTCCAGTGACCGAGTTCGTGGCTAAGGACAGCCACAACCTCCTCAGGCTCACTCTTCTCGATCAAGGTATCATAGATAACGATGTGCTTCTTCCAGGGCAGTCCGTAAAAGTAGGCGTTGCTATGAGCGCTGCGCTTGCTTCCATCGATGACGTGCAGCTCCTTCAAGGGGAATTCCAGCTTCTTGGCAAGAGCTTCAACACCAGCCTTGAGGGGACCAGGCTCCAGAGGGGACAGCTTGTTGAACAACGGCAGGATAACGATCGGGTAGATAGTAATGGCGAAGACCTGGACGAACACGCCGAAGAGCCACAGGTAGTAGAAAAAGGAGTTACCAGTCTTCTGAACGATCTTGAGCACGGCGCTGATGATGGGGGTTCCCAGCACGACACCGAGCATCTGACCCTTGAGCATATCCGAAACCCACAGCTTGAAAGTCTGCTTGTTGAAACCAAATTTCTCCTCGAGAACGAACGTGTTGTAGTACGAGATCGGCAGAGACAGAACCGTGCTAATTATGTTGAACCCGAAGATGAAGAGAAGCGTTTGCGAGATTTCGCCCTGGAACCGAGAAGGGAAGTACTGTGCCAAAAGAAGACCGCTCACTCCCCAGAGCTTGGGGAGGATATCGCCATAGATAAATGCAAGATTCTGAACTTGACCGTAAAGACCAGCGACCCAGCCGAACTTGGCTTTTGCGCGACCATAAGACTAGATCAAGCATATCCTGTTAGGTGCGAATCGTCCGGCTTGGTCGAGCTACATACCTGACTGCGATCGAAGACCTCCTGGGACACCTCTTCCTTCAAAACCTGAGGAGGCTTGGTTCGTTGCAACACCTTGTATTGACGAAAGGAAAGAAGCCCCTCCAGAATGAACTGGCCCAAGGAAAAGCCCACGAGGACATTCTTCCAGGGGAAGAGGGGGCGGTCCAGCAGACGCGCCAGTTGCTATAACACGGAGTAGGGCTGAATTAGCTTGCGCTGCCATAGATGCGGAACAACTCTAGTTGAGAGTAACAGGGACAGAGGGAGCATACCTCGAGGATATACATGATGAGACACACAGCACAGTGACCAGGTACCTGGAGAAAGTGCTGAGTGGAGAGTTGGTCGGTTCTCCAAACAAAGAGGTGGAAGGGGAGGCAGTGAGACCAACTGGTAACTTGATGGATCGGACTTAGTCATCCCCCGGACTCCACTGTGCTGCATATCATGCACAGCAATTACATCTATAGGAGTGATCGGACATATCCTGGCTACTCCAGAGTAGGTACAGAAGCGACTTCTAGACCCCTTTTCCCAATGCAAAGATCATCAATTCTCCATAGCATCTCGTCGTTTCCCTATATCGTTTCTACATAGGTCCATGCCGGTCGAACAGACGAATGAACTCACAAAAAATAAAGATAAAAAAATAAACAAATGAAATAAATTTTTTCCACAAAACTGCGTCGTAACACACGTCAAAAGGAGTAGTTGTCTACTCCGTCCATGTTAACTCATCCTCCAAATCCATCTCTCACCACCTGCTGGGACAGGGGGTTCCGGGGCCCTCTTGGGAATCTTTGCATTGGGGCCACGATGGTGGATTGAAGCCTCCAGCAGGTGAATGAGACAGACTCAGGATATCCTGCGTTCTCTATTCATGGGTAATCCGACGCCCCCTTTCATGACCGTAATAAAAAAACCTTTTTTTCCCTTTCGAGCTTTGACCGCCCGGTATTGCTGTTAGAGACCAGGAGTCCAACAGCCTTCGGAATCCTCCATCTCTCTCAACCATGGCCCGGCCGGACTGAGCCGAGTGTACAATCAATCAACAATAAGACGAGAAAAGAGAATTCGTTTAGTTCAGGATAGGCTCGAGGGTGTTACCGCTGGGCACAGATGTTAGAATACCACTCTTGTAAGGGAAAAATGGAAGAGGAACATGGGGAAGTAACTTACGCAACGATGTTGGCCCATCCAATCAGACGCCAGTGCTTGTCGATTCTCCGACTGATGGCAATCTTCTCTCCCACCTCGGTACAGGCAGGGCTGGTCAAGCTGAGCTTAGCCGCATCGGCCTTGACACCAAGCACCTTGGCACCGGTAGCCGTAGAACCGATGTTAACCATAAGAACCTCGTTCTTGCTGAGCTTGGCAACCTTGGCCTGCTTGCCGTCGGAGGTCTTGACACCCAGGAGGCGGCGGAGCAAGAAGTAGTTAACTTCAATCTCAGTGTAGATGGCAGGCAGACGTCCACGGTGACCCAGGACGAAACCGACAAGACGATCAGCACGGCACAGAGTGGGATCCACACGCGTACCAACACCGATCAAACCACCGGGGACGGCGAACTTCAGGTCGTTGTGCTCGGCGAACAGGGAGACGACCCGGGAGAAGATGGGACGGCACTGGATCTTGCCATTCTCGTCCTTGGTGACGAGACCGGGACGGATCTCGATTTCGTCGTTCAACTTGAGCACACCAGTCAGGATGGAACCACCAGCAACACCACCCTTCAGCTCCTCGATCTCGGCACCGGGCTTGTTCACATCGAAGGAACGGATGACCATCATATGGGGCGAAGCGGTGAAATCACGCATGGGGACGGGGATGTGGGAGACGAGGTACTCGTTGACAGCGTCGATGTTGTACTTCAGCTGCGCGGAGATGGGAATGATGGGGGAGCCATCGGCAACGGTACCACGGATAAACTTCAGAATCGACTGGTAGTGTTGCAGAGCACCGTCTTCCCTCATCAGATCCACCTTGTTCTGCAGGATGATGATGTGGCTGAGTTTCATGATTTCGATGGCCGCCAAATGCTCCGACGTCTGGGGCTGGGGGCACGTTTCGTTTCCGGCGATCAACAGAAGGGCAGCATCCATGACGGCGGCACCTGACAGCATAGTACTCATGAGAATATCGTGACCGGGGCAGTCGACGAAACTGGATAGAAAAACAAGAGCAGTCAGTCTCCAACACCCCTCCAAGCCCTGCCTATGGCAACGAAAATCACTTACGAAACGTGTCTCAACAGGCGGTACCGGCCTGCGCAACCGGGCCGCTCACACGGCGGGTCAATCTCCTTCTCACTCTTGAAACTCTTGAAGCATGTCGGCCGAGGGCACTCGGCATTGTCACACTTGTAGATCTTCGCGTTGGCATAACCCAGCTTGATCGTGATATTCCGCTCCAGCTCGTTCTTGAATCGGACGGTCTGCACCTCGGAGATAGCCTTCACCACCGTGGATTTCCCGTGAGCGACGTGGCCGATGGTACCAATGTTGATGGTGGCCTGGCGCGCGATAATTTCAGGCGACAAAGGAGTCAGCGTCGACAGGTCGAGGGTCTCCGGGTCGGGCTGTTCGGGCAGCTCGGGGCGCTTCTGTTGAGCAAGAGGGGGGATAGAGCCCGATTTCTTCAACGCAGACTTGGACGGCTTTCCGTCAAGGGGCTCCTGCTCTTCGATGTCATCATGACCGTTCGCATCCAGCATGGGGGATCCGGGCTGGGACTCCTCATCGGAGAAATCGCCGTTGGTAGCCATGATTGCGATAGGATATCCAGAAACAGCGACAGGGAGAATTAAGGTAGGGAGGAGGGAGAGAGTGACGGTGTCGGAGTCACTGCCGTAGCGTAATTAATGGGGGGGAGGGGGTGTGGATGAAAATTGCTGGAGGAGGCGATCTGATACTTCGGTATGGCCTTTGGGCTTGGGTTTGGCCGGTCAGTGGGGTTCTCTCTCTGATTTGTGCAGTGGAGTGCGTGCGGGCGGTGGACGCCGCCTTTTTTTTTTTTTTTTTTTCTGCCGATTTACATGCTAGGATCTGACTCATGGAAGGAATCATGTTATTTGATTGGGATGATATAGATTTAATGATGATAGAGATTCTGAATATTATTGGGAAGACTCTTATACGGTTCTTCTTAAATCAACCTACGGTCTATTATGGTTCTGGTTTCCTGTCCAGGTATATTCTGCCTCAGGCCACCACATTCCCTCGGATGACTCATCCGGACAATGGACTACAATGGACACAATGTGAACATTCACAGTTGCTAGCAGGGAAGGGAATTCTGACATAGTATGGAATAATTACAATTTGTTTTGTTTAGCAGAGCGTGCACATAATCGTACACATACTCCCATCATGTGAAACCTAGGGTATACATATCTAAGCAATCATCCAAGGCTGGGGCCCTTATTCTTCGTCACTTTCTTCACTCTCCGAGTCATCGTCGCTTTCCTCTTCCTCCTCAGAATCATCTTCAGGCACTTGAAGTGTCGACGGATCCTCGGGAGGCAACATGACAAACGCTGTCAAGCAGGTGATACGATTGTCCGTCTTCACCTCGCTCAAGAACTTTCCAACCTGCGCGACTGTAGAGCTCTTCTCGTCCTCCTTCTTGGATTTCTTTGAGCTCTTCTTGTTCATCTTCTTTCCAACGAGCTCTTCCCCGCGGAGCAACCAAACGCGGACGATTCCTTCACTGTTTCCGGTCACTACAAGGAAATCATCCTTGGGCAGCGATGGTTGGTCTCGGAGACTGAGAATCTCAAAGTCCTTGACTCTCCCCGAGAAGCCGTTGGCTCGTCCACCAAGTTGAGCGACAGACTCGGCAAGCGGAATCGAGCAGTCAGGGTCGTTCTCGGCGGGCTGTGTTTTCTTGGTGGAGTAGAAGGTAACCCTCCCATCTTCGGTCGAGACGGCGAGCAGCTCTTCACTGTCCTCGACCGATGGATCAAGAGGAACATACTTGATCTGATGGAGTTTACTCCGAGGGCTGGGCATAACCCTGCAGACCGGGATCGAATCCTGGCAAGAACGGTCAGACTTTGAATGATGACAATTAGGGTTAAGGGGGGGAGGACAAGGTGACATACTATGCCGAAGACGATAGCACCCCATTCAAACACGACGGCAAACTCATCGCCCTTGGTGTTCCAAACAATCTTCCTTCCCTCTCCGGTACTCCATTTACCTTCCTTGACACCCTGTAGCATCTCCCGGGTGAAGTTCAACACACCTGCCTTCTTTCCCGTCACCAAGTTCCAAAGTCGCATACATTTTTCTCCCTTTCCAACACTCAGCATCAGCTTCATACTCGGATGCACGGCGAAGTCATTGACACCCGAAGGCGAGCCTCCGGGCGGAGCAGTGTCCCCACTGGGCCTTCCTTGCACCTTGGGATGGGGCGCCTTGATGGTAGACACCACGGTAAAGTCACGAGTCTTGGCGATGGAGATGGTGTTGTCCTCGGAAGCAGTCAAAAGCTTCGAGCGAGAGGGGAAATACAAGGCAGATATGCTGGCCGAGTGATGGACAAGCGACCCCAATTCCCGATTCTTAGGGTTCTCGAGGATCTTGTTACCGCTGAGCGTTGGGATTGAGGGAAACTGGTCGTTCACCGCGGGAGGGGCCATGGATAGAGAGTAAAGGTTAATGCGCTCATCGGTTCCACCAGTCGCTAAAGTGACCCTCTGCACCTCGTCGGTGGATTCCGTCTTCGACAGAGGAGACAAGGCCAGGCATCGGATGGCGGACGAATGAGCCTCGAAGAGGAACGTATCCGTGAATTGTATCGGTTTGGCGGCAGAGTCTTTCGATTCCGTAGACAAAAAGCAATCGGACGAGACTCCAGCCGTGAAGCCATGCAGGATTCGATCATAGGAACCCGTGATGATTTGCAGCGTGAGCGCCGAAGTATCTGCCGTCGAGGATGCGGAAGCTTTTGGAGTGGCAGTGGCGGACTTGACGGCTTTGGATGGTTGAGCTGAAGCCCGAGGCTCCTTGGTGGTTTCCTCTCTCTTGCGCTTAGCCATGACGACGTTTGAGTCAATATAGTGGTATTCTTGTTTTCAGGATGGAGATTGAGAAAGTCGATACTATCGGAGCGGGCCATATATCCCAAGGCGGGCAATCTTTTTTTTTTTCTGCCCGACGTTTACCGCGCTAACTGGGCGGTGAGCATATCCTCCCAGAGAATGTTCTGCCTAAGGCATTCAAAGACCATAACAACGGAACTTCTCGAAAAAAGCGAGAAAAATTGCGTCGGAACCAAAAAGATCAACTCCGGGCGCATCCTGTGGCTGCCTCAGGCGAGCAATCCTGCCGCAGCCAACATACCAAGTAACGACCTGACGGAGTTCTGTTGTTCTACTGCTGCTCCCGGCGCCCTTCCAATCTTCTCTCCCTCCCTTTAGTGTTGCTCCCTCCCTCTCCCTTCCCATTCTAACTTGCCTGCCAACCAACCACAATCCCTTCCCCCCCCCAAACGTTCCTACCCGTCTGAGGTCTCTCTACCAATCCCCCTCAGAAAAAAAAATCCCTTCAGGCCATATCGTTGCGCGTCTTGATTTCTCACATCCCATAACAACACAACCACATCCTTTTCATCATTTTCGAGCGATTTTTTCCATCTGGATGACTTCGCTCAATCCATCCCCCTTTATTTTAGCGCGTTAATCGGATGCTGTGTTCCCGAAATAGACTCGATGCTCCGGGAAGAGCTTCTCCAGTCTAAGAACGATGAGATCGCGTAAGTATTTAATTTCTCCCGGCGACCCATTACTCTACACTGCCTTCCCCGGTGTCGATTTATCGCTTACTTGGAATTTTAGACGTTGTTTGTTGTCGCGGAAGCGCAAATTGAGCGAGCTCTACTTTGCGACCGTAGGCTTCGCGGGCGCGACCGAGAACGCTTCGGCGGACCCGTTATATCACCAGAAAGAACAGGCGTTCCTCGACGCCAACGACCTCTCTAAGTAAGTCATATTGCGCCTTTTTTTTGTTGTCTTTTCCTTCTAGATGGCCCTCCTCATTTATTATCTCTTTCTATATCTTCACTTTCCTTTTCCTTTCTCTTTTGTCTCTTTAGTTTTTGTAATTGTTCCCATAGTACCGTTCCATTACATGGTATACATGCCCGCGCGTTGCTGATAGTTATACTACAGAGGCCGTTTCTTCAACGAAGCTACTCTACCGCCCTTCACTAATTATGCAGCGCTCCGGCAACGCGAGATCAAGGAAACAGCACCGCCTGCTGAGGTGCCGCCCGAATCAAACAATGCGACTCCAATCAGTCCCCCGGCAGGAAAGCCCTCTGCTCCCCAGCCTGTCGCAAGCATAGATCGTCCGAAAGCACAAGTCCAGCAGCTACCGGACCAGAAGCCCGCGACCCCTGCGCCGGAACAGTCGAAAGCGACCCAGCTTCCTAACCAACCCGCCCCAGGCACCGCGCCCGAGGCACCCCAGGGACCCGATGTATCCACACCAGCAGCTGACAAGCCGACGGAGTCGTCTGATCTCGAATCGAAGAGACCTCAGTTGATCCCACAGACACCAACGAGTGCCCAAGGCCAGGAAGGCGCAGTGGTCAATGTCTCGCTAGCTCAGTCGAAACCGAATCGCGCGGTCGATGTTGCCCCGGGAAGCAATGAAGTGTCATCCTTACGCAAGGACATTGGGAAACGGTCGTCCGTCACTGCCGCAGGCCAGATCCACGTTGAGCAGCCGCTCTCTCCCATTTCTTCGGGTGGTCCTTACTCCAGCAACACGCCTATTCCCGCCGGTGCGTCTCCGGATACAAGCCCTGCTGAGGATTCGGTCGAGCTTTCGAACAAACCTGTTCCAGACCAGAAGCCTGAATCGCCCGCCCAAGCTCCCCCAACTCTGGTTCCTTCCACACCGGATGAACAGCTTCGCCTAGAGGAGGCCCAGTCACTCCAGCAGAACACTCTTGCGGCGAGTAAGGCAATTGGAGACGACGGTGACGATTTGCCCTCAACCAACGAAGTGCTCCAGGAGAATGTAGCTCCGGCAATGGGAGGTCCCGGGGATTCATCAACAAAGCGTGAAGGACCGGTATCTGCACCCGTATCACCAGAGGCTATTAAACCCGAGGGAGCCGTTGCAGCCGCTCAGGAATCGCCGGCTTTGGATCAACAGAAACCCGTGCAGACTACATCTCCGGTCGGGCCAACCGCAGGACCAGCAACTCCACTATCGAAGAAAGACACTCCGCCTACCCAGTCAGTATCGTCTCAACCCGAAAGAATGATAACTAGAGTATCTTCGGGCGCCATTAGGCATAAGTCGGTATCTGAGATACTTGGAGAGGCCCCGAAATCAGCTCCATCACCGCCCGATAAAGGCCATGCTACCGAAAAGCCCGCCGACGGCACACGATCCGTCTCGGTTGCTTCGTCCACCTCTGCAGCTAAGATGCGCCTCAAAGACCGAAAGGCACGAGAGAAAGAGCGGAGCAAGCTGTCCACGGTTGTGTTTCCGAAGCAACCACCGCAACCAGACAAGAATGACTCGATGGATCTTATTCGTCAGCAGTCCGGTGAGCTTGCTAGGCTAAATGAGGAGCAAGATTATCTTTACATCCTGTTCCAGAACAGGGCTTATACTCCACCTCGAGGCTCAACCCTTAACACTCTTTTAGCATCCGCTCATAAAACATTGACCACCGAAAACCACCTTCTTGAGTATCATGAACAGATGGACAGCCGCACTTTGCGGCGCATCTACGCCCTTCAAAATGCCAATAGATGGCCGTTGCGCCAACTCAAGCGCTCCGTGGAGCCACCTCGCCAGGGGACTCATTGGGATGTTCTTCTGGACCACATGAAGTGGATGCGTACCGATTTCCGAGAAGAGCGAAAGTGGAAGATTGCAGCCGCAAAAAGCTGCGCGGACTGGTGTGCGGAGTACGTCAATAGTGATCAAGAGCATCGGTCTTTGCTTCGTGTGCACGCCAAGATTCCAGCACCGAAACTGAAGGAAACCCCCGAAACAAATTCTAATATGATGTCGCCACCAGACGAGGCCGGTGATCAGCTACTTGGAACATCCCATCCGACTCCGGATCTAGTCCCCTCGATGGAGGATGATTCGCTTAGTGAGGGTTACAATGACGAGCCTCGTCATGATCTTCATGACATGGTTGCGCCAGCCGCCATATTTTCGCTCGGCTCTGATGAATTCAATTTCTCTCTCGATATGACACCGGCAGCCCAGAAGCTTTTGGACGAATTGCCAATCTATGGTCCAATCAATCTCGCCCCGGATACGAATCTGCCGGAGTTTAAAGAGCCCCCGGATTCTTCCTGGAAGACCGAGCTCCTGCCTCTATCGAAGTACGTATCTGGCAAAATAGCGTTCAACGATGAGGGACCGCCCCGCAAGCGGAGCCGGTATGACTATTCGCAGTATCGATCCGACCCGGAGCATCGCCTGTTGGAGCTTCCTCCAGAGCAAACCAATGTGGCATTATTTCGGCCCGAGAACAAGCACATCCGTGATAGGATTCACCCGGGTCATGCTTTCAGACCGCCGGCCGAGTATAGCATGCCGTCAGTGGGATTTTTCGAGTCACGAAATTCGTCCCAGTGGACGTACGCAGAAGATGATGAATTACGCCGGCTTGTGAAGGAATATGCTTACAACTGGTCGTTAATCTCAAGCTGCCTTACCCATTCATCTCAATTCACCTCTGGAGCGGAAAGAAGAACTCCTTGGGAATGTTTTGAACGTTGGATTGGCTTGGAAGGATTGCCAGCTGATTTGTCGAAGACGCAATACTTCCGAGCTTATCATCAACGGTTGGAGACAGCGCAACGCACCGTCTTAGCACAGCAGCAGGCTGCCCAGCAACAACAACAGCAACAACAGCAGCAGCAGCAGCAACAACAGGGCAACTCCAACCCCCAGGCACCGCCGCCAGTCAGGAGAAGAACCACACAACCAGTTCGTGTCGATCGGAGAAGGTCTTCTAAGCACCTCGCCATGCTTGACGCCATGCGGAAATTGGCGAAAAAGCGTGAAACAATGCTGCAAAAGCAGCAACACGGTAAGAACCGCAACACTAGCTGCGCCTCAGGCAAAGTTAACTAATTTTCGCGACCGGATTCAGCTTCTCAACTGGCATCGCTTAGGAAAGTCAACGAAGCTAATCAACCGAAGCCGCCACTGTCGACGCCAGCTGAGTTCAGTCGGCTGAAGTATGAGCGGGATGTGAAGCTGCAAGAGAGGCAGGAGCACTACCGCCAGCAAATGATAGCCCAGCAAAGAGTGAGCGCCCATCTTCTGTTTCGGACGCTTCGGACAGGACTGACATGAAATTCAGGCGAACTTGGCGGCTCAGCGCGCTGGTCAGATTCCCAACCAACAACAAATGATGAATGCTCCTGGGCGAAACCAGAATGGTATGCCTAACAACTCAGGAACTCCTGCAATGCCCAGTGGTACGCCGACTGGGATGCCGAATGGAATGCCTAATGGGTTACCAAATGGAATACCCCCTGGTGTCGGAGTGAACCCAGGACGACCCCATATGCAAGGAATGCCCGGTGGTGGGCCTGTGAACAGCCCCGTGCCTCCAAATCCCATGGCGATGAAAATGATGCCGCAGTCCGGTATGCCCCAGAATACAGCGGCTCGTCCTACCTTGCCAATGCAGACGTCCCCGGACAATGCGCGAGTCCTTCGCGAGGCAAACCGTCTGCAAGAGCAACAACGAGTTCTGCAGTCTCGGCAGCAGCCGCAGCCGCAAGCGCCCCAACAAGCTCAACCCCAGCATGCTCAGCAACAGTTCCACAATCAGCAGCAATTTGTCCCACAGGGATCCCATTCTCCCAACCTGAACATGTCCAACACCAATGGTACCCCGAACAACCCTGCTATGATGGCCGCTCTTCAGGCCGGAGGCGGGATGCAAAGCCCATCCTTCCACAACGGCGCACCTCAAGGCGTGTCGACACCCTCTCCTCGCATGGGCCAGCCCAATCTCCTTTCAAACGGCGTTGTACCCACCATCAGCAGCCTTCAAAATCAGATACAAAGGAACAATCCAAACATGGCTCCAGAGCAAGTGAACAAGCTTGCCACGGATCGGTTGCATCAGTATCAGCAAACACGCATGTCCCAAGTTGCCATGACCGCTGCTGCCGGTAACATCGGAGCTGTCTCGGCTAATTACCAAGTGTCTCACGATGGCAACTTCCAATCTCCTCAGTCTGGCATGAACGGGGGTCCTGGAATGCAGGTACCGCAAGCACAGGGCTTTTCGCCCATGATGCGCGTGGCACAAAATGCGCAACAGGGCCGAGTAGGCGTCGGAAGCTCACCTGCTATGAACGGAACGGTTCCCCAGCCTAGTCGAAGCGCAACGCCGCAGAACCAACGCAGCGGTAGTGCACAGGCTGGACCCATGCCTGGTTCGAGTAAGAGTCCCAATCCGCCGCAGGCGCAGACTGCCGGGAGCTAAGGTGGTTATCTTACGACTGCGCTCTCCCTTTCTACACCCATCTTCTAACTTTCAACTGTAAATATTGTCATTATTTCACCATACCCTTTTATTATCCCCAGAACTGTTTGTCTCTCGGTTCAATGCAACTGATGGAGTTCAATCTTATGCTCTCTGGGTTTCTTCGTTGATATGCCCATTTATGCCCTCACCCATGTTACCCCCTAATCCCTCTTCCGCCCTTCTCTCTAACGACTATTCCCCGAAGGCCCTACATATAGGGTCGGTTTTGGGTTTAGTTTTGCACCGACATGCATTGAACTGCCTGGAGCTTCTGGCCGTCTAGACATAAGACCAGTATGTTTATCACTCCGGGCCTTTTGTCGTCCTTTTCAAGTTATTTTTGCTATTTTGTACTACATGTATTGATAAAGCGGTTACCACGGTACGGGGATTGGATTGGAAGGTTGGAATTGCAAGGAATGGAACGGAATGAAATATCCACTACGACTGTATGATTAGTGTTCCGAGGCAAAGAAAACGAAAGCAGAATCCGAGTTATAATCCATTCATCATGTAGATAGTAATGAACCCTAATATCCATTCTTGTCGGCCGATCATATCTAAGCGCGCGCTTAACCCGGAGCTTTCGCCACCCGCTCCGTCACGCTTCCATCTCTTTACTTTTGGCACTCCCCTGCCAACCCTCGTCTTCCTTTTTCACAAGCAGCACTTGCAGAGGACCGCTCGCCATGTCCTCGTCTCAGCCGCCGCAGGACGGCGACAGGCAGTCAGAATCCTCAGCAAAACCCTTCACCATGTCCATCGGCGGCCGAGCAGCTACCTCTACCGCGAACGGCTCCAAAAAAACCTCATTTAACCTGCAATCAACCTCTCGACAGCCCGACACTTCAAAACGAAATCTCCCGCGCCGACCCCACAACCTGCACGATGACGACGAGTCCGACGACGACGCCGACAGCCGCGCACCCGCGCACGAGGCCGTCACCGGCTTCGACACCATGACCGGCACCGCTATCTCCGCGGACCGATCGAACGAGCCCCGCCAACTGGTCATTCCCGTCGCGAGCAACAATAACTGGCGCAGTCGCCCGGGTATCAACACGCGGCCGAAGGGGAAGAATTTGCTCCCTAAGGAAGTCCAGGCGATTCGGGAGGCTGAGAAGCGCGGCGAGGTCGCGGGTGAAAATGTTGAGACGGATCGGCCGAGCGTGTCTTATGGGTTGAGCTTTGCGCAGGCGACGCCGCAGACTGAGGGGGTGGAGGGATCCGACACGGCCACGGCAACGAATGGCGACCAGACGATGGAGGACGCCGACGCCGAGCGGGAACCGCGCAAGCCGCTCACGCAGGATGAAATTGCGATGAACGCGCTCATCCGCGAGAGTAAAGGCGAGACGGAGGCTCGGTCGGATTTGGTGATCGAGTCGGCGGCTGCGGATCAGGATTCGCGTTTCGATGAGACGACGTCGTTCCGGGCGGACATCGCATCGCGGCCAGAGTCCGCCTCGTTGGACCAGTACAATGCGGTTCCCGTGGAGGAGTTCGGCGCCGCCTTACTCCGAGGTATGGGTTGGAAGGAAGGCCAGTCAGTCGGAAAAGGGAAATACGGCTCGCCTTCGGCGGGCGCGGATAAACCGCGGGTTCCTGAGCGTCGACCTGGATTCCTAGGAATTGGAGCGAAGGATACATCCACTGGGGGAAAGGGCGCCGAGGCGGAGTTTGGAGCTTGGGGGAAAGCTGCGATGCGCAAGGGGTCTAGGAAGACGGGCAAGGAGGGCGAGAATAACACCGAAGGCGTCTATATGCCGGTTCTCATGCAGAACAAGAAGACGGGTTCGTTCATGACTGAAGAAGAGCTCGCGGCTGCGAAGAAGGAGGCCAAGAAGCAGGACAACGATGACTGGAAAGAGAGACGGGACCGCAATCTGGAAAAAAGTGGTCGTGATCGCGACCGGGATCGCGAGTATCGCCGGCGGGACTACGATGATGAAGATGACAGCGATCGTTACGACAGACGGAGGAAGGGGTCGTCACGGCGAGACAGAAGCCGGTCTTCTGGTGATCGGCACTCGAGGCGGAAATACGATGACCGTGAGGATGATAGTGACCGGAGAGAGGATCGACATCGACGAGACAGGGACCGTGACCGCGACCGTCGTGATCGAGACCGTGATCGTGATAGGAGTCATCGCTATCGGGATGATGATCGCTATAGCTCGAGACATTCGTCGAGTACTTCTAGCAGACATGGCCGGGATCGAGACCGAGACAGTGATCGCGACTCTCACCGTCGAAGAAGATACGACGATTGATGCTATCAGACCTCATACAAATCCGCATATATCGATCTTTGCTACCAATATGAGCATCGTGCCTGATGCAGACCCGATCTTGCAAGTGTAACCACTTTTGGGTATCAAATCCATCAGAATCAGGCAGAAATTGTCCCTTGGACTTGATCGTCGAATACGGTTCAAGGTTCAACAACTTGCAAAATCAGAATACGCCTGATGAACAGTCGACAGAGATATCCATCTGTTCACCTACGGTGCGGCATCAACCCAGAACTCGACGAAATCCTCCAGATAGAAGCCACCAAAATTGCACTTTGGACCATGTTGAAAAACGTTTCCAATAGGGAATCAAAACTAGTATTCATAGAAGGAGCGAGACGCTGATAGACACATAAGAAAGAACTTTTTTTCCTGTATACATTATCTTCTCCCAAAAAATGAATCTGAGATGCCAAAAACAAAAAAAATGCAAATGGGACTGACTCCAGTAGAACGCGCCGAGAAACACAGAAAACCATGCTGTCTATTTTTACATAGCCTCATTCACAGGGGTGAAGGAAAAGTAAGTTCCCCTTCGTTTTTATGCTCCAAGCATGAGCACATCCTTCTCGTGTTCAGGGGCCTCGTCCGAACCCGGAGCACCCAGTGCCCCTAATCCGATACCACCGTCCATCTCTCCCAAGACCCATTCGACGAGGTAGCTCTCGTCCGTGAGTTCTTCGACCCGACGATAGTGTCGTTCGGTGTACGCAGCCAATGCCTGCAGGATGTCCTTCATGGCGGCTGCTGTACGGCCGTTGTCACTGCGTCTGGCGATGCTGGAGCTCGCGAGCTCGGTGAAGGTCGAGGCGGGATAGGACCGGAAGAGAGCGAAGAGGATGCGCTGGGCCACTCGCGAAGTGCGCGCGTTGGTGTTCCAGTCACGCAGGCGGATGAGGAGGTTGCGCAGGTGTTCGGAGCCGAGGGTTTGAAGGACGTGATCGATGGAGGGGTCGCCGGTCAAGCTGTTGGCGCGTTCTTCCTTTTTGGGATCAGTGGAGTAAGGGTCATCGGCGGCATCGATGGCGGCTGTGAAGAGGGATAGAAGTCGGCCCGGGTGGTTGAGTTGGAGGGCCAGCGTGATGGCTTCGCGGTAAGCGCCTGCCCGGATGTAGTTCTCCAGCTGCTGGTCCTGTTCGACGCGCGCAGAATTTGCGCTGACGGCGGCAGTGTAGGTGGCAGAGGTGGTATCGGTCCAGAACGTAACGGTGGAATCGGCAGAACCGGAGGCAAGCGCAAAGGGGCAGGAGCTGTTCTGGGTGGACGAAGTCAATGCATCGGCACGCGAGCCAGACGGCGTGGGACTGGCGAGTGCCCACACTCGATCCGTGTGGTTGTCGAGCGTGGTTTCTAATTCCCCGGTATAGGGCGACCAGACCTTCACGAGACCATCGGCAGCAGCGGATGCCACCAGCGGCCGTGCTTGGGCTGCCACGTTCGGAGTCGGGGCCGACTCATCTTCTTCATCCTCATCCTTGCTAGACAGGTCCGGAGGCGGGAGCCAAAGAACCTTGAGCACACTGTTGGTGTGGCCTTCGAACGTGAGGAGACAGCTGTAGTCCGACAAGCTCCAGACCTTGACGGTCTTGTCGCCAGATCCTGTGACGATCAAGCCTCTGTTTGTGCTACTCCGAGCTTCGGTGGTGAGAATGGGAGTGCCCCGAGGGGCGAAACGTGTAGACCAGACACCTCTCTTGTGACCGCGCAAAACACCGATCACCGATCCATCGTCGGCAGACCAGATCTTAACCGTACGGTCCTGTGAGGCAGACGCAAATAGGGAGGAGGACGAGTTGACGTCCAGGGCATTGATATCCTTTTCGTGTGCTTTGCGAGTGTAAATCGCCTTAGGCGAGTGGGGTTTCGAGGAATGAAGAGGGGTCAGTTTGCCCAGGTCCCATCGCTTGATGGTACGATCTTGGGAACCAGTGAGCAGGAAGGATGGAGGGTGATTAACAGGGTCATCATGCGCCGGGGTGTTGGCTGGCGGAGGCACGCGGGGGAAGCTGATAGCGCCCAAAGACTCAGCATGACCCGTGAAGACTGCGAAGCAGGTATAGGACGAAGTCTTGGGGTCTAGACGCCAGAGACGTGCTGTGTTATCCTTGGCGCCTGTGGCTAGCCAGTGACCGGACCAGTCCACATCGATACAGATAATAATATCGTCATGGCCTTCCAGATGAGTGACATCCGCGCCAAAGTAGTCCTCCTCGCTGAGAGACGGCCGATCTTTTGACGGTCCTACCGAGACGACTCTGATGCTCTCGGTGTTTGTAGCTAGTGCAAGCATGGACCGGTCAGGCCCGACATATGCCAGATCGATAATATCGTCGTCATTGCCAGAGATGCGCCTGATAACGGGAAGCGGCTCAATCGAAGAGCCGGGCTTGAGGTTGGACAGAGGTTCGAGTGAGTGGAGACGCAATGTCTGGTCCGCGTGGACTGTTATAGCGAACGGCATGCCCGGGGAATATTGGATGGCCACGACTGTCTCGAAATCCTCTCCCGCTTCTTGCTCATGGGTCACTTCTCCTCCTCGGTTGCAGTCCCATACGCGCAATTTACCATTCTCGCCTCCAACCACGCACAGCCCACTGTCGTCAACAAAACTGGCCGCTTCCACACTCTCCAGGACCGGAATGATCCTGCGCGTCTTGAATGTGCGAATGTCCCACACGATCACGGTCTTGTCTCGCGCAGCAGACAGCAGCGCATTCTCCGACGGAGAGTAGGATAAGCTTCGGACCACCGAGACGTGGGATTCGAGTGTAGCTATGGGCTTCCTCTTCTTCAAATCCCACACTCGTACTGTGCCCTCTTCGTCTCCGGAGGCAAGCCGAAGGATATCAGCCGAGTCCACACCATTGAGACCGGTGTCCTCCATCTCCTCGTCCGAGTCGGAGTCATTCGATATGCCTTTCGCCTTTTTCTTGGAAGACTTGTCTCCTTGGTCTTGGAACGGTATTTGGAAGAAGCACAGTGCCGAAATGACACCGCCGTGGCCATGGAACGTATGCGTAGCATAACCACGCCGAACATCCCAGATCTTGATGGACCCGTCGGCGGCACCGGTGGCCACAAATGTGCTGGTAGGGTCCGTTGCAGTGGTGACAACTGGCGACGTATGAGGTTTGAGGCTTCGAACAAGTTCCGCTTCAATCGTTCGGGAGATGTCGTCGAAAGGCGTCAGAGAGTAAATGCGCATGGCCATTGAGCGCGAGCAGACAATGACATGGGAGGCCGACGGTGTGACTAGGGGGAAAAAAATTAGTACAATCAAACAGTCAAAGACAGTCTTCAACTACATACTGGCCAAGCTGGTAATGACTTCGCCATCCTATTATACTTCATCAGCGAATTGCTTCATAGTAGGGAAAGAAAGATGCGACTCACTCCTTCGAGACTGGCCAGTTGATCACCGGTTTCAAGATCCACAACAAGGGCATCTTCGCCGACACAGGTGACCAGCAATCGCCCAGTGGCATCCAGCGCAGTACTTCCTCCGGTGTAGATAGGACGAAGAGTCCGAGACGCCTCGAAGGTCGTCTTGACAACAGCTTTCGACATTGCTTGTGGGTGGTTTTAAAAAAGGAAAAGCTCTGATAATCTAATGCGACATCATACACTTCGAAATAAACCGCACCGATCGAAAGTGAGGGAGTTGCTGAGCGTCGAGGGTGTCGTCGCGCGGAAACTTCTGAATCTTTTTTCGACATGTTTGCTCTGTTTGTCGCAAAAAATGCCCGATCGGCAGTGGCCCGTGCAGTAGCCGCCGCTGCCGCTGCAGCCGCTCAAGAGAAGACCGACGCGGGCAAATCGACAACTTCTTGGTCGACATTCATCAGCAGGTTCTACTTCCTCCGGACAAAGTGCTTGCTTGAGCTCCGGGAATGAACTCCATCAAATTGCGACGTGATGGGGCGACAAGCGTTTCTCAATAGACTGGCTCTGGTAGGCTCCAAATTTCTGTTCTTACCCACTCTCGGTCCTGGGCCTTTACTGCAGCTTTGATACTTGGCGTCATAGTGCCTCCCCTGTCTTGTGATGCTTTCATTTGTATTCGAGCTCTGGCATATCCCATGTTGGAGATTACCTATGTTTAAAACAAGAATATAGAATGTTGTACTCTGCCTCCTTTCCTGATGCATATTCTGCGCTGTATTTAATACCATACGGTTCTGTTATATCCTTGGTCTTCAACCTATTTATTTCTTGATGTTGCAACTTCGCTTCATCGCTCTGGGATGTCTGATTAACCGAACTTCCAGGGCCGGTCCCCATATGAAGCTCCAGAGCGTCCCGAAGGATCTACCGCAGATTTTGCTCCCTCAGCCCAGCGAAGGAGATCAACTTTGTATGCGGATGATTATGTCCAAGATTACGATGAAAGAGGTCATCCGGTCAATCATGAATCCAAAGCATTCGGTAGAGAGCTCCGAAGAGCTAAAAATGACATTCTCTCTACCATGGGAATCGTCGTTAGTGAAGATGGGAACACTGGTGGCCCTAGTGAACAGCAAAGAGGCGAGATGCTGGCCGCTGAGAATGATTACGGATTGGTGATGGCTACCATAGACCAGGTATCGGTTTTCCTCGGCACCTGGTGGACGTCGTCACTAGCTGGCCGGATACAAGTAAGTCTGGTGTCCAATTGCAATGACCAAATGTTGGCCTCCTTGTCGTTGACTTACGTTGAATCTCTAGACTTTCAAAAGCTACACGCACGCTCCGTTGCTGGGCATCATGGGCCATGAGCGCGCATTCCTTGGGATTCATGGATTTTATTTCGCAGGGATTCCGGCCTGGGCTATGTCGACATGCCTGTCTATCTGCCGACATCATCCGCTGGAGCGTCTAATTTCACTGATACAAAGCCGCTTTCCTGATGACGATGCACTATCCAAGATTGTGCGAGCATCTTTTAATATTCTGCATTCTGCGTGCGTGGATCACGGTATCCCATAGAGTACTGACAACTAACATACTGTATAGGACGAGAGGAACCTTGCTTGTTTTGGCTGTGCAGACCTACATGTATTCATTATTGCAAGCCCTTCACCTTGTGCCTTCATCATTATTCCCGGCAGCTAGGTTTCTCATCCCGTTCGGTGAAATGGCCGCTATCCAATTCCCGCCCTTGCCTGCAGACTTCTCACTCCAGTCACTTGGTGGGTATTGTTTGACCTTGGCAAAGGCGCCCTCGCTCTTACTCTATGTTTATATGTACCTGCGCCCGGTCATCGAAATAAGGCTCTATCGGTTAATCCGCAGGCGGTTGCCCAAGCCTACACTAGCTGATGAGCTTTCTATCAAAGTGGCATCTGACAACGACCTTATCGACTGGATGGTTCCAACCCTCGGACGACGGTCCGAGGAGGAAAACCGCCGGAGTAATATGTCTTTTGTCGAGGACGTAATGTACGAGGTGAATTTCCTTCGGAGATGGGTTCTGTCCTGGTTTGGTTTCAAATCACAACGCACATCACCGGCATCAGAGCAAGTCTCAGATGCACGACGCAGGCGAGAATGGCTCGAATCCTTACCGTTAAGCGTGGAGCAACTGTCAAACGAAAGACAGACCAGAGCGCGACAACTACAGCTTCAATCGACAGTTCCTCCTCCCCCAGAAGAAGTGATCCGTGCTCAACCAGTTGCTTCTGGAACAGTCGCAGCCAACGTGAGCGACATTAGCCGCAATCGAGTATTGCACCCTGAAGAAAATCCTATCTCTCAATCACCCGCAGAAATGAGTGCTGTGGAATTCCCTAACTTGGCTCCACTAGACCAAGTCAACGCCGTGTCTCCCACCAACAACACATCCGCCCATGCAGACCACGCAGAGGAGAATCACCACGAAGATGCCTCTGAGAGTCGGCGGAATTCACGCTCTAGCACTCTTTTTTCTCGGCCATCATCTCCCGCAACGTCCTCTCCAACCTCACCTCGCGTTCGAGCTTCGTTAATTCACCAGAACTCCGAAGTTATCACGATGCAGCTAGAACTGTTGAACCCCCGAAATACACCAAGCAATGGCCAGCTTATTACCAGAACGGCGCTTGATACCAACCAGGCCAATGCCAGTGGTATACCGACTGGTCGTCGATCATTCTCAGAAGTTTTGGATGCCCTTCTAGCCAACCAAGGCCAGGCCGCCATTATCAACCCGGACACAGTTGACAGTGATGGGCTTTCTAACTTAACCGCCGCTGTCTCACCTGAAGCCGGACAAAGTCCACTGGTTATTACACCCAATCAGTTGAATCCAAGGGCAGAGACCCCAGGGACCGGGCCGGAGCCAGTATCAACGCTAGCCAGCATCTTGCCTGACAGTGTGGAGGAGCCAGGCCCAGAGGACAATCATGATGGAAATCCTGGCACGGAACCCGTCCATGAAAACGACTTCGATTCAGAAATATACCCCCGGATCTCCGACCCCAATGTTCGCCAACAAGCAGCCGCTAGTACTACCTCCTCCATCGCTCACCGAGTCACGATTCTTTCTTCTCACCCTGTTGACTCTCTCGCATCTCATCTTGCTTTTATGATCACTGGCGTGCTCTTCCTCCCGCTCGAATCCCTCTACCTGCGCTCGGTTGCTTCCGCCTATCTATCATCCGTAGGATCTCCTGCTTTGAGTTCGGAAATTCGTGAATTGGGTGCATGGGGTGGCGGTGGCTCGCGAACTGATATTGCTGCCTATATGGGCAAAATGGCCCTGATGGTCGGCATGCAAGCCGCTGTGAGTGCCAGTGTTTGGGGCATCGTTTCCGGCGCCGCTATCAGAGTTGGCAGGAAGTTTTGTGGCTGGGGCACTCTATGAATCTTGTATAGTATACCTCGCAACTGTGGGAACATTGATTCAATTTCAACTTAGTCGAAAGAACTTCATTTCCCATGCTACTATTCTTGAATGATGTTATCCTTAATCGCAATAAGCGGCAAAAGAGAAACTTGCCTACCGTAAAGATGAGTTGTAATTATACAAAAGCTACCTCAACACCAAGTCTCGCCGAAAAATCCCCGGTCAGAAAATACCTACATGCATAAATGTCTTTTTTTTTATCTCATTGATTTCCTTTTACTTATTTAGCAGCAGCCTTGCCCTTTCGGTTCGACATGCCAGGAACCTTCCGGCGCTCCCAGACCATCAAATATCCTTCCCTGGTGAACAAGGTCTCACTTTCGGCTCGTTTCACAAACAGATCTTGGATCTCCAGCCATTCCGGTCCCCGCTGCTCTCCAGCGTGCTGGGCCTGGTGCCGGGTGTTCTCCGCCTCCATCGCCTTATCGTGAAGCTGGACAAGCCAGGCAACCTTTTCGCTGCCTCCGCCGGCCCCGGAAGACGATGACCCGCCGGCCGCGTTAACGCCCTTATCCGCTGCCGCCTCCTCGGTTGCTCCCGGGGCGGCCGTCGTGGGGTCTAGAATGATGTTGGCCACAAGATCGTAGAGGATCGGCTCGCCTGGCGGCCAGATCTCAGGGTTCGGTTCGACGTAGGGAGACATGTCCAGGGAGCGAGGAGACGGGAAGGTGACAATCGTGGGGTTCCGTTCCGAGACGAACCGGTTCTGGCTGAATCGTTTGATGTGGAAGAAGAGATAAGGCGGGAGGGGGTGGAGGAGGCGATGCCGGACTCGATGGGCTAGTTTCTCCGAGGCTGTGATTCCGTTGTATTTGTTCAGGAGTGTGGTCAACGGGACCTGGGGGATGATGGATTCGCGGTTGGCGGACTGGAATAGAGGAGTCGGCGGCAAATCCAGAGTGAGGATGAGATAGGGGATGGTTTGGCTGTTGATGGTGCCAGACTCGGTGAAGACCAGACGGGCGTTTTGGGTGTCAGAATGAGCCGTGATCGCTTGACTTTCGATCTTCAAATGGCCCTGGAAAGCGGCCTGAATCACACTTGTTGGGTTCTTCGAGGGCTTTTTGGAACCCCCGAGGGCTAAGTGTAGATTGTTGAGGAACCAAGACAGGAAGTCCACCGGGTCGGACTGTTGAGTGAGGGTGAAACGTTTTGATGACCGGATAGCGATCTCCTGTAATAGTTCATGCGGCGAGACATGGGATCGAAAGGCCTTGGGATTCCACAATTTCCGCACGAGGGTGCTGAAGCGATGGACCAATTGTGGCGTTCCCAGCGCTGGGAAATCATGGAGCAGGAAGTAATTGCGGATCGGGAAAACATGGGCCAAGAGCTGAACCACGACGTTAAGGTAATCATTTGCCTTGATATTGTTCATACCCACAAAGCCTAGAACCAGATTTAGCCATGAACTAATGGAGTCGGAAGCAGCAGTTGATTCAATCCTCACCTGGTCTGTAGCGGGCCCCAGCGAGATCGAACGCATCGTGGACCTCTTTATCCAACTTCGAGACCTCTTCCTTGCTATAGTAGGGATCTACCACGTATTTTATATCCTCCAAACTCTTGTTCTGAACTTCGTATCCCTCCGGGAGAACGTAGACCTTCTTGGTGCCCATGTTAATGAAGACATGGTGTCCGACTTCAAGAGCGTGGAAGTAGGCATGCGATTTGGGTCCTCGGCCTTGGAAGTATTTGCCACACACGAGACAGGCATATACGTTGATGTTGGACAAACTGACTGAGCACTGTTTTTCGAAATCGAAATCGAGGATTCCGCGATTGATCGTATCGAGGTAGAGGTCGCTATAGCCCTCCATGGGTTCCGACTGGCGCTGGGGGGCCGCAATCACCGGCTTGTCGTCATCCTCGTCGCCGTCGGAGGACTCACTCTCCGCTTCCTGTGCTGCTTCATTTAACTCCTCCTGTTCCTGATCGGCCGCGGCAAGGATGTTCTCTCCATTGCGCTCGTGCTGTTCGGTCTCTTGTCCACTGGCTCGGCGCAGCGGTAGGGCCCCATGGCTCGCGGTTTCTTGTTCGGAGGCTTCATCCTCCACGCGGACTCTCTTGGATGCAGGGGAGCCTGCCGGGAGGTCTTCCTCCAGCGACAACTCCGCTTGTCTCTTGGGCATCATGATTTGGTGAAGGGGATTGAGGGAGAAAACCGGCGCGGGAATCGAAACCGGCGAAAACGCGATGGGCGGCGGGTTGCAAACAAGACAAACAGCCGGCACTATGACATATGGCTAGTCCATCATCGCCTTGCTTGGGTCTCTACCATGACAGCTACGGTCGAGTTCTAATTCATAAAATTGATTTCTTGACATGCACACGTTCTTGGAGGATAAGGAAGAGAAGAAGAAAATGTTAAAGAAAACCAGGTCCCGTAAAGCCGAAAACAAAAGACATGATGATATTGGTATGATACAACACCGCATTAAGCACTCTTGACGATCCTGTCATTATCAAAGTCCAGCTCCCTCACGCCATCCTTGGTTACGACCTTGACTAGGACCTAGGTATTGTCAGCAAAATTCGTATCCATCAACCGGTAGATCCATTGCAACATACTCCCTTGTAGTCGATCGGTAATCTGCGCTTCAGCTCGTCCGTGCACATCTCTAGGAGTTTGAGGCCTTGTTCGAGCGTGATATCGGGATGGTGATGTTTATCGAGGGTCGACAAGCAGTAGTATCTAGAAAGCTTTAGTTCCTCTTCCTCGGACAGCGCTTAACGCCGAGGTCAACATGACCCGGCATCCGGTTTTCCACTTACTGGGCGTATCCGTGAGCCGCGTATGGAACGGGCGCCAACGAGGCCAGGTAGTCGATCCAGAATAGGGAAGGCTTTTGGGAGATAGAGTCCACGCCAGCCAGCAACAGGTTGACGGTGTAAGGACTGCGCGATCGCAAGCTCTGTGCCAGTTCTCCTCGGACAAAGTTGGCCACTGCATTCGGGCCCAGTTCGGTACCGTTTCGCATCGTATAAAGCGAGATGTTGGCTTGGATGTATTCCGCAAATTGTACTAGTATCCGATCCATGTCAGCTTGCCCGCTCCATTCACATATTCGACGACTCATCGGCGATTGGGTCGGTTGTACGAACCGGTGTCTCCTGCCTCTCCCGAGAAAGCCATAAGGGTATTCTTGCTCAGCTGTCGTGTCTTGTCGTCCTCGGCCTTGATGATAGTAGGGCCCCTCATGGTGGCCTTAGACGCCGCCAGAAGGACAAAGTCCTTGCCAGTGATACCCAGTAGAACCTCCCTAACAAACGACCGATTAGCTGGGGATGAAATCCATTGGTACAAGATCCTAAGACATACATTTTTGGTTTCGGTAGTCAAGTAATGAGGAGAAGGGAAGAAAGAGAAGGGACGGATGATGGGGTAGCTGGAAGAAGGGTCTGGGTTACTCGTTGGCCGCGCGGAGCTTGACTGCCTTGGGGAGCTGCTTGGGAGCCTGAGGCGGAGAGCTGGACTGCTGATTCAGCATTTAGGCGTAACATTCTTGCGCTTTCCGCCTGCACGGGCCACCGGCAGAAAAAAAGTGAGAGCGAAAGCTTCATGCATTTCCGGTCACTTAGAATTCCCCCCGTTCGCATACGTTCGCCATTTCCCAATTGACCAGTCACCGCAAATCAGACTTCCGACCGTCCCCAGAATAGCGATCCTGGGCCATGTCGTCCTTTTTCACATTGCCCGCCTCTCAGCGGAAGCGCAAGAGAGAAGACCGCGCCGGAGCCCCCGCGTCCAAGAAACGAGGAGTCGATGCAGAGAAGAATTCGAGGGAACGAGATGACTCGGTTTCGGGAAGTGACTTGGACGAGGAAGACGTGGCAAGCCAGGCATCAGGCCTGTCCGAGGAGAGTGGCTCGGATTCCGACGAAGGAGAGACGGCCGCGGAGCGAAGATTGAAACTCGCCGAGAGATATCTGGAAAACGTGCGGGATGAGGTGGATGATATTGGATTTGATGCTGCGGAAATTGACCGAGATCTCATCGCAGAGAGACTGAAGGAGGATGTGGTATGTATCGATATACGGTGCTTTTCTTTGGGTCTGCGCGTTGCTAACGCCCGGAAAGGACGAGTTCAAAGGGCGAGTGTACCGCCAAATTGCGTCGGATTTGGCTTTCTCGACTGCGTCACCTACCTTCTTTCGAGCAGATACCCAGACGACCACATCGATTGCGGTTCATCCGCCCTACGCTTACACGGTGTCCAAGGATAAAACGCTGATCAAATGGGAACTTGCAACCCCGGCCACCACAACAAACCAAGATACCGCATCGAAACGGCCCCCGAAACCGCAGCGTAAGAAGCCGAAACAAGTGAAGTTTGTGCGAGGACTGCAGAAGGTCGCCGAGAGCGAGGAAGAACACGGTCACACCAAGAACATCTTGTCTGTGGCCGTTTCGCCGTCGGGGAAGTTCGTGGCCACTGGTGGAGAGGATCGCAAATTGATTATCTGGGACGCAGCGACCCTGAAACCATTGCAGACCTTCACACAACACCGTGATTCCGTCAGCGGACTTGCCTTTGCTCGTCATATCTCCACCATGAGCTCCGGAGAACAACTCTTCTCCGGCTCCTTCGACCGCACAATCAAGACGTGGTCCTTGAGCACTGCAGGTCACGCCTACGTTGAGACACTGTTTGGACATCAGGACCATATCTCGTCAGTGGCGGCAATGACAATCGACGAGTGTATCAGTGTGGGCGCACGTGATCGTACGGCGCGACTATGGAAGGTTGTGGATGAATCACAGCTGGTGTTCCGTGGTGGATCCAAGAATGCCTCGTACCAGGAGAACAACCTCGACTGTGTCGCTCCTCTGCCTCCTACTCATTTTGTTACCGGCTCAGACTCGGGTGCTCTCTCTCTCTGGTCCATTCACAAGAAGAAGCCTCTCCATACAATCCCGCTCGCCCACGGCCTCGACCCCATTCCTCCTCTCGATGAGCTCTCGAACGAAGTTGATCCGGAGGTTGCGTCGGCGAACTCTCGTTTCCTTCGACGGATGCCTCGCTGGATCACTGCTTTGACCACAGTTCCGGGTACGGATGTCGTCCTCAGTGGAAGCTGGGATGGCTGGATTCGCGCCTGGAAGATCTCTGAAGATAAGAAGACAATCATTCCCCTCGGACCTATTGGAGGAGGAGACACGCCCTCCCCCGATACGCCGTCCGCGCAGCTGAAGCAGTCGCTTGCTTTCGACACCCCTGCCAACCCGGATCAAATGGCCATCGATACGCCACGGACCGACGAGTCCAAAGACGACGCGGAGCCGCTGGTTAAGGGCGTCGTCAACGGCATTGCCGTTTTCGAGCGACGAGCCGACTCGGTCAAGCCCGGCCAAGTATCAACCGAGCCCAAGTCCAAGTCCAAGTCGAAGTCTGCGGACTCTGAGCCCAAAGGTCTCTGCATAGTAGCAGCCGTCGGCAAAGAGCACCGTTTTGGACGTTGGAAGTGCTTTGCGAACAACTACCACGACGGGTCCGCAGCGGATGGCCGCAACGGGGCCGTTGTATTCGAGGTTCCGTTCATTGCGGGCGCGACCTCCAAGGAGGCGTAATTTGGTCCATGGGATGAATCACGGTGATGTGGCGTATGTATTCTATCTATTTGATTCACTATTGTTTCTTCTGTACCTTGGCTATTCCCGGATCGGCGGTCTTTGCATATTGTTTTCGAAAAGTTTTGCATTAGAAGGCTTCCCCAGGTTGCTGTGATGTTGGACCGACAGGTCCGGGTGTACATATCTATCTACATACCAGATATTTGCGAAGGAGTTGATGCCTGACTTTGATCTTTAATCGAGATGAAGAACTTGTTGTACGGAGTATTGCCGTAGTCTAGAGAGGTAAAAACTGCTCTCTAACGCATCGGAAAGCCTCATTCTTCCATGAGACAGGGGACTTACGTGAATTGGTGGAGGTCAGTCTAGTGCGAAGAAATTGAAAGTGAGGAAAGGTGGTCTGGATACCAATTCCACAATCTGGACAATTACTGCAACTATAACGCAATATTCTATACTCTACCCATTGGACGCCCAATTTGAGCCCAGCGATAATATCCCAAGACATTTCACCAACGCAAACCCTCATTCGTAACGCAATCATCATTCATGATCAACTTATACTCACCGGCTGGACATAGCCACATGCAAGAGCAGGGAATTCAAGGAGCGGTGGGATCCGAGGATCTGAACTGCGCTCCAGATACATGCATATAGCCACGCACTCGTTCCTCAACCTACCCTCCACCCAAGGCTGCCATTCAGTCAACAAACACATCAAGCCCATCCAGTGCGCGAGAATCATAAGAGCCGGCGGGTCCCTTCTCCGAAGCAGAGCCAGGAAGTCGAATTCCAGTCGCCCCATGAACGTAGTACATCGGGCAGCATTGGGCATATTCTTCTCTAACTGAAACAACGTGGTGATCGTCTTGAGTGGAATATAATATGGGCATGTCATGCCAGTAGAAAGGTCATCAATGTCACAGAAATCCGCAAAGAGCGGATCGAGACCTTGTCGTCCGACTTGGTCATCGTAGTTGAAAAGCTGACACTCGACTTCCTCGTATCCTTTGAATGCTGTTTCCCAGATACTCCCGGGAAGGTATCGAGCAGCTGGCTCCAATAAACACCGCAGACCACTCTGCAGACAGAGCCAGTTCATGTCGGCTGGGTTGTTCGTCAGGACCCAGGAATCGGTGGGTTTAAAGTTCTCCGGACAGATGGACATCACACCCATGAACATGCATGTCGAAATGAGGGCGTCGAAGTTCTTCTGATTGACTCCGGGCAGTAATGCATCCTGATATAATCGGATGGCTTGCTGCCAGAAATGGGCCTCTGCACATCTTCGGCCAGCGTCTATTGATCGGGAGGCGCGATTTAAATGAAGCATGCCGACTCCGAGGATTGTGTACAGCAAGTATGGTGTCTATGTCACTGCCTTAGTAACGAAGGGCGACGTATTATCCTCATGAGGATGTTCAGTTAACGCTCAGACTCACACTGAATGCCACCTGTACCATATCGCTTTGCATCACAGCCCTAATGGCAGGAAGACCGACTGACCCCGTAGACCATTTCATGAAATGCTGAAACGCTATCAGATTATAGGACGGGGATGGGCTTGGGGTGTTGAAGTCTGATCCAATACCCAGGCTCTCGTCGATCCGCGAAGTCATGCTGGCAAGAGTCAAGGTAAAGTCTGTTGTGCTAGGCTTCTGCCTTGATATCATCTCGATAGGGCTATTCTTGTCAGACCCCGAAGAGTCCGACCCCGATGCATAGATACATTCAACACCACGAACTTCACACCTCCGGCAGAGTGGTTTGCTCTCGTCGCACTGTATCACCAAGGTTAGCCATGTCGTCATGAACACTACTGGAATTGTGCCGGGCCCACTTTGACTCTTCGCTTCTTGCAGGTTATGCAACCTGCTCTGGACTTCTTGTGGGGTCGTCTGGGGTGGTACGGGGCTATTCTGCTCTCATCTTCCAGTCGAAATACGGTCTGAAGCATGCGATTATCCTCCAATTTATTCATGCGTTCGGTTTTACTAGGATGGAGGACCAGCACTTGTTGACCTGGTGCGGCAGGCATCTTTCTGATTTGCAATTCGCACAGGATTGACACTTTCCTTGCGGTCTGAGATATTAGAACTTATAGAGGCAAAATATTCGTATATCGTGAGGAATATAGATGGCAGAGGATGAGTCAAGGCTGAAGTTGTAGCATCGCCACTTTGGACACGAGGTGGATGCCTGTCACATGATCAGTGACAAGGCTGATTTTAGGGCTCAACTTTATTTGAAGATGAAACCTTTTACTGGAGGATACCTCGAGTGTACTGGTTCGAACTTGATGGTCTGCTTCCTCGGTGTCTTTGGGATCATCCTGGTGTTCGATATCACCATTCATCGCAATACAATCTACGACTTTCGGCTATCTATCCAATTTGCCAGCTTGAAGTGAAGATTACGGATATATCTGCGAGTAAACACATATAAAGTTACAGAATGAAGCAATTCCGAGTGACCTGGTAGGCTCTGTCTGGCTGAATAAACTAGACATCAGAGATCCTTCAGCCTCGTATAGGAGAAAAATTCACCTCTATCACGAACTTCCTTCCTCTCGACCTAGAAGCAGAGCCTTGGCCGCTACCGTTCTACGGTCTAGTTTATGGGCTTTTTATCAGCTAGCTACCAGCAAGCACCTCATAGTGCCCCACAACCACTCTCCAAGTGGACCGACATACTATATCGACTGGATCAATTTACCCTCGCCCTCATGTAACCCAATTAGGAAGAGCTTGGCAACTGACCAGATTCCGAATTGGGAAAATGGTCAACGACACCGGAGGTTTATCTGATTTCGCCAACGATCTGATTAGATTCAGATCCCCCTAGTTATCCATCAATCCTTCTATTATGTCGTCTGTCTGTCTCCTAGCATAACACTTCCTTCTGTACATGTCCCCGTATCATCTTGGGCTCAGCCGTTGTCAACCATCACCATGGCCGAGCATCGTGTTTGGGCAACACCCCATCCAAACTGGGTAGATGTGAGTTCGTCGGATGGCATTTCATGCCTCCACCGCTCTCTTATACAGAGCTCAAGACAGTCCTTATCACTAACGGCAATAGTTCCCTGCCAACCTTCCTCCGAACACCCGCAGAGTACCCATGACACGCGAGCGTCTTCCTATCCAACCACAACCCGGTCTAGACAGCGAAGAATTCACCATTCCAGCCCGCGATGAGTACCCAATCCGGGTGCGATCCTACAAGCGGTCCAACGCAACCAATCTACCGCTGCTCATCTACCTCCACGGCGGGGGATTCGTCACTGGCGGCCTAGAAACGGACGATGAGACTTGCCGTGCCATTGCGGCCGATATTCCCATCTTGGTGCTTAACGTCGAGTACCGGTTGGCGCCGGAGCATCAGTTCCCGGTAGGGTTCGAAGATAGTCGGGATGTTGCGTACTGGGTGAGTGGGACCCATTGCTTGCCTAACTGACTGACTGACTGACAGATTGCCTGCTGGACAATAATCTAGGCCGCTTCGCCCATAGGCCAACAGCAACTCTCGACCGACTTGAACAAAGGATTCATCCTAGGCGGCACCTCCGCTGGCGCGAACTTCACGGCCGGGATCGCGCATCTAGCAGTCCAAGATAAGCTTCCTTCAAAGCTGACCGGACTACTCTTCCTGGCAGGCAGCTTCTGCCACCCGGACGTCCGCCCAGAGAAATATCGCGATCGAATTCTCAGCGTAGACGAGATCAACGACGCGCCGGGCCTGACGAGGAAATCAATAGACTACTTCGCCAGTGAGTCCCGGTTCCGCAAGACCCTAATCCAGACCACGAGTGAGGAATCCTAACAGCCAATCTTAATGAGCAGAGAAGTACGGCGCACCGCCCAGTGACAAACGCCTCTCGCCGCTCCTCTTCGAATCCCACGCATATATAGCCCTCCGGGCGGCGTTCTATATCTGCGGATGGGACCCCCGTCGGGACGAGGCTCTTTTGTTCAATGAGTTGTTGCAGGACGAGGGGATTCTGACCCGGAAATATGTCTACAAGGGTCTACCGCATGGCTTCTGGACGACATGTCCAGATCTCGAAGAGTCGAGGGAATGGAAACGCGATTTACTCGAAGGGCTGCGATTCGTATTGGCTCAACAGTAATGTCGACGCACGACCGAGTGGATGCTTTGATGAAGGTCCAGTACTGTTATCAGTCCATGACTCTAATCAATAATGCGTCCAATAAGGCACTTACGTGAGATGCCATCGGGCATCAATCGAGAATTTCGTATCTTTGATGCATGTTGCTGTCGCTGGAAAACACAAGCTCAAAATCAGATTGTAACTATAAGACCTCCAGCCAGCGTGACGGTTAGCATTTTACTAGAATTGACTTTTGACATGAAGAATGCAGAAGTGCATAACTTGATAGTTTCATAAAGTTGGGTATTTGTGAATAACATTTCTCAAGGGAAAGGAGTATATATGGTGCTGCCGCGGGGTAGGAAAAGAAACCTAAGACATCGCAGAAGGCTCGAAGAAAAGAGAACCCCGAAAATGACAAGGTTCGTTCGGTTTTGTTGCACCACTGGTTGACTGGATAAATTTGTGATGGCCGAAATTGATCAAGGAAAAAAGAAGAAGAAAAAAGAGAAAACAAAAAAGAAAAGAAAGATACAAGCCAAGATAGTAAGCAAAAGGAGAAAGACCTCTCTCAAGGTCATCTTATGTCTCCAGACCGCACTTGAAAGATCGGTTCAGATTAGACTTAAACAGATTCGCTAATAAAACGCCAGGGGGGTAATTCATGAAGTCGTATTTGATTAAACAAGCCCAACCTGACAACTTTCTCTATCGCCTTGCTCTCCTGGTTGGTCTAACGGGCCCTTCGTCAGAGTCATCCTCCAATCTGATCGCATTCGACGCTGAAGTTCCAGCTGATTGTCCGTTTCGAGCATGCGACGTCCCGCATGATTGAGCCGGACGGCCGCTTGAAGGTCCAACTGATTGTCTGTTTCGAGCATTTGATGTGGTGCGTGATTGAGCCGGGTGACCGCTTGAAGTCAACAGTCGTGGTTGCACTGGAGAGCTTGAAACCTCGTAGTAAGGAATTGGTCGGCGTCGATTTCCGCTGACGGCAGGTCGGACTGGCTCATCTTCATCATCACTTTCATCATCACTACTTCCATCATCGTCGTGATCATCATCTTCGGTAGTTGTGACTTCTGACACGCTATCACTCACAAAATCCCCAAGTTGAGACATGGGGAAGCCGTGGTGTTCCTCGTAGCGGTCTTCTTGCGTGATGTATTCGGGGCCACCAACAACTGTGGATCGATCCGACTCGGTATCGTATTCCCCGTGGCCATAATGCTCTTCATCATCAATGAAAGAATCCATGTCAGTATCCTCCTCGTCTTCCTCTTCACTGTCCTGTGTGTCATTCTGACCCCAATCGTCCGATGGCATGCCGTGCCCGAATGGCGCATGAACATGGCGTGCGTGATGTGGGTAAGGATTGCGATGCAACTCATATAGTTGATGAAGGTCAAACGGGAACGCATCAATGGGCATTCCATCATAGAGATCGTTCCAACCAAAATCGTCCACCTCGTTGAATCCGTCCTCGGCCTCATCATCAACATAGTCTGTCATCTCAGAATTCTCATCGATATCACTCAGATCCTCCGAGGAACCAGTACTCGACCCATCCTCCGGCCGATATCCACATTGCATGCAATTTGAATCTTCTTCAAGCTCCCAGGAACAATGCGGACATCGAAGAACACCGTCCTCGAGGTCAACGACGGGTGGCGCTATAGTGTTTCGTGATCTATTGAATGTGCCTTTGAACAGCCCCCCTTCTCTAGGATGAGGGTTCTTCTTATCCTTATCGATCTTTTCGGCCTCCTCGCGTTGATGGTGTATATGCTCCGCCGTAGTCTCGCCCTTATCTAGAAGTTCGGCACGACTTGTGAAGAGTTGGACAACTGCACGAACCTTGGACATGTCAGTATTCATCGTAACTTTATCTCACTACTGCCCAGGGCAGTCTGGCTTGTAGTCACATACCAGGTATGCAGGCGAGGGCTCCGACTTCACCGGTGCTCGACAATCAGGACACGTTTTGTTTGATCTCCCCCCTCCAAACCACGAGGTCAAGCACTGGTAGGTAAAAAGTTAGTCTTTTCCGTACACTCGTCGTGAACGGGATTCTTGAGGGCCTTACGGTATAACAGAACGTATGCCCACAACCAAGTGTAAAAGGCTCGTATAACGGCCTGATGCAGATGCCGCATTGAATCAGAGAGCGAATGTCATCGACGTGCCCCTGTAATGTTTGGGAGAGCTAGGCAGGGCGTTAGAATACACATCAGTTTTCTACTCTTTGAGAAAACAGCTTACCCCGGAAGTATCCCCGGCCGATTCTGCGGCAGCTGTCGTCCCGATCACATCACGGGAGCCATTACTCGGGGTTGGCCCCGAGGGTGCTGGTTTCGACATCTGGTGGTTTGGTTTGCTGCTCAAGCCCAAGGACGAGGGGCGGCTTCTGTCCGACTTCGATCTTCGTTGGGCACTGCGACAGGAGGGTATGTGGTATGACACGAGACCGAGGCAGGATTCAAGAAGTGTTGAAAAATACAATATAAAGAAAAGAGGACAGAAAAGGTGAAGAGAACTTTTTTTTTCTCTCCGGTGGTGCTGGAAGTATCTAGACAACTGTTTGGCCGGGGGCGTTGTCAAGTCACTTCTTCAGGCTGGGAGTGACGAGGCGGAGGCGAAAGGAAGCGCGCGAGGAAGTCAGGTCGGAGGGATGGAATGAAACGAGGGGGTTGTTTCGAGTATTTATTGACGGAGGAGAGGAAGAGGCGAGGTGAAGTGAGGACGCTGTCTGGACAGGTCGAACTGCCAGGAACTTTTCTTTTCGGAAAGCTCCGCGCGCAAACCGAACAAACACGCGCGACTGACGGCGTCGGTCGTGACGCTCCAGCCCGATCGCACTTGCAACGACCCCACAGGGCCGATCAGTCCAACAAATCCAACAGCCAACTTCGGTCTAATTTGGTCTCCATTTAGCAGAGCAGATCCTACTAACCCCGTCCGCAGCCGTCCTTGACGCCGTGATCACCTCGGCTGGCTAATTTCATCGCTAACAGTTACTCACGGCGGTGTCTCTCGTCACCCTCGTCGCCATCGGATGATGGATTCGAAGGAGTCTAACTAATGAGACAGACATGATAGCTCATCAGCTCAATTGGATTCATTCGATTCCCGATCGTGACATTTCTCCCTGTCGGTCGATCTCTTTTGATGTAACTACCGATATTATTTAGATACTATACCGAGAAGTTCTACACGGGTCACTGAGCTCCCTCTCGTATGGGCTCAAGTAGGGAAACCAACAAAGAAGAGAGACCCGAAGCCACAGCCGCTGCAACGGTGACTTGTTGGAATTTCTGCGTTTGCATGTTGCTCGTCTCGCCCTGCGTTCTACCGACTTGCGTCCGCGGGTTAATTTGCTTGGCGGTGGTATCGCCAGGTGTGATGAGTCCCGGACTGGGCGCTTAAGTCATGGCAATAATTCCATTCGGACATGTCCTAGGTTCTTGTCGCAGGATATGGCAAGATTCCAGACCTGTTTGGCAATTTCGAGGCTAGGACAATGCCACCGTTTATCTGTTTTGCTCCTGCATGCAACTACCCCATCCTTGTATTCGAGTCTTCCGGGCATATGGGTGCTTCTACCCCAGTATTCCTCGTCATGGGGATAATCAGGAAGAGGGCCACTTTACTCTGTTTATTCCAAGACATGATCTTCATGGACCCTAGTTAACCGGACACTGTCACTTTCCTACAAAAACCGACTCTAATCGAAAGCTATATCTTCATATCGCAGAATGCTTGGTCATAGGGAACATTTCACTACATGTGTCGCTCAAAGTCCGTTCAATATCGTGGGGGTCAGCAGTCCCAATAGTACAGGCCACAGCACTGTGAACCAATAGATAACTGGGCATAACCATGAAGGATCTTACACCCAGCGAATCAGCTACAACTGAGATCAGCCATCCGTATTGTTGCTAAATTGCGATCATAGTGCTCCCCAATGAAGGAAAAGAAAAACACCAGGGTTATCTGAATATATGTGACTCCTGTCCTGGCGCTGGACTACTTTACAACTGCACCAGCCCGTTCACTAGAACCCCAGATCCTCGGAATCCAGATGCGCGTTGTCGAGTTCAGTCTATAGCTCTTGTTAGCGACATCAGCACTTGTCATCGGCTTCCGGTCAAATTGGAGAAGCAACACCGAAGATGAAACGTGAAACACATTGAGAAGTATATATATAGACAGCAGTTAGTTTGATTGGTGGCGAGTTTCAAGAAAAAGATCCTGAGGTTCACCACTTGTCAGAACATTCGAACAAGTCTCATGATTTGCCAGCTTTCTCTTCACTTTCAAGGCAATGCAAGAACCAATGACTCCAAAGATGCTCCTCTCGCACTGTATACATCCAAATCCTAGGGCTGCTAGTCGGTGACTAAGCCGGTGGACACTCGACGCGCCAAGACCCGGGGATCGCTCGAAGCAGTTTAGCCCGCCAAACCTCCATCGCCCTCTTTCCTCCGCGATTCCGTATAGTATCCTCCTTTCGTTTGCTTCCATCCTCTCTATCGTTCTTTCATCCGAACCCTTAGATATTACTTGCAATGCCATCCCAAGAAGGACAGAAATCGCCAGACCAAGACCACCCCAACTCCTGGGGAAATGTGGAGCGCAAATTCAGCAAGTAAGTTTGAGTTGAGATACCTTCCAGGACATGGACGCTACTTGCAGTTCGACTTGGGCCATTGTATAATTTAAATGCTCGCACTTTCCCCCTTCTCGAGACTGTCTATCAATTGAAACTGATCACGTTCAATCTGCAGTAAAACTGCAAGCGAATACTATGATCCTTGCCAGGATTTTGCGGACCGCAGTCTCAAATGTATGAAGCGGAATGCGTTCGACCGCGAGATGTGTCATGACTATTTCCAGTATGTCCATGCTTTTTGACCCTGTAAACTCACTCAGCACCACTAATAGTCATTTATAGAGCCTATCGCGACTGTAAAAAACAGTGGGTAAGTTGTGCTAGAGCGCAGAGTCTTCAACTCTGGGCCTGGCTTCTCAGGACGATGGGCCCATGCAGTCTTGTAGCTAACGCATGATTAGTTGACACAAAAGAAGCTTGCCGGGTCTCCGGCTGCAAAGTAATGATAGCAGTCGACGATCATATTATCGGAATGTCGCGACAAGGTTTCGTTTTGATACTATAATGACCTCTGCGTTCCAAAGGTATCTTGGGTATTGAGACAAAGCAGCCGGTTATCTTCAGGTCGCTTAAACGGGCATTTACCCAGACCTCTGATGACTGACGAGTCGAAGTGCACAATACCAGACGGGAACTGGACCATGACCACCTTTTCAGTCAATCCAGAAGCATCGGCATTGGGTTTGCAGGCAAACATATGCTATTCCCGGTATCCCGTTGAAGTTGGTTCTGTTTAGTAGTTGATCTACGAGATAAGCGCTCTGTCTCTTCTTGCTTTGCTTCTCCCGACACTCTTCGCCACAGTCTCCTTATCCTAAATGGTTGTTCATTACCTACGTGTATATTATCTCTCTAATGTGAATGACTTGCTCTTCTATACCTACTAACGTAGTATGAGGCAATTGGGGTAACAAGGATACCCTCATGGTAATGCTCGTTACCTAATGGGCGCTAGGACAATTCATGATAGCAGCAAAATTATCGAGGACATAGAGGCATAGCAAATATAGAAAGAAAATCGAACTACGTAGAAGTAGAAAAGAACGGTTCCTGAGGACACCGCCATCACCGCCTTTCAACTGCCGCCCGCCATGAAAAACCGCGGGAGATGCAAGCAGAGGCGGAAACCACCAACATCCCGCCGACCACCAATTCCCCCGCACATCGTGTGCTGTGCTTGGCTGCGCAGCATACGCCTACTTCCTGCTTTTCCTGTCGACCCGAATTCCCCGATATCTCCTATCCTCTAACCAACTGATCAGTTTCTTGGTCGTCTTCCGTCATGTCCACCAATGACGCCGTGTTCCACCGCCGGAACAAACCAATCCAAGATGCCATTGACGGGCAGAATTTCAAGCAGGCCCTGCAGCTGATTGAGAAGCGCATGAAGAAGGGAGAGGACACCCGGTTTCTCAAAGTGAGTGGTCGGTCGGATCGGTCTATTTCAACCAGAGGCTGACCATTTGAATTGTGTGCATTCGGCCAAATACTAGGTGTGGAAGGCGCACGTTCTTTTTCGGCATGCCGACGACACCCACCGTCAGCGCGGTATCGCTGAGACCCTCGACCTGTGCAAAGTGGACCCCCCGGCGACCGATCTCGATACGCTGGACATCCTTTACGAGTCCTTGCAGAAGATTGGGGGCCAGGCAGATGCCATGAGAAGCATATGGGAGAGAGCCTCGAAAGCCAAGCCCCAGGATCTGGATCTTCAAATGAAATGGTTCGAGCTTGCGTTCGATGGCGACGATTGGAAGTCGGCACAGAAGGTTGGGGATACTCGCACGCACGACCATCAACTAGGGCTTCCGGTAACTGACGCGGTGGGGAACAGGCTGCCATGACCCTCCAAAGCAACTTCCCTAAGGACCGAAGATACTACTTCTGGGCCATCTTCCTCAGCTACCTCGTCGCCGTCGACGAGTCCAGCTCGGAGGCTGAGAGTAAGCTGTTCGGTACCTTGGCCTATCGCATGGCGTCGAAGGCTGCTGATAGCGTCCCTTCTGATCCGGTATGACACCAGCTTCCCGTCTCTACCCCCGCAATGCATTGGAACCCTACCCGCTGGTATTCAGTCTATGACGCAGTGGCTCTCCGGATATGATGTTGATGTTTAATGCCATGCAAACAGAAAGAGCTGCTAAGCCCCCCACGAGCTATTCAAAATGCCGAGGAGCTTCTTCTTCTCGCAAAAATCTTTGAATCTCAAGGGCGGCATGCTGAACTTGTGAACATCCTTAATAGCCAATCCGTTGGAATTAGCTCTCGAATCATCCAAAACGATTGGTCTTTCGTCGGGGTGAAGCTCTCTAGCCTTGAAAAGGCTCAGATGTGGACTGAGGGCCTGTCCTACACAAAGGACCTGCTCGCAATCCCCACTACCGAAGATGAGCGCAAGGCTCTTCAGGAGCATGACGACTGGGCAGTCTGGAGCCTACTAGTTGCTGCGGTCCGGAATATCAACAATCAGGAGTATGTCATGGGCCCCTCATCGCGCAGTACTTTCGAGAGATTGCTAACAGGTCTTCTCAGGACTCTTGAGGAAACTCAAAAGTTTATCAATGGGTTCATAGAATCTGAGCCAAAGTCGCGCAATGCGCAATTGGCCCGTCTGGATCTGATTCACTTCCAGTTTCAGTCGGGTAACCTGAAGGCGGATGAGCTGGTGGCTGCGTGTCAAGAGTACTTTGATCGTAACAAGAACAAACTTTACTGCTTTGGTGACCTGCAAACCTATTTGTCGGCACTCGATAAGGACGCCTTATCAAAATTTGTGGAGTATACAATCCAGGGTCAAGAGGAGGCGAGTGACGTATGTTCCACTTAGTACACCGCCCCTTGTTACCGGAAAGCTAACAGCTCGTTGCAGAAAAAGAATGATCCTTTCAAGGGCGTTGCCGTTATCAATGCGCTGAAGTTAGAGTATTGCTTCCTGCTATCGGCCGACGAAGCAAATGCGACCAAGTCAAAGGTGGAAGACTTTGCCTCACGCTGCCTGCAAAAGTACCGGAAGGTGGAGCGGCCGGAACGAGATGCTGCGTCCTCTACGATTGAGAGTCAGCCCAGCGACGATTTGTTGCTGCTCGCTGCTATGAGCTTGATTCGCTTCAGTGAAACCTTGGCCTCAGACAACCAGGAACAAGTTTTGAATCTCATGCACATTCGCGCAGCAGCCATTCTGGAACGCCTCCTCCAGGATTCTCCCCATAACTATCAAGCACTACTTCTTCTCGTGCGAATTTATCTGCGCCTGGGTGCAGGATCACTGGCTCTGAAGACGTTCAGCAAGCTCTCTGTTAAACAGATACAATTCGAGACCGTCGCCCACAACCTCTTCACACGTCTTGCCACAATTCACCCGCAGTCGGCCCCGCCTATCGAGGGTGCGGAGTACAAGGACTTTAACCCCCAGTCCGCCTTCGTTCAGGCTCTTAACTTTTACCGGACTGCTGAAATCACCACAGTTAGGCACCGGTCCAACGGTTTGGACTATGGCAGCTACGTGAATATCGAAGGGACCATTGATCTTCAGAAGCGTCTTAAAAATAGCATCTGTCGAAGGCTTTGGGCGCTCGAAGTGCGACGTATTCAGAGGCTGGTCGGTGGCGATCCGATGGGCCGTTTTGAAGAGATCGGTAAGTTTTGGCGCATCTTACACAACGAGCAGCTGCTTACACGTAACAACAGCGAGAGACACATCGCCTTTGGTCGATCAGCGTGTATTCGATGCATTCATGAACTGCGAGGTCTCGGGCAAACCATCCTTGGAAGAGCGGGTGCGCCCGGGACCCTTGCCTCAGGTGAGTTGCCCCTTGTATGCTGGGTTTGCGGCAGGGTTCTAATAAAAGCAGGAGCAATGGGTGAAATCGACTAGGATGACAGATGAGCTATTCGGGCTCCTCAAGGACATAATACTTCAGAAGCCCATCACTGCCCAACCTGATCTGCCTAACCTTGAAGAACTTGTGGGATCCAATGCGACCTCCGAGATGACCCAGCCCGAGATTGAGGGGGTCAAGGTCAACCTGGACCTCTTCAAGGTGGCAGCATACCTCGGCGGATCTAAAGCTGTCTCCTCTGAACAAGTCGAAAACAGCTTGACCCAGGTGGAGGAATGGTTGAACGAGAAGTCTCAGCAACTTTCTGTGGAAGACGGCCAAATTTCTAACGCTGTCTCGAATACCGCAATTTTCCTGAAGTCGGACATCCCAACTGCTCCGTCATGGAAGAGCTTCCATAATCTTTTTGTCGTTTTGGAGTCCTTGAAGGCGGTGATTTTTGTCGCGACCATTGTTTCTAGGAAGACCCCCAAGGTTCCCAAGGTTCCGAAAGACCAAGTAGCACGTTTGGGTGAAGCTGCACGCCAGGTTCACCAAGCGATCCGAGTCAATGTCCGCACGCTGAAGTCGCGGATCTCGGAACCTGGCATGCTTGGGTCCTTGATCGACCTGGTCGGAAGTGGTGATGGTAAAAGCGAGGTTGGCCCTGAGCTACGGGCTGAGCTAGAGAAGACCCTTGACACATCTGCGGTAGAGATGTTCTGTGGCGAGTTGATGGAGAGTTGGGAAGAAGGGCTTGCCGGACTGTTTGCCGTTACTCTATAACGACATATCTGTATAGCCAACGTTTATACATCTGTCCATACACTTATTAGACATTACACATTTTTGGACACCCGAGACTGTTTCTTGCTCTTCATACATTACCAGCCTGCCTGACCGCTATCCCACGGGTCACCGATATCTGCAAGGGGGATGAGCTACCCCTTACTGCCTTCAACGTTGACCACCTGGCGTCCACACGGTCTGGAATAGAGTTGCACAACAGTTTGACAAGTACCCGTTCCCTTGGAATTCTCCAAGTCACCAGGGGAAGACCTCGTGAGAGATTTCCCCCTATGCAACACTGCAGGTGATTTAATCGGGCCTCCTTGCATCGAATAGACCTAGAATATCCCCTATCCTAGGCTGTCTTACACTTTAGTCATTTCTGAGTCTCGAGCAAGGAATGTGTAGCCTTGGTAAAACCTTGCGGTCAACTAGGTGTTTAGAAAATAGCCTCTTTGCCCATATCTCGAGTCTTCTAGAGAAAGGAACCCAGTTGCGCATTCCCGAGAATAGATCTCCGTCTACTTACGATGGTCTAAGCGCATATCAAACATCATGTACCTCACCGCCGGTGTCTGGAGCAACAACAGAAAGAGCAGACCGGAGGGGTGCCTTCCCATGTTGCCTAGGTTTTTAAGGGCGTACGTACAGTACTATCTATGTTGTAGATAGCCTCTCTTCTCAAATCCTACCGTTGTTCGACATGGAACGCTAATAGCAGTACAGTGCAGCCCAAGTGTCCTCCAGGTTCATCACAGGCTGTTTACCGATTTTACCTACGTTCTTTCAGCATGTGGGCCGGAGAACCGCGACCTGGTTCACTGGCAGACGAGGAGACGATTCATCGGGAGACGATGAGACGAACAAGACAGACATCCCTCTTCATCAGCGCAGCGTCGTGGAGCTGGTGCCTCGAAGCAATCGGCACTTAGAAGGCCTCACGCATCCATATCCTGGTTGTCAATTGCAAGTATATCAGGGCGGTAGCTATGCGACAGCCAAGGCCAACGTAGAAGGGAACGTCGTCGGCGAGGAAGGAACCAGAGCCGGGGATATGGGGATCATTAAGACTGTTGAGGTGGATGTGGAGTCTGCGCCGAATGGACCTCCCAGCGTGAAGATCATGTATAGTAGCTGAAGAGTGAGTCCTCGGTGAAAGTCGTGGACGAGAACAATGATAAGTAGTTAACAACAACAGACTAAGCCGAATAGGGCGACCCACGGCCGCCAACCCCGTGACCCACAGCCCGTCGCTGCATTTCTGCCTTTCTGCCTCAGGTATCAACAGGGCGGTCAGCGAGCCCTAAGCCCTAGAACTCGCTACGCACGAACGCTCGAGCCAACCAAAATCCGGCAAACTCCATCGCGATATCCGTCCGCACCGACGCCCTTCGACTCGACAAACTCCCTCAGCAACCACCGTCGTCGCCAACCCAGTCACAACCGTCGAGATGGCGCAAGAACGCTCCGGAATCGTGGTCGGCTTGAACAAGGGCCACGTAGGTTCTCCCTGCAACCTGATCTGATGATTTTTTCTTGGTCCTTGGTCCGGTCTTTTTTTGGTCAGTCGAGCTTGGCCGGTCGGTCGATTGCATTTGGATCGGATGGAAACCGGATACCTGGAATTCGAACGAAGGAGAAAACGGGATGAGCAGGGATGGGGCATTGGTGTCGCACGGACATTAAAGCAGAAGGAGGAAGAACTCAAGAGATAGGAACGAAGCAAGAGATGGAATGCATATATTGAAATTGGATTCAATACGGGACCTCGACAAATTCGATCCACCAATCCATCCGACAAACCGCGCTCTCACTGAACCAAGACCGGACGAGACCAAGGAAAATTTCATCGGTGACTTTCCATGCCATGGGGTCATGCTAATCCAAATATCTGTTATAGAAAACCACCCCCTTCCAGACCCCCAAGAACCGCATCAGCCGCACCAAGGGTCAGTCCTCTCGCCGTACCGCTTTCGTCCGTGAGATCGCCCGCGAGGTTGTTGGTCTTGCTCCCTATGAGCGCCGCATCATCGAACTCCTGAGAAACACTCAGGACAAGCGTGCTCGTAAGCTCGCGAAGAAGAGAGTACGTTTTATTGCATCCGATCGACAGTGATTACGGCAGTGGTGGCGGTGTCGTGTGTCTTGTTATCTGTTCTGGTTCAATGGTTGGAATGTCCTGCTCTGTATTCGACTCGGGGCTTTCACACAGAGTCTAGCTCGGGATAATCTGCATGGTCGGATCATTCTCACGGACAGGCTACCGATACGCTGGAAGGATTCCAATCTCCGTTGAACCAGAGCAGCGCGTACATATCGACCTCACCACCTTGTCTTTCTCTCCACATGACCACATCCCAGCTAACATGTTTTACCTCTACAGCTCGGTACCTTCTCCCGTGGCAAGGCCAAGGTTGAGGATATGCAGCGTGTCATCGCCGAGGCCCGCCGCACGGGTGCTCACTAAATTCATTTTCCGTTCCAATGAAAGTTTTCTCCTATTAGCCAAGACCTTTACAAAAAGAACGAGATGACGAGAACACAACCAAAATGAATTTAAACCCTCTTCGTGTGGCTGATTGGCAATGACGTGTGTTCGTTGTAGAAGGGAATATGAAACAAAAAATACGAAATTTAATACCCACCCATCCGAGAGAGAATCACTGGGTTGGCAAGATTAAGATGCGAGATTATCTCATTTCTTTCTCTCATGCTGCTCTTGTGCTTTTCTCCTGTCTTTTGTGTCGCCGAAGGATTTAGTTCCCGTAGACGTTTGGACAAACTGGATGCCAAAAAGGACGATATGAAACGGTTCGTTGGAGCCTGGAACATAAATTCAATACCACTGGGATTTTGTTTTCTTTTTCATGTGGTCTGTTTGTTCTTGTAGGTTGGGGGGTTGCACGTAGGCATGGTAGAGAAAGAGGTCCATGCTATTCATTACCCCAGACTCCGGGGTCTAGACTCTTAACTCTTGACTCTACATCGGGTATTTCTTCCTAGCTGATAGTCTTCGGCGGGGTCTATCTTGGCTTTCCTTTTAGCAGTAGCTGGATGTTATCAAGACTACTATAGTTACTGTTCGCATACGCTACTACTCGATAACGCCAGGGATATCCCTGACCTACAAAGTATCAGAGATGTTACATCGAATCATTCCTAGTCATCTAAGGACATGCACGGCATAGTCACATAAGAACGCCGTGATCAAGGCCAATCAGCGGTTCTATTTCTTTCCAGGCAACTTCAGCCACTTGGGTAGTGTTCCCGGTTTGCGAGTGCCCGACTTCTCGCCAGATTGTTGGCCCGCCCCTGGCTTTGGCTGGACGATGTCTTCCGAGGTGTCCATGATCTCGGGCGGTTGCTCTACCTTGTGCTGCCGTGCTTTATTCTGAAGCTCTGGCTTGAGCAAATCGGCTCGATGCTGTCGGGCAGCGGGCGATGCATCGGCGTCCCAGGAGAAGTTGACGAGGACTCGGCCCGTCATGCCGAGGTCTTTGATCAAGAGGCTTGTCGCCGAGTCTGGGACCACGCTCTGGATCTTTCTTCCTCCGGTACCAGGCGGGCCCGCAGGCAGGTGGGTGAGAATGAACTTCTCTGAAGCGAACGGTCCTGCAAGACAGTTCCTCACAAAATCGTAGAGGGTTCTTCCTGTATCTTCTTGCCTAAACTTCGCTACTACCTGGCTCTGGTCCGGAAGACGGACTTTCACGTCGACTTCATGCACTGCGGCCAGCTTCTCCTCTTCGGCTGCGGCTTTGGCGGCGATTTCTTTGTCTGATAGAAGCTTTTTGTTCTGAGAGGCCATGTTGAGACGGCGTTGGTGTGCTTGCGCATGGTCCACTGATGGAACATAGTCACTGTCATTATATGAAGCTTGCGCGGACTGGGGTGTGTCGTTGGATGGAGGGGCGAAGACGGTTATAGAGCGGGAGGAATCAGTCGGCAACTCCGGCGACTCAACGGCGGCAGGGGAGAGTTCGGTTTGAATTTCTGGTTGTGCTGATGCGGCGGTTGTATTCGACGTGGGGTCGGAGGTAGAGACTGGTTGCTGCTGTTCGGTCTGAGCCGATTCCTCGGGCTTCTGTGTCTGTTCCGCCGGCGATTCTTGTTTCACCGGGGCATCATCGTCACCAAACGCTTTGAAATAGTCCTGGATTTTCACCATCGCCACTTCCAGCGGTTCTTCCGTGCGTCGGAAACTCAATCTAAGCAGGACGTTTCCGTTGTTGAAGCCCAGCTGAGCTAGGGACTTCTGCAAATCGGTGAAGGTCGATAGTTCTCTTTCCATTATCTGCACCACTGGCGTTTCGTAGAACAATCTGCCGGCTCCGGTATCACCGCTCGTCACGGGGACGCCTCGGGCTGTGAGGTTTCGGGTGGAAGTGGCTCCCGCAACCCCGGCCTCGAATTTGCGCAAGATAAACCATATCGTAGTCGTGCTGGGGAACTTGTCCAAGATGCGTCCGTTTGGAGTGCCTCGTGCTTCTGACTCCGGGAGCTGTAGTGCGACGGTGACGACGGAAGGCGAGCGCGAGAGTTGAACCAGTTCAAGTTTTGCGCCGGAGGTCAGGCCGGACAGTCGAAATACTAAAGACAGGTCGAGTTGCTTTCCCTTGTGTCTTGGACGGAGTCAGCCCTCATGTCGACAGTCAAGTGTTGGGTGGTAGACCTTACTTCAGCCCATATTGACTGGCGTCGACGCCTAGTTTCTTGCAGCCTTCTTGCAGAATATCCGTCAGATGCTTCCCGGGGGTCGTCTTGATCGTGGCTCTCCGAGCTGTCGAGTCGAGGACTACGACATGAGAGCTCATGGTTCAAAAAATGGCCGCTTTGATATTGCGGGGCTGATAATGAGAAAGAGAAAGAGAAAGAGGATTTAGCGGGTGAGCTCAAGGCTTGCGACCGATCAGTGAATATTAGCGATCACCTGCGCAGAAGGGTGGTACAGAAGAGCGTAGAAGAGGAGAGAAAGAATCGAAGTGTTGGTGAAAGTGAAGCAGGAAGAGAGGAAAGAATAGGCAGCGGGCGCATCGTCATCGGCAGAAGCTCGGCGGCTCCACGCGTTGCTGGCAGGACAGGCAGAGAGAGCTTCCGTCAACTCCAACTTCCACTCTTCCATCTCTCTTCCCCGTCCCGCTCAACTCCCTCCCCTTCCTTTCTCTCCCATCCCCAATTCTCCCAGTTCAACTATTTCTCAGCCTACATCCTCTCCTGGGAGCTCCATTTGATTTCCGATCTTTGGGATTTTCCTGCCGCAATCATGGTATGTGTGCCGTGCCCTTCCTCTGTCTGACTGACCAAGCAAGCCAAGCTGACCATCTCCCCAGAGCTCTCCCTTCGACATCAGTATGCCGTGCTCCCCGTATCCCATCTGAACCCCATCGTTTGTCGCCGTATTAACCCTCTCGTTCTACAGATGGCGGTGCCTGCGTTGCCATGGTGGGCAAGGACTGCGTCGCGATTGCCTGTGATCTCCGCCTGGGTATGCAGGCCCTGACCGTCTCCAACAACTTCCCCAAGATCTTCAACTACGGCCCCCAGACCTTCCTCGGTTTGACCGGTCTGGCCACCGATGTCTCGACCGTCTCGGATCTTTTCCGCTACAAGGTCAACATGTACCGACTCCGTGAGGAACGGAACATCGCCCCCCAGACCCTAGCCAACCTGGTCAGTTCATCGCTGTACGAGAAGCGATTCGGACCTTTCTTCGTCAGCCCCGTGGTGGCTGGTATCAACCAGACGACGGGCAAGCCTTTCATCTGCGGGTTCGACAGCATCGGGTGTATCGATTTTGCAAAGGACTTCATCGTGAGCGGGACGGCTAGCGAGCAGCTGTTTGGTACTTGTGAGAGCCTGTGGGAGCCGGGTCTGGTATGTTGAAACCACCAAGAATTCTGGGTTCTTGAAGAGACGACACGTCTCGACAATGATTTGATGTCCGACCGATGCTAACCCATACCAGGAGGCCGATGATCTGTTCGAAACCATTTCTCAGGCCCTCCTCAGTGCCGTCGACCGAGACGCCCTCTCCGGTTGGGGTGCCCAAGTATACATTATAGAGAAAGACAAGGTGACCAAGCGGTTATTGAAGGGAAGACAGGACTAGAGCGGTCCATTGCGGGATATGAATTTTTGTTTCCTTTTTTTTTCTGAATCATGCTGTTCGATGTTCTAATTTAACGCACCATTACCATTGATTGATATTCTGCCGGACGGGAGCAGCTTTCTGGCGTCTGTGGTCTCCACTTGATGTTACATACTGTCGATTGCGACGAGGCAGAGTAGAGAGTGAGGACATAAGAGAGAGGTCGACAACAAAACAGGGATATTTACACAAAATAGATCTCTGCATCCTTGCCCGGGTTCTTGTCTACAATCCACAACGTATGACTTTTTCATAAAGCTACGATCAGTACCCAGACCTTCCTGACACAGCGCCATGGGCCTGACCGTTCCTCCCCAGGAACGCCTTGATATCCCAAGCCAGCAACTCGGGCACCTCCCAGGCCGCGAAATGACCCGCACAGTCATATTCATTAGCCCGAACGACGTTTCCGATAAGCCACCGCCAGTACAGAGGCACCCGGAACAATTCTCGGCGGAACTGAGCCACAGCGAACCGGACACCATGGGGAGCAACGGTCGACATCACGTCGGCCGTTGTTAGACCCGGGGAAGGAGAAGGGGAGTCCTTCCGAGCCGCTTCGTAGTAAATCCGGACAGACGCCGCAGGCCCTGCGGTGGAAAATTGATAGATACTCACCCAAGTCAGAATCTCATCATCTGTCCACGGGTAGTTGTCGGTCCAGGCATGCAGCTTCTCGTAGATCCAAGCTAACAGCGCCACTGGACTGTCGTGGAGGGCATATCCCAACGTCTGAGGACAGGTCTCTTGCTCACGGAAGTAGCTGTTCCCCTCCGTCAGGTACTGCTTCGTAGCGACGAGATGAGCCTTATCCTTGGACGAAAATGGAATGGTCAGGAGAGACTGGAGAAACAGGAGTGGGTTGCGCCATGGGAGGGGCGGCATCACGGGCAAGAAGTTGATATGCACGGCTTTGACCTGGTCGGGATAGCGATTTGCCATGACACGAGCGATGATACTTCCCCAGTCGCCGCCTTGGATGGCTGTCGAGACATGAGAATTTTACTTTTTGAACTGGCTTTTGAACTGCACGGGGTTACAACAGACCGTATTCGTGATAGCCCAATGCAGTCATGACGGCATGCATGGCTTCCGCATACTGAACCAGACCGAAGCCTTTCTATACCGGTAATGACGTTCAGTTGGGTTCGTATTTAGAAGGAACACCTGGGAGTCTTTCAACTGACCTTTTTCACGGCAAATGAAAAGCCAAAGTTGGGCAACGAAGGCACCACCAGGTGGAATGCTGGCTGCTGCTCATCGCCCGCCGTTAGCAATGGGATGAGCTTAGTGGCTTCGAGGAAGCTTCCGGGCCCTGCGGAGACGGCGTTATTTGTTACTATTGCCATGGCGAGCTTGGAAGAGGTCTGGACCGGGGAGGCCTACAGCCATGGAGAAAGACCAAGGGGATGGCGTTTGGATTAGAATTGGTATGATGCAGACAGTGGATATCCAATTCGCCGAACCCCGACACCGTGATTGGGACGAGAAATTGTTTCAATGTCTCGTTCAGTTCCTTTTCCTTGTGTCGCCAGTTGAATCCATCGCGCCAGTACGCAGTCAAACGCTTCATTTCGGCCAACGGGACGCCCATGTCCCATTCAGCATCATCTAATTCATTGGGAAAGGATGCCGTTTCGAGTTTCTGCTGCAGCTTCTGCAGCTGTGCATCGGAGACGGCGATTTTGAATGGTTTTGCCATGATTTCTATGCGTGATGGAAGTAGTTCTATTCAGACCAGACGCCGTGATTTCTGGCGTTCTTAATCGTTGTCACTTGTGTCACAGCCTCGGTCCACGTGAATTGGGAACGATGTTTGCTAGTGAAAACACGATGTTGCTATTGGATGGCTATCTTTGGAGACTTTGGGGTTTAGGCAGCTTGCCGAATATTCCCTTCTATGAGTGTCGAGTGGAATCTCTTCGAGGTCTTTGGGGGGGTGGAAGAGGATCGTCGGTCAGGAGACATTATTAAAATTGATTAATTGCGGTGGAAGAATATATTTCGACGGGTCTGGCCACGTCTATCTTGCACAAATTAATCTGGCCATGAAATAATTTCTTGCAATTGTCTGAGAGAATTCTGGAGAGTCTTACTTTTAAGACTCTTGAGTATACTTACCACCTAAGTATAAGTCATAGTTTAAGGACCTGGACAGAGAAAGACTCACCGCTGAAAAGGCGAGGGTTTCAGCCTCCCCGCGTCTAGACCGGCCGATCGGCAAATCGACTTTCTCTCCTTCTCCCCTCCTCGTCTTCCCCTTCCTTTCCCTTGGCTTCCTCTCTCTCTCTCTCTGTCTCTCTTCCTTCTCTTTTTCTCTCCTCTTCTTCCCCCCCTCCTCTCCCTCTTCCTTCCCCTCCGTCTCACTTGCTCCCCTCGACCTTTGCTTGTCGTTGCTTCTCATCGTCCGGTGGATCCGCCAATTCCCCCCGTCCATCGGTGCTTCGACGCTCTTGTCTTGTGTGGACACCTTTTTTTCGACCCCATCTGGCCCGGCATCCGATCTGTGCTTCCTTTTTTTTCCTGTCTTGAAAAATTTCTCCCTCCCCTATGGCGGAATCATCGTGAAACAGATCATTACAACTCGTCCCTTTACTCGATCTAAGGCGACCTTGTCATCTTCGACCTCCCATTTGCTATCTGCCTATATCCACGCTGGAACATTCGAAGACGAAGACGAAGCGGCTTCCTTCTTCCGCAGTACCTAAGGGCGCCATCGTACCGAGCGCCCGATCTTCGTGGTGAGGCTCGCCTTGGGCTTCGTCTTCTCTGTCAGACTAGGGTCATGTATGTTCTCGATCAACCATTGGGGGAACCGCAAATTTGCTGGGTTATTGGCAATTTTCCTTCTTTCATATTTATTCCCGCAACTTGTCCGGTCGCTAACTGAACCCGTGGTTCCATTCTAGACAGAGAGCCATGCTTTTTGCCTTGTTCAAAAACTCGTTTCGTGACTTATCGATCGCTTACTGCTCACTAACTCTCTCCTGGCGCCCTCCTATATCCTAGTTCAGGCGACTACGTCCGGAAGTTGACTTCTCCGGAACCTCCCATCTGGTCGATTTGGTATCACGGCAGAAGACGTTCTTTCTTCTCGCTATGTCTGACTCGGTCGAATCAGAATGGTCCAACTCCTTTCGCCCCGGACGTACTTCGTCATTTCTCCCCTGCAAATCCGAATGCCTTCCCGGGGACTCCTCCGCTGCCACCTTGCGGAACAGTGACGCGCAAGCCGACCCGTCGATCAGCCAACATGTCCGTGGACCGCAGAACGTTGCAGTCGATCGATTGGTAAAACTCAAACAAGACCTCCGGGGCTTGGACGCGGAATCATTCTGGACTCAGTTGATGGAACGACTTGCCTCACTCTGCAATTCCCAGTATGCCTTTGTGGCTCGAAAAGTTCGCGAAAATGATGTCGCGAAGGACGCAGAGGGCCGAAGCCCCTCCTTGCACGGCACTGCGTTCTACTACAACGATGGACATCAAACGGTGGGAATGTACAGGAACCGGTCGTTCGCAGGAGGCAACCCGCAATCTCACATGGACCACGGAAAAGCGTGCTTGATTCCCGAAAACCTGGGGTCATTTATATCATTCGACCAAGACAAGCTCCCGTTCGCCGCGGAAGGCTATTTGGCAGTCCCACTGTTTTCGGAAACTAAGTGTGCGGCCTACCTTGGGCTTATGTGGTCTGGACCCGGCTTGCAGAAACGGACGCTCTCCTGGCAATTTCTGGAAATGATTCTGCATTCGTTGGAAGATCTGATCGTCAAGCGAATTGCTGACGAAGCAGGCGATGCAAAATTTGATCGACCAACCCGGGAGGCCCATGCTGTTTCCGTGAGCCAGAAAATCGTGGATGAGACGCATATCAACCTTGTGCAGGGGCACGTTGACTTTTCTTCTCATGCTCTCAAGCCGTATGCTCGAAGCTTGTCCCATGAGCTTCGAACTCCGATGCAGGGAATTGTTGGAATGCTAGACGTCATGCATGCCACTGTCCGCGAAGCTATGCTTGGAAAGCCGCCTCCTACAACAGGGGGTGTCTTCCAAGCTTTGAAGGAAAGCATCGAGATGGTCCAAGATAGTGCTAGACGGGCGGTCGAGGCGGCCGATAACGTGGTCCATGCCTACGATTTGAACATGCAGGTGCCCAAAACCCCCCAGTTTGAGCGCGAAAATGACTGCTTCGGCGGGCCTGTCCAGTCGCCAGTCAATGCGCCCGAAACCCGCCCGAATATCTTTATTGAAGGCAGCAACATCACGGTGAATCCGTACAAACGGCGACGAAGTAACCCCATCGACAACAACGCTGGGCCGGCCTCGAAGCAAAAAGTCCCGCGTGTCTTGGGCCCGAAAGGGCTGTCGCCTCGAAGTGAGGAGGTCAAGAACGCGGTTCACGAGAGTGACAAAATCATCCAGGCGACCCCGGCACACCAGATCGAGGCCGTCATGGCGAGTATGGTCGATTCGCGTCCATCGTTGGCGGCGCGGCGCTCGGCGTCCCACCTCATGTTGGAAGGGATTAATCTCAACAACCGGGGTCCGGCGGTGCGATCCACCAAGCTTCGTGATCTCCTTCGACTGGTCATCAACGAATCCTTACACGTTGGCGGTCGGCCTGATTTTGCCGTGACGAATGCGACCGAACTCGGAGAAAGGATCGAAGTACGGTCGCGGTCTTCCGGTGGAGAGGTCTTCTCCAAAACGATCGATTGGACCGTTGATGCAGCATTGCCAGAAACGCTATACGTCGACGATCGCGATCTTGCCAAGCTGATCTCCTGTGTCTTTTTAAACGCCGTCAAGTTCACCAACAGTGGTGCGATTACGGTACATGCCAAAGTTGGCCGAAAAGCCAATGATATCATGATCAGTGTGCAGGATACGGGGTCAGGTATCCCGGAGGCCTTCCTGCCGAAGCTGTTCAAGCCTTTCGCTCGACAGGACGCATCTACAACCCGGAGCAAAGACGGACTTGGACTTGGACTTCTCGTAGCCAAGGGCCTTGCACGGAAAATGGGTGGCGATTTGATTTGCGTTCGCTCCTCGACTTCTGGTCCTGACCGTGGGTCGGAGTTTGAGGTTAGAATCCCGATCTACCAGTCTGAACCTTCTGCCAGGCAGTTCACTCCTGTCACGAAACTCTTAACTCCTCCTCAGCTTTGCGATCCGTCGAGACTAAGCAGCGGGAGCAGTTCGACGTTCATTCCGCCAATCCCCCCTTCGTCTCTCCCAGCGCAGCCAATCCAGCAGCCATCCCCTAGCCTCACAGACGAGTCATCGCATGCGACCACACCTGCTCGCTCGGTGCCTGCTGCCAAATCGTCGCAGGGCCCCATAAGCGGAGGCGCCTACGACAGCAAATTAGGCGAAAAACATCCACTCACCGTCCTTGTTGCTGAAGACAACAAAATCAATCGTCGCGTACTGGTGAACATGCTAAAGAGGCTCGGTTACAAAGACGTATACGAAGCATGCAACGGAAAAGAGGCCGTGCGGATCATGCAGAACATCATCGCGTCACAAGGGCCTGCAGAGACACCTGAAAGTGACCAGCCGCAAGTGCTGAAAGGCGTAGATGTTGCTGGCAACCACGCAGTCTCTGATTCTTCCGGCAATCCGAAAAAGTTGAAACCGGTGGATGTTATCTTGATGGATCTTTGGATGCCAGAAATGGATGGATACCAGGCCACCTCCAAGATATTCCAACTGGTCGACGAATACCACGGTCGATTCGCCGGTAATCCTCAGCCTGGCCGGTCAGCCAGCGGTTCCCCACCTTCGTCTCCCACAGTGCTAGCTGTGAGCGCTGATGTTACGGATGAGGCCCTGGCGCGTGCGTCCAAGGTCGGCATGAAAGGCTACATGACCAAACCATACAAATTGACCGACCTGGAGCGATTGATTAAGGGGTTCTGCAGTAATCCACCGCCACCCTTTGGTCAATCAACGAACTCATGATAATAGACTCCGTGATCTTGGGGCTCTTCTTCTCCCTAATGACCCTTTTCCTTTTTCTTCTTTCTTTTGTTTGGATTTTTCGTTATATACCTGGGTTCTCTTTATTTGGGCCTTTTTTCTTGGATATTTTCCACATATTTGATAACAGTCGACATGGAAATCTGGGTTGCGACTAGCGATCTTGAGTCCTGATGTATTTATGAGCAACATGCTGGCATCACATAATGACCATAACTTGAATAGGGGAGACAGACTAGGTGCACAAATGCATCAGGCTAATAATTTACATATAGAAATGATACTGGAATATTGATGATACAATTTTGTGAGCAACGAAAGGGATAGAATGGTAACTGGGATACGACTGTAGTGGCTGGTAGAAGAGTAACTTGGCTTAATAACAAAGCTAAGGTCATTATATCCATATCCCATCAATCAACTCATTTATATCACAGATGCTGCCAAACGCAGAAGCCTAGGACATCTCATCCTGTCTAATGCCAACGTGGCCGATCTACGGCCAAACCCTCCCCTGACCAACAAAGAACCAGAACAGCATGAACTTTCTCATTGATGCTCAAGATGAATCGAACCGTAGGATAATCAGAAGCGGAAATCAGATAATTCCATGCTCACGATGCGCCGTACAATAACCACCGCCACATATTTCGTTCCTTTGCTTAAGCTTTTCATTTTTTATTTATATTCCCTCTCGACCTCTCCGTCTTTGAACTTCGTTCTTTCGTTTTTATGTCAGCTTCTGCTTGATGAAGAACGAGCGGAGATGAGACAGTTGCCAGGCGCACGCGGCCGACAGCACGGCGAGCTGGATCAGGGTCCAGCGAACGACACGCGAGTTGGTAGCCTCGGACTGGTCACGGAATTCGGCCTCACGTTCCTATACGAGGCGATGGACATTAGTAAATGATCGACAATTATCCCGCGCGAACAATACTCTCCGGTAGTTTTAACCACCACCAGGAGATCATCGTCGACAAGCCATGCAAAATGGACATAAACATACCCGCTGGAAGACCTGCTCGCGACGAATGTCCTGCAACCGACTGTTCAGGTCCTTGACCTTCTGCACAATGTCCTGCATCTTGCCCTTATCCTCGGTCTCGATCTTGCTGGTCTCTCCGATGGCCATGTCCAGCGACACGCGCACGGCACCGCCAGGGCCCCCGGACAGCCAGCCGCCGGTGGCAGCGTTGGTCTCGGGCGTCAGGCAGATCTTGTGCTGGCCGGACTCGGCGGCGGTGAAGGTGAAGCGGCCGGCGTTGCCATCGCGCTTGGACACGACCCGGTGGTCGTTGTCGAAGATCTCGTCGACGGTGATGAGCACCTTCAGGTTGGGGTCAACGGAATACGTGTTCGATTGCTGGTTGATGACTTCGGTGGAGAAGGTTCCTGTACAGGGGGAGGGTTAATGGGATGGACACAGACTGGCATCGGAAGTGAGAATGGAGAGATTAGTGACGTACCGACCACCAGGGTGTCCTTGGGGAGTTCCTCGAAGAAACACTTGGTCTGACGCCCGTCCATATAGAAGTAGAGGGCATTGACGGGTACCGACAGGCACAGGATGGCGCAGAAAGCCAGGACGGAAGACAGCCATGAGGCTGACGAAGTTGACGGAGCCATTGCGAGGGGACTTGGCTTGTTATTAGAGACGAGGGAGAAGAGGGGAGGAGGAGGAAGGAAGGTGGAATAACGAGGCCTTGTCCCGGGCAGCAGACGCAAGCACAACAAGAGAAGCGATTAATCTGGCACCAGCGGGTAAAAGTCTTGGCGCGAATTCTCGACTTTCCTCCCTCGTCCTCCCTCTTCCGTCTTCCATCCTCGTGCATCTGCATCTACCTATTCTATCGCTAGAGACTGCCCTGTTGGAATTCTTGTCCGACTTGTTTCATTTCGCCGCTGTTTCTTCTGTCTCGCCGATCTCTGGTGGGAGCCATCCACTATGGCTGCCGCCGATGTTCGCGACATGCTGGACCTGCCCGCGGAGGGCCAACAGCCCCGACCGCATAAGAAGCAGAAGGCCGTTGAGAAGAGACCAGGTACGTTGATGTCCATGTATTTCGCGTGCAGACACAAACTCTACCTGCGCATTCGGAGCAAATAAAACTAACGCATTGTTTCAAGAGGGTATCACTCGCGAGCTTTACGCCCTGCTTGGCGAAAGAGCACCTCCGATCGCCATCAACGAGAATCGATACAAGGGCCGCCCAAAATGGATGAGCAAACTGCGAGTCCGTCCCTGGTACGTGGCCTTGTCCCCATGCCTTGTGTCTGACCGGAGCAGATGATTAACCAGCTTCTTCCGTCCTCAGGAGCATGGCCCCGTTTACCAACGATGCGCGATCCGACGGCCTCGTCCTCCGCCATTGGCAACGACAACACGAAACCGCAAAACCTGCAGCGCTGGAGGGCTCGGAGATGGAAATCGACGGGCCAAAGCAGGAAGATGATGCCGACAAACCCGCAGAGAAGGAATACAACTTTGCCAAGTACAACGTCAAGGCGCGACTCCCGAACCGATACACCGACGAGGAATACAACCGCCATCTGAAGAGCGACGACTGGACGCGAGAGGAGACCGATTACCTGATGGATTTGGTCGAAGAATACGACCTCCGATGGGTGGTGATTGCTGATCGCTACGAATACCAGACGCATCCGGTTGATGCGGAGGACAACGCAACTGCGCTTGTGCCGGCAAGGCGCGGTCGCACGATGGAGACTATGAAGGCACGGTATTATTTCGTTGCTGCCTCGATGCTTGCCCTTGAACACCCGCCCTCCGAAATGTCTGAAGCCGAGTTCGAATTGCACGAGAAGATGATGAAGTTCGACCCTGACCGCGAGCGAGCCCGCAAGGATCTCGCCTCGCTGCAACTCAACCGGACCGCAGACGAGGTGCGCGAGGAAAGCATTCTCTTGGAGGAATTGAAACGCATCACTGCCAACGAGCAGGATTTCATCGCCGAACGCAGAGAGCTTTACTCCCGCCTCGAAGCCCCCATCAGTGTGGGCAACACCACGATGTATCAATCCAGCCAAGGACTATCACAGCTCCTCCAGAACCTTCTCCAGGCCGACAAGACCAAGAAGAGACGCTCCATACTCGGCCCGGAGGGCGCAGCACCCAGCCCAGCCGGACAGACCCCAGCACCAAGCGCAGGCAACTCCGCTGCCCGGGAAAGCCGCGCCGAAACCCCCAACTCCACGGCGCCTCCACCCACGAACAAGAAAGCAGCGGCAGCGGCGGCCGCGGCCGCGGCAGCAGCAACCAAGGACACCCAGCAAACCGTCAAAACCCTCACACCCGCCGAGGAAGCCAGATATGGCGTCCAGCATCACGACCGTCTGGCTCCAAGCGTCCAATTCCGAAGTGACCGCGCCCAGAAGCTAACGCAGGCCAAATCCAACGTCCAAACCCAGAAGCTGGCCGCCGCGCTCGCGGAACTGGAGATTCCACTCCGCCTCGTCATGCCCACGGAACGAGTCTGCAAGGAATTCGAGAAACTGATCCACTCGGTGAACCTGCTGCTCGATGCCCGCAAGGTAGCCGAGAAAGTAGAGAGTGAGATCCGCGTCCTCGAAGCCGCCAAGGAGGAAAGAGAGCGGAAAAACAAGGAGGCCAGAGAGAAGGAGAACCCTCAGGTGAAGGCGGAACAAGAGGATGACTCTGTGCCTACGGCGAGCGCAGCCCCCGGCTCTACGTCTGTGGCTCCGGCTGCCGAAGGGGCCGTCGACGCTACCGGTGAAGGGGAAAGCAAGGCTGACGCCGGCGGTGATGCGAATACTGCGAATGCCACGCCAGTGAAGGATCGGGAGACTAATTCCAATAAGCGTTCTGCCAGTGTCTTGAGCAATACAAGTGACAAGAGTTCGAAACGGCAAAGGAAATAAAAGGACACAAGTCTTCTGGGGATCTCTTTTTGGGCGTTTTGTGTGTTTCAATATACCTCTGTACGACTACCATGAATATGTTCGGGCGTTGAGCCAAAATACTCAATTGACACTAATACTCTGCTGATTCCAATACGACGGTGTGGATCACTATCATTTACATACTCCCTACCAATTCCTGCAAAATGATATCCTACCGACTACAAGCAATAACTTGCAAAGAAGTTGTTGGCGCGAAACCCAAAGAATGTGCCCTAGAAAAGACCAGCCTGCACGCATCATAGGGCGACCCCGTGTGCTAACCTGTCTACTCGGGGATGGGCTGGATATCCAGACATTCGTGGATCTTGTCAACCCAGTCATCTGACACTAAATCGAAGCTTGGTTCCTTGGGCTCTTCAGCTTCGTCTTGACCAACCCTAACCACGTCCGGGTTCGACTCTCTCTCCTCTCCATCCTGCGAATCCCCATAGCTATCCTTTCTGTTGTCCGGAAATATTGGACCGTCATCATCGGTTTTGCGGCGTCTGTTCCTCAGGTCACGGATTTTGTATTTCATGACCCGGGTCCTTCTATTCTGAACGATGGAATGCTCCAAGTCGCGGGCAATCGCACTGACGCTGCGTCCTTTGGCCAAGATGGTTTTTGCCCGATGTAGTCCCAAGCGCCCTTTATCCTCGTCCCCGGCCGAAGTAGACGAGTCCTTGTTCAGAACTGGTGGCTCTCGCGATGTCTGGTCTAAGCCTACTCCACAGAAATGGCTCCATGGAGACTTCTTTTCGGCATCTGTATCCAGTTCGTTGTGGCTTCTTTTCCGGTATCCAAGTTTTTCCCACAATGAAGAGGTCACGGAGTCACAACTTGCCGTGTCGCTGCGATTCGTTATCTCGGCAGATGTCGCCGCCCTATGGCGTGGATTTAAGCGTTGAATGATATTCGAGATGTCGTATGTCGAGTCTCCTATCCGCAATGAAACTTTGCCCATCTTCTCCGAGCCTTGCTTGCTATGACCGGCATTTGCTCTGTCGCTTCCCTGCTTGCCGTCAGTCTTTACGGGGGTTGTGGGATTTCCGTGAGACGGTTGCTCGGCCGAATTGTCGGCCGGTACCATTGTGTAGCCATAACCAAGGCGACGGCCTCCTGACATCCAGCCGACACTGACTTTGCGCGGAGATGCCAGGCTTTCATTTGTGCCACGACTGGCACTGGGAACTGGGGATGAGACTGATCGATCCGAACTAGTTTGGCCTATGAATTTGCTCTTCTGGGTGTCGGTGGTGTAGGTGCCGCGATGATCTGGTGGGCTGAGCTCGTTCGACTGGCCTGTGTGCATTTCCCGCGGCCGATGTGACTGTCTACTATTTGGTGCTACGTCGAAACCAGTTCCGGTAGGTCCCGTGTCTGGACCGGCGGAGGATTTGTTAAATGGTTTAGGTTCCCAACGATATCCTGGAAACTCCGAGGAAATGCTCGTCTTGCGGGAATAGGACGACGAAGCCTCCTTGCTCATCTTCCCACCGTTTTGGATTGGAGTCTTTGGCGCTTCCATGTTGGAATATTCATGACCGGGCTGGGTGGTACCTTGTACCTCGCTTTTATTGCTCCACCCATTCTCATCCAGTGACTGGTTTTGAGACAAAACGTGAGGCGACATGGAGTGCGACGCCAATGCCCGGGGTATATTCATGTCGACTAAGTGAATGGACTGTCCATCCGGATCCTGCTCCCTTTGATGCCGCTGTCTCCTTTTCATGACCGAGATTTGGGACGGAGGATATGTTACAGACTCAGCGGACGTTGTATACGGCTGTGAAAAGGTGGGTGTGCAGTTGGGCAAATTTAGACTCTGTCCTCCATTCTTAGCCGGCAAATATTGACGTTCATCTCTGGGGTAATTGCCGGGCATCGATGCGTTTTTTAAGCCTTGTCGCTGTCGAGGATAATAGATGCCCTGGGTAGCGGACTTCCCATCTGCTGTTGTGTCCAGGGATACGCTGCTGGCTATGCTTGGGCAAGGGCTTCCCATTCTCCCTCGAGGATGTTCATAGACATTGCGAGGGCCAGAGTAATTCTGTGGTGGACCCCAACGTGGTTGATTCCTTGAGTGCCACGATGCCTGTGGTCTTTCCACCTCTCGGTAACCTCCGTAATTGTAATTTCCCATTCGACCACTCTCATCCATCAGCGCAGGAGACCTTCCGAACTGAGCTGCTTGGTCAGCGTCGTGATAGGGCTGGTCCAGCGGCGACATGTTCCTCCAGACACCGGGTCTGGGGTGTGGCTCCTCCTTGAAATGGCCGGTCTGCTTGGGGGTGGTGATATACTGCGCGTCGCTGTCGTAACCTCTTTCACTTATCAAACTGCTGCCTATGTCTGCAGAAGCGATTTGGTTGGGATTATTATTGAAGGTCATGGTCGTGAATGGGAAGATAGAATGCCCGGTCTTTTTGTCGCTCTTTCGAGACCGCATGTGTGAGCCATGTGTTTCTCGAGAAAACCGTCTGCGCAGTCTATCAGAGAATCCCTCGGAGGAGTCACTCTGACGGTCCTGGTAATGGGCATGTTCCCTGGACGATGAGATGCCTACACCCGGTGGTCAGAGACTCCAAATCCAAGACGATCTAGCAGGAGATAGGACATGGGTCGCATAGTCACCTTCCGGATAGTGATCTGGAGTCACATCCAACCGGTCTAGCTGATAGCGAGAGCTCTGCGGACTGTCAGACGAGGCCGAAGAAGCACGGCTTCTAAAGAACCGAGGGCAAAAGAAGATCCTCATGAGGGCTTTGCAGGTGGGTTTATCATTTTCCGAGATGACGGGTCATGGTGGAGGGATACGTTGCTACTAGGGGGGGAGTATGGGGAGTCGAGAACAGCAAAGAGACCTCTTTTGCAGAGCATTGGGAAGGAACAATCCTGACATTGTAGGTATGTAGTATGCACCGAAAAGGCAGGCATGGTAGATATTCTGATTCGCATTTTAGGCAATTGCGATTGACCAATAGGTAAGCTATTGAGGTCTGCACGAACACACAAGATATATTGAGTGAATTGTATAGGTGATAGAGATGTAGAAAACATCGGACCGGTGCCTCGTACCTCTTGGCGCGAACCACGGGACCGTCGCGCTGAGTCACCGCAGAAGGCCGATCCCGGACGCCGATCTGAAGCCGATGCGGGCCTGAGGGCCTGAGAAGGCAGGCACTCCAGTCGCTGACAAGTTGAATTGAAGTAATTAGCGGACGGGGCAATCACGCCATTTGCCTCCATTTCCCCAGCGGGTTTGGCGCTGGAGCTGAGTCCCCGATAATACTTGCCCTCTTGGGATTAGCCTGCTGCCTATCTAACGAGGGGCAGTCAGTCTCGATCCTCTCGTCCTTTTTAACCTTCCCCTCCTCCCCCTCTTCTTCTCTTTTCTTCTTTTCTTCTCTCCATCCTCTCCCCCCCTCCCATTCCTATCTTCTTCTTGATACAGGGGACTCTCATCCGTCTCTTGTTCATCTGTTTCTTCTTTGATTCATCCTCAGTGAATCATTTCGTTTTTTGTTAAACCTCTCTACCGTCCCCTCTTTCCTCTTCACACCAGAATAACCGTCAGGATGGTTCAATCGTACGTGATTTTCATCTCATCTTCCGTCATTGACATCTGTGCATCTCACTAACCTGCTATTTCCAGCTCCGTCTTGGGTTTCCCCCGTATGGGAAAGCTTCGTGACCTCAAGAAGGCCACCGAGGCGTACTGGGGAGACAAGATCTCTCGTGATGAGCTCTTGAGCGAGGGAAAGAGACTCCGTCAGGAGCACTGGAAGATCCAGAAGGATGCTGGCGTCGACATCATCCCCAGCAATGACTTTGCTTTCTACGATCAGGTCCTTGACCACATCCAGCTCTTCGGTGTATGTTTTATCCTCACTATCTCCGACCGGCATTGTAAACGAGCCAGTGTCTGACTAACTTTCTTACCACAGGTCATCCCCGAGAGATACAGCAAGTACAAGCTCCACCCCGTTGACGAGTACTTCGCCATGGGTCGTGGTCTCCAGAAGCCCGCCAAGGATGGTGAGGCCGCTATCGATGTTCCTAGCTTGGTATGTCCGCTTACTCCCCCACCCCCCACTTCTCTCGTCAGATTTTAGCAGTGGAACTCTGACTAACAGAACCCCGCTATAGGAAATGGTCAAGTGGTTTGACTCCAACTACCACTACGTGAAGCCCACTCTCCAGGACAACCAGACCTTCAAGCTGGCCGACCAGCCTAAGCCTGTTGTTCAGTACCTTGAGGCCAAGGAGGCCGGCGTTGTCACTCGCCCCGTCATCCTGGGTCCTGTCTCCTTCCTGACCCTCGCCAAGGCCGACCGTGGCCAGACCATTGACCCCATCGACAAGATCGATGAGCTCGTCTCCGTCTACGTTGACCTGCTTGCCAAGCTCAAGGAGGCTGGCGTTGAGGATGTCCAGGTTGACGAGCCCGTCCTCGTCTTCGACCTGCCCGCCAAGTCCAAGGCCGCTTTCAAGCCCGCCTACGAGAAGCTTGGTGCCCTTGGTGACAAGGCTCCCCGCATTACCCTTGCCACCTACTTCGGTGACATCGTCCACAACATTGATGTCCTCTCTTCCCTCCAGAGCCTCTACGCCATCCACATTGACCTGGTCCGCAACCCTGAGCAGCTTGACGCTGTCGTCGGTGCTCTGGGCCCTAAGCAGGTCCTCTCTGCCGGTGTTGTCGATGGTCGTAACATCTGGAAGACCAACTACAAGGCTGCCATCGAGAAGGTTGAGCTGGCCATCCAGAAGCTGGGCAAGGACCGCGTGATCGTTGCCACCTCCAGCTCCCTCCTCCACGTTCCCCACACCCTCGAGAGCGAGAAGAACCTCGACGCCGAGATCCGTGACTGGTTCAGCTTTGCCGTCGAGAAGACTGCCGAGGTTGTCGTCATTGCTAAGGCCGTCACCGAGGGCCCCGCTGCTGTCCGTGAGCAGCTCGAGGCCAACGCCAAGTCCGTCCAGGCCCGTGCCTCTTCCAAGCGCACCAACGACCCCGCCGTCAAGCAGCGCCAGGCTGCCGTCACCGAGGAGCAGCACAACCGCAAGTCTCCCTTCCCTGTCCGTCACGCTGAGCAGGGCAAGTCCATCAACCTCCCTCTCTTCCCCACCACCACCATCGGATCCTTCCCCCAGACCAAGGAGATCCGTATCCAGCGTAACAAGTTCACCAAGGGTGAGATCACTCCCGAGGAGTACGAGAAGTTCATCGAGAAGGAGATCCAGGAAGTTGTCAAGATCCAGGAGGAGCTTGACCTGGACGTTCTCGTCCACGGTGAGCCCGAGCGTAACGACATGGTCCAGTACTTCGGTGAGCGTCTCACCGGTTACGTCTTCACTACCCACGCCTGGGTCCAGAGTTACGGATCTCGTTGCGTGCGTCCTCCCATCATTGTCGGTGACATCTCTCGTCCCGCCCCTATGACCGTCAAGGAGTCCAAGTACGCCGTGTCGATCTCCAAGAAGCCCATGAAGGGTATGCTTACTGGACCCATCACCTGTCTCCGGTGGTCCTTCCCCCGTGACGATGTCCACCAGTCCGTCCAGGCTCAGCAGCTGGCTCTTGCCCTCCGTGACGAGGTTGTTGACCTCGAGGCTGCCGGTGTCAAGGTCATCCAGGTCGATGAGCCCGCTCTCCGTGAGGGTCTCCCTCTCCGCTCCGGCAAGGAGCGTGAGGACTACCTGTCCTGGGCTGTCCGTGCTTTCCGCCTGGCTACCTCCGGCGTTACCGACGGCACCCAGATCCACTCTCACTTCTGTTACTCTGAGTTCCAGGACTTCTTCCACGCCATCGCTGCCCTGGATGCCGATGTTCTGAGCATTGAGAACAGCAAGTCTGACGCCAAGCTGCTCAAGGTCTTCATTGACGAGGCTTACCCCCGCCACATCGGTCCCGGTGTCTACGACATCCACTCTCCCCGTGTTCCCAGCGAGCAGGAGATCAAGGACCGCATTGAGGAGATGCTTGCCTACCTCCGTGTTGACCAGCTGTGGGTCAACCCTGACTGTGGTCTGAAGACCCGCCAGTGGCCCGAGACCAAGGCTGCTTTGACCAACATGGTCAACGCGGCCAAGTTCTACCGCCAGAAGCATGCCAACTAAATGGTATGCCATGTTTAATACCACCAAATAACCCATGATGGGGGCGACATTCTCAACCTGTCGCCTCAAAGGGGGAGACGTTTTCTATTCGTCTCGTTTTTCTTAATGTGATGAGTTTACGATGATGATACCAAAAGTTCAACATATGGGTTCATGGTTTGCACTAGAGATATCCGGGGGTCAACGGAGTTTTCAACATATTTGACAATTTCAACATTGGCGAGAGCCAAATCAAACCGACATGCCTGTGAACGCTTCGGATTCTCCGTTGCAAGGCGTGGTTTTTAACATTTGGTTTGATTTGTTTTTATAAAATTGGTTTCTCTTTTGCATAAATTGTGAAGGGGAATCCGAGTGTGGGCATGTCGGAGGTTTGAGCTCTTGCTGGTGAATTTTTTCCAATTTCAACAATGTGTATATCACACTTGAGGGTTGTGATACATCCACACCTAGTATTAGTATTACTTCAATGCATACAAGGCAGTATTGCAACCTGGCTATTTCTGCTCGTAGATCTTCTTTCCAGATTACTCTTTCCAGATTATTCTTTCATAAGTACGGCGTAGTAAAGCACAATGACTGGTAGTCTCTCTTTGCAGGTTCACCCGCCCACGCCTGCCAAATTCGCTGGATGCCACGTGCATGTATACTTGACCGACTCATTTAGATATCCATCTAATGTTTTGATTGATTCTACACCTAAGAAAAAGCACCAGAAAGACCCTCACAAGCATTCACAAAACGGCACCACAGCACCCCTCCCAGCAATCTTCTGCGCCCCAAACCGCTCCACATACCATTTCCTGCCCCAACGCGCATGCGGCAACATATTAGCCACCGCATTCACAAAGAACAGCACAGCCGGCAGCGGCAGTCTCAGGCCCATTGTTTCCGCTCCTAGAGCAAACGGCACGATCCATGGTGCTAGAACGATAGGCGAAGATGAAGACGCAGCCGCCGCATTCCCAAGGGCAGAAGATGAAGTAAAGGAAGAAGAAGAAGGGATAGGGAGCACGGCCGTCCCGATGAGAGCAAAACCGAGCCATTCGAGCCATTCGCAGACGTAGTGCGGGTAGAGGATGGAGCGGAAGAGGCCGGTCGGTGGGGGGATGACGTAGACTTTGGAGAATTTGTTGCTGTTGTTGCTGTTGCTGTTGCTGTCGGAGCTGCTGGTTGTTGAGGTGGTGGTGGATTTCGAGGAGGATGACTTCTTCGTCTGACGGGTTTCGGCTCCCTCGCGACGGAGTCGGAAGAGGGTTCGTTCGGCGTAGATGTTGCCTATCATTCCGAGGAGGAAGAGACATAGACCGAGGGATGGGATGAGCAAGGAAGAAGAGGAGGACGAGGAAGGAGCAGAGGATGGCATAGCGGCAGGTTCAGAGGTAGATGTGTACGCCGGAAGAACAATCGGGATCTGATATCCGACAATCCAACCAGCAAGACAAGTAGAATTGAACCAGTTGAACAGGACAGCAGAAAACACGACGAAAGCATGGATAGGGGACATGCTAGGCGCAGCGAAGAACGGAGAGACAATAGCGCGGTTGATATAGTGGAGGACATAGAGCGAGGCAGCCAGCTTGTTAGGCAGCGGGAGGGAAGCGATGTTCAAGCTTGGAGGCAGCGTCCAGAGAATGTAGAGCAGATTGACAGGACCGACGATCTCCATGATGAACCAGCCGAGACGGCCGGGGAAGTTGAGGTACGAGTTCTTCAACGAGGTTTTGCCCGCTGGATGGAAGGCCGTGCACCATTGGATGAGAGAGACCTGGTTAGGTTAGAATTTTGGATGTTTGGGTACAGAGGCTTAGGGGGGGAAACCTACCAGGGGGAAGTATTGGAAGATATTGAGCGAGACCAGATATGCGTCCAGCGTGGGGCGCAGAAAATCTCCCAGAGGAGGCAGGGATTGAATACAAGAAGAAATTGCCGAACCCATGGTTGTTTGCTTGGTGGCTTGTGTCTACTTGCGTGTGAAAAGGGTCAACATGTGATTCTTGCTGGTATCTGGGACGAAAAAGACTAACGAAGTGAGTGAGGAGAAACAATTAAGCAAGCCCTGCCCCAAGATTAGCGAGTCAATGGGTCGATGACAGGACTGGAGAACTCCGGAGAAGGAAAGGAGGTTACGTTGAGGGCAAAAGAGGGTTTATTGAGAGACTTTCTACATCGGGCAATGATGTCACGGGATATATATCACGTGATATCCACTCGCAGATGAGGTCATTCGGTCGTTGCATTGCTGGGGTCTTTCTGGTCTGTGTAAAGGGTCACTGAGGATCGAGGAAGATGGCAGATTCCAACAGATCCAACGAGCAAAGATATAACGGCAAAAGGACACAAATAATAAAAATTCAATTCAACGCCTTATCCAATCCGATCCCATGAAAAAATAAACAGAGAAGAAAATCGGTCATATTCTAAGTCATACCAAGGCCCAGTACGCAGTAAACTTGCCTGATAGATAGCTTATACCACCAGACGCCTGAAGAGGAAAACAAAGCACAGGGTTCTTTAGCCTGTAGATGTGTCCATCGACTCGGGTGCGCCCTGTGCCCTTGCCTTTCTCCGCTCGGCCAGCTTCTCCGACTTGAATGCCTCAATTTTAGTCTTAAGTTCCGTGTCTACAGGTGATTTGAGGTTAGCTGCTGCCAATTCATATCATACATATACGCTGCACAATGACTCACCTGGCGTGACATCCTCCATCTTGAGCGGAACTCTGTTGAAAGGGTCATGGGGATCACTCAATAAGTGAGACCGGATGGTCGAACGATCAATGGATACTCGCGATCCAGGGAGGATGACCGGGTCTTCCATGAGGGTATACATGAGAGGATCTGGAGAGAAAGTCAGTCAATTCGTCGATAGACCCTGAGCGAGGAAGGGAGACGGTCATACCCAAAAATTCATCAGGAACTTCTCCAAGATCCTCTTCTGCTTGGTCGTCGGCCGCTTTGGCCTCTTTGACCATAACCAGCAGTTTGTCCCACCGTTTGAGTTCCTCAGGGGATTTGAGGGACCATTTGCGCAAGATTTCCACAGCCTTTTCGAAGTTCGCCGGCTTGTAAGACCGTCCATCCCGAGCCACGGCGACAATGAAACTCTCTTTGCTCATCAGGTTCAGGTACACGTCAACGATCTCGCTTAGCAATGCTCGCGGGTTGAATCCATAATCTTGGAGGTTCTCCACACGCAAACTGGAACTCTTGGGGCCCACCATGGCGTCGAGGTTGTAGTCCAGCATGTCTGCCAATCTCTGGACGATTTCAGGCATCGTGAACGACTCCGCCAGCGCGTCGGTGAAGAGCTTCAGCATAGAAACCGTCTCGTTGGTTAATTGCATGTAGGACTTCGCATTCCGCTGAGCAGAGGCCAGATGTTCCTCTTTTTGCTGACGCGCGGTAGGATCCATGGACGCTCCTTCAAGGCGCAGCTCCGTCTGGGTTTTGTGGATGGTAATGAACGCACCGAACGACTCGTCGAGCACGAACGTCACATCGTTCAAAAGCAAGTTCACAAAGCGAACGAAGAAGTCGAGATTCTTCTTGGACTGGTTGTACAGCTTGCTCCGATACAGGGTGTTGGGCCAGATGCATTTGATGATCTGGAAGATCTCGTATCGGATGTTGAACTTGTCGAAGAACTGCGTGTGAGTGCCGGTGTGCTCGGCCTCGATGTAGAACTTCATCAGGCAATGGAGCAGATTATCATTGGCAAATGGCATGGAGTTGAGGAGGTCCACCAAGACACCACGGGCGCCACCAGGGCGCGGCCACGTGCCTCGGAAAAGAATCGAAACGAGACCTGCTTTGAGGTAGGGGTTTTTAATGTAACCAGAACTTTCCAAGAAGGTAATGCAAAGCATAACCAGCTCATCTCCCTGGGTAGCGGTGATGATCTGAGGCATGCACCACATGATGAACTTGAAGTTGCTGACAACGTCCTCGACAAAGTATTCCGGCAAGCACTTGAAGACTTCTGGTTGCTGCTCGGGAAGAGGTAGCTTGATGTCCTCCTTGGGGAAGTTTCGACCCGATACAAGACGAAGCAGCCAAACAATGACATAGCGCATGAACAACATAGAGCGGGCCTGCCACTGATTGTCGAACAAGACACCCTGTAGACTGTACTTCAAGGCAAGGCCGAGGTCCAACTTGTCCTTGTATTTCTTCAAAGCATTTTCAAATACCCGAAGCTGCATCGGGTTGTTGATCCATTTATGCCGTTCCGCCTCGAACTTGGTGATAGTAGATTCCATGTGACGAAGGTCTTTCTCCAATTGATCCAACTTCGACGTCAAGGATTCACTGCCATAGTGATGAGCAGCAACGGTCAAGAAGAAGACCTCGGTGATAAAGTTTGAGGTGCCTTCGGCGGTTTTGGAATAGAACGCATCCGAAGCGTGCTGGTCAGCATTGATCTTGGTTTCGTCCCTCAGGTCAACCCGAGGGTTTCGGTGCAGGTAGTTTGCATCAATGCGGTCAATCTATAGACAAGAATCAGCTCGCAGTCTTTTGGCCTTCATCAAGGACTTCAATGCACCAACCTTGGTGAAACTCGCGTCCATGAAAGGCTCACAGAGCTGATCCAAGCACGTCGTAAGGTTGAACATAAACCCATCTGACGACACTGCATTAGGGTCTACCTGCATAGCCCGTCGCTTGTGGTTGATGTTCAAAGCCGCAGCGAACCAGTCCAGAATTCTGTCTCTGGCATCCTTCGACGCCCGGACCAAGTGGTTGATAATGTCCAGAAGGTCCGAGCTAAGGATCTGCTGCATCATCCGCAGAGACCGTTGCGCATTGAGAATATAGGCCTGGTCTCTTGTCTTGGGGCTTGAGAAATACTGCATGGTCACATCGCCCTGCAGAGGCGATAGACGGAACCATGGCCCGATCAAGGTCTCCTTCTCAAACAGGGCAGGATCGCGGGACGCGTTGAAGATGGAGGATTCGGTGATGGCAGATCCTATGACGGCGTGACGCACCAGGTTGCGCAGAGCCTATCAAGGATGTTGGTGAGTAATCCAGGGACAGACAGGAGGGTTTCCAAACGTACTGTCATGTAGGGCTTGTAGTCATCATTGATGTTCAGGGCGGCCAGCTCTCGGCTCATTTCCTCGACAGCGGCTATAAACGCCGGCTTGATATTCTCATCCTCGTCGAATCTCTTCACAGCCTCGCTAATGAATTCGAAGTCCACGCCCCTCTCGTCCTCGGGGTCCAAGAGAAGATAAGGTTTTAACGTCGACCGGCCCGACGGGTCGATCCTAGAAAGAAGCAACCCTTATTAGTTGGGGCTATATCTTGAGTGAGAACATGAAGAACAGCAGTGACGAACCCAAACATCTCCGGCATCGTGATCGCAAACATGCAGTAGCTCAAGCAGAGTCGACGAGCCTCGCATAGAACCAGGAACTTCGGGTCGTCATCCCGAGCACGGCGGAACCCTTTGTGAAGCCTGGATATCCTCTTCCAGCACGGAAGCAGATAGTGCAACGGTTTCTGCTGAGGAGCGTTGGACGCAGCCTCGAGCAGGGCCTGGTCCAGAACCGACGCGTCGATGCGAAGCTCCCGCCCTTCATCTTGCAGTTCGCTCCGCAGTCCCGGCAAAAAGTTCAATCTCTGTCCATGGATATCCCGCTGTCGCTCCTCGTTCAGGGTCAGCTTGAAGATCGCGCTCAGGGTGCGGTCCTCGAAGGTCTCGATGGTCTCTTCGGCCCTGGGAGTCACCGGCGTGGCAGGCCGTGATCGCTCGGCGGCGGCTGTTGTGGACGCCGGTGTGATTTTTATCCGCTTCCCTTCTGACTGTTGTGAATCCGGGCGAGGCGAAGGCGCAGGGGAACTGGCGGCACTTCCGACATTAGACCGCGTTCTCGAAGCTTCCCGAGATGGAACAGTCTGTGAAGGCGTGGGTGGTTGGCTGGATGCCGAGTCTGCAGCGCCTTCGACCGGTGATGGTGGAGACGGATTCCCCAACTTTGCGAGGCGCTTGTTACGGATCTAGTATGGTCAGAGTATTTTAGAATATGATCTCAAATAGAAAAATATAGTATACGCCTTATGAGGGGATATAATCGGGATGATCGAACCTTGTCCGCCTCAGAGAGACCGTCAGACATCTCCGATGAGGATTATGATGGTACTTGCACTTTAGCGGGGCTGGCTAGAGTGCGGAGTCTCAACAACGTAGATTCAAATCCTGGGTGGCATGAAAGACATGGGCCGGTATGGTGGGGCTGAGGGAAAGCAGCGATGCCTGTTTATCACCGCAGCCAGCGAGAAGAGGAGAGGAGAGGATCGAGAGAAGGAATGGCCCAGGTCGACGCTGGTTAGATGAACTCGCCGGAGATTCTGTACAGGTCGCTGGGTTTCGCCGGCATTAACTAAGCTGGCCCCTTGACCGCCTTTGCTTATCTCACCTTTCTTTCGCAGTGTCTTTGTTGAATTGGATGGATTGGATTGATTCTTTCTCATATACAAAGCAGTTCACTCATTTCATATCCCACACAATGTTCGTTCTCGACTGGCAAGCTTCATCTCAGCCCGGAAAACGCCGTCACAAAAATGTAAAACGAAAGATACTCCCCTGGCATCACTTGATCATCTAGGAGATGCCAGACCCAAGGAGATAGGAAAAAGATAAAATAATGCAATAAAACGAAACGATAGGGGAAACACAATTAGGTATGAAAGGGACAAGAAAAAGAGGCATGGCTAGATAAGAATGCGCAGGTCATATATACTGAAGGCCGCTTTAATACCTCCCTTTCAGGTTGTCTAACCGCCGACAACTCTTCAGCTCCATGGCTCTCGCCTCCTTCATCTTTTCTACGTCGGGGAAAAACCAGCCCTGGGCTTCCTGGATCATTCGTTCCCGGGCGTGTACTTCGCTCTCGCATTCGTATCGAAGCTTGGAGACGTAGTCCACCTCCACTCGTTGGTCTAACTGGCGGAATTTCCGGGCGCTGTAGTCTTCCACGTCGCCGGGGTTGACAAAGTAGTTGAGGTTCAATTTGGGAGTCGTCCGTTGCATCGTATGCGGAGGCACCGCAGTATCGAATCTATACGTAGGGCCGGAGGGAGAAGAGGAGCCAGAGAAAAGCGAAGAAAGCAGAGGAAGGACGAAGAGGAGGATGAGAGGCAAGAGTTGCTGGAACGCCGCCCAGCCCGACGGAGCTGGTTCGGATTGCGCATTGGCTTCACGAGGTCGTCTCCGCGGCCGGGCGCCTCCAAACTGATGGACTCGGAACCCAGGGCCTCCTCCCATGTTGAAGACAAACTGCGGACCACCTGTAGTATTGTTGCAAGCACGGTCAGCAAAGACTTCCCGGAACGCACGTCGTCGCGCATATCTCGATTCGACAGGGGATACACATACCGAACGGGCTGAACCCACCCCCAAAGCCCCCGTTGAAGAACCGATTGAACAGCTCCTCCGGCGATATCTCCTCCTCGAAGCCCGGGCCACCTCCAGACCGCGGGAAGCCACCGCCGCTGAAGCCACCGAAAGGCGAGCCTCCCGAGGGACCAGCGCTGGGCGTGAATCTGCTATCGGGGTCTCCTCCAAACTTATCGTACTTTGACTTTTTGTCGGGATCCGAGAGAACCTGGAAAGCCCGCGATACCACTATGATCCATCGACATCAGTAACATGGTTCATTATCCTCTCTCTCGCTTTCTCTCTTCCCGTCTTTCTCTCTCGTCCATCAACCATAGACTCACACTTAAATGCCTCATCCGCCCCATCATAACCATTCTTATCCGGATGCGTCAACAGACTGAGTTTCCGATACGCCTTCTTAATCTCGCCATCCGAAGCGGATTTCTCCAACGATAGGATCTCGTAAAACGCCGTCGTCGAGCACTTGCGGATTCTGAGCACGGCGGCCTTCTGTTCGGGCGTGTATTTCCGATCCTGGTTCCCTTGGTTATGCTCGCGGGATTTCGCAGAGCCCCCAGTGTCGGCCCCAGATGCAGTGGCGGACGGCATGGCGAATAGACCTAGACGGTGTGTGGTGCGTGGTTCTTTGCCTCAATATGACTCCGGCCTTGTTTACCCTCCTAACGAAAGAGACGTGTGAGGGGGGACGGACGTTCCTCAGGGCCGCCGAATCGAAAGATAGGAAGGCGGTCGCTGGTAGAAAAGCGGACAAGTTCGTTGCACGGTTTGCCGCAAGTCGAACGCCGACGGCGAAATATGACGGTAGCCAGGTAGGAAAAAAGCGAACGCACAGGTGCGGCGATCGGCGAGTAGGGCTGCCGGTATCGAGGACGTTGGTTGGGTCTAGAACCGGGGGCAGGGACGGTGGTTTACACCTATTGAGATCCAACGTGGTGTCTTTCGGAAGTTGAGATGTCGACGCTAAGCGGAGAGTTGGCGTTAGTCAGGAAAAACGGCCGCTTGCCAATCCTCCTCCGGCTGCAGCTACTTTGTACTGTAGTAGTATGCGGTCGCACTCTTCTTAATCGCCTTTTTCTTTCTTGCTATTAGTACAAAGACACCAATTGCAGAAGCAATCATGACCGGCTCAGAGTCTACCGTGGAAGAAACAAAGACCACTCTCCTGCAGAAGGCCAGAGCGTGGGGAGGTGAGTACCTAACTACCTAGTTAGCTCGTCCTGCGCAGCTCTATTGAGCTTCATCTACAACTCACACCCCCAAGCAATTATTCAAGCTAGCTAGCTAACCTCTTCTGACTTACTTTTTCACAGAGAACCCGTTCCCTCCGACCCTGCTGGCATCGCTCATCACCGCCCAGCATGCCCGTCCGCTACAGCCGCTGCCTCTGCTGTTCGCTCCCATCCTGCTGACCACGAGCTATGCGAACATCTTGGGATACAAGACCGACACCGCCGGAATCAGCGCCGCCTGGTCGGGTCTTTACCTGCTTCTCGCCGGTCGGCGACGACAGCCGTTTATGAAGAAATGGGGCGCTCGTGGAATCGTTCGCGGCACGACGATGGGTCTGTGTTTCGCCAATCTTGTCGGTGGTGGACTGGCCTATATGCTCGGCAAGAGGGAAGATGAGGAGGAATAGAAGGGGGGAAAAATTCGATCAAGTTGCTTTTCAAAATGGGAGAGAACTGTAACGATCTTGAGGTATGAGGTCATACTACACTACTACGACTTTCTTAATTTTTGAACGTGGAGTCGGCGTCGTCGCGCATGGTGTTTCGGTTGTATCATTATATATACGGGGCCTTGACTCCGTCGAATCGTTTCAGATCCAGACAGAGGGTTCATATGTACATTACAGGATCATAAACGAAGGGGAACACACAATTGTGCGTCTAATGCCGTAGGATGTTGCGCAGCGCGCGACAACAGTTCCCTACTTTACCAATGCATGTCGAGGACGTAGGTGATTCGTAGACATCGTTCGTAACATCATCATCACCCCTTATACGGCTCCATTGCGAGAATAAAGTCGCGAACCTCGGGCGGAACCAGCCAGTCCAGATCCTGCGGATTGTTGGACTCCACGGCCTCGCGAGCCTTGGTCGAACTCACCGAACGCTCCTCCGGCTTCTTGCCTTCTACCAGGTGGATGCGGTCGGCCCATTCACGCTTCCCGCCCTCCTGCTCGCGACCGCCCTGGGCCAGCGTGCGAAGGTAGGCCTCCTGCTCCTCGCGACTCCCCCAGTCGCTATCCGGGCGCAAGGTCACGCGCAGGCGATGCTGCGAGAGGAACGGTCCCAGAGGTTGCAGCGTATGCGTGGGCGGATAGTACTTGGGGTTGAAGATGCGGATCAGCGTGTCGAAGCCCGTCAGATGGATCTGCTCGAGCGACGCGGGGTAGACGCCCGCCGCGTCAATGTCGGCCGCTTTGTCGACGAAGTACGGCTTCTTGGTGACCCCGATGTCGACGTCGGGGAGAGACTGCCGGTCCGGGGCCGGTAGGAGGCTCTCCGTGTAAGAGATGAGATACCGAGCAAACAGCTCCATCATCGCCAGACGGTCCTCGAACCCGGCCGGTTTTGATGGCTTGTCCGCATTCTGCGTGGCCAGCAGCAGTAAGAGCCGAGACGGGCGGTCGGGATTCTCTAGTAAAGCGGAGCTGGCGATGCGGCGATGGGCCAGGGTCGGGGGGTTAAAAGAGGAATCCAGCACGTACAGCACCTGCGGGGGAGAAGAGTGGGATCGCTCGGGGGAGAGTGAGACAGAGCCCAGAACCTCGAAGTTGCGGGTCGATTGGATAAATTGTTTCAACGCAGTCCCGTACTTGGCCCGGAGGCTCTGGAACGAGGCGGTGGACATGATGAAAGGGGGAGAGTTTCAGGAACGAAGTGAGAAGATGCGATGCGATGCGATGTCTTCACTCTTCGGTGGGTTCGATGGTTTCGTTCTCATGTGACTCGGCCTTGCCCCAATTCTCCTCTGTAGACTTCGGATTCTCAGGAACCTCGTCCCTAGCTCTACACTGTAGCATCAGCTTCACCCCTCTGCCGTAAGATTTAGGTTGTCTGGATGAGGTCATTCTCCGAGGGAAAACCGTGGTCAGCACCGGTGGAGCGCAAAAGGGCACCAAGGATGAAATGTCGACGGCAGGCTGCAGGGTCAATACGAGAGATCATCGGTCATCACGATATCTGCACCTCTCGTCACTTATCAGTTATCTACAGGTCAATTGCTGTCGTGGATACATGGGAGATTTGGCAAAAGGTCCAGATCCATCTAGACGTTTAGACGGTGGTCAGTGAGTCACCAAGACAGCTGCATATGGTTGAATTAATATACGGATATCAAGATCAACTTCGGCTGGGCCGTCTGGATGGTCGCGGAAGAAATCGTCAATCATGAAAGGGCAATAATCGCCATTCATCATTCATGAAATCTGAAACCGATTAACGGCAAGCGATCCACTCGAGTGCCGCGTTACCGCAGTCCACTTCTCCCTCCAAAGTCTTGACTCTGGACTCTTCCCGATCCCATCAACTCGGTTACGGTGTTTATCTCGCTAGTCTCTCCCAGGGACTCCGTAATCTCGTAGATGTTGAGCATGGTAATTTCGGCTCTTGAGGGAGAGTGGGAGCGGCTTGCGAAGTCGGGGGCTGTACAATGTAGAGAACCACCGAACCTTCATCTGCCTGAAACACTGGCTGCCGCTTTTGAGAGATTTTTGTTTCCGAGAATCAGGAAGGTCGCGATGGTAGCGAGGGTCCTCCGGGGTCTAGGGTCTTCCAGAAATGCAGGAGCTAGATACGGGGTTGGATATGCATCAGATATGAGATGATATATCTGAGTCTGACTCTGACATCAATCAGGAGCCCCCCTGTCCAAGAAGATGAGATGAGAGGGATCTCTCGAGGCAGCGGCCGAGTTGTCTAGACTGTACACCGTAGGACCGAGGCTCCACTTCTTCGAGTCGGGATCATCGTGGCCCGTTAGGATTTCCACGATGGATCGGCATCTGTCAATGCGTTCGGTAGCATTCCATCGGAGAGAAAGAAAGGAATGTCAATGGCAGTTTAGAATTCACACCGTAAGGCTTTTTGCTTTTTTTTTTTTCTTTTGTCTTCTTTTCTTTTCTTGACCTTTTTAATTTTCGCCTCTGCGTTGTCAAGGTGCCCAGAGCCCAAGAGGAGATGTTTCTCGCTTAAGGCATGACTCGAGACTAAGGAAAAGTTTGACCTCCATCGCTTCAGGCCGAACTGGGCTCGGGTCGAGTGGCAATGGATAGCGCCAGCGAGGTGAAAGTGTCTGCCTGTCTACCTGTGCGTTTTTCCTCCGGGATGGAGTCACTCCCACTAGGAGGAGTCTTTTTCTCTGATCGCAGAACCCAAGGTACTCCGTCGAGCTCTGCCGTTCTCCTGAAAATTAATATATCATCGAGAGTGAAGTCCAGGATGCCGGATCCACTCGACCGACCAGCTCAACCTCCCAAGGCTGTCATTTCCGCCGTGGCACAAAGGAAAATCGATAGCGTCGGGCAATAAATCAATAATGCCACTTAACGCGGTCAATTCCAAGGATTGTAAATGTACCGTACTTTGTCCTACAGCGTAGTCTGGTACGAAGGAGTTACTTGCTAAGGAACGATAGATTAATTAATTAAAGTTGACCATTTGTTGAACTTATGATGCCACCGTCCCCTGGCACTAGCGCACCTTCTTCGTGGCACTTTATTTGCATTTTGCCCCTCAGCACAGTTGGAGTTGGTCTTTCCTTTGGTATTCCGGAGTCGCCGTTCCAACATCCAAGAGGATTCCCAAACTGCGGCCCCAAACATGGAGGATCGAAGGGAGTTGGGGGAGGGATTTCATGATGGAAACTACAAGGAAAAGGAACCAAAACAAAACAAAACAAAACGATCGCAAGGGGAGGAAGCAGAAATTAAAGGCGAGACAAAGGAGAAAGTCCAAAGGTGCAAGGCAGCCGAACCGTGCGGGTGGAAAAACAACAGAAAAGAGTCAAAGAGGCACGCGGCGAGATTAAGTCGGCCCCGCGTGGGCCAATCAGTGGCGAGTTCTGCGGGGGGGTGAAACGGGAGGGTGTCTGGTTGGCCACTCAGAGCGTCGTGCCTGGACCCACTTGTGATGCAACTTCGAAGTATCATTTATTTATTTATTTTATTTCTATTATTTATTTGTTTTATTTCTCTTATTTATTTGTTCTATTTCTTTTACTTGATTTACTCTTTGAGACTCTTACAGTCACCTGGAATATGGCAAAGAAACGGTAGTAAATAGTGAAGAGTGAATACTTGGTAGACTTGAAAACTCCTGAATGGCGGTGATGCCATGCGGGTTAATCTCCCACACGGTCCAGGCCCAAAGCCAGTCGGGACTTTTTTTTTATTGTTTTTCTCTTTTACTGTTACTCCATATGTAGAATTAATTAAGCTAATCAAACCCTCGTCAAACGCGGCCGTCTGATTCGGTCTCCTTTCCTGCCGGGGTTCCTGTCTAATTTACCTGCCCGTGGATCCCCGACTACTTTTACTACTTCTCTGCCCTTCCCTCTTCTTTCTTTTTCTTCCTCTTCTTCTTCTTCCCTCCCATCGTTCTCCTCGGCTTCAGAGTTCGTTCTGCCTCCACGCTCTTTCTGGTGTTCATTCACTGTCGCTCTTTAAGCTTGTTTTTGTGTTTCGTGCGGATTGATTTCGTATCACACTCTCTTTGCAGTCCCCCCAGGCAGACTCTTTCTCTCCAGTCTATACTTCCTTTCTAGGCATTGATTGTCGTCATCATGCACTTCACCGCGAAGATCTCCGTCGCCCTGCTGGCTGCTCTGGCTGCCGGCTCCGAGGCCAACAGCCATGTGCGTCGCAACCTGCACCACCGTGCTTTGAACCAGCCCGGCTCCGTCTCGGCCGTGACCGTCTTCCCGACTCCCCCGGCTGCTGCTCCCACCGAGTCCGCCCCGGAGCAGCCCCCCGTGGCTGAGACCTCCAGCGCCCCCGCTGTCGAGACTCCCTCCGCTGTCGAGACCGCCGTCTCGCAGTCGACCGCCGTTGCTGCCGAGACGTCCGTGGCTGCCGAGACGTCCGCCGCCGCTGTGACCTCGTCCGCCGCTATTCCCCCTCCCCCTCCCGCGGTGCCCACCTCGTCCGCCGTTGCCATCCCCGGCACTTCCACCGCGGTCATCTCTTCTGCTTCCTCGAGCTCCGCCAGCTCCTCCCACATCGTGGTGCCTTACCCTTCGTCCTCGAAGGTTCCCTCCGGCGCTGATGGCCAGGGCTCTTCCTCCATCACCGCTGCTCCCATCCCTCTGAGCACCGGCTCCACCGGCTCCGGCGCCAGCGACATCTTCTCCGGATCTGAGGATGTGACTCTGACCTACACCCTGGGCACTGGCGTCTCCAAGTCCATTGTCACCACCACCATCCACAAGACCGCTACCAACTGGAACACCGTTTACGCCGTAAGTTGATCTGCCTTCAAGTCAGTCGAACGATTACCTTTGCTAACCTTTGCGTCTCTAGACCGCTAGCGCTGGTTCTTCTGGCTCTGGCTCCGGCTCCGGCTCCGACAATGGATCTAGCAACGGATCTGGCAACGGCTCTGGAAGCGGCTCCGGCAGCGGCTCCGAGGAGGTCACCACTCTCTCCTCCACTTCTACTTCGACCGTCACCGTTATTGCTGTTCCCTCTTCGACCGGTTCTCTCGGCCAGGAGCACAACAGCGAGAGCGGCCAGAACGGCAGTGGCAGCGGCAATGGCAATGGCAGCGGCTCGAACGGACAGTGCAGCCCTGCTACCGTTACCGTTACCGCCACTGACACCGTCACTGTGGTAAGTCTTCTACCGTTGAATCCCGAGATTGACGTTGGCCAATACTAACATGTTTGCTAGACTGCCGCCCCCGCTGCCACCAACAAGCCCGGTGAGAACCTCATCATCGATGAGGACACCACCTCCGCCGAGAAGCCCTCGAAGACTGGCAAGCCTGGCCACGGTGCCGGTGAGGAGGCCACTGCCACTGGCATCCCCGCCCCTACTGGACCCCCCTACGGCAACGGCAGCCACCCCATCCACACCCCCAGCAGCAGCGCTATCCCTACTCCCAGCAGCAGCGCCGTCCCCACGCCCTCCGGCTTCCTGACGAGCAGCAAGGCGGCCTTCCCCACCGGCTTCCGCCGCCGTCACCTCTAAATCAGTCAAAACATACGACTGGGGGGGCCGTCTGTAATTAAGTTTCCTTGTGTTTCTTCTCCGCGGCGACATGCGCGCAGGCAGTGTATCTACGAGAGGGATATATTCCTGAGTTTTTCTTAACATTCTGGTACAAACTTCGTTTTTTTTCACCTCGAAAGAACCCTTTTCTTTCGATCCAAATCTTTAGACTTCTGCTTCTTCTGAACCGGTTTCGGTCTTCGGATCGGTGGTTGCTCTTTTTTCACTTCTTCGGCTTGGAAACCAAGCAATTCGAGCTTCTTGCTCTTTTTAGCAAACGAAGCTCCCTTTTCTTCTTTGACCTTGCTTATCTTCGTTTGACTTTTCTTATCCGCTCGTGCCTCGGAGAAGAGACCTGTCTTTGGAACCTTGGTATATCAGATGGACGGCTGGGAACGACCGACATGATGTGCTATGTTTCTTGCCAATGTTCCGATGTTAGGGGTTTGGACGAAGCGAAGTGCGGTCTGATCTGTCCTTTCGGTGCCAAAATTATGATGATCACATAGATGATATGAAAACGAATCTATTCTAAACTTTTCAGTCTTTCTTGCTAAATAGTTGTCGGTCTAAAACCCGTAGTCCTTGTAAACCCGTGTGAGAAAAACAGTAATAATAGAATTAGGCCCAGAGAGTTGTCCATGCTTGGGGTGCCTAAGGTGCAATCTGCCAAGCCATTTCACCTGTGCTCTCCAACTGGAGGACCTCTTCCTCAACAACCATCTTCATCATCTATCCTGTTGATCAAGTTGAATTCATCTATTGGATTCATGACCACAAAAGGTCTTTCATGCATCGATTCCACTCACAAAAGACACGAGGAGTATCATACAGTATAGTTATCTACACACAAAAGCTAATATACATCCACCCAAGGTTATTGACCATCCATCTCCCACGGTTACACCAACTACTCTTTCTTCCTAGACTTCCCATCGTTGAGCGCCAACGTACTCTCTCCCTCGCGCGCCACACGATCCCTCATCCTCATCCAATCCAGCCAAGTGACCCCCTGGACAAGCGAGTCCGCCAGATCATCCAATTTCGGAACCTCGCGCAATACCTCGTCCTCGTGCAGCGTCTTCTTATTCAGGGCCTTGCGTTTCGGAGATCGTCGACGAGAGGAGGTGCCCTTGTCGAGACCTGCCCATTTGTTCAGATATGCGTCGATCCAGCGGTGTAGGAGGTCGTTTGGGGCGATTCCTAGCTTGGGTTGGGGGGTGAAGATGGTGGGTTTGTCGGCGGTGGAGGATGCATGGGATTCCGAGTGATGGGATGGATGAGTAGAGGCCAACCATAAGCCCGCTAGGTCGATTTTCATGATCTTCGTTTGTCGATTGTTTAGTTTTGGTGTTTTCGTTTTCTCTGGAAGAGGGAGGGTTTCTGGCGTCTTCTCCTCTTTCTCTTTGCCCTTCTCCCCTTTCCGCTTTCGCTTCTCGTTCTCTTTCTCATCTGTACTCTCCGTTCCCTTTCCATCTTCTATACCAGCCACCCCCTCTTCTCCCCCGTTGGCGACACCTTCAATCCGATACCCCTGTACGCCCTCCTCACTCTTCTGCGCCAAAAACCGTGCCACCCGCTGCGGTTCCACCGGCAGCACCACCGGCGCCATCATCCCGGGTCGTTCCCTTGCCAGCGTCAGGAAAATCGAATAGAGCATGCCCTCGAAGACGCCGACGCGGAGCGTCGACTCGAGAACCGACGAGCCATTTTGGCTGCGGGTGCGCTGGCGCTCGATGAGCACGTGTGTCGGCTTGTAGGCGTCCAGGAGCGCCGTGACGATGGTATATGCGCGGGGTGCGAGTGCGAGGGGGTAGAATTCCTCGTCTTCGATGGGTGTGGGAATATCAATGTTGCTGCTGCTTTCATCGGTAGCTTCTTCGTCTTTTCTGGCCGCATGATCCACGAGACTCGAAGAGGAGATGTCCACGAGGCTGCTGGGCAGTGACTTGTTGGTATCCTTCATCTTCTTTCCCTTCTTCATCTCTGCCGTGCCTGTTGATGTCGTCGCCACATCCGACAAAGACGCAAAGTCACTCGGAAGCCGCGATACGTCAATCCGACGCCATGCATTCAATATAGGAAGCGGATATTCTGCCTCTACCTCCGTACCCTTCTTCTCCATCTCCATCTCCTGCTTCTGCATCTGCTTCGAACCCCGTCTACCCTGCTGCCTATAATCCATTTCCACCGCGGGCACAACAAGATGCGCATACGCCAAATTCCTAATCCCCATATCAAGACTCAAGATACTCAATCCTCGACGAAAGTCCACATCCATCGTAGACCGGGTCTTCAGACCGGATCCCCAAGACCCCAACCCATCAACAACGCTATCATCCTTATCACTACCCTTAGAACCAACACAACCCTGGTCCGCGACTCGGATTGAGGCACACCGATCCCATCTCCTCAACTCACGATCCAATCTCTCGCACAGAGCCGGTTTTGGACCCGCGGACCGGATGCCAGTTGCTTGGGCGAGATCGGTCAATTGGGTCACTTTCAGGGTCTTGAGCCACGAGTATCTGTATTTGTAGTTTTGGGGTGATTTAGATGGGGATTGCAACTCCGCGAGTAGATGTCGGGAGAGGCGCATAATAAATATGTAGAGAAAGAGAGAGGGGGTTGAAGTGAGTGGATGGGCGGTATCGCGAATTACATACACCGTACATATAGAAGGGGCCGGATTCTGCCTGCTGCTAATTGACCGCCTATCGGATTGGGGATCATAGGTATAGCTACAAGTATCAAGAGATAGATCAGAATGTATACTGGTGAACTCATAGCTAGATCGACTAGGACCTTGAGGCAATGTCTTCATTCTTCAACAATTCAAACGATGATATTACTTCTACTCCGTACATTCTTCCTTCACACCGGCGCTGGCATCGGGTGACCCCATGTGTACACATAAACATCCCTAGTCTATTGGAACTCAATGCTTCAAAATCTGGAATGCCCCGAAGCCCAAACCCGTGAAATGTATGCCCTTCCAAAATCTGGACGCCAATACCTAATGCATAACCAAAAGAAAGAAAAGCGCGCTAAACTGCAAGTCATGATCTCAAAAAGCACAGACAAATGTGTATCCTAACTCCGGTCCACTCCACTCAATGATCCAATGTAAGTAAGAGGGGGAGAAAACAAATTTGAGGCGGGCGACGAAGAGAAAGTAAGAAAAAGAAAATGAGACGGAGCAAGAAAATATGAGAGTTTATCCGATTATCGCGTCGATGACCGCGCCACGTCAGTCATCATTATCGACACAGGACGGGTCGCCACGTCACTCGGGGACACGCTCTCGCGCACGTAGAGAATCGGCGCCCACACTTTCCAGTGAAGGACGCCCATGTGTGCTAGGCGCATGGATATGCGCTCCACGTCGTAGTAGTGCTGTTGCGATACAGGCGACGGGGGGTGGTTTCGCTGGGACTCGCAGATCGCCAGCGGTGACATATTCAGGTACTTCTTGGCCGATGCAAACGTGGCGGCCAACAGCTTTTCTTGCAGGGAGTTTTGAAAGAACTGGAACACCTCGCGCTCGTTTGACAGGTGCCACACCAACGGCCGCTCGATAGTGGCAATCAGCTCGTCCGAGACCATGGCGTCCGAGGAGCATGCCGCACAGGCAAACCGCGCGATTTCCAGCGCGACACAGCGGATGTTTTTCGTCCACTGCGGTGATCCTCGGAAGCAGTCCTCATTCTCCTCCATCAGCGACCCGATGCGCGAGCGAAACGTGGCGTAGGTCTGTTCAGGTGCGGAAAGGTAGCGCTTTTGCATGAAGATGTACGATTGGAAGATGAACCAACAAATGTCGAGGTTGATGAGGTTCTGCAGACATGCGCGCAGCTGCCACAAGCGGTCCGAGTCAAAGATGAAGGTTTCAGGGAATCCCTCGGGGGTTTGGAACTGCAGCAGAGATTCGGCCACGCCTCGAAATAGTAACGAGATGGGCCAAAATCCGTCGGTCTGGACTGGTTTCTCCATGCGCCGGAGTTCTCGGTCACGAAGGTTAAGATACCAGAGTCGGGAAGATTCGACGCGGAAGTTGTCCCTTTCGATTTTGCCTCGGAAATAATCTTGCAGAAAAGGAATCGTATCTTCAATGAGAAGTACCCTGAATGCGCGGATTTGGTGGTTCGCAACGTCCTATATTTATTATCATTAGTCTTCCTTCTGTTTCCCAATCCCTCTACCTCTCCTGGCGAGCAATGACGTCGGGTAACAAATACAGCCTTACCAATTTCATGGCCTCCAGGATGGCAAACAGCGTCTGGAGACCGCTGACCACTTCGGTGGAATTCTGCGATCGCGACCCCGAGCTGATCTGCTCGACCATCGTGTCGGCCCATTCATCGCGCATAGGGGCGCAATGGGTTTTGAGCAGGGCCGCCAGCCATCTGGCCACTCCGACCATGTCCAGAACGCCCTTTTGTATTTGCTGCATCAGCAGTGCCACCTCAAGGTTTTGCATCACGCTCGGGTGATCGCGCTCCGGAACGAGGGTCTTCAAGACTTCCTGCAACGTCTCGAACATGGCGGGTAGCCGGGGCTCGAATGACTCTCGCCGATCGACCGGGACATCTCGACTCGTGTTGTCCTCACCGTGCGCGGCGTAATATCCGTAGACGGTGATCTCGACCGCCATAGCCTCCCAGTAGTCTGTCGCCTCCTTCCGCTTGCGTCGTCCCTTTTCCCCATCCAGGTCGGGCTTGAAATGCAGATCGCGATCGAAGTTGGCGTCCATGCGGAGGTTGATGTTGCTCATGATGCAGGGTAGGTCGAGCTCGCTCAGCGTGCTTTTAGTGACGGGAGGGTGTCTCTTCGCCGTAACCAACAGCCTTTGTTCCTTGGCACCGACATTCAAAGCTTCGGGGATCTTCATCATGGTTCTAGACGGCTGGATAGGGAGTCTGGCCGTCATAGGTAGTGGCGCCGACTCGTTCGAGCATGCGTCATGGTCGTAGGGCAGTTCCGCGGGTCGGCGACGTTGACTTCCACTTGCCTGTACGCCGGAGTTACTGGCATCACGATGATCGAGCGAATCGTTCTTTGGCGAGTCCTTGGAGTGACCACCTGCCCCATATGTCTCCAGGGGACAATCTGTACCTTCCTCTTGTTTCCCAGGCGTATCCCGCCGAGCCTCTTTCGTCTTCTGAAGGTCCATCTCCATCCGTTCCGCTGCAGATAGAATTAAAGACCCCGGAGCGGTTGCACGCTCACACTAAGAGGGGAAATTAGGGGATAGCAGGTGGGAAAGACAAACGGGGGAGAGAGGGAAGGTGTTGGTGGTTGGAGACGAACGGGTGACCACGACAACGACAACGACAATTCAGGACAATGAAAATTGCAGCGTTAGATCGTAAAGGCCACGGGCATTTCTTGTTGAAGGGAAGCAAGGCACCGCAGCCCTACACCAGTCGCCCTTCACATCTGTTAGTCCTTGCCGGGAGTCGAGGGGCAACCAGGCGAGGGAGAAAAGAATAGTTCTCACCTGATATTGGACAAACGGCGTCGATCGGCAATGTCGATCCTGGACGGGCAATAGTTCCTGCCAAAAAAATAAAACAAAACAAAATAAAAAAAAAAAAATACAAAAACAATGTATTATTTGTCCCTCTCAGTCCCTTCCAGGCGATCAATGTGGTGTAAGTATGTAAGTTCTTCACAGGTACTTCAGGACGTGTTCAAGGGAATAGGGATATCAGGTATGTTTGTTCCAAGCCGAAAGAAAGGGAGAGTGTGACCCCCTCTGTCTGCTGAAAAATTCCTATGCGACAGCCAAACAAGGCCTGAAAGAAGACGAGAGAAAGAAGGAGAGAGGGAAAAAAAGAAACGAAGGAAGCAGAAGCAGGGCCGACGATTGATTAGCAAACAAACGGCGACAGCTTCACTCTGCTGCAATGCCGAACAGGAAATACAGTTTGACAGCGACCAATAAATCGGCGAAATGCAATTGACAAAGAAACCGGGGTGGAAGGGTATAAGACTCTGGATATAAACCAAGGACTTATGACGGCATTCGGACATTAGAACTCAACCATGCGGTGGAGATCAGTTCTGAGAATTTGACCACCCTTGGAACAGCCGGACTAATGAAAGATCAACTGGATGATCGAAGAGAAAAAAAAAAAAAAAAAAAAAAGCCAAGAGACGACGACGGGGAAATGCTGGGTTCAGCATCGAGAACAGAGCAACAACAACATTGAACTAGTTGGAGTGGCCAGGGTATCAGAGATAAAAATAAAAAAAAGTGAGGCTGAGTTAAGTAGATCTGGGTAAAACGCTTGCAGCTGCCTACAACAACTTTAGTAATTCTTTGACCTCTTTTGCAGTGTCCTCCCAAGAAAATGTGCAGACCACCGAAATTCCAAGTAACTCCATTCGAAAAAAGTTAAGTATGTAGGTGTGTGGATGGCACGATCAAACCGATCGCTGGTCGCAAGCAGTCGAAGCGGGCGCGACGCAAGCAGGAGGTAAAGTAACATGACCGCGAAAAGCTAAATTGCTGCATTATTATTGCCTTTTCGCCCTTGGGTCGAATTCATCTCCGATCTGGTGCTAGTAAAGTGGGTACGGTGGATAGGGGAAAAGCATCATTCCTAACGGCCGCGAGGGGAAGCAAAGAAAAGGCCAAACTTCAAAGTCGAATCCCTGGACTTCCAGGTGGATTTGCGGCGGGCCTTAGCAACATTCCTCACAATGACAGGGCACGGTATCGTGTACGATCTGAGGCTGGGCGTGTGCCAGACACAATGCTGCTACCCGGCAAAAGCGACTGGTCCTTGAAACAGGGAGATGTGATAGGGAGAGAGAAGAAGGGGGAAAGGATTGATTTCCCCCCTCCATACGCCACCTGCTTCTTTGTCGGAGGTGCATTAGTCATTGGGATGATTGAAAAAAACAAAGGGGGGTTTATGTATGTAGTGTTCGAAAGGAAAAATGTGTACAACATCGTTCCCTTGCCATTTGCCTCGGTGTCATCACCCTCAATGTGCAGATTGACGCACCCTGCCGCCAATGTGTTCAGAGCGTTCAGATGGCTTTGACCATAGTTGTTGGGGTACTTGGCTGGATTTCCCCTTTCGTAGGAAAAAGGAGTCCAAGACCGAAAGCAGGGGGGTGGTCAAAAGCCTAGCGAGTGGACATTCCAGTCTCGATCCGTCGACTTCAAAGCGCGCGCGCGCGCAAGACCACCGGTTTTCATGCATTCATCCTGAAAGTTTCTTCTATCCTGTGGCCCTCCGAGCAATGGACCCCTCGTACGGAGAACATACATGCATCTTACTGTGCGCCTTGGTCGGGGAGGACTTCCCTTGCTCCCTTCTGTCTGGTGGTATGGCCACAGCTCGGAAGAAAAAACTGCGTGCCAGAGTCTATCCAGTAGTGTGCAACCACGGCTTATTGCGGCAAGCATGATTGACAGTGTCATGCGGCCATGTCAAGGTCGTTAGGGCGTTAGGAAAAGGGCCCTAGTTCATAGTTCATCCTGGGCAACCCGATCGGTGGCCGAATGAGCTCGTCGGCATCCTCTCGGCTTTCCCTTTTATTGGAGTTTAAAAAGGCACCTCCGCCCCTGGTTGTTGGTATAACTAATGATCGAATGGACGGCGTCCCCGTCCTCGTTTACTCCAGAATCTGTACGTAGCCTTGGGCGCGACCAAATCCCCAGCCGGATCCGTTCTCCCACCGACATTTCGGGACCGCATTCAAGTCTTGTCTGAGCCCGCAGTCGGAATCATGCGCTACAACTTGGACCCAGCAATGCCGTGAATGGCGAATGGCGACAGGGAACAGGGGAGAAGGTGGCGGAAGAAACGATTTTTTTTTTTTTTAAAAAAAATTCGCATTTTCGATTTGTTGTTGTTTTGTTGCCTTCTTCTTGTTCTCACCATCCTTTTTTTTTAATTGCCCCCTGGAACATGGGGGAGCCTGCAGGAGCCTAGGAGCAGGTCATGATCCACACCCCCAACAGAGAGATATTTGATAGATAGAATCCTCACGAACGCTAGGCTAGTCAGGGTGGGATTTGAGTTGGCATCATGGCTCCGTGAAAGGATCTAGTGGGTTTTGGACATTTGACCCCTGCAAGCGCAGATTTACCGCGCGGAATTGCGGTGCCACTCGGACTGCCAGGCTATTGAACTCCTTCGGGATAAACCTGGGTGGATCGACATGGAATCCATCATTTAAACTCGGGGGTTCTCCTAAGATCAAGAAAGCCTTGAAATCTTCAACCACCTGTGTCAGGGGTTGACGGGGAAAGAGAAAACGCAAGAGGAAAAAGTCTGAGATGAATCTCTCGGATTTCCCGTTTGAATTCCTAGGGACACTCGCAAAGGCCGGTACGAAACCAATCGATGAATAAAAAAAGGGGTGGACACTGGACAGTCTGGAGCATGGCGAAAGCCCGCTTGGCGCCTCACTTTGGTTTTTGGAATATTTTGTTTTTAATTTTCCCGACCCTCTCGGAGTGCACTGATCACCATGATCACTCCACGCATGGTCGCCTCATTGTTCCGGGGCTGGTCGGAGAAGAGTCAATTGGGAAGCCAAGCCCGTTTGCATTGAAGCCTCAGTAAAGAGCGGTGTTGATTTGCATCTGCTCGTTTACTTTCTCCGGTTTGAAGATGAGTCCTGCACGGGTCTAGTGCTGCGTCAGCCCTGGTTACCTAGATCACCAGTATCGGCTGATAAAACAAGACAGCGTCATCAGATGGAAGAGGCGATTGATGGTCAGCAATCATTTCAAGCAGATTGAGATGACTCGGATGTTGGCAGGAAAGAGAAAAAGGGAAAGGGAAAGAAGGAAGACGACGATGAGGCTGTCCCGTGATTGCCCCATGACTGAGCGGCCCTAACCCTGAGCCCTACTTCTCTGTCTTGTTACTACTTACTGCTTGGGAACATCTCGATCGTCCTGCCAGATGGCAAATGTGCTATCATCTAAAGTCTAGACAGATCAGGTTGTGCAATTCGATTTTTTCCACGGAGTCCCACTCCACATGGACAGGCACATGTTTCGTAGCCTGTGTCCCGGGAGACGGAATGCCCTATATAGCATGTTATATAGCTTCATCGGTAACTAGTTCTCGCCGATTTTATGCTTAATTAACAGTAATTGTTCTCTATTTGGCTGGGAGCTTATCTTCATCCTCTGTAAATATAATCCTTACCCCATTCGACTTTCAGATTTGATATCACATATACTCCTCTTCATCCAGATCCAAAGGATTCGCACGCTCAATCACATTGGATCTCCTACCTAGATTTATTAATGTAAGACAACCCCTGGACTGCCCGTTGGAGGGACATGACCTCCCAAGCCACGATTGACCTTAGACGTCCCTCCTCGTTTGCAGACATCCTCATACTGAAACAGACTCATCTAAGTAGTACAACGTAACCCAGTAAAACAGCCGCGTCGGGAAAATGTAACACTCCAACCACCCGTACGCGGCGTGATTGAGCATGTCTTATCCAATGTTGGATCTTGTGCAACTTTCTATGCCCCTTTCCTTTCCCATCTCCTCGTTTGTATCTGTATATTCAAAACTTCAATCTCTCGATTCATCTTTCTGGAGGAGTAGGTGCTGTAGTAAGTAGGTAGGTAGGTACTTCTGCACCGCCGGTATCGCAAGCAGGTAGTACATACATACCCAAGTAAGCAAGCAAGCCAGTAAGCTAGAGAGACCATAAGCAGTGCTAGGTAAAATCAGAAGTCTATCTATGCAGAATGCTGCACCACTGCCGAGGTCGTTGGTGTTTGTACCACCTGTTGCCTGCCCGTTCTAATCTCCTCTCTCCGACTGCCTTCCTTTAATCGCAAGCCAAAGTATGTCAATCTACTCTACTCAAGTCGTACCATATCAGATTGGACCAGAGACGTAGTCTCTTCTGATTATCGAGGTGCCTTCTTCAGACAGGGACAACAAAGAGACGGGAAGGCGAAAGGACAAGATACTATGGAGGACATGGTCTTTGACCGCGTGCCCTTTACCCCGTTTTAGGCATGATCCTTTTTTATTTCCCCGAACGCCCATGTTTACTTTGTTCACTCTTGTTTTTACCGAGGTAGCAAGGAGGACATGGGTTGGTTACATTGCGTGCAACTACGGCGGGACCGAACTCCAGCAGGAGCAAAGAACGAACGGGCGTACAGAGAGGTTCGTG